CCGCTACTATGAACCTCCCCTCGACGATCTATCTCACCGCCTCTACTCTATCATCTAAACTTAAGGTATTATATTTTTTTCATAAGAAACCTATATAAAGAAGGACTACTAATAATAAGTAGGGTGTTCTCCCTCTTCTACTATATCGGATATTCTACGTTTGGCCTTGCTAAGTTACGAATACTATGACACCTTGTTTAGTAGCACCTGAAGCTCTATCCGCGCTCAAGAGTCTTGTATCTTGGATACACAATAACGCTAAAATAACTGAGGTCGCAAAGAATTCATCCCAATGTGTGGACCCCAACCATCTAGAAAACTTGCGCCCATTTTTAGAGGCGCAGAAATTCACTGAGATAAAGGTTAGAAGCACAAGAAGACCTCCTTTCTGTGGTATAAACATAATTAACCCATAATAAGGATACAGATACACAATATATCGCATCAAAGGAAAAGTCGAAATTCGCTTAACCCCTAATTACCGCTCTTTCTTCTTCCCACTTACAGTGGATTCGGGGACTAAGGGAGCATCTAGCGAAATCCAAATTGCAGGGGAAACACTTCAGCAAGGTCAATATCTACATTTCACCAGTTCTTTTATTGTGGACGCACAGTTGGACTGCCTTATTATGCTTCTACCAGAAACAAGTGCAAAGCAGAATTGATTATCTTATGATAGGTTCGGGATCTTATAAACAGAGAACACAAAGCTGAAAGAAGGAATAAAGAAGAGAGAAAACATATTGGGACTAGGGAAAATGAAGTCTCGGGTGATAAACTCAACAGTCCTAATTTCTATGTATAACACTAACCCCGATAAAGAATATGTGGTATGATACTGATATTTATTACAAGTTATAAAGGCTATTTCCTAGGTATATAGTATGCATACTTGATTCACTAAATTCATCTGAAGATAGGTTTATGTATATAAAGCTTTTGTAGATGTCAATAAGACGACTAGATCTTTCCTGGGCTGGATAGTCGCAATTCTTACCAGGTTTAAGTGATAGCATCGTATCTCAAGACACGAAGCTCAGCATCAGGCTAGGAACAAGCGCATCAAATATCTCCGCCGAGTCAGGGAGTCAGATCACCATATCCAGCGGCTTAGGAAACTCAGCATCCACGCTAGGAACAAGCGAATCAAACATCTCCGCCGAGTCAGGGAGTCAGGTCACCATATCCAGCGGCTCAGGAAATTCAGCACCCCCACCAGGAACAAGCGCATCAAACATCTCCACCAAGTTAGGGAATTAGGTCACCATATCCAGCGGCTCAGGAAATTCGGCACCCCCACTAGGAACAAGCGTATCAAACATCTCCGCCAAGTCAGGGAATCAGGTCACCATATCCAGTGGCTCAGGAAATTCGACACCCCCGCCAGGAACAAGCGCATCAAACATCTCCACCGAGTCAAGGAATCGGGTCACCATATCCAGCAGCTCAGGAAATTCGGCACCCCCGCCAGGAACAAGCGCATCAAACATCTCCACCAAGTCAGGGAATCAGGTCACCATATCCAGCGGCTCAGGAAATTCGACACCCCCGCTAGGAAAAAGTAAATCGAATATCTCTACCAAGTCAGGAAATTGGTTTATCATATCTAGCGGCTCAGGAAATTCGGCACCCCTATTAGGAACAAGCAAATCAAACATCTCTGCCGAATCAGGAAATTGGTTTACTCTATCCAGCGGCTCAGGTAATTCGGTATCCCTGCCAGGAAGAAGCGATACAACCATGTCCGCCGAGTCAGGAAATCTGGTCACCATATCCAGCAGCTCAGAAAATTCGATATAGTCCCCAGAAGCTTGTAAGGATAACTCAGATAGAGTCTTATCAAGCATATTAGCTTCTTGATTCCGTCATAGACTATCATCAAGTGTTATTCTAATTGTTCTTGCCTTATCTAGTTCCAATTTACGTCTCGGTGTTTTATATTAGTCATCTGCCCCATATTAACATGGATAAAGGAAGTAACGCGAATATCAGGACACTTATTATTTCTTTCTATCTGCCGTTTTCTCTTGCTCCTACATGCCGACTTGGTAAGAGTTCGCTTGAATGAACTATCTCTTCCTAGTGAGAGTGCCCAAAGATTTTCTGACATAGCTTTTCCAATTAAGTCGAGATTTTTATCTTTCAAAATTCTTTTAATCCTATTTTCACGAAGACTGTTAACAGCGGATATAAAGAAACGTGAATATCGTCTTGATGTATATCTTTAGTAAGATTAGAATTAATTCCTCTAATAAGATAGACTTGACTCACTAAGCTTCTAAAACAGTCGAAGATAACATAAGCAAGAACTCGGGCCCTCCTAGTTCCTCTACCCACTTATTATAGCCATAGCCAAGTTGGACATATTCGTTAAGTAAAGTTTTTACTAGTAAAGTAGGATATCTAGCTTTGATCTTGGATATAAGATCCTCACAAGCATTCCTACACTACTTTCTATCGGTATGGTACCCAAGCTTCCTAGCTAAAAGGAAGATATTCCATAATTTAAGCCTCCTGTATAGGCAATAGAATTGGAAGTAGATATCCCGGGTCGTATCAGGCTGAATTCTCTGATAATTTCGATATAGCTGGGAAAAAGCCTCTATAACCCCATCCGAAGCTTTAGCACCGTGACATGTGGAATGTAAAAAGTATTGCGGGTCCTCTCGATTCTTAATAAGAGCCTTACAAAGGTCATCTAATATAGATATAACATCCAGATCATATAGACCAACTCTTGGATCAGGGTTACTGATATTGTTGCTTGGTTCGTAGTCACGAATCTCAAGGTCTCCGTCAGAATGTGGATATTCGTCGATAGGCGACACGATAGTTTTGTGATAATCGCTGGATACGCTGATTTCTGTTCTGTTCGATGTTAATGTTGGTTCTGTTGGTGTGGGGTTGCTGATCTTTAAGAGGACGTTCAAGAGAGCCTGTAAGCTTGGGGCTGGGAGAGTTTTGACGCAGTGGAAACATGCATCAGAAGAATAAGATGCTTCAATAGTTTTCAAAATACTGTTAACTCTGTTGAAAAGTTTACTTAGCTCAGTAGTGAGTAAATCTAAAGTGTTACTTATTTTCGTGAGATGGCGATATTATGCTTATAGTAGTCTGTACAGTTTATAGAGTAGACTGAGGTGAAAGATTTCAGCTGAGCTTTGCCTACTCCGTATTTCGCACTTCAACATACTATAGGCATCAGCTTTGCCAGGGTTATTATCTCGGCGCTTAGTATTTACCAATCAACTTTGACTATTTACTTGGATAACATCTGTGATGATGTGATATATGCAAGATACTATATATCACCCTAGGAAAAATACGTGGGACGTATATAAGGCCCATGCCAAGATGGACTCGATGATTTATAGGATCCTTCAAATTAAGCAAAAGCTCTTTACTCCTTATTTTCCCTCCTCTTCTTCGTGAAGTTCAGGTTCTTCGTCGATATACACTTGTTTAATCGATATTCATCGCCTCTAGGAATTGGGGCTGTGTGCAGATGCCAAGAGAGCAGGTGCCTCAGAAAAAGGCTATGATCCAATGATTCACTGCCACATAGCTTACAGAAGGATTACTGCGGTCCGTACGGCGGTCCGTGCGGAAATTGGGTGACAGCGGGTGATTCTCGCCCAGCTTCTCACCCTGTCTATAACCAACTCACCCTGCTCACCCCCTGTCGCGCGACGTAAGAGCGGCGCTCACCTATTACCCATCCGGGTAGCACCCACCCGACTACTGGCCACGTTTAAGCCACACGCCGGTGAGTTAGTAGTTGGGTGGGTGGCCACTAGCGAATCCTCACTATTGTATGTTTTTGTTTTTTTTTGTTCTCTCTTTCTGTCGAGTATATATACTTTGCTGTCTTTTTTGCTCGAAATAATCATCGAGTAATGGTGATTGGTCGAGTCGAGTAAAGAAAGTCTATGCCAAGCTGTGAACCGATAATCAGGGATTGGGGAGTAGCACTAATCACACTATGTACGACGACTGCTTTACCAAAAATTATTCTTCTTGACGGTCTCTTCCCCAGAAGCGCGGATCAGTTATCGGTTTTCCTACTCCGTACTAGTTTCTATTTTAACACTAACAACTCAGGCCAACATTCCAGCCTCCCCTTCTCTCCGTCGATTCAACAACTTCAACCATTCTCCTCTTGTGTCTCTTTTCCTTCGTGATACAGAGCCGGTTGCCGAAATGGGACTGCGACACTCCATATATGATCTACAAAAAGTATTAATCTATCATTGCTTTTCTTCTTGATACACTGCTACAATTCCAAATCGCATTGTATCGAAGTCCCCTACCACACTTCAGGGGCGAAGATGTAAAGCTCAGCCATGGGTAATCAACCAGCGCCAGATATCACCTCTATATCTATCAAGGATCCCTCACGATCTTTTTTCTTTCTTCTGCAATGTTGGCTGGTTTGTTTTAGTTGACCCGATATCGACCATGTCCAATGACAGGTATAACAGAACCTTGGAACATCGTTGAGGTCAGGGCCCGGAGCATCTTCACTGTATAGGCACTTTATTGCTACGAAGACTTGTTTCCAACGTCCACTAGCACCTGCGGTAGAGGAACCGATCTCCAGCGATACAGAGGCAGCCCCTTCCCAAGCCGAGATCCGAGATGCCGAAAAATTCTCGAACATCTTTCCACTGCAAAACCATAGTGTCGTCGCACATTTGGGCATCGGTGAGATTTGGGTTGAGTCATCAAGCCATTAAGGGTCCAATTTTTGCAGGGCTGATGCCGAGACCCGCAGAACAACCGGGAAGCCGGAAGCTCGAAGATCCTTCTGACATCATCGATTAAAGCTGACCAAAATATTCTTTTCGGCGCAACACGCATCTGCGCATGTACACTTGTATCTCACTTTTCGCTAGAGCGCCCCCATACCACCGTGTTTCCGGTCGCGCAGATTGATCAAAATACCAGATCTTGAAACGACCCGCTCTAACCAGTCGATCTCCCGATCTCCCGTCCCGGTAATGGCCTCTGCAGCACCGACTGCAAGGAGAGCCAGCTCTCACCGGCAGGGGTCAATAAAGTCCCAGGACTGGCCCGAGGACGTCAACGGACATTATTCAGAGGATGCGGAGGGTGTACAATTCAGTGGTGATGGACTCAACACTGGGGTCCGAGTCATGAGTTCGTGCTTAGTGATCAAATCAACTAGCATAAAGTTGAGACTGACCTTTCGTATTTCACAGGTGACGGTCGGCTCGATATAAATATTAATGAACATAAGCCAAGCATCGCGGGCTTGCTAAACCGCATCCAGAAAACCCCATTGGAACCAGACTTGGAGGAACTCGAGGCGAAGGAAACCCCGGAAGCAATCCCGAGAGATCTAGGAAAGGATTTCCCATTGAGCATGAACCTTGTCATACAAGTTATTGGATCCCGGGGCGACATACAACCATTCATTGCGTTGGGGAAAGAGCTGAAGGCACATGGACACCGAGTGCGATTAGCCACCCACCTGGCTTTTCGGGATGTTGTACTAGATGCTGAGTTGGAGTTCTTCTGCATAGGAGGAGACCCAGAAGAGCTAATGGCCTTCATGGTCAAGAACCCGTCCCTCATGCCGGCCTTTAGTACGATCCGAAGCGGCGCGATCCAAAAACGTCGACGAGAAATGAAAGAAATCATATATGGGTGCTGGAGGTCATGCATTGAAACGGGCGATGGAACAAACCTCCATCAAATCAAAGAAGACCTTTGGAACGACACCATTGATTATCGACGACGTCCATTTGTTGCTGATGCTATCATCGCAAACCCCCTAGTCTGGCCCATATTCATTGTGCCCAAAGATTAGGAATCCCACTACATATGATGTTTACGTGAGTGATTTCACCTTTTGGATTGGCCTCGAATCTGACACGATGCTTCTAGTATGCCCTGGACACCGACTCAATCGTTCCCACATCCTTTAGCTGTGCTTCACCAGCAGGATTGCAAACCAACCGTTGCTAATTTTGTTTCGTATGCTGTGGTGGACATGATGATCTGGGAGGGATTAGGGGATCTCGTCAACTCATGGCGAAAAAGATTCTCGCGCTGGATCCAGTGGATTCAATTACAGCGCCAAGTCTGATACATCGCCTAAGAGTTCCATACTCATATCTGTGGTAAGGCTCCCCCAACGGCGACCTTAGACCACATGTGCTAACCAGACCTCACTATTAGGTCGCCTGCATTACTCCCCAAACCTCGCGACTGGAACGACGATATCGATATCTGCGGTTTCAGCGTCCTCCCTTCCAAATCTGATTTCAAGCCCCCAAAAGAGATTGAAGACTTTCTGAAATCCGGGTCAACGCCAATATATGTTGGATTTGGCTCTATTGTCGTGGATGATCCTATAAGGTTGACCAACATCGTTTTCGACGCGCTCAAGCAGGCTGGCCAACGAGCGATTGTTTCGAAGGGGTGGGGAAACCTTGGAGTTGACAGTGTCGAAGTCCCGGATAATGTTCTCATAATTGGAAGCGTTCCGCACGACTGGCTGTTTCGGCATGTCTCATGCGTCATTCACCATGGCGGCGCGGGTACAACTGCTGCGGGACTTTCTCTCGGGCGTCCAACCATCATCGTTCCTTTCTTCGGTGATCAGCAATTCTGGGGAGGAATCGTCGCGGCCGCTGGAGCTGGCCCGGGGCCGATTCCTCACAAACAACTGACGGTTGAAAAGCTGAGTAGTGCGATAAAGATGGCTCTAGAGCCATCCACCAAGGAAAAGGCTCAGATAATTGCCGACAAGATGCAGAAAGAGTCTGGCGTGCGAGACGGGGTGCGCAGTTTTCACCGACATCTGAATCTCAAGTCTCTGAGATGCGCAGTTTGTCCATCTCGTCCTGCTGTTTGGCACTTGAGACACACGGAAATTGGCTTGAGTGCATTTGCTGCCACGGTTTTGGTCGAGATGGAGAAGATCAACGCACGGGATCTTGTGTTGTAAGATTATCATTCTGGAATCAACGTATCGTGTTGACTGACTTCACAGAAATCGGGCGTCTGAGTACGATACTTGGCGTGACCCCGCTGGACCATTGAGCGCAGGAGCGCAAGTACTTGTCGGCGCTATTGCAAACTTCATCACTGGAATTGGTGAAGTGCCGTATGACATGGCGACTGATCTCATCTCCGCCGGTCGCGCCATTGGGCATCCAGGCAACTCCGATATTGATGATCCTAGAAGGGTCGCATGTGCATGGAAGCGCCAGCGAAGAAGCCAAGAGTCCAGCGAAGAGAGCGAAGAAGAGCAGTATCACGAGACCAATGAGTACCACCATACCGACGATTCAAATGACGAAGATGACAATAGCCTTGAGGAAGATCACGACTTGAGCGGAGTTTCACCTGTAACAAGTTTGGAAAGGAGACGCAGTCTACAACTGGAGAAATCTCCAACAATGGACTGCATAAAAAAACCAGTGAGACAGAATAGCGCTTTTACTGAAATGCGCAGCCACAGCAGTCGGATGTCGTTGAAATTCTTAAAAACCGTCATCTGGCTTCCTACAGATCTTACTCTCAGTTTATCAAAAGGCTTCCACAATGCGCCCAAATTGTACCATGATCGCATGGTCAAATCAACCCCAAAGGTCATCGGCTTTCGCAGCGGCGTAAGGGCTGCAGGTACGGTATGCGGAACCCCTGAAATGCGTGCAGCAAACCCCCACAAATCCGACTCTTTAGCTGACTTACGATTTAGGAATTGCGAGATGGATTCTACTACGGTGTCACAGGGGTGGTTACCCAGCCACGGTACGGCCTAAAACATCAAGGTGCAAAAGGCATGGCCAAGGGAATTGGAAAGGGTCTCGGAGGTGTTTTTCTCAAGCCACCTGCAGGTATGTTGCGAATTCGGATCTTGCGGCAAGTCTGCAATGTTGACTCGGCAAATAGGTCTCTGGGGACTTTTCGGTTACCCCTTGATTGGACTTCGCAGAAGATTGCAAATATCTTTGGGCAAAAAGCAGGAGAATGCCATTGTAGCATCTCGAATAACCCAAGGGCTTGAGGAAATGCATGAATCCTCAGCTGAAGAGCGGATGGAAGTTGCTCGGAAATGGCAACTCTTGGAAGAAGACCTGCGGGTTTCATACTAAGAGTGCCCTGTATTGAAGGGTGTCTCACCACAACTTTTTTGGGGGCAGGTTATGGACCTGTCTGTGACATACCAAACTGTACTTTATACGCATCTATTATCTAGTTTTTAATAACGAATTATGAGAATAATCCCATTACATCAATGAGAAAAAGCAAAAGCCGACTCCGGGATCTTGAGGTCTTTGGTTCAGAGTCCAGGCCCAGACCTTGGGAATGTTGGTTCAATAGTATGCTCTGTTACGTGCTTCTCGAGCCTTTCCAGGGTTCTTCGTAGAACAAGGACCGAGAATTCAACATTGATCCAAGTCCAATTGTATGAATGGAATTCATTAGACTGAATTTCTAATAAACATAGATAAAATCCTCATTCTTTAGGTCAGTCACATCCAATAGTCCCTTATCTTCCTCAACGGAATTTTTCTGATCTTGAGAACTCTCGAGCTCGGTCGCTTTGTTCACTTTGAGTTGGTCCTTCCGGAGCATAGACATGTCAGCGACATGCGCGGACTTTCCAAGTCCCAACCGCATCTTCTCGTGCTTTTTATTCAAGAAAGCGAGGTAGATAGGGATAAGCCTTGACGACTTGTGAGTACGCATTACTGCAGAATGAGCTTGAGGTTCCGACTTACGCGGCGAGAATTCCCACTGTGACAAACATAGCGAGATCGGCTATGAGACCTGTTCGATATAAGGGTGCATCGTCGGTTGAGAACAGAAGTGGCCCTATGACATTTCCAGCGCACATTCCAACAAATACAATCCCGGAAGTGCACTTCTTCTTGGTGTCGCCTGCGGTATTTTGGGCTTGCCATGCATAAAGCATAGGAGTTATTCCAGCCAAAGTTGAAACCTATGATGAGAGTGTCAGAATATGACTAGAGATTTTCGTCAGGCAAGTCAATTATGGCATACCAAATAGTATCCAAAAAGCAGAACTCCCTTTTGCTTTCGTGGGACGGTAAGCATCAAGATAGCACCGACCGCGGGCATTATACTCATGCCCGAGATAACGAGACCTTTTCGTTGAGTGCGCGTAGCGATCCAACCGGCACCCACTATAGCGATGACTTGAACGACTCCGAAGGGAATGTTGAATAGAATTGTTTGAAAGCTGTTGAATCCGAAAGACTTCACAATCAAGGAGCCAAATGAGGAGATGCCACCACTTGCAATACTATTAGGGTCGATAATGAGTTGAAATGCTCATCATGTGGGTACGGTGGTGTTTTTTGAAGGAACTCACGAGATAGCAATGATGGTAAAAAACCAGCAATATGTTTTGAGATCGAGCATCACTTCTAGGACATGGTCCCATCGCCACTTCTGGGTGACGATGCCCATTTGATTCGCTCGGAGCCGCTCTGTAGCAATGAACTTTTCTCGCTGGTTGAGGTATCGAGCGTCCATCGGCGAGTCTGGCATGAGCCAAAAGACAACGAGAGAGTAAGCCACCGTCAGCAGCCCACAAAACATGAAGATGGTCTGATAGCGATATAGCACCGCGCTGTGGATATGGCCCAGACCATATGTCAGTAGACTTCCGATGATGGATGTGACACCATTCATGGCGCTCCAGTAGCTGACTCGCAGAGTCTGCTCGCTACGCCGCCACCACATCTGTGTGATGGCGACACAACAAGGTGCGATCAATGATTCAAACGACCCAAGGACAAAGCGCATACCAAGAAGTGATGAGAAATTAGTGCAGGCGGCCATGATGGTGAGCGAGGAACCCCAAAGGAAGATTGCCGAAGCCAAAACCTTCCCTGTTGGGAGCTTCACAAGGACTAAAGCTGCCAAAGGCTGCATGACCAGTTGAGCGAGATATAGAATAGAGCCAAGCCAGGAATACTGAAGGCCAACCAGGTGAGCATCCTCTGAGATTCCGAAAATGGACACATAACTGTGATTGATGTAAGGCTGAGTGCACGCGGAGGGGGAAAATCTGGGCTAAGTACCTTAATGTACTCTTGTCCAGCTGCTGGAAGAAATATGCCCATAGTACAAGAATAAGGACCCGCGAATCAATTCTGCGAAGCACAGCTTTTTCCTCTTCGTAGGTGAAGCTAGGTTGCTCACTTGAATTTCCCGCTAAAAATTCAACAGCTTTTGATCGTGAGGTATGGTCATCGCCCTGGCCTTGATCCAAGTTCTCATCATGTGCGATCTGAATATCATCGCTCTTGTGGGGCTTCATAGTAGAGAGATCTTCGTGTCAGGCAGAACGAAAGTGTTTTGATTTCCTAACAGGACGCGATCAATGCTTATGATGTTAGTGGGAAATGTAGACTTTTGGGGTAGCTCAGGAATATTGTATTTAAAAAGAAGATCTGCCAAGATTTGTAAATGGTAGTTTTCAGCCTGAAATTTGCCTTTGATAACATGCCACCATGGTGACTAGCATCATGGCGAAGCTCCGAGGGCGGAATACCGAGCCCTAGATCATTCTTTTTTTCGCACCAATAAAGCCTGACTTGGGCTAATCTCAGAGCCGGATTGCTGGTCAGATGAGCAAGTTCATCCAACAAGCAAGCCAGGAATGCGGGGGTCAAAATGGTGGCGCGATGTCGTTGCAGCAATGATTGGTCTAGCAATCCATGCCAACTCTATGCTATGTCTTTTACACCAAAAGGGTACACGGAGGATCCGAGTCACCCACCCGCGTACCTTGGCAGTACCGAATACTCTGGGGTAAATGCCGCTATGTACAAACTAGTACTAGTCTGTTTCTTTAATGGCCAATCGAGAGCTGCGTCCCCAGATTCGCGACACCCGTGGACCCCCCACGCTACGGACTAAACACTTGATCATTGCAGCCTCTCTGAGTTAGCTTCGAGAGCCATAGCTCTACCCTGGAAATCTCAAATGAATATTGTCAAAACCAATGCGATGATGATCGCGCTCGATGAACCTCAATAATTCTGTTAACGAAATTCGCATGTACCGGAGATCTATAGTCCACCTGTGTTATGTACGAATTTCCTAAGGTAAATTTTAAATTTCAATGACGTATGTTGCGCCTGGAACTAAAAGAATCAAACTATTTCTGCGGTGACCAACTCATATTAGGGCTGACTCTCAGCAATTCCTTGTGTGAAAATGCAAGCCATGGATCCAGCGACTCTTCATGGAAGGGTTAAGATGTCACTGACTTTCACAACTTCCCCTGTACGGATTGAGCGGTTGGCAGCGACGCCGGTAAGAATAGAGGCAGCTCCATCAATGTGACTGGCAGCTCTCATGTGTTCATCGGGCTCCGCTTCCCCAAAGAGATCACGAAGCATCACGTTATCACCGCCTCCATGCCCCCCGCCGCCTGAATAACCTCAATATCCCTTGGCTCTTGGAACAATGGTCGAAGCTTTAATGTTATGTTCTCAGCGGCACCCTCTAGGGACTGCTCTCCTCCCGAGTTAACGTAGCTACTTTCCACAATCTCGGCTTCCAGTCTTCCCCCCGTTCCGTTGAAGCTGACCCGGAAGCCCTCCCATGGAGCATAAGCCGTAAGCGAGTAGGTAAGAACAGCGTCGTTCTCATATCTAACGAGAACGTTCATGGTGTCTTCGATGCTGATTCCGTCGCCAAAAACGCTCTGATCACGATAGTATCCATCTTCATGCTCAGCATCCAGGTAAAGGGACTTCAGTTGCTGATTCTGGTCCAGATGAAGGGCAAACAAGTCATCCTTCGCAGCCTCACTGCCGAATGCCCGTGAGTAAAATTTGGTGACACCACGCTCCTCGGCATTCTTCTTGCCGTAAAATTTGAGGTCCCCTTGGGCATATACAGTTTTAGGTCTGGACTGCAGCCAAAAGTTGATCAAATCAAAATGATGAGTCGATTTGTGGACAAGAAGGCCACCGCTGTTTCGTGCGTCGCGATGCCAGCGTCGGAAGTAGTCAGCTCCGTGAGAAGTGTTGAGCATCCATTCAAAATGAATGCTCGTGACTGTTCCAATTGCACCGGAGCGGATGAGCTCGAAGATTTTTGTATTGTGTGGCGCGTATCGGTAGTTGAAGGTAACTCTGACTCGATTGTTTGTACGTTCCACGGCTGAAAAAATCTCGTTGCACTGTGGAACATCGATGGTCATTGGCTTCTCGGTGATGGCATTGCATCCAAGTTCCAGGGCGCGCACAATATAGATGTGGTGGGTCCGATCAATGGTGGTGACAATGACTTCATCCGGCTTTGTTTCTTGGATCATCACATCGAAGTCTTTGGCGAGATAAGTTGGAATCTGACCATCAGTCAGGGAATCGATCTTCGATTTAGCGTAGTCGAGTCGAGTCTGGTTTGTATCACAAATAGCAACCAAAACACTCGTCTCGGCAAAGTCTCGGGAAATGCTTGTGTAGAAGAGACCAGCCCTACCTCCAGTTCCTATGAGGGCATACCGCTTCTTTGGGGACTGTGTCGTGTTACTCATGTTGGCAAATGGTCTGGTCTATTAGCAGTTAGATTGCGAGCAGACAATGCGGGTTGAATCAAAATGTGACTTTCGGCGAAGAGGCGTGCAAACACGGGGAGAGGGAAAGTAAGAAGCGGATTGATGCGAGGCGGAGAGAGAGAGAGAGTATGCTGCTCAGGAAGTAAGCCCACTGCTTCGATCTTTCGGGCTAGACACATCTACTTGGCATCTCCCCGGGCAAACTCATGATTCTTCCCCGCACAATTCTTCTTTTGTTCCCCAACGCTCACGCTGGATCGACATTCTGTTGCTTTCAGGCCTTTTACACAAAGAAACCAAACGTGCAATTGGCTGAAAAATAATTTCCCGATCCGCCAGTCGTATGCGATCTTTGATCATGGGGCTTGTACCCCGCTTTGAGATCTACATCGACCAACTACAAAACATGTTATAACCGATTTCCACCGCTGAATCATATATATCAACACCTCATAGTAGAATCGACAGCATCTTGACAGGCTATACCAGCTCAAGATATCAGGCTCGGGGTGTTAAAAATCTCGAAGCCTGATTATTTAAATTATCAGCACCAGAAGTGAGGTATTCTACTACTTTTGCGATGAAACTCGGGAGCCGGAGGAGTTGTGGCTGGTTCCAAGGTTCTTTCCGAGGTCGGCGTAAGCTTGAATGCATTTCAGCCTGATTGCAATCTCGCTTATAATTGACCCGAGACAGGCTTGGCTGTCACTAGGTATCTCTTGTATGTACATGTGTCGGTCATGTATACCTGGCCCGATAATTCCAAGGCTGCAGTCAAAGAGCTCAGTGGGTTCTTCCTTCTCATATGGTTCGCCTGCAGTACCCGAAACAACAGTAATCTTCTCTCCAATCTTTTCTTTTGGATCTGTCATCCCGGCAAAATTTCGGAACCTTGGATGAACATCGACAATAACTGTTCAAAGTGCACCCAAAACGTAACCCATGTATAGTGTCGAATAAATCATCCAAAGAATCGACCGCTTCTGCCACTCGCCAATTATCATACACGTTGATGTCGCCATAATCATATCATATAAGCGAGTCTGTTGAATATCCCAGTTAATATCCAATGAAAATCGTTCATTGTTTCCAGTTTGCTTGATCCATTTCGAAGGATGACCGGTCCTCTCAAGGAGCTCTGTGACAACAGAATCAAAGATCCACAACTGCCCATGTTTGTCGTGAGAGAAACTTGAAATATACTGGGCAACGTATGTCTCCTCTGTAGAGCCAGGAACCCTGGCAAGCAGCTTCAAGTGGTTGAAAGGCATGAGTCTTTTGTTCCACGTATGATTATGGTGCACGTCTCGAGTGCCTTCCCAAGAGAACTCAATGCCGGCATATTCAAAGCAGTAGGTGCGAGTACGAATCGATAAAGGTGAGCTCCATTTAAGTCGAAATGCTTCATCGGCCAAAGTTGGAGAAAGCACAGCTGCAGGCGGCGAGCCTGGGAAAGAAGGCTCCCCTGAGATATTCTGGCTTCGTGAACCACTGGCAAGGTCGTTCTCACTTTCAACAGGGCCCATCTCCAAGTCTCGTGCTTCGAATTTCTCTTTGGCTCTAGTTGTGCAGCCTTCGGTGTCTTCCTCTTTCACGGTTTTCCGTCTGGCATTCACCGTACGATGATATTCTGCCCCCGTTTCTCCCCACACTCTCCATGTGCGAACTTTGTATCCTTTCCACTCCCTGATATCGTTGGACGTGGAATTGTCTTGATTGCTGCGGCATTCCCACCTCACTAATCCTCTGGGATCAATAACCTTGTTCAGATGCTCACTGAACTGGATGATCCAGTCATTCCAGAATGCTCCGAGCTTGATTGTGCAAATAGGGTCGCCTCCCTTTTTGGGCCCACGGCGAAGAGTTCGGGGTGCGTTGTGAAACAAGAGACTGGGTAAATGCACAAAGTAGCCGTTTTGTTGTTGAAAACGTGACTGGTAATATCTGTCCTCGTCGTGCGAACTATGCCCATATTCCTTTCCTGGCACGAGGAACGGTGTGATGGAAATATGGTCAAAGCCCTCACGGTAGACATGCCACACTGACAGCCTGTGTCTTTGCGACAGTGCTTCTTCCAAGGTTGACATCCTATCTTGTGATATTGCGTTGCGCGAAGGAGACCGTAGTGTTCCAGTGTCAGAGTGAAACGAGAAATATTCGAGATCGGGCTATTGTCGACTTCGTTTCTGTGTCTGTATCGACAAATGCATGTCAGTTCTATTGTTTGAATTGGGCTTCAGATGTTAGTATCATGATCGAGGCGCGGTAGTTTTGGCCCCAGTGGGGCTGCCCTGTTTTTGCGCACATCGGGCGCCGGGCGCGGTGGATAGAATCGCGCTCAACAATCCTCTCATTGGCTTTCAGATCCAGCAAACATTGACCAAAGCCATTAGTCCATCCCCGAATGGGACTTGAGGGGCTATGCAACTTCAGCCAACTCGGTCGGCAACCGGCACAATTCTCATCAGACCAATCGGTGGTTTCTAGAAGCAAAAAAGAAGGTAGCGGATAAGAAATATTGTAGTCGTTAGTCATTTGTCTCGTTGAGGATATGAACATAGAAATGAGCTCATCGCTCATAATGGGAAAGTTGTGCGAATCCTTTTTCGTTGCTTGAAATCATCTTTCATCGACCCAATATTCGATTCACAACGACATAAGGGTCCATATCAACTTCGACGATGATTGCAATAGATATTACCAATGTCGTCAGGATAATCTAGACGCGATTAGCAAAGCCTTCGATGATCAAGTTCACATTCAGCTTACACAGCCCAAGAGAATCCCCACAAAATTCAGCTCCCAACCCCCAGCATGAATCTTATCCCTAGCGATTGCATTCTGCTGTCTCCAAAATCGAAAGGCGCCCACTAGAGCCACGAGGATAGCCACACTGTGACATGCCACTGAAAGTGGGATGCCCACCTGATGAAATCCCAACTTGTCTGCCAGCGCTTCCGCTGCCTGTAGACGAAAAAGTTGTGCAATGAGAACGCCTTGTTGTGTGATAACAAGCGATGTGCGTATGTACGCGAGGAACGTCCTCTCCAGAGCTTTGAAGTAATTAGCATGGGCGTAAAAGGTGAAACCACATCTCGTTGAAACTCACCGAAGTAGTCGCGGTTACTCTTGTGGGGAACCGTCAAAGTGACATGATGTGTCCAAAACCGAGTGAGCTTGCCCCAAGCACCCGTCCGAGCCTGCTTGCGCCGGCGGGCATCCGCGCGCGCATCGAGGGCGCGTGATGTGGTACGACGCGTCACGACGCGATACTCATCGCCCGATGAGGCAGATCCGGCGGAGTCATCAAGTTCATTGTCCTCGCGCGTCTGAATATTCTGGAGCTCAAGAGCCTCGCGTGGATCCGCGTCGCTTGCATCGCTCGCGATATCGTGACGCGGCGGGATATTCCGTAACACAGCGCCCGTGGATTCCGCTGGACCTGGAGTTTCGTCTGATAATGTCATTCTTCTGATGCTATCTCAGCCCTGTGTGGATAGCATGGTTCTGTTAAAATTGAGGTCCCCGCTGGTGCAGGGCCAAAGCAGGTTTGGCGGGCCTTCCATGGATCGGCATCATATCTCCCCGCAATTAAATTTGTCTACTTCTCATTTGGTTTGTTGATATGATGATGAAATAAATAAAGCTGTTTGAAGTAGGATATTTTCGAGGGTAATGTTAATTTGCTTGTTCTTCTGAAATTCCATTTTGTTATAATTTAACCAGTAGTAGCTTGTTATGCATGGGCTAAAATGATGCCATATGCATCCTCTATGGCAGCCCACTCATGCATGTTTTTCAGTAGCCCCGAGATCGACCCACTCCAATTGCTTGTTGGCAAAGACTTCAGTCGACGGGCTCGAGATTGTGTCAAACAGCGCTGCCTTCAAAAAGGCCTTCCCCGGGGCTTTGGGGGTCTTCGTAAAAACTGGGCTGTCGTGGAATGTCAATGATCACTTCACCCGTAAATTTGGTGTTCATACCTTCCACAGTCAGAGCAGAAATGTCGCTGATTTAGGAAAAGTGATCAGCCTGAGCTTTCGGGATGACCAATGACATGGATCTTCCATGGACAAGGGTGTGGTTGTGAACATACCTTAACGATGTTGCCGCTAGTGGACTTTTTATCTTCATAGATCTTCAAGGTAGACCTCGTATCCTCCACGGTCATATCTTCCTCGCCGACGAAATAGTTGAGAGAAAAGGCTGGTAGCAGTATCAGTAGAAATGTAAGACGGGTCTGGATAGGGAATCGAACCACTGCCACCAGCCCGTTTGCAGCAATCACTGTGTTTGGTATACTGCATTAGCAGTCATTGTCTCTACGGAGTACACAAAAAACGATACCCACATACCAATGACAGATAACGGTGTTTGCGGGTTGCTGCGGAAGGGTAATGCGAATACTTTCGCAGTTGCAATGGCCATGGTACGACATGATACTTCGTGATAGGCTACAAAAGCGCAACAACCTTGTGAGAATCACTGTATAATTTAATAGCGAAGGGGGGTTTTGTCCAGTGAAAATAGCGGAAATCAAATTGCTTATTCCGCCCTTGCCGAATGCCCCGCCAAGTGACGTCAAATGTTTACGTCTGATACGGTGATGCTTATTTTGCACTATGCTCAAGGCTAGAAAATACAAGACATAGTACAAATAGCCTGCCAGTTTGGCGTCAAGAATACTCCTATCATTCTCATTAGAACATCGCAAGAAAGAGATGTTAGTCAAAATTCAGTGATTTTATCGATGATTAACTGAGCTTCTATGCCAATCCATAGAGAGAACTACGCTTCGCATTCCCTTGAGATATAGGACATGGATCAAATATTTCGATCTCGACAGCAGCTATCGACGAACAAACCTTGAATTTAGAATTGCCCCAGTGGGCAACAAATGCGAAGTCGCAACAAGTAAACCATATAAACAGCGGGCATATGTTAAAGACCGCTCCGGTCCGATATCGGCCCCGCACATATACTACCTAACATGTCCGTCGCTCTATTAAAACGACATATAAGAAAGCTCACACTTCGCTGATTCTGGTTTCTGTAAGAATCTTTTGAGCTTTGAACATCCCGAGGCCACTGTGAGTTTTGAACAGCCTTTAGGCTCCTGTGTTTCTTCAATCGGCATCGAGACGCCACCCCACACCAACCTTGAAACCGCTTTGACTCGTCCGCTTTCTCATACTTCAAAAAGATCATGACAGAAACCACCTCAGCCAAGAAGGACAACTGGTCCGAAGAAGTATGATACCTGAAATGCGATATATAATAGATCTGTATACTGACATTGAGATCCAGGCATACGCTGCGTCTGCATCTTTCGTATACTCCGCGAAGATTACCGGGAAGCTCTTGGCCTCACTCAACCCTAAGCCAACCGACAAAGTTCTAGATGTGGGCTGCGGTGATGGCAAATTCACATCAAACTACCTCCCGGCCATTGGTTCCGTGTTGGGTATTGACTCGTCAGGATCGATGATTGAATCTGCCAACAAAGACTACGCAAGCCCCAAGGCCAGCTTCCGCGTTGTAGACTGCCGATACCTGGAGAAAGAAACGTCCATTGTGGATGGGTCGTGGGATAAAGTGTAATTTGATCTGTGATATTTACTTATCAAGGCAAACGGTTCGCTGATGATCTCGCAGAATCTCCAATGCAGCACTCCACTGGATCCTACGGGATGAAAACACACGAATGTCGACACTTCGTGCAATCCATGGTTGCTTGAAGCCGGGTGGAACGTATGTGTTCGAGATGGGTGGGCATGGCAATGTTGCAGAGGTCAAGGCAGCTCTACTGTTTGCACTTGTTCAGGAAGGCATCTCGATCGAAAAAGCCCGAGAAACGAGCCCTTGGTTTTTCCCATCGGATACCTGGATGCGAAACGCTTTGGAAGAAGTTGGATTCCAAGTGGAGAATGCTGAGCTCGAGTATCGCCCAACAAAACTCACAAGTGATGCCAAGGGCGGGTTGGAAGGTTGGGTGAGGCTTATGGGTGCTCAGTTCCTCGAAGCTCTGCCAGAGGAAAAACAAGATACTGTCGTCAAGCAGATTTGTGATGTCCTTCAGACTGTGGTGACCCGCGTCGAGGATGGAAGTCAGTGGTTGGGCTATGTACGCCTCAGAGGAATTGCGAAGAAAATTTAATGTGGTTGATCATGTTTAGGAGTTGTGATGCAGAGCTCTTTCCCGAGATTCCTGCTGCCTTCGTCGTTCAATGAGAACGGCAAGAGGGATGTCTTCCTCGTCGTAGAACTCCGCCTCTTCATCAACCCCAAAGTCACGTAATCTTTCCCCCTCTGCATTTCGCCACGACTCCTCGCCTTCGTCTGAGCCATTTCGAGAGCCGGTATCGGAATCGTCGCCTTCACTCTCCGCATAATTGTTTGCTGGGTGACGATTGTGGAAAGGTTTGCGACGTTGTAACCCAGAAGTTTGCTGGAATCGCTTCATGTCTTCCTCTTTGCGACGATTGAAGGCATCGATCTCATCTTGAATGGTCTCATACTGAGGCATGCGGAAGTTCCTTGGCGGCTTTGCGCTTGCAGGTATCGGGATTCGGTCCGGGTCAGGAGGTGGCCATGAGACACCGGGGTCTGAGTGAGTGGTCAGAAATCGATCAGGGTCATCCAGGAAGAGACAAAGCTTACCTTCAAAATCATTCGTCTCAAATTCCCAACCGGTGCGACGATCAGGACTCGCAGCAAGCGGCCAGAACCAGCTGATCACCTATAGATGCGTAAGCTGGAGAGCCCAAAATAGTATGACTGGGAATGTCCAAAACAACAACTGACATTTGCGCTCCCGCCCATGGCTTGCTTGATGTTCGCCCATATACCGATGTCGTACGGATATTCTTGCTTTTTGATGTACACCCGGATTCCACCAGGGCCCTCAAGGTATCCACCCAGGACACGAGCGCGTCGGACGAGAGTCGCATGTCTTTCGATTTCCCATGTTTCGATGGTCGTTGTGTTTGCTCCAATCGTCCAGAAACTTCGAAGTAGGAGAATACCCAGGGCAAAAGTGGTAAAACCGTTGACCACTAAAAGAATGAAGAGGTGGATAAGCTGTCCAATTGTAGGTCCCATGTACTGTGTAGTGTCAGCAACCTGAGGTGGTCGATTGGCCGGTGCTCTTACGCTTGGCAAATGGCTATTCTTCCATACAAACGAAGCCCGCTGCCAAAGAAGTGTTTCAAGATATGACATTCCAACAGTTGCGTAGAACAGAAAGCGCATGAAGTGGGGAAGTGTAAAATGAGAAACGCAATTCGAGGTCCAGGGGCAATGATGGTCCATTTTTGGAATGCACCTGAAGGATGATCAGCAAAAAAAAGTCCACCCAACCCATTTCTATCCCTAACCTCTTGCAAGTCTTGCAGTGATGAGCTCGTGGCGGTTTGTAAGCTTCGCATTTACGACACCATCGTTGGCGGCCAGTGACTTCGTCACTTTCTTGATCCTCGGGCTTTGGCCGCCGCTCCGTTTTCGGTAGTCGGCCTGGATCTACAAAGCAAGTGCGGTAATAACATATCCATATGCACACAGCAAATATGTTGATCTTCCATGTCTCATCTGTTGTCAGAGGCACAGATTCAAAGTGCAGAAAGAAGTACTGTGAGGTATAAGCCAGAAAGGCAATGAGTACACTGACAGCCGGAATCGCCAGCTGAGTTATTGAAAAATCCTCGCCGAACATTTCAATATCTCTAGCCGCGTTGAACGGCGCTGCTGGAGAATAGAGAAGTGTCCAAGTCGGACGTGATGTTTGTCGTGGTTTGCTGACTAATAGAAATCGGACGAGTCCAGTGCGTGGAAATTAGTCCCCGGGCTATTCTCCATCAACATTTACATCTCGTCTCCATCAATCAGACGGAATTTCATCTTTCCCACGCGATTAAATGGTCCGTGGAGATCAAATCGGTGCTTCCAGGGATGAGGACTTGATCCCGAACGCGCAGCATGCCGATCGAGGCCCTTCCACAGAGCACCGCCAGGGCAATTGGCTCCACATCTGTCATTTCCGATGCATACTCTGTGGTTAAGGAGCTCGTGGACAATGCACTAGATGCGTCTGCCTCTTCTTTGCAAATTGAAATCTCCCAAAACACCGTGGACATTATACAACTTAAGGACAACGGTCATGGGATTCCTCCCGCAGACCAAAAGATTGTTTGCAAGCGATCCTTCACCAGCAAAATTCAAACACTAGATGACCTGAGAAACGTCGGTGGCTCTTCATTGGGGTTTCGTGGGGAAGCCCTGGCTAGTGTTGCTGAGATGTCGGGGGCGGTCAGCGTCACCACACGAGTTGAATCTGAAGTTGTTGGAGTATGTGTAAAATATGGAAGGGATGGAGAGGTAACTGGGTGAGTGAAAGATCATTGGCGTCATGTTTCAAATTATCTGACTCTTTGGTACAGGACACAGAGGATATCTCACCCGGTTGGGACTACTGTGCGCATCACAGACTTTCTCAAACACATCCCTGTCCGCAGGCAGACCACGCTAAAGAGCGCCGCGAGGAGTCTGACCAGGATAAGAAAACTCCTACAGTCATATGCTATATCCCAGCCATCAAAAAGGCTTTCTCTGAAAGTTCTCAAAGCCACCAACGAGAACAACAATTGGTCATATGCACCAAGTACGAACCCCTCACTGCTGGATGCGACGCTCAAAGTGGCTGGTAAGGACATAGTCTCTTCGTGTGTACTCAAACAGCTTTGCTCTGAGACGGCGGCGGAGATGACTGAAGCAACATCGCCAGAGCGGAGGACGTTGGAAGTGGTAGCCTTTCTTCCAAACACCCAACCTGGTGAGCTTTCCTTCGCCTGATTGCTCGATCATCTCTGACTCCACCAGATACGACCAAAATTAATAATACAGGCCAATACATCAGTGTGGATGGTCGCCCTCTTTCTAACAGCAGGGGCATCGGGCAGGAAATTGCCAAAATATACAAGTCTTATATCCGTTCTGTCGCTTCAAAAAGCGAGACCCAAAAGTCAATCAGCGATCCATTCTTGGCTTTACACATTCTTTGTCCCCGGGGAACTTATGATGTGAACATCGAACCAGCAAAGGATGATGTCATGTTTGAAGATCGAGACTCCGTTTTGACATTGATAACAAACCTCTTTCGGGAGCATTACGGAGAGTCAGATGGCGGAGAGAAGACCAAACATCAAAAGAAAAAGGATGATGTTCACAAGTCTAACCAGACTTCCAGCGGCTTTGATCTTCTTATGGCAAGAAGATCAGTTGCCGAGCCTCAAGCAGAAGTCATTGGCTCTAATGAACCTGTTAGCGACACTGCACCCAACGAATCATTACAAAGACGAAGTCTTTTGGAACCTGTTATATTGTCAATTAACAGTTCCGAACATGAACGAGGCCACGCCCCCGAGGGCTCAAATGGGAACAAAGCCAAGCGTCCTGGGACCATAAACCCCGAAAGTATCGCTAGGATCAATGCATCTTTCCGCACACCACGAAGTGAAAACCCCAATCGGATCAGCCCAAGGCCCGGTAGCTCATTGAATGAGACTCCCACGCGAACAATGAGAAGACATAGTGGAATGTTTCCCGCTCAGCTCTTGCCCATAATATCAACGCTACCAAGCCCCCCAACTACCAGACGTACTTTGGGGTCACCAATTAGCCAACGTCGCGAACAACGACATGGGCCAGCAAGCTCATCACCGGAAACAAATCGCATGACGAGCTTCCGCCGCGCAGATAGGGAGCGTGATCGTGAGCGCTATGGGAACGGGGCGCTTGACACCTGGTTTCAGAGGACCACACAAATTTCGCTGGAGCAGACCCCCGTTACACAGTTAGAGCCTTCCCAAGAAGCAATTGAGGAGCCATTGTCATCCCTCGCACAGCAACGGTTTGGGATCTCGCACAACCCGCCGCATGATGGCGCAGATCACCAAGAGCAAACTCACTCTCTCTCGCCATCTTCAGAGGAGCCTTCCCCTCGTCAGTCTCCACCAAACCAGCCCTCGCCTCTAGATGACCAATTCGATGGTAATCCAGTCTCAATGGACAGTGGACGAGGATTCCCAGTCCTCGATAGATGGGCTGCTCAGCTTCACAAGGACGGCGCCCGCCCGGAGCCAATCGATCTGGAAAAAGCACTGGATTTCGAGAAGCGCAAGAAAGAAGCTATTCAAGCTAGGCGATTACAGTTTCGAACTAGTGAAATATCGCCGGACCCAGAGCTTGCGCCGATACCACCTTCCTCTCAAAATAGTCGGTATCTCGCCGCCAAAGCCGCGTTGACATCGACGGATGTATCAATTGCGGAGCCCGTCGTGGTGTCGAAGCTCGCTCCTCATGATCCGAGAGCTTATTTGATGCGCCAACAAGAGTCCTCTGCCGCGAATGAGTCTGTAGCGAATGGCACTAAGGTCAAAAGGTCATTGATCAATCGACTTCCCTTTGAAAGGATACCCGATGGCCTCGACATGCATAATTTGTCTGTTTCTTGCTCAGTGAACTTGGCGCCAAACTTTTGCTCTTTCAAACCGTGTCCGCGCGAAGACAATTACGCCCACCCAGGGCCCGAACCTACAGCTTTCTCGTCACCCGAGGTGAAAGAATACCTCCCCCTCTGGAATGAACGCCTGGAGCGTATCATGAAAGAGAAATATGAATCCAAAGACGCTTCGCAAAAAGACGTTTCGCAACCACCGCGACCGGCGATTGATCTCTCTTCAATTATTGATAAACACATCAACTCTTTTGCGGAAACATGATGGTGATTTGTTCACTCTGTGGCCATCATATTCGCTCATATTGCGATTTTTACCATTTGTTTATCATACCCCTATTGAATAGTATTAGGAGCGCCCGGTGCTTTTGTTCTTGTTTTTTGGGTGTCGAGTGAGGACCACTTTCTCCTGCCCCAAAACCTGGCACCCGACCTCGGGATTCCACCTACCTGACATAATATTGACATCAACATCTTCCGAACCAACATCTATGATAGGAATATAATAACCAACAATGCTCCCGCTAAGATCGATCAAGCTACCCAATACCTGCTAATTGTGCAGTATGGCGTTCCTCATCCCCCCTTCAACTTTAGAAAATCAAGCTTCGAGTGCTCTCCACTCACCACCCCTGCAGAACGCCATGACGCCTGGTGATGTAGGAATTTTCAAATCAACTCTCCTCCCTTCATTTGGACTTTATACGTCACTTTCACTGGGAACATATCTCGCAGCTGAAGCAACCAACCGCGTCGAGTTGAAGGATTGGCTTTGGCCATCCTCTCAGGTCCTCAATGCCTGGTGGACCGCAGTCGGAAGTCCTATGTATACGCATAATCTTTCATTTGATACTGTTTGGAATGCTATTCCATGGACGGAAAAGGTTATTCTGGGCTGTGTTACAATCTGGGGAACCAGGCTTTTTGCACGGATCGCGTCGCGATCTCTCAGTCGCAGTGGTGACGATTCGCGGTACGAAACTGCTAAGACCGAACCCGGATTTTGGAAAAGTGCTTTTGTGAAGATCTTTCTACCCGAGGCTCTTGTTTTGGGCATCATTTCCTTGCCATTTACCATTCCATTCACTATAGGAGACACCACTCTTCCGGTTAGTGAGGACGGGCTGAGCATCATTCGCGCACTTGGAGTCGGCCTTTTTGGTGTTGGATTCGGGATGGAGGTGATGGCGGATACGCAACTCGAGCTGCATCGTCGAGAGCGAACGGATTTGTGTCGACACGGTGTTTGGAGTTTGGTGCGGCATCCGAAGTATGTTTATTGACTATCGATTGAGGATGGGGCGCAAGCTAACGGGACGACAGCTATTTGGGTGATACATTAGTTCATTTTTCTTTTACCCTGCTGAACATGGCTGGGTTCTGGAACCCAATTGTGCTTCTTGGACCTATCACGAATTACCTGTTCCTTCGATTAGTCGGCGGTGACAAGCAGACCGAGGCCAGCCAGTTGGAGCGTTACAAGTCTCAAGACTCTTCCAAGTACGATCAGCTTAGACAATGGCAGAAAGAGAACAACAGCTTTTGGCCCGCGATCCGCCAACTTGCGAACCCATGGGCATTGGCTGTTGTTGGTTGCGGCTTCATCAGTGTTGTGATTGAGGAAGGGCTACGGGTTACTCTTGACCCGCAATGGTGATATTCAACCCAAAATTCCAAATCTGCTCAGGCTTTCCCTAGTGATTCAAGCTTTGTTTGATTCTCGAATATCAACGATCTATTAATGCCAAGTGGATTGGTTTCAGCAACTTTAGTACCCCTTATCCCGCTTGTAATCATTAATCAACGGTTCGCCCTTCGCCAGGCGGCCTAAATTGACCTTGAGAATATCGAGGGAACGCGGGATATACTCCTTCCCACGAGAACTGATGTGTGGGCTAATCTGCACGTTCGGCGCGTCCCAAAGAGGATCATCTTCGGGAAGAGGCTCGGGATCAGTAACATCAAGTGCTGCGCCGCCCAACACACCTGAATGAAGCGCGTCAACGAGTGCCTTTTGGTCAATGACCTTTCCTCGTGAAATGTTGGTCACATATGGGTTGCTAGCATGGTGATGGCTGTTTTCAGAAAGGATCGTAATTTCCTCCTCCGAGAGTAGATAAGTGGTTTGCGGAGTGAGTGGGAGAGATATCACCAGGTGGTCAAGTCCGATAGCCAGAAATTTGCGGATAGATTCGCGATCGGTTCCGTGGTGCCATGAGGCCGGAATTGAGCCATCGGGATCGCCAGTTCCAGGTACAATGTAGCCATGGTCATGACGGGACTCTGGTGTTGGGCGAGGGGAGGCCGTGTAGGCGTGAACTGTCATGCCCAAGGCTTGTGAAACACGAGCGACTGTAGGTTGTCAGATCTATGTTCTCTCATTGGACGTAGATTCCACTTTGCCAATTCCCTCACATACTTTGACGTCCGATACTTCCATATCCCAAAATCCCCACTTTCTTGCCCACTTGGTCATGGAACCCGCCGACATCGCCGTTCTTATTCTGCCACTGGTGGGCTTTTTGGGCTTCGTATGTCTCCGCATACTTTCGAGAAGAGACCAACCAGTTCATCACAGTCCATTCTGCAATGGGAGGACCATGGATACCGGAACTGGTGGTGATGTGGATATCGCTTTCGCGCAAGATAGGGTGTTGTGATAGGTGATCTAAGCCCGCAGAGAATGTGTGAATCAATTTAATGCTGCGGCGTTCTCGTCAGTCTTTTCTTCTTTGACACATCGGAGCTTATGTGCCGTACTTCTGTGCATCCTTGAGGCCCGGAAGACTTGCAAATGTCACAAGAACAGTCGCCTTGTGAAACAATTCTATCCCCGGTGTTAGTCCACGACAAATTTGAGCTCAAGGATGAGTAAGGACGCTTTGATCGAGCTCACGCACCAGGAGGCACCGGGACACCGAGCTCGGAATTGTAGAAGCTGACCTCGGCATCAGCAAACTTGTGTCGGATCTCCGCCTGGACATCCTCAGGAATCGGCCGGTGCAGGACAATGAGCACACGCTCTGGGGCCTTTTCTCCGCCCATTATGTGATGATGTTGAGAAAGGTTGGATTGGCGGAAGTCCGGAAGTGAATGGTTGGAGGCTGACCCCAGGCACGGGCAACGGCTTTCCCTTCCTTATCAATTCCCCCGAAGTCCCATCTTCCCCACTTCGGCTTAACAAGCAGCCCTCACTCGAGAGGAATCGACGTCTTTGATTGGAAAAGGATTGCATTGGAAATAACACGTCTCTTGCAAACAATGGCGTGGTATTGCGACACTTTGCTCGAATATGATCTCAGCAACCACTACTCCGTACCCCATAACTGATTGCTGCCCCTCGGAGTCTGTGGAAATGATAATGCAGGAACCTCGTGTCTTCATGTCACTTGAAGGGTCAAAGTACGTAACTTGACATAATCTCCCTGACATCCAGATGTAAACTCGTATGGTGTGATCGTCGCAGTGGAGTAACGGGCAAAAGTATTTGACCTCGAGGACGGGCCGCGGCAGCTAACGGGTGCCCATCGTGAACTTTCATTTGGCGTTTTTCGTATCTCTATTCCATATTCCGATCGATGGAATCTGGCAATAAGCAGCTTCTTATTCAATGAAGTGGACCTTTGAATAAAAAGCAACAAGAAATGGAAATTTTCAGAACTCATCGATGGAGAGGACTATTGGCTCCCATTGGTTGGTTAACTGTAGAAAGCCTGACAAACCAGGCCGCAACACCTGATGTTGGCGCGGGTTGTTGCCTGGTTTGTCAGGCTCTCAACAGCTATCAAGTTACGGCTTCTTCGGACCAATCAGGTGCCACGCAGGGTCTATCCAAAATAGTGTAAAAAACTCTCCAGGGCTGTCTTCTATTACATGGATTTCAGTCCTTTTTGTCAGGGGCTGTAATCACATGATCTAGCTAGTAAAATACGTGCAAAAAATACAAACAATAGTTCTCAGCTTCCTGGTCCGTGACAAGTTCTTGTTGCCTTAATGCCTTAGTGTCCAAATGGAAAACAAACAACGGGTGCAAACGGCCCCATTCAAAAGCCGAGGTCAGAAACTCAGCGTCCAATGCATCATACTTCATCCTACGGAGTACTCCGTAAACAGAGGAATGAAAATCTGGAACTCTGGAGCCGTGCGGTTGTACCCGTGCGGAACTACCGAAATTCAACCGGCAGCGATGACCAAAAATCAACCCTTCCACAAGATGGAGTCAAGCTTCCCGCCCTGCCAATCGTCTTGAAGCGTATTTCGCGAGCTTTCAGCTCGCCACGCGACTGGAAATGAAGCGCCTTGAGAAAACCAATCAAATCCACGCATCTTGCAGTGCCTACGAAGCTTGGGCCCCGGTTCAACACGAAATGAACTGCTTCAGGGGCTTGACCCACCAATGGTGTAAACCTGGGCCGATTCAAACAAAAACAAAAAGCGCCACGCGGGCCAGCTCGTGATTTGACTTGTTGACTAGATAGGTCCAAAGATCGGATTTTCAGCAATCCAGGGCTTTCAAAAAGTTCCATTGAAAGCAATTCATACCCCATGGACAACCCGCAAAGCGCATTGCCAGGCACTCAAACAAGGTGCTTGTGGGTCTTCAACCCGTGCAACATGGTCCACTGAGCTCACTCGAAGCATAACAGATCTGCAGTTTCAGTCCCGATTATCTTGACTAGATCCAGGGTTCTGCGCCTGTCATGCACAAGTGACAAATGATCAGGTTCGCATGCCCAGACCCTAGTTTTCGGGCATACATATGCTCCATCGACAACCCGCTCTTAGTGCTACTCGGAGAATTTCGCTTGCATCGAGTTGGAAACTGCAGAGGTCTACCGAGGGATCGTCCGTCGCCGCGGAACTGGATCGTGGCCACGATCTATGATTCCTTGAATCTCGAAGGCGGCTCCACCGTTCTTGACTGCTTCATGTGAGTGCGCCGTGCTGATCTCCACTAAAAGCAAGCCACAGCAAGCCCAAGGTTCAGTCAAACACCGGTCCAGTGAAGAACAGTCGGCTCCTCTTCACCCTAAGTTTGCGCCGTTCGCGCGGACCAACATCCGCCGCTGTCTCTCAACCTGTCATAATCAGAGGCTATCTTAGACAGCCCACCGCTCGTCAAACCCTGCAGATGTGACTCTGAGGCCTTTCCAAACACGGAAAATGACTAAGCCTATCTCATGTAGATGTGAGCTGAGAGCTAATTTAGCACTACTTTAGCGCACGGGTGAGAATGTGACTTTGTCTTTCCGCCGTCTACTCCCGTGCGATGCGGGCTTCTATCGAAAAAGAAAAGAAAATAACTTGAACAAAAAAAGAAAAGAAATCCCTTCGACGTGCATGACGGTCCCACTTAAACCTTCACTACAAATATGAACGTTTCCCCTCCCTTGTGCGCAGCGTGCGCCTTTTCATCTCCTGCATTCGAATCCCTCGATACTATACATGATGTCGCAAAGAAAGCCCAACCGCAGACTCCTCCATCGGATCGTCGAGGCCGCGTTGGATCGCGAAGAACAAGGATACCCACCAATGGCCGCTCACGCGGCAGCAACACAGGGAATGCAAAATGGCTATCCACAGGATCTCCCACCTGGTCCAAAGAGAGTGAATACTACGCAAATGGAATCGCTCATTCCAATCAACGACAAGCTTCTCGTCTTCCGCGCTCTAACTGGAATTGACAGCGTGCCTGCCCTCACCCAGGTCGGCCATCTGGCCCGAAGTGCGCCCAACGTTGGAATCTATACGCGAGTGATCGACAATGAAACCAAAGCGCAACGGGCATACAAGATCTTCAACTTCCTTATCAACACTTGTCTCGGAGTTCAGGTCGTGGTAGCTGCAGCCGTGACTGCTCTTGGTGCAGCCAGTGGCCCTCACTCAGCGGTCACGGCCTTTGGCGCCATCAACACAATTATGGCCGGTGTCCTAACCTACCTCCGTGGCTCAGGGCTCCCCGACCGGTTGAAACACTACCAAAACCAGTGGAAGAATATTCGAGAGTACATCGAACAGCGTGAACGCGAATTCTGTTTGGTCGGATGCGACCTTGATGTACAAGAAGAGGTTTTCATTGTCGAGAGCATGTACCAAAGTGTGAAAGCCGAGATGGAGACTACGAAAAGCACCGACAGCAAGGCTCAACAGCCCGACGACCCACGGATTCGCCGTTCTGTATTGCCACCTTCGCACGATTCTGCATACAGAGGCCCTGTGGCTCCCGGGCGCGCAGACATGCCCCCAGCGACTGCCAATTCGAGGCGGGATTCCGAGCCCGTCAGCCCGATCACTATCCCAGATGCTGCCTTCAACAAGGAGAAGCAATGAATTTATACCCGTCAGGTGTACCCATGAAATCATTTGGTCATTACGACACACACTACCCGGCACCACCCTGTGCTTGTCGACGACAAGATGCCAACCGAAGCTATATGAAATGGCCATAACGTGGTCATGGTCGCGAACTTTTAATGTACATACAATTAATGTTTAAAATGTCAATGCTAGTATTCTCCTGAAAAAACAGTACACCTGTCTCAGATTTTGCGCCAATTGCTCGCCACCTCTAAGAAGCTTGCTCAACACAGAACAAAAACGGAGCTCCACTTGAATCCCGCAATCCCAAAATTCTTCAACCCAGCGCCTTTTGGAGTGACGTGGAAACAAGCCTTCTATCCCCTTCATCTTCTCTCGCTCATGGCTCTCGAAATTCAAAATGCGACCCCCGAGGATGCGGCGGAACTCACTCAGGTATTCTACACGGCTTTTGGTGGGGAATTCAACCGCACCATGTTCCCGCAGAAACCCGACGTAACCGCGTGGTGGGAACACAGCTTCAATACACTCGCCCTTCGCACACAGGCAAACGAAGGAAATGCGGTTCTTCTCAAAATTACAGATGAAAAAGGCGCAATCGCCGCATTCGCGAAATGGAAGCGACCTGTGACCGCAGATCGTGATCAGGAACACGAAGAATCGGTGGAATGGGCGCCTAGTAGCGATAAGGATCTCTGCGAGCGATTCTTCTCCAGCATGGATGGGCAACATCACAAGTGGATGGAAGACAGGCCTCATTATTGTGGGTTGACGCCCACGACACCTTCCTTGGCCTGGACATTTGGCACTCGCTGTCAGGCTCCTGGTCATCGCACAAATAACTGACTTAATGCAGATTTGGATATGCTGGGTGTTCATCCCTCTCAACAAGGTCGAGGGCTGGCATCAAAACTTCTCAAATGGGGTCTCTGTCGCGCTGATGCAGAGGGTGTGGAGACATACCTGTCCGCATCACCAGAGGGAAAACCCATGTATGAAAAGTACGGATTCCGCTCAGTCGAGTCATTCTCGCCATTCGCTGGCTATATACAAGAAGCGATGATACGTCCAACGAATAATCAATGAATATGGAAACGCTTGAAACGGTTCGGTTTTGGACTTGATGCACTATTCTTGTCGCAAGTGTTGTCGCGCAGCCTTCGAAATCTTCAAGGTTGGCTTCTGCAGCCCAGAAAACCAATCATACGGATGGCGTGCGTGTCCAATTTTACATAGAGCTTCGCCTGGAACTTGATGTTTTTGATGACCGGGGGTGTAAAGATCGAATTAGAAGCTTGGAATGTGTCCTAGCAGTGCTATGCATCGAGCCCATCCAATGATGACCATACCCCACAGTGATGTTCAGCTAGAAGCTCCTGATCTCATACAGAACCATGGAAACAAATCCACGGGAAATGAATAGCGAGAGCCAGTTTAGCTCGGACACATTCATCCGCCGGTGAAGTCATCGTAGTACGTGCTTATAAATGCCAGGGATCCCCACCAAGACGGAGCTGCGGGGTTGAACCAAATAAGAGACGACCTCAAGAACTGAGGGAGGTTTTCATTTGGACTTCACTATTCGCATCTAACCGTCTCTGAAGGTTCTATCTTCATTGCTCTCGCGAACCTTCCTTTCCAACCAGGAAATACGCGTGACGTCACACATCGCACCATCCAACGTCGGAACCCAACATCAACATGAGCAAGATATTCATGTACGTTAGGTTATATCTGTCATTTCTAGCCTGATCTAACCTTACTCCAGCACTGGTGCGACTGGGTACATTGGCGGCGACTCCCTCGCCGCATTGTTTGCCAAGTACCCTGAATTCTCCTACTCGGCTCTTATCCGCAGTGCGGAAAAAGCCGATCAAGTCAAGGCCCAGTATCCCTCTGTTCGCACAGTTATCGGAGATCTCGACGATTCAAGCTTGCTGGAGAGAGAAAGTGCGGCAGCAGATATTGTGTTGCGTACGCTTCATCCCCCATGATAAATGGATGACCACATCCCTCGATACCTGATTCTAACCCCGTGACATCAGATACCGCCGATGCTTCCGATCATGTAGGAGCGGCCAAAGCAATCATTGCTGGTTTAGTCTCTGGTCACAGCAAGGAAAAGCCCGGCTTCTTGCTTCACACGGGCGGAACTGGCATCCTCACATGGGAAGACAGCGACAAGAATGAATTCGGAAACAAGAGCGAGCACATTTACAATGATTGGGAGGGAGTGGACGAGTTGCTGAATCTGCCCGACCACGCTTTCCATCGGAATGTCGACCAGCTAATATTGGAGGCTGGGACCAAGCATGCCGATGTGCTTAAGACAGCACTGGTTTGCCCGCCAACAATCTACGGTACGTATCCGGTCCCTTCATCCCTCTCAATACAACCATGTACTTACACCCTAGCAGGTCAAGGCCGGGGACCCGTTTCTCAGCGCGGACGACAGGTCTACGAACTCGCAAACGTAACAATTCGTCTAAAGAAGGGACCAATCATTGGCGCCGGTCGGTCAATTTGGAACAACGTGCACGTACACGACCTTAGTGACATGTATGTGCTACTCGTGGAAGCTTCAATCGCTGGCCGAACTGATCCTGGGCTTTGGGGGGCGGATGCTTACTACCTTACCGAGAATGGGGAGCATTACTGGGGCGAGCTGGCTGCCGCTACCGCAGAGGCGGCTGCAAAGTTGGGATATATTCCAGAGGCCAAGGCCGAGTCAATTGATTTGGAAAGCGCCAAAAAGTATGCAGGGTTTGAATCTCTGAGCTGGGGTATGAACTCTCGTGGCCAGGCGCGACGAGCACGCCACGTCCTAGGATGGAAGCCCTCACGACCAAGTATCGAAGAAGAGCTTCCCGCGATTCTTCGATCGGAATGGCAGCGTGTTCAAGATTCTACCTGAAGCAAGTCGTATAGCTAAACAGTCAAAATCAACTTCTTGTCCAAGAAAACTTTTCTGCTTTGAGAAAAATATTTCCAAGGTTTGTATTGGCGGTCCGTAAGGGCGTGCTTTTGTGGTGTGGGCTGATGGTAAGGTCGCTCCCGAGTTTGGTCTTATATCCAGCACGACCTTGGCCCTCTCAAAGATGAAGAAACTGGAGAGACGATACCAGGTATTCGTAATGGTCTGTTGGACAGTGTGATTGAAAACTCGGCTGGATACTGAATGCCAAACGAATAAATTTGAGACACAGTTACGAAAGCTCAGTAAATTATTTGGTCACACATGTGTGGCACAGGTTCCTGGGTCAAGATTTCACAAAAAATATGCAGATGTTTTGCGTGAGTTATTATAGTGAGTGATGTTCACTAATCTATTTATGAATTGTCCGCTCTCTTTGATAAACAAGAAGAGACATGCCCAATGTGTCGAATCTAGTGGGCAAACCTGAAGTCCAATCTCTTGTTTCCCTCATCCTTGGTTGTCGCCAAGTAGTGATCTTTCTGCTCAGAACTCATGTTATCCCATGTCTCTTCGCGCTGCTTGTTTCTCCGGATATAGTAGCCCTTGATAAAGATGGTCATAACGACGTTCCACGCAACAAGGGCAAGAAGAATCTTGTTACCCCTTCGGTAGTAGGGCTTGTCGTCCGCTCGGTAGATCTGTCATTCGCCAATCATCAGTCAAAGATTCCCTGCGTGCAATGCCGGCCTCGGAGATGATACTCACGTTGGAAGCAATGATGGAACCTGCTTGGCAGATCATGTTGTATACTGCGCTGCCCACGGTGCGTGTGCGGACTGAGCCTGCATTTCGAGAAATTAAACTGACTAAAAGAAGAGTGATGTCAGAAATGAAAAAGCAGAATCAAGATGCCGACAGTACTAACCGTTGATAGAGTGGATGTAGGGGAAACCAATAATCAGTACAGTGAGAGCGTACCAGCTCCATGCACTTGCACCAGATGGAAGAAGCTCCAGTGCCAGCAAGAGGGGGAAGCACCACAAGGAGTAAAACAACACGATTGCCATGCGGTTGTTGATTTTTTCAGATACCCAGGACCAGAATACCAGTTGGATTAAAAATAGCACATATCCGGGGATGGTCAGAAGGTTGACTTGGAAGGTATCGAATCCGAGAGATTTCAAGAAAAGCGTTAAATACGCTGTTGGGGGGTTGGTCGGAATGAGCATGGTCCAGCTGATCACGTACATCGGCCAAAGGTCGTAGTCCATGAGAGCGTCCCAGAGAAGCTTCAAGGTTAAGCCCTGGCGATTGTGCATGCCACCCTAAGATTTGTTAGTACTTTGTTGCTCGCGATAGTTGATGAGCGATATCTCTCTCACCTTCGCCGGGTCGTCACGTAAGACTCGGTTGACCATAATGACTTCCTCCCTCTCCGTAAACCACCCATCCTTGCCCCGGAACCAACTTTTGGTTTCAGTGGGACTCGGGGGAAGGTAAAACCAGGATATGACACCAATGAAGAAGGTCAAAGCACCCTCGAGAACGAAAAGCCACCTCCAGCCTGCCCAGCCACCCACTGTTCGCATATGAAGAATACCGAAAGCCAAGAATGCCGCCACAATCGCAGTGCCGTTCGACGCGCAATAGAAGAAAGCGACGCGCATTGGCAGCTCAGCATTCGTGTAGAAGTATGACAGGTAAAGAAGGGCATCGGGAATGAAACCACCTTCCACCAACCCTAGGAGCGCTCTTGTGGCGTAGAAGCTCTTCTCGCCAGTAACAAAGCCCTGGCAGATACCAATAACACTCCACAAAACCATCTGTATAGGAATCCACCTATCGGGTCCAAGCTTCTTCGACACCATCTGCGATGGCACCTCGGCGCACAAGAAACAAAGATAGAAGATTGTCATACCATAGTTGTACTGGTTGGTAGACAAGGCGAGGTCATCAAGCATACCATCTGATAGAGCTTGCGAAATATTTCCACGATCCAACTGGAGAGCGAAAAACATCAAGCACACCCAAGAGCAAATTCGGTAGTCTAGCTATTTCAAGGTCAGATCCAGGTGGGTCGAGCATGAGTTGAAGTTCTTACCCTTCTGACAAGCACCTTCTCTTCCTTCTCAGTCCATTCCGCCGTTGGATCATATCGATGCTTTCCTTCATACTCTGGAATTGGAGCATACAATTCAATTGAGCCACCGCCAGCTAGCACTCCACCCGAGCCACTGATTTTCTGGTTCTTGAGCGACGGTTCCTGGATAGAGACAGTTGCCTCCTTGGGCTCTATCGATGGCGAACTTTTCTCCGACATCTTGGAGCTCGCTTCTTTCCTGGATAACTTCAATTGTGCATCCCCTTCTGCTCTTATATTCTTCTCATTCTTACACGGCGTGCCTGACGCCTAGAATTGCGCAATGGGGCCAGCCAGTATGAAAGCAAGATGATCAGCCATGTGGCAAGCCATGCCGCGGAGAAACAAGTATAGAAAGCCATTGCTTGGCATCCGGCAAAGCCCTATTCACTCCGTATCTGTCGCGCAGATTTTCGTACTTTGTGCACAGTAGATGGCTGAACAAGGGTTCGCCTATACTTCAACAATTCACTACCACAAACACATCTGGATCGTACAAGAGGCAAATTGAGGAACATAGTAGATCTGATAGAAATCAGAATTCCCGTGGACAGAGGTCAAGGCGAGAGTTTTTCCATAGCCAAGCGTCAACCTCAGTCTTGGTGTGTATGTTGCCATCTGTCGTGGGATGACGCCACTTGTTTCGATTTCTTAACCTAGACAAGACTTTCGACTTTGGGCTTGATCTAACCCACAGGGCTTTGGATACTGAACATGGAGAATGGTCCGTGATTTCTGCAATCTAAACAGTTTCCAGCAAATCGTTGAGTTAGAATAAACCTTGAGATCAGTTTTCGCTGCCCAAAAAAACCGAAATCACCAAGCCGATAACAATGTCTTTCAAGGTCACTTTGACTTGTCAATCGATTCATGACTCAATAATACGGTGACTAAATGCTGGCGACCTGGTTTCTCATCCTCTAGCCATTCCAATTTCAATCAAATACTTTTTTACTTTAGAGCTGTTTGGAAACCCTGGAAAACGTTCAGTGTGGAGACTAAGCTCGGGTAAATTGAATCAACTAATCAGATTTCATAATCTCTTGAGAACCCCTCGAAATATTGACAATTGCAGATCGTGGTTACTTGCGAATCGAATTGTGAAAGAATAATACACCAAAGAATCCACTGGTCGAACATTTTGGGGTTTGAGGTGTTCAACTGATGCCTCATATTTCAGGCCACATTGTGGCTGACTGGCTTGTTCACTGCCCCTCCCTTTCCAATGTTTGTGATCCTTTCGTTCTTTTTCGTCTCGCAAGACGTATGCAGCATAGATACATCCATGGATTGACTGGCCGCCTTTATCACTCTATCAAGATGGATGTTGAGTTTGATCTCAAAACCAGTGCACCCATGCTCACTGAGGGTCCTGATTCCCGCAAACGATGGTCGGGAGTTTGATCAAGAATAAAGACACCATGCAAAGCTCCGACATTCGGGATTTCTTTGGCACACCCCTCTATAGCCATTGCCTAGACTATGGCGAGGAAAGACTTGGATGAGCTTTCAGTTCAATCTCCCAACGCCACCTTGCCTCAGCACTGAAGCCAGTGACTGAAACTCGGACGGTCGGTCAGGGCCATTAGAATTCCGACCACCGCGCAATCACCCGACGAATGATCACAAACTGGCTCTGAAAGCAAAACTCATATCCAGACGAATCATCAGGCATACTAAAACAGCATAAATCTGGCCCGAACCCCGCCTGATGAGATGTTTCGGCGTGGAATTGCACCGACTCTTGGCACGCCGATTTCCCAATTGAGCGGCTGCAAGTTGCATTCTCACTCAGCCCGGAGCTATCGCGGGGACCCTGGGCCTTGTTTTGGCCCGTGTACAACTTGGCTGTTCGATCGGGATTTTGAAAAACATCCCTCATGGCGGACGAAGACTTTCCATTTTATAGACGAGGGCGATATGAATACGAAGACAGCCTGGGAAGGTCGTCATATGACGTGAAGCGAAATGTGAAAAACAAAAAGAAGAGTGATGACGAAAAGTTTGCTCTGGGACGACGTGGAATATTGGTCTTTTTCACTCTTTCGGTCTTGACTTTGATGGCTGCGTTAGATGGAACATCACTGTCGGTGGCCCTGCCGGTAAGTCATACAAAAGCCATCTGTAAAAATTTTTTCTCCTTTTCTCATTTGACTTTTCTCGTGGCATATAGGATATCGCTCTTGAACTCAAAGGAACCGCCATCGAGGCATTCTGGAGCGGGACTTCATTCTTGCTGTGCTCAACAGGTGAGCTTGTCGGAAATCACAACCTTCGAAAACTCCATGTAGCTAATTCCAGGAAAAGTGTTCCAACCCAGCTTCGCGTCATTCTCCAACATCTTCGGCCGTCGATCCATGATCCTGATCTCTCTTGTATTCTTCGCTGTCGGTGCTGTGATATGTGCCATTGCAAATGATTTCACATATATGTTGATCGGCCGGTCAATCCAAGGTGTGGGTGGAGGCGGCATTATCTCACTCAGTGAGGTTATCATGACCGATCTGGTCCCTCTTCGGTGGCGGGGACAATACTTCGGCATTCTCAGCGCGATGTGGAGTGCTGGATCTGTGACGGGACCTATCCTTGGAGGTGGGTTCTCTGAGAAGGTGTCATGGGTAAGTGGAGTGCTTACATCCTACAAATTTGTCTGCTAAATTAAAGCAGAGGTGGATTTTCTACATCAATTTCCCTTTCATTGGCGTTGGCGGGATACTGGTCATTCTATTCCTCAACCTCAAACTAGCACCCAGCTCGTTGATGGAAAAACTCGGTCGAATTGATTACGTCGGAACCATCATCTTTGTTGGAAGCATGTCATCCTTCCTGATTCCACTCAGCTGGGGTGGTGTCTCCTACGACTGGGACTCGTGGAGGACCTTGGTCCCTCTTATTGTTGGGGCAGTTGGTCTGCTTACCTTCGCGTACTATGAGTACCGCTTCGCGTCCGACCCTATTATCCCTCCGGTGATATTCCAAAACAGGACAGCGACAGCCTCCTTCATTGGGAGTGTCTTACAGGGCTTGATCTTGTGGTGTGCTTTGTATTATCTTCCCCTCTATTATGAGGCAGTGAAGGAGTATAGCCCCATCATCTCCGGCATCGCACTGTTCCCCGAGACGTTCACCGTCGCACCAAGTGGGTTGGTAGTCGGCATTCTCATCACAATCACAGGACGCTACCAATGGGCAGTGTGGCTTGGATGGGTCCTTTCAACAATCGGAATCGGTCTCATGTGCCTCATCAAAGCTGACACCAGTATCTTGGGATGGGTTCTTCTGAACATCGTGCCTGGTCTCGGACTAGGTATCCTGTTTCCTGCTCTTGGCTATGCCGTGCAGGCCTCTTCAGAGCCTGAAAATTTGGCGATCGCAGTCGCCATGTTCAGTTTCTTCCGCGCTCTGGGCCAAGCCATCGGAGTCGCTGTTGGCGGCGTTGTCTTCCAGAACCGCATGTTCCACAATATCATGCGATATCCTGAGTTGGCCCCTATGGCCAACGCCTACAGCAAAGATGCAGCTGGTTTGGTTCAAGTTATCAAGACCATGGCTGATGGCGCCAATAAGTCAAATCTGAAAGATGCTTACACGGACAGTCTACGCACAGTTTGGATAGTCTGCTGTGGTGTCTCAGGAGTGGCAATGCTGATCAGCCTCCTGACTGAGCATTACGATCTGGACCGTGCCTTAGAAACCAACCAGGGCCTTCAAGGAGACGATGATTCGATCGATGACGAAAAAGGCTGGAACATGCGCACAGAACACACAGTTGTCAGGGAGACTCGGCCTTATGCTTGGTAGGTTCCCGTTGCAGATCAACAGTACGGTGCTATGTTGTACAAAGTTATGACATTTATTCATAATGATAATCAAATTATTTGTTCATGCTTGATCCCTGAATGAACAAGACCCTTGTCTCAGAATCCCATGCCTCGGATCAGAGTTTTGATTCCCTCGCCACGCTTTGTAGTTTCCCAGGCTTGGGTGACCTCCTCAAAGGCAAACACTTTGGTAATGAGCGGCTTCAGTTCGATCCTGCCGAATATGGCCAACTGCAGCGCGAGTTTGAAATCCCCAGGGCCATATCGATAGCACCCTTTAATAGTAATTTCGTTCTCCGAGACCGTTGAGATGGGAAAGTTGACATTGCGGTTTCCGAGCCCAGTTTGCACAAACGAGCCCCCAAGGCGAAGCGAATGAACAGCTGTCTGGATGCAAGACTCAGCCCCAGTAGCCTCAATCGCAACATCAAACCCTGAGATCCCAGGATCTTCATTGGGGTCGAGGCTTCCAAGCCAATTCTTCATAGCAGTCGCATTGTCCTCGGCGCTCAACTCCCGATCTGGAATAGCAGTCGCAAACAAGAAACGATCTCGCTCCATCCACTTTTGTGCAAAACTCAACTTCTCATCGCTGAGATCAACTGATACAACAACAGTGGCCCCAAACTCGCGCACAAGAGCCGCGCAAAAGAGCCCCACCGTCCCAGCTCCAAACACAATGACCCTGTCGCCGGGCTTGACACCGACCTGTCTGACAGAATGGACCGCAACAGCCATCGGCTCAATGAGTACTGCTTCATCGAGTCCAATCCGAAGATCTGATCTATTATACGGACCGCCCAATGCCGTGCTTTCCCCCATCGTACTAGAGATCTTGAAACAGCAATCAGCTGGAACTTTGAAAAATTTTGACAAGGTGCCGTGCGTATGAGGTGGGTTGGCGGCAAATTTCATCCTTGGACACAGGTTGTAATGACCGTTTTTGCAATTCACACAGATTCGACAGGCGAAGCCGGGCTCGATAGCAATCTCATCGCCAGGCTTCAAGGTTGAAACTCCAGATCCGACGGCGTGGACTATTCCTGACGCTTCGTGGCCCATCACTATGGGGGTTTGCTCCGAGACGTGGTGCTTGACGCCACCATGGAGCCAGAAATGGACCTGACTTTTGTTAGAAGGTTATCGAGAGAGGTTGTTGTTTTGCAAGGGGTTGTATACATCGCTGCCACAGACGCCTACGTAGGCGATGCGGATAATAACATCAAGGGGATCTTCAATCACTGGCATAGGGCGATTTTCGTATCTCGCATCACCGCCGCCATAGAGTAAGCAAGAGGGATTCTCTCCAAGGCTTTCCATGCTGAAGGGTTGATGGTAGTAAGAGTGTGGGAGTTGTGAGGAGGTGAAAGTCGTTGAAAACCGTGAGCAGTAGTTTACCCTACTTTATACAAGACCACTTGTCGCTTGCTCCTGCAACGGGACGTCGTCGGGTGGTCGGGAAAGGAATATCGGGTGACAAACGACCGACATGGGGGATCATCACAATTCGCCTTGTATACATGTAACTTTACTGCGGTGTATAATTGCTACTTCGGGTCAAATTGTGGTTAGCCCCCGCGCACCTGCGATGCTGCGGGAGCTATACGAGACAATTTACATTGCTGCAGGTAACCGAAAAACAGAGTAAACATTAGTGACAGTGGGGTAGGATGTATTTTTCCTAGTCGACCAGGGTAAACATAAAGCATAACAGAAACAGATCGTGACATCGTAAGGGGGAACATAAATAGCACAAAAAAGGTCGGATCAACGCAGTGCACGCAAGCGATCTTTAAGGAAATCCATATCTCGGTCATGATCCGTCCCACGCTTTTCTAAGCCGCGAGCATGATCCTGAACCATAACGGACTGATAGTGACCATCTCCATCCGGCGCGCCCACAGTCACCCAAACAAACTTGGTTCCGGGTGACTTTGGCTGCGGGCGCTCTTGTGTTCCTTGCCAGAAGGCTTCATCGGGCATTGAATCCGCTGAAGGCTCGACTGTGGGTGGGCGACCACCCAATCGTCCGAACTTGATCCAGACTCTGAGAGTATCTTTAATGAAAGCGATCTTCTGAATGAAGGCATTTGCGTCAAGGATGTCACGAATGCGGTCCTCTGTAGAATTGACAGAGTCCCCGTTCGCGATACTGAGGAAGGTAGCAGCCTCGTCAGAAGCAACAGTGCGAGTGTCGAAGCCAGCAGGGTGCATCTTGCCTTTAGTGGCAAAGTACCGAGCAGCTGAAGGAGACAAGTGGTAGAAGTCAATCCACGGGGAAGAGCTACGAGTCCGCCCGGGCGAAATCACTAGCTTGGTGTGGTCGGGGAAGTTGAACTGGAAGGCTCCGTCGCCGAACCCCCATATGCCCACATTTCCCAGACGCTGGTAGAACTTGATGAACTGAGCGCTGTTATGCTGTGGCAGATCTGCGTCCATGATCCCTTCGTCGCCATGACGGCCAAGAGCTCCGATCATGTATTTACCAAACTGGTCGACCAGCTTCATGCGCTTGATTTTCTCAGCATCAGCTCTTTCTGACTCGGTACCACCGCTGGATCGAACTCGCATCGCCCGTGAGGTCTTGACATCGAAGAGCATCGGCGAGATGAATGATCGTCGGATGCCACGGCATCCCAACAGATCATCGTCCCGATTTTCAAAAAACTCAACCGAGGGGCCGGTACGAGGGACGAGTTGATCTGCCTCGGAATAATATATTGGTTTTTGATCGCTCTTTTCATCGGCAACACTGCGTGCCTTGCGACGGATGTGGCGTTCACCATCCCGTACCACCACGCTTGTTGCGGGCTGGCCATTTTCACCCTTGAAGACACAGCCCACGCTGCCATCATCCAGCACATACCCAATACCATAGCGATTGGTATAATCGACCCACTTGATGACATATGCGTGAGGCTGTTTTCGTGCGCCGCCTCTTCGCCGGCTCGGTGCATGGTTGACCAAATTAGACAACATAAGCCGCAAGTCGGTATTGACTTCGGTCAACGAAGTTCTGGGAAGTAGTTCGCAAAGATCTTCACTGTGGAAGAGCGGGCTGACCCCGAGGGAAGAACGCGCGCGGCCAGCAGTCTTGCTGTTGGATCGGCTGATGCCATTGGAGTTGGACCTGCCTAAACCATTGGACTCTGACGAAGACTTGGATGGAGCCAATGATTCTATAGGGCTCTCTCTTTGTTTTTCAACTGGGGTTATGATGGGTTTCACGTCCGCTCGAGATGAGGACCGGAGGGATGTTTGGCGCGTGGTTGTGGGCCTGCGCTCGTCTGGTCTTGTGTAGGGCTGCCGGTCTCTGGTTGAGATGGGTGGCTGTGGCATCTCCAGGTCAGCGGCTGCCAATCTCCGAGACTGAGAGCGAGTTTTGCCCACAGTCAGGCCATTCGGCATGCTTGTTGACTTTGCTAACTGGGGGACAATCTCCTTCTCCTTGCTGCGCAGAGTGGTTGCTTGAGATGCAGATGCCATCCGTCGTGTTCGAATAGGTCGCTCTGCTAACCCTCCTGTAGTCGGTACGTCTCTGTCTGTGGTAGGTTTCACCTCAGGTGGTGGCACATCACGGTAGGGTCGTGACGATGCAGGAGGGTCACTGACCCCAGGTGCCCTTCGTGGAGACATAGGTGGTACACGAGCCTGCTGTCGAAGCGTTGCGGCGTGACTCTGTCCTTCCATTCGACGTTGTTGGGCAGCAGCAAGTGCGGCATTCGTGCGCAACGCAGCCACAGGGTTGGGACGGCCCGAAGTACTCCGTGCAGACATTGTCGACATAGTGCTACTGTTCAGCATAGACTCCTCACTCTTTACTACCTTCCGGGATGTCTCCGTTAGGCACCAGTCACCGTCAAGATCATGGGGCCATCTGTAGACAAAGTCAGGAGCCAAGGGTATCACTGGACGTAGTCCCCTTGAATCCTCTACATCACACTCAGAAAATGCAGACTTTGAGCAATTCCTACCAACTGACTTGCGAGCGGTTCCATCAGGCTTTCGCCCTACACCACAGAGAGAGTAAAACGCAGCCCGGCAAGAGTGATAACGCTGACTCGGATCGTCCACCTGGTATACATAGGCTCGCAGCTTTTCGTCGGAATCCAGTCCGTAACCGCTTACCACAGCATCACCTCGAGGCGACGCATCCTTGAGCCAGATTGGCTTGTTGAATCGACATGCGGGGTCTAGTTGGCGAGGGATGCAGCCATCGTACATGTTGAAGAACGGATGCTCAACGATATCATCTGGATCTGGTCTTTCCTCGTCCACAAGGTTCAAGCACCGGGCAACCAGGTCCTTTGCCTCCTCGGGGATGAAGTTGTTTGTGTCCGATTCTTTGGGCCACACATAACTCAGATTCCGAACTTTTTTGTAAATCTCCTCTTGTGTTTTTGATTGGAATGGAGGGTATCCTGTGAGCATAGCAAAGCTAGAATAAAAGTTAATCTCCATATTGCAGGATTGTGATATCGCAGAGCACTTACCATATGACACCTAGAGACCAAATGTCGACCTTTTGTGTATGACCGCCCTTGCTCTTATCCAAGACCTCGGGGGCGATATAATTAGGAGTTCCGCACAGAGTGTTTCGTCGTTTGGCATCCTTATCGGACAGGATCATCGCAGCCAGACCGAAATCTCCGACCTTGACATTCATGTTGTGATCCAGAAACAAGTTTCCCATCTTCAAGTCTCGGTGGGCGACAAATCTCTTGTGAAGGTACTTGACAGCGGCGCATAGCTGAATCATCAATCGGCGAACCTCTGGCAGACTCAAGCAGCGGCGTTTTCGGACCATATCCATTACCGACCCATTCGGACATAGCTCCAAAACAACATATGTGCTCGACTCGAAGGCAAAGGCGCGGTAAAACTGGACAATAAAAGGGTGGCGCATTTTGGAGTGGATTTGAAGTTCGGTTCGAAACTGAAAACATCGTCAGGCGCACGCTATCAGCTGGTCTCCAGATTTGAAACATACCTTCTCCTCCATCTTCTTTTGAGGCATCTGAGACTTGACAACCTTCATAGCATAGATTCTTCCATTGCGTGCTAATGAGCCTTCATAGCATACAGCAAAGCCGCCTTTTCCCAAAAACCCACCGATCGCATATTGCTCCCCACCATCCTCTGGTTCCGTTACGACGGGCGGCGGTGGGTCGGCGTGGTTCTTGGAGACTGCGGCTTTCTGCTGGCCGCTTGGTGGCGCGGCATGCTTATCAAAAGGTTTACCGTCCATGGCCAGTTTCGGTTTGATCATCTGGTTTGTTGAACGCGGGGAGAGGGCCTCCATCCTTGGTTGATTTTGTGTCGCCGAATTAGGATGGAAGCGGTAATTCGAGTGCGCGCAGTGAAGGGGGTATCGAGCGTAAAGATCATTAAAAGCGACGACTTGGTGTTGTGCAGAAGGGTATCAAGTTTCCCCAAGTTTCATCCCTGCACCGATCATCAGAATTCGCTCGACCGCCGGCAAACCGAAGCAGGGTCCCGTTCAAAATGACACATGGGAAATAAAAGACACACTTACCAAAATGCAAGGCGCTAAAAAAGCAAAACTGTACAGAGCTCCGAAAGCAAACAGCACCTCAATTGAGGGTTGGGTGAAGATGGAGAATCGCAGACCACAACAGTTTGCTCGAAACGGTAATCGATAAACATTGCCGTTGGCCCGTGAGGTCACGTGCCCAACTGTTTACTTTTTGGACTATCGATTTTTTCAGGCCCATCGTCATTAGATATTATTGCTCTTCATTATTAGTTTGTGAATGCGTAGTACTGTTTACTGAGTCTCTGTGCTTCTGTACTACATTAAAATTCAATTGCAGTTGAAATTCGAGATGTGCTCATGTGCTCGAGAATATATCTGTTAGTTGTCGCTTGTGACCCACGCCCCGTTGCCTTAGCGTTGAAATTTATGCTCCATAACCTTGGAACAAATGCCTGGCGCTAGGCGTTGGGCGCTGGGACAAGTAAATAAACTATTTAGAAGTCTCCATAGTCCTCCGATTTCAATTTTCAACCATGAAAACACAATCAACCTCTACCCATGAAGTCAGGTAGGACTTGGATTTCAACAGGGCAGACTTTGGGACCTCGGGAGCCACCAACCTTGGAAGTTGCTGTATAGTCTTCCAAGGCTCCAATCATCTGGCCACTTCGCTCAGGAGTATTTCTGGCTTCTCAATATTCCTCCAGTTAGGAATCATGAAGCCCGTGGCCAGGTAAACACAAACCACCGTATACTCCATGATCAGACCCATAGTCACAAAAGGGGCGATTGGACCGCTTAGATCATTCCATCTCGGGTCAGATGGCTCGTACACAGACAGAAACAGGTACGAGATGCGAACAATGATAAACGGTGTAGCCAGGATTGTAGCATTGTGTACCTGAGAGAAAACATCAGTTTTGGGTGATGGGTAAACATCGGGATCATGGACAACAAACCGTTTTGCTGGTGGCCGAGAGATAAGACCGCTGAGTCCAAAAATATATTTGCACGGCGAGTAAACACACAACAAACACCACGACAATGATGTATCCGGTCTTGACAAGCTTTTGGCCAGTAAGTGCATCGCTGACTGTGTCGCTCCCTTCCAGAGCTCCACCTGCAACAGTAAGACCAATCCCGACGAGGAAAAGAATGCGAGCCGCAACTAAGCATTGTCGAATGTGCCGATTCATATTCTGCTCAAGAGCCATTCTGCAGGAAAATTAGGAACGCAATCCTCGATGAAGCTTTGGGGTTTTAGAGATCTGCCACTCACATAATTCGAAGCAAGCCCAAAGTTGCTGCTATCAAGGGGATCATGCCAGCATTTAGGAAAATAACTGAAGCGATTGTTACGCCAAGATTGGAAGATTTCTCTGCGATGATGACCAGCACACCCGCAGTAATACGGACTACAAATCATTGTGTTAGAGGTTCCACTTGCAAGATCATGGGCCTTTGATTCCGTTGCATCACTCACCAAGGGAGAAAAATGTCAGAACGATCCACGCCATGCGGGGTCGTTTGTGTCGACAAGATGCAAGGTAGAGTGCAAGTACCGTCACTGGTACGTAGAACACAATTTGTGCAACACTCAATTTTGAATGACTGCCAAACATCGTGAATTTTATCAAGGCTTTCGAGGTTCTCTAGTGTCGTAGTTGACTGTGCAGAGTACGGAGTACTTGTCGAGGAATGATGATTTGAGGACGGGGTTGAGATGTATTCTGTGCTTATGTAGAAACGGAACAAAAGACCAGGAGAGGAAGACTCATCAACCTTTTATAAGGCATTTCATTCCCTGGATCCTTTTCTTGCAATCCGGCTGTGCTGAATTTTTGTCTATAGATCCTCTCGCAAGATCAGCCCCCTTTTTGGTTTAGCGCCATGGAGCTATTGGGAGCCGGGCAATGGCGAGATTTGATTGGACATCCACCGCCCCACCTAAGCAGAGCCCCGGGGCCCCGAGGCTTGTGAGCAAACGCCACGACTCTGTAACAAATCTCTGACTCAAGGGGGAGAAAAGCACGATCAACCATTGCATCCTGACGCTGAGATTTCTGTGAATGTTTTGCATTGGTCAGTGCTGTGATATTCTCGCGCCACAAGATACTCGACCTGTGACATGGTGGGAGTAGCGGGTAAGTCGAAAGGCTGCAATACCTGCCGTAGGAGAAAGATCGCAGTGAGTGGCGCTAGATCTGTACCCACAACAGCGCTTGACTGATGGGGTATCTAGTGTGACCAACAAAGGCCAGCGTGTGCAAAATGCATACGCTCCAACCGAGAATGTGGCGGGTACCAGAAAGACACTGTCTTCGTCATGGTTCAACCAGCAGCCGAGAAAAAACATACTTATATCAGACCAAACTCCGTTTCTTCGTCCGGTACACCTGAAGAAATGGACGTGGAGCAGACTACTTCCAGTCCAGCCACTGTGGTGCAACAAAATGACTCCCCGCGTTCCTTTACCGAGACAAGCATTGCATACGGGGTGATTCATAGAAGCATGGAATCCCACAATCTCTTCCAAGCTTTTATCTCGAATTGCTTTCCAACCCATTTATCACCAACTTCTCACTCCTGGATTCCCTTACTCGGGAAGATACCCAGCAGAGTTGAAGCGTTGGAAACATCCACTGCAGCGATTGCGGCTTCGGCAATCGGTCATATGTTTCAAGACACTGCTCTGATAAAGCAAAGCCTTAATTATTACACCCGTGGCCTTAATCAACTTCAGAGGGCATTGCGGGATCCGAATCTTATGCGAGAAGACGGTACTCTTGCCGCATGCATGGCGTTGAGCCTTTACGAGGCACTTGAATGCCCGAATCTGGGATCCGAAGGCTACTTCAACCATTGCCATGGTCTGATTGCCCTGATTAAAGCGCGTGGCCACGAGGCGCATTCTTCGGGGGTGGGGCATCGATTGTTCCTTGGCGTTCGAGTCCCAGGGGTAGGTCTACCAGAAGCTCGGAGTTTGCAATTTTACTTACTATATGATTCTTAGATATTGTCTGCCTTGTACTGCCGCACATCGAGCATGTTCTTGGAGCCCAGTTGGATGGAAAACCCCTGGGAAGGGATACAAAAAACACACCGTGATCGGGTAACAGATTGCTTGGCCCAAGCCCCTGCGATCCTAGAGCAGGTAGGATCACTGATCCACATGAGTCCAGTACAACAATCGAGCCTGCTTCAAAAACTCATAAGTGAGTGTGGGCACATCGACGAACAGATTGACAACATCTATGAAGACATGCAACTATCAGCCGCAGGTGCTCTTTACTGGCCAGTGGAATCGCAGCTAGATTCTGTGGCTGGATTACAGGGCGCCACAACCCTTTTTCCTGTCATTTTTTGCTTTCAGAACATCCAAATCGCTGCTACATTGGTGCTGTTATGGGCAACGCGGACGATGCTTTGGGCGGGCCTCACCAACATGTATCAGCATCTGGAAGCAATTACACCCTGTGAGAGCTTCAGCCCAAGCCCCAGTTTGGAGGCGCTCAGTGGCTCAAATCCGGCTCTTCGTTGCAAAGATTACATATTGATGGCTCATCAAGTCTGCCAATCTGTGGAGTACTTTCTGAATGATGAAATGATGCTATCTGGAGCCTTATCTGTGAGCCCTGCACTTGGAATCGTGGCTGACAGTCTATGTAATCGACCGGGACATGCAGAGGAGATTGCATGGATCCAACGCGCCATGGGATTAGCTCGTCGGAAAGGAATGGGTGTGCTGGAACATGTCAAATTATGATCAAATGATCGGCGAGTCTGGAAAAGCTCTTTATTCGGGCACCGCATATCCTTGCTCTGCCCAGCCACGCAGGCCGCTCTCACGCAGTGAGCTTTGTTCCTCATGACTCGGCTGCGGTCCTGCTTTTCCACGTCGCAGACGAGACTCCGGAGTCTCCAACATAGGCAGATCTTCATCTATCCTTGCGGTGTCGAATTCGTATGTGCGGTACTCCGCATTGTCCCATCCGGTTGCTGCGGCATAATGTCAGTCCATCATCATTGCACCGAAAAGCACATTTCCCACCTTCATTTTTGCAGCAATCCTCCCAGTCGCCATTCAGGAAATGCATAAGCCCACCATGTGCGACAACCACGATCTCTTTCTCGGGCCTCGCCTTCAGCCAAAGTCTTGCCTCGCGAGCTCGGGCAGAGACTGCTTCTCTTCCAGGGTGGTATCGCCCAGTCTGCTGTTCGATGGTTAGACCCAACTAGCCACTTCCAGGGGCCTGAGGCTTGCCTTCTGATTCCAATTTTCAGGAATGAGATCAAAGTCGATTGAGACGCTGCCCTCTTCAAATTCTTTCCGCAGGTTTGCGACGTCACTGCCAATATCGCACGGGAAGTCACTAGCTTCCTGTAAATCCGCGTTTAGGATCAACTTGAGATCCTTTCGACCCTCAAACACCGGGGCGAAGGCTTCCAAAGCTGTGTATATTGTTCTCCGGAGTGGCGATGCGACGATCAGTTCGACGTTGGCATGGTCGAGGAACTCATCGCGGAGCTTTGCGCACTGTGCTTTTCCCTTGTCTGTGATTTGAGGGTCCCTGACATACCAGAACTCGTGGCTCAGGTTATGCACGCCCTGTATATAGGTGTGAGTTTTGCGACGAGATGATGCGCGTCTTTTCGTAAACATACCTCAGCGTGCCGTACAAGGTGAATCTTTGGTGGCATCTTGGGAGCTTGGAGTGACAAGTAGTTGAATAAATGAAGACGGGGTGATATGCGGTGGATTTATTTGTCGGCTCTAGACCCGATTTCTGGACTTTAACCAGATTGATAGTAGTGGATTGACACTTGAAGGGCTCCACTCGGGGTGTTGAGCGCAAATCATCAGCTGATGTCGCATTGTTGCGACGATTTGAACCTATCTGAGATAGCCGTTGAAACTGAATGATCAGAAATGAAATCAATGCATACGTTTCCCAAATTGACTACATATCTAAATGCTTTCTTCCAGATTTTGTAGTAAAAGTCATCGGAGACAACGCCACACTCTAAACCTCCACGTCTTGGCTTCCTTTTTGGGTTAAGCCTCGACCGAAAAATAAAATGAAAACAAATGAGATTTTGGCATGGCATGGAATTGTATTCCAAGTCATGGCTGTGTGATCTTGAATTAAGTAACTTTAGCTCGATATTATCTGATTGCGCCCCTCGCTTGGGGCTGAAATGAAGAAACCCCAGCTCGGCCACGAAAGATCCAATGGAGTAAGAAAAAAATCGTCAGCGCCGGAAGCTGACCCGATCCCGTTTAGCATGCGATGAAACGCTGGAAGTTGTCAAAAATGTATCGCTTAGCCTGCTAATGATCTGCAGGGTGAGACGTATGGACTTTGCCTTTCCATCACCAACTTGTGAGCCCCCGCGCGCGGTCAAACCCACCCCTCAATTGGTTCTCGGGGTGTACAACCTTGCCCTGCAGCACAGTGTACTTGACAATACCCTCACAATGCTCGGGTTTGACACGAGCTAACCAAATCATCTGCTGATCTTGTTTGCGATAAATCAAAACATTTGCTGAGAACTTGTGTCCGCCGACATGCGATACAAAGAAAATGCCCACTCCACCGGTTCGCGAGTCATCTGGGTCCCGATCGAGCCCCAGCGGACGGAGATGCCTCTCAAGCTCGCGCTTAATAAGTGGGGCCGTGATTCCACAACGGGCGTCTCGTCGTCGATGTGAGCAGAGTAGAATGACGTAGTCCAACTCGCAGGGCCGAGTGCGCATCGAGACCGCAGGGGAGGCAGTGATATTAACCTTGTCTTCATCGGCGGGATGATCTATGTAGTGAGTGATCAAGCTTTGAACATCTGCCTGTCTGACTGAGTCGACGTATGTGAAGGATGGCAAGATGAGCACTGTGGTAGCTTCGGGACTTTTTTCAATGAGTGAGTCGCCGGGAGGGTTCATGTTTGAGGCTGAAACCATGATGCGCTAGATGAATGTCAGCTATGATGCAAAGATCTTTCGTTATGATCGACTTACACCGAGCTCCGACGTTGCTGAGTCGAATGCTTCCATCAAGCTTCCCGACTCTTTTTCGACCTTCTCTTTCCAGTCTGATTGTCCGGTCGCAACGAGCACGTGAGAGTGAAATTCTTTGATTTGGCCATAGAGTGGGCGTGAGGTCTCGACCTTGACCTTCGATGGAAAGTGAATGGTGCAGTCGGCGCAATCCTTCGAGCAGTCCGGACCATCCTCGGTGGGGCTCACCTGGGGAAAGATGTACTCGTTGGCGCTAGAGCGGCCCAAGGAGAGCAACGAGCGCAGCATGGTTGACGATGAGATACCAAAAAAGTGGTAAGTCTTTGTGTTGCGCAAGAAAGATTAAGTAGAGCTTGGAAGAGAATGGAGCTTGTGGTTGCCTGATATAGTTGTCCCGTATCTCCGAGATGTCCGGGATCAGACAAGGCCGACCCCCGATCTGATGTCTTTATCTCCGAGACTTACTCTTTTTTTTAAAATTAAAATTAACTCGATGCTATTGGTGGGTTTTTAAACGAGTGCTATTGAACCTTCAGGCCTACCTAGCTTCTCAACGCTCCGTGGTGATTAGATGCTGTAGACTGGCCATGACCTGATAATATGTGGTTATATCAGCTCAAGCACACACCTGGGCACCAAACCCCCGAGACCGATGCACCGCTATGTAAGCACTTTGAGATGTGGATGAGGTATGTATATGTCTAAGCTGTTTCTCAAAATCAACATGTCAATTTTTGAAATGCGAGTGCTTATAGAGTTCCGTTCTTCAAAGTTACCTATAATAGCAACCCGACTTGATGACTGTGAGAAATTTGTTTATGGTCTGAAAATGTTAACTGTATCTTTCATTTACCAAGACGAGAGTCATAGACCATTGTAGGATTAACTGAAAGTCAAGACACCCGTGGACGTTGATGGCGGAGTAGAAATCTTGTTGTCTATATTTTCTTTCTAGACAAAATACCAACATTGCCATGGGTACTTGTTTTACATTTGAACACTACTTTAAAAACCTTGGACCTGCTAAACTAACATTTTAACATGGCCTCCTGTGGGATATCTCAAGACCAAGCTTCTCAAAACAATGTTCCTGGGCTTTGATCAGGGCTTTCATGTCATGGTAATCCTCGTTCCAACATCCCACAATTACATTACCTCCAACTAGATCATCGGTGGGAGGGAAGTCCTTGGTACTGAAACGCCTTTTGACCAGAGCCGCATAGCCCAACACATCTTTGAATGTCCATAGCTCTCTCCTTGAGGATCTATAAGGGTCGTAACCCGTCATGATGGCATAAAAGGTGGTTCCTAGAGCAAAAATATCCATTGCTGGTGTGAAGGCCGTCATGTCCACAAAGTCGAAAGGATCGTTTTTGGGGTTGGCAAAGCCCGCACTTGGAGAGCTCACACCTCTTCGGCCATCAATTGTTGAACCACCAAAATCGCAGATCAGAAGATCGAGAGTTTGCTCCGAATTGCCGTGGAGTAAGAAGTTGTCGGGCCGAATATCGCAGTGGAGTATACCATTTTGGTGGAGATACTCGACCGCCTCCGCTGCCTGGGATCGCCATTTTAAGCGCAATAACAATTCGATCTTATTGTCGGTTGATTTGATGTAGTCCCACAGTGATCCATGACTAGCTTCTTCGAACAAAAGCCCTCTGGGATCTTCAGAGGGGCCAAGATAACCATCGGACTTAGAGCCAGAAGGAGAAGCCGTTGAGCATCAGGATAAAAAGACGTACCGAATTATCCTGGGATGAACGCCTAGTCGGTTCAAAATCTCCTCTTCCCTCTCGAAAACCTCTTTAGCATATCCAGGTCCACCGTAGACCTCCATATCCTTTGGGTCACCACCCCACCACTTTTGACGTGGAACTTTGACAATAATGCCAGACTTGACTCTGTGGACCGAGCTGCTTGCTCCGCGACCAATGTCGAGGTCCATCATTTTTGAGCGATCCCATTCGTACAGGCCCGTGGCTCTAATTTGGATAACTTCTTTGCCGTCAAGCATTACCGACCCGTTGGGAAGTGTTTCCTTAGTCCTAGTCCTGTGAGCAAGTTTCCAGGCCTGGGATTGTGGATCGTGTACCTCTGGTTCCGTCTCTTCGCCCTCCTCCAGCTCTCTCCACTCTGGGGCCCGCTGTTGTTAGAACATCAGTTTTTTTACTATGCCCCAGAAACCAGAAGTGTTCAAAGCTCGAGCGAAGGCCAACATACTTCTGCAGGTGCTGCTGCCATATTGTGATGTGTGTAGGAGAAAAATAGAATGTCAAGAGTTGCCTGATTGCGAGATAAGTTAGCTGGCCGATATCTCAATAAGCACGACAATGAGTGAGAAAATGCTTCAAACAATGAACAGTGCGGGACTCCTACAGTAATTCAGAATCAAATTGCGTCTGGAAATTTTCATGTAACTTCCGGCAACATTGAAGGAGAATGAGATGTGGCAGTGAAATAGTCAAAAGTAGAAAAGCCATCGCTGTATCACTTGACCCCTCATTAACCCCTGCAACTTAAGAAAGGCACATGGAACCAACAAAAGACCAACCAACTGCCGCCCCGACGTACGGTGTACTCCGTATGGGTTCCAGCATTCCTGAACTGCATTGACGCCCCGCTTAGGCCCCTTCGTGTTGGGTTGGTTCTCACATCGAGGCTGATTGGTTGGCATGCGCTCTTTGCTTCTTTCTGGGGGATCATCTCAACATTATCCGGGTGTTGGTTGCCGCTTTCTCCTGCCTCATTAGTGTTTTGCAACACTACCACTCAGAGACAAGTCATCAACATTAGTGAGGCAAACGCTCTTATAACCAGTCATTTACTCCGTACTGTTGTAGATATTGGTGCTTTCGTTCTCTGTGGTACGTGTCCGGTGGGAGCTCTCCGCCATTGTTCTATGTATTTTCCCGTCGGCCTGGCACTGAATGAGCAAAGCTACCTCATTATAGAAAGAGGTGCCATGGAAAACACAGACCAGTCTGCTTAGAATTTTGCCTAGGTCTGAGTCAATTTAATGTACCTAGCCGCAAAAATTTGAGGGGGAGAAAATAAGATACATTATCGAACTATGTTCGATGACTTCCTTCGTATATGAAGGACCTTGCATGTAGGTACATCCGAATCTCCCTCTTTTTACCTAGGTACCGCCCCCAAAATCGCTTGTCATGTCCCTATTATGGAGCCGATAGGCCCTGTTGCTTCCAAGCCTCCCGTGAAGGTGGTCATTGCCAACGTAACACCAATTTTTGCGTCATCAAAACTCTGCGCTCATCTCACCAATGCCATACCAGCCACAAAGGTCATCGATATCCCCGATAAAAGAACCTATGTCAAGGTCGTTGCTAGGCAGATCACTAATACTCGACCCCCAAGTTTCCTCCAAAGATGGAGTACCACTGGATCCAGACGTACTGTCATTATTTCCAACATTGCCAAGACCGAGCACGCATTGCGCAATTGTCTGTATCTCGCGAACATTCCTCGCTGTTCTCGGCCATAACTCTCCTAGAACCTTGAGACATCCGATCGTCATTCGGATTTGATCTCTTGCGATGGCTAGATCCTTGCCTTTGAGGAGAGCGCAGCAGGCAGAAAGCAGCGCTAATGTCCCTTCACTCACCATACATGTAGTGAAGGGCGTGTGGTGAAATTGTCGAACTGGCAAGGCCAACAGTTGGATTTGAGCCTCTATTGCCCGCAACACACGGACTGTATGTACGTTTACCAAATCCGGTGTTGGTATATCGGAGGTCGGTTCGCGAGCGCAACTGGACGCTTTCTCAACGGCATTGAACTTGAGAGCTGATAGAGGTCGATGGAGGCCGATTGTCGATCTAATAGTGTCTAATGAGGGGAGGGCTGGGTCAATCAAGATTTTGAGCTTACACATGGATCAGCAAGTGAGCTTGGAACATAAGCTCGTCAACTTCGCCGGCCGCATTCATGACTTGCTTTCGATCTGAAGGAAGTAGAAGTCGCCAGCCGTCCAAGCTGGAATCAGCGGCTTGGATTATATATGTCGAGTCTTCTTTCGTAGCAACCGTTGGAATTGTGGATATCGCAGAAGCAGCACACTGCACGGCGCCAATCAGATAAGCAAAGGATGAGAAGTGGGTGTCCTTGGGACCGAATTCACGGCAATTGAACTCGTGTATTGTCTTGGGGACAGGTATGTTCTGTCACCATATTAGCTGTCTGATTGTATCATTTTCATCGGATTTTGAAAGAAATTCCAGCACTGACCCCTGACTCATAGTCCGACTCATCGCATGGCAGTTCCACCGTAGCGTCAATGTTAACAGCTCGGAAGTTCATCGTCCCCAGTGTGCCAGCATAATAAGTCTCCACAATATATAGCATCCACCAAGTTCTTCGCCAAGACTCCCTTAGAACAGGGTCATCAACATCATGTGTCGCTGCGAATTCGAGGCGGAACATTTGTAATTCAATGGCAAGCTTGTTTGCCATGTCCATCTGGAACTTGGCCTCATCTTTGTATTCATGCCAAAACAAAGCCATCGAATAAAGTAGTCGGCATGGAACTAGTATTGAATTTGAGTCATCTGCTTGTGTGATAAATGCCTCGAGTTGCTCCTTCAACAGAATCGACCATTCATGCTCCTTGTAGATATTGCCAAGTAGACGAAGGGCTGCAATCAGAGGTGCAAATTCCTGCTGTTTGTTTGGATCTTGACACAGCCTTTGCAAGTGAATTTTGGGTAGAACGAAGGGGTGACATATGTGAAATGTCTTATAGTAAGAGTCAACAAGTGGATCGGTCTCCACATTGATGGGATATGCGTTGCTCGCTACCAGCAAAGGCATTTCGCCATTACCGGCGGGTGCGATTAGATCTAGTACACTGTGCTGGTGATGAGGGTCAAGCTCAGGACAGAGACCCGCACCATTTGCAGGCTGCCAAGCCATTTCTTTTGCGGGACTTCTTTGGGCGACGAGGCGATTATTGCTCCCCATGGTCAAGCGCTGGCGACGTTCGGCCAAAGCTGCCCTGTCAAGACCACCGCGCCGCGACTGAGCATAGCGACATTCGTTATTTGTATCAGAGCAGCGATCACAGGAAGGTTTCTTGCCGTCGCATTTTAGGTGTCGTGAGCGGCAGGGCAAGCAAGCTAGTGATGAGCGCGTGGCTCGAAGGCCCTGAGATGAGCCCTTCGAATCCATGAGCTTCCGCGGGGTATGAATGAGACCAAAAGCCACATCGAATGTGTGAGTGAGATGAGCGGGAACATTCCGCCGATGACCCATCCCAGAGACAGGCGGCACACCGCCCGGCAAACCAAGAGTATACGCGCCTAACGTGATCCCATCTTTCTTCAAAGGGAACTGAAAATAAAATCTTGGAAATAATCTTGGCATTACCCAAGAGAAATAAACTATGTGGGATGGCTCAGAGGATTGCCTAGTATGGACGAAGATAGGGATCCAACTACACTGTCGACCTCCAGTATCAAGATCACGGATAACAACAATCAAGTGGAATTTCGAATTGTACTAGTGGTGAACTATAGAAGTGAAGGGTGGCGTCAGGGTCAATTGTTGGCCCATTTTAGGTTTGCTTTCCTTTCATCCACCACCTGGGCAACCGTCTCCAATTAGCCTGAGGCCCTTGAGCCTCATGTCTTCATTTTTTGAGCGACAATATCCTTATATTCTTCATCATACTGCACCAGAACAGCGGGTCCCTCTCGCTCCAGCGTCTCGGTGTCAATCACGAAGTTCACAAAAAATGACGCCGGCTCGTGTTTGCTCATGTTTGCGCTGATCCGATGATGACACCCCGGAGCTTCATACCACGATTCACCTTGTTTGATCACCTTCATCGGCTCGTTGTTCATCTTGTTCAACACAGAGCCCTTGATGACATAGGCAGAGACGTCAGCTCCTCCATGGCGATGAGGAGGCGTGGCGCCATCTGGAGGGTATTCGACGAGTAGGCCCACAATTGTCTTTCCGGGGGAGCTGGCCAGCTTGTATTGGTAAACGAGGGTGGTGGCCGCAAGAGGTCGGCTGGTAGTGAAGAAGATCAGTTCATGTGATGATCGCAAGGTCAATGCCAATCCACATACCTCGGGTCATATTTTGGCTCTTCCATGGCGGTATGGGTGTGACTGGTAGCTCCTTTAAATGCGCTCCAAATGATGAGTTTATCAATTTGTGGGCAATCGTCCCTTTTATAGACCCAAACGCCTTGCTGGCAGTGATTGATTGAAACTGACCACGATGACAAAAGATCAAACAGATTTGGTGACCCCTGAGCGGATACCCGATACCCGGCTCGTCAAACCCTGTCACTGTCAACTCCTGGCACTGGTCACAATCCGACGCTGCTGCATTGCGACATGCAGGCTTCGCGGGAATGTGGGTCCGGGTATCCGTGGAGGTGGGGACTAGCCGGATAGGCTACTCGGCGTGCATAAGCTTCTCATCGGGTTCCCGGTCCGTTCATCACTAGACGCCTGCGCGCGTTAATCAGAATTGGACAATGATATAAATGAGACTATGCTCTGAGGAGGTTGAGAAGTCTCAAACGGGATTAGCATTTCAACTGTGTTGAAACCAATCTACACTTGCTGTGATATCCGACAGACTGCACACAAACTCCGCTTCAAACATGCGTGCCATCCGCGTACATCCGGCTCCTTCGTCCTCCGACCCTTATTCACCCTCTAACCCGGCGCCAAGCTCTGCCTTACATCTAGAGGAGGGAATCACTACCCCCAAGCCATCAAAGCCTGGCGAGCTGCTCATTCGCCTCAAGGCCACCACAGTGGTCCGGGATATGCTGACATGGCCCGAGACTTATTCCCATGAATATGCTATAATTGGAAACGACTTCTCCGGTATCGTGACCGATATTTACGATGACAGCAGCAAGTTCAAACTCGGGGATGAGGTCTTCGGCATGACGGACGTGGATCGTGCAGCAGCCTGGGCAGAGTTCACAATTGCCACCGAGGAAGAAATCGCTCTCAAGCCAAAAGATCTAACCTGGGAGCAAGCTGCAGCGCTGCCGCTCAGTGCTCACACGGCATATGAGGCTCTCTTCGTCCACGCCGGTGTTGCGGTTCCATCTGTTGACGTTGCCTTGGAAAACAAAACTCGGCCACGCCCCTCCAACCAGAGAATTTTGATCACCGGTGCCGCCGGCGCCGTGGGGATACACCTGGTTCAGTTGGCCTCTGCTGCAGGGCTCCATGTTGTGGCCGCCACAAGTTCCAACCTTCGAAACCGAGACTTTCTTCACGGCCTGGGTGCAAATGAAACGATTGAATATACCTCCCTAGACGTCGATCAATCCGAGTTTGATTTTGTGATCGATGCAGTTGGCGGCGACGTGCTGGCCAAGTGTTGGAGTCGCGTGAAGGACAACGGAGTTATTGTTTCTGTCGATTCAGCCAGCTTTAATTTTGTCCAAGAGCATGAAAAGCGAGGACTACGCAAGCCGGGCGTTCGAGCCTTGTTTTTCATTGTTGCAGGGAGCAGCAGCACTCTACAATACCTAGCGGAACTTGCTGGACGAGGCATCTTGCAGTCCCTCGTTATTCAGACTTATCCTTTTGAGGACGTGCGAGAAGCATATGAGTTTGCGAACGGACGACACACGGGACGTGGAAAAGTTGTGTTGACCAACTGAAAATCGCCCAAAATTCACGTGTGGTCTGCCACTGCTTGGCCACCCAGACCGGAGCGACCCTAAAGGCAGATCCCCCTGGCCGCAGATACTCGGTGGCATTCGTGGGGCAGAAAACAAGACCTAGATAGCCAATCATATACATTCAACACATGCTGAAGGGAACTCTGCCGGCGATTGAATCTGCATCAATGCGTCGATGATCAAGATGACTGACTTGTGCGATTCTTGGAGTTCAATGAATGACCAACTTCCCGAATCGCGTCGCCCGGCGATTTCGCCTTGCAAAATCACATTCGAAACGCGTGAACGCGAGGACGCAGGGGTTTAGCGCGACGAGATCAACCCTTTGGTGGGGCAGCGTTGAGCACCGCGCTACGGCTTCTTGCGGACGTCGTGAGTGGGCCCCCAGAACACGAAAAATGTAGTTCTCTCAAGAAATTTGATACCATTATTTCAATATAAGAACCATGCGACCAGAGGAAAAATGCGACGGTCAAAGTAAAGAAAGAGCAGACAGCGTGCAGAAGAGTCACGGGACTGTCGGTCGGATCTTCCGGATCGGGCAGTGTAAAGCGGGACCACGTAAGCCGAGGCGCTAAACCCGCCGTGGACATTTCCCCCCTCAAACTTCACCTCGGACGTAAGAATTCCCAAGATTCCCGAGGTTCCTATACTTCGAGACTTGGTGATGGAAATCGAGATGGATGCTCACGTCCAGCCCGACAGGGTGCGAAAGCGTCGGCGCCGCACAATGGCCTGCACCCAGTGTCGCTCTCGCAAGTTGAAATGTGACCGCGAATATCCCACCTGCAGCCGCTGCCTGAAGAGCAAAACTCCGACTAAATGTACATATGAGGATGGCTTTCTGTGGCAGCAACCCACTACCGTGGGAACTACTGCATTCGCTCCCGACCGCGGCTCCACTGTGTCTATGCACCAAGGTGATCATACCCCCGCCGAAACTCCTCCAGATGCGGAGATATCCAAAGGACCACCTCGGCCGGAGCCTTTCATACCCAGTGAGCCCACTCCGAGTCATCCATTACACCACGTTCATCACGGTCTTTCGGGCCATGCCCTTGCGCCGACCTTCAGGGGCCATCCGCCAGGTAGAGAGCGACGTGACTGTTTCTTGGAGACCGTTCTTGGGGCCCCAAAAGCTGCTGTTAGGCAAGAGCCCCATGTCAACTCGGGCTTACTACAACGCCGAAAGCGCCCAGCTCCAGATTTTGACATGGATCCATCGTCGCTGGCCGATGATGATCATGAGACAGAAGAGGAAATCTTGTCGCCGTCCGGTCAGCTTGATCTGTCCCCTCGTGTGATGATGAGAGGTCGCGAGACAAAGACTCGCTTCAGTGGCTCTGGAATCTTTGCCAATCTTGTAACACAGGTCAGTATCTCGTTTTTGTGCTTCAATCCACATATTTCAACCCCATCAATGCTGATCCCCCGTTGCAGTTTCCTGATCTCAAATCTTTCGCTGAAGAGGTCAAGCTATCCAATCCTGTTATCACGCAGATCCGGCCTGACCTAGAAAGAGTGAAGCGTGGTGTTTGGAAACGCGTGCCGCTCAACACGCCTTTCCCCGAGCCTACCACAGCCTCACTAGTTGCGATGCTTCCCTCTCGTGGGGTGGTAGATGAGCTGATCAGCCTTTATCTCACCTACATTGAGTCAACTAACCGAATCCTACATGTCCCATCCTTTTTAAGGGAGATTGACGCATTCTGGGCGATGCTAGATAGCCCCACTTCCCTCTCTGCGGGCTTTGCAACCCAGCTATTGTTGATCCTCGCTTGCGCATGGAACCTAGCAGACTTTGCTACTCTCCAATCAAAAAATGTGACGGAGCTCAAGTGCTATACTGCAATCGAATGGGTCTTGCACGCTGAGCGATGGATCGAGAACTTGCATAACAAGCGGCCGGAAATTCACACAATGCGGCTTTCTATTTTGTTGATTATGGCTCGCAATTCACATGGGATGAAACGCAGCCAAGCTTGGCTTGCAACAGGTACTCTGGTTAAGCAGGCGATGATGGCAGGATACCATCGAGACCCGGGCCGATATTCCCAAATCTCGGTCTTCAATAAAGAGATGAGGCGGCGGATATGGAGCACAATAGTGGAATTGGACCTGCAAGTTGCTTTCGATCGGGGAATGCCTCCGTCGGTACAAAGTTTCGATTTCAATGCGACCCCAGCATTGAACATCCACGATGACGAGCTCGATGAAAATACCACCGAAGTGCCTGAGAGTCGACCGTTGAGCGAAGTCACCGACACATCATTCCAGTCTATTCTGAGTCGATCATTGCCACTTCGTCTTCAAGCTTGCTCGCTTATGCACTCTCCGCGGATCAGCTGCCGGTACGAGGATATCCAGCGTCTCGACTGGGAACTCACCAAATACCTTGCTCGGATTCCCTCCTGGGAATCAGCAGAGCCTCGCGACATCGTGACCCAGCACAAGATCCTCCTGTGGAAAGCTTTGATTGAAAGCAAACTCTCGCAATCGCTGCTCTCGATACACACTCCCTTTGCTATTGAGGCGCGGCGGGAAGCACTTTTTGCACCCTCAGCTCGGTCTCGCCTGGACGCTGCTACCCGAATATTATCGACTCAGCGTCGAATGCACGAGACTTCGCGATCTCTCTCGCTGTGTACACTTGGCGAGTGGACCATTCACGCCTATCTTTCGGTCTGCCAGTTACTCCACAATTCAGAACGTGACCATGGTAATTATTATAACCCCAGACTCATGATAAGAACAATAACTAATCTTCCCAGGTGCTCCCTTCCATCCCACAACATCGGCATCCATCATCCACAATATACCAGGTCTCAACGAATCAATGATCTCGCTTGTGGAAACAGCTCTCATCTCACTGGAGGAGAAATCTCTCTTGGTCACCAAGGGCGCCAAGGATTACTTCTTCCTGTCAACAATCGTCGCGCTGGTCAAAGCCCACCAGTGGCCAACCCAAGCAATCGTATATAAGCAACAAGTCGTCGAGCGGATCCTAGCATTTGCGCAAGCTCTCTTCTCTCGACACGCTGGGTGCGAGCACCTCGGTCCACCTGGCATGGGTAGTTTCAAAAACAACCAAGTGGCTGCCTTCACATCGGCCCCAGCAATGGTGCCTATCATGCCGAATGAATTCGACCCCAGTGGCATGCTTCCACCACCACATCTAGGTGTTACGGTAAGTCTCAGTCCTTCTATGAGATCTTTCTGGTTACTCACATTCAACTGCAGCCGCCCGGTGAATTCGATCCCTTCCTGGAGATATTTGACTGGGAGGATCTCACAGGCATGACACTCCCATGTTAATGAGGAATAGCGGGTCAGTCTTGTAACCATAAAGCGCAAATTTCAATATGCACAGTGTACAACATCCCGTTTCTTCTTCTCCTTTCCTCCACGCGCATTAAAATCAACCTTGGAAGTATTCTCAAGCATCCCAAATAATTTCTGACCACTGGCCGCTGTATACTCATGTGCACGTGTAGACCAGACCCAATGACTAACAAGGTTATGATCACGGAGGGCGTCAGACACTTAAGGTTGTACATGGACATCATATCTATCCATCGATGCGACTCACCTTTTCTACATCCAACCCTACCATACGGATAGGAGACTCTGCTTCCAAGGTTTATTTCTGGCAGCCCTCGCAGATCCAACAGAAGGAACCAACGATGAAATATTTCACTTTCGAATTACCTGTGAGTTCCTTGTGTATCACGCTACGGAGAACGTATACTAACTCCCGTGAACAGATGACCCCGGGTGCATGGACAACGGATTTCAGAGAACTCGACTACGACGGTATATGGGCCGCGGAGAATGGCTGGGGCCACCAACTTGCCCTCAAATATCAACTGGAGCCATGCCGCCCTATAATGTGCTGCCCGGATGATGGATTCGTTGTATTTGAGGGTAGGGGCTACTTCTATCTATATGACCAGATAGGAGGGGGCTTCGTGAGCTGACTTTCCCGACAACCATGGATGAAATCATTGAGGTCCTCGTGGAGAAAGGCTTGAACAAAGACTCAGTGAAGGTCAAGGACGTGCATCCACCTGCAAAGAAGGTGTGATGAATATGGAATTGTTCTTGCTTGTGGAAACCCGAGGTTGACAAACACACGCATCTTGCGCAGGTGCCAGTTTCCATGTGAACATCCGATATGCAGATGTCATAGTCCGTTGCGTCATTATCAAGCTTCTCTGTTGATCACATTGCTCGGGTTCCACCATGAGATCATGATCCGAGAGATCAGTGTTGACGTGATGCAAGGGAGTAGGATCAAACAGCGTGATATTCGGACTCTAGCTAATCGAGTGTACCCTTGCTTCCAAATTGACGAGCTTCATAGCGCGAAACTAGTCTCTCTAGCCGTAGCGGTTTTGACGGACCATAGTGTTGAGTGAGCCTTGCGTACGGAGTATAAGCCACTGTTGATCCTGGCCGATCATGATGTGGGGGCCGGGAATGGATGCAATTGAGTTGCGGGACACCAGGGGAAACTCGCCGGGCGGCTCAGACTCACGTTTTGTATGCCCAAGCCAAAAAGACCTAGGAGTAAGATGCTCTGGAAGCATTTTGATGCGTTCCAATCAGCGCAGTGGGCCGTGCCATGCGGCAGGCTGTGCCAGACCCTAGTGGATCAATACTTTAAAGTACTTTAAACCCCACCAAATTAGAGTGACTGCTGATGTACTCTCAGGTACCGGTCAAAAATAGCAGCCTAGCCCCCCTAAAACGCTTGGCTTGGATCTTAGCAGCGATCAACGAGGCTCCCGGCGCTTTTTTCATGTTTTTGACAGACCCTTGCTTGGCTTCTACCATGTGCTCCCTCGCTTCACCCGCTTCTAATCCTTCATTCTACACATCACCTACTCCGCATAGATAGACCTCTTTCCCGAGCATTTGTCGTTGAACTGTGACATCTGGACAGACCAGGCATGTGAAAGTCAATTCCGCGACTACAACTCTCCTCATCGAAGGCCAATCCCATTTTCTTAAGAATATACCACCAAGGCCGGAGCTTCAAAAAACTGTACATAGCACGCCCCACGATGCACCTATCATTCTTCTTCACAACACTGCTTGCCATCGCAGTCCAACTGACAGCGGCTGTCCCGGCGCAAGGAGAAAGCCACAAAGCATCGCAAGTATACAAAACATCCGACAAAATACCTCTCGCCAACGAAGGCCATGTACAAGTCCATGACCCAAACATCATTCTCTACGATGATAATTACTACCTTTTCAAAGGTGGGGTCCACATCCCAATCTTGAAATCCGCCAATATCTCAGGGCCATGGGAAAGAATCGGGACGGTTTTCGACGGCGACAGCATTATCGACAAAGGTAACCGGTCGCGACCATGGGCACCAACAACCATTGAAAGGAACGGTACCTTCTACTGCTACTACACCGTTAGCTTCCACGGGTCCCGCGACAGCGCGATCGGCGTCGCAACCACGACTTCGATCGACGGCACCTGGACAGACCATGGTGCCATCATCAATACTGGAAAAGGTCCAGGCTCAGACGTGTATCCATACACGATCACAAATGCGATCGACGCGTCTTTCATTACGGATCAAGAGACGGGACAGGCGTATTTGAACTACGGCAGCTTCTGGCATGATATCTGGCAGGTACCGCTCTCCGATGATCTTCTTTCGGTGAAGGATGCGGAAAGTCCAGATGCGATGCAGTTGGCATTTGTTCCGCATGCGAAGACGAAACCAGAAGAGGGGTCGTGGATGAGTTACCACGACGGTTATTACTACGTTTGGTTCAGCCATGGGAAATGTTGCAATTTTTTCCAGAACGGATTTCCCGAGCGCGGAGAGGAGTATAGTATACGTGTTGGGCGATCGAAAGATGTGCGAGGCCCTTTTTCGGATAAGAACGATCGTTTGTTGCTCGATGGTGGCGGGACGGTGGTCTACGCGTCTAACCATGGGACTGTCTATGCGCCTGGTGGACTGGGGGTCTTACCTGGGAGCAACGACTCCACGCCTGATATCCTTTATTATCATTATTTGAATACCTCGATTGGGTTTGAGGGCTCGGTGAGTGAATTCCGCTTCTCTTGATGATTTCAGGACCTAACTTCTTTTCTTTCCAGCAAGCTCAACTTGGCTGGAACTATTTGGACTACGAGGATGGGTGGCCTAAACCCTTAGGAGGCGAAAATGCAACTTCGAATAGCCCCATTTCCATTTGCAAAATGTCTGGATGGAGCTCTGTCACGATCATTCTCGGTAAGTTCGATCATCCGCCATTTGACTGCTGTCTTTACTAATCGATTGAATCCAGGCTTGTGGTTGTACGCATGATTATAGCAATGATTCTCTTGCGCTCGATACCCAATTTTCTAGCTGTCACTTCTATTTCCTCCAATGATGTACATACATAACATGGCGGCGGCGTTCTGATTTCTATTCTGATGTTGTGACTATTGTCAAGCGAGCATTTTATTAGACTTCGGTCATATACGCGTGTTTTCAACATGACATCTCACAGTAGAGCTTCCAACCCTGTTGGTTCATGAATCCCATCCACCATCAACACTGACAATTTGACCCGTCGTATATGACGCGGCATCACTGAGAAGGAACACAACAGTCTGTGCAACCTCTTCAGCTCTGCCAATGCGCGGGATGGCAGTTGGCGGCGCACTGATTTCACCCTGAATAACCTTGGCCTTTTCAAGCAGGGGAGTTTGAATCGATCCACTAAAGGCCATCATCAGTCATGTCATCTTTATCTATCAAATTGAAAAGTATAGACCAAATAATGTACTCACGGTGCAACGGCGTTGACCCTTATGTTAGGACCAACTTCCTTGGCAACAGACTTGGTCAATCCAACCACAGCGTGTTTAGTAGTCGAATACGCAGCATGCAGCGCAAATCCCCTGATTCCCTGAATACTCGACGCATTGACAATACTACCCTGCCCACCGGGGGGCAGTTTCCATAATTGCCTTTAGCTGCGCGCGCAGGCAATACATTAATCCAGTCACGTTCACCCGCATCAACATATCCCATTCAGAGTCCTCCTGATCAACAAATCTGCCAGTTCCATGGTGCTTGCCGATTGTGCCTGCCATGTTGGCGGCGCCATCCAAACGGCCGAAGTGGGAGACCGTTGATGCAATCCATTCTTGCACTGCGGATACGTTGCTGATATCTAATACGGTTGTTTTGATCGTCGAGGTGGTGTCGGCACCGAAGTCATCCTCGATTGTGCGCTGTGCTGTGCTGAGGACTTCCTGGCTTAAGTCTGCGAGTGAGAGGAGGGCGCCCTGGGCGTGAAGCTGGCGGGCGACGGCTAGACCGATGCCTCCGAGGCCGGTGACGACGTATACTTTGCCTTTGACAGAGTCCATATTTGAGGATGAGTTGATCAAGGAGCAAGATCTAAGAAAGCAAACAGGAATTTACCAGCGAAGTGACACCAAGTGGGATAACGTGGGGTCGGAGCTGCTCCGTGTCTAATTTGCCGGGTATTTTGGCGTTGCATTTGAGGTCGGCTAAACAGTAACTTCCGTCTGGGCTACTGTACGGAGTACTTCTATATAATTTCCCCACTTCACCCCACATTTTGATAATGGAAATACCCGGCAAATGCGACTTCACTCCGGGATCCATCGCAGCTTTACTTTCCTGGGATCCCGAACTTGGACCGTCAACTTTACGATGGAGTCTGCCACAACGTCCCGAAGATTCTGCCTCAATGTCTCCGGATCCTGAGAATCGCTAGGCAGGGGCTCGCACCGCGCAGATCGGAACAGAGTCGCAAGAGTCGCAACAAATTCCACCTGAGCCATTTTCACACCGGGGCAGATCCTCGGACCAGCAGACCAGGGTAAAAATGTGCCCTTCGCCGGAGTAATGATCTGACCAGCACTGTCGATCCACCGGGATGGTCTAAATTCCCTGCAATCATCGCCCCATATGGAGGGGTCTCTGTGGATACACTGGTGGGAGACAAACACTTCCATCGACGCTGGAAGAACGTGGGTACCGTTTTCGTCAGCAACCTCCTGCGTCTGAGCGACGCAACGTGTTGAATGGAGTACCGGTGGGAAGTGACGGAGCGTTTCATGCTGTGAGCAGGATCAGTACACGCTAATGGGATAGCAGCATCACTAGACCTCACCATCACAGAAAGTATACGCGGACACTTGGAAAAAATGCTTTCATATGTCCATCTCGTCAAGTCCGCATCGATGCTACTAAGCTCCTCGCGAATCCACTCTTGCCATTCTGGATATGCAGCTAACAGTGTCACGGCATATCCCATTGTGTTGGCAGTGGAATCAAATCCAGCAGCAGTGAAAGTAAAGAGGTTTCCACTGATCTCCTCTTCGGTCAAGAAACTCCCGGAGGACTTCGCTTCTTGATCTGAGAGGCGGACAAGCATGCTCAAGAAGTTATCTCGGGGCTTTTTGGAGGCAGATTCTCGTTCTCCTTTGAGCATTGATTTGATGTATTGTGGAATCTTGTCCATCTGAACGCCAAGTGTTTGCAGCGAAGATGGCATGATTGGCAACTTCATGAACCAAGATGGCAACAATGCCGCCGGAAGAATGTGATCGGCGACCAAGGAGATGGTTTGGAAATAAGCTCCCGTTTCTCCACCCAAACTACCGGGTGTGTGATGCTCAGTCGTTGTCCATGGCATGTTGGCATCATATCCCGCTTTACCAATCACGTTTTTGGCAATGACGCGGAGTCCGTTCAATGTCTGATCACCTGGATTTTGGACCATGTGTTGCAACATAGCCTTGGCTTGTAAGCAACTTTCATCCCAGACAGTCTCACTAATCCTTTCATTGAGATTTGGTGCAACTATTCTGCGTTGTCGTTGCCTATACTCGATCAGCATCGGGGTGGCATCTCAAGAAGGATATACCGTACCAGTCCTCTCCGTTCGTCTGGACAAGCATGGTCCGTCAGCCAAGTCCGCTCATTTAGCCTCGACTCAACTCACCGTGAGTACACTTGGTCCCAATAGACCCACAATCTTTGTCGTAATGGGAGGCTGTTCAAAATATTTCCTTCGTTGTAAAATCACATTTCCGAGCTCATGATCCGCAACCCTAGATACACACTATATTAACATTGCAATCCAGCTGACCCGTGGACAGGTATCGGAATTTACCAAAGAGCACACTCATCGGGCGTAACCAAGACAAACGTCTTGCCAAGTTTGTCATGGTGTTCTGTCTTTCGATGATTCTCCCACCCATGACTTATGATATCCAGTCAATCAAACAGCCAGGTCGGAAGATACTTTTTGTACTGCTGGCGCAGCGCTGGGCCCAAGATCATCCATGCTATACTCCTGCTTGGAATCGGAGATATGTATATCGGGAATTTGGAGCGTCGGGCATTTGCGTAATTCCTGAGGAAACTTATAGACTTGTAAGCAGTATAGCCGACGATGTAGGTCACAATGACCACCAGCAGACTCAGTGCCATTCCGAGATTCCCAGAGACCTGTAAAAATGACAAACCTGGCAAACCTGGCAAAGAAAAGAAAAAGCAGTTCCAGGCTTTTATCAGCAGTTTAGAGCTTATGGAGACCCACTGCCAAGGGCGATTCAGCCCCCGAGCCAGCTTATTAGCCTACTCGTATAGTAAGCAACCAGCCAAGGGAACTAATGAAGTGCGGGGTCCGATTGGCTCATTTTCGACGAGTTTGATTGGTGTGGTGAGCCGCTTGGTTCAAATGAAGCTATGGCGTTTGAAAGTACGTACTCCGTACTCCTCATGGAGTAGGGTGTCGTATCCGGGACCTACCAAGGCGTCAGGTGGATCTCACCCATGCCAGGTGGATCGTTTGCTGTTATTGCTAGCATGCAAAACACAAGCATGTAATAGACCTATTTTATCTCAAGCCATGGAAACAGGGTCTGGGGTATATATCTGCCATTAAAATAATTTCTCGACAAGATAAAGATCTCCGCGCCTCCGCAATGAAAAATGGGTATCTCAAAATTCAAAATCACAAAAACTCAACGCCAGCAGCCAATTGCACTCTGCACCATTCAAAGTAGTCCCGACACAAGTAACACTCCAAAAATCACTGATACCAAAGGGTATTTCATGGTTGCCCCCCTTTGCACCGCTCCTGATTTGTATTCCGTGCTGCTGCCATGCATCACACCCTCGGCATTCAAGCAGTACATGACCCTCTTCGTCTCCGCCGAAGAGGACGACCGACAAACCGCAGTGCAAGGATCAGGGTCTTCGTAAATCCACACGCCACGCGAACAACACGATTGTAATACAGCCTCCATGTCTTGATGAGGATTTTGCGTCTGGTACAGCGGTACCTGGTTGTAATTGTTGATATTGCCGGGCAGAGTTGACATCGTGTCGCGTGAGTGGTAGCAGTGCACGGGCTGTGAGAAGCTCGTCCCATTGGAGTTCGTCATTGTGAGATGATGTGCGGTGATGTGCGGTGATTTGCACTTTCCGGGGCGATCCGAGACGCGACGTAGATTTCGGGTGTTATTAGGGCGTATAGGATGAGCAGGCGATCGTGGATAGTGCGAAAGATGGTGATCGCTTTTCAATTTGATGGAGGCAGTGATATTCAGGAATTTTTTAGCAAGTCAAAAGCCAAGCCTGGCGCTCCCGCGGCCCAGGAACGCCTTTTAACTCCTGAACGAGCATCTGTGGGGGGAAACGCGCCAAGCCGCTATGTTGGGGATATTGACTGCGAAGTGGGGATAGAACCCCTAATCCTCGACTGACGCCCGAATACGATGCTTCCATTCGTCACCCAATAGCTCCGATTCACCAGTGGCGTCGAATGAGCTCTCTGGTGTCAGAGTGAGACGAAAAAAGGGTTGTCAAATGCTTATAGTTTTGCTCTCTCCTTGCGTATCTAATTAATGTGATCTATGCAATGTGTGTTTCATCCCCTCCGCCCTTACGACATTGGATTTACAACCGGGCGGCGTCATTGCTCCTCTTCCACATTCGCTTTCGACGCTCAGCGCCTTCGTTGAAATCATCAAGCCACTTCTGCTCGAACCGAGGTAGGCGTCGCCCTATCCCGCCTTGAGGCTCCCCGGCCAGCTCGCGGAGGGTCTCGAAGTATGCTTCGAATTCGGGATTGAGTACAGTGAATCCGGGTCCGTCAGTCTTCACTGCAATTCGGTCGGTTTCCCACTTTTCTTGTTCCGCGATGGACGGCAAGGTGACCTTGCCGGCCAATACTCGAGCGGCCGCAACTGCTTGCCATTCAAACACCTTGAAGGTCAACCCAGCACCGACCTGGGAAATGGTTGTCAGTTTCATTGATTTGAAAAGCTGCCGAAATACGCTCCATGCACTTACCGCGCCTACAAATGTGAGCGTCGGGTCATGTCTGTAGAAGACATGCTGGTAGAGGTCCGGCACGCGATTGTTGCGTGTAGCGACCTGAGGCAAGAAAGGCAATGTCCAACTAAAGCCAGTTCCAAAAATGATATGATCGACACCCGACTCAGAAGTTCCATCTTCGAAATGCACTGTCCGCTCGCCTTGCTCGTTACTCGTGATATGCGAGATGGGCGTGCGGCGCTGGATCTTGGGGTGCTGGAACGCCAAATCTCCAAAGTATGCGTTGTAGCGACCACGCACGACGGCAATCACCGGTGTTTGCGCGTTGTCAACCAAGCTTACAGCCGTATCAGCTGCTGATACGGATGCACCAACAGTTATCACTTTCTGTCGAGAGTTAGATCAGATTCTTGCGGCTGCAAGAAGAATAGCATACCTTTCCAGAGTATCTTTCAGGGCCTCGGTACTGCTTAGTATGCAAAACACTTCCTGGATACCTTTCGGCGAATTCTTTCAGTCCCGGAATCGCTGGAATCCACGGCACTGCGTAGTGACCCGAAGCGACGACCACCGCATCGAATTCTTCAGACCACCAGTAATCTGACTTGGCGCCATTGCCCTCCTCCGTCCGCCTCAGCGTGAGTACCCATTTCTGACTTTGGGGGTCTTTGATGGCGCGTTCAACTGTAGTGTTATACTGTACAAGATCTTGGTACCCTTTGCGGTGGAACAAGTCTTCAATGAATTTTCGAATGACCGTATGATGTCTAAAAGGCGTGTCCTCGCCATGGCGCTCAATTGACCATTGCGAACGGACTGTCGGGATAGCCTCTTGGGAGAATGACATGGCTCCTGCATCAACATTGGTCTCCAGACCGGGGTACACGGGTGAATCCATGAACCGGTTCTGAGAGCCCACAGGTGTTCGGCATGGGAGATTTTCAGGAATCTGCAGAGGTGTATCTGCCGTGCGAGCTGAGATAGCATCGAAATCGAATTTCTGAGCTGGCTCTTCCTCTCTTGAAACCCTGCATATCGTCAGATTCGTGATATTCCAGGTTTCGCTTTGAAATTATAGGAACAAAACATACCAACACCCGCCAGCGTGTTCCTGTCTATCAAAAACACGAATAACATCAAATGTCTTCTCCTGTGCCAGCGCATCGACAGTAATAGCGCCTCCGGGGCCAGCCCCGATAACAGCAACGCTCCTTATTTTCGACATTATACAATGTATCAAAATTCTTGACGTTGCGAACTGGATATAAAGACACTTTTTAAACTCGACGTCTCGGCCGACTCAAAAATGGGGAGGATCTGGAGAAATGTTAGGTGTCTGTCACGCCATCGGGCCTGATTTGTCGCAAAAATCAGGTGTGACCAATTTGAGGATCTGTAACGTCTGATATATGCGACGAAACAACCGAGGCTGGACTTACTTTTGAAACGGCTTTCTTCAATTCTATTCCACTTTTTTAAATGCCGAAGCTTTAGATTGCAGAACTTTCCAATTTCCTCCTCGGCATTGCTGCCGTGCATTTGATTGGTCGATATCGTCGGCTTTTAAACTTGCACGTGATCTACAGGTCACAGGAACTGTCTTCTGATTGGCTTGCTGTTGCTGCCTGGCGAACTAGGCCAAAGTGCACTTGGATCGTCTATAGAGATATTTGGAGGATGGTCAACATCATCCACTTCCCCCTCAGATTGCTTCTGGAAAAGCCTCTGGCCACAAGGCTGGGTGTGTGTAAGGTTACATGGAGGGTCACTGAACTTGTTTGTTTCTGTCACCCACGCGTGAATGTTTGCTAATGCTTACGCAAACAAGAAAATCGAATGAAAATGGTATTACAAGCAAATGACTCGAAAATCAATACTCTGTACAGAGTAAATGCCGCTAATTTAAGTAAAAACATCAGTAGCATACCGCTCCTTGGTACGCAAGTTATCAAAGAACAGCTCAGCAGCCTGGTCCTCATCAAGGTCAGCGCCCTCAGGCGTCTCGCCCTTCTCCTTGAGCTCAGCGTGCTTCACACGACGCTTCTCAATGTACATCTCCTTACAAGCCTCGCGAATACCAGCACCAACCTTGGTACTTCCACAAACATAGATGTTAGCACCCTCTTCAAACAACTGCACTAACTCCTCACGGTCCTCGAGCATGGCATCCTGCACATGTTGACCCTTGCCTTCGACCGGACGACTGAAAGCCCAACGAACATCAACAGCGCCGAGCTTAGCCCACTCCGCTAGTTCCGCAGCGTGAATATCATCTTGCCCTTGAGTGCGGCACCCAACGTACAGAATTGCCTTGGCGGGCTTGACGACGTCGTGCAACTCTTCTGAGTCAGAGGAGCTGCGACGACCGCGGATCTTCTCGGCGCGATCCATCACGAAGCCGCGGAAGGGCGCTAGACCGCTGCCTGCGCAGGCCATGATCATGGGTGTGTCTAGGTCCATTGGAGGCTTGAAGCCGGAGTGGGAGGGGCGGACGGTGATATGGGCTCGCTCGCCGACTTGGAGTTCGGAGAGATAGTTTGATGCCACGCCGAGATATTGCTCTTCGCTTTCGGTGCCGGTGGCTGCGAGGGCGGGTGCGCTCAGCACGCTGAATGTGATTGAGCATTCGGATGGATCGAGGAGGGGAGATGAGGAGATGGAGTATTGGCGGACGCGCATCGGAGGGAGCATGGCGAGGAAGTCACCGATAGGTAGCTTGATGGCGGGGTAGCGGGTGAGAAGGTCTAGGGGACTGACGCGCTTCTTGACGATTTCGTCGGTGAAGCGGCTTGGGCTTGAGGCGAGGTAGCGGAGCTCGGCTTGGGTTTCGGCGTCAGCGACGGCTGCGTCGGCCAAGACGTTCAGATCGCGCTTCGAGGCTGGTTGGGAGAGCTCGATGTAGGTGGATAGGAGTTCGAATGCGGAGATCGGGGTATCAATGGGGATGGAGGGGGAGGAAGTTGAGCCGGGGGGCTTCTGGACACGGAGGACGGCATCCCATGGAAGGTCGAAGCGGCGAATGGCACGGCGGACAACTGGGGTTGGGTTGACAGGTAGGACGGCAAGGTAGTCTCCGCACTGGTATGTCATGTCGGACGGCAGTTTGAACTTGACGACTCGCTTTGCGGGGGCCTCGGGGGTGTCAAAAGCTGGTTCTCAAGAACGAATCCTTCTTCCAGCTGGAGACCAAGGGTCGAAGCACGCATGCCAGAGCTGACTTCGACTTGCAGTGAGGACTTTGACTTGGCTGCCTGTTCGGGTGCGGCTCCGCCGTATTTGGCCATCACGGCCGGCCAGAACGAGGTCTCACCCCAGCTATCGAAGTTGGTGAACATGTCGGAGTTCGCCGCGTCAGCAAGACCGATATCACAGAGCTTGTGGGCTCCATTCTTGGCAGCCAACTCGTCAATGGCCTTGGGGACACTATAGAAAGTCGTCGACCAGTCATGGTGGCCACAGCCGAAGGTGGCATAATTCACGCCGTCCAGCTCGTTGCCCTTCAGCTCACTGAGCCACTCGTAGAAATGGGCAGCGTTGTCTGGGGGCTTTCCTTCATACGAAGCCGAGATGAAGACCACGGGGCCATCCTTGGGAAGGTTTTGCATTGCTGAGTCCAAAGAACCAACATTGGCTACATATCCATATCCAGTAGCATCGTCTGCCAGTCTGCGGGCGAAAGCCTCACAAGTGCCGGTGTTGCTGCCATAGAAGACGTGCATGGGCTTCAGCTTTCCATCCACAGGAGCCACCTTAGGCTTGCGTTCTCTGCTACCAGCGCCAGTCTCTGCAGGCGCACCAGCGGAACCACTGATAGTGGCGCTGAGCTGGGTTGGGTCGAGACCATCTCTGAGAGTTGCTCTCATGTGGAAATCCTTGGGCTTGATGGTGAGAGTCTGCTTGATGCGAAGATCATAGGTGGGGTTATCCATCTGGAAGTTGAAGTTCTGCAGCAAGATTGCAACCACAAGAAGAGCCTCTTGCCAGGCGAAAGGCCGTCCAATGCAGCCTCGCATGCCGTTTCCGAACGGCTTCCAAGCGTTCTTGGGCAACTTCTCGAAGTTTTCGTCGAGCATGCGCTCGGGTTTGAATTCGTCGGCATCAGGTCCATAAACCTTGGGGTCGCGGTGCATCTTAGTGAGAACGAGAGCAATAGTCTCGTCTTTGTGAAGGACATATTTTCCGCCGCCGAGGGTCACAGGGTCCTCCTGGTTCTTGGTCGGGTTAGGGTGCAGGGCAATCATTGGGGCAGTGGGCTTCAGACGAAGCGTCTCGCGCATCACGGCGGTGATGTATGGTAGCTTGGACATGTCATCGACGGTGATCTTACGTTTTCCGATCACACGGTCCACCTCTTCCTGTGCCTTCTTGTACGCGTTCGGGCTTTTGAGCAGATAGTAAAACAAGAAGGACAGCATGCCGGAAGTTGTCTCGTGGCCTGTTGAATCACTGGTCAGTTCTACATTCACACAATGAGGGATATTGGTGACAAACCAGCGATCAAAAAGGTAATCATGTTGTCGACAATGGACTCGTCAGTCATTCCCTGGCCAGTCTGAGGGTCACGACCCAAGATCAAGGCATTGAGAAGATCCTTCTTCTCAACGGGGTTCTCCTTTCGTGAATCGACCAGTTCACGGGCGAGATTGCGAAGATACTCGATATCACTCCAGTACTTGGAGTTCTCTGCGGTGGGTAAACTGTTGAGCAAGGCAGGCTTCAAAGCTCGGTTACCAGATCCAGCCAGCAATCCAACCATGGCCTCGACGAATGGGTGCATCTCATCGTGGTAGAAAGAGTTGAACCGGGTACCCATGGCGCAAAGAGCAATGGTATCGAGCGTCAGGCGGGTAAAGTCGTCTGTGACCTGTACCGGGGTGGAGGGGCCCTGACGCGCCCATTTCATGACCAGCTGTGTAGCGATGTCATACATCTCTATGGATATTGTCAGTACTTCCATCTCATAGCTTCTCCCAGTCGCAGCCAAGGTAGATCCCTCACTCACCGTCAAACATGCCGCGAATCATCAGTGGACCAAATGCGGGAACGAGCACACGGTGGGCGATAGCCCAGTTCTCCTCGCCGGGATAGTTGGCTGTGAAGAGTCCATCATGCACACCGTTACGGATCTCGTGCAGACCAGCTGAGACCATTTTGCTGAAACGCTCCTCATTGCATACTTCGTCGACCAACTCATGTGAGCTGACAAACACTCGGGATCTGCCGAAGGTAGTCAATCGGTAAATGGGACCTAGGAAGATCAGCAATCAATTCCACAATCACATTCCATAGCTTTGCTCAGTCCATACCGTAGTTCTCGGCCATCAGCTCGAAGCTGTTGACGGGGACCTCAGGCTCAATGTCGTAAATGTTCCCCAGGAACGGAACTCCCCTGGGGCCCGGGATGGGGACCTGGTTGGAGCTCATGATGTGTGGTTTCTTTCAAATGAGTGTGTTGGATTCAATTCCGCACGCACTTGCATGCAAGAGTTGAGGAAGAAGGGCGGATTAAGTAAAAAGTCGGAGCCGCGGGGTTATCTCGTGTTACCAAATCCGGCTGACGTCGCAGTGGGGATGGGAGCCAGATCGGAGATCGGAGGTATTACTTTGTAGAGACGACAGCGGTGATGTCTCATGTAGATCAAGTCAAACTGGGAAGGATATTGGAGTCTTTTGAAGGGAAAGAAATGAAAAAAAGGTCAAAAGGGACCTCACCGACTCGTTGGGCCTCGGCTTGGGATTAAGCTCAGTTCATTAAAGTCATTCAAGGCAACAAAGTGCACAATTCCAAACGGCGCACAATTTCGTTTCGCAACTTGTGTAAGGCATGCCTGCAGTACGTGTAATGCGTGTAATTCCTGTTCCACCATTGGCTCGGCATTCTGTGAAGCCCAATCAGGGTGTGTGTCGGTCACCCCGAGACTCGATGTTAAGTTTTTTTTTTCTGCTTCGGCCACGTTAACGGGATGAAACTGGGTCCCGACGGCGTGATTGAACGGGCCGTGTGCATAAATGAATGCACAAGGAGCTATTTAGTTTCGCATCTCGCAACAATATCCTCAAGACACGGACTCGGGTACGGACGCGGACAAGGACACGGACAAGGGGCGGGCCGACAACACTATAGTTAGCCACTTCATTATTCCAACGGCCCTCCGTCTCTTCAGTCCTTGTTGCCAAAGGTATGCTATTGTCAACACTTTCGACCTAGAGAATATTGAAATTCCGGTGGCGGAATTCACTCGCCAGCGAGTTTGGCATGAGATTCCACGCACCATGAATGCCCCAATGAGCAAATATCCTTCTAACCCTTGCCATTCTCCATAACTCATTTGCAGAATATCTATATCGTGCTCACTGTTCGCCAGCCCTAACATTGTTGGTAATGATTAAACTGAGAAAGCGCGAGCTGTGGTCTTGGTTGCATCTTCGATGTATCAGCAAGTGCTTTGTTTACAGCATAGAGCTTTTTTACGACTGCTCACTTCAAATCCTTCAAGGTCGATGTTTCGCCGAAAAAGTATGGGGATTATCCATATTGATCTATTAACTATGCAGCACTGTGAGGTCATACGGTTTGGGATGATTCCGAGATCTATTCCCGCCCATGATACGGAGTATCCTTGGTTGGCATTGACCATCACTGAAGGGGTTTATACCTTCCTAGCGTCCTGTGGGATATGCTTACTAGGACATCGCTAAACACACTACGGAGTACGGAGTACAGTCCATTTGATATCAGACATTCAATGCGTCCACTCGCTAAACTTGGTGTTTTGGTTGCAAGAGTTCGGGTACATCCAAGGCTCAGTTACTTTGGCCATTTTCTGTGGGCCATCAGTGATGGTGGAGACGCCTGAATACACATTCCATCGACTGATACTGATTATACGCACCAGGATGGCTGGGATTGAGGTTGAAAAATCGTTTTTTATATGGCAAGATATGTACATAGATGACGGTGAGTAGATTTCAAAGCTCATCAACAGGCGGCCCGAACGCCAACGAAGGAAACTCTCGGCCTAACCGACCAAGAGGGGAGGGATATCAACAGAAAAAGGGGAGCAGAAGCTCAGTGAAAAGAAAGAGATAGAGACGAGAGAACGGCAAGCCAGGGCGAGAGGAAAAGGTTCATCATTCCAAACGCCGGTCATCGTAGATGTCCAGTGATCAGGGCGATCTAAACGAAGCCGGGCAATGCGCGAACATGGAGAATGGAGCGAGTCATTAGGTGGGGTGAGATGGATTGATCAAGTCTAATTGTTGACTTGCTTGTAGCCACCGTTCTTGAACTCGCTGGCTTTCCAGTCGTTCTGGAAGTTTTGCATCTCCGTGCGGTTCTCGGCGTACTGGTTGTTGTCGAGGGCGTGTTCGAGACGGCCCTTGCGACGCTGGCGCAGGCAGAAGATCAAGAAGGCTGCGATGGCGAGAACACCACCGGCCGCGGCGCCGCAGTAGATTCCGATGTGAGCTCCCTCACCCAGGTCATTCCACTTGTCGGCGGCGGTCTTGGGAGGGGGCTTGTTGAGCTCGGTCAAGGTTGTTGAGTTTCCCCTGCGATGTCAAGTTAGTTAAGTTCCGCACATGGAGGCTCTTTGTCAACTCACTCTTCAACCTTGATGCTTTCGAAGGAACCTGAGTGGTCGCCGTATGTGTATTCCTTGCCAGTGTGGAAGTCCTTGACGCGAAGCTTTCCGAGCACCATGGTGAAAGGCGCGGCGTCCCAATCGACCAGACCACCCGCCCACTCAATGGTACCTTGCGCGGCCTTCTTGGTACCAGCAGGCCAAAGACTGAACTTCACACGGCAGGGAGTTTGGGGGTAGTTCTCTCCACCCAGGGTGCCCTTGTCATCGTACTTGAGCTCTCGAACCATCACATCGTCGATCCACCACTGGGTCACATCCTCAGCCCAGTAGGTGGTGTAGTTGTGGAACTCGGAGTCGGCGTTCGACACGTCATGGTAGCCACCACGGTCAAAGGAGGTGTCGTTACCCTTTCCGAAAAAGTTGGATTGCACCTGGCTAGTGTTGTATCCAACCCACTCCCAATCGATCTCGTCCAGGTCATCGGACTCCAAAACGACACTGCTGATAAGACCGGCACCCTTGGCCATCTTGACGTGGGATTCGACGACACCGAAGAAGATGTAGAAGTTGGACGAAAGGAGGGTGGAGGTGCCCTCTCCGGTGAGGGTAAACTCGGCGCCATCGTCGCCGTACTCGTAGTCTCCGGTCTCCATGTCCCAGATCTTGTCGTCCAAAGTTGTGTTGAAGTTCCAGGTGTGCTCGGTTCCGAGGGCGGGATCCGCGGGACATGTTGTGTTCATCGGGTTACAGTCCGTTGAGGTTTGAGCGTAGGCATAGCTAGCCAAAGCCGCCAATAGGGCGGTGCGAGAGAAGAACATGATCTATATAAGCGACTGTTCTCTCGGGGCCGGAGGTAGGCTACCGGGTATTCTGCTGCTGGACAGTTCCAAAGGATCGTATATAAGGAGTGGACTCGAGAAGACTCGAAATGTAGTAAAGACTGTATGTGCTAGTGCACTAATGAACGGAAGGGATTCTGCCAGCAGCGAGACGAGAGATGTGAGAAAGGGAAACGGGGGGGGAGAGACCCAATTTAGGCGCAGGTGGGTTCGTGACATGTTGGGCTAGTGGTGTTTTAGGACAAGTTGGTTATTTTCGTTATTTTTGCTTCTGGCAAGAGGTGAGCAAAGGAGTTAGCGTAAGGGGAAACCTGCAGAGATTATGGTCGAGTTAAACAGCTAGCCAGTCTCGGTTAGAAGGTCTCCACTAATCTCCATTTCGGTGCATCCCGCTAACTGTAATTGGTAGTTGACGAGCCCCGTGCTTGGCACTAGCCTTCTTTGGGTCAAGCCACAAAGCCCCGAAAAAGCTACCATAAGACCCTGATTGGTCCCTGATTGGTCCCTGATTGGCGATTCGTCCTTTGTACCGTTGAGAGTGTCCTGGGGATTGTTTTATACTCCTTCAATCATGCATGGATACATCTCTCTCTCCTTTGTGTACCCTGTCTTGTGTACGGAGTACTCCTCACGAAGCACCTTCTGTGTGGCTTTGTCTACAATAACTTGGCAGGACTAGGCTAGTGGCTTAGCTCGTTCTGGCCCATTCGAGGAAAATCCTCTCTGCAATGAAGATCCAACTCCAATTTGATAATGCCACGAGTGGCTCTTTACAGATCATCCATGCATCTTCCCCCTTGACCAGCAATAAAATTAATCTATTTTCAGTTTCTCGTTCGTCTCGTTCCTCCTGTTCATCATGCCTGTTTCTCGCAATCTGAAATTTATGAAAGCTCCGCAAACTCCGGCCAATAACAATTCTCCTCAACCGGCCAAGCCTACCTCCCCGGTCCACGAGTGGAGTGTTCTTTTCGCCCAAGATTTCTTTTTCCCTTCTGTCCACTGTGGGCCTTTCCCCTGTCTCTGATGCCTGCTGGTCAACATCCATCCTATCACACAACCCTGGGGACTCTCATTCGCCGATAAGAGCGATGACGGCTGCGGCGTAGGCTAATGTTGAAGTGATTTCGCTTTAACCGAGTTTGTCTCCAGGGGGAATTTGAGATAGTCTGATCGATCGAACGCCACTCTTCCTCGGTGACACACAGCCAAGTCCGTAGCCAAGTCTAGCTAGGCTTGATCAGATTATGATCGCGTACGGAGCACGGAGTACGGAGTACCTCGATGCCCGTAAAATTTCCAGCTCAGGTACCCGTCAGAAAATCGCCTGCAAAGTACGGGGCATTCGCGCATTCGTGCATACTTCGTACCTCCCGTCGGTTGCCACATTGTACCGTTACTCATATGCAGTGCGGAAACAATGACTCAATCGGGTTGTTTTTGGCGCAGTCAGATCGCAACTCAGGGGCCCATCGCCCCCACACACCGTTAAAATTCTCAGAGCAGGACCACAAAAAGCAACTCAGTTCAATTTTTCATTGCGACATGTATTATCATCAAATCGTATAATCCCGCAGTCATATGTCATGTCTCATAAATCAACTCGGCTCTGCCAGGTTGGTCAACCAGGAATCCCTTCCAAGGTCCCATCCCTTCCGATCAATACATAAAAATAGCAACCTCATGCGCCAGATCAATACCCACCCCCAGCCAAGCCTCACTAGTCAATATCATTTCCACGTTGTCTTCGTATCGGTACTCCGTACAATAGGCTTATGCCGAGAACCGTTCATGTCTCAGTCATATAAACCCTTGCCGGCCGACGCACATCATCGTTGTAACGGCGCGAACTTGTACGAATAGGCTTCTCGGTATAATCGACGAAAGTGCCAGGTCCGCGACGGCGTTTCTTCCGACTACGCGTGCTTGCGCTACTGCGCACGATCGGAGGCCGGTATCCGACATCTGGTTCGCCACCGCTCCATGTCCCGGGCGTCCGGCATACTCGCCATAGCCAAAGTAGAAGAAGGGTTCCTGCAATCGAGCCGAGAACGATACCTGCGATTGCGCCGCCGCCAATTGTACTTGGGCAATTGTCGCCGGTTGATTGTCTGGGGAGAATCGAATTAATTGGCGCCTGCGGAATGCCGAGTTAGTATCAATGGTTTGTGAGACTTGCGATCCGTGGTTCTTTGTCCGGCCCGCGTGGGGGGTGGATGAGCCACGGAACTGATATTTTTTATCTATGAACCACTGACCATTGTGGAATTGGTTGTGATGCCAATTCAATGTCGGAGAATTGCGATTCCAGGTGGCTGGTAATGAGATGCAGAACGGTGTGGGGCTGTCTGGATCTCGACTCCAGCACACAGAGAACGTGCGTACTGCGTACTGTATATCACCAAATCCCACAAAGCGAGTGGAATGAAAAGGGAAAAGAATATCCGGAGCCGCACAGCTTATAAAGAAACAGTATGCTCAAAGTAAATATCCTCAATTGCGTACCCCAACCTCCTCTCGTCCCGCTTCTGACGTCAACCGGATGTCGACCTTGGCGACCCGGAAAAGCAGCGATCTTCTTATTTCTCAGGGCAAACTTGGAATTCGGCCTGTTCAACCCTTGTCTAATGCTATGATTGGTTGTTGATTAGCTTGTTCTTGAACTTACAGGTCAGTTTGCTGCACTTCTGTCAGATCCGAAACTACAGTACAGTCATTGCACTATACTTGCAGTGAACCCACATACAAGTCACCCACCTCATGCATGTCATGTCGTTGAAAGTCTTGTGCACACAACATGTGGAGAAGGCTTGAATCTGTACTTGTATGGAGTACAATGGCTTGCAATTATGAACGGAGTATAAAGCCTATTACTAGTCAATCTCATATCCTGCACGATATTCCATGACCTCAGCCCCCTCAACCCTTGCTTAGCTGCACATATCCCGGAGAAGGCGGAACTTCTCCAGTCTCCCACGCCTTCGCCTCGGCCCCAAGCTCAAACTGTATCGTGCCACCATTCGTCATCACATCCTTATGCTCAAACCAGTTCTTTTTCCAGTCTTTGCCATTTATCTTCACGCTCTGCACGTAGTATCCGTCATCCATGCCACTCGCAGTAATCCGAAGAGTCTTATCTCCATTGATTGTCATGTTCAGATCAGGGAACCATGGCGATGAGAGAAGATAGACTGGCTGTGTGACAATTGGATAAATGCCAAGAATTTGCCACAAGAGCCAGGAGTTCATGGCCCCCGCGTCGCTGTTTCCGGGGATTCCGTAAGCTGTATCTTTGAAGCTGTTCAGACGGCCTAGTCAGCGTTTTCCCCATATATCACAATCGATGAACCCACTACTGAGTGGCTAAGCTCCGTGATTGGTTCACACTCTTTGCTTGCTTGTTAATGTAATTGTAAAGATAGGGTGTAGCAAAGTCGGGTTCGTTGCTGTTAGTGGAAGTCAGTTTTGAATCGTATGAAGAGATCAGAGGCACGAACCCGATGTTCATCAATGTGGTGATACCCGCGCCATTTGCACCAAGGTCCTGAACGGACATATTTGCTTTGAACTTTTCAAAGTCAGTGACAATTTGCATTTATCGGAATTAAAAGTTACCATCAAGTCAAGCCGAGATTCGAAGGTCTTTGCGCCACCCATGAATTCAATAAGAGTCTTCACATCGTGAGGGATGACGAAGGAATATTCTGGCAAGGTCAACATTGGCTACGCCTCATCATTGGCAAATAGTACTCACCCCATGGAGTTCCCTCATAGGTATAGTCTTCCCACTCACAACCGTAACAATAGAGCGGATCATACCCACTGTTGTTAAACGAGCCATTCGAGAACCTCGGCGCCATGAAGCCATCAAAGCCCAAGCTTTTCACGTTCGTGTTCCATATATTCTGCCATCCAGCGGATCGATTGAGGTACTTTTCCTGGTCACTTGGCATCTCGCCAGCAGCGACTTGGCTAACCGCAAAATCATTGAGACTGTACTCAACAGTGCGCGAGATGCAGCGGGTATTCCGGTCCTGAGAGACGTATCCAAGTTCTTTCCAGTCTTCCAGGGCCCCGCGGCCTTCTTTTGTGCTTGCTGAGAAATCGGTGGGGTCAAATGTGTTGTAAGGGGTCACTTCTGCGTCCTTTTTCATCGCTGCATACCCTTCGGTCCAGTTGATTGCGCCTCTCAGACCTTTGACATATGCGTCTGCGAGTACGTTGTCTGCATCTGAGCCGCCTTGAACCAGTCCATTCCAGTTCCCTGAGCGTCCATCCGGCATATAGCCTGAGTGTCTTCGAAATTGAATCATCAGTTCAAGTCAAAGCGTTGTTGTTTGGTGGACTTACTTCCAAATGTCGATCAAGCCTCGAATCATAGACTCGTAATACGTGGGCTGGAAGATATGGTAGAAGCTCACTGTGCAGCGAAAGATGTCCCCTTCGCCAAAGTCAGTAGCACTCTAGAGTATAAAATCAGTTAACTCACACATGGTGTAAAAGTCATCCCAGTAAGGTTCCCCTGAGTCCCATAGAGGATTTTCACCCGTTCTATCCGATGGCATAAGGTGGATAAAATACAAAGAGCTGTATAGCAATCTGACATGAGTGATGTTTGCGAAACTGTCCAATGGAACCTGGATCTTATTGAAGACATCCTCATTCCATTCCTTGACGGCCAGTTCCACGGTGTTATTAAGCTTCCAGGATGGAATCTCTTTTTGAAGATACGAGCGTGCTCGATCAACGGAAATTGTTGAGATACCGACACGTGAGGTAACATGTGCCGCAGGTCCGTCATTCCAACTGAAAAGCAGCCCGATGCGGTTGTTCATTGGTCCTGAGGTGACTTTTCTGGAGGTATTCTTGAAAGTTGGCTCACTCATGCCGCCATTAGCTAGATTCTGGGATCTGGGCATAGGGTCTGTGTTTGCGCCTGAGAATGTCTGTGAACTGTCTGAAGCCTTGGAGAACTCTCCATAAAAGTAGACAGTGAATGGTGCTCCTAGATTGACGTTCAGAAACTGTAAAACACAAAAGTATGAAGGGCGTACCATTATTCCAGCCGCCGGCATATGTGCCATACCCACTGTAAGCCTTGCCATTGGCTTCGATCTGGATCTCACCTCCAGCAAAGGTCTGGCAATTCGCGTCGCCAGGCGAGGCAGGTAGATACTGTGATAGATTTTCAGCTACTGGTGTCAGGTAGATGTTTCTGGTCCACTTACATGGGACACATCAATCAATACATGCTTCTCGCCTTTCGGAAAGGAGTACTCCATGATTCCAGCATGGCGTGACGCCGATAATTCCACGGTGATATCATTCTCCAGATGGGTCTTGAAATACCCAACCCTGGCGGTATCTTTCCCAACCTATATCATCAATTTCAGCTTCTAGTTTCTAGACACACGAAGCTGGTCACAAGCATATTACTTACTCGCGGTTGACTATAAGTCAAATTGTCGAGCACATTCACCGGCTGATCAACAGACGTCAAAGGCATCTGCGAGACAATACCGTACTTTGGCGACCCTCCAGTGCCGCTTTCATGCATCATGCTGATACCAGTGACATTTCCATCGGGTGTCCACCCGCCATTGAGGGTGGCGGTGGTCCAATTTGCGGCGGTCGTGTCAAGGCCAACTTTGGCCACTCCAAACGGAAGTGCACCTCCAACAAAAATATCACCTCCGCCAAAGGCTGTCCCTGCTTCGGGACCTTCAGAGCCTATGAAAGGGTTCACATATTGTGAGAGGTCGACTTGTGAGGTTGTTGCTGGACTGGCAAGTAAAAGCAAGGGGCCCAGGATAGCAGGTGGTATAGACCAAGACCGCATGATGCGATGAACCCGCACAAATATCGTGAAAGGCAACCTTGGAAGGCAATGAATTCAAGCAAGTTTGGAAATGTCTGCTGAATAAACTTGGAACAATGGAGCTGTGATAGTCAGACGAAGATGTCCATGAGTGCAGCACGCTACCCCTCTGCTCAGCTGCTTTTATATACATTCCACTGTGTGGCTAAAGACCGGTGTAACCCTTACATTAACCTCGGGGGAGGCTAGATCAACCCCCATGAGTCAAAACTCATCTGTAATTACGATTGGATCAACATCAAAAGCTTTCCCACGTCGTCTAGGCTAGCGATAGGTAGCGGCATACCCCGCATCCGTTTGTTGGGGTATATAAATGCCATGTCTGTGCCCCGGGACAGGTGGATGCAATGACATATTCGATCGACGAAGGTCTGAGAGATATGTTACATTGCGCGGCAAAATTGAAACCTCGCAGGATCTTTGGATAAACAAGAGCCGAGCACGGCGGAGCGGTCTGATAAAGTAAAAGCTTGCCACGTGGGGAATACCAATGCGCAGGCTTTCTGACTGTTGTAGCTCTGGAGGGCTGGTCCCACTCCTGCTAAACCTTTATTCAAATGATAGAAAGAATTCGATGTCTCAATTGTACTGTGCACGGCTTGAATGTAAAACCTCGGAACAAATGATATCCAAGAAACCCCAGACTCCTGGCCCATGATATCATCAAAAACATCAAACAAACAACCCCATCCAGACAGAAATCTGAACACCAATAACCACAGAAATGCATGACCCGTCATTATCGACCGGTGATATAATCTCGGTTCTCGATGGTCACACTCTTCGTCATGTGATTGACCTTATAAACACCAACAAGTCGCGCGGCAAGTTCGAACTAGAGAGAATGTTAGCAAAGCCAGTGGGAAAGAAGAGACGGCGACCATACCATGTTGTTTCGCAATGAGATGACAACGAACTGAGCATTCTTGGTGCGCTCCTTGATGTAGGAAGCAACGATAGACACCTGGTGCAAAAACATTAGCTATAAGAACTGTCGCAATCTAATAGGCAAACTCACATTTCGGAAGTCCAGGGCAGCATCGATTTCGTCCATAACGTAGAGCGGAGTAGGCTTGTAGTGATGCAGAGCAAACACCAGTGCCAAACTGGACAAAGTCTTCTCTCCGCCGGACAAGTTGCCGATGTTCTTCCAACTTTTCTTGGGAGGCATGACTGAGAACAAGATACCTTCAGAGAAAGGATCCAAGGAGTCGACCAATTCTAATTCGGCATTACCACCCATGGTGATCATCTGGTACATCTCCTTCAGGCGGAGAGAGATGATACCGAAGCCTTCCATGAAGCCGTTCAAACGAGAAGATCGAAGTCCATCCAAGCGAGCCTTGGCTCCGTCTCGGGATGTCAAAGCCGTGTTCAAGTCTGCTGAGCGAGACTCGTGCTCTGCGGCTCGGCGACGGTATTCTTCGATGACTGAGAGATCAACAGAGGCATTCTGAACCTTCTCCTCGAGGGTCACAATGACTGCCTTCAAAGATTCCTTGTTCATGGCATCCAGCTCGTCTTTGGTGTACATCTGGAGTTCAGTAGGCTCCTGCTCTTCACCAATATCACTGATGTTCTGGATAGTCAACTTCGACAGCTTCTCCTCCCAGTAGCGGCTGCGCTTCTGGTTCTCAGACAGAGCCTTCTGGTTCTCGTCGAGCTTGTTGCGCATCTCGATCTCAGTAGCACGTGTTTCATTGAGCTCAGCCACCTTTGCGTCTAGCTCCTCCTTCAGGGTTGCCAGCTCGGTCTTCTGAGTTTCCAATGCCTATAGGTTGAGCGGTCAGTTACAATCAAGGTCGTTATCAAGTCTTCATCGCATACCTCTTGTGCTTCGTCTGCCTTCTGTCTCCAGTCAGAGGATTCGTTGGCCTGGTTGGCGACATCTTCCTCGAGCTTTTCCACCTCATCGGTGATCTGTGCGATCTCATTTTCGGATGAATCGCGGGCTTTAGAGTGCTTCTTGATGAGCTTCTCGTTCTTAGATTGCTGGCCTTCGGCGTGGGAAATCTCCTCGGCGAGCATGCCAATCTGCTCCTTCAAGCCATCGACCTTGGCCTTTTGTCCACGGAGTCGAACACCGCCAACTTCCATGATCTTGCTTTGCAGGGTCTGAATCTCCTCTTCAATGCCGCTCTTCTCGTCATTGAGCTTCTCGATCTCTTTCTGGGCTTTGCTGATTTGCTTCTCGAGCGCCGCGATTTGACCTTCGTCGGCATCAGATGGTTTGTGTTGCACACCGAGTTCCTTCACACGACGCTGAGCATCAACAAGACTACGCTTGGTACTGTCGATCTCAATAAGGATCTTCTGAATCTTGGTCTCAACGCGTGGAATTTCCTCAGATCGTTCCTTCATTTGAGCCTCTACATTCCGCTGCTTCTCCTGGAAGGCCTGGAACTTCCTTTCGAGATCCTCGAGGTCTGACTCCAAACGGGAGACCTGCTCTTTCGTGGTATCGGCGACTTGCTTTGATGACATACCACCTCGGGCGACACGGGTTCCACCACCACTCATGGTACCTGAGACATCGATCAGTTGACCATCCTGGGTGACAACTCGCCAACGACGAGCTCCGTAGGCAATGCGATTCGCCTGCTCCAGATCCTTCGCAACCAGTGTGTTTTGCATTACACTGTAGAAAGCCGGTGCGAACTTAGGGTCTTTAGGTTTGACGAGGTCGAAGAGTCGTGGGACACTCTCGGGGGTGTAAATTGTAGACATATCTCGGCGAGGAAGGCGATCCAGAAGAATGAAGTTGGCACGGCCAAGATTGTTCTTGCGTAGGTAGTCGATGCACTGTTGACCGACCTCCACGGTTTCGACAACCATATTGTCAAGAGCTGGACAGGCCGTGGAAATTGCAACATCGTACTGCTCGTCGATTGTGCCCAAGTTACCAAGTCGACCATGGAAACCATCAATGCGACCCGACTCTTTGAGGCGCATCAACCCAGTCAAAACACTTCCACGGTTCTGGGTGCTGGCTAAGCTGACCCGAGCTTCGTCTGCTTTTTGTCGTGCACTGGAGACGTGCGACCGAACTTCTGGCTCACGGGTAGAATACTTTTTGAGGTCGTGTTGGAGCTTCTGGACTTCGGCTTCCAGGTTCTCCTTCTGTGCCTGTCGCTCTTCGAGGTCGTTTTCCTTGGACTGCAAGCTTTCCTCGATGGTGACAATCTTCCCCTGCGCTTCCTCAAGCAGAACCGCGCCGGCATTTCCGCGTTCGCGGAGGATGTCGAGCTCACTCTGGGCAACGGCAACAGCAGATTGCTTTTCATTAATCTTCGCGTTCCATGGCTCCAGGGACTTCTGCTTGGCAGCAATTTCATCTGAAAGACCCTGGGTTTTGCCCTTAAGGCCCTCGCGGATTGAGTTGAGTTCCTGCTCCTCTGTCACCATCTCGCTCTCGAGCTGTATGGTCTCGGCAGTCTTCTTCTCGATGTCTGAAGTGAACTTCTCAACCAAGCTCTGACACTCAGAAGCCGCGAGGCGACTGGTCTGCATGGCCTTTTCCAGCTTTTTCTGTTTGCCGAGCAAGAATTTCTTCTTTTCCTCAAACTTGACAGACTCTTTGTCGTATTTCGCCATTTCCTTCAGCAAGCCCTGGGTGTCCTTCTCCATAGATTCATAGTGGCGCATTCCCTTTTTGTAAGCCTTCTCAAGCTCCTTGATGCCGGACTCGTTTCCTTCGTGCTTCTCAAGTTCCAGGTTGAGCAATTCTTGCATTTGAAGAATCGCCTCTTCGGTGACTCGAACATTGTCGGAGCACTCGTCGATGTAAATCTGGTAAAGCGAAGATTGTTTTTGGGCCAATTCGTTCTCTTCGCGAATGTATGCCAAAGCCTTGTCTTTCTTGTCCACCAAAGCGGTCTTCTCTTTCTCGACATGCTGAACACGATTGTTCTTTTCCACGCAAACATCGTTCAGGGTTTCGAGCTCGGTGGCGGCTTCGTCGATCGGCGTCTTATACTTGGAGGTTCCGATAATGTCTTCCAAGTACTCCAGTAGGCCTTCATCGTGTTCGTTGGCCGCTTTGGGCTTCATCTGGGCGATGGACTCAACCTCACCCTGCAAGATCAGGAAACGCTTGTGGTCGAGGTCAATTCCGCGGTCGCGTAGGAAAGTCGTCACGGCAGTGAAGTTGGTTTCCTTTTTGTTCATGTAATATTTGCTGGTGTTGTTCTTGAACGCTCGGCGGGAAACAATCAGTTGGGAATCTGGGACTACTTCTTGGCCCCCTTCGGGCAAATCGATAACTTGTGAGAAATGAACTTCCACTTCACAGTAGGCCAAGTTGGGGTACTGGGCCGAGTTGTGAATCAGTGCGGAAATCTTGCCCTGTCTCATCTTGCTAGCGCGGAAACCAAACACGAAGAGCAGAGAGTCGATGACGTTCGACTTTCCAGATCCATTGGGTCCGACAACAGATGAGAAAGAAGCGTGGAATGGACCGACAATCTGCTGGCCCGCGTAACTCTTGAAATTTGTCAGGATGAGGTTCTCAATGATCATGCGAGGCTTGGGCCCCTCAGGCTCTTGTGGTGCTTGGGGAGCTTGCTCTCTGGACTTGGCCACAATATCCATAGGCCTCTCCAGCACTGTTGAGTTGGGATTGATGATGTTGATCTGAGATTTGGCTTCTTCTGGCTGTTTCGATGGCGAGTCGCTCTGGTTGACAGCGGATTCGGTGATATCGGACAGGGGAGGAACGCTGGCTCGTTGCGCGCGGGCCTGGGGCTCTGGGGATTGGGAGGGCTCTGGAGTAGGGAGTGAGCCCGGTGCTGTTGTGGGAGTGGCTGCGCCACTAATTTTTCGGGGATCAACCATACTTTTTCTTTTCAATGCCGCTTTGCTGGAAGGTGATTCAGGATCGGCTTCCATTTCCGCTTCCATTTCCGCAATACGAACTGCCTCGTCGTTCTCTTCGTTCTCTTCGTTTTCGTCGTTTTCGTCGTTTTCGTCGTTTTCTTCGGGTTCGTCGACATCCATCGCATCAGCATCAACTGAATCGGCATCGGCATCCGTGTCCATCGCATCAGAATCATCGGTTGTCGCTTGTTGGGTTTTGCTGGTTGCGCGGACGGTCGCAGGTGTCACGGGCTCAAGGGTCATTCTCTGGCTTGATGCGCGCTTTGCCTTCTTGGGGACTGGTGTATATTCCTGCTCCTCTTCTTCCTCGTCGTCATCGTGCGTATCTGGTGTCGGTGTTACATTTCCGGAGTCTTCCGATTCAGAAGTGTCTTCGACGACATAACTCCGACGGGGGCAGACCGGCGTGAGGTCCGACCCTTTGCGACAGAAGCCATGGTGTGCGGATCAGTTGGGCGTCTGCAGCATGGAGGGGCGATGAGGGATTGACGGAGTGTTTTGTCGATTGAAAGTGGGTTGTTTACCTCGTGCCCGAAGAGGCAAAGTGCCCGCCGTTCTGCCACAACACACCCTTCACCGCCGTATCCCACGGTAAATTACGATACGGTAATTACTCCTCCGCGGAGCTTCACTTGCAGCGAGAATTAACTTAATCATTATCATCTTTAATCCTGACCAAAATGGCTCCTTGGGAGAACTTTGACCAGGTCTTCTCCTTCAACAAGAAATACTCATATGAGCCAAAAGTCTTTGACCAGATCCTGTCCAACCGACGCTCTCTCGGTCAGCTCTTCGCCGATCGACTCTTGTCACTCTTTGGCATCCAAGGAGGTACGGTGCAGCTTTCCCATGCGCTTGCAGCTTCATGTTGGCTGAATTGACCCCTCCAGTAACCAAGGTCTATCCCCCAAAGGCCAACGCAGACCTTCGAGCTCTGTTCAACCTTATCGTGCCTTCCGAACTTGATATTCATCACAAACAATCTTTGATCTACTACATCCTCAAGGACTGTCGCACTGCGCCAGAAGCTTCCGCCCAGTTTGCGCAACAATGTCACCTTCCGGAGAAGTACCGTTTCCTCATTGAGGGACTCTGGCACATGGATCGCCTTGACTTCCGAGTAAGCTAGGAAAGCTTCCCACTAGCAGTATTGGGCTGACAAGAATGTGATTCAATAGCGAGCAGTCGAATTTCTTGCCGAACCCTCCCTCATTCCCACCTTCCCAGATGAGATTCTCTACGCGCTGACTCTCACCCAACTGCCCAAGCATGACAACAGTCTTGCCATCGCATACTACCTGACTGCGGCACCTCCACTCGCCAGCTCAAAGGTCCGCACAGCGTTCTTTGACGCGCTCGCTCGCTCCAACATCACCGAGGCATTCTACTTCACGCGCAAGTATGATGAAGAACATCGCCAGGCTTTCTTTGAGCAACTGGTGGAGTTTGTGCACAAGACCGTTCCTGGTCAGACTAGAAGCCGGCGAGCAATGGAACTTGTCGGCCTTCCACTTGATGAAGACGAGGAACAGTGGTTTGAGGATGTCCTGTTGCAAGGAAATGCCAGCACCTTGCCTGGTTCCAAGGACACGGTGATGATGCGTCGTTTGGCGACTGGGCGACTGGAGGGAATTGCGCCCGAGCTTGAATCATTGGGTGGTAAGAAAATCGACGGTCTGAACTGGGACGATCTTCGGGGCAGCATACGACACAGGTGAATGATATACCCAACTGATACAAAATTGTAATGACTCATTGGTTTGATATTGAGTGAAATTGGAACTGGAGTTTAAGGTGTCCTTAGAGTTCGTGATCTGCCAAGCTTGTAGGTGTAAGAAGATGAGGTTTTAACCTTGGAAGGATCGATGAATGCCTGCAAGTATCTCCGGGGCTGTAAACAAAGGGTTCTAGTGTTCCAAGGTTAGTTCCAAGTTTCCTGGGGTATTCGAAGGTTTGGGTTGTAAGTGACTTCCACAGATATATTTACATGACAGAGTAGCCGCGGGTGCCCAAGTGGATGCCCTGGTGGCGCTACGAAAACAGGGTTGACAGACAAAATAGTCAATCTCAAATGACAAAGAAACTCCTCAATATTGACTCAAGCAGTCACATTTATGTTTCAACTTACAGCATATCACCAAGGACATCTGTATAGAAAGTGTATAGATGGAGGTCTAACACGTTAGAAAGCGGGCGGGCGATAAGAGCGATACGGACCTCCGATTCCGAAAAAAGTCCCAACCACAGCTCTCTCTCCCTTGTATAACGCGTTACACCAACTGTTCATCCTTTGATCTGATATAGAAATTCAAGTGAACAGCAATCTGATAGACGCGTGTCAGTGGCGAGGGCTAATCAGACGCGAACATGGTGGTTTGCACCTTCTTCCAGCAGGGCCGCTGCAAGTTCGGAGGTAGGCGTCCATCGAGTACCTGGAAACAAAGAAAAAGATGCTAACAAGTTCTTACAGCTGGCTGCAAATTTGAGCACCCTGGCCGAGGAAGTGCTGGCACATCGGTAAATCGATTCAATGCTTTGGGTGGAGGGTTCGGAGGTGAGTGACACCACTTGTTTCTTTACTTTCGTTGCTCTTGCTATGCATGTCTGCCATTGCACTCTTCGATTGACCAACCATCTTTTCGTTTCTTGCTTTTTAATCTCATCACGAGCGGCCCCATCCTGTTTTGAACATCGTTTTGTTCCACCTTATCTACTTCAACCCCATCGTTGGAGCTCATCCGTTCCACATCATCTCTCATTTGCCTGATACTCCGTTTGACCTGATACTCAACCTTTTCACCTTTCCTGTTGTATGCGATTCCATCATGCCCGATCCTCAGGGTCCATTCAAGCTTCCCCCGAAGCCCAAGATGAAGGGTCAGAATCCGCTATCGGTCTATCTCGAACTTCTGGAAAGCCGCAACCCTTCTCGAGCGTCCTCGTCTTCTTCTCGCGTCACTCCTCCTTTAGTTGCTCCTTCTTTAGTTGGTCCTTGCATAAGACCTAACGTCAAACCAACACCAGGTGCGAATCAAACGAACAATCAGAGACAACAACCTGCCGAGTAAGTCATCTCACCTCCCACCAAGTTCCGCGCTAACTTAAAGACAGCTTCGGTGTGACGCCAGATATAATCAGAGATGACCTGACTGCGGGCAAAGGTCGTCCAGAATGGATATTTTCTGCCTACGCACCCTCGAGAGAGGTCCCACGTCACCTCTTCGGCGGCCCTCACCGCGAGCGGAGTATGGAAGAGATGCGAGTGCGTCACTATGAACTAGCTGCCGCCGGGAACATCAATGAAGCAGTGCAAGAAGCCTCAAACCTTTGGGCAGAATGTGTGCAGCAGACGGACGCCGCATTGAATGACACGCGGGGTGCCACCAAATATGTCATCGATGGCAAGAATGAACACCCCAATCGATTCGATATCATCGAGGGCAAAGCAAATGATCCCTCGAACCAAGGCGCAACTGTTAGCCAGCCTTCCCCCTTCGGTCAGCAAAACACCAATGCGGGACAAAACGCCGGTACTGCACCTGGGGCATTCGCTGCTCCCTCCTCCACATTCGGTCAAGCCCCAGGTTTTGGCCAGCCATCCGGACTCGGTGCTTCTGCGCCCTCACAGCCATCCGCCTTTGGCCAGCCCTCCGGACTTGGTGCTTCGGCACCCTCCCGGCCGTCAGCCTTTGGTCAGCCTTCTGGACTTGGTGCTTCAGCGCCCCAGCAGACATCCGCCTTTGGCCAACCTTCCGGACTTGGCGCATCACAGCCATCTGCCTTTGGACAGCCTTCGGCGTTTGGTCAACCTTCTGCCATGGGTGGCTCCGCCTTCGGCCAACCGTCGGCCATAGGAGCGCAATCTACACTGAATAAACCAGCATTCGGCCAGACAAGTCTTGGCCAACCAGGCGCCAATGCGAATCCCTTCGGTAAGCCTTCGGCTCTCGGAGGTAACGCCAGTGCTCCATTCGGTGCACCCTCTGCTGCTTCTCCCTTCACTAAAATCGCCCAAAATCCGCCCGCCGCCAGCGGCTTCGGCCAAAGCTCAGGGCCACCTGGAGCGTCACCATTCGGCCAAGCCGCAGCGAAACCTACTGCCTCACCATTCGGGCAACCAGCCGCGGCGACTCAACCAGCGGCTCCATTCGGCGCCCCTCAACCTTCATCATTCCCACCAGCCAACTCCAACCCAAACCCATTTGGAGCGCCTGCCACGCAACCTCCGGCAGCATCCCCCTTTGGCACCGCTTCACAGCCACAATCACAACCTTCCCCATTCGGGCGACCTGCCGCCCCCCCAGGCTCTACCAGCTAAACCGACTACTGCTGGGATCAGTACATCAGCGCCACTCCATGCGCCCAATGATCTCAATCCACTTCCACAGCTACAGGGAGAGACCCGGACCAATCCACAAAACAACCGTATTGCGATGTGGAAGGGTCGGCCTGTAAACTATATCAACGAGCATCCATGCTATCTTCACCCTCAAGACAACAAGACATTTGTTCGAATCAACTTCCCGAGTGGACCTCCTGACGCTGCCAGTCTGAGGGACTCGCAGGGTAAACCGGAAGAATACACCCCAGAAGTGACAGAGGCCTACCAATTCTTCCTCCAGAACGGTCACTTCAAAGATGGCAAGATCCCTGTTGTACCTCCACAGCGAGAGTGGATCAACTTTGATTTCTAGCACACCACTTATATGCTTTGCATTTCAACCCCGTACCTTTAATTCATCAGCAGGGTCTGTCATGGCGGAGATAAAAGGGCACGTCAGGTTCGGGGAGCGGTAAACGCAACACATTCAATGAGAAGAAAGTCAGAGACAAATATTCATCAAAGAAGGATGGAAAGGCCCTCTGAATAAACCAATGATGAAAATGATTGCTACAATTATGGGTCGTGTTACGATGATAGGCAACTACAAATATGAAGGTCGACGGTCTTTTTCAAGATGTTCCCATTTTTTTGTTTTATTTCAGGTCCAAACGAGATCCCCCACATCAATGTACAACTGTTGTGGGCCAGGGCTGGCTCCAAAGCAGCACTTTGCACCACAACTTCACCAACCCATGATCCCTCCCTGAGGCAAGCCCAGCCTAGCGCATTTATGCGGCAATGGTGACCTCAACCTCAACACCGGCCTCGATGTTGATGATGATCTGCTTGACGGTCTCGGTGGGGGCGAGGAGGCTGAAGTACATGTTAGAGACTGCGTATCTTGCGGCGAAAAAACCGTCGTAGACGTAAACGGGGAAAACTCACTCGATGAGACGCTTGTGGATGCGCATCTCGAACTTGTCCCAGGTCTTGGAACCCTCACCGTTGGGGGTCTTACGGGTGGAGATCTGGAGGGTCTTGGTGGGAAGACGGACGGGACCCTTGACCTGGAGGGACTTGGAGCGGGCACGGTCGATCAGCTCCTGGCAGACCTTCTCGAGGGAGGCAACCTTGCGGGAGGTGAGGGTGATGCGGATCTTGTGGACCTTCTGTAAAGCGGAAAGGCAATTAGCTCTTGTACTCCATGAATTCAATTGTCATTCCGAGGCAGCGACAGCAATGCGCTGTGCGCCGGTGACAATTTTCAGGTACAACGTACAGGGCCCTCGCCGAAATCCTTCTCGGGCTTCTGGAAAGACATCTTGAATGATATGAACTAGGTTGGGTTAGAAAGATTCAAAGACCGAAAGAGGGAGAGCGCACAATTTAAAAGGCAAATGCCGTCAAGACCTGAACTGCTAGGCTCGGTAAAGTGATGATGGCTGTCGGAAGTTATTGTGGATCGAGAATTCGATATCCCAAAAACTTCAGTGCGAAAGTCTTGGCGCTTCGGCTATCGCACGCTAAACCCAATTCGGTCCCCTTCGAGCCTCTGCTTAGTCATCACCTCTTTGAGCCATCAAGACGAGTTGTGAGGCTCGAATGAGATATTGGGGTGACAAGCGTTTTTGTGTTCTTGAATTTGTTTCTTTCTACTATTGTCTTCTTCGTTGCTATCTTGGCTTCAATCTCAATCCATCTACCCTCATCAAATGGCCCAGCTCCCCCCACTGGCTCCAGTGCCCTCCCCCGCAGTGAGGAGGACAATCCCATCTAATGACTGGGAAAATTGTCTAGATGCATGGATGACTCTCTTGGGAATCCGATTGAATCTTTCGGATCAGCAGTTTAAAGCAGCTGCGGCCGAAGATACATCGGTACCACCCTTCTTGGGATCCTACTATCAATACACGGCGGCGGGAGACACCAGTCTCCAGAGTGGGCCTAAAGGACGACAGCTCCGGAAACTATGCTTTTTGACGACAAGGCGATTTCTGCTTGATTTGCCCAATCCACCACAAAATCTATTAGACTGGAGGCTTCTCGGTAATCTTTGTTGCTGCTATCCTTCCAGCGCGACCTTGAAGACGTCATTATCCAAGGCATGGGAGTTCCATCATGACAAGATTACCTCGAGTATCGACAAGGCAAAATCTAGTGTGACGAAAAATTTGGTTTCAGCCAATGCTTCGTCAAACCCAGAGATTCTCTCTGACATCCGTCGATTGACCATCTTAGCTTCTGTGCTGCCAGCATGTGGCCAAGCACTTATGGCGGGCTCTGACTTCCTGGACACCATAGCCGAAGCCTACCAATCAAGAAATGCCAGAGAAGAGTTTCGCCGCATCCTTGTCGCCAACATCTACGTTTCTCTGATCTCTTTGTTGAAAGAACCTGTCAACCTGTCCTCATTATTAGATCAACTTTTCAGCCTCAAAGCCGCAGCTCGAGTAGGAGCACCCAAGATGAAGAAAGAATCAACACTTCTTTCTGATCTCGTCTGCAGCTCGGACTTGCTTATCCGATTAGAGAAATACCTTGTGAACAATCCCCAGAAACGGGGACAGGATCTTCTTGTTAGCTTGCGTGCCTACCAAGCTGAATCGCAGTCTTTGCACCATCGATACCAGAGACGCAAGAAGATAGACAAGGGCAAAAATGCTTCCTCGGATCCTGTCATCCCAGAACACTTACATGCACACAAGATGTCTCTTGTCACACAGGTGCAGGACTTGTTTCCTGATCTTGGATCGGCTTTCGTTGTACGCCTTCTTGACTTCTACAATGACAACCCCGAGACTATTGTAGCCCAGCTTCTGGACGATTCGCTACCAATGGAGCTTCAAGCATTGGACAGAACCGAGCAGCTTCCTCCTACAGCAAAGCCTCATCATGTCCACATGTCCCCTCAACCAACACCACCGGCGGTGCCGTCACTACAGCTTGAACACACCCCAGCCCGAAGAAATGTCTTTGATAACGACATCGATATTGCCGAACTCAGCCGATCAGGTGATGGTTCCGGCAAATTACACTTTGGCCGTGTCGATGCAGACGAAACAGCCGACACAGTCCTTGCAGACCGCAGCCAGCACGCCACGAACAAAGCAGCAATCCTCTCCGCACTCGCCACATTTGATTCCGATGATGACGAGCGCGACGATACGTACGATGCAACCGACGTAGGCGGAGCCATCGACGGGCCTACAGGTGCAGACGGCGAAGCCGACGCAGAAAAGCAGACTCGACGCGCGGTCGATATCGACGCGACTCTCTTCCGGACATACAAGTCCAACCCTGGCCTCTTTGCCCGTGACTCTGGGACCCGGCGCTCGCAACCGCGCCAGTCATTGAAGCGCGAGACCGAGATGACGGATGAGGCCATTGAAGGATGGGCTGTGATGCTAGCGCGTGACTCGAAGCGTCTTGCTAGACTTGAGGGTCAATTTGCCATGGATGCCGGTGGGGCTGGTGGTGGCGCACTGAACCAGCCTGAGCTCCGCTCTACTTCTTACCGAAGACCTCAGCCCGCCGAGGATGGAAACGAGGGCTCGGATGAGGGTGAGTCTTCTGGCAATGGTGGTTCTCGGGGTAGAGGTAGTGGTGGTGGTGGTGGTGGTGGTGGTGGACGAGGTGGACGAGGACGCGGTAGTGGGCGCGGGCGTGGCCGTGGAGGTGGTCCTCAGTCTGGTGGCCAAGGACAGGCGGATAATGCTGCTTCGCGGCAGAGGAAGGAAGAGAACAAAGGCAGTCGTGCCAACCATAACCGGCGACAGCAACACGCAAAGAAGATGGCGCGCGGTGGACTCCCTGGTTAGCAGTACCATGGATGGATTTCTGCTCCCTGTCGACCACACTTATCAATACAATGTGATCATGAATCACGAATGTAAAATAGATGCATTATATCTGAGAAGGCTACTGAAGCTTTGAAAAAGAGCCAAAATACACGATTTGCAGCAGTCATTGATTTCATTAATATACTTCGACAATTGAAATATGGCGTGGGTGGCCGTAAGAGTCTATCTGAGCCAGCGGTTCACATGGCCAGCAAGGAACAAAGGCTTCGCGTATCAGTGGTGATCAGAAAATACACCAGCCTCGGAAATGGATTTGCGACATTCCTCCATAAGGCGTACCTGCTTCGCAACCTCGCCCAGTCGGCTGATAACCTCCTTGTTTCCATCGTAGAACGTGAATATGGCATACGGAATACCAGTGTCACGGCAAAACTCGAGAACGAACTTTTGCGTACGACGGAGATTGTGGCGGGGGATACGAGGGTAGAGATGATGGATAGCTTGGAATTGCAAGCCTCCGTGGAAAAAGTCGAGCCATGTTGGGCAGTCGACGTCCATGGTGGTGCGAAGCATTTTCTGAGGGAAAGATTCGCCGACTCCGAGGTCAGCGGTTGACATCGCGAAGTGGGATAATGTGATTTGAACATGCAGTGGCGAAGGTACAACATGCGAGATGAGGAGGAAAACAATGCGACTGGTGGCATCAGGAAGCGTTTTATACATAACACCATAGCCGAACCAAGTCCAGAAAAAGACTTGCCCAGCAAGCTCAAAGTAGAGGTGCCACCAAGCAGGTCCTTTTCGTGGCGCCTGGCGTTTCAGTAGATACTCCCAGCTCAAGGCGTACAAGTTAAAACGCGCAAGCATCATGATTGGGTAGTAGGAGTAGTTTTGGATTTTGAGGAAGAATCGCGCCGGGGCGTCGTAAGTCATGATTCGGTCGTAGTAGGTGCTCTTAAGGCTTGTGAGGAAGCGATGCGAGATGGCGAAGAATGGAATATGTTCAATGTCAGGATCGTGTTCAGGCTCGTTCGTCACGATGTGATGAACGTTGTGGCTTCGTTTCCACCAGCCAAGACTGAGTCCACCAAGGAAGTCTGCGATGATCATTCCAATCACAGTATCCACATGGAAGTTGTGAGTGATACCCATATGACCGGCATCATGGGCGGTGAAAACAAGCTGATGCCAGAAACAGCCGAGGAAGAACGCAGAGGCTGCCCACCACCCCATACGCAGGAATATATATGAAAGACCTGCAAAGAGGGTGTATCGACAACATTCTATCGCGTAGCTGGAGTAGTTGCAGTTGTAGAGGCCCTCGGCCTTGATACGCTCGTTCAATTCGCGGTATTTGCGCTTGATTTCCTCCTGCCTCGCAGTATCCAGTGATGGATATTTAGCAATGTCGAAGTCAATTTGTTCCTGGGTTCTGGCGTCCAAGAAGGCAGGCTGTGGCTGAGATCGTTCGACCGAGGCAGACGGACCAGACTTGGAATTGGGTGATTTCCTCTGCCTGACAGCAGATGGTGAATCGACGGGATCGAATATGGGCGAAGGAGGAGTTGATTCATCTTGGCTGGAGCCACTCGAGCTTTCTTGGGCAGTTGATTCCTCCTCACTCAGACACGAGTCCTCCGTATATATCCGGTACTTGCCGCCTTGGATCGGAGGGAGGAAGTTGATCCATGTCCCTTCAACACATCCAATTTGATAGGCGGGCATGCGTTCGCGGGCTTCTTGGGAGTGTAGTCTGTATATGAGAAAGATGGATTAGATTGATCCAATCTCATGCGGGTCTATTGCGGAACATACGCGTTGATCTCATCTGTCGCATCTCTGCCTACCATGTGCTTGATAGGCTTTTCTCCTCCAGGATGGTATTTGAGCCAGGCGTCGACCTTCAGAACGCGGTTTTCGTAGATCATGACATGCTTCCCTTCGGCGATAAGGCCCTCAATGTATCGTCGAGACAGGAGGGTGTCCTTCCTGGACGGTCGGTGTGCAGTCTTCTCCATCTTGCAATGCGGCGAGAGTGCGTACGGTCAGAAAACGAAGGTGGGTGATTTACAAAGCCATCGAGGCAATATCGAGCAATGGTATTGAGCGATCGCAAATCAAAGAAACAACAAGGCAGGACAGAAGAGAAGGACGTAAAGTTGAAACAAGGCAGAAACGTGCAGGGGCGGAGCTACGGATAGCGGGGACCGATCGGCCTCGGTCAACAATGTCACCGTTTGACATTACTACGCATCCCTTGATATTGCATGGCATGATGACCGTAAGTGTCCTCTGTCTATTTTAAGAACTGCGTTTTAACTCTGCTAGGAATCTATCTCATCTTTGACTCAAACATGGCTTCAGTGGGACCAGGTAAGTACATCCCGTCCGGTGGCATGATCCCACTGACTCGGATATAGGACCCTACTACTCGGGCGGAAATAGAGAAGCTTCAGGATTCCAATGACACAGAGGAATTGGAAAAGCGCTTGCGTAACCGTCTGTCTCTTCCCCGCGCTTTGGTTGGTCCAGGCCTGATGTGTGTGTACATGTAGGTATCGAGTTCGGAACTGCCGGTCTTCGTGGCCGCATGGCAGCAGGGTTCTCGTGCATGAACTCCTTGACTGTCATACAAGCCTCTCAGGGACTGGCTAAGTTTATTCGGGACAAGCGTTCCGAGATTGCCTGCAGCGGTGTTGTCATTGGACACGATGCGAGGCATAACTCCGCAAGATTTGCCGCACTGGCCGCCAACGCTTTCATTGCGCAACAGATTCCTGTATGGTTCTTCAAAGAGGAGGGACCGACGCCAATGGTACCTTTTGGCGTGAACCATTTCCGTGCTGCCGGAGGCATCAGTGTAACGGCAAGCCATGTAGGTCAATATCAGAGGTCAAACCGAGAGCTAAGAATACTAATACTGGAGTCTGCAGAACCCACCTCAAGACAACGGTATGCAACTTATGTTTAAAATTCCGTGAAAAAGCCTTGCTAACCGTCATACAGGTTACAAAGTGTAAGATATACACACTCATTGGAAAGGAAATATCTGACAAACCCAGCTACTCGAGTAATGGTGCCCAAATCAACCGTCCCGAAGATGGAGAGATCGCACAGTCAATCCTAGAGAACCTTGAACCGTGGCCAACTGCTTGGGCAGAACTTCAACCGGGTGAATACTTGCACGCTGATTCATACCAGGAATTGCTGCCTTATTATCGCAAAAAGGTGGAGGAGTTCACGGTACGTTGGTCAATCTCCCGCTTGAAACTGACCTAACAAGCCGTAGAAAACTACGGTATCAGATTGGCAGCCGCCCAGACCTTTCGTCTATACACCTTTGCACGGTGTAGGAGGCTTGGTTCTCCCAAGTGTCTGCCACTCTATTGGGATCCATGACTTCGTACCCGTCGCTACCCAAGAGAAGCCAGATCCAGACTTCCCCACTGTGAAGTTCCCCAACCCAGAGGAAAGCGGAGCTCTGGATCTTGCTATCCAGACAGCTGACCAAGAGGGGAAAACACTGATCATCGCGAACGACCCCGATGCCGACCGTTTCGCCGTAGCAGAGAAAGTCGGGTAAGTCAAATCTCCAATTCCCCGGTCTGGGCCAGGCTGACATGTTCAAATTTTCAAAGTGAGAGTTGGCACACGTTGAGTGGGAACCATGTTGGTGTTCTTTTGGCCTCTCATCTCTTGGATTCATTCGACGCGAATGAAGATTGGTCACATATTGCAGTGCTGACTACAACTGTATCAAGCTCTATGCTTGCCAAGATGGCAGCTGCCAAGGGAATCCAGTTTACTGAGACCCTGACAGGGTTCAAGTGGATGGCCAATGTTGCCCGGGATCTAGAAAAAGAAGGAAAGACCATTGTATTCTCCTATGAGGAAGCACTGGGCTACATGTTCCCATCTGTGTGTTATGACAAGGACGGAATCACTGCAGCCACTGTTTTTCTGGCCGCAGAGGCAAAATGGAGAGCTCAGGGTTTGACTGTCTATGGAAAACTTCAGAAACTCTTTGTTGAGTTTGGCCACCACGAGACACTGAATAATTATTTCCGATCTCCTGATACCCAGCTTACCTCAACCTTGTTCCAGGGGATTCGAAACAGCCCAAGCCTCGCAGAAATGAAGTTTGGTCGGTTCAAGATATTGCGGTGGAGAGACTTGACCGAGGGCTACGACTCTAGCACGCCTGACAACAAGCCAGATCTACCTGAAGACCCGACGAGTCAGATGCTCACGCTGTGGCTTGAGGGAGGGGTTCGGTTCACATTCCGAGGCTCAGGAACAGAGCCCAAGGTCAAGTGTATGCTGACACTGGACCAATAAAAATGAGAGATTCACTAACATTCTACATAGTCTATATCGAGAGCTGTGGAGACTCTCGCGAGGACGCTGTCAAAGCCGTCTGCGATGCATTCCAGGCTATCCGGGAAGAGTGGGTTCAGCGCTTTACGCCTTCGATGACATACAGCAAGCAGCTACGTACTTCGTCTGGTCATGTTCTGGATTTGGAATGAGTATTGATATTAGTTTAACCATAGTTGTTAGACTAGTCCCTCTTCTCAAGTGTTTCAATCAGAGCCGTAATTCCATGTCACGTTGGCCCGTTCAATTTCGATGACACATTGAAACTTGCAGAAGAAAAGACGAAAAATATTCAGCAGAAAACGAAGCTCATGCATGGGAGCGAACCAAGCATTAAAAAAATATAAGAGCTTTCTGAGACCCAACACTTCCATACGCCTAATCGGGACGCTGAACCAACCCACTCCTTGTTGTCACCTGGGCAAACCGCATTGCATAGGCAGGGTAACGCGAATCAGAACTGGAACTCGCTGGATTCTCCCCACAGCCACATTTTGATTTCCCGCAATGCATCGAGATCATTGCTAGGCAGCGCACGGTTGACCTTCTCATCATGCCAACCATAGGTCCGCTTGACCAAATCTAGCGCGTGGCCCTGGTGGCGGGCGGAATCGAAATCGATTATGACGGGGGTATCTCCCTGAAACATGATGTTGTTTGGGTTGATGTCATTGTGCACGATACCCAAGCCATGAAGATGCTTCAAGCCCGATTCAATTCCCCTCAGCCATTCGTCGGCCTCGGCGCGATCCACCCAACTTCTCTCATAGGCGACATTGTTCTTGCTGCGATGTTTCGGGTTGACTCTGTCCATGAGAGTTTCTTCATACTTCGAGAAGAACATGCCTTCCATCATGCCACTCTGAGACACAGCACAACCGTGGTATTGAGCGATGTTGGGGTGTGGGTGTTGCTTCAAGAGCTCGCATATCTTCACTTCTTCGAGCCAAGTATCCCTAATAAGCTGCGGGTAGCGGGGATCATAGGATGACAGACTCGGCTCCTTCAGATACAAGGTCGACAAGTGCTCCGGAGAGCCTTCTGCCTTCGTGAAAGATTCTTCGAAGCGCGGGTAGACGATGCTGCGGTGGATTTTGTTGGTGCTGTACAAGTCGCCCAACTGGATCTCAGCGGTGGAGTGATACTGCTTGCGTGAGAATGCGCGATAGACAGAGCCTTCCAGTTCATAGACTATGACGGTCTTGTTGAATGCGAATCCATCTTCTGGACCCCCGAAGTCCTCGGAGCATTCGATGATACGCATCTTGGCGGTAGGGGCCTGCATGGACTATAGAAGCATGAAGGACCCAAAGAATGTGTGGTTAGTAGGGAATGAGAGGAGTGTGGAAGCTAAATGTGACGATGATGCTTGGCGATGGGATGGGTGGCCGCTTAGTCGTGATTTCAAGCGTCGTTTGCATGCGCCGTTTGCACCTCGTCGCCAACCACAGCCTGTACGAGGGAAACAATTCGGGCTGGAGCCACAGGAAGCATCAGCAGGACATTGAACCTATGCGGGTTCTCCGATGTGGGATCCTGGGGATATATTGCTCCTGATGCCTGCGTTTCAATGTCCCTTTGTCAATGCTCTATTCCAGATTCCAACATGCATCATCGCTTCATACATCACCACAAGCAGAGCCGGAACACTAGCCACACCAGTCATCATACTCAATATGAGTCTCACCAGGGTACTGGATGTCACCCTCCCAATACCTCGTGTCACCTACATGAAACCACATTGTGTCTGAATGGAAGATCCCACCTTTCGAACGATTTTGAGCACAATGAGCTTCAGGATCATCAAAGTACATGGTCTCATGAGGCGAATGATGGATCTTCTCACTCCATATCTTCTTGTCAAGATCACATCCCGCCGACGTGAGTACAATGTCTTCGAAAGGAAAGATAGGTCTTTTGGGCTAACTCGATCTATACCACAGAAACAAAAGCCCCGGGACACAGCATAGAAAAGGATGCCCACTGTTTTCACAGAGTCATTTGATCCACACCCACACTGAAGTACGACACCGTCGCTGGGCCGAAGATGACCATCGCATCCCTCACTCCAACGACTGCTATAGCGACCGAGAACCAATCCACGAGAAGAACGACAAGTGTATTCACAAGTTCGAGGAGCACCACCCGATTCTGCCCGCAGTACCTAATACATACGATTCTTTTGCCTGTACGACAATACACAGGTCAGAGAAGAACAAGTGCGAGAGTTCATTCAAATCTGTCAGGTTCAGCGACCAAGCAGACTCGGTTCAGGCGTCTGTTGCGCAACCGCCAGTTTGCCCTATACATCACCGCCGGACCTCCAAAGACCGACCGCATGGCTTCCACGGAAATATCGTCCCTTTGACTGGCCTGCATCCGGGGGATTTCAAATGGGTGTGGGGTCCACCAATACCGGAGGGGTTCCGTGAGGGGAAGATGTGTTAGACATTCTGTTTGCGTTTCAAACTGGTTGATGTCTTCTATGAGCCTTACTAGGAGACTTCAGACTCCGTTGATCAAACCGGCCTTCGGATGCGCAGAAAGTCAATCTGAGATCCACGATAGCTAGAGGATTAGTACTTTATTGATTTTTGTTGAACTGCTTCTAGCCATTGCACTTCATGGTATTCATCACACGGCCTCCAATTGAAATCTTGAGCCCGTTTCATTGCTAGCCCAGCAATACGAACCAGACTTCAAGGATTCAACTTTTATGGTATAGTATCCCGCGCAGTCGCTGAATTGGTCGCCGCAGGTGGAGAAAACGCGTCTGCAGCGAAGGACACAGGCCAGCCCGTAATTTCCCCCCATTTCCTTAATTCCTCTGCGATCTCCAGCCGTTTTTGGGCATTTCGAAGCCAAGGGCCACCTGTGATAACAAATCAGGGATATATCGAAAGGAAGACAGCACGGCACTCACAGAATGCTATTGGCCCAAACGCATTAACCCACACGGGGGCAGAATCGCTTGAACAGGCCAAAGCACAAATTTCAGTTGCGTGGGATTCGAGCTTCCGGTGCAGATCTTCAACGTCGTTCATGCGCTGCAATGCTTTCAAAGGTCGAGCTGCGGGCTGTGCGAGCCAGAGTATTCCCATGGCTACATGGTAATAATGTAGAGTTGATACTTGTCATGTCAGAGAAAAGAGAGCCAAAGATGCAATCAAAAGTAGATGTGGATGAAGAGACTTACCATGCCAGCTTCGAAGGGTCCATATGGATGAAAAGCTGCTCTGCGGCCTTAGCCCTGGGGTCTCTATTACATCAAACGATGATGGAAGCGATGACTTCCAGTTGCCAAGTTCGTCCTTTATCGCCTCCCATTCTGAGAGGCTCAATGCTGGGGAATCAATGGACAAACACCGGTTGATAATCTTACCCAAAAGAAAGGTAACGTAGTTAGCATGGTCTGTGTCATCAGATAATTCTGGAGGCTTATTTTGATCTGAGAGAGTAATCATAAGCCCGCGTTGCTCGATAAGTGCAACAGTGATGTCTTCACGAAGATAATTCCAGTATCCAGCGCTGATAAGATCGGCCTTGGGGTGAATTTGGCGATTTGCTAAAAGAGAATAACATCCTTGCAAATGACTTTGGGAATTGACATTTTCTAAATAATATAACAGACACACTTGTTTAGCTATTTTCCAAGAAAAAGCATATGAGTTGACCTAAGAACCTGGATAATACTAACGTGTGATGATCTCATAAGACCGAAGAAGACATATCGCGGCGAGCGTCTCTCCAATAGGGAGCTGGTCCACATTGTTGGTCAAGGATATAAGTCTGCGAACACTATCATAATGATAGAACTCTGCCATGTCCAAATAGACATGGTCTTGGACAGTACGGTGCTGATTGGCAGCTGCAAATGCAAGGATGGAACTGAGCAGTAGTGGATTATACCGCGCTCGGACAGGAACGACATCTGTGAAATGCCGCTTGCTGTCGTTGAGATCATACCACGGAGCTAGCCTTGTTATATAATGTCGATACATCAGAGCAACCTTCAAGTTTTGCAAGGCATGTTCGGGATCCTGTGTGCATGGGTATTTGGATTCATGATGGACCGGCGAGGTCCAAGGGCCCACTAGACGCACAGGGCTTGGCGAAGTGACTGGACCGACCTCATGGACCCAAAGACAATCGCGGGATCCTCGCTCGCAAGGGGAACAGCGGGGTCTTTTCCCATCGCCTTTTCATACAAGCAGTCAGACATAGGATGAAAACATAGGTTTGGTAAACACTTAGAACAAACATTTAACTCTCCGTGACCTGCAAACCTGGCTGCACGGCAGCAAGTTAGCACTGGGTTTAAATTTGCCACCAAGCACTTGGTTGCTTTAAAATTCCACGACAGGAAGCAAGCACATATGTCGTTCAAGGGTAATTTACCAACCTGACGACAAATCAGCATCGGAATACGACGGGTCGCTGGCCTAGCCCAGGAGTCGATATGCAGCAGACTTACGATTGCGCTGAAGGGGTCGCGGCATGTGTGAGACACCTTTCAAGCTCTAGATGATCAGCCTAAATGATAAAGTCCAATAAAGAAGTTTCACGAAGACGGATGTTCGCCTTTGCCTTTGCGGACGTCGCGTTACTCATTGGGTGCACGGACCAACTTGGAAAGGCGAAGGGCGAAAGACAGACGACCCACATTTGATGAACAAATATGTATACATGGACGTAGGATCACTTTGATGTCGACAAATCACCTTGGCTTCATCTGAAAGAACTTCCAAGGCTCTACCAGAAAATGTTGTACTCCGTAGATGCATGTTCGTCCGCTCCAGGACTTTACAAAATCCTCTCGCATGGGCTGCCGGGTTGAGTATTTCATTGCTCAGTGTGAACATGTATTTTAAACATGCGAACTTGGATGAAACGATGCAAAAAATGTCAAATTAGCAATGCAAATAGACAGACCATTCAGCAATGGCCCTTTTAAGGCGATTGGTTGAAGTCATACGCATTGCCAAAGCCACGATTTAGATAATTCGAGAGAGCATCGGACTCGCTGACCCAATCAACCGGGACTTCCAAATCATTCTGGCCCTCAATAAGGGACTTCAAGTTATCAGCAAACTCCAACTTCATAGGATTCCGGTACCAGGAAGCAAAATGAACTGTGGATCTTAGTGATGATTTGAGATTAAGTGGCAGAGTTGACTTACTCATGGCTAGCATAATGCGTGGCACTTGGGTCTGATTACCGATCCCAGCATGCCAGAGACGCAAGTCTCGAATGACAAGGGAGCCCTTGGGCACGATAGGCTGACAGGGAGGTCTCTCAACACGGCGCTTTTCAAGCTCGTCTAGATTGATTCGCCCGCTTGCGCGCTCACCGTGGGCTCCCTCTTGAACATGGAGTCCGGAATCAGTATGTGTGCCCAGCCACACTTCCGTGGACCCGTTCTCCGGGGTCATTGTGATAAGAGGCACATTGATTACCAATGCGAATGGGTGATCAGGGTGCGCAAAGTCGGCATCGGAGTGAACGGGCTGAGACATAAGAGGGTTCTCTGCTGTAGGAGGCATTGCGCTATTGCCGGAACAGAATGTCCATTTTGGGCGGGGTCCTAGTGCTGCGGATGTGATCTGAGTTGCGATTGGATCTTTAAGCGGGTTAGAGGTTGGTATCAGAGTTGGTATCTTGCTTGAATAGACATACTCAAGAATATGCGGGGATCAAAATGTTCCTTGACGGGTGGAGCATCTTGCTGGATGTTTCCAGGGTTATAGTTGAAGGGGCTATCACCCTTTCTGGAATAAAGATGGTACGCATCTTCGACCATTTTGCTATTGAGACTGTCGAGGGCTTCGTGAGGGATAACATTTTCGACAACGACAAGGCCATCTCGATGGAGGCTACGAACTGCAACCTCCATGTTTTGGGCCGAGAGTCGGGTTTGTTGGATCTCAGTCTTTGACGGGCGGATCGAAGTTGGGTGGCTTGTGAGCTTGCCTAGCTGAGTCGACAAGGGTCGGATCTGATATTGGTAGCCCAGCCGTGCTGGAGCTTTGAAATGGATTCGACTCATGATTCTCTGCAGGCAGTGAACCGTCACAGAATTTTGAGTGTAGAGGTACTGATAAAAAAGCTCTCTATGCTGTGAAAACCGGCGTGAATTGTGCTGTATTTATATCCTATCCTGTACGACGCCGTTTGTTAATTGTAATGACAAGATCTTACCGACATGCAAGGTCTTCGTCATTGGGAGACCTCTTTCGCTTTATTCTCAATTGACGAGCCGTTCGGGATTTGGGGGGCTGCCAGCGGAGCCAATTCTCGATATCCCATTGGACCGACCGAGATAATCGCGGGAAGAGTGGGGCAATGAGACCCATTTATCTCGCAATTCGCAAAACACCCTCGCCGAATGCGCATATGACCTCGCCTTTCGTGAGATTGGCAGCTCCGGGGGTCTTGGCATTGACTGGTTTCCGTAGCGGACGTGATTGCGCCTTCGCAGTTGCAAAAGCATACTTTCAGTCTCTCCAGTCGAGCTCAACCAACCAAGCTTCCAACCGACCCTCTTAACATATCCATGCCCTCGCCATGTTGAAGATATCAATCCCCGACAATGGCGATGTGGGCTGTGCCATAAAATACAGAGCTAGCAAGCCAGTGACACTGAAGTGGTGTATGTTTGGGCGCCCGTGACGAAAGGCGAGCGCACGAATTGCATGGTGATTCGACACTCGCCTTCTTGCAAATCGGCGGAGATCTTTCGTACACGCCGGTCCTCGGGTATCATGATATGGTCCATCAAAATCTCGATACCTTCCTCTTCAATTTCCATGATTCGTTGCGCACAGAGACCCGAATATCGATCTTGCCAAACACCGTGATAAAATGGGGATTGGAGCATCAACGCAACAGCCTTTCTGCGGATAAGGGGGTGGCGACATCGAGAAGCGACGAGGAACATTGGAGGAGTAATACCCAAATCAAAACTGAACAGCAAGCTGAAGTCTTCCGTCTTTTCAACACACATGCTGGCAATACTCTCGGCGAGATCAATGATCAGCTGAAAGCGATCAGTGTGTTGATCGAAGATGGTTTCTGTTTGAGCATGGTAGGTGTCGATTATGACAACGGAGACATGGAAGTAAAGCTCCAGCAAGTTGTGTGTGCATTTCTGTAGCACCGGGCGCACTTCTGAGAAGGTGGAAGCATCTAACGTGGCTTTCCACTGATGCAACAGTGCGTTCGGAGATTCCGCCGAGGATTCGGTGTTTTTGTACCTCCTGGATTCCAAAAACGAGAAGATATAATTCATAGTTTTGTCGAAGTCAATGCGAGCAGAAGTAAAAGATGGGTATGATGATGGGAAAGTAGGAGTTGGTAGACAAAGTGGAACACCGAGATCCATTAATATGTGACGAGAATCCATGCACAAGGAGAACTGTACGCGTAGACGTTGCAAAAGTGGTGTTATCTGATTATTGATGAAATCCATCGTAGGCCGCGAATATTCTTGCAGATTGGTATAGAGGCTGGTGCGAGATCTCCACCAGTATAATAGCCTGAGGCCAGCTTTGAGGTGAATGAGACATGCGGCATCACAGGTTCGAAATTGCTCGAAGCAAATGAAAAGGATGCATAGGGCAAGAACGACATCTGGTCGGGATGGCCTAGTCGGTGACTCCCTCTGTACGGATTTGATTGCTGCAGTATAATGCTTCAAGGCGAGTGTCTGAGCTGTCATCCGGGCATTCTTGTCAGATTGTCGTATAGAAACAGACGTGTCGACAGGCTCTTGGCTCTCATGTAACGATGCAATAGCCGTCAGAGCATGTTTTATTGGTGCTTCATTATGCCCCATCTGCAGCAAAATCGGAATCCAATCATTTGCATCTTGATGGCCAAAGATCCGATGAGTGGTTCGACTTCGGAAGTAGAGAAATGCTCGGCGCTCTTCATCCCGTAAGGTGTCAGGAGTGAGACTTGGTTGAATGGGGTTGGCGTAGCCCTCGCAGATTCGTTGTGTCGATAAACATCGCAAGCACGAGGGCCTTTGCTCATCGCACTTGACGCGTCTATGGTTATAAGCCAGGGATATGTCCCGTCAATGCCGTGAATGGACATACCGGTATCTGAGTCACGTTAGTAAGATTGGATCAGAGCTCAATCTGCTGGTCACCCAAGACGTACTTGCAGGTAAAGCAGCCACTTCGCGTCTTACGCGTTGATGTTAAACTAGACTTCATTGCCATGGAGTGATAATATGACGTGGAAAGATGTTGCTAAGGAAATGGCAGAATACCCCAAGGCGGTCGAAATAGTTGAATACGTGGGCAAATAACGAAGACATAAAATTTAAATGCAAGGCGGATTGAAGAAGACCAGAGCCAAAAAATTAAATTGTGTGGCATTGATACAGATATCAGGCACAGTGGAGAGGAGAGGAAGGAGAAAGGGAAAAGGAGCTGTCTTTACTGCGGCTGCGGGTAGACAAGCGCAGGACACGAAAGGAATATTTCAAGCAGTACTCCGTTCCTAAGTCGCGACATCATTTCCATCGTGGGGCTCAAGGACACTGCGCTGTCATGCTCTGCAAGCATCAAAGACCTCTCTCTCTCTCTCTCTCTCCCCCATGTGCTTGCTTGCTTCCTCTCATCACCCATCATCATCCCTGGGGCCTTCTTGCTTGCTTGCTGCCCTGCGCCATCTGATCCATTTGCTCGCTTTGCTACGTTTGTTACGTTTGCTTTCTTCCCTTCGCTATTCATGCTTGCTGCGCCATAGCTTCTTGCTTTTTCTTCTTTCCTTCTTCATCTTTAGTTTCTTCGTTGTCAATGGAACAAACCTTATTTCCATCTCCATCACACCTCCTATAGGGGTTAGAACCTGCACGCGAGAGTCACCCGGTCCCTTGTACTCAGCATGCTTTCCAAGGTTCAAGGTTAATGAATCCTAAGTAAGTTCAAGTTAATTATGAGATTTGATAAGAACAGCATACGGAGGATGGAGTAGTTACTCCGGACTTTGTAATCTCTTCAAATTAATATATATTTCGAAGTAGTGTCCTATTCACATTATCAACGTTTTTTATATACAACAGCCCGGCTGGCGCAATGGTAGCGCGTATGACTTCTACTGATGCCTGCGAAAAGTTTCTTCAAAAAGACGGTTGCGTGAAGGGCTGAGAGAAGGGTTATCATAAGGTTGCGAGTTCGAGCCTCGCGTTGGGCTATCAATTTTTTCGTGCTTTTTCACCCTTTATATATAGTATACACAAAACGCGGCTAAACGCCGGATTCCTCCTGTGGCCTAGCGGTCAGTGTCAGGAGCTTGTCATCAGAGGTCGGGCGTTCGAACCGGGTCAGAGCCACGGTTTGGGACATTTTCCTTTTTGCTCTGTGGACCGATCTCGGACTTTCGTTTGTTTCCGTTCTTATCCATGTCTTTGTAAATAGATGTATATAAGATTTGTTTTCTAAAAGAAAACAAAATATTGCCTGACTTGAGCTGTCGTATGACACGGCACAGTGATTAGCTGGAGCAAATATTCCAAGAGGTCAGTCAGTCAGTTAGATTCGAATTCAAATACCTGCGTTCAATTTTTGGGAACATCATTGTAAACTTTTCTACAACCACTATGGTGAAAATTCACTCTCATCAATTCTTATAGGCCAAGGCTACTATAAAGCTAGAGCAAAAGATTTCAATATTGGAAGCGCCGAAGCAGTAGAGGAAAAGAGATTAGTACGGAGAACAAATACCTACCCAAGCTTGTATGAAAAGTAGTCACTCAATCAAAGATCATTCTACGCCGTATCGATAGTCATTATCAGGGTTTTGGTAGCCTGGGTCCCGGGGAGGGTCACTCCTGGATCAGATGAAACCTCTTCAATGGGCCGGGTTCCCGGGCCCAAAACCCAAAGCCCAGTCCAGCCCATAGCCCATTGATGGGGGCTCAGTGGGCCCCCATTCATCCCTCATCCCTACATCCCTATTTCTATGCATACTCATGCTGCGTGGTGAGGACCGAAAGACGGCCCAGCCAGGTAATATTGTCCAGGCAGCTTATCGACACTTTGTCAGCATGTTGCAGCCTTGCAGGGCTTCCAAGGTTCTAAGGTATAAGGTATAGGTGTTGTACCCCCCAGATAGTCCCCGAGGTCATACCCACCAGCTTTGCTACTGGGGGGGGCTCTGGCAGAAAAGTGCAGCTCGCAGGAGATGAATTTCCAGATATTTATGGTACCATGATAGTCCTCCCTGATGGTCTGTGGTCACTGGGCGTTTTTACACCTCTTCCGAAGCAATAAAGTGCCAATGACCGACCTGCCTGGATATACCCCGAAACTTTTGGAAATGTGCTGCCGCACCACGATTTGAGGCATTCTCCGTTGAAAAGGAGATCTCGGGAGCATTGGGGGGATGGGGCCGCGATTGAATGTAATCGTATCGTATCGCGCGATTGTGAGCAATACTACAGTAATTGCTCAGAATCAGTGCACGAAATGAATTTGTGTTTGTTTGAACTTCAATGATACTCATCTCAACACATGCCTTTTGCGTCCGAGGTGTCGCCACTAACCTTGGAATAATTCGCCGCACCAGTTCCAATGCTGTATACAACAGCAGTGTGCAAAAGTCAATTGATCGACCTAAGTTTGGAGCTTGGCGGGATCACCGCGGGAGTGGAGTGGGCGGTTAGCCAAGCGGGCCCTTTCGGTGATGAATTACGTGAGTTTATATTCGATGTGATCATACGCAGTTGGAGAACGATCGGGCCGGTTGCAACAACAAATGAAAAGCTCGGGATGGTCGCCGTGCCACATTTTCCCGAAGATGGGCCGGCGTTTCCCAAACATCTTCGCTTGGCTAGTCCTGGGACCTTTGAAGCACTGCCCGGGCACGGGTCTGTGCCAAGCAGGCACTTATTAATTTTAGTCATTGATTGAGGGTTTTTTGAGGACCCATGAGGCTTTTTTTTTACAGCTTTCCGGAGAACGTTCGTATTATGGAGAAGGGGAATGGCAAGAAGTTGGAACCTGGGGAAGTAGTCTCTTCTCTAGGGCTACATCCGGATCACACGTACATTATAGATGGACAACGTGCATTGTGTAGCTCAGTCCCTCTATGCAGCTTCCAAGGGTTATCTGCTGGATTCTAGAAAGATTCTGGAACTTGTACAAACCTATCTTGATCAGATGGCCTGAAGAATGTCGATCACCGGTGTTACTCCAACTATTATACCTTCTCCAACTCCACTTTTCACCCGGACTCCCGGTCGACGATGGCTTCACCCAGACACATTCATGACGACTAGGTCGCCAAGCAAAGTCAATCGACGTTACCAAGGTGCCTAGTTCCCGGCTTCGGAACTGCAGAGACCGAGTCTGCAGATGCCAAGTAGGCTGCGATGTAGTTAGAAGATTTCGCGCATCTATATAAGTTGGCATCATGCCAGCTCCAATTTCGAGCGTGCAACCCCAATAAACCCTTGAATATTCTCTCCAGGGCCCTTTCAAGGTTACAAAGGAAAATCCTTAATCAACAATGGGCTTCTCTCTCCACACACTCGCTGTCTCAGCCTTGGTTGCTACCAGCTATGCCTCCCCTCTGATCCACTCCCGGGCAAGCAACACATCTTATACCAACTCCAATGGCCTGAAGTTCAACCACTTCAATGGATCTCTGCCTAACATCACCCTTCTCGCTACCGGTTTGTATCATCCTAAGCTAGGCACTGGCGATGGCGATCTAACAGATCTATAGGCGGCACAATTGCCGGCACAAGTGACGACAAGACCGCGACGGCAGGCTACGAGTCCGGAGCACTGGGCATCAACAAGCTCCTCTCCGGTATCCCCGACATCTTCAACATTGCCAACATTGCCGCCGTACAAGAAGGCAATGTCAACAGCGGAGATGTTTCCTCCTCCCTGCTGCTAAACCTCACCCACACCCTCCAAACCCAAGTCTGCGACGACCCAACCATGTCCGGTGCCGTGATCACCCATGGCACCGACACCCTCGAAGAATCCGCATTCTTCCTCGACGCCACCGTCAACTGCGGCAAGCCCATCGTATTCGTTGGATCCATGCGCCCCTCCACCGCGATCTCCGCAGACGGCCCCATGAACCTCCTGCAGGGCGTCACCGTTGCCGCTGACGAAGACTCCAAGGACCGTGGTGCGCTGGTCGTGCTCAACGACCGCATCGTCTCTGCTTTCTGGGCTACCAAGACCAACGCCAACACTATGGATACCTTCAAGGCTTACGAGCAGGGAAGTCTTGGCTTCATTGTCTCTAACAAGCCTTACTTCTATTACCCCGCTGTGCAGCCCAATGCCAAGCACGTCGTGAACGCGACTGGCATCGACGCTGTTCCGCGCGTCGATATCCTCTATGCGTACGAGGATATGAAGACCGACTCCCTTACCAGCGCTGTCAAGAATGGTGCTGAGGGTATTGTTGTAAGTTGCCATCTAGCGTGGTCCGGTACTCAAATGAAAAAAAAAGCTAATGTGGAACTAGGTTGCCGGCGAGGGTGCTGGAGGTATCTCCACTGATTTCGCTTCTGCTATCGTCGAGATTGTGGAAAAGCACAACATCCCCGTTGTTCTGTCTCACCGCACCGTCAACGGCGAGGTGCCTACTGCTGATATCATGGGCGATAACGCTAAGACTCAGATTGCCAGTGGCATGTACAACCCGCAGCAATCTCGGGTTCTGCTGGGTCTGCTTCTGGCGGAGAAGAAGGATCTCAAAGAGATTCGTGAGGTCTTCCTGAAGGCCACTGTTGCTTAGAGTGCCTTTATCAAGGTGTAAAAAAGACAGCATGAGATTATAGACATAGACTATTAATAAATTGCCTTTAGACTCATTTACAAGCATTGTTGTTATTGTTTCATGTCAGAGGACCAGAGAGGCCTTGCAGAGTTGACGTTATAATTTCGAGTGGACAGAAAAAAGCGCGTAGACCGCGTGCGTGTTTTGAACAAAGATTCGATTATTCGTAGATTACAGATATCATGATAGTAGCAGCATGTTAATTTCAGGAACATAGAAAATGAGTACATGCGTGAAATGCTACGTGTAGGTTGCTATAGAGATAGCTCAAAGCGGGAAAAAGTAGTACATAGGAGGGGTAAAGGAGGATATCGAATCAGGCAGATCAAATCTAGAAGTGGATGGGCTTGGAGTAGGTGGCCATGGCAGCCTCCTTGAAGGCCTCGGAGAGAGTGGGGTGGGCGTGGCAAGTACGGGCAACATCCTCGCTGGAGGCACCGTACTCGATAGCAAGAGTGGCCTCAGCGATCATCTCACCGGCACCGGGTCCGATAATGTGGACGCCGAGAATGCGGTCGGTCTCAGCGTCAGCAATGAACTTAACAACACCCTCAGTGTCGAGGTTGGTCTTGGCACGGGAGTTGGCGCTGAAGGGGAAGGAGCCGACACGGTACTTGACACCGGAGGCCTTGATCTCGGCCTCGTTCTGGCCAACCCAAGCGACCTCGGGGTGGGTGTACATAACGCTGGGGATGGCAGCGTAGTTGACGTGGCCGTAACCAGTCTTGATGTACTCAATGGCGGCGACAGCCTCCTCCTCAGCCTTGTGAGCCAGCATGGGGCCGAAAGTGCAGTCACCGACGACACGGACGTGGGGGACCTTGGTGCGGTACTCCTGGTCGATGACGAGACGACCACGGTCGTCCTTCTCGATACCGACGCTCTCGAGGTTCAGGCCCTCAGTGTAGGGCTTGCGGCCAATGGCGACGAGGACGACATCGGCATCAAGGGTCTCCTCCTTACCGCCCTTGGCGGCCTCGACGTTAAGACCAACGGTAGCACCGCTGACATCACCGGAGACGACCTTGGTGTTGGTCTTGAACTTGATGCCCTGCTTACCCAGGATCTTCTGGGCCTGCTTGGCGATCTCGGCGTCCATACCGGGGCCACCGATCTGGCCGAGGAACTCAACAACGGTAACCTCAGCACCGAGACGGGACCAAACGGAGGCCTGATAGTTTGTTAGTAAATGCTCTGGGCGTGAAAGCTAGTGTGCCAAACATACCATCTCGAGACCGATGATACCACCACCGATGACAATCATTTTCTTGGGGACCTCAGTGAGGGCGAGAGCACCAGTGCTGGTGATGATGCGCTTCTCATCGACGGTCAGGCCGGGGAAGTGGGTGGCCTCGGAACCAGTGGCGATCAGGATGTTCTTAGCGCGCAGGGTCTGCTCACCACCGTCGTTGAGGGCAACGTTGATGGTGTTGGCATCGACGAAAGAACCGGCACCCTTGATGTAGTCAACGCCGTTCTTCTTGAGGAGGAACTCAACACCCTTGGTGAGACCCTCGACGGAGGCGTCCTTGGCCTTGAGCATCTGGGCGAGGTTGAGCTTCACATCGCCAACTTCGATACCGCGCTTCTTGGTGTCGTGGAGAATCTGGTGGTAGAGGTGGGAGTTGTTGAGGAGGGACTTTGAGGGAATGCAGCCGACGTTCAAGCAGGTACCGCCGAGGGTTCCGCGCTTCTCGATACACGCGGTCTGTAAAAGTGTTCAGTCAGCATACAGCAGTGGCTGGGGGCACCCAATTGAATCGTTGGACACCGGGTGTTGATCATGTTCGCACCTTGAGACCTTCTTGGCCGGCCTTGATGGCAGCAACGTAACCGGCGACACCACCGCCGATGATAACAAGGTCATGTTCACCTGTCGGGAAGGCGGATATTAGCAATCGCATTCGGAAACCTTGGGATATCTCTCCGGGCACGGCGCAACAGCGCGGATAACAGTATCTTACCTGCTTCGGAGGCGTAGCCACGCTTTGAGCCAATGAAGATCATTGGGGGAGCGAAGTTGGCCTTGGGGGCAGCATGACGAAGAGCAGCCCGCGGCGTAGCCCGGGGCAAGACAGAGCGGAACATGGCGAAACGAAAAGAGAAACGATAAAAGGTATAAGAAAGACAATCAGATAGAATCCTCCAATTCCAACAATGGAGGTGTTGAGGCGCGAAGAGACGGGGATTTGATTATTGGAAGGAAAGACCTTTTGCAGGTTGAGCTTTGCCCGTCAATTCCTTAGTAAGCACTCGGGTTGAGTCGGTTGCCCGGTTGGCACGGAGGGCTCCGACCGACGTTGCCAGCGGCCACTGCGAAATAAGTCAATGAGGCTGACCGCTATCAAGTAAACGCTACATGATTGGTTGGTCGAGGAGATCTGTGATCAAATCTCAGCTGTGATTATTCCTCCACCGCCCGAGGTACTTGTTCTCTGCCAGGCCGCTATACATAACCTTCCTCATGGCCGTCAGTGCCCCCATTACGTCCCAACTATCTTTACCGGGAACGATGCCGTCAAAGGGGATCTGGCCTCGATGCTTCGATATCTTGAATTTCGAATCTCGAATACACTCATTTGTCAGAATTCACAGCAGAAAATTTCTTCTCTTTTACATGAATACCTTGTACTCCCAACGTCGGGTCAATAAGACATTTCCGTTAAATCGCGCAAACCAACGTTGCCAATGACTACCTGCAGGTCGCAACATATTCTTTCCCGCCCGCACAGGACTACTCCGGGGAGACCCAACGAATCCGTCCCATTTAGGATTTAGTGGCAATTCCCCATAATCTGCATACCCGCGGGCCTTGAATCGGGAAGTGTTCTCGGGGGTCTCCGCGGCGGCTACAAGCGGACAACGCTGGCCAGGGCCTTCAAGCGTCGAAGAAAGGTAGACTTGAACTTATAATCCGTGCCGTGCGCTTTGCATCTGATTGTTTACTGCTCTTTACGCATTGAACTACATGGACCGGATTTTCCCTGGTGGGGATTTCTTTTGGGCTCCCGCCGCTTTCCGAGTAGACATCAGCACGAGCTCAGAGTCACTGATGAGCTCAGAACAGCCATTTGCACAATGACTGATACTATGTAAATGAACAAGTGCTCATTGGATACTCACTGATTCCTCGGTGACTGTTTAGTGAACAACTCTGCTCACTCCAACCACCGCACCCTATACCATGAATAGAATAACCCCACAGTGTCGTTTATTACTATGGTTTTGTAGTGCGTAGATAAGATCGTACCCGCCCCAGGTTTCTAAACGCTGCTCATCTCACCAAGAAGGGACACGTCATGTTTAGAGGCCGTAGGAGAAAGTGGGGGGCTTCCTCTGTTTTACGGGTCTACCAGAAGACAGCCTGATCATCTTGTAGTTATGCTTGACTTCCTAGTTTCATAAAGGTCGATTAAGAAGGGAATTTCTCCACGCTAGCTGTGAGGATGATGGATGATGGTAGTTCCATGAACGCGAAGATAATAAAGCTAAAGAAGGAAGAAGCTATGGAAGGAAGCTAGCTAAATAGCAAAGCGAACAAAGTAAGCAAACAGGGCGCGGGGCAGCAGGCAAGCAAACAACCGAACATGTAATGCTTGCAGAGCATGACACTAGCCGTTATAGAGATAATCCAGAATATTGTGAGTTGTAATTTGATCACCGATCTTAAATGCAGCTATAGACTTGCCGTACATCGGGCCGATTTAATGGAATATCTCATAATCATTTTAGGAAATGATTTGAACTATCTCAAGCTTAATTTCAAAGAGCTGTTGCCACCTGCATTGATTAAACTATAAACTGTCGCCTTTCTGCGGCCAATTCTCATAGTGCCTCGGAAGATCAACATGGAACCAAGGAGAGATAGCTATTATATATGGCTTTCAACAATCCAATCAAATTGAGAGTATAGTATTCGATCTACAGACATGGGATGCTAAGCCCTGTTAGGAACCTCCATTTAACACTAAACTACGAGTAGTGTGGTCGGTGTGAGCATATTTGCGGTTATTGTCAGCTCACATCCAAAGTCGCCATTGCTGCAAGTACTTTTAAGACTGGCTTCACAAATGCGAGCTCAACGCATGCTATAGGTTTTATTTGGAACAGAATAGTAAATATTGGGGGTATTCATAGGGCTGACATTGACATTTGAAAGTCCAATGGGTTGAGTAGGCCTCGGAATGAAACTCTCTGGGATTGACTGGTGCTATCAGTGCTATCAGGAAAGAATACAAACCAACACCTGGGCACCATCTAGACCTTCGCTGCTACAAGCTATATAAAATTTGTTTCAATAAATGAAATGTCCGATCCTTGACTTGTCATGCGCAGGTTTGAGCAATTTACTGGCTGGAACCACAGAGTAGATAAGTGGAACTACTTGGTAAAGCGAATATGAGAATGCCTTCAGCGTAGAGGTATTCACTCTCCCAAGCCTAGCTTTCGCATATTAGGTATTATCTCGGAAATTTTGTATGTAAACATTACGCTTTAGATCATGCGGGCCATTGACCAGCACCAGGGTGAATTATAGGCCTGCAACTATCTGATTGAACTAAACCCACAGTAAGCGGCACTACGACAGAAATGGTCTGGCGAAGTAAACTGAAAAGATTCGGCTATAAGAAGAGTAGAAAACCAATTTCACGTCCGATTTCTCATTTCTCATTTGAAAATCGAGAAATGAACTCAACCCTTTCACTCTTTCTCCCTTACCTAGTACATGACATCTGGTCATCAAAAAAATGAGTGCGAATCTCTTCAACTCTACACCACTTGAAGGCCCGATGAAGTCACGCCCACACCACCAGCCGACGTTAAGCAAGTTGACCATCCACCGCCCAAAGCCAGTCTAGAGCAAAGAAACGAGGAGGAAATCCTCCAACATCCAAAAGAAGTGACCCAAAATGCACAAATTGGAGTGCAAAAAGCAGAAGCCACTGCACTCGTCTGGTCCAAGACTGCAGTTCGCGCGATATATGCATGGTAAGTCAATGTAACTCTGGAATAAAGGTTCAATCTTAACACGCGCTTGCAATGAGCAGGATCTGGCTGTGCTTTTTCATCCTCTCCATGCAACTCTCCCTCAATTCCAACATGATCTACTACGCCTATGCAGACTTCCAATCCGCCCCTCAAATTTCCCAAGCCTATATCCTATCAACAATCATCGCTGGAATCATTGCACTCCCAATTGCAAAGATCCTCAATCTGTGGGGTCGCGCAGAGGGCTTTTTGCTTTTCTTGGGACTTTTTCTCATCGGCTTCATCGTCATGGCCTCTTGTAATGGTCCTAACAGCTTTGCAGCTGGCTATACGCTATACACTGTCGGCAATAACTCTGTGACTTTCATACTGAGTGTATTTGTGGCAGATGCAACTGGTCTACGTAACCGAGCATTCGCATACGCATTCATTGGTACGCCGACTATCTGCACCGCTTTTGCTGGACCATTAGTTGCACAGGCGTTCTATGTCCACTCTTCGTGGAGATGGGCTTATGGATGTTTTGCTATAATCATCTTCATCACATTTGTTCCACTTGCTTTCGTGCTCAAAATCTACCAGCGCAGAGCTGAAAAAGCGGCCATTTTCACCAAAACACATGCTGATCGCACTGCGTTGCAGTCGTGTGTCCATTATTTCCATGAATTCGACTGTGTCGGTGGGTTTTTCCTAATGGCCGCTTTCATTCTCTTTCTGCTACCTTTCAGCCTAGAGGTCTATGGCTATGGTGGATACTCATCCCCAACCTTCATCAGTATGATTGTCATTGGAATTGTGCTCTTCCCTGATTTCGCCATTTGGGAGAAATACTGTGCCAAGTCACCCTTCATCAAGTGGGAGCTGTTCAAGAACCGCACTGTTCTTGGTGCCTGTATCGTTTCCGCCGTCATCTTTTTCAACTATTTCGCATGGAACCAGTATTATTATTACTACCTCCAAGTTGTTCACAACCTCGACACCGCAAAGACCGGATATATGACACAGATCTATGGAGTTAGCTCCACAATCTGGGGGGTCATCTTTGGCATTTGGATCCGCCAAACCAAGCACTTCAAAAATATTTGTCTATTCTTCGGTGTTCCGCTCTTCATGCTGGGCGCAGGTCTCATGATACATTTCAGGGGAACTGATAGCAAAATCGGCTACCTGATCATGTGTCAAATATTCATTGCCTTGGGAGGCGGAACGCTCGTCATCGGCGATGAGATGGCTGTCATGGCCGCGGCCGATCGAGAAGGAATCCCAATGATGATTGCCTTGATAAGTCTTGCCGGTAGTGTTGGTGGATCCATTGGCTACGCTGTTGCCGTCGCCATCTACTCAAACACCTTTCCTGAGGCTTTGCTCAATGCCCTTCCGGATGAGACAAAGGCTGATTTTGCGACAATTTATCTTGGTGGCTCGACGGCGCAGCTGATATATCCCCCGGGCTCGGCAACCAGGGATGCTATAAACCACGCGTGGTCGTATAGTCAGAAGTATGAGTGCATTGCGGCCTGCGCTATTGTTATTCTTGCATTTCCGGCGGTCGCTATGTGGAAGAACTACAATGTGGACAAGCAGCAGGTCAAGGGCATCGTCATTTAGTCACTTTGGGGAGGCATCTTTCTTTTTTCAATGAAACGTCTGCTGCATATAGTTTTAAATAGGGTATGATCAAGATAACTTCGAACATTCATGCCCAAAGAATAGCACTTCTGTGACGCCAACTGTGAATCTGCCTATTGAGAACATTTGAGGAGGTTTGAGGGATCCAAGTGAAACTAGTGCTATGATACGATCATACGATGTAAAAGAAACGAAAAACTCATATCAACTAGAATGCAATTTATTTATGATTTTCTTAGCCATCATGACATGCGCCATCCTGCCACCCTGACGAAGTTGGGGAAAAGCGGCCAAGGAACAGCTCACTGACAACAACACCCGCAAGAACAGCACACAGTACACCGATATTGTACGTCATTACTGCCAGCATCCTTGATAACAACTATTAGCTATCGAAATTGTGGCTGTCAGAATACGGACTCTCAATGCATAGCCAATCAAGGCACGGAGTCCCTCAAGCAAAGAGCTCAAACTGCCTTGCTGCCAAATCCATTTTCTGTATGATCGAAACAGACGCGGCTGTGAATTGACATGCGGTTCCTCCCCGTGCGGCTGGGAGGAAAGCTGCGGTGTGGGGTGGAGAAGGGGAGAAGATGAAACCGCGCCGTAGTGGTCGCTGTCCTCGTTCGCTTCCACACGTGGTAGTAGAGGACTGACACGAACCTTTGAAGCCCGATTCCGAGCCCAGCGAGAGGAAGGTAGATCCAGCTTGAGCGCCTCATGTGTTTTGTGGTCGGTGTTGGTTGGCTGCTGGTCTAGTTGAAGCTTCAATATCCCCAAGAACTTGTTGAGTAAGACCAGGAGGAAAAGGAAAAGGAGAGTAAAGACATATGAAAACGCTGTAGTCGTTGACCACCAGCTGAATAGCAGGGTGACTTGAGTGCTTGCAGTGAAGACCATTGGCATAGACATCTCCATACCATGGCCCCCGTCAGCATGATCATGTTGACCATGGCCACCGTGGTCCATGTTCATATTGTGATTCATTGTAGCACGAAGGATTGAGATCAAATAGACGCTGGATACAATGTGCGATCTATTTATCTCAGCTCTGGGATGATCGCAAATCAGGCGATAAATGCGCGCACCGGTGCTCTGTACAGATTATGCTTGGCACGAGGCAGCTACACCTTAATGTGCGCATTCTACCGCATAATAGCGCAGGGTTCGAACGTCCCTCTCCCGCGTGGTGGAGTTGGGGACCTTGGACTGCACCAGATTGAGTGAAGATTGATTGATTGGCCAGTGAAAGTGATCCGCATGAGAGAAGGCTCTCACTGAAGTGACTTCCTTGTTTGATTTTGTTGTAGAGCTGACCGCTACGAATTTAATTTTGAAAAAAAGAACGAGAGACCAGGTGATCTCCCGTCCAATATCACGCGAGAAGTCTGATGCGACATAAGTCAAGCCTCCAGGCATGTCAAAAAATGTATCTTCATAGAGCAAAAACCTTCGAATGACAAGCCTTGGGATTGTATTTAGCTAACTCAGAATCGTACAGGTGCCATGGCATTACACATGCCAAACTATCTTTCAGCAAGAACACCGAAGCAACATCTGGCTTGGGGACCCCTTAGCCCCAGTACGCAAAATTCATGTCTTTGTAGAGGAAGTCTTCCTCTCCTCTTTTTGATTCCTCTTCTGTCGCCATTTTATCCCACGAGTTGCAACAACCCATAAGCAAGGAGACACAGCGATCGAAATCAGTGCCAATGTAGTATACGCCCAGCCTTCACCCATAGCCAAACCCATAGGACTGATCGCCGCCGACGCCGCAGCGCCAAGTTCGCAACGAAACAGATTGTTCGCTGCGGTAGCCGTTGCCGACTGCCCTGGCCAAAGATCTACCATCAAAGCGTTCAACACCTGTGAAGTACCGATAAGTGCCCAGCCAGCGATAAACAATAGGATCACGGGTGCGGCAATGTGAATCTCCCGTCCCATTACCCAGCCGTATGCCACCATTGCGATGTTGCTGATGTAATAGAATGGCAGAGCAATTTCCAGTCGAGCACGTTCGATATTGAAGTTGCTGATATCTGCGCGCACACCTTTCACCACGGTCATCCCAGCATGCCGAGCATGGCGACGATAGTTCCAATCCACCAGTCGACCAGTCGTGAAAGCTGAAATCACACCGCCAGCGCCGATGGGAAGATACATCAAAGCGGCTTGGATATCGTTGAAGTGATAGATCTTGTGGAAAGAAGTGGAAGCCCCGGTCATGACAGCGTAGAATCCAGCAAATAAAAGTCCGGTAGTGAGAAGGACAGCCGATGTTTCGAGGTCCAGGAGGATCTTCAAGGTTGGAATCGGCGAAGGAAACCGAAAGGAGTAATTCTTTCGAACCTCGGCCTCGACTTCGGGATCCGGTACAATGCCTTGCGCCTTGCGCCTGCGATGCCGGATCACATCCGCGACAGAGTTGTTCAGCGTGGGTGGAGGGATCGAGCCGTCGCCGACGACCTTGCGACAAGTTTCCGGAAGGAACAACGCGAGAATGAGGAAGAAGACACCACCGAATATCAAAAGGAACCAGAAGATCCAGTGCCAGTTCGTATACTGACTGAGAAGACCGCCGATGATTGGGGAAAGTGAGGGACCTAGCATACTTCCGATCGAAGCGAAGGCGATGTAGGAGCCACGCTCAGCAGACGTGATCATGTCGCCCACTAGGCCATTTGCAAGTGCGACTGTGCCACTACTGCCAGCACTTTGAAGACACCGGAGAACGAGAACGGCAGCATAGCTACTCTGAAGACCTAGGCCCAGGTTGGCTGCGAGATAAACGGTGAAGCAGATTATGTAGGCGGGTCGACGGCCTGCGTGGTCCGAGAAGCCTGCGGTAAACATAGGTGCCACGCCCTGCATGATCTAGAGATATATGGTTAGCTGTTACTCCACCCTGTGCGGGTATCCAAGTGGTTACGTACCAGGTACGTAGTGACGGTCAAGTTGACCTGAGAAGTCGAGACGTGTAACTCATTTGCGATGGTGGTCAAAGCTGGTAGGTAAATACTGGACGACAAGGGTGAGAAAAAGCTAGCCAAGGATCCCATGGCCACGATGTAGCGCTTGGTGTTGACTGTGAACTGCGAGAACTGAGGGTCGCGCGGTGTTTCGAGAGACTTGGCCTCATCGGCCTCGGCTTGTGATGCCATCTTGGACTTCGCTATCAGATCTCGAGGGTTTATTCTCCGTACCATGTGGTCTTTCGAAGTTGGTTGAAATATCCCCGATCTGAATACTTCGGATCCCGGTTCCGGGAGAGATGAACCAATCACCGTGCGAGGGAGGTCCGCCGTCTGATTGGGAATCCCGGCACCGGCACCTCTCGACCACATCACACGCTCGCACATAATGTTGACCTTGACATTGTTTTCCAGGTTCACTTCGGGCTACAACCTCATTTATCTTCGCCTTGGTTAGTTCGGATCAAAAACTCTCCACACTTTACAGCACTGTATCCTGATATTTGTTTGCAGAGATCAAAGTGGACAGGCAAAATGAAATGAGCATATCTCAGTGATAATTCCTCAAGCCCATCCATGGTTTCAACCCGACTTTGCATAGAAATGGAAATATTTCGTTAGCTCTGTCAGAAACCCACGTACAAGAATATAAGTGACCACCCAGTTATGAAAAGAACCTTTTTCCATGACTAGGATAATTAAGGTTATCACCATGACAAGTAAGACAAGAAGGAGAGACCAGGGTACATACAAATCCCCAAGCGAGTAGCGCTGAAAGAGACCCATGGATATCTGTGGTGTTGTTTCAAAGAAGCCTGAAACAAAAACTCTCCTGGGGTTTACACAATGCTCCATTCACGGACGAAGGAAATATACGAAAGTGACCTTTCAAGGCAAGAAAGGGTACTGCTAAAAGGCAAGCTGCCCACGCATTCAGCATAGTTCGATAAATGGGGCACGCCAAACGTCAAACTGTTCTCCAAAGGTTGAAGATGTAAGGCGGGATCACAATCAAAACCTCGAATGGCGGAAAAGACACAAGGACAAGCATAAGTTAAGCCATTTGGACTTGTGGAACAGCAAGCTGACTGCTTGCATCCCAAGCTTCCCGGGAGAACGTCAAAGATTACACAAACTAGGGAAATTTGATGATGAGACAGTAAAAATTCCGTCCTTTGGGGTTTGCTCCTACAAATACTATGTCAAATATCGCCAAGACCTTCACCAGGACGAGACATGGCCGGGAGTGGGGAAATCGTGGAGTGCTCGGCTAAATTCCGAGCAGGGGCTGTCACTGCAAAAGACCCCGAGCAAGAACCGAAGTCAACTTGACAGTGAATGTAAACCAGATGAAAAGTTATGGACTAGAAAATTGAATTGTAAGGTTTCACCAATCATCGCAAGTAGGAAGTAGAAAATGGCTTGCCGAGGTGTACAATCCCTCGGCCAAAACGGCGTTTTCCCCGGCGTCTGGGGATCTTCTCCGTATTTCCCCATTTCCCCCTTCTCCACCTCCCATCGTCATTGGCCCCGACGGATCTTCGCCCTGTGCACTCACTTTGAACCTAAACCTTCCTGGGGAGGTGCAAGCCAATCCAACTCAGCGCACAACCTGATCATCGGCCTGAAGTTACCGGGGTCAGGTCAAACCCGTAACGCGGCGGAGATCCAATGAGCGTCAACACCGCGACCTGGAGAAGAGCCGTCCCGCAATTTTCCTTTCGGATTGCCGAATTCAGCGTCGGGTAAAAGGCATCCCCAGGTTTAGCCCCGCCGTGACACACTCCCCCAGTGCGACTGTGCCGGGTTCTGGCCCTGGCTCATCGGACCACGCGAGAGTCTGGCTAAATTCAGCCGGGATGTAACCGTATTGGACATGTCGCTCATTACTTTTCCTGGTTTTTTTGGTCCTCGTGGGGAACCTGCTTTCGATGACTCGGACTCTCGCCGTGTTTGCGCAGGCTATAAAGGCCCCATGCGCCGCTATGATGTCGCAACTTTGCATTCTTGTCTTTGACTATTTCATGATACCCCGCAGATCGATCTGCAGTCGTTGGTTTATAAATTTACGTTAACTAATGCGACACAGCAGCGCTTTGTGATTTCTGTTCATCGACTCTTAATACATTGGCCCGATCACATTCAAGATGAGCGACAAAATTCCATCATGGAATCTCGTCCACAAGCTGGAGAAGCGCTCGCTTCTCATTGGAATTAACTGTGTCGCTGCACTATCAATCCTGTTTTTCGGTTACGATCAAGGAATGATGTCCGGTGTCAACAACGCGAAAGACTACATCGATCTCATGGGGTTCGGGTACACTAAAATGGTTGACGGCGAACCGACCCCAGTGGTGACAAATTCATTGCTCCAGGGTGGAATCGTGTCGGTATACTACCTTGGAACCCTTGTCGGTGGTCTGTTCGGTGGATGGCTTGGAGATCGCACGGGACGGATCAAGACCATCGGCGCGGGCGCTATCTGGGCTATTGTGGGAGCGGCTTTGCAATGCTCAGCCATGAACCATAATTGGATGATCTGCGGTAAGTGCAAATTGCTTTTGTTCGTTTTCGTTGGATTGATCTAACGTGTACAGCGCGCATGGTAAACGGAATCGGCACCGGCATTTTGAACGCTATCGTTCCTGTCTGGGCTACTGAGACAGCCGAGCATACCTCGCGAGGTCAGTTCATTGCGATCGAGTTCACTTTGAACATCTTTGGTGTTGTATTGGCATATTGGCTTGAATTGTGAGTCGTTTACTTTGAGTGATGTGAGCATTTCTAACCTTCCGCAGTGGTTTGTCTTTCATCGACAATGGAGAGTCTGCTTTCCGATGGAGGTTCCCAATCGCATTCCAAATTGTCTTTTTGATCGTTCTCTTTGGCTCTGTATGGTTCTTCCCGGAATCTCCTCGATGGCTGGTCAAAGTCGGTCGCGAGGACGAGGCTCGATACATCCTGCAACGTTTGCGTGGATCCAGCGGAGAGGACCTTGTCCGTGCCGAAGCCGAGTTCCAAGATATCCTGAGCATTGCCGAGATGGAAAAGACCGTTGACCATGCGGATTCCTACTGGTCTATGCTGATTGGCTATAAATCTGGTGATCTTCACATCGGTCGCCGAGTGCAGTTGGTGGTCTGGCTGCAGATTATGCAAGAATGGGTCGGCATCGCGGGTGTCACCGTCTATGCACCTACGATCTTCAGTATTGCTGGATTTGACTCTACAAAAAGCCAATGGATCAGTGGACTGAACAATGTCTTCTACATGGTATGTTTACACCTTGCATGGAATTGCGGCAGTGCTAATATGGGTTTAGTTCGCCACGCTGGTTTGTGTTTTCACCATCGACCGTCTTGGTCGGCGATGGACGTTGTACTGGGGCTCGGTTGTGCAGGGAATTGCCATGTTCCTTGCCGGTGGATTCTCCCGACTCGCCATCGATGCCAAGGCTGTTGGTGACATGGGCAAGGCATCATCATACGGCGCTGCAGCAGCCTCGATGATCTTCATCTTCACATCAACATTCGGAGCCACGTGGCTGACAGTACCATGGGTATACCCAGCCGAAATCTTCCCCCTGGCTGTTCGCGCCCGAGGAAACGCTTTCGGTGTTGTTGGTTGGAGTATTGGTAATGGATGGCTGGTAAGAAAAGCTGATCAACAAGAACGTATTTCAGCGCTAACATGAAATTTTGTTAGACTCTTCTTTGCCCTGTGATGTTCAGCGCTATCAACGAAAAGACCCTATACGTGTTCGCGGCCAGTAATGTCATCACAATTCCCATGGTCTGGGCGCTGTACCCGGAGAGCAACCAACGCACTCTTGAGGACATGGATCTTTTATTTGCTGCCAAGACCCCATGGGTCTGGGACGCTGAAAAGACATTTGCGCGGCTCAAGGCCGAGAACCCGGGCATGGTTCAGGCGCTCAGTCGCAAGGGCAGCGTGGTGGATCCAGAGACCGGAAAGCCTCTCTCAATCGGCGCAGCAGCAGCACTTGCATCATCCAAAGCAGGCGATGATGCCACAGGAGCGGAGCATGTTGATCGTGTTTAGATTTGTAGATCACCTGGGCAAAGACTGTGAATTAGTCACGAAGAATGTTTTAATGACAGCCACAACCATGGATAATTGGATCTCATGGGTAATTATTTTCTACCTAGTGTCAGCCGAAGATGAAGTCATTGTTGTAGCGCTGCTGTAAATACTCATGATCGCCTCGGGGTATCCTTGACCTGGATTTGGATATTGGTGGTCCAACCCAACCTCCAACCTTGGAACGTAGGACCGAGAGCAACATGAATTCTAATTGGTCACTTCCAGAACAACCACCAAATATTGTCGGAGTCATCGTCAAACATCTCTTAGCCCTCTCGATTATTTCTTGATCTAATTCATTGCACTTTCAATAAGAGCACATCAATCATTTTCCAAAAAAAAACGCACATATCGCGCGGTAAGCTCAGCTCCGAGTACGCGTCTCACCGCGTCGCCGTACCCAAGCAATTGATTCCAGCTAATTCCCAACGCAGCCAGCATCACTCAAAGGCAATCCATGTTCCAAGCCTAATCGGGACCTTGCATACCGCACCAAGGGATTGAACACATCATTGAGCCAACACACATGGAAGTCATGGCACTGCATGTGGATCCTACAGGCTCGCCCGCCTCAGCATCAATCCCAACCCCAGGCACAGCTCAAAGAACCGAGAAAAATGAGTTGAATAAACTTGCTCAGCCATCAATTCAAACCAAGAAATACCTCCACCGCATATCTCTTCACCCAACACTAACCCCCTACCGACGGCGCGTTTACCGCGTCCTTCTATCCGTACCGTCGGGTCGCTGGACTACATACTCAGCCATGGCAACTTTTCTAGGTTCCAGTGCGCGGGCGGTGGGTAATGCAATGCGAACCAATCCATTTGCGCCCGAGGTCCCATGCCATCGGGTTCTCGCGGCGAATGGGACGCTTGGTGGGTATAAGGGAGAATGGAAGGTTGATGGGCATAAAGCTGGGGGTGGCTTTTGCGAGGAGAAACGTCTGAGACTCGAAGAGGAGGGGGTCGTTTTTGTTGATGGAAAAGTCAGCGGTGTCTGTTTCAAAGAATTTGTCGATCTTGGACAGAAGTGACTGTGGATTATGTACGTTGGCGTCATGTTAATGTTTTTGGCTAGGGCTGTGCGCTCTTGATCTCTGGCACATGAATGGTGTTTATGGTCGTTTTCTCCTCAATTGAGATTATTTCAGTTGCCTGCGATTTGCGCTCATGGTATGGCGACAGCTCTGGAGCGACTTGTCAAGCTGCTGCTGATACATTTAATAGTGTCAGCATGTTCTCGGCATGAGCATATTCTCGGCAGACTCAAGCTTGCCAGGCAACCATGGAATCATATTATATACCGCATGGAAACCTGATACCTGGATCGATTCAAAATACTTGAATCCATGATTCACAGATTGAGAACTGACACAGGTCACAAGCTTCCACAGAAAAGATGCCCCTGGGACTGCAATGCCTCTGCTTACATTCCAGAGCCAACTCGGCGGAATTGCGATAGCGTGAAAGGCTTCAAATCTGAGCTGGTCATTCCCGCAATCCACGACCTCGTCTGCCCTATCATCAATGCGCTACTCTGGTCCATCCCCGAGAACATTCCACCAAACACCTTTGGAACTGGATGGGTATCTATTAAATGATGGCCTCGGGTATATAGTACAGATTTGAAAGCTGTTCACCGCTGGAACCTCTTTTCAAGCCACCCTGGCCCTGACGATGCGTACCTTTATTTGGTACATAGCATATTGTTCATTCGGCCACACGACGAATGCATATTATGAACCGTGGCAAGACACCCAGCCATTTATTCCTCCAGTTTTTGTCGACCAAACCATAATACATTCGGGTACATGCCCAGGGAATACACCCCAAACACGGGATCAATGGTGTCAATATGATCTATACACAGATTATACGGATACAGTACCAGACACTGGAGTCACTCGAGAGTTTTGGCTCAATGTACACCAAGCAAACCTGGCACCCGATGGGCGATCAAGATGGATGCTAGCAATAAACAATTCAATGCCGGGTCCAACAATCGAAGCAGACTGGGGAGACACCGTGATCATTCACTTGCGCAGTAGCCTGCCACCAAAGATCAACAACGGAACAAGCTTGCATATCCATGGACTCCGTCAACACTTCACCAATCCGATGGACGGGGTAGTGTCTGTTACGCAATGTCCTCTCGCACCTGGGAATGTAATGAGCTACCGGTGGAGAGCGACACAGTACGGCACGACGTGGTACCATTCTCACATCGGACTTCAGACCTGGGAAGGTGTTTATGGAGGTGTTATCATCAACGGGCCAGCCAGCAGCAACTACGATGAGGATAAAGGGGTGATCTTGCTTTCAGACTGGGATATCAATACCGTGGACCAGCTCTGGACCCAAGCACAGACAGTCGGTGCACCTCAGCTCGACAACGGCCTCATCAATGGACACAATGTCTTCGGAGGTGACAATGGCTCAATCCAGACAGGATACCGGTACAATACCTCCTTTGTCCCGGGGACTTCATACCGGCTTCGTGTGACAAATGTCGCTTGCGATACTCAGTTCAAATTCAGTATAGATCATCACACTCTGACGGTCATATCTATGGATTTTGTTCCAATCAAACCCTACAAAACTACTGTAATCAATATCTCAATTGGTATGCAAATGTATGAGCAAACCTGAAACAAAAAGAACGTCCTTACTAATTTACTCGGGGAACAGGCCAGCGCTACGATGTGATTGTGCAAGCAGACCAAGAATCAATCGCAAACTCCTTCTGGCTCCGCGCCATCCCACAGCTATCATGTTCGACAAATAGCAACGCAGAAAACATCCGCGGCATCATCAACTACGGAACAGGATCCGCAACCTCGCTCCCAAATACAACAAGTTACACTATAACAGACACCTGCGAAGATGAACCCGCATCAAAGCTATCCCCAATAATCTCCAAAGATCTTTCCCTCACCGCATCCGATTTCTACTACAACGAAGACCTTCCCGCCTCCGTAGCCCAGAACGAGAACTCCGTCTTCCGCTGGTACCTGAACGGGACATCTATGCAGGTGACATGGTATCAGCCAACGCTAATGGACTTCGTCGACAAGGGTCAGGGGTACTACGGCGGAGCCGTAGAGCCGCCGGATCCAACGCAGCCCAGCCGAGCGGTAATCTCCGTCCCCAAAGCCGAAACTTGGGTACTTGTGATAATAGAAACGACCGTACAAGCCCCGCACCCGATACATCTGCACGGGCATGATTTCCTAGTTGTTGCGCAGGGGTCTGGGGCCTGGAACGTCGACACAAACACACTGAATCTAGACTATGCGGCCGGATCACTTCCGAAACGAGATACTGCACTACTTCCTGCACTGGGGCATCTGGTGCTGGCGTTCCGTACGGATAATCCTGGTGCGTGGCTGATGCATTGTCACATTGGGTGGCACATTGATCAGGGATTTGCGTTACAGTTTGTTGAGCGGGAGGACGAGATTAGAGGGATGTTGAATGTTTATGGGAATGCGTTGGGGGGTTGGTGGGAGTATGGGAAGGCGATGAAAGAGAATTGTGATATTTGGAATCGGTATGACCCTGGCGGTCAGATATTGGTGAATGGGGCTGGGATTTAGATCGTAGCTCTGCATTGACATTGATCTCCAGGGTCGGAGTTTGAAAAGTGGAAGAAGGTAGGATTGAGATCGGCGTTACTAGGTTGGGAAGTCAAAGGATCTGGATGCGCTCAGGGCTGACCTTTTCGAGCCAGCGAGGATTTACAAAGTTGCACAAGGATCCAAAGAGTTTTCTTTAGAGTTTTGACTTTTTTGAATGTGCGGAGTACTTTTGCTTGCTTTCCTTCGGAGAGGATTTCTTTGTTCCTTGCTTCTATGTATGCAGGGTATTTGGAATAGCTCAACGCCATTAGAGAAGCATGATCAATGTGTAGCCACGTAGTTGAAAAATGTGATATACTAGGATTCAAAGGATTGTACTACATGTACGTGTCCGGGAAATTACTTGGCGGATCGACGAAGCCGAGTACTAGCTCAAGGGGAAGAAAGGTAAAAAATAGGTGGTTCGATTAGCTAGAGAAAATGGAAACACAAACCCGAGCAGGATTTGAAAAAGCACAAGATACATCGTAATCATAACAGTACATTGAAGGCATCTCACATAGCCCATCTAAACAAATCGCGCCTCTCTAGAATCTAGAACACGGGCTCGTGAGCTGAACCCAAAAAATAAAGCGTAGAAGCGAATCGTCTATACAGGATCGACTCGGTCGAGTGCGATCCAGACATGCAAATTCAAAACCGAATAAGGAAAAAGAGAGAAAAAAAAGTCGTAATATCGTCAAGAAAGCACTGTCGGTAAAATGAGGTGGAAAGGAGGAGGCAATCATGAAATGTGCTTCGCGGATCGCTTGGAAGATCCCCGCTTGGGAACATCCATGTGGTGGTATGAGCGCAGGTGTTCGACGAGGTGATCCTGTCGTGGGAATCCATTGCTACCCTTGCGTGAGCAGTGGTCCACGGGGCAGTTACGGAAGACCGGGTAGTGGACGCTGGACTGGTGGCGCTTTAGGTCGGCGCAACGGGTGAAAGCTCGACCGCAGTTGTCGCATGCGAAAGGCTTAGCGCCTGCAGGCCTGGTTGAGTGATGTTAGTTAAATTCACCAGACAGCGTGGATCGTGGATGGCACTACTTACTTAGAGGAAGAAGATGTAGTAGGAGCAGGTGAGTCGGATCCAGAGTCGTAAAGGGTGCTAGGGTATTGGGGCAATGCGATGTCCTCGGCGGGAAAGTTGAAGCTGCTGCTGTAGCTGCTGCTGTAGCTACTTCCACAGCTGCTCGGTGTGCTTTGGGGTACCAGGCGCGGGGTGTAGACTGGGAATTCAGGGTACTCATGCGGGGAGGCGTAGGTGTATGGGCTACTGGTGATGCCGTAGACCTCGGGGGTGACCTCTTGCATGGGGAAGGATGTTGGGTTGAGGTCGCAAAGCGAGTCGTAGACAGGCTGGCCACCATAGAAGAAATCCATACCACCCGGGGAGGAAGAGTAGGAGGAGTAAGAGTCGTAGTTGAAGGGGGACTGCATGTCGGAGGTAGAAGAGAGGGAGCGAGAGGACATGGCCATAGGAATTGGAATTGCAGTCTTATTAAAAGGAAAGTTAGATTAGTCTAGAGTGTGTACAAAGTACGCCAGTCCACATACCATCGCGCGAGAAATTGGAATTATAAAAATCAATTCAGAGGGCCAAATGATCAAGGGCAGAATTCATTAAGTGTAAAAGGAAAGGAAGAAAGGTACCGGGACCCTTTTATCTGTGAAACTCGGAAGACTCTCGAGATGCATGACTAGAGCCCCCTCCGACTAGACACGGGACAGCCCATCTATTGTGGACCTCTCAAAAGGCTGTGAGCTGCAGTTCTAGAAGACTACTGGATGGGGACTGGTTAAAACCGTACGTTTTTCATTTGCGGGAATTTGGGATGGGATTTTGGGACATGCAGGCCGTTGAGTAGTGCTGACGGAAAGTTCCACGGCCCTTCTAGTGCTGCACGTCCACGACTGATGATTGGAGGTTGTTGGAGGTGAGTGGACGACGTGAGGCTGGGCGAGCCAATACGCAGAGTCGATAAGCAGCAGCGGTCAGAACAGACAAACAGAGTTCCCCTCACGGTCGATCCCCACCTGATTGGTTTGTTTTAGTGTCTCGTGTGTTTTCTAGCGTCGTTCCACTCGTTCTAGCGCGTCTTTGGACCCGGTTTCCTTGTTTGTTTTCGTCATATCTCTTTGTGCTCGAGTTTAGCTGGAAATTGAGGGTAACCCCCTGGGAAAATCGAGTGCTGTCTGTACTTTGTAGGCAGGCAGTAAGTTGAGCAGAATTATTAAAAAGCAGTACTCCGTATAATAAAAGGCTATACTTTAGGGCTGTGCGATTCCATAGTCAGGTGATACTCGTACTGTTGTAGAACAACAGCGATAATAACGACAACAACAACAATGTAGGTCTGCGCAAACCACATTGACGTAGCCCAAATCGGCACAATCGTGCCGAGTGATCAGCCTTGCGAACTCCAATCTGCCAATCCTGGGGTCTCAGATCGATGATGTATAGCCCCCGCGCACAGCCCCTTTGCACTAGTCTTCGCTAAATTATTCTAGAAGGGAAAAATCCCGCACGCCAAGTCAACTTGATGCTCGTACTTGTTAGTGTACTTTACTGAGCCTCTCTCTTTGTTAGCGCTTGTGACGTTATACTGCGTGAACTCGCACTCTATTCCCCTTCCGGTGCGAATCTACTTCATCTCCGCGGGCCCTGGATTCGCTTCCCCGGGCCCTGCTGGGCAACCTTGCACGCATATTACTATGCCGAGACTTTCGGAAGAAAATCGCTTGCAGCCGTGCCGTCCCCGGATTTCAATCGCTTTCTTATCCTCTTGTACGTAGTACTTTTATGCATGCACCCAATCCGGGCGACGGATGTACAAGTACTCCCGTACTTGATGCGTTGTTCACGCACCGATCGACACCCCAGATCCAGCACCCGGGTGTCGAATACGTTCAGGGCTTAGGCCAGGTACGGGCAAGGGAGACGGTCGCATAAGCGTGGGATTTTACTTCTTGGTTAACTTAGCTCTTAGCTCTTGGTCAACTTTGCTGGGACTTGTATTACTCGACATAGAAAAAAGACTCGACATGCATGGATCATTGTATTGTTCAGTGAACCGTGAAAAGAAGAAAAAAAGACAGAGATTTGACAAAACGCCCACACCACCGAGGCCCCATTCATTGCGATCATTGCCCGATGCCCGTACGAAAACAGTAAATGAACAGCCCGGATCCCATGACAGATGGTTCAAAGTTCCCTCCCGCATAGCCTCAAACATCCAGCCCAGTCTATGTCATAGCGTCGGGCCACAAATTTTCCGAGCAGATTTTAGGCCGAAAAGAAAAAAAAAAAAAAAGTCAACTGTGCAGGGTCGGTTTGCTCATGAAGAAATTGGGACGGATTATAATTCGTCCTCGAGATATTTGTACACGAACTTGAAATCGGCCTTACGGCGATTCATCCTGTTCAATCTTCGTAAGCGTGGAGTTCTTGGGTTTGACCTTGCGTGGGCCGGATAGAGATAACTGACCATGTGCTCTCGTAGTCAAAGAAGCGATAAGTTCCTTGCTCAAATTCTTCAGTGATGTTCTTGGGCTCCTCGTGGCGCTGGAACCAAGTTTGGTACTGCTTGTGGAAACGCCAGCTCTGATTCCGAAGCGCCTTGGCTGCAAGATATTGCTGGTAGCTGCCTTGGCGGTAGTAGAAGAGGTAGAAAAGGGTATCAGTATCAATCCTGCCAGTATCGTACAGTCGAGGGTCATCAAATATTGAGAGAGGTTCCTGCGGGTAGTATAACGGAGTACTGTAGGGGTTCTGAGGCTTGTAATGACGGGGCTTCTCGGCATCACCAGGCTCTGGACACGTTGTCAACGATGTGGCCAGAAGACGTTGCGTTGATGGCGAGGGGTTTGCCGAAGCACGCGTCTTCGTCACCTCGAATGATTGGAGCAAGTCTTGAAGGCCCGGTGGTAGATGATACACCGACTTCTCACCTTCAGCCTGCTCAATCTCCGTATTCCCATTTGTCGATGTCTCCACCTTCGCCGGTGCTGGTGATGACCTTGCGCCTGCTGGAATCTTAGATCGACCATTGGTACCAAGGTCCTCTGATACGGCGGCCGCAGCAGGGGAGATTATGGGCTTGGAGATAGGCTGTGCTGGCGCCACGATCGGTGAAGCGGTAGAAGATTTGGAGACTGGCATAGCCACGGACAGAGCCGGGCTGAGACCAGGTGGAGGGGGAAGGGGGAGAATTCCCACCCCACTTTTATCACTTGCAGCTGCGGCAGCCGCAGCGGAGGCGTACTTGAGGGTCTCGCCAGGGGGGCGGGTGGGGAGCGGAGCGGGCTTCATGCCCGGGGTGGCACTAGAGGAGGCAGCGGGGTGGAGGGTAGCGAGGACGGGAAGCGGTGATTTCATCTGCGTCGACGGTCTTCGAGGAGCAGTGGCTTCTGGCTTCGGTTTGGGTTTAGATTCCGGCTCTTCATCTGGTACAGATTGAGCGTCTTGTGATGATACGCGATCGCCTTCACCACCCATGCCGAACTGCGCCTCGATCTCCTCGCCGATGTTGAGATCATCGTAAAGCGTCTCATCTTCGCCAGAGTAGTCCAGGCTACCACCTTCCTCGACGTAGTATTTGATACTTTCCTTGAGATCTTGTACCGCACCCACGTCCAGGTTACCGTTTTGTAACGACCGATTGAGGAACTCCAGCTTGTTCACGTGCCACTTATGTCGTTCGGTTACGTGCGAGATGTCGGCCATTCGGTCTGCCTTCTTGGTGTCTTTTTTCCCTTTTTTCAGTTGCGCATGGAGAGTTTCTTCTTCTGCTTCTAAGGCTTCGATCTTCAACTGAAGCTCGTCCACCATATTCGACAGGAACTCGGAACACTCCACTCGCTCCTTCTCTTTGGGGTCCAACCTAGAAGCTGCTGAGAGGCCTTCTTTGGAGTAGGCTTTCGTCTTCATCTCCTTCTCGACGGCCTTGAATTGTTCCATACACTGCCGAGGCTGTTAGCTTGTCCCTTGGGTGAAGCGGTCGGACCCAAGGCCCTATAGTAGTCGCAAACCCACCACTTCAATGGCTTTCCGCTGCTCGATAAGCGGGGCTTTATCCTTGACCTCGTTTCCGGCGGCCCATGATTTGATCTGATCTCGGAACCTTTGCAGCTTCTTGATCTCGCGCTTCAGGTGGTCCTCGAGCTTATCCCGTTGCGTGGGATTTGTGGCTTGTCGAATCTTTTCATAGATGCCTTCGAACGTCTGAATCCCTTCAGCGACCTTCTTGAAGGTCTTGTCGATTTCTTGTTGCGTCTTCCTTGCGGCCATTGTGAAAGCGTGGGCGAGGACGGAGCCGTCCACTGGCGTTTATCTCAATGAGGGTGGAGGGTTGGAGGGTGTGCGACCCGAGCGATCAATATTGCACCGTCGACAGAAATGTGTTTTAGGGAATTGTGGGTAGTGCTGGCTCATGACAAGGCACATGGACTCAGAAACCAGTGGATTCCTCTCCGCGTTGAGTGGAAAGCTCTGGATGCCGAAGTGGGCAGGCGGTGTCGAGGGGCGGAGTTCCACTGCGATGGCGGAGGGGCGGGTTTTCTGGCGGGCGCTCGCGACAGTGTCAATCTCACGGACTTTCAGTGCACCCGTGGACGCATCGTATGCTTATCGTGTACTTACGTGAAGTATTCTTGATCCACGTTCAACGGCCACCACTCACCACTGATTTCCATATCTTTACCCAAGACGGCGGGTAGGTACCCCAGCTTCCCAACCCCACCCTTCCTTGATCCTTAATGCTTACTTGCTGCTCTTATAGATCTAAATTATGAAAGGTCTGCACACCAACGTCGCGTATATACAACACACCGTTAACATCGCCCAGTCGTTATCCAACGAGTGAAATCGGCGTCCGTTAGTGTCGACTCGGAATTGATCTCATCTATCGGCAAAGGACTTCTCGTGTTTGCCGGCGTTGGCAAAGAGGATACCGAGAAGGAGGCTGAGAACCTGGTGAATAAGGTGCTGAAGGCTAAATTTTGGCCTGACGAGAATGGAGCACAAGTAAGATTTTGGGCTCGTTGGTGCAGCGGCGGCAGTTGACCTTTGCGCAGTGGAAAAAGAACGTTCAAGACATTGAGGGTGAAATTCTATGTGGTAAGAGAATAATACCTTCTCCTAGTGCCAATGCACCATACTGATTATCACCCGTGTTTAGTTTCTCAATTCACCCTCTACGGCAAGATGAAAGGCACCAAGCCCGATTTCCATGATGCAGCGGGCCCGGGACCAGCACGCAAGCTCTATGACCACTTCTACGCGAAAATGTGCGATGGCTATCAACCGGACCGGGTCAAAAATGGTGTCTTCCAGGCAATGATGGAGGTCGAACTAAAGAATGACGGGCCGGTGGGTGTAGACTACTGCAGCGAAGACGCGGCGGTACATTTTGCCTTCCTGGCTCCTTTCCTCGCCGCAAATGACCTTATACTGACTGGCTTTTATTGTAGGTCACCATTGAAATCAACACCAACCTCCCCCAAAAAGGAACCCAAGGACAAGAAAAATGACAAGACGCCGGATGAGCAAGAGTTGAAGGGATCATATGAATTCCAAATACCGGCTGAACTTTTGCAATGAACAAAAGAAACGAACACAAAAGATAGAGTCTTATGTACATACTATTATAGACAGATACCCCAATGTCATTTACACAAGTTGAGTCCATGCCCAGGTGCTAGCCCTGGACCTCGGGAAATACATCTGCCCAGACCACAAGTAGATAGACAGATCAGTATCGAAGATGTTTGGCTTCTATATCTTCCCGATGCGATGATCTCTACTGCTTAAGCCCTTCCGGGTGGATAGTTTACAGGTCACAGGTAGAGAACAGCATTTACTGTATGATCATGGAGTTATGTCAAAGGTTGGAATGATGTGAAATAATACACCAGGGGTCGTTGGTGACACAAGAAGTCCCGTCGTGAGTCGTGATGGAACATGAAAAAGAGCAAAATCAACATGGGGAAATTCAAGAGAAGAACTTCTTGGCAGCGGCCTTGTCCTTGGCCTCGCGGTCCTTGACAGCCTTCTTGACCTTGGCAATCTCGTTGACGATTCCAGCATCGCCAGGAGCGAACTTCTCGGCTTCCAAGAGATCCTTAAGAGCAGAGTCTTCCTCCTTCAGACCCTCGTGGGCAAGAGCACGGCGGTAGTGTGCCTTGGCCTTATCCGCATCCTTGGCCTGGGCAGCATCAGCAACCTGAAGCGCGTATGTAGCCCACTTCTGAGCGTCGCGGTATTTTTGAAGCTTGTTTCCGAGCAAAGAAGAGTTGGAGTGGAGAGTGAAACGAAGAGCCTTCATCTGGGGGCCAAGCTCCTTGGGGTCCTCATCTGCGGGCTCGGGGAACTCGTTCAAGTAGCGCAGACCCTTCTGGTACTTGTCAAGACCGAGGTTGAGATCGCCGCTCTTGAAAGCAGCGTTACCGTAGCCCTTGAGGTCGGAGGCGATCTTGAAGCAAAGAGGAGCAGTAAGATCCTCGCCCTGGTGGTCCTCAATGAAGTCCTCGTAAGGGTCACCTGTCGCATCCGCGACACGCTTGGCCGCATTTTGGAAGTCGTCGCCGGTGAGCTCGCCGCAGTTCACCACGGTCACATCTTGCACGGGCTTGTCGTTTGTGGTCTTCATGTTCTCGATCTTGCGAACGATGCTCTTGCCGTTGATCACCTCTCCGAAAACAACGTGCTTGCCATCGAGGTGGGGTGTGGGGACGGTGGTAACGAAGAACTGGCTGCCGTTGGTGCCAGGGCCGGAGTTGGCCATGGAGAGCAGGAAGGGGCGGTCATGCTTGAGATCGAAGTTCTCGTCGGGGAACTTTTCGCCGTAGATGGACTCGCCGCCGGTACCGTTGAATGCAGTGAAGTCACCACCCTGGATCATGAACTGCTTAATCACGCGGTGGAAAATTGAGCCTGGAGCGGAGCGGAGGGGTTAGCGAAAGTCCAATGCGAGCGGGGTATGGCAGACGTGCCCTTGAAGGTCAATTCCTTGCCCTGAGTGCCAATGCCCTTCTCTCCGGTACACAGAGCACGGAAGTTGTCGGCAGTCTTAGGGACGACTGGTGTTCACATTAGTCGGATCCATATCGTGAAGAAAATCATGCCGTACCATCGCCGAACTATGATGCGCGCGAACGTTAGCTTTGTGCGCATGTCGAGGTAGGATACCAAACATCCCACGATCGGGAAACTTACCAGCTCGAATGCGACCCGACCAGCATCGGTGTCGCCGATCTTAATGTCAAAGAAGACGCGAGAACCTGTCGTCGTTAGCATGGAGGTCTGCAGATCACCCCGCATTGGACTCACGCTGAGTTGCCATAGCTGATTTGTAGAGAAGCTGTAACAAGGAAGTAAAAGTGTATAAATTATGGAACGAGAGTTGAAGATGAGGGCAGAAAGCAAGATGTTCGCGTTGTGGGGGAGGAAGAGCATTTGGTTCAGGAAGCTTCCATGTGCCTTTAGCCGCCCACTCGGTCACTGCGCCCGCATCACAACTAATTGCAGCCTACGCTGCACTTCGTAATCCGTCCGTACTGCGTACATACATTGGGGTTGCGCATTACACTATGACAGGGGCATTGTTGCGCCTGTCTCCGCCAAAACCCTTTCATATCTTCCTGTGCAGTTCCGACGCCAGGTCTTGCCCCAAATCATTATTGGTACACCCGCCAACACAGACAAGGCCACGAGAATACCAAAAAAAAGGGCTCAACGGAGAAAAAGGTAGCAAAATTGATCGATGAAGAGCAGATTGCCACCACTCATTCGCCAGAGACATCGGGACTTAGGACTCTGCTAAAAATAATGGTTTGCTTTTTAACTAATTGTATGTTTTGAGATATACTGCGTGTATATATAGAAGGGAGGTAGTTTAGTCAACTATGGGGGCCTCTTGTATGTCCCTGAACCGTGTTAAATATGAAATACCTATGTAATAATGGACGAGGAGAGAGAAGGAAAGAGAAGAGAAGTGTAGAATCAACAATTGGACTGGGAAGTACTATCCATGGTTGTACCTAGAAAGGATAGGTGTCAGGTAGTAAACCCTGTCCATAGGATTGGATATAGATATCTCGTCACTTTCCCCTCTCTCTTTCTTCTCCCTGCTATCATTCTATTCACCATCTCTTCCAGTCTACCACGGTGCTCTCATCTAATAGTGTCATGGAGTGGGTGGCCACAGGAGCACCCACAATACTTCTGATCCGACAGCCCGGAGCCTGAGAGTCTACAGGGCAGATGAGAGACAAGACTGATTCAATCGGATTTAATAGGGGGTGAAAGAGAAGAGAACAATCTACTCCGTATGCGAGCGAAGCAAACAAGATCACCTGACCGGTATCGACAACTTCCACTTCAGAACCCTCCAGCCTCATTCTAAGGACGTCCAACAAAGCGATGAATCTTTAAAAAGAATTTGATTGCTATCAAGAAAAAGCACATCGAGACACTCTGCGAACGAAGAAAGGGGGGGAAAAAGCAGAAAACACGCTATCTAAACATCAATCCTATGGCGTGCCCCCCTGGGAAGTCACCACCCAACTACATATTCTCACGCGAAGTTGGTGAAAGAACTCAATGAGGCGATCCGTGCACTCAGCTGGGTCAAATCCTTCGCCAGATCCTTGAAGGAGACAGTGGCGCCCAACTCCTTGCCCAACCACGTCCGGAACTCCATCTCGATCAGCGAATCAACGCCGTTTGTGCGGGCATTGAGCGAATCATCGAACGAATCATCGGAAATATTCAACAAGTCTGCCATCTTGTGTCTGATAGCTTTGATGATGATCTGTGCTGCGTCATTCTGTGTGGCAGCCGCCTGGAGAAGGTCGCGGACACGGGTGACTGACTGAACTTCTCCTGCTCCAATCGCGATTCCAGACTTAGGAATGGCTGGTGGGAGCTGTGAGAACATAGGGTACGAAAGATGAGTGGGTGCTTCTTCGTCGGCGATGCTGAAGGAAGCCGGAGTTCGCAGACCGCACACAAGCTGCGCGGTCTTTTCGGTTAAGTTGGTGTGATAACGACCATCGATCAAATACTCGACCGTCGTCAACACCTCTTCCTCATTTTGCTGGTTGGCAACCTTGAATGTGTGCTTGCCGGCATATTCGGAATTCTCGGCGATGAAACCAATACCCACAACGGCACCAAGATTAACACTTGTACCCTTCATTCCCTTGGAGACACGATAACGGGCCAAGGCATCCTGATAATTGTTACCGGCGTTGTAGTTGGCTTGGCTTCGGTTACCAACGATGCCGGTAATGGAGCTTAGCATCAAGAAGAAGTCGACATCTGGCAGCAGGTTGTGGAGGTTCCAAGATCCAGAGACCTTGGGAGCCAGTGCGGTCTGCCAATCTTGGTGCGTCATGTCATGGAAAGCTCCGTCCCTCAACACGAAACTACACTGAATACATCCCTTGACCGGTGGCAAAGTGCGTTTGATCTCTGTAAAGACTTCAACCAGACGCGCGTTGTCCGAGATGTCACACTGGAAGACATGGCTTGCACAGCCCAACGATTTGAGGTGCGCGATTGTTTTTTGACCTTCTTCAGTCACGGTTGCCGACCGGGAAAAGAAGACAATATGCTTTGCGCCCATTGTAGCCAGTCTCACGGCAATGCTGCGACCAATACCGCCCAGCCCTCCGGCTAGTACGAATGAAGCATTGGCATCTAGCGCGAGAGGGGAGAGAGGAGCTGGCATAGCCGACACAGGATACGAGTCTGGGATGAGCGTGATCTTTCCGATGCTCTTTCCAGTCTGCAACAGTCGCATTCCTTCCTTGAGTTGGCCATAGCCAATGGATTGTGTTGGTCGAGCTTCACGAATGCTCGCTGCTGACCACAACTCCATCAATTCTTTCAAGATATCCTGGCAAATCGCCGGGCGCTCTTCCGCCAGGGCATTCAGGTCAACACCTGCGAATGTGACATTGTTAAGGAATGGAGTCATATCAAGCTTTGATCCGGCTTGGAGATCGAGTTTTCCAATCTCGATGAACCGACCGAACGGTGCGACGCAAGCCCAAGATTCCCTGAGTGCCTCGCCGCTCAGTGAGTTGAGAACGATATCGACACCGCCTGGGGAAATATTCTTGATTCCCCGCGAGAAGCTCAAGTCACGACTGGAGAAGATGTGGCTTTCAGGAATTCCGAAAGTCTCCATTATGAAGTCTTTCTTCTTAATGCTTGACAAAGTCACAAAGATCTCGGCCCCCTTAACCTTTGCGTATTGAATTGCAGCTTGGCCAATACCACCAGCGGCAGCATGAATCAGGATTTTGTCACCGGGGCGAATGCGAGCAATGTGACCCAAGGAATAGATGACTGTTCCATAGATGACTGGCAGTCCTGCAGCGATTTCGAAGCCGAGATTATCAGGAATCTTGATAGCCAGATCCGAATGGATGCGACTGTAGGTGCGCAGTGTGCCCATTCGACCAGGAGATGGGTCTCCCAGACACATGACTCGATCTCCAGCCTTCAGGCCCTTGACAGATGATCCAACATTCTGCACAATACCAGCTGCCTCGTGCCCGAAACCTGGCTGGGCGATTTCTCCCATAGCCACCAACAGATCCTTGAAATTGAGTCCGACAGCACGGACATCCACCTCAATTTCATTGTCTGCCATTGGCTGGTCGATGTAATTCTCATCAGTGTTCCATACAAGGCTATCAACGCCCGGGTGAGGACTAGTCAGTCGCACAGCTCGCCCAATCTGGTCCCATTTGGTAAGAGTTGGCTTTGGCCGCAGCAGCTTTGCATCAATCGCTGTGTTCGCGTCTGTGTTCTTGACAAGATGGTTTGTTTCAATCACTTGGTTCCGAACGCGATACTCGGCATTGGTGTTCTTAGGACCAGTGAGGAACTGGTGTGTGAAGACCCGGAAAATCGCATCCAAATTCTTCTCCGCGGTAGCGGTCGCCTCGCCGTCCAGAGACAAACTGACCAGGTTCAGATTCTCACGATCCTGTTCCCAGCGAATGGTGCGTAACAAGCCTGGTGCCATTTGGAATTCTGGCTGCGCCAGGGGGTCTCCCATCACCCAGAGCAGTGAGCTGCACGAAACAAGCAAGTCCCGAATCTTGGCGAATGTGTTGGCATCCACATTGTTGAGGACCGGCCGGTCGGCCTCCAGGAAGGAGACGCAAGTCTTTTCCGCAACGCTGCCTGTGTCAACCTCGTCGAGCTTGCGAACCGAATGCTTGACACCTGCATCACTGAGCCTTTTGGTGAACAAGCGAGATGTTTCAGATTCAGATTGGATAATGACGAGAACATCCAAGACCGGGGCAGCGGCCTGTGACGACTGCTTGACTGCAGTGGACGCCATCATGGTGTAGTCGGCGAATTCCGCGTAGGAAGAGCTTGAGGCGTCGAGATCGATACCTGAGAACCCAGTCTCCCGCAAAAGTCTGTCGTATACGCTCTTCGCGGCAAAGAGCCCATCTCTTCGGAAGGACTCAGTTGCCTTCCACCAAACAGGCAAGCTGCCGAAAGCAACATTGGCGTGAAGTGACTCCGGTCGGGTTTCATCGAAGGCAAGCAGTCGCCCACCTGGAACGACCAAGGAGTTCAATCGCTCGAAGACTACCTTCATGTCTGGCTCTGTGTGAACAAAGTTGTTGGCAATGATCAAGTCAAAAGAGTCCCGCTCGAAGCCTTGCTCAATGGGGTCGGTTCCCAGGTCAAGGGCTTTGTAAGTCACGGTGCCCTTCCATCCAGCAAGACGCTCCTTGAGTGGGTTTGAGCCACCACCAAACACGGATCCGATCACGTATTTCTCGACGCGCGATGGGTCGTTATCTTGACACAAGCTCTTCAGAACTCGCTCAGCCAAGTCCCCTGTACGACCAGAAACGTCGAGAATGCGCAAACTGCGGTAGCTGCGGCGCAGAGTGTCGAGGTACTGATCAAGCACAGGTGAAATGTTGCCTCGCGACAGATTGGTGTCATCCCAATCGTAAAAGAGGTTGTCCATTTCAAACAGAAGATGTTCAGGCGTGACATCCTTTTTCAAAATGGCCGATATTTGAGAACCCATTCTGATCAGCACTTGTCCATCAAGGGTTTGAGTTTCAACCTCGCGATAAAGTTGCTTTTTCAGGCCAGGATTGCGGGAATAGTTCAGCCATTTCTCCAATGGCACATATGGAACCGAATCAATCGAGATGTTTGCGGCAATACCTCGAAGTAGATTCTGATACTTCTTGTGGTGAGGTTCCAATGCAGATTCATCGAGGCCTCGAATAGCCAGGAGACCATCTGTCGCCAACAGAGTCGAGGCTAGTTGAAGCTTGCTCAACAATTCCAATTGAGCCTGGTAGCTAACGGCAGTGTTCAAAGAAGATGGCACGAGTTTCCAGATGTCATCTTGGGTCAACAAGCCCAGGTCAGGGTGCCAATCAATGGAGTAGGAGGCCTTCTCGTCACTAGCACTCTCATTCCTGCTCTCTGGCTTGAATGGTGCCATCTTGGCCCCAGTCAACGAAAACAACTTCGTATTGACATCCGAAGGCTTCCATGAATGGATGTCAATTTCGAAGCTGTCGTGAAGACCAGGAGAGGCTTCGCATGTGCAACGCAGTGTGGTGTTGGCAGCGGATGATAGGTCCGTCGTCGAAACCCACATCTCTCGAACCGAGCTTGGAACGCAGCCACGGCTCAACATGTTCTTGCCCTTCAGATCAAAGATTGCGGCAAAGGCTGCTTGGAACGCGTTGTCGAGAGTGGTTGGATGGATGAGATGATCATGAGCATACTCCTTCGGCATCCATCGCTTGATATCAGGGACGACAATGTCACCCGTCATCAAACCATCGTCACGACCACTGATCTTGGAATTGAACATTCTCCGGAAGGATTCACCATGGTTGATATCAATATCCCGGAGATGCGCCCAGAGCGGAGCAAAATCAATCGGATCCTTGCACTCGCCCTCCCTGGCTTCCACGAATTTCAACCACTTGGCTTTCTCAACAACCTCTTGGCGAGCAGTATCAATGGGATTGACGGGGGCCTTGTAGTCCGCTGCAATTTTACCGGTGCAATGCTCGACCCATTCTTCGGTAACCTCATCATAAGAGGCAACTTCGAATCTCTTCCAGGAGTTTGAAAGCGTGGTTTTGGAGTCCGCCTCGGGGTAGAACGAAAGGCAAACTTCAATACCCCTCGTTGTGTCTGGAACGACCAACATCGACTTGAAGACAATGTCTTGCAGTTTCATGCCAAGAAGGTCAACATCGTCGCTGATCTGTTTCATGGCCTCCAACGCCATCACGACGTAGCCAGCACCAGGGAAAACATAATCGCCGCCAACCTGAGAGAGTCAGTTTCGAACTTGTTATCGATTGGTTCAAACGGGGTGTACTTACCACATGCTCCTTGAGCCACGGGTTCTCAGAAACGCGAAGGAAGTGTCGCCAGCGCGGACTATTGGGGTTCCAGTCGGCAACGGGGGCTCCAAACAAGTCATGTCGGGGGAACTTGCGAAGACGCGTATTTTTGATCACACGACTCTCATACAGCCCTTGTTCCTCATGGTTGAATGGGTAGCTCGGCAAGTTGACACTCATAGTGGGATTAATGAGGGGGTCGGCTGCTCGATTAACCTTGTCCAAGTCAACATTGGCACCAAGGGCGGCCAGCTGTCCAATGGTCTGAAGCAGAGTGTTCAGGCCGTTGTCCTTTCGAGTGAGAGTAGCAAGGTATGGAATGTCGGCAGATGAGCCGATGATATCCTTTGCTGCACTCTGCATGGCGGGGTGAGGTCCTACTTCCAAGATCACGTCCACACATGCGCCGCGCCCCGAGAGGCCATCACCCCCGACTTCATCGAAGCACATGGATCTGACCGCTTTTGTAAACCTCACAGGGCCAACGATGCTGTCACACCAGTGAGACCCCTTTTCGGGGACACAAGTATCGTCAAGGAGGCAGCCGGTGAGCGTCGAGAACATGTGCACAGTGTGACCAAAGCGTAACAGCCGCTTCGATGGCAAGACTCCCATCAAAGCCATGTAGTCATCTGAGAGAGCCTCCATGTGGGCAGAGTGAGCAGCATGACCGACCTTCAGCTTTCGTGCAAAGATTCCTTGCTCATCGAGAATTTCTTTCAAAGCAACAACCATTGCATCATCACCGGAGACTGTGTGATTGCGGGGGCTGTTATAGCATGCGATCGATAGAGTGCCTCCAGGCATCTTTGCATGGACTTTCTTGAGAAAAAGAAGCAAAGGCTCTTCTTCAAGTCCAACTGCAATCATACCCCCAACGGCGTGTGACTTGCCCCGGAGATGAACAGATCCTCGGTAATAACTCACTTTCCAGGCTGCCTCTCGTGAGATCTTGCCGGCACAATAGGCAGCTCCGATCTCCCCGGAAGAATGACCCGTCACACGATGAGGGATCAGGTTCCAGCTGATGAAGAGGTCAATCAATGCGACTTGGACCGCGCAAGACATAGGGTGCGCCAATGCAGATGTCGACACCTTGGAGTCCTTGGCATCACGACCGAGCTCTTCAATCAGAGACCAATCACTGCCCAGAGATCTGAAATATGCGTCTGCTGCTTCCATCGACTGTCTGAAGACAGGATAAATAAGCAGCTGCTCTCCCATCTTTGCATACTGGGCACCCTGTCCAGTGAGAACAAAGCCAATCCTCAAGGGCGTTCTGGACTTGACCGGCTTTGAGGGAAATTGTGCAAGCTTTTCTTGGACTTCTTGGGCAGAGCTGCACACACCAAAGCTCTTCCAGGGCAATCGAGATCTTTTTTCGGAAAGCGTATAGGCGAGGTCATTCAATGCTTTGGCGTTGAGATCGTGAGATTGTCGAGGCCAGCCGGCGACGTGGTCTCTCACGCCTGAAACCACATTCTTTAATGTTTTCTCGTCAAAGGCCGAGAGAAGCAGGATTTTTGGAACTTGGGAGCTTTCATCTTGATATTCGACACCATTTGCGCCGTTGACACCATTTGCGCCGTTGACACCATTTGCGCCGTTGACACCATTTGCGCCGTTGACACCATTTGCGCCGTTGACACCATTTGCGCCGTTGACACCATTTGCGCCGTTGACACCATTTGCGCCGTTGACACCTTTTGCGCCGTTGATACCGTTCGCGCCGTTGACACCGTTCGTGCCGTTGACGTCATGCCTGCCATTCAGGCCATGTGTTCCATTAATGCCGTTTGTGCCGTTGATCTTTTGTGTACCGTTGATACCGTTGACACCGTTTGTGCCATTGACTGTATGGGTGCCATTTACGCCAGTTGTGCCGTTGGCACCATTAGCGCCGTTTGTGGCCTGGATTTCTGTTGCACTAGCATCATCATGGCCATTTGTCAAAGCTTTGTGTTCATTGTGACGTTCAGTTTCAGTTGTGTATTTTTGGGTGACGTGTGCAACAAGATTTTCAATCTCTTGTTGGGTTGGAACGATTTTTCGAGTCCGGTGAGGCGCAGAGACACCACGTTCTTGAAGGAAGTGGTATGCGTCATCCAGAATGGCGTGTGCGTTTGTTCCACTGATTCCATAGGCGCTGATGGATGATCTTCGGACGGTAGAGGTAGGCCAGGGCATGCATTTTGTGGGGAAGCGAACATTCCAGTCCGCAGGGATCTTTGGGTTGACATCTTTCAATGTCGCATTTGGGGGTATGATACCAGACTCCAAGAGTAGAACAGACTTGATGACACCGGCAATACCAGCAGCACCTTCGAGATGACCGACATTGGGCTTCACCGCGCCAATCCAAAAGGGTGAGTCTCGGTTTTGCGTATCGAATGCAGCTGCAATGGCTGTACATTCAATCAAATCGCCTGCTTGAGTTCCAGTTCCGTGGCTCTCAGCATATGTTGTGTCCTTGAGTTGCAGTCCAGCTGACTTGTAGGTTTGGCGAATTAATGACTCCTGTGCTGTGGGACTAGGGAATGTGAGGCCTGGAGTGTGGCCATCATGGTTGATGCCAGTGCTGCGGATGACTGCTCGGATAGTGTCGCCGTCACGCACGGCAGCGGAAATGGGCTTGAGGATGACGGTTCCGACACCTTCTCCGAATCCGTATCCGTCAGCGCGCTCGTCAAATGCCATTGACTTTCCCTCTGCGCCAAAGAGGCCTGAGTATGACATGGACATCAAATGAGGCAAAAAGCCCATTACGCTCACGCCGCTGACAATGGCCTATACTCAGCATGTCAGCCCGAACTCTTTTCTCTCAAAATCGAAGTGATCGGCGACAAAAATATCCCCGATAGACCGGGGAAGATGAAAATAACAGAAAAGGAAGCTCAATAATTTGTTTGGGGTTGACTCACCATTTCACTTTCTCGTGCGGCAAGGTTTTGTCTTGCCAAGTGAAGAGCAACAAGACTACTGGAGCAAGCTGTGTCGACAGTGAGACTGGCTCCTTGCAAGTTGTAGAACCAGCTGACTCTTCCGGAAATCATTGAGTTTTCAGCACCGGTAGGCTTGTGCTTAAATGAAAGCTCCAAGTCACTGTTGATGCGATCTGCGTGATGCCGGTTGAAGCCACTGACAAAGACCGAAGTGTTTGAGGAAATCACTTCCTCCATTGGAACACCAGCTGTGCGAGTGATGAAGATTACTATCTCCGCTCCGACATTTTGATTCGGGGAATTGAAAGCTCACCATTTTCCAACGCATGGTATACGTTTTCCATCAGGATACGTTGTTGAGGATCAAGACTTTGCACTTCCGTTTTGCTCATTTTGAAAAATGCTGAATCAAAGCCATTGGGGCTCTCTCCAAGAAGGGAAGCACCCTTGGCATAGAACTTCACAAGGGGTCAGCTCAACTCAAACAAGTCATCATGGACTACCAACTGTGCCCCCATGATCTGGGTCTGGGTGATAGAATGCCTTGGCACTGATTCTGTCTTCTGGGATCGGGCGACTGGCCTGTCGAGCTCTCAACAGAAAGTCCCAGAATGCTTCGGCCTCTGTGGCCTCGTCAGCGGCACGGATGGCCAGGCCGATGATAGCCATCGGCTCTGCGCCGGTGCCATTGGAATCACCAAGGACTTGGGTGCCGTTGCCTTGATGTCCAGTTGCGGAAGGAGACATGTTGGAATGTAAAAAGGGGAGAGAGGGGTTAATGGGCTGGAGGAAATAATTTTGAGTACTTCGAGTTGAAGTTACTCTAAGAAGCTAAAGAACAGCCAATATGGCCATGGATGGGTCTTTATATACCGTACCGAGGTACTCAAGCAAACCAATGAGCTAATCTTGGAAACAATTCCCTCTGGTCGGAATATTCGCTATTCTACTGAGTCTGCTAACCCTGCTATAGGTATTGAGGGGCCCAACCCCCTCCACACTAGTGATATTGCTCCACGACGCTCTACATGCATAGATGGGACACCAATCTGTATCTTTCAAATAATAATAATAATATCAATAAAAAATAAATATACAAACAAAAGGGTCCACGGGTTCACAAAATGGAAACTCTGTTACACGCTCGATTGTGACCTGCAACTTTGGAACAGCCCTGGATAGCAGAATTGGCGTGGAAATTGAAAATCCCTCTCTAGAGACACTACAGTAAACATCTTAGCTCTTTCGGGAAGTCAAGGTACAGAGAATGACAGGACGAGAATATATGACCATGGGGTTAGCTGTATTGATCTTTCAGACGCGTTGAAATTTACATACCTGAGACAAGATATGTATGAGTACTGAGATTACTCCGTACAGGAGTAATACGACCCACTTATAGTGACCTGCATGAAGCTCGATCGTTGGTTTCATCTGCAAAGCTGCTGCCCAGGCGCAGAGATTTCGTGATGGTGGCTGGCTAGGTCCAGTCTCAAGTTACGATTAACTGCCTCCGATCTCTTACTTGTTTCGATGTATGATAATCTTCCGTGCAGAAGCCCCCACTCGGGGGAAACCAGCCCCGGTGCGATCGGCAGGGCCCGATCACGATTGATTGCCCAATGAACGCCTTTCTAGATTCACAACACATCCCCTCTAACCAAAGAAGATCGCTCAATTCGTGGTTCACTCGGCCGCAGATTCTTTGGTGTTCACTCCGTGGCGGAATGGAGGACACCTCAAATGTCGGTCAGCGGCGCCACGGGCGCGAGATGTCTTTTTTCCCCCTTTCCAAGACTCGTTTGCTTGCGCAAGACCACCGTCGTAATCGTGCATATGCTGCGGGTGTCAATTGCATCGGCGTCTTGACGGCTGCCAATGACGGAATGGGCACTGCCTTTCCGTATATCCCTCAACGGGTAACTCGCAGGGCTTGGGTGACTTTTACACACAGTGTACTCCATGCATTGGTATATCTACGATGTTGCGCCTAAGGCACACGAAATTGGGTAGCAATATGCACACATACTGTTCATTGAATTCCTCCGGTCTCGGTAGTGAGAGTAATTCGTGAAGCAGGTAGTCCGTAGCCCGATTGATTCCGTGCTCAATGTCTTGAACTTGGACTTTATGCGAGGGGTAGAGTATCCAAAGAAACTGAATAAAGTTGAACTTGCATTTGTACTTGGCTATTGGAATGAGCTCGGCAGTTCATTATTGCTGGAACCACTAAGAACCAACACCTAGAACACGATGCCTCAGACGGAACTTTCTGAGGGAAAACAACATGGAAGGCTGATTTGATTCCTCCCGAGGCCCATGTGAGATGCAAGATCAGGACGAGGATTGAGTGGAAGCGCATTGCGCGGTATAAGGAAGTATATCTTGACCTCCAAGGTTCTAGCTTTGTCTTGGCCGGACTCGGCCTGTCAGGCTCTTGACTTGGACCACAATGTCGTTCCAGAGCTCCAGGTCTTTGTCTGGAGTCTCAATATCATATGAATGGAAGATCAATGCCAGTACTTTCAAAACCATTAAAGTAGCAACGTGCTTTCCAATGCACTCCCTTCCACCCATGCTGAACTGCAGTCACCCTTTTAGTACTCATACGTCTGGAGAGTAGAATGGTGACTTACCGGCAAGCTGTAGTAGTTAACCTTCTTGGCTTCTTCTGGGTCATCTAGCCAACGCTCAGGGCGGAAGTCTCCAGCGTCATGACCGAAATATTCTTCCTTGCGAGATGCGGCACACGGATTGGCACCAATGACTTGCCCAGCGCGGAAATGATAACCTACAAGGTTTGCACCTCCTTGCGGTACTACTCGAGGCATTGTAATGGCAGCAATTGGGTAGAGCCTGAGGACCTCCTTGAGAACAGCCTGTAAGTAAGGCATTCCCTGTACAGCGTCGTGAGAGAGGATACCACGATCAGCAGTCTCTGAGCGCTTCATCTCTGGATCGATCTCATCTCTCAAACGCTGCAAAACAGCAGGCTTCTTGTAGACATGATATATCGATTGAGCCACAAAGGAAGGTGTGAGCTCGGTTCCACCTAGGGCGCCTCCGATTCCAATGCGAACTTCAGTGTTATCCATGCGGTCAGCTTCCTTTTGTCGGAACCAGGTATCCATAAAACAGGCTGTTCCCTTGGTATCTTTGGCGGCTTCTTTTTCGGCAATCTGCTTTTCTGAGAAGCTCCGTACCTCCTTCTCTCGCAAAATATAAGATGGCACAAGGTTCCAAAGAGCTTTGTGCCACTCGGGAATAATACCCACCACACTAGCATAGAACGTGCTTGCTCTGGTAAGTGTCAACAGTCCATTGTTGTCCGCGTCGCTTTCAACGCATCCGAAGCTTTCTCCGAAGATTAACAATGCACTGTTATCCATGCTCCAAAATTTGAGCCAGTGTAGCAAGTCGCAGTCTCTACCGTCCTTCGCTAGTTCATTGAACTTTTTCGAGAGAATGTCAAGACCTTGGTCAATCAAAGACTCCATTTTGATGACTTGAGAAAATGAAAATGAGAAGTGAAACTTCCGACGTAGATCTCTGTGGGCTTTGTTGTTTCGCTCTGACACCAGTGTAACTCCACCTGGGTTTGTGAACGGCGCATATGCCTCAGACTAAACAGAAATGAGATTTCAAGATGTTTTATATCAAAAGGTTGTGGGTTTACCTTTTCAAACGTGGTCCGCGGACCGTAAACCTCTCTCATGATGTCCAAGTCGGAGATGCTGAACTCATCTGGCGCAATTCGCACCACGGATCCTTGGTCTCATTAGCCCTCACAGAATCCAACACAAGCAGAAAGTCTCAGTTTACCATATTGCTCATGAAGTTTCACAATGGTCTCACGAGATTTGCCAGTGAGCATCTGCCGCAAATACCACAGCCGAGTAAACTTTGCCCAGAATGGCCCAGGAATGCTTCTTAGGGGATCTCTGTAGTGCTTGATAACGCTCACTAGGAAAATTCCAGGCACAATGGCTAGCAGCAAAATGCCTGCTGCCACTGTTTTGTTGACATCGAAAATGTTGATGATTGTCATGGCCGACTTTCCTTGGGTGACTAAGATGTTGCTAGCTAGGCAAAGATGAAGGTAAGACCCTGTGGATTGGTCTAATTGTATTTACGTAGACTCTCAGAGAGATGCGTGTCAAAGAAATAATCCGATTTGTAATGCTTTTTTTCGTTGCAGGTGATGGGCACGTAAAGCCTGCATCGGTGCTTGGGTCCGTGCTATATCCACCGGTGGAACTGAAAACCTTGGAACATTGCATCACTTGATTCTTACTTATTTCTTGCTCACGCGGGACAGGTACAGAGGAATTAGATTACTTACCGGCAGGACTAGCCCCACTAGATAGAGGAGAAGACGGACACCTCATCTTGCACCTAGGCGCATCTGACTTCGGAGGACTGTGCTCGTACCACTCCACTCAGCTGCATGGTAACTGTATGATTCAATGCTGTGTTTGTAAATTATTGCCTTGCATAGCTACAATGAGTTGGCAATCTACCAGCCTGTCATCTCATGCCCTCCACTCAGTTGCAGAGATTTGCAGCAAAGCGGGAAAACTTGACTATAACCCATCGAGCAAGTGAGACTTCTAGATTCCGTCACTATGAAGGGCGGCTAAAATATTCCGTGGTGGGAGATGATCTCATCAGTCTTGATTTTACTATGGCTGTAGTCTGCAAATTAGGACCTGACCTGGGTACAGAAGACTCGAAAAGTGATCGATTTTAGCAAAGAGAAGGGAAAAGAGATTGAGAAAGCTAGCTACTGAGCAACCTAGGTCACCTGACAGGGCATTTATAAAAATTCTACTTCATTCAAGGCAAGGACAATAATTGTAAAAGCCAGTCAAAATGCCATCATCATAATCAAAAGTCAGAGATAAGCGTCCGCTCCCCATTTCACGATAGCATCAACGAGGCTGTCAATCTCATCTTCCGTATGGTCGGCATGAATGATGCATCTCACACGCTCTTTGTCTTTTGGGACAACAGGGAAGCCCACCCCGATTGTGAAGAAGCCCGAATCAGTGAGCCAGTTCTCAAGGCTGTGAGAAAGGCCACCTTTGGTAAGGAGAGGAACAATGGGCGAGATGAAGGACATGGACTTCCAGTTTGAAGCGCCAGCTACCCGCAATCTGTCCTTTTTGCATGAAGTATTCCACAGTTCATGGCGGGTGAGCGAACGATAGAATTGGTGCACTCGCTCTTGAAGATTCTCTCTCCTCTAAAAACTTTTTAGTACGATCAACAATACCTGGAAAACAGAAACATACCTTTGCTCCTTCTTCGCTCGCAATAACGTTATAGGACGCCTTGACAGTGGCCATGGTAAGAAATGCGGGAGCGGTGGTGAAAATGAAGTTTCGAGCATAGTTGACCAGAGTGTCCTTTACCACAGGAGGGCATAGCACCGCGGCTTTTGGAATCAATACAGGTGAATGGTTTTTGAGGGTGTGATTACTTACCACCGGTAGCATTGATTCCTTTGCCAAAGGTGTGCACGCGAATTGCAAACTCACTCTCGAGTTCGAGGTCGGAAATGAAACCCCTGCCCTGGGGTCCCATAATTCCATTTGAGTGAGCCTCGTCGACCACCAAAACAGCGTTTTTCAGCGGAAGACATTCCTTGACGCATTGCACGATCTCGGCAGCTGGCGCTATGTCCCCATCCATACTATAAATGGACTCAATTGCGAGGAAAACTGTCTTCTCACCCTTCGCAACTCCAGAATCGGATTCGAGGATTTCAAGCAGAACAGACCTCAGTGATGCAACATCGTTGTGTTGGAACGATTTGACCACCGATGCTCGGCTACCACGCATGCCAACATGAGTACTGGCATGGATTGCACTGTCATGAACAATGATATCATTTTGTCTTGGAAGAACGTTAAATATGGCCACATTGGCGTCATATCCAGAGTTGAACAATAAACATGATTCTGCGTTGTGGAATTCTGCCAGCCACTCTTCCAGCGCGAAAGTGTATGCTGAGGTTCCATCCGCCACGCGGCTGGCACCAGCTCCAATTTTGAAAGCAGGGTTCCGCTGGATCTCATTCAGTGTTTCCTCGCGGTGAATACCAGAGTTCAAAGACAAGAAGTCATTGGATGTGAAATTGACCAGTTCGGAGTACGACTCTGGGGGACGAAGGGTCCAAAGTCTGCCTATGTCCTTTCGCTTATCAATGGATACTTGCAGGCTCTCAGCAAACTGAGTGGGGAAGAACACCATGTTGAATAGGCCGAGATGGATCGAAGGGTGAAGGAGGACTTAGGTATTCCAAGGTTGTCGTGTCTGTTTCAAATCCAAATGAAAAATCTGGTATCCGTGAACCTTGGAAGCGGAAGCAAACACGTCGGCTTATATATTCAAAAATATATTTTCGAAGTAAACGAGGGGGCACTCCACAACGACCGGGTGTGTGCCTTTCCCAATGTGACATGTTCCCACCTAGGCATGTAGGTAGAGCATCGAAGCTACTTTACTAAGTCCCTACATTGGCACGAGTATTCTCAAGTCATAGACAGTTTATCTCATGCCAGATCTCGGTGGCTTCCTTTCGTATCTAAACGTTGAGTACTACTAGCTAGCATGTATGAGCAATATAGTGACTTCACGAGACCAAGGATCAATACCTTTAGCTGTGCGTGCAAGTGAACAGGTACCTCTTAATTGAGTGGAATGTGGCTTTCGGATTTTCATTCGGGTTAGAAGTTACGAGCATGTTGGTTGTTCCGAGATCGTCAAAGCAGTTGTAGAGTTCCGAATCTATGTCTGTGCGAGATGCGGTGTTCTCGATGCCAGCCGCGCAGATCGCGACAAAAAGCAAGGCACACCGTTGCTCTGCAGCTGGCGGATGTCTAGATCCTGCATCACTTAACGCATGCAGTACCAAGTAGCACGAAGCACGGTGCATATATGCAGTCATCTATTACCCCTCACGATGTACTTAGCGCCGGGTATCTCTTCACAGGTAGGGGCCGTGGGGCTTGGGTTGGCGGCAATACATGCGTTTTACATACATGGAATTTTCGCGTCTGTTATGACATACATTACATTACGATCAAATACATCATGTTTGATACGGGGAAATACAAGATCGAAGTAAGACTTGGAGACGCTCTCACAATTGGCAAAAGCGTACGGAGTATTGTCTGTGCCGATCTTGTAACCTTGAGTGCCCAGGAGCTGGAAGCTTATTATGGGGCAAGCGGATAGCAGACAGGCACCCTATCTGTTGCCCATTTTCCAGCCTTAACCAACCTTCTTGCCTCTGCGGCGAGCTTGGTCCTTCGGTTATTTCTCGCGCAATCTTTAAACACTCTGTTCCATCATCAAGAATAACTCAATTGCTCAATTATCTTTCCTAGCCCAATCTTCGGAGACAAACTGTTCGCTGGCTCACCGTCATGGGTGAAGTTGAGAGGTTTGACTTGAGCTTTCATGCGCAAGATGATTCCGATTCATCCAAATTGAATACTGCGCAATGGAAAACAATTCTTGCCAATCACCCGGAAATCGAGTTTGTATGGCTGCAGTTCATGCTATTTGAGGGTACCACTCGAATGAGGATGATACCCGCTGCATACTTTACTAGTATGATGCAGAAGAATCGAAATATCAGCCTTTCATCAGCATATCTCCATGCCCTTCGCAATGATGATATTGCGCCTGGTGCGGCATCCACCGGCGAGATGTATCTGGCACCCGATATATCCACTGCTTCCATGAATTCCAATGAAAGCTCGCGAGTTCGCATCCTTGCAAACATGGTGAACCAAGATCAAACTCCGCGACCCGAATGTATTCGATCAAAGTTGTCCAACCTGTCAGACATACTGTCCCACCTCCACGGATTTTATCTCCTGATTGGATATGAAATCGAGGTCGTCTTCTTTCGAAGGGAGGATAATGAAGGTGCCGAGCCTTTCGTAAACCACAAATGCTCTGCGATGACATTTGAAATGCGTTCATTGTTGCCGATGATAGAAAACATTGTCAGAGGCTTTCATGAAGAGCAAGTTCCTCTTGAACAGTATCACTCAGAGCTTGCTCCTGGGCAATGGGAGTTTGTCCTTGCGCCCCAACAGCCCTTGAAGGCTGTTGATACTCTTGTTCGCGCCCGGGAGATCATCTCCAGGTTGGCAGAGGAGTACGGGTATCGTGCAACCTTACATCCTCGACCTTTTCCTGATAATTGTGGCACGGGAGCCCATGTCCATCTTTCCGTCAACTCTGTTGACTCATTATCGCCCCCCCGAGGCACAATTCTCAGACCCCTTTTTCGCGGGGATTATCGATCATCTTCCATCCCTCATGGCATTTTGTCTCCCCCTAGATGCTTCCTATGGGAGACTGGCGACTGGGATTTGGAGCGGGGGAGAATTCGTGAGTTGGGGATGGCAGAACAAAGAAACTGCCTTGCGTCGCATCACCAATAATCGATTTGAATTGAAGATTCATTGTGGAATGGCAAACCCATACATATCCCTCGCTGCAATCATGGCAGCGGGTCTTGATGGTCTCAGAAAATCACTGCCACTTGTCGCAGGAGACTGTCAAGTCTCTCCCGCCGAGCTGTCAGAAGAGCAGCGCAGCCAGCTTGGCATCAAACCTCTTCCACGTGATATGCAACAAAGTATGAAGTGCCTGGCTCAAGATAACGATCTGCAAAGGGTCTTGGGGGAAAAGTACACGGCCACTTACCTTGATGTGGTTAGGGAGTGGAATAAGCAAGTCGATGAAATGGACGAGACAGCGAGACGAATCACGCTTTTACAGAATTACTAAGCACCCTGGGCATTATCCTGCCCTGGTTTCTTACATATTTTCATCTCAACTGAGTTTTCAAAGTTCATTTTTTTTGAATACATCAAAACATACATGTATAGCTTAAATTCCCACCCCTGCTTGTACTTTCATGGAACATTCTTAGGGGTGCTTGAGTTCTGAACAGGATCAGACCCGAATATGGTTTGAAGCTTGAAGTTGCTCGAGGCTTATGTGTGTAAACGGTTGATCTTCTGACGCAGATATATATCAAACCATCAGACCTAAATAATCATGAGCCAGAATCATAATTTTCTAAATGAATGTATTTAGCTGACTGAGGGATCTGGATGGACTCAAACATGAGTCTTTTCTCGCATTCTGAACGTGTCATTCAATATTAAATTCTAATGAGGTCCCAATTAAATCAAATCACCAGATATTATCTAAGTTGAGGTTTACGCCCGGGCGACTGTCAGCGAGTGCTTAGTCATAATTATAGGTCAACTACAACCTTGGAAGTACTCCGTACGGAGTAACCGATCCGAAGATTAGAAAATTCACGTTTTTAGGGGTGTTTGCGTTGTTTGGGGCCGGCCCAATGATCAACTACACAAAAGCCCCCGGGGGCCAGTTATTGAACACTACCGAAAGAAATATAGATCAGGTGACCAGGTCATGTGACCAAAACTTGAACAGGGTGTAAAGAGGTTTTTCTCAATTTTGAAGGTACGCGCACTTGAAGTACAGAGGATAGCCTTTTGGTGTTTGGAATCCCCACAACTGGTTGGCGAATAATATAGCCTGCCTATTAAAATGTAAGCGCGTGCGGTATGTTTTCGAGATGGTCAAGTATGTGCATACTCTGTATGTGGAATTTTATTATGTAGCACAAGTCTTTGTACAGTATTCCGTACTCCATACTCCATACTTCATACCTGGTTACGTGTACATAAATACACTGACCACGTCAGTAGATCTTCAACATTAAATTCACGCAGGTGGACCAATTGGCGGGGCGGTCCGCTGCCGCCCGTTCCAGAAAAGATTGTCACCTAGGCGATTAGCTCTCATATACTTTGGTCGTCCAAGCGTGTACATAATATGTGATAGTCCTGCAGATGGTGTGTTGTGCAACATCTCCCTGGGTATGTATACGTAGATCTTCATATTAACAGCAACGTGGCGCTTTACAGTACGAGTACATCCGAGCAACATACTGTACAAGGGATTGACTAACTAAACATGGAATGTATACTTGTACTCCGTACGGAGGACTCTACTAAACTATGCATATGCACGTAGGTGGATGGTCTTAATCTAAAATTGGTATGAAATAGTATACACTAGTAATTTATGTACTTACCGTACGGACCTCGGAAATGTTTCAGTACCATTACATACAACTAGTTTACAGTATTCTGGATTTTTTTAATTGCCGCACGACAGTGTAATAGAAAACGGAGTAGAAAATGCACGGTTAATCTCCTGGGGAGAAGAGTAAGAAAAATATCCAATCAAGAACACCGGATTTTCATCCATGGGCGTATGCTTGCTAACTACGTGGGGATCTTATTGTATGATTGTGCAATACTACTGTATCAGGGAGGAATAATAAGTTCATTAAATTGCGAACCCTCGTTGTCAAATTTCGCTTGATTCGCTCGCATGAAACTTCCTGTAAGCTCTGAATACAAGTTTCTCCAAGATCTCCACAGAGCGCACTTTGCAACATTGAAAGTAGATACCAAAGTAACGGTCGCGATCAGCTTATCTCGGCAAATAGAGAGTCACCAAATTACTTGCATGAGAACCTTGGGGCCCGAGCACATGGGGCAACGGGGCAACCTTGGGCTAGATTCAATCTACAGATCGCAGACACCTAGCGTATTATTTCAGTCAGGTTACGACCCACATGGTTCCACCTTACAATCATGGACGATTCAAACCAGGTGGCATCGCAAGGTTCGAGCTTAAGTTTGCGTGCAAATGCTCCAAGGTTTGACCAATATGGGCCGAGTGCTAGTTTCAGGGCCCATGTTGCTGCAGAAATCACAACATCGAGCTCGAATGAGGTTCAGGAAGTACACAACAGGCAGCAGAGCTATGTGGCTGTAGCTATGCACATGTAGAACAATATACCCCTCATCCCACATATACGTAGGTAAGGGCTGGTGTATGCAGTACGATAATGTTTTAGGTATCATATTTAAGAGCAAGAAATGAAATTACCAGGCAGATAACTTTTGTCGCCATAGGCTGCGGGGTGTGCAAGGGCTAATAAAAAAGTTTCAAGAAGCGAGTGAAAATTGTATGTAGTGGATAGGGCCGATGACGTGGCAGCATAGGACATTATAAAGCGCTGCACTTTGTTGGTCAAAAGAGAGCTAGTGGTCAATCTCAGTACACGGAAAATAGCCCGAGGGACACAGTCTCAAAATGAACAACGTCAATTCAAGCTTCAATATGACTGACGCATATGAGTCAACAGAGCATGTTTATTCTTTGGGTATAGGTGGTCTGGTCATACTGGCCATAACCCTACTCTTCAATTTCAGGCAGTCCGATATTCCCGTTATCAACAAACGGAAATGGTACGAATTTGGAACCGAAAAAGCGGTGCACCGATTCAATACAAATGCGACCAATTTAATCAAGGAAGGCATAAAAAAGGTGCTTGATGGGATTTCAATGTGCTGAGGTATAGCAGAAATGTGCTGATTGATGAATACTCTCCAAACTAGACCCAGTCCGCAGCATTCTATCTCTTTGCGGATAACAAGTATCGAATGATATTGGGGCCAAAATATGCCAACATTATTCGTAATGATACTCGAATGAGTTTTCGATGGTGGATTTTTGACGTAAGCATGCCCTGATAGAAGATTGGAGCGGTAGAAGATGATATTCACTGACTGTTAATAGGAGCTTCATGGAAATTTGCCTGGCTTCGAGCCCTTCAAAGAACTCGCACATACTGGAATCATCAATGACATGATAAAAACAAAAATGTCGCATTCTCTGGGTGAGTCGATTATCTTTCTCAATTGAAAGCCAGCTTTGCTAATTTCGCTTTTTGAAGATGCGCTCACAGAGCCAGTGGCATCTGAAACCGTGGCTTCTCTTAAGACAATTTGTACAGAAGAACAAGGTATGAATTGAGTAACGTCCTTCAATCAAGCTTGAAAGGATGAAACTAAAATTAAAAAATCACAAATTAGAATGGCACACGCTTAAGTTGAAACAGGCCATCGCAGCAATTGTCGCCCAGGTGACAGGGCGAGCGTTTCTCGGTCATGACTTCTGCAGGGAGCCAGCTTGGCGAGATGACATCGTGAGATGGTCATATCAGATGATCACAGCTGCCAGAGAGTTACATACTTGGCCGAAGTTCCTACGACCTATCGTTGTGTGGATTTTGCCTTCATGCAAGAAACTTCGGGAGACGGTAGATGTTGCTCGTCGGAACCTTGAACCGGTTATCAAGGAGCGCCATGCAACGATAGCTGCTCGAAAAGAAAAAGGAGAGAGCGGAGAAACAGGTTCATGTGCACTAGATTGGCTGGAGGAGGTTGCTCAAGGGCGTCAGTACGATCCCATTGCCATGCAAATCTGCCTTGCATTTGTTGGCATGGATACAACTGCCGACTTGGTTTTCCACGTTATTTCAGATCTGTCGCAGGATCAAGAACTAATCAACGCGCTCAGGGAAGAGATAAAGTCTACTATGGAGGGCAAAACTTTTACCAAACAGGAGCTGCAAAATTTGAAGCTTTTAGACAGTGTGATCAAGGAAAGTCAAAGATTGCGGCCAACTGGAAAGGGTAAGAACTCCTTTATTCACAGCTCTCGATTGCCAGCCAATAGCTAACTGCTCTCACAGTATCAATGCATCGCATCGCGAATGAGACCTTGAAATTACCGGGTGATATTCATGTGCGCAAGGGGACATACCTTGGAATTTCAACCACCCACATGATGGACTCCTCAGTCTGGCCTGATGGCGAGCACTTTGATGGATACAGATTTCTCAAGCTGCGACAGAACCCAGAAAAAGCCAACACTGCCTTGCTTGTTTCCACAAGTCCTGATCATTTGGGTTTTGGGTATGGCAAGATGGCATGTCCTGGCAGGTTTTTTGTTGCAAACGAATTAAAGATAATTCTTTGCCATTTCCTGATGATGTATGATTTTCAAATTACAGAGCCGTATGAGAAACATTCTGGACTCTACGGCTATATGACATCGCCAAGCTCCGACACTGAAATCACCCTTCGACGGCGGGATGCTTCTTCTGGTGATGCTTGGTGATAAAAGGTTTCTCTCACAGAAGTTTCGCAGCATTCGGATCATTTATTCTTGTGAAAAGGTTACTTGCAGCATGCTTGTGAATTGATTAAATCACATCAAATACTATCTTGTTGTCTCGAAGCATCTCGGATTATGGAATACATCGTTGATTCTTTTCCATCGAAATCGCTCGCCATCGCCTGGTTTTGTTTAGCGGCGATCGCGAGAGACTAATTTTGAAAATGACAGATTCCAGGTGACGGCCTTAGGACCATTCCGTAACCATGGAAAATTATCGAAAAGAAAATCTTGAAATGCAGCGTAGCCTTTGTCTATTCAATGAGCGACATGTGAAGAAATTCAGCTTTCATAGCTAAGCCTAAGTTCGGGGAGAAGGAAGGGGGGAGCGGATTTAGAACCTTACCTACATACTCTGTAAGAAGGGCCGATGTACATACCCGTGGACCCATGGACCAGCTCGTTAATTAGTCATAAGGCATTTTCAGGTACCAGTACTACAAATTTGAGACTAACTCTTTACCGTCTCATACATCGCCTATTTCCCGAAGGATAAAGAGGGGGTGAAGGGAAGAGAAAAGGGGGCTGGGAAAAAAGAGGGGGTGCGCTTTACTCCGTACCCTAGGCCACAGTCACAGTCAGGAGGAACCTTGGAATAATTCGAGTACTTTAATTAATAAGGGGATTGTACGGAGTAATAGTATTTCAGGTATCTCAATTTTCTGCCTGCCAATAATTGACACCTTAGGCCCAAATGATGCCTGACTACTAATTAACGAGCCGGGCCGCTGTAAGCCTGCGTAAGGGGTCCACATGGGCACCCGTCCACGGGTGAATAGCTAAGCCCCGGGCCGCCGCGGGCCTGGCTGCCTGTGGGCCCAGGCTTCTATTTGGAAAAAGATACCGAGAAGAGGAACAGCAGATAGTGTCAGATTCAATGTATTGTACGAGACGAGGAGAGAAGAAGGAGGAAGAGAGGCCCTCTACGACTAGCTACTGGGGAGCCTGGCAAACAAGGCAAACACCTGCCGACAAACGTGATTCATCATGTAGAAGCACCTAGCTCGTAGTCGCCTCCTAGAGGCCTGGCTAAGAGCGGGGGGCTGATTCCCTTCGATTTTTTCTTCTACTGTAGAGTCTTTGGAATTACCACGTATTATTTTCCTTAAAGCTCAATTACTTCCACTTAATTCATTTGTATTATTTAACTGAAACTCTGTGGTACGCTCTCAAATTAAGATAGTGACTGGTACAAATGAATATACTTTTACTACAGTAATGACATGGCCAGAAAAAAACAGAAAGATTTTTCAGTTACTTACAGCTATTGACTGCCGTAAACTTGGGGCAAGCCAACTAGGACAAAATTAATCCACTTTGACACGTCACTGCCCAAGAGATTTCTCATACTAGTTCTCACATCGTTACTTGGCCGATGAAGCCATGTATTTGCCTGTATGAGCGGACCAGAAGCTATGATTTATAAGATACAACAAATCTGCTTAAGTCTTTACCTTTTAGATCTACTCAGATTCAAGTTATATCCATCCCCTTCAAAGTTCTACCATAGGAACCGTCTCTCTCCCCGCCTTCATTTTTTTTTTTCACTTTTTCTCTCTTTGCAAGCCAAGGCTTCTACATACACTCCATTTATTCACAGACAGAATGGACATCAAGCAGGCCGAATGGGTCAACGCCTCTGATCTGCCGCCTTTCTTTCGCGATGAAGTCATGGGGCCGGCGGCACGCGTAACAAAGCGGTACTTTCTTACTGGGAAAGGCCAACTCGACCCCGCACTTGTCGAACTAGAAACCCCTTTTGTCGTTTGTATTCTAGGATGTGGGAGAAAGGGCATTGGTGTCTCCATTGCGCTTTCTTACGCAAAGGCTGGAGCATCCGGAATCCTTTTAAGTTCACGCACCGAAGCTAGCTTGAAGCATGTTGCTGAACAGGTTAAAGCTATCAACCCAAGCTGTCATGTGGAGTACGAAACTTGTGACGTGTGTATAGAGGATGATCTTGTTCGATTGGCTTCTCGCTGCACAGAATCTTTTGGTCGACTTGATGTTGCGGTATTGAACCAAAGCCAACTACCACGCCTCATCCGCAATGACGATGGGAGCCAACGCTTCCCCTACCGTCTCTTTGAAGAGCCACAAGAGGACATCGCTAATAGCTGGAATTCTAACTACCATGGTTCCTATATGGCTATTAAAGCATTGCTTCCTCTGATTCAAACTTCAGTTGACGGCCCCCAGTCGATTATCATGCTTTCTACTATTGGCGCTCTTGATACTGAAACCTCATCCACGACCTGCACACCGTCTTATATTACTAGCAAATTTGCAGCAAGTCGTCTCGCAGAACTTGTCCACAATGAGTTCAAGTCAGATGGCGTACTGTGCTTTGCTGTTCACCCTGGATGTATCAAGGTCAATGACGACTTTCCACTTCCTTGGGACTGTAAGTATTGCCACTGTTTACTGCTTATCGATGGCACTGCTAACTAACTCACTATGAATAGTCCTGATCGACGATCTTAGCCTACCTGGTGGATTTTGTGTCTGGCTCACAAAGATGAGGCGGGATTGGCTCTCAGGTCGCTTTCTGGTCTCAGGGTGGGATGTTGATGAGCTGGAAAGTCAGAAGGATACAATTGTAGCCGAAGACAAATTCAAGATTCGGCTGGCGGTGTAGATGAGGTTTGTATTGTTTCAAAAAGTGTTAGATCGCGTGTCTAGATACAATAGCTAACTCTTCACTTTGAGTCTTTTTCCCCCCTGCTTTATGTAGAAAACTCTGCAGTAATTTTGTCGGCGGCGGTGTTTACCTGGTTTGCAGGGTCCGCGCTGATTGTTTGGCGGTGTTTGTCCTGTTTGCCAGGCTCCTCCCAGGTGCAGATAGACCTAGATAGAGAGAGAAAAGTTCTCTCTCTCTCTCTCTCTCTCTCTCTCTCTCTCTCTCTCTCTCTCTCTCTCTCTCTCCCCCCTTGTTTTCACCTCGTCTCTCCAACACTTCTATGAATTGTACAAGTCTGTTGACGGGTTTCCCGTCGATACTGATAGATAGTTGTAGATCGGGAGCTTCTCTCTCTTCCTCCTTCTTTCTCCTCGTCTCCCACAATACATAAAAGCAATGCTACATACTGCTCCTAAGCTTTGCTCGATAAATTTTCACACGGAGAACATATTCATTACCAAAAACACCAGGAAAGAAGAAGATAGAGTGAACTAAAAAGTGGTCAACAACCTTGGAATGACGTTATATCTCAATGAAACATCAACTTCTTGTGACAAACCCAAAGCATCAGTCTAGGATAACTTGAAGCATACTATCTCCATGCGCCAGCATTAATTATTTTCTTGACAGCTTACCAAAATCGTTGGCAGCAGCGACTGTTTATAAGTATATACTTTGTTGACCTCCTTAAGTTGACTGGAACTCTCTCTGTCTGAAACTAATGACAAGAACCAGGAGTAGAGAGCCAATTGAGACCACTGAAAAGAGGAATAAGTCAGCAAAAGACCACATTCCTCTAGACATTACGGGCAAGGTTCTCACCTGGGGGTACGTAGTAGCTCTGTTGGATGATCGTTCGCACTGCATTTTGAAGATGAGCGGGCACATATTTCAGCGACTGCCGATGACTCAGTACTTGGTCAATCAACTATACGTTATTTCAAGGGTTAGTTTATTGCGCCGATACGGTCCACGGGTACATGAACATAGACTCACCTCCTGGCTTGCTGTGTTCTCCCCAAGAGTAGCTTTCAGACCATTTTCGATGGCGCTTCTAACCAAGGATCTTGATGAAGTTACACCTGCCATGAAGCCAATTTGCTGGCAAAGATAAAAGGTCGTAACTGATGTGGCCGCATTTTCATCAGGTTTGGCAGCGGATAGGGCAGTGAATTGAGAAGAAAGAATCATCCCGAGGCCGATTGATGAGAAGAATGAATATGCGATCTCCCACATTTTTGGTTCGTGCAAGACCCATCGGATCAGCATAAGGAAAAAGCTGGAACAAGCGAGCACAATGCCAAACTTCGTATAAAGGATATATCTACCCGAACTGTCATGAGAGTGTGAGTGATGAACAACACGGAAGATGTAAGAAAACAGACTGCTGGAGCATTACCTTCTTATCATCCTGGCAGTGAGTAGTGAACCGACCGCAAATCCAACTGTAGATGGTGCCCAACAAATGGAGCCCTCAACGACAGAGAGTCCTCGGGTGCTAACCCAGTAGTCCGAAACTATTGGTATCGACTATGAACAGGCAAGAGTGAGAATTCCGTTCAGAGAGTGGCGTTGATAAAATTCAAGGGGCCTTACAGCAGAGTTGGTCACTCCAATGAGCACCTGCGCAGCATAAATCAAGCCAAGTTTGTGTGGCTTGAGAAGGTACATATGGATTAATGGGTTTGTGGCCACATAGACTTCGTTGATGAAGAACGCGCCAAACAATGCCAAGAAGGCGATCCCCAGAGTAACCAAGGCGGTTGACTTATTCTCCATATCTTGCGCTGGGACCACTTGAATTAGACCGAGCAAGCATACAATTGCGGTCATGAGAAGGGCGAGCCCTGCAATGTCAAAAGACTTCGTCTTCAAAGTAGCGCCAGCATCCTTGGTCGTGTCGATTGAGCCATATGTTTGCCCAGTGGAAACATTAGACTGTGGCTTCTTAATCTTAAGTGAAAGTGAAATGACGGCGATGCACAGGATCGCAAATGGGGCGTGTATCAAAAATGCCCTAATGTTCGTTAGCTGGTATATGAAATGCATTCAATGTCTAGGCCTTACCATTGCCAGCCAAGGGAAGTAGTGAGAAGTGCACCCAAAGGAGCACCGCAAGTGATTCCTATTATGGAAGACGTGGTAACGTAAGAGCGCAACACTGCAACTTGATGAAAGCTGCCCATTTCTGTAGTTTGGTTCGGAGTCTTAGTCAAGCGATCTTTCAAGAAAGCCATGCTCAAAGTACAGATTGACATACCGTTTACCAGAACAGAGACAAGTTCAACCATCCCTGAACCGCCGATTCCTGAGATAACCCGACCGGCGAGGGCAAGGTGGATTGAACCCGAGATTCCACTATCATTAGGTTAGAAACAGGCTTTTCTCTTAGGTTTCGTAAGGTCGTGGGTGGGAGATCTCACGTTAAAATACAACCGAATCCATATAGCACTAATGCGATAAGAATTGCCTTTTTGGGTCCAGCTAAATCGCATGCTTGGCCATGCTGCGACCGTCAGCCATAGGGCCAGCACATGATGATCGAAGGGCCTCACCAATGGAAGTGCAGTTGTGTATCCCAGGTTATAAGAAGTAATAAGCCACGAAGTATAATCCGGGGCTTCTAGAGCGGCAGCGACATCACTGCCTGTAGTAAGGATAAATGATTCATCCGCGTTGGCGAGAAAGCAAGCTGCGTTCCGAAATGTCAGTCATGAGGGTATTGATTTGCCATCAAAGCGAAGTAGCAGCCCACCTAGTAAAAGCGATGCGAGAGCCAACTTGCCAACACGAATGTGTTTTGAATTGGTCATGGACTCTTCATCATCAACCCCAACAGGTCTGTCAAGGAGTGCCTTCTGGTCATCGATGGTCATTTTCGAGCCCGTGATGCCTGTGAATCGACAAGATGGCAATCAGATGAAAGAAATCCGTAGACGGTCACTCTTGGGAGAGTGCAAAACCATAGTCCGTACTTAAGAGTGATCTAGTCTGTAGGGAGGCAACCCTAGCTGAAAATTCTTTGATCACAACCATCATTTTGGCTGATCGACTGCATAATCGCTGCATGAAAGTGGGGAGGTTTGTCTCACACTTGAAATTAGCCAATCATCGCGGTCGCTGGGAATGTGGCAAGCTCTGTTATGTCGCACGAGCGCACGCTTCATGTACTGATTTACGACCTTGCTGAAACTCTACATCTTGCTTAATAGGAGAGCTCCCAGATTGGAAATTGAATTCAGGATTGCTTGGATATTACAACACTCATGTACATGTACCAATCCATGCATTCTGCATGAAATACATCATGGGAACATATTCATGTCCGGTTTAGAGACCAGTGGCTCGGGTATTGGCTCGGCACGGGTCGGTGGCAATGTGAGCGAACTTTGTGATCTGAAAACAAGCAAATATCAATTATTGGGAAGATTCAGCCGTCCTCTTTGCCAATTGAAAATGAGTATTTGTTATTCCGTAGGGAATCTAATTAATAATCTGCTCACCCCTTGCTGTGGTTGATTGGGGAGAATCGCTTTGAGTAAGATGAAAATGTGAGGAGGGCAACCCTTTCTTTTTGTGCGATCTTTTCGATTCTACGCCGTACTCTAATACCACTAGATCCTCCTGCCGAAATGACCATTTTCTAGGCATTACTCCGTAGAGCACGCAAAGTACAATTGATTTGTCGCAGATTTCAGCTCCTCCACTGGGTGGCGAAATCAGAAATTCAACCACAACAATCCCGACGGCGGGTGGACGTAGGAAGATTGTACATGAGTTCAGAGAACGACGAAGAAACCTGAATCTCACGAACGGGGCGTCATGATTACAGTAGACCCGAGTTCCGCACCAGCCTGCAAAGCCCATAGCCTACTGTAAGCTACCACAGCCCCCCAAGGCGTGGTGTTTTGGGCCTAGAGCCTAATCCCAAATGGGTTTGAAGGGGGCTTATTGGCATCTTAACAAAGCAAATGTGCCAAGTTCTACGGAGTATTCCCGAAGTCCTTCTTGCCCCGGACTCTCTGATTACTGTTGGTCCCCCTCGCGTTTTCAACTATTATCCCGGAAGTAACAATTCATACTCCATACGGAGTACAGTAGTCAGATATGTAAAACATATATTGATGACCAATATTTTTTGGCCATTTTTTCACACAATATCCATGGATCTCACAATAACCATAATAAGCTAGGTATCATGTAATTAAGAATATATGTAAAGTATTGTCATAGTCTCTAGTTAATACTTCATACTACTGTATGTTCCAAGAAAGTTTACTCCGTATTTGGTAAGAGGTTCTACATAACAGATCGACTACCCTGGTCAGTGCATTCTAGGCTTCAATTGGAGTCCACAGTCCAGCCCCCAATGGACTACAATAGGTTAAAATACGGAGTAGGGTCCTGGTATCCACTACTTAGAGCTATAATAGCTCTCCGTACGGAGTATTTCCGACAATATTTGAGAGCGTATTTGATGCATCAATAGATCTATTCACACCGGGGGTGACCCAGTAGTCACCACCCCACCCTTATTATGTCTCATATCCTTCCACTGTACGGAGTACGGACCTCGGAGAAGTCGCTATTGAGTCGCTCGCCGGGGGAGACTAACAACCAGCACACAAATTAACGCACGAACAGGAAACAATCATAGTGGAGACCCCTCTTCCCGCCACATTCCTGCGCCGCTGAATATGTACCTCGATTGAGCCCATCTCTTGCCAAAGAGCAAGTGACCATTTCATACGCTTTCACGGCGCTAAGGCAATCAGCGCCTCACAGCCATCACATTCAAACTGAGCCCGAACTCCACCGAAATGAACAATCAGTGCGATCTGTGAGTATTTTTTGACATTCGAAGTCCATGTGCCAGTTCTAGTGCAAGGTAGCGGAATTCAGAGCTAGATGCACGGAGTCTACTCTTTACGCTAGTGCTCTTTATAAGTGTTCGGGCAAAGTACGCCATACTATGGAGTATTAATGCTAGTACTAATTGACAATTCCCGCATGATCACTCCTTGGTTGCCTAGAATACCACCATATATCTAGGTAATATTAGACTGCCTTAGATTATAAATATCGAGAAGTCTGCTGATCGACAAACTGACCTTGAAATTACTCCGGATATCACCAAACGTTGTATTATCAAGACTTGATAAAATGATCCTATATATCTGGATAGTTTACTCCTTTCGTTCCTCTCTCTCTCCCTCTTTTCTTCTTTCCCTCTCTCTCCCTCTCTCTCCCTCTCTCTCCCTCTCTCTCCCTCTCTCTCTCCCTCTCTCTCCCTCTCTCTCCCTCTCTCTCCCTCTCTCTCCCTCTCTCTCCCTCTCTCTCCCTCTCTCTCCCTCTCTCTCCCTCTCTCTATCGTTCAAAGTTGATATAATAAGATTTTCTCTTATCAACCCTGTACCTAGATTTCTTATTCTCTAACTTTAAGGTTGAATCGAGCTAAAAGTAGTCTCAACAATAGCCATATAATATTGGAGCTAGATATATAGAGCTTAAAATCTTACTAAATATTAGTATACTGGAAAATACCGTCATATTGGCGGCGGCGTTTACCTGGTTTGCAGCGTCTCCGCGCTGCTAGATAGTCGTAGATCGGGAGCTTCCCTCTCTTCCACCTTTCTTTGTCCTCATCTCCAACAATACATGCATTTGATGCTTCATATTACCCCTAAGCTTCACTCAATACAATACAAGTTAAATACCTTAATGTCCTTTTCTCTTTACAGTGAATATACCAAAAGCTGAACATAGACATAAGATGTCATATTAGAAGTATACTGCCTGGGTGGATAGTGATTCCTAAATTTTCACCAGAATAGTCCATAAAAGGCCTCAAAGCTCATCAATTTATATCTCATCCTTCAACTGTTCACCTTAGCAGAGCTCTGAATGGCGCCGCACACCTGTAAATGGGTTAGGGTATAGCTGAAATGCCAGCAAGCTCTGGCAGTGGCTTTTGCCTAGAGATCAAAGAGACCTATAGTAGCGACCCAGTTCCAAGGATCATGCAACACGAGAGCATGTAAAAGGTCCGCCAAAGCTGGCATCCTTGGACTCGTGGATCTTTTGCTGGGGTAAGCATAATTCAAGAAGTCGGAAACATATCAAGGTTGACTTACCAGATCCACAACAGTTCCATACAGCCCTGCTCCAAGAACAATGATCCCAAAAACAAACACAATGCCGTTGCAAATGGTCCTGCAAATGTTTTCTCGTGAGAAGCAGCTGCCTTCTCTGACAAGAACGAGCCACATGATCGAAGGGATATAGAAGCACAGCCCCGAATTGAACAAAGATGCACTAATTGACAACAAGAGTGAGAACACTGGGATAGCCTCTGCAACCACCCACGAAACGAGTGTTAGGACTGTCACCAGAAAACACCAGATGACCCATCCCTTCTTTGTATTAACGTAACGGAGAACGGAGTCACGATATAGATACGAATGGATATAGCGAGCAACGATGTTGGTGTTGATTGATCCAGATATAAAGATAACTGGAAGGGCAACGCCAAAAGCGATTCTCGATAGAAGGGGTCCGGCTGAGAGTAAGGCAGGAGATTGCACATTCATTCCCACAAATGAATAAACAAGAGCGCCAATGAGTGTATAAATGACAATCTCAATGACACCTAGTGCATATATCGCTTTGGGAAAGTCTGCTGGGGTGTGCATTTCACTAACAAAGGATGGTATTGCTGGAGCGAATGAATATGCAAAGACGATATTGTTGATTGCTACCATGGCGCTCGCAAAATCGGTGTCTTCTGGAGGCCAAGCTGACCACTGTGACTGTGGTGAGGTAATTTGCTGTTGAGAACTTTGTACACCTGTTGCAATTACTGTGATCCCAATAGCGGTAAATATTGAGACCACGTCGATGTATCCAAGTAAAGCGATATCGGCAAATGTTGGTGGAATGGCCAGTATAAGCATGATCAACGCTGAGGCTATTCCGAATACCACATTGCAAATGTCACTTCGTGTGATATCAGCTAGAGCAATGATGCCAGTCAAACAGTGTGATCCCACACTTAGCAGCAGCTGGAAGATAAAGACAACCGTGACGATCCAGAACCCCGTTTCCCCTAGCATAAGCCTCCCAATGTCTCCGTAGTGCTCAACCTGTGGATGCTTGAGCTTTACCGCGCCAACTTCATAGCTAGCATATGTTGCGATGAGCCCGATTCCAACGGAGCAAATAACACCTCCAACCATACCGAGAGTCATGAATGCTTTGGGAAGACTCAGGCTTCCGAGAGCAATAGCTTCCACAATAAGAAGAATGACAAGGCGTTTCCAGCCGAGACGGGAAAACTTCTTTTGGCCCTCAATTTTCTTGGATCTTGTGAATTCTGCCTGGGAAAGATTTGATGAGGGGGTATCGTTTTCGTCTTCGTTTGACTGGTGTCCCGTAGTCTCGGGTTCTTTCTCGCACAATCGAGAAGAGCCATGCAGGGAATTGAGGCGTTCCTGCCTCGTGTAAATCTCCATTGTATGTAAATATACTTACTAAGGTGGAAATAAAATAAATTGGGAAACGATCGAGTCTAAGTTCTTTGGTACATAGGTTTAAATAAGGCGCATTGCTTTGACCTCGCCTATTGTACTCCGTTAGAGAGGTGTAGATCTCAGAGACGCCACGATAACAGCATGCAGACATCCCTGCAACAAATTCTGGGGAATATTCCGTACCCGGTCTTTATACTAAGACCTGCAGTTACTGCAGAGCTTCATTGAGTGGCATATTCTCACGATTGGACCGTAATGAACCTAAGCAAAGGGGGTAAAGAACTTCATAAGTCTAGCCTATAAAGATATCTAAGTTCCGCCTGGGCAGGGATCTCAGCCAGCCACATAATATGCATGTTATGATGTTTCCAAGGTTGTGTAACACCAGCCCTGGAGCGATCGGCGGTGTAGTAAGCACTGAAGTCGCCCCTTGGGGGAACAATTTTTAACCCAAGACCCGGAGTCATGCTTAAACTTAATGAGCATAAGGTGGGCTTAAAAAAGAAGCCGAAATGATGAAGACAGTTAGTGAATCTAAGGCTGTCCCAACGCCGGAAAAAAAAAAAAAACGCATACCAGCAAAGGTCATGGGGGTGGTTGCTGTAGTGGAGTTTCCAAAAATGATAGCGCCCGATGCGCGAAAATAGACCCCCAACGCGGTGCTGTACAGATATCACACTAAAATGGCGGTCTGAGTACAGTTGATCACTGTAACTGATTGGTTCAAGAAATCTTGACCTTTTAATTGACGGGATCAAACAGTAGTGCCCTTGATCCTGATAAGCAGAAGCAGGGCCGAGGCTAAGGCTAATATGCTAAGACCTGGAACGAGAATAGCGTAAGTATAAGGCAGGCTTTGGGGTATCTACTCCGTATATCATGGAGGGAGGGGTGGAATTTACCAGGGCAAATTACAAAACTCTCGCGGTAGCAGAAATTTACCACTCCACGCAGCTCGTCTGGTAATGACCACGAGAATTCAACTTTGTCCAGTACATGTTTGATGGTCTGTCAAGTGATGTTAATATTAGGATTCCCCGTTGCAATATCGTTTCTCGTACCTGAGCTGCTTTCGCGTCCGTTCCAATCTCTCCACCAAGCAATTTTTGGTACAAGAGACGTTGAAGAGGCTGGGTCAAAGCGACCCCAACCATGTTCCCAATTTGCTGGAAAAGATAGTACGATGTGATTGAAACCGTCATGTGTTGGTCGGAAACGACCGAGCTCAGTGCGACAAACTGGGCCGAGCAGCTCATTGTAACCCCGAACCCGGCAGTTGAGGTGTATATCAACTCCCACAATTGTGGCTGGAAAAAGGACCAACGGACGAGAAGTATAATCAAACTCACGGTGGAGATACAGAGTCCAGTTATGGAGCAGGCCTTGTAACGACCCGTGCTATAAATAAACGAAATTGTTAGAGTTGGGTTGAATGGGGTGCGACAAGTATTTCCTACCGTTTTATAATGATGCCTGTCAGAATTGCTCCAATAGTAGCTCCAACAGCGAAAGGAATAAGACAAAGTCCGCTTTGGGCTGTAGTTAATTCGTGAGTTTGGACGAAATAGGGACTAGTTGTAGAAGCGATCTTGTGCGAGTGACATGTCAGTTTGCCATATCAAGCTTAGTCCGGTGAGTTTAATCCAATCACTCACAATGTAGATCCCCATCGAGGAGAAGAAGGTCGCGCACCATATCAGACCAACTTGGGTACTCTTGATGAGATGGAACGGAATCACAGGGTTGCTAGCCCATTTCAGTTCAATCAATCCGAATATTGTGCCACTGATCAGGAGGGCAACTGAAAGACCTATAGGAATACCAATCCGAGGACCACTCAGATCGTACTGCGATGAAAATTGGATAAGAAGAACGAAGGCGACAATAGTGAAACTCAGGGTGATTATTCCTGGTATGTCAATTGATGGGCGCTCTGCCGTCTCCGTAGTTGGCTTCTTTGTCCATTTCTCTTCATCTTCGACGCCCGCTTCTTGTGAGGAGGCCTTGGCATTGACAAGGAGCTTGAATATCGTGATCATAGCACAAATGCCTACCAGCGGTATGTGGATGAAAAAGGCACTATATCAAGTAGCTTTCAATTAGCGCTGATACACTGGGCATCTTTCAAGGCGGGTTGCTCACATTCGCCATCCCAACAAACTGGTAAAGAGGGCTCCTAAAGGAGCACCGACAAGTCCTCCAAGAACCACGCAGGCAGTAAGGTAACTTCTCAGCACCGCCACCTCACGTAGATCAGCCATTTCTGTGTACCGAAAATTGCCGTCAGAAAAGTGGAATAGGGGGAAAGCGATCAATGTCAGAAGCCATACCGTTTAAAGCAACTGATGCAAGGTCTACCATCCCAGCGCCACCAAGACCTGCCAGAAATCGTCCGATGATTGCTACAGGCATAAGTTGCGCTGATCCCCTATCAATGTTAAGTCGTTGCTTGAAAAGGAAATTCCAATAGTTGTACTCGATTTCTTACATCACGGCGGCTCCAACTGCATATAACACATAGGCAAGCAAGAAGGATTTCAGTTGGCCTATAATCTCATAGATCCTACCATAGATTGGCAGTGCTACCGAGTAGCCAAGATTGTATCCTGCGATGAGCCAAAATGCAGACGAAGGTTCCCCTAATTCTTCGGCGATACGCTGGGAGGTAATAAGAACAAAGCTCTCATCGGTCGTTCCGAGGAATGCACCTATACAGGAACACACCATGTAATCAGCACAAGAACAAAGGAGCCAGATAAAGTGCAAAAATACCAAAATAGAGGGTTGTCAAAAGCATTATGCTTTTTTCCAACCGAAATTTGTGCTCATTATTTTCACATAATGTGGACTCCTCAGAGCGCGACACGGGCCCAGCAGGCTCGGACTGGTCCATGGTGAAAATACACGAAAAGAACGGAGATATATGAGAAATGGGTCAGAGAGATGAATTGCTTAATATACAAGACCGATCGGCTTCAGGGCACTCAGTACGCTTTGAAGTGTTGTTCGACGTATCTCATGATTTGCAAGGCGTTGGAATGCAAGGTAATATGGGACCTTACATGTGATGCAGGTCTACGTAATAGAGAAATCAAGCATCAATTGAAGGTTGCATCGAACTAAGCATTCTGATAAGCCCTAGAGTCTTGGTTTTTTGGGGCCCGGAAAGATCGTTAGATCCGCTTCCCGTTATGGAGAAAGCCGGTTGAATTCCAGACGGAAGATCACCACTCCTTGCTTATTGAGCCGCGTAAGAAGTACCGAGGACTTGGAAAAAGAGCTGGTATGTCTCATCAAGCTCCAGCCACCACATTCAATAATTTGTTCGTTGCTGTTTCCTAGCCCGCCCACGTGGTTAACAGGTATGATGATGATGTATTTGTGTTGCGTGGACGGCGAACGAGGGCTGAATCGTAACCGGCTTCCCGAATATCTCTGCGACGTTACTTCAAGACCGCTTTCGGTGACATCGGGAGAATGATCTTGGCTTACCCTTACCTTACACCGAAAAGGACTCGTGGACATGTATCATATCACAGGATCATATCATATCCTACCAAAAGCTTTGTTTCAGTCTGAGATGAGGATCAACTCTGTGTAATTAGATGCTCCTTGGGTCAACCTTCTGCCAATGTCAGTAACACTGCACAAGAAAACATTTAAGATTGAAACACACCACCTATCCCTACTCTAGATAGAACTGGGTGAGAAATACAAAAAAAACGACATGGAAAGAAAGTCAAAAAGTGCGATCAAACCGCCAAACCCCCTTGAGGCCTGTCAATGTGTATTCGGTCTTATATACAGGCTGGCAACTAGTAGGAGTCCTACTATTGTTGCTAATGAGACAAACAAAGGGGCTGGGAAGAGACCTATTGTCATGCTATAGGTAGCATTCAGAAGCGCAGGAACCACAATTCGAGCAATTGAATGAAGGAAGCTCAGCACTCCCAGCAACTGCCCTGATTTTAAATGGGGCGTTTGCGCAGCGAGACATGATGTCAATAGAGGCGTGATGGATGAGGAAGATGCAAGAATCAAGGAGGATACGACATAATGGCTGGGCTCTTGTGAGAAGGCGATGCCCGTATAGCCTATTAACTGCAATACGAAGTTCGCCCTGACCAACCACAGTTCGGATTTGAAAGCAGTCGACCGACTCGGCATATCCAACCTTCTCCTCCATCGGCGAACCTGGACCAGCACCGGGGGAAATACCACGGTCAAAACCACAACACTCCATGAACAGGTGATGGACATAAAGAAGCTTTGGGTGGTCGGTGCCCAGGTGAACAAGAATGCCGGGTAGGCCAATTGCAGTGTGGGTAGGCCTAACATAGTCCCAAAAGCAATCATGTCCATAACAGCCAGAATGAGGGTATTCTTTTGTTGCAACACTCTAGATTCCCAAATGGACTTGATCGATACTAGACAATTGCGGAGGCCCCGGCTATCGGAGGGTGGTTCTGGCATGCCTCCTTCTTGATCGCATCGTTTGTTGGACTCAGGGCGACAGGATTCGGGCAAGACAAGAAGGATCAACAATAAGAGGGATATATGAGCTCCCACTGCAAGCTGGTAAATGAGCTTGAGGCTATCAGGCGTCCTTAGCAGTAAGGCGGTAACGACAGGCCCTCCCGCGCCCGCGAAGGAAAACGCCGCCTGTAAATAACCAAACCAGCGCGCCCGGGAGGTATGCTGCGTGAGGTCGGTAATGTATGTCTGAGAGGTTGCGGTTGCCGTTATCATGGTTCCGCTCAGGCCTTCCATTGCATATCCCACGAGCAGCCAGTGCATATCTATCCGATCCGGATAGCGGAGTATAAATGCCATGAGCATCTCATATAGTAGCGGGCCTACCACCGCAGAGGCGAGGATCGGTTTGCGACCGATGCGATCCGAGAGGGAGCTCAGTATGGGGGTGGCAAAGGCACTCAGGAGACCCGCTGTCATCTGGCCATATATGAGAAATCGAGATAAATCGGATTGCGCGTGTTTGTTGGCGAAACATTCTGTAAGTTCCTCGGTAGAATCCGATTCACCGGGCCGTCGACGGGAATGTTTCTGGTGACAGATCAAGGATAGTGTCGCATTAAATTCCGGGATGGCCAAGACGCCGAAAATGAACATGTAAACAGTGTAAAAGCACACGGCCCATACTGGCTATGAATCTGTCAGACAACTAAACTTCTTATCAGAACCTTGGGGGTTGTGGCACACTGAAGGTCGTCGAAAATGTGGCCAGGAGGGAGTAGATGTGTATTTCCTGCGGCCACCCTGCTCGTCTAACAGGGGCAAGTTCTCATGCTCACCATCTGATAGAGGGTTCATCGTTTCGGAACAAATGTGATTTGTGAGAATAGGTCAATAGGACTTAAGATATTGGAAAACTTCAAAGAAATGGGGGCTGGATTTAGGCAGGAAAAGAGGTGAGCATGTATGGAGTAAGGTCCATGGACAATAAAAGCTGTACAGTCTATTTGGGCATGCGTAGCCAAGATATTATATGTACGGAGTAACAAACTGGTTGTTTGCTGGGGCATGCAAAAGAAATATTCGAAAACCAAACAAAGGGGGAGATTTTAAATGAAACGACGTCAAGCTATGTACATTGCACGAGACATGCCTATCTCCCTCCAAGTACTCCACTCCGTTCCGTGATCGGGCCGCTTTAACTAGTGGCTTGCACGGATCCCTGTTGCCATTTTAGCCAATTTTCGGGAAATGGCTACAGCGGCTATTACAATCCTGGTGACAACACAGCCTCTATGGTGGGAGAATAGGCTGAGGTGACCGGCAATTACATTGTCTAAAATACAAGCCCAGTACGGAGTAAGGAGAGAATCCATAGGAATGGACATGAAAATTGGATGTTCCCAGTCTCTGTAGAAGTCTCTGTGGGAAGTACTGTCACAGTAGGACAATGACCTAACTGTACGGAGTACTCCGTACCGAACAGATCATCAAAGTCCCTCCCCGATCCGCTCCATATTTCCTGACCGCCATGCCACATTCAAACTCCTAGATACGAAGGAGTCTGGTGTGACTACGTGTTATAAGCATATCACGGTTTTCTATCATTTGACATCCGTACTTGCTTTTGCTTTTTCCCATAGATTTGGGCGTTGCGATCAGAGCCTTGAGGGAGCCCGAAATGTGTTCTGAACTTGGTAAATGATCAATGCATTTGATCTGACTACTGTTGTGCTCTGTAGATAGCCAATCAACAGACAGAAGGCTGACAATGTGATTCATCACTAAGAGCGTAAGAGTGTGAGCTAGCCACTCAGCAACCCAGGTCACCTGACTTATCCCGTCACGCAGACCATGACCTATGCAACAATTTCAGTGGCCTGAGATTTCACGTCATCCAAGGCGCTTGGATGGTCCAGAGATTTTGCGTTGTCCAACCTCTTTCCCTCTTCTTGCTTTTGCAGAGCTTGGGCCAGAGCTTCAGGATACCATCGCTTGCCCACCTCTGGATGACTGGTCAACGCGTTGATCATGAAGGCCTCTCCAATCACAGTCTTGAAGAGATCCGCAAAGAATGACTCCGCATCAGACCGAACGCTTGCATCACGCAAGCTTGTGATGTGCTCTGGAATATCTATTTGAATATCTTCCTGTGTCACATCAAAGCCAAACATCTGGAAGAAGGGGAAGCTAAGGCGTGTACCAAGTTGTCCACTGCCTGACTGGTTTCCTGAGTATTGGTTGCATGTGAGGTTAACTCGATGAGTAGTCGCAACACACACTCCCTGAGTCAGAGCCTCCAATGAGCGACCGATGTTTACCACCAGTGTACCTGGGACTGGGGGTGCTGGGATCCATTCACCCGATCTGTTCTGTACTTCCAGGCTGGAATGCTCTGTCCCCTGTAGGAGATAAGTCAAGAACGAGCCATCCTTGTGAGGCCCAACCCCTTGGAACTGTGTGTCGGCCCCCTGTGAAGGGTCTGGTGCAGGGTATGCCGCTATCTTCATCCCACTCATACATGGCTTTCGGAAGAATTTTGTGAATACTGAGGGGTCCGTGTCTAGGGCTTCGGCAACCAAGCCTGTAAATGTCTCTGACAAACGTTCGATTTCAGACAGATATGCTTCCACAGACTTGCGAAAGCCAAGCGCTACCTCTTCTTCTGGCCACTATCAACCAAGTTAGCTTAGTTTCAGAAGGTATAGCTCCTTATAGATACCTGGTTTGGCCCCACAAGATTGTACCAAACAGGGAGCTCGGAACTGTCCACAATTTCGTGCAATCCAGCCTTCCCCATGTGCATCAAAATTAGCCGTCATTCTATTTTAGTCACCTTGGGTGGAAAAGAGCATACCCAGAATGTTTCTCTCTCGTCAGCCTTTGCAGCTGTTCGCTCATTTCCTAAGCCAGTATATCCTCGGAACGACTTGGTATTCGCCATGTTCACTTCCGCCTTCTTATCAGAAGGCAGGCTGAAAAAGTCACCCGATGTTCGTAGTAGATCTTGTTGCACTTGATGCGGAACAGGATGATTCTTCAAGTAGAAGAAGCCGACTTTGACAAGTGCATGTCTAAGCGCAGACAAGAATTGTGGCTTCGTAGAGGGCGAAAGGGCATCTTGAAAATCAATGATGGGAAGAGAGTCGAAATTTTCTGACATTGCGACAAGACTTCGTATCTTCTTTGACCGAATAGGATAGGAAAATGTTTGAAGCACCAAGTATGGTCTTTATCGTAACTGTATAAGAGGTGGTGTTGACACAAGGTATAATATGTGGGAAATCTATAGCCCAAGGATGTTCAACTTTAAATAAGCATCTTATTGGTCTAGTGATAAAACCCCGCCTTACGGCTACACTTCAAGATGAGGGAAAAGCGAATTGGACCCAAACTCGTAAACCTTTCAAGTGGCACCACCCAGGTACAATCGACAACTCGGGGTGTGTTTGAGATTACATCATGGTGAGCAAAAATCTGAAGTCTTGCATCCACAACCCACCATCCTGTACGGAGTAAGTACATGCCATAGGGCAAAACGGTGTTGATACAATAACATCGAACCATACGGTACGGTAAGCCATTTATTCCATACCGGTATTGTAATTTAAAATTCGTCACATACGTATTGTAAGTGAGCGTTTGTGAGTAAGAGCTAACTCCTATTCACCACCCCCGAGGAGCTGCATATACCCCCTGCATATCCACCTTTGCATACTCAGCATCTCATATGATTGGCCATTAAAAGCCACATCTATCAGTGGACCCCGATGTACATATACTCCGTATCGCGTTATGCATTAGTAGAAGCTCGTGTTTGCTCTGCCCTGCGCATACGGAGTACTCGATCCTTGCCAGCTGTTTCGGAGTGTATATGTGGATCTTAATATAGTATGTAGCTTCCAATGTTGATTCATGCTATATTAGTGGAACAACAGAGCAAGATATGCACTGCACTGCTCAGCTCATGCTTTCTCATCACTTCGAGCCGAGCGCCAACCTAGGAAGTGGGGCCCTTCCATGCTTTGGCCGCTCCTACGTATGGAAAAATCATCCCCAACCACTTCTCCAACAGGATCGAGACCACAATGCCAACACCACCAGTGGTCAAAGCCAGGGACCATGCAATGCACTGCTGCCCACTTAGCTTTTATTCTCCGTATGTCAAGACGTGAGTCGCTGCTTGTCAGTGATTATGACGTCAGAAAAGCTACCCAGTTGCACCTACTCCGTACTCCGTACATAGATCTACTATGGGACCCGAATGGGGAACTGGACCATGCCACGACGCGATCAGCACCACAAAGGACGACAACAACATGCTCGCCGAGATGGCCGCGGGGAAAAAAAAAAAAGATGGAGGGGGTGGATAGATGTAGAGCTTCTGGAAATAGAAGCACCTGCCTACACGTATGCATCCGGTAATCAGGTCTCCGAGCTGTTCGGGAGAGACATTTGAGACCTATAATTATTCCGGGGCAAATGTCTTGCCCATGATCGAGTGCATATGGATGCTCCCTAAATTCTAACTTTTACTTTTCCTGATCATAGCAGCCTGCACCTCCCTAGAAATTGCCGGCAGACTTGCCGAGACTTCTCTTGTGTACTACTTTGAAATTATACTCATCAGCGGGAAAACGATTTAACCCAGATGCAAATTAAAATTAGACGATAAACTGATACCTAAGCACAACGTTTTCGGAGCTCCATCCATGGATTCGCTGCCTGCGCTATGTTTCGAAAAGAGCATTGGAAACTTCTCATTATGAGAAAAAAGTGCGAAATCCTGGCCATGAAGAAAAGTGGCGAAGCTGGAAAGTTGGAAAAGGAAAAAAAAAACAGGGTTGAATACCACGCCTGTACCATCCATAGTTAGATAATCAAAACTTAGCCATTTGTGTAGCAATTCAGATGGCTATTTCAATCGCAATTATTTCGGCTGTTCAGTGACTTGTTGCTCAAACCACTTCCCAGCATATCGGGCTATCGCATCAACATGTTTCTCAAATAGATCTCCCAAGATAATCATGATGGTGATACAGGTAAGAAGCGAACCAACCCAGGTGAATGTGAGCGCGCCTTTGTTTAAACAGGCCGCCTCAGATCCAGGATACCCTTCCCCTCTGGCAATGTACCAGAACAAGTTCTGCAATGGCCACTTGAAGGAAAAATAAACTGCAAAGTGAATTACATAGACTGGATAAGATATCCGGCCCATATACTGTAATAGTTGCGAGTCGAGTGGGTATTGCAGCCATTTTGTATTTGCAATAGTGATAATCACCAGAGTTGCTCCGAGTCCGGTCCAACATCTGTTGAAAATTTCGGTGACCGTCCACCATGGGGAGGTTGGAATGTCAAGTAGGAAATGATACTCTGCGCCAAGGGGTCCGTCATCTGGTAAAGACATCAGAAACAAACCCCCAATGAAGGCTGAAGGTTTCCATAGGTAATTGAAAGCGGTCGATGATTGGATTTTGTTCCAGCTCTGGTTGACAGTACTCCCGATAGAGCGGTCGGAAGGTTCAGAGTCAGAGGACAGGCGTATGGCACCCTTTGTTTCTTCGGTGTTTCCATAGAGGTGCTCCGCAACGCACATGCCTGACGTGAATGCGAATAAATCCCACTGCCCGAGGAAAAACCACCAAAAAGCTACTGCTGTGAAAAAGAGGCGACGGGGGAGCGGCCTCCAAAATCCAGTGACAAAGAGCAAAAAGTAAACCGCCAATGAGCCACGAAAATCAACTGGAATGGACCATAATTGTGGGTTCAGAACACCCTCCAAATCATCTCGCTCCAGCGTGTTGGCGATGTCAAGTTCGTATCGAACAAAAGTGGTCAGATGAACCAATTGCCACAGCGAGAATTTGATGTGCGCCCAGGGTGCTTCCAGCGGCTGCAAATCCCAGGCTCGCTTCATCATTTGGATCGCTTGTGGGTGAATTACTAGACCACAAAAGAACAACAAATTTGATAGGAGAGAGATGCAGAAAACTGGCAGATAGAGACGGAAGACTCGACCAGTTGCCTGCGAGGACACAACCTTGATCCAAGATCCATGTTTGTCGCCGGGGAGATTCCGGGATTGAATGATGGGTATTGAAATTGCAACTCCGTACAAGACCATGAAACAGGTGACCCATGAGCTTGAGGCAAAGATGAGTCGAAATGGTGGAAGCTCAATTAAATGGCGATTTGCTTCACGAGGCTCGGCCCAGTACGAGCGGAACAGAAATCCAAACACACTTTTGGGCTCCATATAGAACGCGTGTCGAACGACAGAATTGGCAGCAGCTAGACCTCGTAGGCCATCCAACCAAGTGATTCTTGTCATGTTCAAATGCCTTGTTGGTCATGGACAAGTATGGGGGCGAAAGAGCGTGGGGGATTCAAAAACTGAGAGAGCGAGCTATCTGGCGCTTACTGCTAGTAGCAAAGATAGTGGTGTGCTTCCCGCGACCAGATGGAAAGGGAAACTCGGTCTGGGATGGTTAGATTCAAGGCGCACCTGTGTCCTGAGTAAATCAAAAAGCCCACTAGAAATTTCGGCTCATTAAAAGATATCCGACCCCGTGGGACGGCTTAAGTGGCTGGCTGGTTGCTGGTTGCTGATCGGTGACGCCTTGGGCTAGGGAATGTGCATACAAGCCCACCGTCCTACATGGCGCGCGGGCTCTTTCGGGCTTTACCCCTCTTCCTTCATGGGCCTCAGAACACCCGAGAACAGGCTGCCCTAGGGAGAAGCAAAAATTGCTCCAAAATAGTGGATTCTGGCTGTGAAGCGAAAAGACCGACGGGGGAAAAGAAGGAAGGGAGAGAGAGAGATATCTTGCCAAAAGGGGTCATCTGACCGCCAAACAACACCCATCCCCCGGCTCCCCGGTCAAGTTCTCAGTAGACTTCACTTTTCGCCTTTCTGGTATTATTCGAAAGGTCCTTCAACTAAGACTACTGAATACCCTGGAAAAATATGGAATTGGTTTATTTTACCTGTCAGGGTCACACCCCAAACGACGGATTTGGCGCGGCCTAAAGGCCACGATACTTAAGCCCGGGGGCCTGCGCTCGGCACCGGCTCATTTCCCCAATCCTGCCTTAAAATTCCATGACAGCTCGCGATCATGGAAATTGATCCACTCTTTCGACAAAGATCTATGATGATGTCTTTGAATAGCTCAATATTTAATTTGTCTACTTTACTCACCATTTTCCACCGATCTATTGACAATTTCGCGATAATAACGCTCAAGGCTTTTTCCCTTTGGAAAGTCAGGAAAAAGCTGACTGAAATCCAGGTACCCAAGATAATGTGCATATTCCGGCGTATTATATCCTCGAATGCACCAGGATATTCGAAACTGTGCCATGTTGAAGTTCACAATATCCTGGAGCGGCGGATTGTTTTGAAGGCTTTTGGGATGATTCTCAATAAGTGCTTCAAGTTCCTGGACCGAGACCTGCTCATGTCTGATTTAGCATGATTGTCGAGAGGCTCAAACTCCTGGGATTCCTTGCTTACATGATCTTTGATGGGCTCTTCTCCGCTTGCAATAGCCATGGTGTTCCATATTTCATTCATACTCAGAACCTCGGTATACGCAAAGACGCGTTTGTTGATGGTTCGAGGGTCGGTGATAATACAAGCCACATATCTACCAATATCAAGCTGGTCAATCAGAGCAAAGTTTTGGTTTCCATCATCGACAATCCGGTGGTCGATAAGGTCCCAATGAGCGTGATCTGACCTGCCAGACGGGATCTTAGGAACAAAGACTTCATACCAACAACCCACGTCAATGACAGTGTATGGCAGATGAGCTCGTTGAATAGTAGCCATAACATCCAGTTTCTATGCAAAATTGATGAGACATTGAGATAGAAGGTAAGCAAGGAGCTCGCGATGGCAACCGTACCGCGTCTTGAACATTACTAACACCTGGTGGTGTAGGCGCCACCCATTCCGAAGGTATAAACCGCTTGACACCCGCTAACTTTGCGGGTTCAACCCAGTGTTTTTGGAGGTGTAAATTCTCCCAATTCATACAAGAAATGAGGACGTCAATTCCTTGCAACTTATTCACGAGAATGTCCTGCGGTTGAGCCAAATCATAGCCGACGATATCAAGCCCCTCCTTTCGTAAGTTTTCATTGATGGCGCTGCCCACCGATGATTGACGGGTTAAAGATACAATCCTCTTCGAAAATTCTCAGTAATATCCAACGAAAAGAGTGGCTGGGTGGATTCGCACAAAATTGAACTCTGAAGAAAGGAGCCCTTGAACCACGGAATGACCAACGGCCCCAGTGGCACCAAGGACACCAACTGTGGTATGGGAGCCCATGGAGCCCATGGAGGAAAAGTTAAGTGTCAACTTTTGCAATATGCAATCGCTGTGGTGTACACGAATGGACGGCCGGGGGTTCGTGCTATACTTATACTTAGTCCCAAGCAGCAGGGATCGTGCCAGTGCGGGTGAGGAGAAGGTCCAAATAGAGGACTTCCGGCAGAAAATACTCCGTAGACCTCACTAAAGTAACACTAGATGCCAAAACAGCCAGTCACTTAGTTACGTGAAGAACGAACCGAAGCTAAACGATTGTAAGCTATGTCAACCGTCATGTAGCAGCCCTAGAGTAATGATGTGAGTCCACTCCCCGGCGAGTGTCGGAAGGAGCGGTGTGAGAATAAAATTCTCTATCTCCGACTGCTCTAGACAGAACGCAAGGATCGTTGAAGCTGAGCAGCCAAGCAGCTTGAGCGGGGACATTTTGGCGCTTGCCGATCTCAGCACAGAGTTTTGAGAAAATCGAAATTGATGACCTGCAGAAATTGGCACCAATCACATTTTTAGTATTTGGTAGTCGTATCCATGTAAATTATCGTTCCATTTACCCCTCAGTAGCTCAACATCGCATGTATGTCTTGTGGGGCTCATGTTACGCGTATTTTTGCCCAACTTCGCCATGCTGTCATGCTTTCTACCCTGGAGGTATTCCGTACTTACGTCAAATCCAGGCCACAGTCCCCTCAATAAGATATAAATATAAATAGCCATGTTTCTTTATTTTATGAGGAGGTTTTAGTCCTTGATTTGATCCAGTCTTCCAGGTCAAGCCCCTCAATGTTGAATTTGGGATTGTGAATTGACATTCAGAATCAATGACCATCCTCACCGGAGTCCTCGCCTACTCAGGTGAGGCACTAGCTCGCCCAGTAACAGCTTTCTTCGCGCTGTCTATCTTGTTTGTGAGTAATTGTTCCCTGGAAAATGAGCAACAACGGTCTTGAAAATTGATTATCTCTTTGAATCCAGATTACCCTCTACCTCACCGGCGTGGTCATCTACAATGTCTATTTCCATCCATTAGCGAAGTTTCCCGGGCCTTTTTTTATGGCTGCATCACGCCTCCCATATTTACACATGGTTGCCACTGGCAATGCACCCCACCTCACCACAGCCTTGCATCGCAAGTATGGCTCTGTGTTCCGGATTGCACCAGATGAGCTCTCGTTTGTAACCGAAGGCGAAGCTTGGAAGCGAATCTATGCAACCAGGCCAGGTCATGGCCAAAAACAGAAAGATCACAGATTCTACCAGGGATCTGTCGATGGGCACCCCAGTATTCTTCTCTCTGGAGATCAGGATCATGCATTTGTTCGTCGTTCGCTTTCGCATGCATTTTCCGATAGTTCGTTGCGGGGCCAGGAGCCTTACATTCAGAACTACGTCAATCTTCTCATTCACCGTTTGCGAGAAAGATCTCACAAAGAGGCTGCGCCCGTCGATCTCGTCTCCTGGTACAACTTTGCCACATTTGATATTATTGGTGATCTTTCATTTGGCGAACCATTTGGTTGCCTCAAAAACTCCGACTATCATCCATGGGTAAGCATGATCTTCGAGAATGTCAAAGCTGGCACAATTTGTCGGGTGATCACTCGTTTGCCAGGAGGAAGCACTCTTCTTGGTTTGTTCGCACCACAAAGCCTAATTGATGCCAAAGACAATCATGAGAAATTGACGGTCGAAAAAGTCGATGCGAGAGTAGAGAAGTCTAATGACCGTCCTGACTTCTTCGCCAATATTCTCAAACATCAAAATACCGAGAAAGAGTTTCCCCGTGGAAAGCTCTATTCCAACGCTAGTTTTATCATTGTTGCAGGTTCTGAAACTGTCGCAACTATCCTGGCTGGGACAACGTATCTCTTGCTGAAAAATTCGAAAGCACTTGCCAAAATCCAACATGAGATTCGCACAGCTTTCAAATCAGATGATGAGATTAATATGGACTCCACCAGTCAGCTGCGATATACACAGGCTGTTATCAACGAGTCGCTGAGAGTTTTCCCACCGGTCCCGATTGGCCTACCGCGATATGTTGATGCTCAAGGAGACATAATTGATGGACACTGGGTACCCGCAGGTGTATGTTGAAATCTGACCTGAGCCCCGATCAAGTGAATTTCTAACAAGAACCAAGACGGTCGTTTCCGTCGCCCCTATAGCCACTTATCAATCCGAGACGAATTTCAAGCGTGCGGATCAGTTCATCCCTGAGCGTCATCTCGGCGATCCAGAATTTGCTTCTGACAACAAAGATGCAATGCAACCTTTCAGTGTGGGCCCAAGAAACTGTATTGGTCGAAAGTACGTTTACTCTCATTCTTACCTAAGATTTCCTTTCCTAATATATCATCATTTAGCCTCGCCTATGTTGAAATGCGCTTGATCCTTACCAGGATTATCTTTAACTTCAATCTGGAGCTGACAGAGCCAGAAGTCGACTGGCGAGATCAAAAGTGCTATACTCTTTGGACGAAGAAGCCTTTGATGGTCAAGATCAGTGAGAGAGATATGGACCAACCGGTGGCTTAACAAAGTTGGCTTTTACTTACATCACAGTACTTGGACGCAATGAATACTTCTTGACCAACTTGAATCAGTCCCACTTTTCGCAGCCATTTCCATGGGAATCTATTCGGAGGTCGCACGACCCAAGTTGAATAGATACCTCTCCCTCTGTCTCTCTCTCTCTCTCTCTCTCTCTCTCTCTCTCTCTCTGATAGCGAATAGATCTACGATGAAGCGTAGTGAATAGCAGTAGATCAATTTGCTAGATTAAAACAGGACGGGGAAAAGAAGGAAGAGAGAAAGAGAGAGCGGAGCGCGATCTATCTATCATGCCCTGTAAACAGGGTCACTTGACCGCGGGAACCCCGACACACTCTCTTCTTTCTCCGGTCGGTATTCTTGCCCACAGCCAGAATCCACTGTTTTGAAGCGGTTTGTGTTTCTCCTCTGTAGATCAGCCTGCTCTGAGAATTATTTCTGAGAGCTCTTGGCCGAATGTACCAGGCCGTGATAGAACTCATTGATCATATAGGCCATTTCAAGCAACTGCGAAAATTCCGCTGGGTAGCTCCAAAGGAAATTGAAAGGCGGCGAGATCATTTGTCCAAGTGGTCGATCTTGTTATTCTCCAGCACAAGTCAGCCCTTCTTTTGATTCTGCGTTTTTTCTTATTTCCTTCCCATCGCCGGTTCACAGTAGCCAATATAAATCAACTTACTCCGTCCCGTTCCTGGCTTCCTTTGACGTTTCCGCACCGGCCCGCAAGGCCCGTAGCCTAGCCCAACCTAAACCAAGAATGGTTTGGCTTACTGGGCCTACCGTTAAGCGCACTGGGCGTTTGTGGGTACCTATCGGGCTTTAAACTATATTGAACACGCCAGGTTAACCTTCCTTTTTGGTCATATTTTGATGCCTTTGGTTTCATCTCCGTTTTTAAGCTGTAGTCCTAGTGTAATATTCACATTTTGGAAGTAATTCAAAATAATATGACAATGATATATCTACCAGAGATTCAAAAGCGCGTGAAAACGCGTGCAACAAGATTTTTGGAAATTTTTCGAAGTTTCCTGAAAAGTAATAATACCTCTCGTTTAACGAATATCCACGCGCCGCCAGTCTGTTTTGGAATGATTTCAAGATAGCAAACCGGTGCTGGACACCCATGGAGCCCGATCCACGCTCTGTTGAGAGTGCGCTAGAATTCTGGCGATTGAAGTGGTCATGGTCGCCGCACAACTGACCGAATTATTCTTCGGTGTCCGGGGATCGTTGGGAATAGGAATTTTTCGCGGCCAACTTCACAAAAGGCTTTCTCGAAAAATATACAGTAAAATTTCTTCTTGCACTTGGTGGTTTTTACGACAAGGTCTACAAATAAGTCTGTTGTGAATTCCAGGTAGACCTGGTTGAAACTGTAAAGGAACAGAGCTATGGAAACCAGCCTTGGGAGGGAATAGGCTCCTGTCGAACCGATTGCTCTCTTATTCCGGGATACTCCGTAGCGTAAAATGAGATTGCTCAAAGGATACATCAAAAAATTTGGATGAAGTGAGCCTCCTTCGCGGAGTACTCCGTACTCCGTACTCCCGTTCGGGTGTTGGTCAGGTGACCCTGTGCGGACAGGGCAGACTAGTTGGGTCGCTTCCCCCCCCCTCTCTCTTCGTTTCCCCTCTGTCCGTTTCAGATCTATCAGAATCGACCTATTGCTTCGCGATACGCTTCATCGTGGATCGCTTGTACTATCAATAAGATATACAACTGTTGTGCACTTTCGTGGATCCCATTTGCGATGGGTCGCGGATTGCGCTAACCCTAAAAGGACCGACCGCTTGCCCCTTCTGACTGCCCGGACTGTTACCCGTTGTCGCTTAATCATTGTCATCATATCGGAAACAGGGGAAAACAGCAGTTAGGGTCAGAATTATGGTATTGTTGGAGACGAGGAGACAAAAGAAGGAGGAGAGGGAAGCTCTCCGGAACTATCTATCTGTTGGGTGGTCAGGTGACCCGGTTGTCAGGGCATAGATAGCTCGCTCTCTCTCTCTTCTCTTCTTCCTTTTCCCCGTCCTCTTTTTGCCTAGCCAGAATCAATCTACTGCTACGCATACGCTTTATCGTAGATCGATTGCTTGCTATCACTATCTAAGGGAGCCTGACAAACAGGGCAAACAGCCCAACACATCATCATACCGCGTTTCGTACAACCTGCGCCGCCGCTAGAACCCACAGTTTTGAAGCGACTCCATATGCTCGAACCGAACGGCACTGCTTTCCTGTTCATCTGAAGTACCGCGGCGATACCCATTGTCATCTACTCGCCCTAATATCCACCGTAAGGACCTAGACGATCGACCGTGCCTTCTGGAAAGCGCGTTCTCCGAGAGTTCAGTGTTTCAGGTAATGAGATGTTCGTGCCTCATGCATGAGCTAGCAGAAATTTCAGCAGATGTTTGCCTTATTTGTCTGGCTCCCCACGGACTAGAGAGGCGTAGATGAGAGAGCTTCCCTCTCTCCCTTCGTCTCCCCTCGTCTCCAACAATACATACCAATTGATGCTACCTGCTGCTCCGTGCTTCGCTCGATAAGAAGCCATACACATAATAATCCTGTGAACAGTGGAATTGGTCGGGCTAAAGAATTAGCTTGCCCCGAGAGCCACCATAACAATAAGCCCAAGCGCTACACAAATCAATATCAGTGAATGGGTTACGGAGTATTGGCCGGCTCTTCGTTCCACCTTTATCTGTAATATGTCACTTCAGAAATCATACCTGAGGATATTGATTGACTGTTAATACGGCATATATCTACCGACTTAAGCGAGCCATGGCAAAAGAAAGAAAATACCGCGTAACCTCTTATCTTTTTCTACTCCGACTATGGATTAGTAAACAGCTCTTTGGGGTAATCGGACTATATGGAGCCTAAGTCAGCCCTAGTAGAATGATTACAGGGACTTGTGCCTAGCTGATTGGTAATTTGGCGGCTGGTATCTAGAGCATTGGGAGTATGTTTAAGCATACGGGTAGATTGATCGGCCAGAGTGTTATGATAGATTGGAAAATGCGATGGAGAGATATAACGACGAGCTCAGAGCGGAAAGAACTTTGTGGAGGCGACTGGATGAGCCACAACTTCTTTAGCATGGAAGGGAGCATCTGATTCCGAGCTTGGGAGATGAGATCTGAGACGTGTTGACCATTCTCCACAACTCTCTTATCACATCTAAGGTAGCGTAGGATCCGAGTCAAGCTTGAAAAGTGCTTTTTTCCCCTGCGATTCCCAAATCCCCGTATCAAGAACTTCCGTAAAGAAAAACCTGCAAGACTCGATGCTGCTCGGGTTCACGGCGAGCGTGACATGCGTATCTGCAGGCTCATAGTGCGAATCCCCAGCACACTCAATCTTCGGCTCTTTACCATTCAATCCGACTTTCACCGAGCCACTCAAGACATAAACCATGATAGGGCCATTTTTGTGAGTGTGGGGTGGGGTCTCTTCGCCTGGAAGGTACGTAGCGTCCACACCGACGATGGTTTTACCTGGAGCCGCTTCCAGGTCGTAGGCATACGCAATCCTCATACCGTCTGTTGCGCTGCGTTTTTCAACATTTGTGAGCCAATTTATGCTGGGTTGGTTAGTTCGGTGTTTGTGACATACCCAGAATCAGACATTTTGTAGATGTTTCCAAAATTGAAAAGGACGGTAGACAAGGCGAAATCAGACCTCGGAATGAGCTTGGGGTCAGATAAAGAACAAATGAACCTGCACCCTGGGGCTATTTATGGGTTCACCATCTTAACTATGACCACCGAGAAATCCCTCAATGCGCTGTCTCCCAAGTTCGAAGACTCTGGAACCGATCTTACATGCCGTAGTACCAGAATTTTGTCGTATCATGCAGTGCTACCGTAAATTGCCTTTGATTGTGCTGTAGTACTTCAACATCGTCATGACGCATTCGACCATACTGCACTGCTCATGGTAATCTATACACTCTCCCTATGTTTGAACGTAATATTCTATAACTTATTTCATAGCCTGAATGCATCTATGACACAACTGAATACTACCTAGGCAGTCTCATATGATTAGTTGGCAAATGTTTTCGCCACGAGAACACGACTGATCATTTGGTTGAAGGACATCAAAGGATATCCATGGATATAGTAATCTTGGAAGTTGACCGTTTTGTTTAATCAGCGTTCCGTATACCCACCTCGACTAATCACCAAACTTTGGCACACTCACTGTAAAGGTTTTGGAGTACGCGAGGTAGAATTCTTTCTATCACTATTGAAGTTCTATCGTACATCTGAGATGTAAATTTCCCTAATCCAACCGGTCTAACTAGTTGATTTCATCATGCTTCACCGCTCAAATAATTTTGTGACTAATTTCATGCAGTGAGGACTTGCCTCCTTCCTACATGGGACAATACCATACTGTATTTTCGCACTTGGTGGGTGGTCGTTTCGTTTTAAAGCTAGATGCCTAGATGCATGCGGGGTCCAATGCATAACCATGTTCCTTTCTGATCGTCCTCTTCCACGTAGCAACATCTATGGCTATTGACCACCTGTGCAACCTGCAATCCATCTGTTGAGGTATTTTTTGACGATATTTTCTTTTCACTCTGGAGGGCTCCTACTGGCCATTGACCGCTCTCATAAAAACAGGTTTATCTGAGAAGTCTGCCAGAGTGGGCACTATATGCATGTCCTATTCGAGGTTGCTTGACTACATGGGTGTTCAAACTTGGAACAGACTAAACCTTTAGTCAGATGTTTCCTTAGTCTCGTCACGGTCTTATGTTTCATCCATATCTTATACCTAAAGACCGCCGTTTACATTGACTGCTTTGAACAAAGCTTTGAAAATATCGTGGATAGGTATGGGTTGTTTTCTCTCTGTAGGATCTCCCTTCACAAGCACAGATTCCCAGAAGCACAGGAGATAGACCCAAGCACCCCATGGCTTTGGACACAGTCGGATAGTAAATGCGTAGGGAGATTGATTTCGGTAATACCTAAAATAGCGCACATATGCCAACCTGTTGGAGGCAGTGCCCAGGCGGAGCCAATTCACAATTTGCTAAACATTTGTATCACATACAAAATGTAAAAGAACTAAACTTCCCACTATCATGGACAGTATTGCCCAGGTGACAGTATCTCACGCACGTCTATCTAATCTTCAAACTCTCGAATGGTTCTCTTGTATACAAGGCATCCGGAGCCAATTCCCATACGAAATCATTTATATGGTGGATCAATCGTGTAGAGACAATCATCCCCCTCCTTTTCGTAAAGTTTCGTATCAATGACAACTGTGGAGAGGAAAATGGCTGGCTCCGTTTCGCTCGGGTTTTCGCTGCGGGTAACATGGACGGAGGCATCCTCTAACCAGCCCTCCTTTGCCACTTTGGTAAAGGGCTCGCCATCGTTTAGTCCACCTCGGTAAGCGCCACTGATAACGTATGAGGTGATCGGCGCATTTTTGTGGGTATGAGATGGAGTTGCGCCGTTTGGTGGAAGGACAGTGTAGATACCAACGATGGTCTTTTCTGGGATATCAGGTAGGATGTAGTGATACATGACCTTCGAATCCTCCCTGGGGCGACTTGGAGTTTCCCAATGTTAGTCATTCAATAGGTCGGTTTGAACAGAAGTATACATACCTAGGATCGTATACGTATCCCATTTTAGAGCAAGGTTTGTTAATTGATTTCGTTGTGGGTGGAAATACTTTAGATTCTGAATGAAAGATTATCGAATGCTCCCGAGGTCCTTTATAGCTCGCAGACCTGAAGTTTGACCCCCTTGCTTATGTACGTCGATTGTTCCAGCCTTATTCAACCCATGGATGGATAATGTTATGTTACAATGATGCGCTACTACATTCCCTGCTCAAATTGCGCATTCCTTGGCCGGGTGTAGCCACATATGACATATCGTCTGTCTTGAATATCAAACCCTAATTAGCAAGACGTAAATATATGGACTGATGTGTTTAGGTCACAATTACCTTGAGGGGCTACAAAGATGTACATTGATGTTTCAGGTTTATCATGCTTCACTGCTTAGTTGTCATTGCATATGTATATAGATACCAGGTATGATTACCGTGGAGGCTGCCTGAGGGTTTGTCATGTCTGCATGCATACATATGCACTAGATATGATTTAATGCTTAGATACACCAACTATATTCATCCATGGATTACGTGTAGACTATGTACGACTTTGTGTAATGTATCTGCAACCTATTCTGCAACCGGCTGGCTGAACTGTGGCCTAATAAGGTCAACAGAACAATTCAATATTGAATGCTCGAGCAATAATTCACACTCCGTACTCCGTACCTAGCTATCAATTATTCCTAGTGAATTTGTTCTAGAAACCGATTTTGTTTCTGAAAGTCAGTTAAACGGACTTGAATAGATGAAGCTTTCATTGGTGTAAGATCACACAAAAAAAATCCCTTAGAGGACCTGGCACTTTTGACCGATGATCAACCAAGTAACAGAAAAGTGGGTGTATGATTTCGGAGTATTTGCAATGACTCGCCATTATCCGTGCCGTCCCGACGAACCTAGTGTTGCCTCGTCCACTCTTCCTGGGTATGAGCGTGAAACAGGTTTTGGTTTTGGTTTCACAGCTTGAGATCCACTTTGGTATGGAAAGTCTAGATGAGAAAGAATTCAGGGTGCGCGAGCGATCTGGGAATGTTAATCACCGGCCCTACTATTTCTTTCTTTCTTTTTCTTTTTGGAGGGATCGACAAATTGGGTGGCAACGCCCTGCAGCACAGCTTTGGTCACATTTGTTTTGACCCCTAGAAGCAGAAATAGCTGGACCTGGATGGGGTGCATAAAGACGCTATCTTAAGCACGGAATAGATGATGTGCACTCGCTATACTTGTTGAAGTTCAAAGCTGCAGGCCAACTTTCCCAAGCTTATTGTCTTAGCACTCGATTGAAATCAATAAAGGCTTACATGCAAGCTTTTCCCAATTCAGATCAGGTCAGCTTTAAAGTCGCAGAAAGCCAGACTGATGGTTCTTTCCATCTCAAAGAACGCGAGGAATGATCCAGTCATTCCCAGTCTAACAACTTCAAATAGGCAATGCCAGGTAGGAATTGAGACGATAAAGCGGTTTTATTTCAAAACCACAAAAATCGACGACAGCTTACGACTCAAGGATCACCAGCTAGGCAATCTGCTGTGAACACACGGTCAGGTGACTCACTGTGTTTCCCGAGGCCCCAGATGGATCGCTTTCTGTCTTTCACTTCTTCGCCTCTCCCCCTTTCAGAGCAGAATTGCTCGTATTTTCCAGCCCAAACCTGCAGCTCCCATAGTCTCGCTTTTTATACTTGACATCATTCAACATTGGTTCAAGGCCTCAGGGCTGGAATTCTGGAAACCCTTCAGATGGGCCCACGGCCCAACTCAGCCCATAGCCCATTGACCAGGGGCCCCCAGGCCCCCTTAACGCCCATCCGGCATCAATACACTGACCTCTGTAATCGGTAAATTGGTGACTTCCAGCACGCTAATCTTCTTTGAACTTATAAGTAGAGCGCCACCATCTTTTAGTAGCCATCTGTGTTGTGACATGAGGCTGGTGCAGATCAGGAACCAAGCCGCACCGTCGGAATTAAGTCCGAGGTATCAATATGGACAACCCAAGTTGATTGGAAATCAACTTGGCTCATTGCTGTATATATAGGCTCATGTATCCCTCTGGAAGAATAACTCAATCCATATCTTTGAACTACAACAGGTTATGAGCCCGAGAGCATAATCTCGGGTGCCGTCTCTACTCATCTGAGAATCATCTCATCTACCTTGATTATATATCTACCCCGCTTTCGCAATCATCACTATGTCTGCTCTGGTCCATGACTCTCCTGACCGAGCCGTCACGGCCATCGAACCTCTGACGGGAAGCGATAACTTCGCGACCTGGAAACGTCTCATGACCTCCTACCTCAAAGCCAGGCAGGTCTGGGATGTCGTGTCGGGCGACCTTCAGGGTCCCGACTGTCTATTCAAGTACGCCAAACCTATTACGGCGGACATCCACCCCTTGGTGGAGCCCCACCTCAATGGGGCGGTGAGGCAGCGAGCCATTGAAGCGCGCCTCGAAGTGGAGGTCCAGGCATTCGAGCGCCACCGTGAATGGTCGCGCCGCGAAGCCGAGGCCTACCACACCATCTTCCGGTACCTGTCCCCCCACATCAGCATTCATGTCGCGGGACTAGAGACGTCTCGTGACCTCTGGAATGAACTTGAAGAACGGTACCGGCGTATGGAACTCGCCACCTTCTGCGAACTGTTTGCTCAACTTCGCGAGACAACCGGCGAACGATGCGCCAGTGCGCGTGATTTTGTTGATCGCGTACGGCTGCTCGTACATCGATTGAATGCCATCGCTCCAGGATCAATCGGTGACAAGACACATATTGCGATTCTGCTCACGCAGATCGGACCGGAATACATCCTGGTTGTGGATGCGATCCAGAATGACAAGGATCCGGTCAACCCGACCACGATCGGAAATCGGCTGTCCAACGCCGAGCAGACGGTCCGACGAAAGGAGTCTCCCGTGCCCCCGCAGGGAGTCCCAGGGCCGTCAATCAATGCAGTGCAGAGAAATCCCAAGAAATGTACCTACTGCAAGAAGCGCGGCCATGTGGTCGCGGAGTGCTGGAAGAAACAGCGCGAAACACACCCGCCTAGGGACTATGCCCTGAAGGCCGAACGGAGTGCTTCCGGCTCACCAAGAAACAACATGCATAATATACCGTCAAGCCAGAGAGAAGATCGGCAGGGCCCGCCGACTTCCAAGAGACCGAGGATCAATATCGTGAGGGCGAGGGTGACGACCCTCTATACCCACGCACCGCAACCCCGGTGGATCCTGGACTCGGCCGCCACCAGCCACATCTGCTGGGACCGGAGCTGCTTCAGCAGTCTGCGGCCCCACCGCGAGATGTTGGACACGGCGGGTGATCCAGTGGAAGCCGAAGGGATTGGTACGGTGAAGCTCACGCTCCGGGGGAAGTTCAACCAACCCCTGGTGTTAAAGAATGTATACTTCGCGCCACGCGTCGGGATGAACCTGATCAGCGTGCCGAAATTATTGCGAGACCGCTACTCGGTGGTGGCGCACCCGCAGAACGTCTTTGTGCAACGCCGAGGACGGACCGTGGGGACTGCCTACCATGCGGAGGAGGATCTGTTGATCCTGCGGTGCCATGTGAGCAGAAGATCTCGAGAGCGAGTCCAACTGGCGAGGGCGCCGGCGACCCGTGGCCATGCAGATTCCCTGGAACCGCAGGCGGTGGCCATGGACGTCGACGACCCTCAGGAGTCAAGTGACGCACAATGCGCAACGTCAACCTCTGAACTCGGTGGTGAAGCTGTGATACTCGAAGAAGATGCGTGCAAAGGAGTGGACCAGGCCTCCGAAGCGATGTGGCACGCTCGGATGGGACATCTGAACCGGGGAGACTTGAGGGTGGTCCTCCGGCAGACCGGCACTCCGTACCGACCGCTAACGCAGGCGCAGCTGCAGGCAACGCCGCAGTGCCCAGCGTGTATGTCGGGTAAGCAGCATCAGAAGAGGAACTCCCGTGCAAGACGGCCACGTCTGCATTCAACGAGAATCTTTGAAATGATCCATTCCGACATCATGGAGATGCCGATCGCCAAAGATGGCTCCAGGTACGTAATCACCTTTACTGACGATTATTCTCGTGGCTCGTGGGCATATGCCATGAGATGGAAGCATGAAGCGCTCCAGAAGTTCCGACAATTTGAGGCCTGGGTGCACCGACAGTTCGGCGCCCAGATCAAGAGATTCCTCACCGACAATGGGAGAGAATACCTGCCGATCGGAACACACCTCGAGACCCAGGGAGTTGAGTTTGACACCTCGCCGCCATACTGCAAAGGGCAGAATGGACTGGCGGAACGCACGAATCGCACTATCCGGGAGCGGATCAACACGCTCCTGTCTGATGCGAACCTTCCTCCTTCCTGGTGGACTGAGCTTTTAGAAACGGTGGTCTATCTGAAGTTGCGCGCGCCAGCATCAATTTTGCAGAAGAAGACCCCGTACGAAATCATTTACGGGAAGCCGCCCTCGTTGTTGCATCTGCGACGGATTGGCTCCTGCGCATGGGTGTTGATTCCCAAAGAGCATCGAGCAAAGCTCGGACCCAGGTCGTCCGAGTGCCGATTGCTAGGTTACTGTGAGCCGAACCAGTACAAATTGTATGAGATCCATTCCGGAAAGACCGTCTTTTCCCGTGATGTCGAGTTCGATGAGAGGACCCCTGTGGCGCCACTCATCGAGGGGGAATCAGGCAACGACCTCCCGGACAACGATCCTCCATCATCGGTCTTTCCGTCAGTACCTTCCTTGGCTAATGGGCTGCCGACACCGCCGGTATCGCCTTTGCCCTTATCATCCGAGCAAGACAAAACGCCGTCTCAGCATGGGGAGGAAATACCTCCACCGGTCAATCCAATTGAACAGGAAGCAGAGTCCACGCAGGACCTCGGCTATTCCGTCTATGGCCGCAGAAGACGACCTTCACGGCGTCTTCTAGAGTCATTAGGCAAGGTATACTCGACAGGCACATTGAATCCCGCACCGGCCAGGCAAGTCGACCCGGTGGCCTTTCGGGAAGCTGTGTCGGGTTCAGATCAGCTGGAATGGTGGGCTGCCATTCAGAAAGAATATGCGTCGCTTCTCGAACACGGAACATGGGAAAAGGTTCGACGAGAGGACGTTCCCGCCGGAGATCATGTGATTGGCTGCAAATGGGTCTTCAAGACTAAAGTCAACGGAACGCGCAAAGCGCGATTGGTGATCAAAGGATATCGGCAGAAACATGGCATCGACTATCACGAAACGTTTGCTGCTGTGTCACGAATGGACTCAGTCCGCTGCATCATTGCCAGCGCCGCATTACGCGGATGGAAGCTTCACCAATTCGACGCCGTCACGGCGTTCTTACACGGTGACGTGGACTCTTCCATCTACATGGAGTTGCCCGAAGGATTTGAAGAGCCAGGCTACGTATGCCGGCTTCGCCGCTCTTTGTATGGACTCAAACAGGCCCCGCGGATTTGGTACCAATGCGTCCACCGTGTGCTGGCCGCCCATGGCTTCACCATGGCAGAATCGGACAACTGCGTGTTCTACAAATCCGATTGCGTGGTCTGTGTCTATGTCGATGACTTTCTCATTACGGCAGCCAATTCGCACGAAATCAAACAAGTGCAACAAGCATTGGAGAAGGAGTTTCAATTGAACGACATTGGAACTCCGCGTTCATTCCTCGGAATCCAATTCGACTATCATGCCGACGGAGGTGTTTCTATTCACCAACACCAGTACATCCAAAAGATTCTGTCTGACTTTGGCATGGAAACCTGTCAGGCGAAGACTACCCCAATGAATCCCAAGCAAGTTTTGAATCATCATCCGGACGAAGCACCTCCAGACGAGGAAGCCAAAGCACGATTTGCAACCGCCATCGGTTCGTTGATGTATCTGATGGTTGGAACGCGACCGGACATCGCGTTTGCGCTGGGCACGTTGAGTCGCTTCACGTCTCAGCCGCAATCGCACCACCAGGTCGCCCTGCAGCGATTGCTTCGCTATGTCAAAGCCACACGAAACCATCGCATCACATACCGCAGCGGACAATTGATTGGATACACGGATGCCGACTTTGGCGGCTCTGTCGTCACTGATGGAGCCTACTCGACGTCCGGGTACGTATTCCAACTTGCGGGTGCGCCGGTCTCCTGGTCGTCCAAGAGACAGGGGGAAGTAGCCACGTCTACAACTCATGCCGAATACATCGGGCAATACAATGCCATTCTGCATTTGCAATGGCTCCGCACCTTTCTGGCCGAAACACAACTGTATCGGTCTCCAGTTACCAACATCATGGCTGACAACCAGTCCGCCATTGCCCTCTCGCGCAACCCCGAGTTCCACAAACGGACCAAACATTTCAACGTGAAATTCCATTATCAGCGAGCAGTGCTGAATGCTGGCGAGATAGGTCTTCAATATGTTCCTACTGAGGAACAAGCCGCTGACGGTCTCACCAAGCCGTTGGGACCTACGGCTTTTGTCAAGTTCTGTAGTCTTCTAGGAATCGAAGCCTTGGAGACTCAGAGGCAACAAACGTGACAGCGCAGGCGCTCTTTCCACTTTATTTTCCCACGAAGGTTTTTTAGTGGTTTTACCGAGGCTTGCCTGCACAGCGTTAATCCAGTATCGCCTTACCAACAAAGCGATCCTGAGGGGGAATGTTGTGACATGAGGCTGGTGCAGATCAGGAACCAAGCCGCACCGTCGGAATTAAGTCCGAGGTATCAATATGGACAACCCAAGTTGATTGGAAATCAACTTGGCTCATTGCTGTATATATAGGCTCATGTATCCCTCTGGAAGAATAACTCAATCCATATCTTTGAACTACAACAATCTGAAATTTCTTGAAATTTTTCGATCAACGCGTCTTTTCGCGTACTTGACCTTTTGATAGATAGACATGTTTTGTATCATTCTAAATTATTTCTGAATATTCAATATCACTTCGAGTACTCCGTACTAAGCTTTAAAACGGGGGTAAAACCAATTGTAATTTAAACCCTGGAAAGTCCCAAAAAGGAGGTTTGAAATTAGCGTGTTTGTGGGTTTGAAGCCCCATGGGCCCCCATGAAAGCCCAGTGGGCTTCCACCGATGGGCCCGAGGACAGGGCCCAAACCCCAACCCATTTTTTGGTTGATGTTGGAGATCATGGGGTTTGGCCATGTGGTATGGTCTCCCAGTATTTTAGATCTTCTCTCCTCTCTCTCTCTCTCTCTCTCTCTCTTACTTCTCTTCTTCATGCATCATACGATCTGTTTACGTGCATATTGCCCTTATTCTTAGATCGTATTTCCATAGTTGAATTGGGCTGGGCTATGGGCTTTGTACCTAGGTTGGTGCGGAAGTCTGCTGGGGGAAAGCGGGCCGTGATGGGGCTCTTCGATGCATTTTATCTTCGTGACAATACTCAAATGTCAGGCTGACCGGCTTCTGTATTAAGTAAGAATCTTGGAATTCACATCAATCTCCAGGGCTATTATCAATTTTTTCTTGCACTCCATAGACCAAGGGACACCTGAAGATGTTGGAGGTCAGGTGGTCAGGTGACCCTGCGGCGACAGGGCAGACCGGGCTAGATAGATCGCGGAGCTCTCTCTCCCTTCCTCTCTCTTCTTTTCCCGTCCTTCTTTGTCTAGCGAATCGATCTTGAAGCTATTCACTACGCTCTACCTTCGTAGATCGCTCCGCTATCAGAAGACAATCTATGGTTTCATAGCTGGTCTCCTCTGTGACTCTTCCAATCGAACCTTGGAATCAAGCCAGGAGGAGCTTGGTCACTTTGCTGCAAGGGAAGTGCGGGAATGTAATCCGAGAAACACCATTCTGTATGGCCCTAAGAAATGTTGCAAATCTCATCTAGACTAATTTCTTCCTGGCGCCGACGAACCATAATTTCCATCTCAGGATCCGCCTGAACAATACCTCCATGTCGCCTTTGTTTAGGTACCGAGCCTTCCGGTAGCTTGAAGTCATACTTCACCAGAATATGGCACAGTGCAACCTTGATGGTATTAGAAGCCATGAATCGACCGGGGCATGCGTGAAGTCCAAGACCGAATCCCATATGCTCAGCTGCAGGCACTATCAACTGTGCACGAGTTTCATTCCCAGCAACTTGGCGCTGCTTGAGGAACCGATAGGGATCAAAGGTTTCAGGGCTCTCATAAAATTTCGCGTCCCGCATCCAATCAACAGGAACATAAAGTGATGTCCCCTTGACAATCTTCGTTCCATCCTGCAGTACAACGTCTTCTTCTGCCATTCGTCTCAATGCAGCTAGAAAAAATGAGTAATCGCGAAATTCCAGTGGTAGACGATTTCTCACCAATATTGAGTGGCTTTAACCGTTGAGATTCCTTCAAGAAGCTATCCATCAAATGTAGCTTGTTAAGTGAAGTTTTCTTCCATCCTTCCTGGGATAGCACTGTAATCACTTCCTCTCGTAGTTCCTTGATGAGGTCTTCCTTGCCACATAGATCGAATACTGCCTGTGTAATCATATCCGATGTAGTGTGTAAAGAGAAGGTAGATAAGATCAACTGAGTCGCTGTAGGGTCATAGAGCTCTCCTTGGGACGCCTGCTCCATCCATTCTAAAGCGTCATTATAGACTGGTGGTGATTTGCCCTCCAGTCTGGCGGCTTCTTTGGATATTTCTCTCTCTTTCAACACTGGCTCGATGATATCCCGCGCCTTCTGAAACTGTCGTTGCATCTCCCGGGTAGAGCCTAAAATCCGCACTAAGATTGGGTGTAAAATGCTTGGCCAGTCTGGAAGCTCTTCTGCTGCTCTAAACGAGCTTGTTGTGTAGTCAGTCGCGACACGAAGCCAATCAGGATTTCGACAAATCTTTTCGCCTAAGAAGACCCTTGACGACTGTTGGGCTATCTGTTTGAGAAGGCTAGGCGCAAGAGGGAAGCTGTGCCAATCTATATTTGTCATTATTGCAATATCCAATTAGAGCTCTGAGGATTCATGCTTACCAGGGTTATTTGTCCAATTCTTCTCCAGGGCCAGTGATGCCTCCTCGGCAACAGGTTTTGTCACCGTTCCTGAATTGAACTTTAGAGCGGGATATTATGATTTTGCTGAAAGTGTACCAACCGAGTGCTTGTGTCATCTTCTTCCTCACAAGGCCTTGAAACACACGTGCGCCAGCGTAGGCGAACGGATCAAACCCTTTAAGGTGAGCATATAGTTCGTGTTCAATTACCCTATCCAGACTTAATGCTTTGTGGTTCCCGATTTCGACGGCGTATTTAGGCGAAAAGATTGTCAGATAACCTTTATCACCCATGATTCGAAATGAATCGGCCTGAGTTTGTGCGGTTATCATCAGCCCGGGATTCCTGGTCACGATTCCAATTAAAGAAATCACCATACTTTAGCCAACCCCGCTTTCACCATGGCCGGGGAATCGTCCACCCATTTTTTGATGTCTTCAGCTTTTGCCGCTGATATACGTTGTTGCCACAAAATGATATAGTAAAGACCCGACAGTAATGCAGAGACAAAGTACAGAGCTTTCAGTGAAACCAACGAGCCAGACCATGGCAAATCATCAAGACTGGCGATCATAGTGTCGGCGCTCGATTGATTGGTAACGTTTGGAATGGTCAAAACGGGGGGCCAGGTGTAGGAGCTTTTAGATTTGACGGCTTATAATTAGCACTGCTGCTATTTAAACGTGACCGGAAACATCCCGAGAGTCTCGTGTTGTCGATTCTCTAGGTGAACTACCTACGTGACAGAGCTAGTCCAAGACATATGCAAGGCAATGAACACTCCATGGTTATCGAGATGGTCATGTTATTGTAAGGGTAAAATATATATCAAATAATTTACGCAAAACCGTATTAACTGACAAGATGATCTTGTACCATGTATCACACGAAATGAAGAATCGAGCTGGGGGTGTATTTATTACGAGGCTTATTATTTCTATCAATAAAACCAGGGGTCCAAAGGTGTGTCGCTCAACATGTTGACAAATGTTTGAGATATGACCATGTCATGCAGTGACACCCGAGTTGACTTTCCTTAACAAATGAGATAAAAGCTATAAAATCACTGTGGATTTACTCTCTCCTGCCCAGGGGTGACCCGAGCACTCGGCTGAACATTCTGTTTTCCATGGTTCTAGGCTTTCATTTCCCCTCTCCTTTCTTGGACGCATACTGTGCTTGCGGCCTTTATGGCTGCTGATCTCGTTGTTTCCTGGTCTATGATAGGTACCACAGAGGCCCGAGGCCCTCTTTTTCTGCAGCTGAAAGACCATTGCGTCGCAATGAGTAGCGAAAAGCAGTATAGCTCACATGCATGTATGAATCAGACCCAGGCTGAGTCGCATACTCGGCCATGGCATGTATACTCCGTACAGCTGGCAATTAGAATTTGGGTGGAGTCGAGTATATTAACATAAAAGTCTCGGGGGCCGTTCTACCCGCCAGTCATATGCACGATGAATCGGCAAATCCAATACGATACTTCGTACCCGGCTGGGATTACGTTACCAAATCACAAAGCGCTGAAATTTACTTCCAAGGTTTGCGTAAGGCCTTGTAATTGTGCACGGCCCTCACGTCTCCTTTAATGACGTGATTGTGCGTGTGCATGGAAGTGGTGTAACAATCCTTGATTACACAGTACACAGCCAGCCACAACCCCGGGGCCGGCCTAGCAGCTGGTGTGACTTAATGTATCGCATTTAGCGGTCAAAACGAGATGCGCCCTCGAACAGCGAAATGAGTCTGACTCTCACCTTTCCCCGCTTTGCCGCGTTTCGAATCCATATCGGTCATACCGAGAATTGCTTCGCCCACTTCAGCAAGGATCGATTCCAAGGTGTTTGAGGTCGGTGCTACCTGTTGAAGCTATGAAGTTCTTTCAACTCCTTTTGTTATCCCTGCCCGATGGCTCTATGTCGTTAATATCCATATCTTGTTAGACTCAACTCGAGTATGGCGCCTCAAGTCTTCGTGTATATCACCCCAACACAAAGCTGAAGAGTTTTCCCTGATAATCTCTTTAGCACTGGTGCCACTGGTTATATTGGTGGGGACTGGCTCTTCGCCGCCGCCAACGCCCACCCAGACTGGGAGCTCTCGGCTCTCGTGCGTAGCAAAGACAAGGCAGCTGTGCTATCCAATCAGTACCCCAAGATCCGTGTCGTACATGGTGACCTAGACTCCTATGATATTCTTGAGGAGGAGGTGGGAAAGGCAGATATCGTCTTCCGTGGGTTTTCTTCAACCTTCAAACTCCAGATTCACATTGTCCAGGACTGATCAATTGTTTTCAGACTTCGCCGATTGCGACCATGTTCCTGCTGCAGAGGCCATCGCTCGAGGCGCGAGACAGCATACCCCCGAGCGCCCCTTATGGCTGATTCATACCTCTGGAACCGGGTTGTTGGCCTTTGAAGACATACGCGCACAAACATATGGTATCGAGCGCCCCAAGGTGTATAACGACTGGGAAGGCATAGATGAGCTCATGGGCTTCCCTTCGGATGCATCTCACCGTGATGTGGACGAAGTCATCATCAAAACGGGCAAAGACATGCCTACCAGTGTTCGCACTGCCATCGTCTGTCCCCCGACCATATACGGGCTTGGTCGCGGGCCGGTCGGCAAGAGGAGTATCCAGGTCCCCATCATGGCTGATGCCGTCCTCAAGCGCGGTAAAGGCTTCATGGTCGGAGGGGGCGAAAATATCTGGCATCAAGTCCATGTGCATGATCTGAGCAACGTCTACCTACTTCTAGGTGAGGCTGCTGCTGAGGGTGGAGGTAGGGCGACGTGGAACGACAAGGGGTACTACCTTGCTGAAAATGGACCTTTCGCTTGGGGTGATATCTGTCGTGCGTTAGCGCAAGAGGCTTTTGATAAGGGGTATATCAAGACTCCTGAAGTCGAGTCGTTGGATAGTGATCAAACCACGGAGATCTTGCGCATGGGTCGGGTTGCGTGGGGTTCAAATTCTCGTGGCACTGCTATTCGTGCAAGGAGGCTGCTTGGTTGGGAGGCTAAGGAGCCCAAGCTAACTGAGGTGCTCCCGCATCTTGTCGAGCTGGAGGCGAGGGGAATTGGGCTGTAACGGAAACCCTGCCTTTCATGTTAGCAAGAATTATCCTCAAATTTACTTCCATTTCAGATAATATTGGGACTTGGGGTCCTCTCTCTCTCTCTCTCTCTCTCTCTCTGTCTCTCACAACCACTCTGTAGAAAAATAATTGTGCTAATTCCAAATCCTATTGGAGCTGGATGCCAAGAGATTTCAATATAAGAAAAACCCCTTGCCGGCAAACAGCAATTGTCGATGTTGTCCAAGTGCGAGGCTTGCAGTACGGAGTACGGAATAGCAAGCTCTTGGTATCTAGGTATCGGCAGATGAGGCAAACATGCCGAGGCAGGTTAAAATGCGGATAGGGGCGTGAATTGTGGACCCCCGTGCCGTGCCGCAACATTGGCATTCCGACGGCTCCGTAATGTAAAACTCTTGCAGGCTAGGGAGTATGAACTGCCGATGAAATAATCTGCATAATGAGCTCATAGTCTTAGTCTTGAATGTGATAATTCCTTTTTGCCTGAGGCATTTAATCTGTGCAAGACGTCAGCCGTTGTCGTGATTCTCGTGATTCTCGTGAAGGTACGGCGGTAGTTCCCTAGAGTAATAATCTGAGACATGGTTTATTCAGATGAATGCAACGGAATAAACTAGACAGTCTATGTCTCACCTTGCTATGGAATTGAATGACGATCCCAGAGCCATGTTCGCATCTAGATTCGCATGTCGAAGTCATTCCGCTCAGCCGCTTCTCCGAGTACGACGCTTGTGAACCCTACTCCGCTTTTATGTTCTGTGATGGGTACTACGCCCGAGAAACTCACTAGAATGCATAGACTCTCCTTGCTTACTGAGATGAGTATGAAAGCGTCATGACTGTCAGGTCGATCCCCCAGTTCATCCCTAAGAGCTTGACCAACGGAGACCGGCATAGATGGAATTGTCAATGACGTAGAATTGACCCCGTACATTGAAGGGACCCATCTGTGGTGATTGGACTTTGAGCGGATGCTACGATGTACTTTCTTCCTCTAGATCTACCTCTCGATCTATGGATCGTTTTGCCGGCGAAAGATCTGAGAGGTGGGGAGCTCTACTCCGTACAGGAATCTAGAGTTCTGTGGATCTCACCGAGTCTCTTTGACCCACTATTTGTCAGGGCCCAGTATCCAGTTTCCTGACCAATATGCCTCAGCATCTTTCATGGTCTCCTTGTGTTGTAGCTGTAGCGTTCGTGCGTCATCGAATCGGTAGCAGGCAGGAAGGTATAACAAATGTCCAAATCTATGCGTTCCTTGGTGAGAACTGAACTGATAAGATGCTGTTGGTAAATTGTGGATGAATGCGGATCTTACGTTTTTGGATACCCAATGCCTGATATGAGGCACCGTAGTGCACCGCAGAGGAGCCGAGAGAAAAGTGGGTCCCACAACATTAGATCGGAACCGCGAACTTAATCTTGTACCAAAGTTTATTTTCTGGAGATGGAAGTATACTGGCTTTCAACTCTCTTTCCCGAATTTCAATTTTCCATCTCATTCATGAAGATAACGGCTGTCTCAGGAGCTGGTGCTAACGTCATAGAGAGCGTTGAGATGCATTGACGATAATCTCGAGAGTTTTTGAACCTTGGGTGATTGACAGTCTCTGTGTCATACTCAGAAAGCCAATTCATTCGAGATGTCACAAATGGCAGATTGAAATGATATTTAACAGAGGGAGCAGATACCCGTCAGGTGGGCTAACATTCGCAGTTTGAGCACGAATTATCGGCATTGGTTCATTATCAAATTCACGATGATGGGACTCAATATCCTACGTTCGATCCTGGCATGCTTTGCCATTTACCAAATTGCCTCTGGCAGCAGCTTGAACTACTCCTTTGAACAAAATGTCACTTCTCATACCGGATACAAAGGCGCAGTTTCATCCGAAAGCGAGGTGTGTAGCCATGCAGGAACTGCGATGATGCTGCAAGGCGGCAATGCTGCCGATTCAGTAAGTCTAATCAATGACACTAGGTAAATTCTAATAGTGGATCTGACTCAAATCATAGATTGTTGCCACCGCCCTTTGCGTTGGAGTCGTTGGTGAGCCTTGCCAAAAGCCATCCTCAGTCACAAGCCGGCTGACACCTTCAAGGACTCTATAACAGTGGTATCCATGGTGGTGGATTTGCCCTCATTCGGTTGCCAAACAATACTTACAGTATGATCGACTTCCGGGAGCAGGCGCCCGGCTCTGCAAGTGAGAACATGTTTGTGGACAACCCATGGGGCTCAATGATTGGAGCCAATGCATCGTAAGCACTGAATGATCTCTTGGCTATCAAAGTATCCTGACACCCCGAAAGAGCAGTCCCTGGACAACTACGTGGTTTGGATCACATCTTGAGAAAGTACGGTACCATGGATTGGCCCACAGTCACAGCACCAGCCATCGAAGTGGCCGAGAAAGGATTTTTATTCGGGCATGATATCCAATTCCTGATAGACTGGACCAAGGAAAACATGAAGCCTACTGATAATGTCACCAATTTCTGGTTCGATGATGAAGCCTGGAAGCCCGACTTTGCCCCGAAAGGAATCCCCCTGCATCAGAATGACACCATCAAACGGCTCAGATACGCCAGAACTCTGCAAAGGATTGCGGAGACCAACACGACCGACTTTTACGAGGGTGATATTGCAAAAAGCATGGTGAAAACCATCAAAGATGCTGGAGGTAATCTGACCATGAAGGATCTCAAGGACTATTCCATTGTCGAACGAAAGCCCAGACAGATCGAATACCGGGGATATAACGTGACGAGCACTGTCGCTCCCAGCAGTGGAACTGTCGTACTCAACATCCTCGGAGTTCTCAATCACTATGATGATTTCTTCAAAAACAGCACCCATCTTAGCACTCATCGAATGGTTGAGGCCATGAAGTTCGGATATGCTTACGTATGTCCTGATTTCCACAGATCGATTTACTATACTGACATGCATCCAGCGGAATTCTTTTGGCGATCCCAAGTTCACCCCCAATATCACTACTCTCGAGAGCACCATGTTGTCCGCCAAAAGAACCAAGCTCATTCGTGACAACATCAGTGATAATTCAGCTCACTGCAACGTGAGCGTGTACAATCCCGATCATAAGTACACTCCGCAGTCGTGAGTTATGCCTTTTCTTTCCATTCTACAGTCATCCTTGATTCAAAGAACTGGTTTCAGGGACTGTCTAACCATTGTTACAGAGTGGGAACATCTCATATGGTCTCAGCCGACAAATCAGGTCTCACCATCTCCCTTACAACAACGGTCAATCTTCCCTTCGGCAGCCAGATCATGGACCCAAGAACCGGAATTGTCATGAACTCACAGATGGATGGTACGAAATCAGGCCTTTTTGCTTTCAGTGATCAATTCTAACAGTAACAGATTTCTCCACTCCAAACACCACCAATGAAAAGGGCTTCATAGCAAACCCAAACAACTTCATCGCACCAAGAAAACGCCCTCTGTCATCGATTGCGCCTGTCATTGTCACACGTCCCGATGGTACAGTTGCTTACGTGACTGGAGCTGCTGGCGGGTCTCACATTCCTTCCGCGGTCCTCCAGTCGGTGATATATGCACTAGACCAGAATCTTTCCCCCAAGGATGCTTTGGCTGGTCCACGCCTGCATAATCAGCTGAGTCCGAACTTTGTTGAGGCCCCTCACGCATACAATAACGAGACAGTCTATTATCTGCAAGAAAAAGAGCATTCGGTCGAAAGACTTGATATCCAAAGTTGGGCACAAGCAATCTCCCGAGCCCAGGATGGCAAATTTACGGCTGCGTCGGAGCCGTTCCAGGAGCAGTCTGATGCTTTCGCAATCTGATTCACTGGCATCAATTTGTGACTATTTAATATCTAATGAACATCGGATATGTTGGGAAGAGGGGGATATTTCCAAGGTTGGAATATCAATAGCTGAGTCTGGAATCTTGGGAGTAATGTTCGATGATTGAAAAAATATATAAATGTAAAAAAAAACTAGAAAAACAAAAAAACCCAATGAATGGATATTCTGATCGCAGTTGACAAGTTGGAACATAGCTTTCTGAGTCAAATGTAACAGCTGATCCCGAGGTGTCTACGGAGTGAGAAAGAGTACCACGACATAATTGAGACCTCGGTACCAACCCGATTTTACCTAAACAATCAAAACAAGATCCAGAGTTAACTCAAAAGACATGAATCATACAATCATACAAAGCACATCCATTTGAACAAAAGCAAGCCCTGAAGGACGGAAACAGAATCGGCGAAGAGACAAAGAAAATCGCGTTACTAAGATGCATTCCGGCACCATGGATCCAGGTTGTTACTAGTGTTAACCCTTGCGACGTTAGTCATGATTACAAATTGTTTCTGGGCACAAGAATGCGAGAGTGACATGGTTGCATGCTCTACCTTTCTTTCTCTATGCACCTAACACATCCCGTATCTATGCCCGCGGGCCCCGAGGGATCAATTGATGCATGGGAGAATTGTAATAATAGTGGGTACTTATGTTGGTTCCAAGGGTCCCTAAACTTAACATGGCATATACTACCATGGGAAATTTCGGCGTGCTCATGATAGTCTACTGGAGATCAAGCCCTGGAGATCCACAAGTACTACATAGATTTGTGCCCGAAAGCTGGGCGCCCTCTTCTCTGCCCTTTCACTGGCCCATTCTCGTACTAGATGCATATGAATGAACATATATGACGTAAGGAAGCGGGGTACCCAGTCCTTGCCAAGATGGTTGAATGCGTCTCAGGTGAACATATGATATATCAGCGGAGTGATACATAAGAGGCTTGGAGGCCCCAGTCCTTTGCCCTGAGCTGTGCCCAGGTGAACGACATTGATCAAAATTTTTGCCCTTTGATAGCCACTATGCCTGTTATTGGAGTCGCCGGTGCGTCTGGAGGTGTTGGGAAGGCGATTGTCGAGAGACTGGCCAAAGAGCCGAACTTCCAGGTTATCGCTTTTTCTCGCAGTGTGAGGGTACTCCGTGATATTCAGGGCGAGAATTGCTGCTAACATCTAGGTTTGATAAGAAACCATCATCGAGCCCTCCACTACAAAACGTTCAGTCTGTGCAACTCGACTACAACGATGTCCCTTCGATGGCAAAAACACTTGAGGAACTCAACGTCCATTCAATCATATCGACCATTGTCCTCGTCTCTGAGGACGCGAGTCAATCTCAACAGAATCTGATCGATGCCGCCGGAGCTTCGGCAGCGACCAAAAGATTCATTCCGAGTGAATTCCTCTTCATTCAACCATCTTCGTAAGGAGCTGCACTTTTCTTCACACTTTCCCTTCCCACTTCCCCTTTGAAGCCTTCAAATTCAATTAGTACTCTGCTAATCATCGATTTTTCTTAGTCCCCCCTACGTGGATTCCGTTGTGCACATGTGGATTGCCTCGATAGACCGAATCAAGAAAAACAACCTGGAGTACACCCGTATTGTCAATGGACTTTTCATGGACTATTGGGGCATACCTAATATATCCACCTCCCTGATTCCCATCACCTTCGGAATAAACATCGCCAAGCGTGAAGCAGTCATCCCCGGTGATGGAAACAACAAGATCTGCATCACTCTTTTGGCTGATATGACCAACTACCTGGCTGCACTCCTTAATGAAAAGGAATGGCCTGAATTCAGCGTGTTTGTGGGAGATGAACTATCCTACAACGAGATGGTGAAGATCGCTGAAGAAGTGACAGGTATGTACTCAAGCATTAGAGTTCATTATTCAGAAAATTGGAAGGCTCACTTTTGTTTTCTCTTATAGGTGACAAATTCAAGGTGACGTACAACAGTATTGAGGAGCTCAACTCAAACAAGGTCATCATTCCGCCTATGCCTGAAACAACCTATACACCGGAGGAGCAGGTAGCAATCACTGCGCAGGTCGCTAAACTTGTTGCACATGGTGTTTTGGATTTCCCGAAGGATAATAGGTCCAATGACCGCTTCCCCGAGCTGAAACCTATCAAGTACAGAGAGTTCTTGCTAAAATATGCGACTCGCAAGGCATGATTTGACTCGAATGAGGATGGCATTCCAAGTCTCCACCGCTTTGGTTAGACTTTTTCTAGATACATTTTTAAATGTGACTGACGGCTTGATATTCAAAACTTGAACGTTCAACCCCTGGAACCTATAGGGAATGAGCATGTCCACAATATAGAGAAACTGTGTATGGAAATAGATTGTAGATCGAACATTTCGGGACAAAAAAGAACATGGGAGCACAACTCAACGAGTCGTTTAAGACTACCTCGAGGTCCCGACGCCTCTTTCAAATATCGATCGATGTGACCCACACGAGTATAGGTAAATGGCCTAAAATCTATATTACGAGCGTATACTCCGTTTCTATAGAGCAAATCAAGAGTAATACGTAGCTTAACGCCAACTATGCCACTAATGCACAGATGTGTCCATGAATGTTTTGACCATCGGAGCTGTTTACCTTCAAAAACGTCAGCTGAAAGTAAAGCTATTCAGACAAGGGAGTCGACAGAAACAAAAGCGCAATGAAACAAAAGGTAGCCCCATAATAAATCAAGGGGATTGTTATATAAACACCCCCTTTGAATAATGAAACACCCCTCCTCCCCCATCTTCCGCCTCCCCCTAGTCACCCCCGGGGGACACCTCCCGGGCCACCGTCTTGGAGGCGGGTGACTTTCCACCCGGCTTCTTTGGGGACTTCGAAACGCGCCACAGGCGCACCCCATCATCTATCCCAGATCCACCAGGGGATTTGTGACCCCTGCCCTGTTTGAGCATCGACAACCGCAGCCGCTGCATACCCGGCTCCACGGTAGAAACTTCGGCCACCGGGGGCCGCTGAAGCGGGCTTAGACCCCGGCGCGGGGTAGCCGGGCGACCCTTCCGACGGGTCGCACCCACCGAGGGAGACAGAAGGAGAGACAGAAGGAGAGACAGAAGGCGGGTGCCGCCCACACCTTTTTGAGCTCCCACCCACAGTGCCCCACTTTGCTTCCTAATCGGGACTACCTACATTCACTCTCCCGCCCCTTCATTATTGCGCCGGTTTTTGTTTTACATCCTTTTCTTCCATCCCCACCATCCTGCCACGCGCAAGCTCTTTTGCCACAGTTGTTATCAGGCCCCGTTTCGGTGATCCTTCGGTAATGCTCTAGAGGGGAGCTACAAGAGGAACTGAAGGATTTGTCAGATGGCGATCTGAGATTGCGATCGATCGAGAATGGTGGTCTACACAGAATCGTTTTGGAGACCCAGATATGTAACTTGATGGATTTCCGGGATGTAAAGGATGATGGGTGGACGAAAATTGCACATGGCAATTGTGCCCCAAAATATCTGCATGGTAAAATATCGCATGGTGCCCGAAAACCATGGTTGGAAGCCAATCCTCATGGTTCCGAGTCTATGCCAACATGTCTGTAGCACAGCAGTTTTCGAAAACGGTCTCATGATATTTCCCACGCTCGGGCTCACTTGCTCTCAAAAGCGCAATTGGCCATCTCCTTCTTGACAACATCGGCCTCCGGTCGAATATCGAAATCGAAGATATCCATTGGCACCGAAAGTGTGGTACAAGTATTCGGAATGTCCACGATTCCCGCAATATGTCCCTGTACTGGTGCACAACTGAGCAAAATATAGATTTGATAATCACTGTACCCATAGCGCCGAAGGTACTCAATTACCCGCAGACAAGCTTGTCTGTACGCGACTGTTGTATCCAAGAAATGCTGTTTACCATGCTCATCGACCGAGAATCCTTCAAACGTCAGGTATCTCCCAGAACCAAATTGTGGCTCCACTGGGCCTGCATGGAAGATAGGAGACTTCATATCCAGCTTCGCCACGCCATTTTTGATGACTGTGAACTTGAGGGTGATCACACCGGACATCTCGATTCCACCACAGAATGAGACTTCGCCATCGCCCTGAGAGAAGTGCAGGTCACCGACAGAGAACTTTGCTCCAGGGACGTGGACAGGGAGATAGATCTTTGATCCACGTGAGAGGTTCTTGATATCGCAGTTGCCGCCGTTCTCGGGTCGTCCCTAAATAGAATCAGCACGCTGATTTCTGCGAGGGCAGAAGCAACAATACTGACAGGAATAGTCCTGGCGCCCTCCTTGGCGATTCTACTCTGCACATCTCCCGCAGCATTTCCACCATGAGCATTCGTTGGGTTAGGTGGCTGGGCGACGATCTGATCCGCGACAGTGTTGGCTGCAATGAGTTCGCCCTCACGGCGATTCCATTCCGCCAAAATCTCTGCGGAAGGGGCACAGCCCAATATGCCAGGGTGAATCAGTCCGGCAAAGCGCACGTGCGGGATGTGTCGAGACGAGCAAAAGATGCCCTCGAAATCCCAGATAGCTTTGGCTCTAAGAAGATGATCAGGAATGGAAAGGAGGGAATGCAAGGAATGCCTACGTCTCGGGGTAGATTTGATCGAGGAAACCACCTCCATTCTCTTTGTGAAAAACACCAGAGTATCCCCATGGTTGATCTTCAAATGGCTGGACATCTTGTATCTCGACGAGCAAAACATCACCAGGCTCTGCAGTCTCGATGTCGAAGGGACCGGAGAGATAGTGAATCTGAGTCAGGTCTACGTTCCTGAGGTCGTCGGCGGAATCGTTGTTACCGATTTGCCCTCCGGTCCAATCAAGACACTCGATCTTGACAACTTCATTGTTGGCAATCTTCCCGACAGCCGGCACTAGAATTCATCAATTTCCGTTCGCGCCCAGTCTCATCGCTCATGGAGCCGCCATACCTTCAGGATGCCATCTGTTCTATAAGACAAAGACAAGTCAGAAACTCTGCATAGAGGGCAGATGGGCAGTTCAGCACATACATGTAAGCCGAGCTGTTCACGAGCTGGCTTGTCGAGGTCAACCTTCAGAGCAGTCCGGATACCCTTGATACCCATGTTGATGCGATCCTTTGAGAAATTTCTGATAGAGAAATGCAACTGGGCGAGGTAAGAGTGAGCGTTCAGAATGCAGCAATCATCTCACAACTCCGAGCCCCGGGGGTGACACGGCTATATCTCCAGAGTTGCCTCGTAACCCCCTCATGATAACGCCCTACCCCGCATACACGGTCCATTCAGGTGTCGGCATGAATAATAGACACAACCTGCAATTGGAGAATCTGCTTATCATTTCTTTATCTCATGTAGTTTGGGTCTGATAAAGGTAAGTGGAGCCACCCATTCACCCGTTCGGAGTGCCCATTTACAGATTGCATGCAAATCCCGAATCACCGTAGCTGCAAATTTGTAGCGCAACAGCAAAATTGTATAATAAGCGGTTTGAGATACACAAAAGAGTTCTATGGCGAATATGTGGATTACAAAAGTCAAAAATTTTGCAATGCAACCTGTGATGCCGATTGCCGTTGCGACGACATTTCAGGAAAATTTTTTTCCAGGCGAGGGAGGCTCGGTACGGGACTGCTTTGATTCGACGTTGAATTTGTCGAGGTTGTCAAGAGACAAACGCAGGAAGTCATGCTTGTTAGCCCAGGTCACCTGGCTTTCGGCGAAGCCCTCACTTTCAGCAGGAGGTGGAGGCGGGTCAGTGATCTTGGTGACAAGGTATGCCGTAGAAGCCTGTGCGACACCATACATAAGGACGCCGATGTAGGGAACACGCAGGGCAACCGTGAAGGCGAAAGCAAAGCCAAAGAGCACACCTTCGCGATCCCGGAACCATCTGCGCTTTTGCTCGGGCGTGAATCGAACACGTGAGAAATATGGCTCAAGCTAAAAGGCATTAGGACTGCTTTTGCGGCTGCGGAGGAGTCACACTTACAAGTTCACGCATCAGACTGCGGGAAGAGAAGTAAGTGTGTAGGAATGTCACGATATAATACTTCGGGAGAATAAGACCTGCGCCAAAAATGGCAGCAGCCGGAACAGTGCCCACGTGGTTCCGGAAGGTGTAGAAACTTGCTGCGGGCATGACAAACCTACCAACGATGATAACCATAGACAGCAGGTAGAGCCCAAGCATCATGCCAATTTTCTTTGCGTAGCGATTGAAGAATGCCATCAGTGCTTCCGGAATAGGGCGAGAACGGTCGGAGCCACCCTTGTTGGAGTACTGAGTAAGTTGGGGGTAATACATGGCTCGAAGTTGATTAGGATCTTCTGATTTATGCTTCTGGACGTAGGTCATGTCCACCCATTGAATCGATTGCATGAATCTGAGATTGTGATTAGAGGTAGCCTTGATGAATTTGAGGCAAAGAGAAGGACATACATCTCATCCAATGTGGGAGTCACATATCTCATGAGAGTCATGAGCATGAAAGGTACTTGGAGGACTGACTTGGACATGAACTCCAGGCCGTTGAGAAGCTTGTCGTCCCACAGAGCATTTTCTAGATTGACAACCCATGATAATGTCCAGATGGAGAATTTGACGCTCAAGATCTGGTATGAAAGTCAGCCCCCACTCTGAACAGGACACACGGGTTCGAAGTTACCGGAATCTGGATGATCAACTGGATGATTATCCCAACACCGATAGCAAGAGCTGCTTGGCGGAAATGATCATATTTGAAAAGTTCCGGGTTGGTTAAGGCACGGACCGCTGTGAATATGTTAGCAGCTGAAGGCTAGAAAGAAGCTCGACCATCAAAGTTCCATTCCCTGGCCAGTAGCAGCGAGTGGCTGGAGAGATCCGGTACAAAGGGTTCTTTGACCCGAGGCTTGGCAGAAGCCGTACTGGCACAAGACACATAGAAGTCTCCACGATTTTGCTGAAATCAGGAATGCAACTGCTGCCAGGAATGACTTCGAGGTCTGTAGAGGGGCAGTGTTTGCATGGGAAAACATACTTCCTACCACGGTGAGCTGGAAGCCGCGGATTACGGCGTTAGGCTCGAAGTTCGACATCGTGGATGTCTTTCAAGGATCTTGGAAGACCGAGTCGCAAACGATGCCAAGAGAGAAGATTCAAGCCCAAGGAGCTAGCAACAAGGCATTCCTGAAGGTGAAACCGAAATAACTGTGGATGCCTAGCCATTTGAAGCTGCGTCATGGTCACCTGACTGAGGCCTGAGGCCGAAGTGCGTCTCCCCGCGCAAAACACAGCCGCAGATAAGCCGCGTCTCCTGCATCGGACCAGGCACTTGCATTACGTTTGTACAAACATGTCCTTTTAGTATCTATACTCTCCTTTATCTTATTGATCGCATCCATGAACCATGCCTGAGTCTCCAAGCGAGCTAGGTCAGAAACACTCCCTCCGTCGCTCCGTCACCCTTCCCGTCAAGTTAAATCCACTCACTCAGCGTCGCGCGAGTGTGCCGAATACCCCGGAGCATGTAATTTATTATCACCCGACGGCAAAAATCGTTCATTTCGCCCCGAGAGCGCTCGCTCCTATTCCATCCAGCTCTGCGCCGTCTGACTTCGACTACCCCGTTGACACCATCGAAACACTCCCATGGCGCTCTGCGACAGAGCGAACGGTCGCAACAGCGCCACTGCGGCTGGAGAAGGTCCACGGCTCAACGGCCTTCCTGAAGTGCGGCAATGTTGTCCACGCTATTCTGAAGAACTCCCAGTGCTGGTGTGTTGATGGGGTTTCGAAATTTGTTCTGCGCATTCGACCGCTCACATATTATCGCATCGAAATACCATACGAGACGGCAGAGGATCAAAGTTCAGTACAGGAACTCAAGATCGCGCTACCAACCGTGCTTCGCTATGAAGTCACGCCTTGCCCTTTTAAACGCGCTTTTAGCGTTGAGCTGCCTGTCCACGTGATGGCCCCGCGACGCAAAAAGGCCTGGCGACCAAAGGATCAACGGCAGAGCGTCCCAGCAGTGCTCGAGTCACCGTTCGAGGCTTCTTCGCCATCCTCAACTCGATCGGAGTGGATCGACTCCGCAAGCGCTGGCGAGGATACGGATGGCAATCTGACCGACGACAGCTGTTTTACCTCACACAAACCCAGCAGCATAACTTCTGAGACTGTACATGATAACCGTCATTTGTCCCCTGCTGAAACGCCAAGACCGTCCTCGTCGCACAGTGTTTCTAGGCGCTCGGTGTCGGAAACGCCCCAGACCTTCACCAGCCTGCTTGCAAAGTTCCAAGCTACGCCGGTTCCAGAGGATTGCGACTCCGAGTCTGAGCACAAGCCAGAGCATTCATCGAATCTTGGGAATCCAGTATTGAAGCTCAGCGAAGCAAGCAGTGTTCCAGCACATGATGCGCCCCTGTCGCCGATACAAGATGAGATCCAAAGCTCTACTGGATTGGAGGCCCCTGAAGTCCCTGCACCTCCAGCCAAGATGGGATCGTACGTCGAGGCCCAGACCGACCACGCCCCTGAAGTTGCATCACAGGAGAGTTGTCCCAGCACAACTGCTTTGCAGCCTGAAAGCACAGCCCCAGCGGAGGATGAAAATCTGCTGAATATCGAAACACCACACTTCACGGAACCTGAGATCAAAGTCGAGTTCAATGAGCATCTTGAGTGGGGGACCGACTATGAAGAACCCCAGTCAGTCGCTGAAAATGCCCTCGAAGCCGATCATGATGTCTCTTTTGTCTCCAGCCCGGGGTCATTCCACTCCGGTGAGCCTCAATCGCCCGACTCGGTCTCCACCCATCCTACCTCTGTGGGAGGTCATGACCTTGCAGATCCCACCGACATGTTCTGTCTTCCCAGCGCCAAGGATCCAGTTTCTGAACTGAAATCATCGCCCGAAGCATCATGCCAGAAGTCGGAGCTTTCAGCGGTCAAGACAGTGACCAAGATTTCCGGGTGCTCAAACCAAACGGGCATGTCCGCTCCTGCCTCAAGCCGTCTCAGTCCAAATGACATATCCAAGGGTTTTCCTGATGCATTTTCGGACACATCCCCGTCAATGGTTCGTACCAGCACACCGCATCAATACTCTCCGGCCCCGGACACCTCGCGTGAGCCTAGCATGCCATCTCGCATCGATTCCAGGTCCCCAACACCGAGTACGGATTTCAATCACATGAGCACCGCATTCCGGCGTCGTTCTCAAGCCACCAGAGAGCGCGAGGCATCTCCGATGCCTCATTCCTCGGCATTGTACAAACCATCTTCTGGCGATGATGCCAAATCCTTCATTTCTAAGGCCATTACACTGGTTTTGATCCCCCCTGCCTATCTTTTTATCATCCTTATCCACATCGCTGCGCGCGTTGTGATCAACCCCCCACCAGCCCAGCCGACAGTTGGCTACCACCAGGGTAGTTCAAAGTCCAATTCCCAGAAATCCAATCAAGATCCTGCTGCCGAGGATGATTTTAGCTTTCCACTGGAGCCTCAAAGCTCTTCGGAGTACGTGGACGCCGAAACTTCCAGGAAGCTTGACCCTTGGGATCTGGACTAAGCTGAGCTGGCATCTCTCGCTATTTCTACCTCCCCTTTTACTTTTCTTCGTTGTGTGAGTATCTTTCATTATACACCCCATTTAATACCCTATGTATCTTTGCCTTTACCCGGGCCCTCACATCATTTTAATGTTTTCTTGTCATGAATATTTATCAACAACCTGGACGACTCATGTTTGAACATACTGTCATGGTTTGTATTTTACGGGATCTTTTGTACTCTAGCGTCTTATGTGTCATTGGAGGAATCGGTGATCTCGAATCGGAACTCAGTAGTTAATGATACAATCACAACGCTGCACTTGTCAACAAATCTTAACGAACTTTAACAGCGTAAATACTCAACGTTGTGACTAGCTGCAGATTTCCACTTATAGACACGCTTGAAGCTACATCTACACATATCGTTACAAAAAATGGCGACGAGTGCAAAACTCAAAGCTGTTCGTTTGGATTTTCCACGAGAGGTATATGGACAAGAACGCGCTCGTATGACGCAAGTGCAAGAAAATATGTACACTTGAGAAAATGCTCCCATTGAGAATCGAGAGCAAAAAGAAACCGAAACCACCCTCGAACGCCAGCTAATGCACTAGAAATTGAAGCCATGAACACATCACATGTTCGGCCCGAGCAACGTGACCGAAAGTCAAGAGCGTAATGTGGGACAGAGACCGGCGATCGAATTTAAACCTTTGCGGTCTTAGCAGCTCCGCCCTTGGTCTTCGCCTTGCGGCCACGGCGGTCTCGCTTCTTCAGCCCTGTCATTCCTCCCTTGCAGACCTCCGCATAGCGGGTGTAGAATGCCTCAAGATCATCCGGATTCACGACAGTCGAGAGCTTGATCTTCGTGGACTTGTCCTTTGTGATCTTTCCATCCTTGCTGGCGGACTTAGGGTTGGGCGCATTGGTGTTTCCATCCGTAGCTCGGATGAGGATTGAGGGTTGAGAGCTTGTGGTAGTAGCGCCGGGGACATCAAGCAGTGGCTTTTGAGTGAGAATTACGGATCCTCGTGCCTTTTGAGAAGTCTTGGAGAGTAGGTTGGTGAGAGAGGTAAAGAACTGGAGTGATGAGTATTAGTGACATAGCTCAAGATTGGCGATCTGGTCGCATGTGCTAAGGCATAGCGGTCAAGGGACATTGGTATTGAATTTACCTCATCTTGTTCCATATGGGGCGCCATTTTTGGGGCAGCTGTTCAAAGACGCTTAAGGATTGACCGAGCTGAAAGCTGGAGCAATGATCAATATGCAATTGACAGCTGGGGGACGACTGCTCGGTGGGGGAGGAAACTCCGCTGTGGGCGCTTGTCCGCCTTTGTTTTGGTGTGGCAGAAAAGGTGAAAAAAGTTCCCTACCGCCCGGTGTTCCTGACGTGAAGTCTGCTTAAACCTCATCGAAGAAGATAAGAACTATCGGACAAAATGCCACGCCCTCGGCATAATACAACTGCCTTGCCGCGGCATCTTCGGTCTGAGCTAGGAATTCGCGATACCTATGGCGACAAGAAGCGCCGTCAGAACGGACCTGCTTCGCGCAAAGAACGCCGCCAAAATGAGCGTACCGAGAAGAAATCACGACATGCAGCGCCACCACCCAAGAGGAACTTCCAGCAGCATCAGCATCAATCTAGAGTTGCCAGAACTAAGGGACAGGAGGACGACTCGGACGACATGGACATCGATGAGAGACCACCGCAGAAGAAGTCAAAATCTATAAAAGAGACCGCTGAGAAACCGAAGTCGATCTTGAAGAAAGCGCCAGCTCAATCCGAATCTGAGCGCGAGTCCGGATCTGAGCTCGAGTCAGAAATCGATCTCAACGAGGACGACGACGAAGACGAAGACGAAGACACCGAGGACGATGAAGAGGATGACGATGAAGACGAAGACGAAGACGAATCAGACGAAGAGATCTACGATGACCAACCCAAAGCGGACGAACCTCATATCTCAGGGTCTGTGAAGTCTAAATTGGCACAAGACGATGCAGAGATCGCCGCGTTGGAGAAAAAGCTTGGCCTCAAGAAAGGCAACAAACTGCCAAAGGCCTTTGAAGATGATGGGCTGGACGATCTACTGGGAGACTTGGGCGGTGGTGGAGCCGATGCCTCAGAAGATGAAAGTCGCAAGCGCAAGCGAGAAGCAGACGACTGGCTTGAAGCTAAGAGACAGAAGGCTAGAGCCCAGCAAGCACAGGCTCCGAAACAGGACGACAGTGAAATGGACAGCGACGAAGATGTGGATCTTGATGAGCAGATTTTTGGAAGCGACGACGACGAAGCCGCTGATGACAGTGACTTTGACGGGTTTGATGAGGAGGCCAAGGCACCAAAAGTGAAGGAAAACCCATACATTGCCCCGGTCACAAAGACAGAGCCCACTGCTCAGAAATACATTCCACCCTCATTAAGAGGTCGCCAGGACCCAGAAAGTGAGAGCCTTACTAGGCTCAAACGCCAGGCTCAGGGCCAGCTGAACAAGTTGTCTGAAGCTAATATGCTCTCGATTGTTGCGGAGTTTGAAAAGCTATACCGTGACTACCCTCGACAGCACGTTACATCTACCCTCATCAACTTGTTAATGGGTCTCATCTGCGAAAGAGCCGCTCTGAACGACACCTTCCTCATTCTGCACGCTGGATTCATCTCAGCATTGTACAAGCTGTTGGGAATGGATTTCGGTGCAGAAATTGTACAAACCGTTGTTGAAACTTTGGATGCCGGTGGAGACGAACGTGGAAAGTTCGAAGGAAAAGAGATCCTCAATTTGGTGTCTCTCCTCTCGCAGCTGTACAACTTCCATGTCATTGGCAGCTCGTTGATGTTCGATTACGTCCGTTTGTTCGTGCAAGAAATCAACGAAGCCAACACCGAGCTACTCCTCAAGGTCATTCGGAGTAAGTCAGAACATTCAGAATGCCCTATGAATCGATATTAACGTCCCACACAGACTCCGGCCCCCAGCTCCGCCTTGATGACCCCTCCGCGCTGAAGGACATTGTACTCCTCATTCAGCCCGCGGTAGCTAATGTCGGGGAGGCATCTCTTTCCGTCCGAACCAAATTCATGATCGACACAATCACAGACCTGAAAAACAACCGCTCAAAGTCCGCAGCAGCGGCTGGAGCCGGCATCACTACCGAACACATCACTAAAATGCGTAAGATTCTGGGCTCCTTGAACAACTCCCGTGTCATCCGTGCATCCGAGCCCATCAACATCTCTCGTGACGACATTCACAACTCTTCCAAGAAGGGTAAATGGTGGTTGGTCGGTGCAAGCTGGAAGGAAGATCCTCTTGTTGCCGCCCAGCGTGAAATGGCGAGTGATCCAACCCAACAAGCACCGGTTCAGGATGATGAAAGCGATGCTGAACCCGATTTTGGAGACCTTGCCAAGGCCCACCGCATGAACACCGACGTCCGTCGCTCAATCTTCGTTGCTATCATGTCTGCCAATGACTTCCAGGATGCGCATGTCCGGCTCATGAAGTTGCGTTTGAAGCGTGCTCAAGAATTCGAGATCCCCCGTGTTCTTCTTCACTGTGCCATGGAGGAGCAAGCTCATAACCCATACTACTCTCTCATCGCACGCCGCATTTGCGGTGACATGGGTCGTCGCATCAAGATGTCCTTCATGTTTGCTCTTTGGAACATTTTCAAGAAGATGGGTGAGCGTGGCGACATGGATGAGGAGGAGGACGTGGACCCCGATGACCCAGAAAACGGTGTCAGCATGAAATCTGTGGTCAACCTTGCGAAGATGTTCAGCTATCTGATTGCGGATGGTAGCTTGACACTGGGCATTCTAAAGAACCTCAACTTCGCATACCTGCAGCCTAAGACGAAAACATTTGTGGAGGTTTTGATTATCACTATCATCCAACAGTCCCAGAAGTCAAAGAAGAAGAAGTCCAAGAAGTCGAAGGTGGAAGAGCCCAAGGATGAAGAAGCACTGATGCAAATCTTCTTGCGCGTCAAAGAAACTCCCCAGATCGCCAAGGGTCTGATCTACTTCGTGCGCAAGGTTGTCGCCAAGAGTGACATTGTTTCCGACGATGATCAAAAGTTGGTCCGGTGGGGTTGCAATGTCGCCGCGGATGCCCTCAAAGCTGTGTCGGACTAGACTGTATTTTAATGCATATAGATTATACCCAAGTTATCCATGGATTTTGCCGTCATTTCGCGAAGGCTTCTCTTGCCTCCTTCCGCTTAGTGGCCTCTTCCTCTTAGGAATCCAAATAAATGCCTGCTATTCACATCAATGCCCCTTCCCGAAAAGCAGGGGGATCCCTGGGTAGCAAAAAGAACTTGATGATGCAATTAAATTGGCATTAAGAGCAAGGGTATAAGAGTGCCGTAATACATCATATACTGTACAAATAGAGGGTTTGGGCCACCCAAAGAGTGAAAAAATGCGCTCAGGTCATGACTTGGAAGGCACACGAACAAGGTCCCACTCCATGGCTACCAGCCAAGGTTCTTTTGCCCCAACATTCTCCTCATTGACCGGTATAGCGTCAGGCAGAGCCGGATGAGTGGAACCGTTGTGATCCTCAACTTGACCTGGAAGGCTTCCCAGTCTCAAAGTCCAGGTGAGCCCTCGGTGTATCCCAATCAGATCCCCATTTTGAGGTATAAGGTCGGAAGGACTCTGGCAGAAGTCAGGCTTTGATCGCGGTGGCCCCATGATGAGAATGTTAAGATAGTCAGTCACATCAATATCTTGTACTTGCTGCTTGACAACAGGTTCCGCTCGGAGAAAAGCTATCGAGCCACAACCAGCGGTTCTGGAGTGAGTGATTCCAGTGACACGCGCAGCAACTAGAAATTTTGCGAGAGCTTCGGAAGAAGGCATTTTGCTTTCCGATTTTGTGGACTGGATCAATGTGGGTTTGGGCAATTGCTCACGCTTCGCTCCCATTTCCAAAACCCAACTGCGCAACTGAGCGGCCATTCCACCGGGGACATAGGAGACAGCGCCACGTTTTCGACCCCGTCGGCTCAGAGTTCGCGAAGTCGGGGAGAACGGCGCAGGAATGTCCTCTGCGTCGAGATTAGGTGACGGAGAACGAGGCAAAACAAACGTCGGTTTACGCCTCTCTGGTGGTGAAATAGCCGGTGTGCTCGGTTTGAATTTCGGGGCGGATTGACTGCTTGGAGGTTTGGCAGCCGAAGAAAACATAAACCGAGGACGACCTCGGAAGGGTGTTTTCATATCGCCTGGTGTAGATATAGAGGGTGCAATCGGACGGGCACTAGGTCCTGGTGTTCTTTGCGTGCCCATTTCCCAAATTGCAGGGCTCTCTCTCCGCACAACTGGTGTATCAACGTGATTCGGCGGCATATCTGCCGTCTGCAGTGGCGACGAAGAGATTGGATCGAATTGTGTCAACTTCGTTGAAGTGCAGGGTGTACCTCTATCCATCCGGCGCCGTTTGTGTCCCTCCCGCGTAGGCGCAAAGAGGGCATCGAAGTCTGCATCAAGAACACCAGTGCCCTCAGCTTGTTCTGGAGGACTGCTCTCAATAGCGTCACCTGGTAGCCCATTTTTATCTCTCATTCGGACAAAACCATCATTCATGTCATCAGCATTGTCAAAGTCATCGATCGCGTCGCGCCGGCGCGCGCGGGTAGCAGCAGTAGGGACAGGGGTGTGGGTAGCTGGGCGCGTCAATCTTGAATCTGCATCATCTATCACATCATGGTCGTCATCTGCCTGCGTCGCATTCTGCGACAACAGGAATCGAGGTGTGGAGGCGAACTGGGGGCCGGCGTTGCGGCGCGCCGACGCGTTACGGGGGTGACGGAACGGCGTCTGTGCCGGAAGTCATTAGCTTTTGACATCTGGAGCCAGGGGAGAGTATTACCGCTGGATAGGGCATTGCAAGCAGGAGCCGAGCTCATGCTATGTCCAGGATGCGCGGGAGGGCAGAATCGGCTGATCGTTGAGGCTCAAAATAACATGCCGCCATCGTAACTGTCCGCAGCCACCGCGTTAATGATCATTGCTTCTTCTGACCTATACGCCATCCCGAAGTCTACACTTGCTATCAAACACAATCTGAAATAATAAGGGCGTTGTAATCACTTTAGGATGAGCCTTGTTGTAAAATATAGTGCTTTGTCTCCCAGACTTGATTTTGTATAATTCTTAAATGCTATATATACAAGAAGGGTTTCTCCAGGGCAGGAAGTTGTCCAAGAAGCCAATTTCAAGGTTGTGACTCAGTGTGGTGCATGCTGTGAACGGCCATCTTGCGATTGCTCATTCAATGACCGTGTGTCCGCAAGTCCAGGCTCTTGACCCAATCTTGTGAGTGGATATTCACTGTCCTCCTCGTCGATGCCGTACATCCGCTTCGATGAGTTACTCTTGCTCGCAATCGGTCCGCTAGCTGGCTGTGTGGAATATTTGGCCTTGCTAGCAAAAAGTTTCGGAAATGCAGCCTTAAGGATAGGACGTAGCATAGGCGCACATGCATTTGCAATGGCGAGAGCGGGTTCGGTCACACTCCAAAATGCAGCCCAGATCATGGAGTAGGGGAGATCGTTGAAGTCCACGGTTGTAAGAACTCGAATACGAATAATAGTGATGGAAGAGATGCTAAATTGGTTGTCAGCTGTGTCAACATTATTTATAGAGTATTGGGATAACATACAATATCCCCAATCCGAATATACCATACAACGCCATCTTTGTTCCTACAGACATCTGCAACTTCCAGATGAAGCGTATAGGCAGTGCCATGATCATGACATCTGTAACGAGATTGAATGCGCCAATCGTCGAGAATGCGACGTTCTGACTCGCGCAATGACCAGGGAGTAATGGGTTCCAGTTTCGTTCGAAAGGCGTGCAAATCAGGAAGACCTGGAGAACGCTACCGGTCCAATAGGCACCGGCGCATCCCATGCAGATCCAGGTGAGGACTCGAAATTCCTTACTCACGAAGATTCGCAAGTAAAAGAACAGGTACGAGAACTTTGCGAGCACCATGGCGTTGTAGTAGACAATTTGGTAGATGATCAGCATTTTGGCGATCAACACTGTGTTTTCCGGGGGAATTGCTGTGACATGTTGTCGCATGCCTACACGAGCATAGTGGTAGTGCATTGCCAGCATACCGTATGTATGCAACAATCCGCCGAGACAGCATGCATCGTCCCATCCAATCGCACTTTGTCGAATTTTCCGTGAGATGCCTCGCAAAATGACGAACAACGTGGCCACAGCGACCAATACTGTATTGGCAATCAGCTGGTCACGAACTATGGGGAAGGCGAACACATTGTATAGCTGCATCGTGCCATGAACTGAAGAACGTCAAATTAAGACCCTGCATGGAGGGCTGATAAATAGAGTGCATGTTGAAGAACTATGAAACTCCAGGGCGCCCCTGTCCCATTAGGTAATTTTGTCATCTCACTCAAGCATCTGAGAATAAACCTGGAAGTACTCCGTAATCCGTCTGCAATGTTTCAGTTTGTGGAATACTATTACTGTCGGAGGCACAGATCGGCAGGAGTCGATTGAGTGGACCGTTGTGGCGGGCCGCTAAAGCGGGCCGAAGGATTGTTTTGGCCGCGAGTGGCTTAACGAGGTGCCTGTCATTGGAAACGCTTGCGTCCTAGCTTGCATCCTAGCTTACATCCTAGCCCGGACCAACTTCAACATGCAGTCGGCTATAATCGCTCGCCCCACCTTGACATGTCTAGCGGCCAGCACTAGACTCTTCATGAGCGTTGCCCGGCTCATCACCGAGAGGTCGCCGGACGGGATGATTCTGGCCTAGTGTGGACTAGAGTCCGGATTGAATTCCCGACATCCGGATCTCCTGCGAGCATGTTGGACACTTGATCCAAAGTCTTCCCGACATCTCCTGTTACTGAAGCAAAAATTGTTGCACGATGGACGAATATGACTATATCATCATTGGCGCTGGTATCGGTGGTCTTGTTTTGGCCAATCGACTCAGTGAAGATGAGAGCTTGAAAGTCCTGCTCATCGAAGCAGGTGCCAATCGCATGGGAGATCCTCGCATCGATACCCCGGGGCTTTTGGGCACCCTCTATGGAAACTCAGACTTTGACTGGGACTATATGAGTGTCCCTCAGGTACGTGCTCGAACCTCTTGCCGTTCTGCAAAATCATACTAATGAGCCAAAAGAAACATGCGAACAATCGTCAAATCGGACAGCCTCGTGGTCGTGTGGTCGGCGGGTCCTCGGCCTTGAACTTCTCTGTGGCTATGTACCCCACGGCATCCAACTTTGAGGCATGGAAAGAACTAGGCAATGAGGGATGGGGAGCGGAGGACATGGCGCCATACCTTCGCAAATTCCATTCGTACATCCCGCCCAGTGATGCAACGGCAGAACTACTTGACACGAGTCGGTATATGAAGGCTGAAAATCAAGGCTGTGATGGACCTCTGCCCATGTCTCTCCCAGATGTATATGGTCCTTTCAACAAGGCGTGGGACGAAGCGTTTGCAAACTTGGGCTGGAAATCGGACATGGATCCGATCCAGGGAGGAAAGTTGGGAGCTTTCACTTCCCCGTTGACCGTGGACCCCAAGACAGGAAAAAGAGGATATGCCGCCTCTTACTACTCCCCTGGAGTTGCGGCTCGGCCAAACCTGCGACTTTTGGCGGAGACGATGGTACAGAAAATTGATTTCCGTCAAGAAGAGGGAGAGTTGATCGCAACTGGTGTGGTAGTTAAAACTGGGGGCGAGTCATATCAAATCGCCGCAAAGAAAGAAGTACTGCTTTGTGGTGGTAGTTTGAACTCCCCGCAAGTGCTCGAGCTTTCTGGTGTTGGAAATGCAACTCTCCTCGAGAACCACGAGATTCCTGTTCTGCTTGATAATCCCTCCGTGGGTGAGAATCTCCAGGATCACGCCCTCACCACAATTAACTTCGAGATTGCCGATGGCCAAGTTTCGGGTGACATTCTGCGCGATCCTAGTGTCGTCCAGGCGGTGATGAAGCTTTATGCCGAGACAAACAGCGGTCCGCTGGCGGGCATGCCCATCAGCATGGCTTATCTTCCATTCATGGATGGAAATGGAGTTGTCTCCCAGGAAGAAATCAAATCTCTCCTATCCACGCATCTCGATAATGAGGATACCCCACCCAGCCTGCGCCGACAGCACGACCAGCTTCGTCGCATGGTTCAAAACCCGGAGGACGCCTCTTCTCACTTCCTTTTCCTACCTGCCCAGCTCCACATGAACCCTGGCAAAACCACCCTGACCGACGTACTGGCAAAAACCCTACCGGAAAACTACATCTCCATCATGATGCTCCACAATCACCCATTCTCGCGTGGCTCGGTTCATATAAACTCCAGCAGCAGCGATGACAAGCCCACATACGATCCCAACCTTCTTTCACATCCACTCGATCTTGAGATGATGGCAAGACAAATGCAATTCGTCGAGCGCATTGTTGAGACTGAGCCTCTATCCGCTCTTCTCAAGCCGGGCAAGTCTATGCCCGAAAGCACAAGAGATCTATGTGACCTAGATCAAGTCAAGGAAGTTGTGAAAGATAGACTCTATACCTGTTTCCATCCCGCAGGATCATGTGCTATGCTGCCGAGGGATGATGGTGGTGTCGTTGACTCGCATTTGAAGGTCTACGGCACGAGGAATTTGCGAGTTGTCGATGCTAGCATTTTCCCTCTCGAGCCAAGCGGGAACATTCAGTCAACTGTCTATGCGGTTGCTGAGCGCGCTGCTGATCTGATCAAGGGCGTCAATTAGACATTTCAACACACGCGCAATATAGGATATGAGTCAGGTTGTCATATTCAGCAGTCATGTCTAACCAAGTCTCTAGTCCTAAGGTCTACCTCTATCAAGCATATCGCACATTCTAATAGGAACGCTTTCAAATTTAAGCTAATTTGGTCTCGCGAGGGAACGTCCTATTAGCGAGATAAACTTAGTTCAGTTGTTGAAAGCGTCATACAGATCATATTTCGAGGTGCATTTCGATCGAAGATCGAAAAGGCGTGTTTGTACAGGAGAGAGCTTGAAAAAGCAGAAAAATGGACAAAGTCAAAAAATGAATCGCTTACATCTGTGAAAAGTACTCATCAAAGTTATCGGCAGCAACCTTTGTACAGTCAAAGCCGTAAATCTCACGCTGAACATCCGCATCAGCCCACTTATCAGGAACGGGACCCTTTCCAGCACGCAGAGCAGCGAATTGCTTATCACGCTCCTCCTTCGCAGCACCCTCACCAAGGTGCAAAGCACGCCCAGATGCAGTGGCCATCTCCACGAGTGCCTCGGCACGACTCTTTCGGACTTTCTCATACACCCGAAGAGCCTTGTTGATAGACTCGGGTGTGGTATCAGGAAGCTTGGACAGAACGACGCCAAGAACCGCACCGTCCTCAATAGCCTGGGCGGCTCCTTGAGCCAGATGAGGAAGGGTTGGATGACAGGCATCGCCGACGAGAGCGACAGAGTCCTGCACCCATGTTGGAAGGGGGTCATGGACACGAAGCTTCCATTCGCAGACTTCGCCTTCCGGTACGTAGTTCAGCAATCGCTGAACCATGGGGCAGAAATCAGAGAAAACGCCCATCATGGCAGGCTTCGAACCCTTTGTTGTGTAGGTGGCGTTGGTGGCGGCCGCGAAATTGGTGTCAGGCTGAGTGGTGGAGAGATTGTAGATGGTATTGTTGGAGACTGCGTAAGCGATGATGTGTCGCTTTGCGCCAATCCATCTGGTAACGCGGTTGCTGTTGATGAGTGCAAGCAGCTCAGGGTCGTCCTTGATCTGCTCCTTGTGGATCATGATTCGGTAGGCTGCTTGCTGGGTGTCTTTCACACCAACGTCAACTCCCAGACGCTTCAGCATCTCGACGCGGGTCACGCTCTTGATACCGTCGGCTGCGAGAAGCACGTCGGACTCCACCTTGTATGGAGCGACTCCTTCCGCGCGGGGGTTGGCTGTGAATGATGGCCGGGGACCGAAAGATTCCACATTTTCAGCGATGATTCCGAAGTGGAACTTGATAGAAGGGTGCTTCTTGCAGCCTTCGTATAGTCCATTTGCAAGAGATGCACGGTGACCAACCATGTGCTTATATCCGTATGTTGCTTCAATATATCTCAAATCAACGTATGCATGTTCACTATCCGTGGCACCATCTGCATGAAAGGTCAATTTTCTGAACAGCCTCCAAGGATCGATTCTATTTTTTTTTCGACTTATGACTTACCTCGCACTGAAGTATCCTCGATGTTCACAGCCTCGGCCTCAATTCCCTTCCAAACACCGAGTCCATCCAAGACTCGTGCCATGTTGGGTGCCAATTGAATTCCAGCACCCACAAATCCAAGGTCACTGGCATGCTCGTAGACATCGATATTCTTAAATCCTTGCTGGGCAAGGGCAAGGGCGGAGGTCAAACCGCCCATACCAGCGCCCAGAATGGCGATCTGCAAGTCTTGAGGTGATTTTGTCATATTGGAGATTATGTGAAGGAGAATTGTATCAAAGTGGAAAGAAAAGAGAAAAGGGCAACTCTAAATATGAAGGGATCTTACCGGTCACGTCTCCCGTCGCGAAGTGTTGCTGGCTCCCATAGCCAGGGCGGAGTAAGTCTTTCCCGCTCCCACATTCTCCCCACACTTTTCGCCGCAAAGGCCGTTTCGGCGGCTTCGGATGGCCATCTTTCATCATTCTCTGCTTGGACTTTATCCGCTGGATTTTCAGAAAGCCACAAGAGCGCTTTTCGTGATCTATAGCGCCATGCCCGATGGCTCTTGTCCTCTGAATTTGGCGATTATCCAATATGGTCAGCACCCAGTCTTTGGTTTGCCAGCGTAATCGCAAGTGGCAAGGAGCGTCATCCCGCCAATCTCCAGCTTCCCCACAGTTGGGATTACAGGTTCGATCCAGTCGACCTTGGTCCGCCATTTGCCTCGGACCAGGATTGACTAATCACTCTCTCCTTTCTGAAGTACGCTCGCGCGCATTTGACCACAACTGATTATACGGTTCACGATGGCGTCTGAGAAGCAATCTACTCGAAAAATTCAACAGCGTGTCGTACACATCGATAAAGTCTGGTACTACGCTATGTTCGCTTGAACAAAGACTCAATTCGTCAGGAGTCCGGGAGCCTCACTAGGTTGACGGGGAGGGTAAGTCGATTTACACGCACGAAAAATAACATTGACGCAAAGCAAAAAAAGTCAAATAATTAAGATGAAAACTGCACGAATTCCTAGGTTCTCCGAATCTCCCCTGGCATTCCTCCGCTAAGAAACAAAGAAACAAAGAAAGAGTTGCTCCGACTTACCTTCATCCTCCTACTGCACGCAACGTCCCCGGAACAGATACTTTCGATCAATCTGATAAGCTCCCTCAGTGAGACCTTGAATTCTAGCTTTCAGACAAGATACTGCAATCTCAGTCACGCAAGACTTACCAACTGGAAAAGATACGCTGTGCGGCTCAGTTAGGTGCATGGGCTTGTCTGTAACCGTAAAAATATCGCACTTGATACGGTCCAGGATCCATTCCACAATCTGCTTGTCGGTGGACTTTTAGTCGTGTCGATAGACTGGGACTGTTACCCATTTTTCGATACTGCCTTTCCAGTTCTCGTATACTGGGTTGCCGTTGGGCTGGACAAAGATGGATCTATATCCGTCTTTGGGTTGAGACATTGTGATGCTTCTGAGAGTGTCCGTGATTGCCTGCTGTTAGTGTCAGTATGCGTTTCCCTGTGGTTAGGTTAGTGTGAAATTCTGTGTGGTTAGTGTTACTATCCTTTGGATCAAATAGTTTGTGATCTGTGTTGCTTTGGTTTGCGAATCTTATGTGTGTGGGTTGGTGTGTTTGGAATTGTTTGATGGTGGTTGGTTGACAGATTTCGTGGGGACGATGCGCTTTAAATATTCGTGGATTGGTCCTCGGGAACTGAGTCGATCGAATCATGCACACAAAGCATCATCGAGCCTTAACAATGGAAGGTAATCGCCGAGGCATTCTCTTTCAGCCTCTGAGGCCATGAGCTCGGACTGCATTATTCATAGTTCATCAAAGAGAGAGGGATCAATGACGTTGTCCTCGAGTCGGGGGAGTGAACAAGAGAAATGACACCTGTTGAGCTGCACATCTAGCAATCAAGTCCGATGCACTAAACGTAGCTTATCGACTAGCGTCGGAACAAAGTACGAAAAAGCGTAAGGCGGATATTCAAGAGCCGGATGACGCGTCTTCGTCGTCGCCCTGCTAAGTAGAATATGAAATAAGCCTTTCGCTGTCGCCTGCAGCCCTGATTGCGATCTGATAATTTTTCCTTTTTTTTTTTCCAAAGCTCCCCTCAATCCAGAGGTGTGAAGTTTTTCAATATGCGGCCTTCGTCGCTTCTCCCGCTCTTCGGAGTATCTAGCGCCCTCTCCACGCCGATCAACGAGACTAAGAATGCAAATCATATTTTCAATACCCTTCAAGACTCCATGCGCCAGTGGGGCTCTTCCCTTCATCACAACGGTGTCTCATTCTTCCTCGCGAGAGTTCCTACAGGAACACAATTCTACCATGGTACCTCCGAGAGTACTCCGGTGACCGGCACTGAGTGGCTCGCTTTTGAGCCCGAGCATGCCATGGTTTTCGCCCGTCCGCACGGCCCTCCCCGGAACCCACCCGACGAGAAAGACCCAGAAGACGGCCATGGAGAGCTTCGCAAGCGTGAGGGCTTTGGGAAATTTGGACCGCCAGACGGACCTCCCCCGGAAACGTTCAACAAAGAAGCCGGTTACTTGCATACATATGCTACAAACAAGGACCTGCGCCTCCTATACGTGGACGGCATGTCTGCCGCGAAAACGGATTTGGGAACGCTTGATTCACAAGATGCGGTACTCTTCAACGGCTCCATTGGCGACTTCCCACATGGAGGAGAGGGCGAGCGCGCGAGACTCGCTTGCGAGATGGCCGATAATGAATGGGAAGGGCGTATAGATGGTCTTCTCCGCATGGAAGCCGGCTTTGAGATCATTCTCTGTCATTTCGAGCGGGATCTTGATGTCGTGCGCATTACGCAGGTTAAGCAAGATCATATGGGCGGACCGGCCGGTGGGCCTGGGCCTGGGCCAGCTGGCAAGCCTCGCAAAGGGGAAATGGAACATCATGATGGCCGTGGTCCACAAAAGAATAGCAAGATGCACCATGATGATCATGACCCACATGGACATGGTGAAGCCTCAGGACATGGTCCCGGTCGCCCCGGCGGGCCCCTGGACCCGGACGGCCTGGGGGACCTGGAGGACCCGGCCACAGGGACGACTCGCCGCGTTGGATGCGCGCTGTCATCGCCCGTTACCAGGGCATTGGCGGTGACCGAGTGTCCCTCAATTTCGACCACTTTGTAACGGCCTACACCCAAGATGTTGATCTGTTCCAAGGAAAGCGTCATCCTCGACTATCTCACCTGTCCGAGCAGGACCTTTTCTCTCTCCGTGATGATGTAACACATATGATCAAAACCTACCACCCCGCCGAAGTCTGCGAAGACTGGCAAGCCATCACCGACATGATTGTTACCCGGTACAACAAAGAATTGTCATATTACGCCTCTGGAAAAATTGGGTCCATGCTGCGCTTGCAAACTGAGATAGAGAGACTGATGTCTCCGTTCATTGACTATGAAAAGCGTGATACTAACACCGAGATTGGGCGATGCGCAACGCAGTTTGTGCCAGCAGTGGCTTTGGAGGATGAAGGTCTTGCCGGAAAGGCTGTTTACGGGGTTGCAGAGAAGATTTGTGCAACCCTGTATCAGGCTCAGAGTCAAAAGAGCCTCAAAGCGGCTGTTCGGGTTATCCAAGAACTCGTTGAGTATTTGGATTGGACCGTGTGGAAGGAGTGTAAAGGCTGTGACGCACATGAGATTTGTGTCATTCCCATTTGGCCGATGGGGACAGTGGAGGACTATGAGCACCCTAAGTGTAAAGATGCCGATGATGCTTATGGGGAAGGTGGAGAGAGTTACTGGGGCGGTTTCCGCCATTGAGTTCTATTTTCCTCTTCGGTAGATGACTTTGTTGGGTCATTTCTACAGCATAAGTTGCACTTTTAATAAAGAGGTTCGATTTAATTTAACAGACATGGGAATACCACAAATGGAGAGTTGAAATTATTTACAGTAGAAGTATAGTGGGTTGAGGGAGACCATTATGCCCGCCGACTTGTAAACATGGTCTTCGACCGATGTGACTTAGCCCATGGGATGGAAAAAGAGGGGTTATATAAGATCTGGAATATCACAATCCATCCAAAAGCGGATGTTGATTTACTGGGAGATGGAACCCTGAACAGTGTTGACGACGGAGCCAACAGCGGTACCGAGACTGCCGAGGCCGATGGTGGAGAGAAGACCCTGAAGAGCCGAGTCCACCTTGATCAGCAGGAATGCGACTTGGTCTCCAGCCTGGACAACAATGAAGCTGGCACCAGGGATGTTCGGCACCTGCGACTTGAGATCGGAGATGGACGAGCCTGAAGCAACAAGGTTGCCAACGGGACCCTGGATCGATGACAGGTCAAGACCGCCAAGAAGACCGAGAAGAGTGGGCTCGAGCTTGAACAGCATGTTTTGACCGCCAGCAACGTTGTTTAAGTCGGTGATGGTGAGCAGGCCAGAGAGGGGGTCTTCACGTTTGATGTTGGAAGTGAGAGACTTGACGGAGGAAAGGGCAGAAGACAACGGATCATCGCGCTTGATGTTGCCAGTGACAGATTCAAGACCGCCGACGATAGATCCAAGAAGGCTGCCGACTTGGCGGAGGCCAAGGCTAGAGAGAAGGTCAACGACTTCCTGAGTCAGCTCGATAAGAGCAGCGTTTCCATTCTCGAGAAGAGCAGTGACCTGGGTAAGACCGGAGCCATTGCTGCTGTCGAGTTGATCAACGGACTGGGCAGTCTGAACAACCCGACCAATGGGCTGCTCGAGCGTACTGAGGGGTAGCTTGCTCATGAGGCTCTGGAGCTCGGACTCAGCCATCATCTTCACATTAGATGTTCCCGCCTGGTTGAGCACGTTGAGGATCTGCCCAGTTCCGGCATTCTTGGTCATGCTAGTAACGACACTGGTTGGTGTGGCCGCGGCAGAAGACGACGAAGCAGAAGGCGCGCCCGAGCATGTGGGGATCAAGGAGGCGATAGGCAGGGGCAGATCCGTGGGGATGATGCCCGAAGGAAGACAGGCGGGGAGACCCGCTGGCAGAGAGCCAGTGAGCCCGGACAGAACGCTGGTAGGCAGGGCCACGGCGGTTGAGGCCAGGAGGGCGGAGATAGCAAACGACTTCATGTTGGGTAAAGAGCGAGTGAAATTCGAAAACAAGTAATGAATGGACGGTATCAACCGGGGACAAGTAATGACTGTGTAATGAATGAATGGAATTTTATTGAAGATCAAGGCTCACACACGGGAGTCTCCATTTTATACACTATTCCACTGTTGAGGGGCTCACTGAGCCCTGAGCATCGGACCTATCCGTTGACGTCGACCTCCTGAGGGAAGGCCGTAACCTAGTCGAAAGTAGAAAGAACATCCAAAGATTAAGCTTCATTCTCAGTGGCTGGCCGTGGCGCCGCCACATTGGAGTTGGGTCCGGCAAAGGACGCTTAGTCCCTTTTTAACCTTCATGTACGGCACATCCTCATTAGCCACTCCGCTGATCAATACATGGGTATGATGATACTAGAATTTGGCTACTTCTCCTCCCATTCAATTTCTGCTAGGGCGCTCTTATCAGCACCAAGCTGTCCCAGCGGTCAAAAGGAGTAGGAAGATGAACTTGGCATATCATTTCGACCGTTCGAAAAATTGAAATCAATTCCAGGGGCTTGAATGAACCCCTCAATGACTCTCATATCTCAGGCAGAATTGGGTCGAGATCGACACGAGCAATAACCTTGCTTGCCCGTTAGGTACCAATGAACATCTTCCTCCTGAGCTAAGACCGCGGGTAGTACTCCGTAACAACGTTGAACCCCACAAGCCCCGGAAGGTTGGCGAATGCAATTTCGAACATCCATGTCTAGTAATATTCTGCGTCAAATTATCCCGCCTGTGAGGGGAGTGACTTTCTTTGTTGCTTAGGCTTTCAAGGGCGAGTATTGAATCGAGGATACTCAGGGAGTTGGTGTTGACGTCATGAAGTCAACATTCCCCTGGGAAAAGACCCATTTTTATGATACTCATATTGATTTCAAATGCAATGGACTGGGTCGAGAAAATAAGGCTAACGGGTCCCGCGTGGTATGGGTTGGACGTTGCATGGATCTGGGGAGTTCAGGGGCAAACACGTTTTCGGAAAATGACAGGTGTGGACCCATTTAACTCTTGACCATTTACGGAGTAGAGAGGTATACTCATATTGCTCCCTTTGGCCGATTCTTGCTGAGATCCACATCCATCGAGTTGTTGACACTACTAGACACTGATTATTATTGACCTCACACACTGTCCTGGACGTAAATGACCCAGGCGGCCATCCTACATCACGGTTGTCGATAATACCAAACCTGTAGGACTATCGTTCACATCTAATCGAACTACGCTACATCGACCCTTGTTTTCAACCATGTTTCCTTGTTAAAATGATCAGCTTGGCCAAAGAATGTGGAATGTAGAGAACATGAAATGTATTTTGCATGGGTATGATGATTGTATACAAAATTGTACAACGTTTGCGGAACGTCTGTTCCACTGCCAGTCGTCTAGTTTCAAAACGTGGATGCGATCCATACATGGACTGGGGGCTCATAAAGTAGTGAGCGAACTCTCGATGCTTAGCAGCGAAGAATCTTAGCGGCGGCAGCCTCAGCGACCACCATGATGGTAGTCTGGATGTTACCGGTGGGAAGGTCAGGGTGAATACTTCCGTCGACAATGAACTGGAAAATGATGTTAGTAGAGATTCAAAGTTCAAGATTTGGAAATAGTAGCTTACCAGGTTGTCGACTCCATACACCTTGGCGTTGGTGTCAACGACGGAAGTACCGTTCTTACGGCCGTCATCAGTGCCCATCTTAGCGGTGCTGGTGTAGTGGTTACCAGACTGCAAGGCGTTCATGATAGCCGAGACATTGGTGTTGGTCTGGAGTTCAAAACCAGTGGAAGGGGCGGTGATCTCGTCGATACGCTTCTGGATGAACATACGAGCAGCCTTGCGGTCAGAAGCGGTCTGGAGGTAGGGCGACTGCTCGAGGATGGTCTTGCCGGTAGAGTCCAGTCCGAGAACACCGGAAGAAGTGAGACCGTGAGTCAGGTAGCTGGTGATGGTGACGACACCCTCGCCAGTGGGGGCGCAGGAGCCCTGGAAGTATTGGGTGTGGCCGTCAACCTCCTCGGAAGTGAAGAAGATCATACGGTGCTTGCCCTGGGTGAGAACACCACTGTCCTTGCCATAGAGGGAGATGTCACGGGTGTCGGTTCCGTTGAGGACGCCCTCGTAGTCGACGAGTCCGAATGAGGCGTTGGTGCTGAAGGTGATGGGAAGATGGGGTGATCCTTGAGACCGACACCGACAGGCAGGTCGATCCACTGGGCCTGGGGAGGAACAGCAACGCCGCTCTTCTGGGCAATCTCGATCTGGGCCTTGTGGCCGATACCAGAGTTCCAGAGAACACGAGGGGTGCTCAGAGCACCAGCGGCAAGCACAACTCGACCACGAGGAGCAAGGGTAATGATCTCAGAGCGACCAGCGGCATTCTGGATCTCAACTCCGGTGACCTTGCTACCAGAGCGGATCAAGCGGAGGACCTTTGTGCCAAGGGCGAGCTGGAAATTGTCAAGCTTGACGGCATCGGGGAGGTAAGTGCGGACAGGGCCAGCGCGCTTCTGGTCCTGGACGTTCCATGCAGGGTAACTGTAGACCTTGGTCTTCTCGTCGGGTTGGGCGATCATGTCAACGGACTTCCAGCCAAGACCACCGAAGAACTTGGACAGCACGTTGTAGAGACCCTGGTCGTAACGCTTTCCGTCGGCGGAGGGAAGGATGGTACCGGGGTTACGCTTGTAGAGTCTGTCAGCGGCAGGCTCGACATCATTCCACTTCCAGCCCTTGGGCCACTTGTCATCAAAGTCACGAGCAGGCGGGTGAACGAAGACCATGTAGTTGACGGTGACACCACCGCCGAGGACACACGCGGCCATGCCTTCGGTGTCAGAGCAGATATACTCGTTCCAGACGTCAAGGTTGCCGACATCGGCAGATAATCCGGGGAGGTCGATTGCGGTCAGTTGATCGTTCCATTCGAGGGTCTCGTTGGCACCGGTGGCAACAGTTGGGCCGACACCGCGCTCGAGAAGCAAGACCTTCTTGCCGGCCTGAGCGAACTTCTCGGCGCTGATGATACCGGCGGGACCACCACCGACAACGATGTAGTCATAGGTGTGGTTCTGGAAGACGGATGCGGATGCTACTCCGGCAACAGCGGACAGCGCAGCTGTCAAAGGACCTGCCTGAAGGAATCTCATGGTGTCTGTGAGTGAGATCTATATGCAGAATGCCGATCAACCCACGCTGGGGACTCCCGGCCTTTTTAACTGTTTCATGGCCATGATTCACCAAGTCCGGTAGAAACCCGGGAATTGTCTCGCTTGACACGGGACACAACGGCGAAACGTGGCTCGGCAGGGGTTTAATTTCGTCAAGGGTGCCTAATTGGGAATAGCGCGATCAGATAAGACCGAGTCTTCCTGTTCCTGACTAGCCCCCACGCGATCAACCCTCGGACAACGCGGTTTTTCCTCTCAGGCCACCCCGTCTAATGATCCATCCGCCTTCGGTGTTGAGACCTAGTGATACAGTACTGTTTCTATGGGAAAAGTGATCAATGATGTCTATCTAGATCCTTCTTGCAAAACGGTTAAATTTCGGAGATTTAAAAGTCTCGGCGCACGCGACCCAATCCAGGGATTTTGCCTCCACCTTTCCGCTAGCTCAACCCCTAGAAATCCTTAGATTTACCTTATTTCCCGGGAAAGCGCTTTCCCTGGTACCGATGCCACTGACGTACCCGGGGCTTAGAACCTTGCTCGCATTCCAATTCATCTATCTCACGGATGAGGCGCTCAGGATCGTATCATTATCATGTAGTGTTTCCTGCTCAGCCACCGTTCCATGTTTTGCTTCTAGGCTGCGAAACTGAAACCTTGGAGTTTTGCCAAGGGTGGATATCAAATCCTTATGACCAAGCACAACAACGGCCAGACAGAAGGTCCCACATTTAATAATCATGTATAAGCACCTCGTCATTGCAAACCCTGCATGCGATGAGATCTTCTCGTACAGAGTACTGCTTCTTGCGTATTCCGTAGGAGTACGGAGACGAGTTGCATAGGCCTTGTTTGAATGAGACCGAATTTTTGAGGAACATCCGCGCCTTTGAATGAGCTTTCCTACTAGATGTTCCCTGTAGCCGGCAGTGTTCCGCCCACCACTGCTGTGGCACCGGAGTCTGGCGGGTCTTTTAATTCTCTTAGGCGATGTTGCTTGGCATGAAGAAATTCTGATATGGATGCTTTGGTTGATGCCTTAAATTGTGTGTGGTCGGATTCTAGGCTCGCGGAGAAAGTCCGAGTGCGGAATGACAGCGCCTGGTACTAGTCCTGCCCACACTGATGTCCCTAATCGTGCTATGATCAGGCTTTTCCGTTCATTGCCCATAGGAGATTCATGGCCTTCAATAGTGACCTCAGTGACAGTTTTTCGTGTCCACATCAGTGTTAGAAGTACTTTGCTTGTATATTACCGAGGGAAAACATAAAAAATCTGATTTCGCTACTTTTGCTTGAGATTTACTTCCAGGTCATCCAATTGTAGCAAGTTTGTTTGTGGTAGATTGGCAACGCTATCTTGCCTGTTTCAAGGTGATTCAGTTCGAACCCTCAACGTCTTTCCTTGCAATTTCTGTAGGGCTAGATTGCAAATTTCGCTCACCATATTTGAAAACAGCTTTCGTTTTCTTTTTACGATCTCAACATTTTGCGTTTAATGTTTTAACAAAACCAAAGTCCATCGAAATCTACAGATTTCTGGGCTAAGAACATCCATCTACGTTGCTAACAACCACCTGGGCATGTCCCATCAGCTTTCACCTACTACTGTCTTCATCTTCATCTTCATCTTCCTTCTTACGTTATAGATATCGTGCACACCGAGACACGACTCCCGGCTCTGTTCGTGAATCTCAGCAATGATCCGACTTGCTGTAACGCCCTCCTGCAACTTCTTCTCAACCTCATCTCTTATCTTTGCAAGTTCAAGCGCCCGGCGAATCGGACTTTCTGACGCAGGACAATGTTGGTGATCATGATATGGGGTTTTCACGCTCATTACCCATTCCGATTCCTGTAACCGAAGCACCATGCCAAAGGTGCACCTATCAAGAGGCACATGTGAATTACTCTTCTGCTTGGGCTCAGGTGCTTCATTGGATTGAGCCTTTGCGGAGCGAGCACGACTGCAGCATAGGTGCACAGTATTCTTAATCCCGGTTCTGGTAGTTTTGGACCGAAGAATGGCCACTGCGTACCCATGTGACCGCGCGAATGTATTGATGGCAATGATGCCCTCTTCCGATGTGTGAAATGACTGGCCAAGAGAAGGCAGCAGAAGTAAATAGGACTCGACAGTTGGCCGTGCGACCGAGGGTGGGGTTTCTAATGGCTGGGTGCCTGGCAGGGGCAGTGAGCTTGGCGGCAGGGTGGGGCTGGGCATTGCGGTCGGCGCCGGGGAGGTTGCAGTTAGGCGGCACCGGTGAGAGCTTGGCTTCGGAATCGTGATCGTCATCACATGATGACAACTGCCATACTTCACTAAGCCAGTTTTGGACTGGCACATTTGGAATATCATGTATTACACCTGAGTGCAAGGTTCTGCTTTCGTGTAATAGTGTTGTGGTGGAAGCGACCATGGTTCTTGAATATGTCTGAGTAAACCGCGCGAGAGACACTTCCAAGTAAATGCGGGGCGGGTTGGGTCTCAACAACCTCGGCAACCTCGGCCCATGCAACACTTTGTAGTTTTGATTGATTTAAAGTTACAAGTCCCATCAAGGCCAGAAAGACGGGATTGATAAAACCGAGATGAAATGAATACAGAATTAACTATGTTGTCAAAGCATAAAGTTTGATTTCCAGTTGGTCAAGCCTTTGGCTAGTTTCAAGAATGACAGGCCAGAGTAGTCAGACTCATCAGGTACCTACTCTTGCCCGGTTGAATGAATCTCAATCCGAACGCTCATAGTCATAAAATCCCCGGCCATTCTTAACCCCTAGACTTCCACCTTGGATCATTTCGCGAAGGTATTCCCTTGGTTCCGCCGGAATTCCATCTCGAGATTCTGCATAATGATTCTCAATATCCAAGACAACGTCCAATCCAACGACGTCCATCTGTTCACATGGACCCTTGGGTGTCTTTAGCACATCTTTGAAGATTGCATCGATTTCCCTGGGAGTGGCTACGCCCTCCGATAGAGTAAGTAGTGTTTCCCGTTTAATCGCGGCCCAAATCCTGCTACAGTCAGTCATCGTTAACTTCAAAGATGACGGACACATTACCTGTTGTATATGTAGCCAATGGAGCTCTGCTTGATGTGGAAAGGCGAGAATCCGTGCTCCTTGCATTGGGTCAGGACAAGATCGATGAGGGTTGGGTCGCTTTCTTTATGACCCATGATTTCGATGGCTATATAGGTCAGTGAATACAATGCTTTTCAAATCTAGATCTTGACTCAACATACCAGATGTCTCTGGTGGCCAATCTGAAAATCATCGTTAGTTGTCATAAAATAAATGATGGAGATGATCACTTACAGCAGTGCGCACTCATCACTCTTTTGCTGTTTTTCAAGCTCAATCCTTCAAGGATCTCAAAGATCCCATAGCTGCTTGAGTTTGATGCGATGATTGTACTTTCGGGAGCCAACTCATCAAGCTGGGTTATGACTTTTCGCTTCAACTGCAAATTCTCGGGAACACACTATTTGAATGCCGCGAGTAAGAAGAAGACACGACAAAATGATTGTCAGCCATACCTCGACAACAAACCACGCGTTTCTCAACAGGGTGTCTAGCGATGAGGGATGTGAAGTCTCGATTTTCCCCCATTCCTTAGCATCATTTGTTTCTGCGCGCAATTTCTCAACGTATTGCAGACCGTCTTGTAGCTGCTGTTCCTGCAGATCTACCAAACACACAGTGCCACCTTTGCTAGACCACTTTGCATTTGTCAGTATTGAGGAAGACTTCCATGTCGCTTCAATTGGGATCACAGACCATGTACGCCAGTCTTCTCCCCTGAGTGCCAGCTCCAATGATGACCACAGAGCCAGTGGGCTTTTGAATTTCCATGTTTGAAGATTGTTTAGTATCCAATTCTCCAGATTCAGGTACTCAAAATCGGTGAGTGGGAATTGTCGGATGCGCGAAGAATAATGTTCCGGAAGGACATGGAGACCAGGTTCGCTACGAAGTCCGGTCCGCGCGAAGGGAACTTCCAACCTTATTTCCTTGGATATGCGGGGTGTGGCTGTGATTGGAGGGAGAGCCGATTTCCGGGGAAGCTTGCACCCGTGCAATGTATGAAAAAGAGAACCACAAGAGCATGATAGAACTATAGTACGAGTGATATAACTTCATACACTCGATGCTGCAATATGTGCTCAAAAAAGCTTATAAATGAAATGAGACCGGCTGAACTGCGGCTAAGATGAAAAGAGTCTTGTGGTCAGGGGATCACTTGACATCAACCGCGCTAAATTGACACATAACGTGAAGAGAGTCTTTGAAGCGAAGGCAGAGAAGATATTTGGGAGACAAGTCATCTGGACGGAAGAAGGGAGGTAACTTTTGGAGAATCGAAGCCCTAGAGTGGGGGTAGCCAAATGGGAATGCCGGGGTCGCTAATTTTGTTGCGAGTACTCAGCAGGTAGCCGCCGCTAGCAATCGGGGGCAGAGGATTAGTGGCTTTCAACCTCTTGGGGGAGACATTTCTCTTTCTTCATTGGGGAATTGAATTGAGGTTTTTTAGTGTAAGTATTTTGTTGGAGTTGGCTATGTGACTGCCTCTTAGTCCGTATCGCTGAAGACATGCCGTGCCGAGAACACCTGGGCTGCTGGGCATGTACCACCCTACCTAGGATGGAATAAGACTACGCTTCGCCCTCGACAATACATTTCTTTTTGTAGATCCTGTCTTTTTGTTCCTAATCCATATTCTTTCTTTTTTACTCTAAGGAGCGTTGGAAGACACGACCCAGGAAAGTCTTCAAACTCTCGTTTTTTGACCAACTCATGAACCATAGCAACAGAGCCTCAACCTTCATTGTTAGAATTTTGGTGAAATTCGTGTTCATAGCCACCACGATATGCGACTAAATCCTCATTATTTGTTAGTGCTTACTTGCTGAGTAGAGCCTAGGCCACGTCCAGGTGATATCAATTTTTATCTCAATCCTGATTTAATGCTGGGGCACACTTGAATAAATTTCATTCGTTGTGCAATTACTGTGGATTTCACATTCGCAGTTTCCGATGCTTCTCATTCAGAGATAATTACCACTCGGCGAAATTTGCAGTTGGTGCAGTTTTGGGGGCGTCAAAATGACAGCGAATGATTTCCTTAGCCCCACGCCAGATATGCACATGAGCACCTGGGTGCTTTTTGACCCAACTCGCTCCAACCACATGCTGCAAGAGTTCCCCATTATGGGACTAGCGCCCCAACTGGTTCTGACACTGGTCCACATGGGCGGGTGATGTTTATGCATATATAAGCTCGAACAGTCATTCTCCGCACATTTGATTTTGTCCTCAGAATCATCCTCCAGAGCTCAGCATGTCGCCGTGTAAAGGTGTCACATCTCAAGTTTTCACTCAAGCGATAGGTTCAGAGGAAAAATGTTTACCAAAAGACAGTGTGCGTGTTTTGGAACATTCGGAGCGTAAGCACGAACCTCGAACTGACCCAGGTACCAAATTGAGCGCTAATGGCTTTGAAAGGCTATGATGAGTACTATGAACGACTCTCGACACTGGGCGATGAACTCAACGTGTGTTACCATAATTCTACAGCAAGGCAATTTTAACAAGCTGATTTTAGGGCGACATTCGCTTTCCAAACTCCATAATGTAACATCCTCCTCCATGAATTCCCATGCTTTTTACATGTTGACCAACCTAAATCCAGGTTCACGTCTACCGGCGCAATAAATGACTGGGTCGCCAAGGGACACGAAGACTTTTTCCCTGCTGAGGTCAGGCTCATAATGCAACGAAATTTGAATGGTTCATTTGGCTGTGAATATCACAGAGATGAAAGCGGCAAGGTCGTGGCGTGTGGTAAGTCATCCCCATCTTATCAAACATTCCATGTTTCTGATGCAGTGAAGATTCATGGAGCTTTTTCAAATTGAAACGCATATGGAAAACTCCCAACTCATTGAAGGTATATGACGAGTGGCTCCAGCTTGCCATATTTGTGCGAAGGAATTGGGTAACCTCGAAGCAATTCGTTCTCTTTCTGGACTGTCCAAATTATGTGATCGAGCAGCTTCAAACATGCTTGCCAAAAGTTCACAGGAGCGACCCCTATGCGTGGCATTCTTTGTTCGTCGGTGAGATGAGGAAAATATATGACCAGGCCATTTGGGATCTTCGAGGAGTTGTGTGGGAGGTTGAAATGGTATGTCTCACATGTGTCCCCTGAAAAGTAGACTTGCTAACGAGATGACAACTGCAGTACCAGAAGGATCTGGAGGCATTCCAGCCCCAGTTCATCCTTCTGCACGACCTTTCAAGGCACATCAGTCATTCCAAAGAAATACTCGATGTGGCCTTGGACACCGTGGATAGCATAACCCATCAATACTCCCTGCTGGACGAACACCATCCCGCTCCTGAAACAAGGCTTCGATGGCAATCTCGTGATATTGAGCAACAACTCTATTTTGCAATGAAAAGTCTGCGCTCAACCAAACTGAGGTGTATTTCACTCAGCGAACGACTGCAAAACGAGATCAACTTGGTATCTACCGCTGTTTTTCACAGGGTATTAATGCATAGCAGCTGACCGCGAACAGGCATTCAATATCGTGGCTCAAAGAGATAACGAAGTGTCGATTCAAATGGCAAAACATTCGCTGACGGATAATACCATGATGAAGACAGTAGCTATTGTCAGTTTGGTTTACCTTCCAGGTACCTTCGTATCAGTGAGTTGATATTCCTATGACAAGACTTCAATCACTCACATTACAAGGGAATCTTCGGCATGAACTTCTTCGACTTTGATGGGCTCAGTGACAAAGCTGGCATGAGCGTTTCACGGCACTTTTGGGTATATTGGATAATCACAATCGGATTGACGCTTGCCACAATCATGATCTGGCTGCTTTGGTTCAACGGGAAAGACATCAAGCGCGTGTTGGGGAAAAGAAAGCGTAGAGGCCAGACGAATGAAGGATAGAGACTGTACAATTGTCAGAGTTATGATCTTGAATGATGAATATGCAATTTAAATGCCTGAACAAATATGTAAATTATCGTTAATAATACGCCTGAAACACGAAGGCTTCCCCAAACAAAGCCTAAACAAGTGTATCACATCAGATCATGACATAGATAGAAAACGCCAGAGCCATGTACAAACAAACAAACAAAATCCAAGCACATGATCTCAATCCCATTGGCCCTTGCCCAAGGCACTCAAGCCACCGCCAGTGTGCTTGCCCAGCAGCTTGGCAATGTTTGAGCCGCCACTGCGTTCCTTGAGGCGAAGTTCCTTCTCGCGTTCGCGCTCACGCGCAGCTGTGTATGAATTGACTGCACCGCCCTTCTTTGGACCTGAAGCCGCAGCTTTGGAAACGCGGTTGGATGTGCTGGAGCTACTAGAAGATGATCCGCCAGTTGTCACGCGACGAAGGAGTTGAGGTGGACGGAAGCCGATGGGTCCCTCACCACCGCCAGTGTTATGGAATGCAACCTTAGAGTTTTGGCCAGGATTCGTGTTCGCGGAGTTAGATGATGCTTGACGAAGAAGGGCAAGTCGGTCGACGACGACTCCTCGGGTGCGGCGTGGGTGGCTGGGCTTGGCGAAGGTGGTGTCTTCCGAATCCTCTTCTGCCTGAGCCTCCCCAGGTGTCTCTTCACTTTCATTGTGCTCTTCCTCATCGAGAGATGCATCGTCACGGAAAGAGTCGTATTCTGGTGTTTCAGTCAGGAAAGACAATGTTTCACGAATCTCCGCGAGGGTAGCTGGTTTCTTGGACGCTGCACTTGGACGAGTGCGACGGAGATGAGGCGGAGGTCTGTTGGTTGCATCTTCAGTAGTTGGCTCGAGAGGTCGCTTGAGCTTGTTGTCTGAATCATTTGACTGCTCTTCGGAAGGTGTGTCTTGAGATTGATCTTGGGAGGCGCCTTGCTCTTCCTCGAGGAAGTCGATATTGAAATCGTCATCGACTTCACGATCCTCAACGGCCTTGAAAAAGGCTGCTTTTTTGGGATTCTCGGCAATCTCGCCAATCTTCTCATCTGCGAGCAGGGCGCGACGCATCTTTGCGAATTCGCGTTGCTTTTCGCGACGACGAGCTAAGTGCTCGTCATCAGAGTCATCGAGATCGAGATCGTCATCCGCATTCTTGCGACGGCGTAAAGCTCCAGTGGTAATGTCTCGCATCAGCTTTGCAACATCCTTTTCATCACGGTTACGATCATGGACACTGTGGATATTAGTTAGGTTCAAGCAGGTGGAAGGGGCGATACGTACGCATTGAGTGCAGCAAGTTGCTTTTCATCTACCACTTCGCCGCTGTTATCATTGATCATCTGTCGATCAATGGCATTTTCTTCGCCGTCACTCTCATCGCTGTTGCCACCAAGACCAGCGTACTCATCCTCAGACTCTTCCGCAGCTTCATCAACAACGTTTTTTGCCTTGCTGTTTTTCTTGTCATACTCCTCAGTCCGCTTCCTCTCGGCCTTTGCCTTTTTCATGACATTGAAAGCATTCGGGTTGATCTCGAAGTCTCCCTCTTGTTCGTCAGCCTGAGGTAGTTCCGCCGCACGCCCTCGTCGAAGCATCTTGCGCTTGCGATCTGCGACGGGCGATTGAGTCTGACCCACGAGAACAGTATCCACTGTGGACATTGGCGGTGTGTCTTTGAATCGTTTGGCGGGGTCGAAGGGCGAGAAGACAAAGCCTTCATCCTGGGTCGGGTCGGGAAGCTGGGACTGGGAATACTCCGAGAATGCGTAAGGGGCGGGTGACTCTGAGATGCGAGTGACATTCTGAGTATAATTGTCGATCATGTCCTTTTCATTTCCCTGAGGTTGGCTGTCTGGTGCAAGGATTTCAGAATCCTCTTTGCGAAGTTGCGCTACAGGCTGGCCAGGGTCAGGCAAGGAGAAGGGGATGGTGGAAGAGCCAGCTTGACTGGCAAAGCCATTGCCATCCAATGTGGAAGCAAAAGCCTGTGTAAGGCCGAGAGACATATCACCCGGGGTTCCCATTCCAGCTGGGAATTTGGGACGTTCGGCCGACTGAGGAACGTGGCTTGATGGTCTGATCGGCGTTGATGGCACATGGACTTGATCTTCGTCCTCGTCCTCGTCATCGCTGATGACCCGGGTTGGGCGCTTTCGCCGGGCGGAAGGCTGCTCCTCTGCGTCTGAAGGTACAGTATCGCTCTCGTCGTCGGCCTCCTCTGCCTCCTGCTCTAACACGTCCCCGCCGTTGATACTGTCGTTTTCGTCTGAATCTTCATATTCACCTTCCTCGTTGTTGTGGGTCTCATCTTCATCAGAGCCAGAGAGTTGGTAGTCATCATCCTCATCCTCATCATCCTCGCCGTTGTTTTTCTTCTTAGCAGCCCGTTCCAGCCGGGCAATTTCATCCGCTTCCTTGCGTGCTTTCTCGACAAGGTTCTCCATGTCATCCTCCATCGCAGCACGCTCTTCAGCAGTCTCGATTACAACACCTTTAGCTCGTAGTTCGTCAATACGCTCCTTGCGCTCCTTGGCGGCTTGCTGTCTGGCACGGCGCAAGAGACTGGCGGAAAGTTCTCCGGGGCTCATGGAGTCCCCCTCCCTTTTGTTGTCAAGTGGGCCAAAGCCTTCAATTTGAGCATAGCGGGGCTTTCTTGCTTCTGTCGGGTTGGCAAGTTTTCGAATGCTGCAAGTCGGCGACACTTGCTAGGAGACGTGACGATCTCAAGCTCTTCATCCGAGTCATCGTTTTTCTGGCGCTCGGCAATTTGTTGTCTGGATATCCTTACATTGACAGGACGTTGCGTAGAGGATGGAGCTCGTTTGGGCTTTGTATTGTCTGTTCGAGGAGATGCGACCTTTGCTGCAGGTTCTAATGGCGGTTTCGCACGTTCCTGCTTGGACAGGGCCACCAAGTCGTTCATGTCATTGATGTCACGAAGGGATTCATTATCATCATCCTCCATCTCGATGTCAGCCTGACTGTTGTCAACGCCGACGGCAGGTTTGCTTTGATCTGATGGACGGGGCGGAGAAGTATGCGGGGTATCTTTATTCTGAGTGTATGTTTCCCCATCGGTCGTAACTTGTGAGTTATTCGTAGACGAGTTTGCTGCAGCCTGGTTTGTCGGAGGATCAGGTTGCATGAAGTTGAAACGAGCGAACAGGCTCTCCTTGGTGATCTTTTTCTTTGTTTGAGCCTGATGAGCCAATTGCATATTACGGCTCATGCGCTGTGTTTCCTGTCTCATCTCATCCAATGCCTTCTTACTGGCCTTTCGAGGCTGGCGAGCTCTTTGGGAAAGCTTGTGCGCAGATCCCGGGTCATCAGCGCCGCTTTCTTCGCCGGAAAGAACCTCAGAACTGAAATGCTGCTCTATCTTGGCTCTTCTTTCGGCCTTCTTTTCAGCCTCGGCCTTTTCCCGCTCTTCTCGTTCCTTGCGTTTTTGAGCGACAAGGGACAGGAACCGGGCGTTGCCTTTCGGCTGCATGGGTTCGTTGACTTCGTTGTCCTTTTTGGCATCAGAATCTCCGGGCGCGGAAACAAAAAGGGGAGAATCTGATCGGGCGGCAGCGTTTTGGGGCTCGGGTGTTGACGAGTTGGAGATGTCTTTGGCCTTTCTCCTCGGACCTGCCGTGGGCAGATCCTCATCGCTAGATTCGTTCAATGTGGGCTCGGGCTCGGTTTGCCTTGGCTTTGATGTTTGAGCATTGTCGGAATGTGGCACCTTTGAGATGGCAGAGATTGTGGAGTCATGGTCGGCTGCAGGTGACTTGGATAAATTGCCCTGCATTCGAGCCGCCATCCGACCCTTGGGGCGAGCAATATCATCCTCACTTTCCGATTCCGAGTCGTGGGATGGTTCCTTTGCGCTCGTCCTGACTGAGGTTGGTTCATGTAGGTTTAGTTTAGAAACACCGGTTGTGGATTTGGCAATCCGACTTTCATCTTCGGAATCGCTATCGAATTCGGCCATCAAAGCTTTGATTTTTTGACCGGGCGTGATAATGTTCGGTGAATCGCCCGCAGGCGATGCGGAACGCGTCGAGCGTGGTGTGGATGGGGACGACATGATGAATATAGCCTGTATCCGACGAGTCAAAATGTTCAAATGATCATGGTGAATCCAATCGGAGATTGGTTGGAAGGCCTGGTGAATTCGATGTCCAAGTCAAAGAGCGAACGCCAGGCTCAAGGGTGCATAGCCCGAACGCGATGCGCGTTTCTCGCGTTACTGGGGCTATCATGTGATTCTTATCTTATCGTATCTCAATTTAGGACCACTTTGGGAGAGCCCTAAAAACTCAAGGAAAACGGAGACCAGAATACAAGATTCAGCACTTCATGATTGGAAGAATTTTTTATTTTTTTGAAAATGTTCAGATTATCCTGTTCCACTCTCAAGACCACGTTCACAAACTCTTGTACGTCCGGTCCGAATTGATAATACAAAGCTCAATGCTATTTTCTGGATTGGCCTCCCTCCGTAACTCCTCAAATTTCGCATAATGTTGGGACACAAAGGTTTTAAAAAAGAAATGAAAAAGTAGATCACAGGAAGACCATGACAAAATGCCTGGTCACTCGTCTAAAGCAATGTCGCAAAAGTTGTTGGCATGGGATCATAGTTATGCCCGAAAGAGCGACTAGATTTCGATGTCGATATCCATGTCGAGCGCAGCAATGTTCTCGTCATCAGTGTTGCGGTAGCTAATCATGAAACCGTTCTTTGGTTTCTTCGGGGTGGTCTTAACAGTAGTGGCAGAGCCACCAATAGCGTTGGAAGTCTCCTTGGTGGCGTCGGTAGGAGTGTCGGCTGCAGCCTCAGTCTTCACTGGATCGTTGACATCGTGATGGGTCTTCGCCACAGTTCGCACGCGCATGAACGGGTTCGGGACTGCCTCTCCGCGGGCGACTGCTGCAGCGGCCTTGCGAGCGGCCTTTCGCTCCTCAAGTTGAGCCCGGCGAACATTTTCGTAGTTGAGTTTCTGGTTGCGAACATTGATTTGGTGTACACGCTCAGCCTCTGAAAGACCCTTGTTGCCTGTCTCCTTCTTGGTCATTGAAGTTCCCCAAGAGAGAGTGGGGTTGACAAGATCATGGAGTTCCTTTTCTAATCGTTCAGCGTCTTCGTGATGTCCATTGGCTTTAGCGTATGAGAGCTCCTTCTCAACGTCGAGACGCTTAAGCACATTCTTCTTTTGATCGAAAGCACCCTGGCGGCGAAGCTTCTCGTTCAGTTCGTCCCGAGTAAACTCGTGGTTGATAAGATTATTGATATCAACGACCTTGGATGCAAGCTTTCCCTGGGTTGCCATCTTTAAATCCTCGACAGCCAAAGTTTTGCGGTAACGAGTGTATTCACCCTGATTTTGTTAGCATGGGGTCAATGATAATGTAAACTTGCAGGCATCTAACTCACCTCGGTGAATGCAGAGTCCGAACAGGCGATGAATGGGAACTCCTTGATTGCCTTTCCGTGAGCCAACTTGGCGTATTGATCTGTGACAAAGGGTCGGCCGTTGGCAGCCTCTATGGCATAGGGCTTGCCGGTAACGATGCCAGTGATCAAGCACATGCGGTATTCCAGCTGGCCAGTCTCATGGTGAGGTCCAACGTTGACGCGTGCGTAGCAGTTCGTCATGGCATCCTCAAATCCGGGGTAGAAGCAGACTTGCGCAAAGTTGCTTCGACCAACACGAGCACGCTGAATGTCTCGTAGCTCCGCAGGAGGGTCATCTTTGGGGATAGAGGGAGAACGACCAACACGATCATCCAGTTCCAAGTCGCTTTCAGCGTCGGCGTCTTCGTCGGAGACGTCAGATCCCAAGGACCGGGACCGACGACGCGACTGGGCTGGATCCCGGCGCCGAAGCTCTTCCCGCTTGCCCTTCTGTTCACGCTGGCGCTTGTAGGCTTCGATGGCCCCGGAGGTTTCTCCAACCTTGCGACCGCCAAGAGTCGTCTTCTGGCGGGAGCTTTTGCGCTGGTTCTCGTCTAGGCCGGCCGAGCCAGCCTTGCGTTTGGCTTTCTTGGCTGCCCGGGCCTCTTCCCGGGATCGAGAGGCTAGCAGGCGACGAAGAGCGAGATCCTGGTTGTGTCGGTCGACTTGCTGGGCACGCTCAGACAGTGTTTCCTCGCGCTGGATCTCGGGCATGGCCATGATATCCTTCTTATCTTGCGCCGAGTAGTACAGCTTATCATATGGGAAGATTGGGCGGTCTTCATCGTCACCGGAGTTCTCAGAGTCTGACTCGGACTCAGACATGGGCGCAGATTGGAGTGAGTGGTGGGATCCATCGTCGGAGCTAGATTGTCAGATTTAAACTTCATTGTTGGGGGATGATGCTCACATTTCCCCCTCAGATTCATCCTTCGCTTTGCGGGCCCGGCGGGCTACGGGCTTGGCGGTTCCTTTGCGACCCATTGCGGCTGGTGAGTGCTCACTATCTTGGTTGTGTGAGGAAGTTGAATGCGCTGGCGATTTGGGAGGAGGGGAGTGTTCCTCCTCAGAGTCACCCGCCAAAGCGAGCAACTCGGCATCCAAATCATCCGCCATTGTGATAACTTTCTCAATAGAGTTATACCCTGTGACAATGCCTTATATATCACTCCCTATTCAAACACTCTCAATATGACCTTATTGATCAGTCTCTCAGTGATCTATAGCCCTGTGACAAGGAGTTGTCTTGGGGATATGGGGTCCGGCAAGGTGTGCCAAAAGTCTTCCAAAAGTGTCCAAAAGTGTGACTTTTGCTTGCGAGTTGGTAAAGGAGGCAGCAAGCACTTCTCGGAAAAGAACGAAAATGAAGAGAAGTCTTGTGTTGCAATAAAGCGCGTAAGTGGTCGTCGCAAGTTGGCCTCTGCCGTAGATTCATGACGTTTAATGCCCGCCAAGCCACAGACCGCCTAAGCGACGGCGGAGCTTCATCACTTCAACATCATCGTTCTCCAAGCTGTACACAATGGGTTTACCAATTCTGCGCCAATGTGCGCTGAAATCTTGCCGGAAATCTCTCAAGTCAACATCTCCTGTCTTTCTCGATTTTCTCGCACCGTCAGCATCGGTACACAAACAATGTCGTAGCGCGTCAACCGCCACCTCCGGCGAGGCCAGACCTCGTTATGTCCTCAGCAAAGAACAGCGAGAGTTTATGGACAGCGCTCTTCGCGTAAATCAAGCCGGCGAACTGGCTGCAACGCTGATTTACACCGCCCAAACGCCTCAAATCGTCCGCTCCTACCCCCACCTCCGGCCCTTGATGAAACACATGTACGACCAAGAAGCAGGGCACCTGAAGACATTCAACGGCCTCATTGCAAAGCACCAAATCCGCCCGACGGCCATGTATCCCGCGTGGGAGGTGGCAGCCACATTCTTGGGCTGGTCAACCGCGGCGCTGGGTCGCGAGGCTGCAATGGCGTGCACCGAAGCCGTCGAAACTGAGATTGGATCACACTACAATGATCAAGTAAGAGAGATTCTCTCTTGGGAGGCCGATGCTGCCAGGCGGGGCGAGGAATTGGACGATGAACTCAAAGAAATGCTGGCCACATTCCGGAGGATTCGAGACGAGGAACTGGAGCATCTCGACCATGCTGTGGCCAATGACTCCAAGGAAGCGAAGCCTTACGATCCGCTCGTCGATGTCATTCGCTTTGGTTGTCGAACTGCTATCAAGATCAGTGAAAAGATCTGATCATCTGAAGCGCAAGTCGCTGATATGTATTTGTTCAAGCAAGCCTGTGTACAATATTGACAATTTCACATTCTATATTCTACGGACGAGTCTTTCTAATTGTGGTAAATGTTGTCCGCGGGGTATCAAAAAAGGATGATTCCACCGAATCTGTAACCATGGTGGTCACTTGGCTTACTCCGAGCTTTTGTGTTCCACATGGTCCAAGAAGTTCCGAGAGAATCTCACCGCTTGCTGGTAAACCTCTTCGAAGCCGTTCGCGCCACCATAGTAAGGGTCCTTCACCACCTCGCCTCCACCGACACGGTCTGTGAGCTTCCCGCCTTTGCCGAAGTCGCCAAACAGACGAACGTCAGCAACCTTGGTATCGGGGCTGTAAGATCCAATTGCCGCATCGACATGGGAGCGGGTGCTCTTGGAGCTGGGCTTGTTATCGGTCTTCCTCTGCAGCGTTGCGATAACCGACTCGCGCGTGTCCAGCAATTCACGAAGATTAGACTTGTCCATGGCGAGAAGGTAGTCAAAGGTGAGGAAGTCCTCCCTTGTCACTTTTCGAGCGGCATGTTCGTACTCGGTGATTTCGTGACGGCGCAGAGTGGACATGGTGCGGGAATCGGGAGGCTCGAGGCTGTGGTAGGCGGCTGTGCCGGCAGAGTCGATCTCTCCGATGGAGGGGTGGGTAGCTGCCAAGTCTCGGAATACACCTTCAGCCATTGGGGAACGGCCTAGAGGGGTTAGCTATGGTGTTTGATAGAAGGACTGGGCATGACGAACAGATGTTTCCTAGGCAAACAAATAGCACGCTTGTGCGTTCATTTGAGCGAGTCATTGCGGGGTATCGAACGACAATTGTCGATATGCAATCAAAGATATGTGGGCAAGGGAAACAATCAAAAGTACAGTACGGAGTATGGAGTATGGAGTACGGCCAGAGAAAGTTGCAGATTTGAGGGCGGGGACTGTAGGCCCTAGGACCCCACCAGATGCCCTTGCATTACGTCGTAGGTGCGACGCACATCATCAGGAACACGGTGCATACAGACATGATTTACAAAGAAAACCAAATTCAAGGAAATTTAAGCGTTCAAGCTAAGAGTGATCTATTCATGGAATAGGCAGCGGCTTTAAAACTGCTAAGCCCCAAGTACCGACTCTACCGAGTATAAGCTCCAGCCACAGGGTGACCTCACGGACTAAAAAAAGAAAGAGCGAAGTGAGGGTGCCTTCCATTTCCTGAACCGCGGGTGAGCCACAATGCCAAGAGATGTGGCTGAATGCCAGTCAGTTGGCCCAGTAACAGACCAACCTGTGGAACCTCTTCATTCTGTCAACCCGTGGCTCTGAATGTTTCTGACCATCTTTGGTTCTAAACACTGCAATCTCATTGGGCTCCTTTGTTCCGAAGAAGAATCTGCTTTTATTTTCTGTTTTTTTTACTCAGGTGTACCTTTCGTGTCTATACGACGGGTCAAATCAGCATCTGAAGTCACCTCCACAAGGCAGTGCGGAGCCTAGCACGGACACTTCTGATTCGCCCCATCTCCACCGTCATCGTTGCTGGGATCGGCTAAAGGCGTCGTAAACACCAAACAGAAGGGACAGCCCGGCTTTATCCCACTGTTCTCTGATCACCACGCTTTCTCCCCTTCTTCACCATCGTGTGACAACTTCATATGCACTGCTCCCATATCAAACCTCATTTGCAGCGTCATATCTGAAACAACGCCGAGAGTTCGGGTCCGTCAATCAGACTAGTAATCCTTTCCTCTGACGCAGCGAATCCCACCGGGCGCTCCTGGCGCAATCTCCAGCAGGCCCTGCTACAAACTCTAGGCAGGTCAATTTAACTCGTCCCGAGGCCCGCCATGGCCTACAATCGTGTCGGTAACGGTTAGTGCTCCTGTTTTATTGGAACTTCCCTCCCTCCATATGCTCCGCGCGTTCTCCATTTGCTTGAAACATCTGAACCTCCCACATAAGTGCTGGTCATTGGTTTCAATGATTGGCATATTGTTCGCGCTGTCCAACCCTTGTGATCCCAGGTGTCGTTGAAATTTCGCAAAGACTGACGATGTCACGACCAGACCCATTCGGGGATGAACATGGCGCGCCCATGTTGAATCCTTCTCACAACACAGGATACAGTGCGCGCACTCCTTCCCCGGGGGGCTACCAGCTCCAAGACAATCCATATGCGCAGCAGTCGCATCTTCCTATGCCGTCAAGCGATCACCTCCTCGAACAGCCTACCTATTCAGTTGAGAATGTCTCAAACTCTTATGCCTATCACGACAACTATGGCTCGCAACACCCTTACTCTGCTCCCGATTACACGATTAACCCCGAAGCTCATCACGATGCTTACTATACCCAACCGTACGAACCTACGCACCCCGCACATGACGATTATGACCTGGGGCAATACCCGGAAGGTGGCCACACTCCTTATGAACAAGTCGAAGAGCCCATGCTTGTACCAGGCGAGAACCCCTTCGGCCCTGACCCGCACGAGTACGAGGACGATATGCGCCCGACCCCCAGCCCCGCGCCGATTCGTCGCTGGAAGACGGTCAAAGAAGTTCAGCTCTTCAACGGTAACCTGGTTCTTGATTGTCCAATTGCGCCGAGGTTGCTGAGCCAGGTTCCTCATGCCGAAGCACCGGGACGCGATGAGTTTACTCACATGCGTTACTCGGCGGCAACCTGCGATCCTGCTGATTTCTTCGAGGAGCGCTTCACCCTGCGTCAGAAGCTCTTCGCAAAGCCTCGTCATACCGAACTGTTCATTGTCGTGACGATGTACAACGAGGACGATTTCCTTTTTGCGCGCACCATGTCCGGTGTGTTCAAGAACATTGACCATATGTGCTCCCGCACAAGTAGCAAGACTTGGGGAAAGGATGCTTGGAAAAAGATTGTCGTCTGTGTTATCAGTGACGGTCGTGCGAAGATCAACCCTCGCACCCGTGCTGTTCTTGCTGGTCTGGGTTGCTACCAAGATGGAATTGCCAAGCAGCAGGTCAATGGCAAGGATGTGACCGCCCATATCTACGAGTACACTACGCAGGTTGGATTAGAAGTGAAAGGCACGCAGGTACACCTGAAGCCTAGATCTGGACCCCCTGTGCAGATGATTTTCTGTTTGAAGGAAAAAAACCAGAAGAAAATCAACTCTCATAGATGGTTCTTCCAGGCCTTTGGTCGTGTACTGGATCCCAATATCTGTGTTCTTCTTGACGCAGGTACAAAGCCTGGCAAAGACTCGATTTACCATCTTTGGAAGGCGTTCGACCTCGAGCCTATGTGCGGTGGTGCATGTGGTGAGATCAAGGTCATGTTGTCTCACGGAAAGAAACTTCTCAACCCACTGGTTGCTGGTCAGAACTTCGAGTACAAGCTCAGTAATATTCTGGATAAGCCGCTCGAGTCTTCATTTGGATTTATCACTGTGTTGCCCGGTGCCTTCTCTGCCTACCGTTTCGTCGCACTTCAGAACGACAAGAACGGCCAGGGTCCTTTGGAGCGATACTTCATGGGAGAAAAGATGCACGGTGCCAACGCCGGTATCTTCACAGCCAACATGTATCTTGCCGAGGATCGCATTCTTTGTTTCGAGATTGTTTCCAAGCGCAAGTGCAGATGGCTGCTGCAATATGTCAAGTCGTCCACCGGTGAGACTGATGTACCTGATCGCATGGCTGAGTTCATTCTTCAGCGTCGTCGCTGGCTGAACGGTAGTTTCTTCGCTGCTGTTTACGCCATTGCCCACTTCTACCAAATCTTCCGCAGCGACCACAGCTTCCTTCGCAAGTTCATGTTGATGGTTGAGTTCGTTTACCAGACTGTTGCGATGGTCTTTGCGTGGTTCGGTATCGGTAACTTCTTCTTGGTCTTCCACATCTTGACAACCTACTTGGGTTCAGACGAGTTACTTGGTACCGCTGGTAAAGTTCTGGGAATCGTTTTCGAATGGCTATACCTGGCAACTCTTGTTACCTGCTTCGTCCTAGCGTTGGGTAATCGACCAGGTGGCTCCAACAAGTTTTACATGACAATGGTGTACTTTTGGATCGTGATCATGATATACCTCGCCTTCGCTGCCATATTCGTCACGGTAAAATCGATTCAGACGGAAGTGTCGACTGAGGGTTTCACTGTCAGTGATCTATTCACGAACGACACGTTCTTCTCCATCATTGTGTCACTTGGTTCGACCTACGTCATGTGGTTCATCGCCTCCTTCATCTTCCTAGACCCATGGCACATGTTCACCAGCGTGAGTACTCGTCAATCTCTCAAAGCCTGAATCTTACTAATCATCTCCTTAGTTCATCCAATACATCCTCCTCACCCCGACTTACATTAACGTTCTCAACATCTATGCCTTCTGTAATACCCACGACATCACATGGGGTACCAAGGGAGACGACAAGGCCGAGAAACTGCCCTCCGCCCACCTCAAGCCTGGTGGCAAGGTCGATGTGAACATCCCACAAGACGATGGTGACCTCAACGCCCAATACGAAGCCGAGATTGCCAAATTCGCCATGAAGCCACCCAAAGAAGTCACTATCATTTCCGATGAAGACAAGCAGGCAGATTACTACAAGGGATTCCGCAGTGCTGTCGTGCTCGCTTGGGTCTTCTGCAACTTCGCTCTTGGTGCAGTCGTCCTCAGCGCTGCCGGCCTGGAGACATTCGACGACACATCCTCAAGCAGCAGCAATCAAGATGCCACGCAGAGCGAGCGCTCTTTGATTTACATGAGGGTCGTTCTCTGGAGTGTTGCTGCTCTGTCAGGATTCAAGTTCGTCGGTGCCATGTGGTACTTGGTTGTCCGAATGGTGAGTTTTTTTCCCTTCCAGACTCGTTTCTACTCCATACTAATATTTCCCTAGTTCCGCGGCGTTTGATTTAGCGATCTTTCAACATTATTTTGTTTCCAATGCGATACCATATATCGATGATTACCACGGCAGGCCCGGTCTGGTAAATCCATGAATGGGATTGAAAATGAGGGTCAATGTAATATGCGTGATGACTTTGATATGCTTTCCGTCCGTTGTGACATGCGAAACGATATCGTGGTGTATCTGGGTTTGTCTTTTTTGGGATATCCATCTTTCCTCAACATTCACGTGTTTGCAATTCCGAGATTGCGATCATGTGCACACTTGGATTTCTGGGTTTTTGGATTGTTATTCAGGGAATATTTTGTATTTTATTTGTAGATATGGTGTGTTTGATTACTCCGTGTCAACTTTATTGGCGTTATTTCAAAGAAGGCAATCGGAGGAGGATGATTTTGGGTTGATATGACCACGGGATCTTACCTTGGAAACCATATATTCGGGCACAATCTCATTCTCTATCTATCTAAATCTTGGAATTCCTCGCCTTGGGCTTTCGTAATAACCCCATGTAGGTAAGTGTCCTGCTCAGGTGGTTGGGTGGCTCAAAGTATCCTCAGATCTCGGGAGCTTTTGAGATATATCCGGGTCGATACCATTTGGTGAAACATTCGGGTAGACAAGTGAGCAGACCCCATTTTCTACTTGGAGATTGAGAAAACCCTGGAAGAGATGACGAAAACCTGGGAGAGACAGCCCCTGGAAGATAGAGGGTAACAGATAACCGCTGTTGGGTACCTTCCTAAACGGTCATCAACTCTTCCCCTATGGTAATATAACCTTACTCCCTCATTTTCTCTCTCTTTTTCCTTCACTCTCCACGCCGAGCCCGATTACGACTGAAGCTAATGGACACAACACCAGACTCACCTGGAACGACGGAGGAGGGCGACTTGTGAACATGCATTGGCAGCGGCCCTGGGTCGCAACGGTCAAAGATGGAGGATACAAGAGGAGGGATGTTTACTGGTGAGAGAACGGTGGAGTACGCCGCAGCAGGCCTAAGAACCTGGCTTTGGGCGCGCCAGGGGATGAAGCACAACTGGGACTCTTTTCTCGGACACAGTGGGCATCGTCTTCTCAAGCCTCGGCGATTGCTTAAGCGACATACAAGGGGGACTGTTCTTCCGGGGATGTGGACTCTGGTGGTGGGATTCGAGGGAGTTGGCAGGTGTGGGACACCTTTGCTCGGTGATGATTCAGTCTAGATGATGTTTTGCATCCATCGGACTTGGCGACACCCTCTGGGAGAGCCGGGCAAGCTTGATCGGAGGCTCGCGTTTGAGATCTGAGAGCAAGAAATTTTCATTTCGCGAGATACAAGATCGAAGCAAACCCCCTATTAGCTCAAAAAATATAGAATAGAACTTGAAGCTAATACTTTCCCAACAACAACAGCGTGTCGAGAAGATGAAGACCAGAGAGTTCGAGGATCCGCTCTATAGATCCAGGGCTGCTTATCGGCGCACGGACCTCCTCTACAGCACCTCCGCAAATCCGCAACGTAACGACGACATCATTCCGCAGCTTTTCAATTCCCAGAAACCATGGATCCCGATGCCAGCGTACCTACCGAACCGGAACCCTCTGTGATTAGCTATGTGCTTTCATTCCTCCTCGTCGGTGTAGCATGGGGCTTCACAACCCCCTTTATCCGACGCGCCGCGGCAGACTTCAACGCCCGACAAGAAAAGCAAGCCAACGAATCAGCAAATCGCGGACGGTCACGATCACGGTCGCAACGATCTCCTGACACCGGCTTCACCGACGCAGGCGAAGACCAGGAATTGCTCCCCCAAGATGCACAGGACACGGAACCAGGACATGAGGATGGAGTGCGGGACCGAAGCATCAGTCGGAGTGACGTGAACCGCAAACCCAATGCTGCGGATGCAGCCATTGGATCGGAGAACGGAGGTTCGGCGCAAAGGGCAGGTTCAAGCATCCCAAGGGAAGATGACGACGAGGACAACCTACCTGAGCCGGCGTGGAGGCGTGGATCTGCCGCCAAGCAATCCTGGCTGCGCGCGAAAGTGGTTTCGATATTTTGGACGGTGGTCAACTTGCTGCGTACCCCTGCTTATGCTATTCCGTTGGTTATCAACCTCACGGGCAGTATTTGGTTCTTTTTGCTTGTTGGAAAACATGGTAAGTTCAATGAGAAGCTGTGGTATTGGTCAATGCTAATGTGTCCTTTCAGAACTCTCCCTTACCGTGCCGCTCATTAACTCGAGTGCTTTCTTGTTCACTGTGCTTGGGGAGTGGTATGTCGACCGTAAAGTGATTGCGAAGCAGACATGGCTGGGTATGGGGTTGGTTCTTGGGGGAATTGCAGTGTGTGTGCATTCAAAGAACCAGGTCTCTTAAAAACCTTTGGTTTCTGGACTCACTTGCCATTTAAAGCTACATATACTTTCTCAGCCAGTTGTAGACAACCATGTAATACAGCTTTTGTCAATTTGACCGCGAGCTTCGGAAATTGTCGAGATTATTTTGAAATTGTAGCCTCACTTTCCTGATTTGGGTCAAGGTTGGTTTTTATAATGATCACGATTTCCTAGCGGTTGAAACCAGTTAGAACAAAGCCAACATCCAATCTCCCATTTCAAAATTAAAGGCATCTAGAACAGCTCCTGTGTTCGTCGCCGCACATAAGGCCCCAAGATATACAAAGGTAGAGCCAGGAACAGAATAGCCCACTCAATACCAGCAAACTCATAAAACATCTTTTCAATCCCTTCCATAGTCATCCAAGAATATGAACCCTTAGCAAGACCAAAAGCAACCACATTCTTGGAAGTGTTCACCAGCACCAATGCCTCACCACTAGTCCGAGGGTATGAGTCTACGACGTAAGACAACATAACCGAAGGAACAAGCGTAAGTCCAGCTGCACATATCGCTGCGCCAACAGCAGGACGGATATAATGCTGGTGGTGTGCCACAGTGTATCCAAAAACAATCAGCCCTACGGGGCAGATCAAGAATGGAAGGATCAATGCAGGAAGACGATGCTCAGGTTTGTGGATCCCGTTGTTGCGTGTACGTAGCCAGCGAGACAAACGATCCGTCAGTGGCCCAGCAATCGGCGCAGCAATCACGATGCCGATGAAGCTGCTGAATGTGAACAGACCAAGATCTGCGGAGGAGAAGAGGTATGGAGGCGGAGAGAACACATCGGGCGCAATCGTGGAGATGATGACAACGCTAGATAAGGTATATCGTTAGCATAGGTAACCAAACGAAGATATGAAGTACTCACGCGCCAAGAATTACACCATACATGGCGGATGCAATGAGAACACCAGGAATCAAGAGGAGTGGGAAAGGGAGAATGAACAAGTACGCGAAGTACTTGATAACACCCTTCTCCTTTGCTTTCTTTGAAATCTCGAAAGACCAGAGGCCCTTCCAGTAAGAATGATAATCCATTTTTTCACGCCCCTCTGTGCGAGTATCACTCCGAGTGACGTTCTCAACATGGCTGTGAACATCTTTCTCTATGTCGTTGACAAGCTCTGGCTCTGGCTCAACTTCGTACAAAGTCTCGGGTAGGAGGAAAACAGTGGTTATAAGATTGACGGCGGCAATGATAGCGCAGAGAATGAAGAACCATCTCCATCCTTTGGCTTCAATTAGATAACCTGCAATAACAGGGCCAATTTGAGAGCCGCCCGAAAGGAATGCGGCGTATATAGCCATTGCGCTGGAGTAATTGCGTTCATAGAACAAATCTAGACCTTTTAGCGCGAGAATTACGACAAAGGGTGTGTACTTACCAGCAAGGATACTTGGCCCCAGTGACTCGATTGAGCCATAACCTATGAATGGTTTAGCAATAGAAAAGCCACAGCCACAGTAAAGAGTGAAGCATACCAAAGCTAGCAAACACACGCGATGCAAGAAGACTATTGTAGTCTTTTGCGACAGCGCTCCAGATGACTCCACCCAGAAACATGGCCATCGAAATCAAGACGATAGGTCGTTTTCCAAATATCAGAGCCAGAGGCATCCAAATCAAATTAGACAGCCCCATAGCTAAGACAGAGTAAGTGATTAGCTCTGAAAGTATAGCGAATGGCAGGTGCAAATCTGTAGCCAATGACTCAAAGCCGACGGCAATACCAGACTGAAAATATCAGCACTGTTGCATATAGTAGCAAACCTGGTAGCTGACTTACCGAATACATGTTACCCATGAAGACAAAGACATTGACGGTAAGCAGGGCACTATACGTGACCCGCTTAGGGAACAACTGTCGAACAATTAGCCAGATTGCCTCATACCTCGATGAGTGTAACATACCCTGGGGTCTATGGACATGTTGTGGCCTGACACTGCAATGTGATGTGGGGCCGATGGGGGAATCAATGCTGACGCAAAACATCAGGAGATCGAGAGGGAAGACATAGCTACATATAGCAGGCGTCCCCCAGACTTTGGCGTTTGGAAGCTTTGACAGAGCGAGTCATCACACTCCCAACACGGGGCTTCCCCGCAAATGCTCATTGTACATGTGGATAGGCCCCAGACCGCGCCTTTCCTCTTCGGAGGTTCCAGTCGGTTGCTAGTGTGGAGCTGGCAGGTCCGGGGTAACGCCCCAGGCCTCTCGGGTTGTCCGTGGAGGTGGACGCCGCTCGGATGCGGATCGGGACCACATTAACAACGTGCTTCTAAGCGATATCATTCACGCATGATTGGGTGATGATTGTTATTAAACATGATGATTTGGAACCGGTGAGAAGAAGGGGCAATATTAGTTGCCATATGCGTCGCTAAGGCTCTCAAGTACCGAGCTGTTGTCAGATGGCATTTTTAATCTTCGCTCAGCGAACAGAAGGCTTCCCGAATTGACGCCTAACTGCCCAGATTCAATTTTGGTACTAGAGAGCCTGGTCAACAAGCGGTTTTGGGCCCCTGATTCTAAAAGAAATTAGGAGTTACGAAGTAAGTACGCGTGGGCGTAAGAGTTGGAGGGAGTTGTCCAGAAACAGGTCACGTAGCGAAGAGTACGCTGAGACCTCGGAAGACACAGGCACCCCACCTGAAATTTCTACCAGGCAGACTCATTAGAGATATCTAGAACTATCAATCATCGTGAAGGATGGTAAGTCTATATCACAATTTGATCGAACGTCCTGGCGACCTTCATTACATCAGTGAGAGGAATGAGCATAGGTGACAGCAAACTTCATGAATTCATCTCATACAATACATCATGTACCCCGATAAGCTGAAACGACCTACCAGACAATTTCTTTTCCGTTCAGACCCTCAACAGCGGGGATCAAAGGACGCAGCGCCTGACCATAATCACCGCCATTCGGGGTCCGAAGCAGGGTATGGATGTGGAACTTCTTCGGCTCCTCATTATTCAAAAATACACCAGAGTGATGATCAAACTCGACGAGAATCACCGGACTCTGAATCCTGTAATAGAATGGATCTTCATCCCCGTATCCTCCAATCCAACAAAAGTACGTCTCCTTCTCATGAGCGCGCACTTGATCGATCTTCATCGCCCGTGACTTTGCGGGCAGGTAAAGCAGGTATTGCTCCAGTATACCGTACATGAGATCCTTCTGTGCAGAATCAAATGTCGATGCCAAGATTCCCTCGTAAGGCACTTCACGGTTATCTCGGTACGCACCACACAGATGGCGCTGATCATCCTTGTTCCAGCGGCCAGGCGGCATAGCGGGGTCTTTCATTTCAGCAAATACACGCGCGGAGGACTGGAGCTCTGCCGACAGTGATTGCATAAGCTGAAGTCCGAGCTTTTCTTCCAGTTGCATGATACGCGTGCCGGAATGTGGACCCGCATCGATCTCGTTCGGTTCTGCGCCTGTGAACCACGGTGACGCGACGATCTGTCCCTTGTAGAGGAAAATATTCAAACACAAATGGTGACCGTAGAAAGACCAGCCCCATGGTCGCGTGGTGGATGGGCGACCGAAAAGAACGAAATTGTATGAGAATTCATTCATGACGGCTGGCGAGTTGACCAGTTCGCCGAGGAAATGGTTGATGCGCATTGCGCTGACGGCTTTTTCGTAACCCTCGGGGGAAAGTGTTGTCTTGAGAACATTCATGACTGCATCGCGGATTTGCGAGCTCACTTCGTCTAGTCGGATTCCCTTGTGAGCTAACAGGAATTCTGGGTTGGACCATGTGCGCCATTGCGGGGAGTCAATGTGGTAGTTGATGGCTTCTTTCTGCTTGTCATCCAGCAAGGCTGTGACAGCTTCAGTTGCGCTCACAATATCCTGGATTGGAACGTCTTCTTCTTGTAATGTGAATAGCCCGGGGCGGACATGTCCTGGATGCTATTAGCTTTGGAAATCTTGTCCTCGTAGCGCTGACTGTACCGTCCGTTGTGACGCCCTTGAATGGCTCTTGCAATAGCTCTAGCCAATGCATGTACAGTGCATGGAGCCATGGCGGCTGGTGCCCAGTCTTGAAAGCGTGCGCGTACTCGTGGGCATCCTGCTGGCACATCACCTGGAAACGCTCCAGGCCGAGGTCCGGCAGGTACTGGCGGAACTCTCCAGTGGGCTTCTCTAATTTATTTGTCATGATGAAGTCTATAATTGAGGAAAGAGAGACGGAAGGAGAAGAAGGTCCTAAGAGCCCCTCCACGAGATGTTATAGCAAACTCCAGCCCCACATAAGAGCCTTCCCCACGCCCGTGGGGACTGGAAAAAATCTTACCCGCCAGGATTTTTGTGGCGAGTTGGAATTTTGGCCAATGCGGATGGCTCGGAATGATGCATATCGTAATCCAAGGTTCTTTCATACGCGGGGAAGCATTGGGAGGTTATCATGGACATCTTAATGTAGTTCCGCGCGGCATTTGGCGCAGTTCGGCTCTTGGACGCGTCGGACGTGCCGCTTGTAGATTCCAGCTAGATGTAATTGGTGCATCCTTTCCAAGTACTGGAATTATCATCTACCACCTTAGAATCTCATTTATCGTAAAGAAGCGCAGCATGACCCCTCGATAATAGCACCTGACTTGTGTAGGTCCACCATGAACAACCTCGACTCGGATCTTCCGGCGGCTTCTCCGCTCGGAAGCTTCCCCCGCATATCGAGTTTAAAGCTTTAAAACTACCGAGACTGGGGACATTGGTTCATCACAACCTTCAAAATGTCATTGAACTTCACCAACCAGCCACCTGCATCGCGCGTACCCTATGCCATCCCTCAATTGGAGGGTGAGCGCATCACCATCCCCGGCAGCAAAGGAGTCTTCAGGATTCTGACCTCCGCGAAGCAAACCGGGGGTTTGATGGCCGTGTTCACGAGCGGCGCTGTCCTTTCCGATGCTCCCGGATTCCACTATCACAACCATGCCCACGACGTATTCCTTGTCACAAAGGGGTTCTTGAAGCTTTGGAATGGAGACCAATGTCGGATATTGGGGCCTGGTGACTTTGCCTATGTTCCTCCGGTACGTTGCCCATCCCCCAGGAGACAGCCTTAGAGGCCGGAGCTAAGACTCGCAGAAAGCCATCCATAACCCAGAGATGATGGGCCCGCACACAGAGCTCCAAGGGTTGATCACCCCCGGCGATTGGGTGGACTTCTTCAGATACGTGTCAGAGCCATTCGAGGGTGTACTTATTCCCGAAGGCGACGACCGTGACCTCAAATCCATCCTGATTCCCAAGGTCATAGCTGCCAAGGAGAAATTCGACGTCGTGTTCCAGCCCCACTACGTGGCTCCCGAGGTCACCGCATGGACTAAGGACGATGAAAAGTTACCAGAGGGCCCAGAAGGCTACTTCTTGCGCGCCAACACCGGCCCCAAGTGGATTCTGGGTGGCGTTTTGTCCCGTCCCTTCGTGACTACCACGCAGAGCAGTGGTGTCTGTGCAATTTCCAGCATCGAGTCGTCCAAGGACTATGGTGAGACAGCGTTCTCTAAATATATGACTTTCCCTGAAGTCGACCACTGCTTCTGCGTTATGGAAGGCGCGCTGCGAGTGGACTTGCAGGACGCAGATAGCGCTGTTTTCCGCGAGGGCGAGACTGTGGTGATTCCTGCCGGCCAAGCTTTTTCGCTCGGCTTCGAGAGCAAATTTGTTAAATTCCATTCCTTCACCGACGGGAATGGCATTGAGTCATTAATCCATGCTGCTGGTCAACCATTCCAGGGGGCTGTGCTCCCTGACGCGGCGCCCGAATATAATCAGTCGGAAGTGGAGTCGGCTGCGGCGCGCTTGAATATTGCGATTTGAGGCTATCGATTTTTCAGTCATATAGATATCATTCAATCATTCCATACTGTTTAGCGAAATGAATCGAAAATCTCAAAGAATCTCAATGTTGAGCATCTCAAATTTACCCACATAACCAAGAAGCAGTGGAAGAATGAAGCCAGCTTGAACTGAATGGTCAAAATTGCCGTGCAATCACGTGGAGCGCAGGGTGTCCGGAATTTCCGACCTCGCTGAATCCTCATCTGTACTCCACTGTTAGCGCAACGCTCAGGATCGATACATCATCTGGAAAACATCAGGGAATGTCTGCATAATGCAGCATCACCCCATAGCCCCTGCTGATAGCCCAGCAGCTAAACGCGCGAAACGGCCACGCGCCGCGCAGGCCTGCGACCGATGTCGGCTGAAAAAGTATAAATGCGACGAGCAGTATCCCTGCCTACATTGCAAAAGTGAGTACTCCCAAACTATACAAGAATATTTCTCTAACCTCCCCGCAGAGAATGACCTGGCTTGCGTGTACCAGGGCAATTACAGAGAGCGCGAAAGCGGCCGGTCTGCAAAGTACGTTGTTGCTCGGGCCGATCACGGTGCACGCTAACATCGCCAGCTATGTAACCGATCTCGAGAAAAGGTCGAGGAGTTGACCTCCAAACTTCGTGCCTCTGAGTCAACACAAGGAGCATCCCCAAGTGGCCCAGCAGCCGAAACAACACCATGCTCTATGCCTAATACATCGACTCCTCGGGAAATCGCAAAAATACCCGAGACACGCGCAGAATCAGCCGAGAGCGGCGAGAATGAAATCAATGAGTTCAACCATCACACCAACGGCACTGAATTCCACGGGAGTACATCATCAGCTGCAATCATCGGCCTTTTGAAAAAGGCACGTGAGCCGAAAGGCCAAGAGGAATCCCATCCTCTGCCCGGAGATTATTCACTCATCTCCACGCTGCATAACCCAAGTTTCTCACCAGCTTATGTCGCGGGACCGGGCCAGATATTGTCTATCGAACAGCAAAACTACTATTTCGATCAAGCGCATATCTTTATGAATGGATATTTCGAGAATATCCACTTCGTCCACCCGTTCATTGACAAAGAGGACTTTTTACTGCGCGCCAATGACCTCTGGTTCAACAGATCGCGAACTCCAGAGCCAAGCTTTGTTGCACTCTATCTTAGTATTCTATCTGTTGGATCTTTGGTGCGCGTATGGGACGAAGGGACCATAGCTGGACTGGGGCGCTTCGAGTGGAGTCGGAAGCTTTTTGCTGAAGCACAAGTTTACTTGAATCATTTGCGATTCTCAAATGATCTTGAAACGGTGCAATGTCTTTATGTTATGGTATGTCTGGATCCAGTTTTAACTGGGCGTGGCTAACTTCGGCAGGCCAAAGTTTGTCAGAATGAACTCAATCCAAACTGTACGTCTCCCTTCAGGCGCTGAACAATTATGTGAAACTAACAGAACAGTGGCCTACATGTATCTCGGATTGGCAGTAAGGACGTGTCTTTCCGCTGGCTTTAATCGGGAAGTCCCTTCCCCAGGAGACAACGGGCAGCGCTCGGGCTGGATTTCGAAGACCTGGTGGTAAGTTTCCCAGCTCTTTCAGCTCGGTGACAAACTAACGAGACACAGGGGATTATTTTCGCTTGAAATGTAAGGACATCGACTCAATATTTGGAGATCATACTAACATCTGGTAGTGAAATGAGTTTCTCTGTTGGACGACCTGACACTCTCGGCATGGATGAGTACCATAACAGGAGCATTCCGCCACGCGATGATTCCGAGTTCGCCATCATTCCATGGATGATTGATTTTGCTCAGATCATCCGACGAGTATCGGTTCAGATCTATCATTCTCGCATCTCATTACAGGAAAAACTGCAGATTGCCTTGCAGATTGAGATGGAGATGGACCGCTGGCTAGCAAGGCTTCCAGAAAAGATCAAACCAGACATTGGCGGCTACAGACTGTCTCGGAGTGCTTTGCGGGATCCCAAGTGGGCGAGAAGACAACGATTAGTGCTGGGAATCCGTGAGTCCCCTTGTTTTTTTCCAAGTGATTATGCTGACCTTCCAGGATATTACAATGTTAAAATGTTGCTGTTCCGGCCATTTTTAAGCCACTTCACACGCAAGCTTCGACATCCTCCAACCGAGTTGGATCAAACCATCGACAAATGCTTGGACTCGGCGATGAAAACCCTTCAGGTTGTTCACGATATCTATCGGGTTCACACATTCTTCCGCTGCTGGTAGGTCTTTCTGAGCTCAAACCTCTATCAAATCTAACCTCCTAGGTGGTACAACACAACATACGTGATGTTTGCTACATCGACACTCCTCCTTCCAATGTCCAAACTTGGAATGTCACCCGAGACCATGCCTTTACTCCGGTCGGTAGAGATGGGCGTGGAGATATTGGAAGCTATGGAAGAGTCCGTGGTAGCCCGGAAGTCGGTGGAGATTATAAGACAGTATCTCAGGGATTTCCGAGCTACCGGGGCCCCACAGCCTGGAGAAGAAGTGCCAGCGGTAGACACAGCCCCTGGACAAGGGTTTGAGGTGCCGGTATGTAATGCTGATTACCCTACGAAGAACTCAACTAACGTTGACAGGAATGGGCCTATGGGTTCGGCTTCCCGGATTATTCTTTCGAGGGAATTGCGCGACTTTTCGATGATGTGGGCGGTCTCCCCATGCTGGATGAGTAGTTTCAAGGTTTTAGGGCTGGATCCTCGTTCCTGGACATATTTATAGCACAAATTGGTTGTTGATTTGATATTAGCTACAGAATCTGACACCCCCATGAAGTGGACTTCGCAAAAACTTCTGGATTTTGCAACACTGCGGTCTCAACCTCCTTGACTGCATCGTAACCGTACAGCCAGGGTTGTACCTCGGGACAAGTCCTATTCCTGTTAGTGTCTTTGTGCAATTTTGAATAAATCAACTTACCATCGACTTGGGAATGCGCCTTTGATCTCCTTTCCAAGCTGTGATAAAAACAGTTGGTCGCGCTTCTCTTGCTCTTCACCATTGGGCATATGGAAGTCGTGTCGCTACTTGATCAGCCAGACTCTTTCATAGAGGGATGCACTATTTACCTGCTTGAAAGTCTCCCGTACGATTGCCTCTCCACGAGATTTGCGCATGCTCTCGTACAGTCGCAGAATACGAGGGAGCTGGCTCTTGTCTGTCATATTGCCCAGCAGCATGCCGAGGACAGCCCCATCCTCGAGTGAGGAGTTGGCGCCTTGAGCTAGATATGGGAGCATGGGATGACAAGCGTCTCCAATAAAGACAAGGTTCGAAGTGTCGTTAACCCATCGCTCCATTTCACCGTGGTGCATGAGCTTCCACTTGTCGACGTTGGTCACATAGTTCAAGAAGCGATTCAATCTGATCAGTTAGCACGATTCTGACTTGATTTTGGGCAACTCACATAGGATCCCAGCCAACAAACAGTTCTCGCATCTCATCAACAGAGCCAGCTTGTCTTGAGACACCGGCGGGCAAATTGTCAGGTACCAGAAGTACGATGTTGAACATCTTCCCACCACGAAGCGAATAAGCCACCGCATGAGCACCCGGGCCGGCCCAAAAGTGCACTTCGGGGTTCTCGACCAGAGCCCTCAGCTCCGGGTCTGAGATTTGATCCGTACTCAACACAATACGATATGCCAAGTCACCTGTAGGAATGGGTTCGTCTTTCTTCCCCACAAATGCTTCCCGACATCTCGACCACAGTCCATCCGCAGCAATGATCAGATCGCCCGAGTACTGCTTTCCGGCGAGCGTGTGAACAGTGGTGGAGTCAAAATCGATCCGATCAACCTTCTGGCTCATGTGGAACTTTACGCCCAGATCTTGCGCTCGAGCAAACAGTGCTTGCTGAAGATCGACACGGTGCAAGTCAACAAATGGCGCATTGTACTTTGCGCGAATATTCTTGTCAAAGTCTTGCTCGTGCGCCAGAATTTCACCCGAGTATCGATGCACTGTAAGTTTGGTGGGTTCCGCAGCAGCATCCCATAAGGATTGTGGCAGCTTCCAGTATTTGAGAAGTAATGAGGCATTGGGTGTGATCTGGAGCCCGGCGCCGACTTCCGCCAGCTCTTTAGCTTGCTCTATAACCTCGACATTATGTCCCGATAGTGCGGCGGAGACTGCAGCGGCGATACCACTGAGACCGGCGCCGACAATGACAATGCGGAGGCGAGCTTGTTCGGAGACCTAGGCCCGTTAATACCGATATGGAACTGTAGGGGTCTTCACGCAACACACCATGCTTAGAACGTGTAACTTTATCAAGAAACACTTTTGATTTGGGATAAGACTTAAAAGATGAAGGTCTTCGGTGATTACTTTTTTGAATCTCCGCAGACGCGCCCAGCTCTCCCCGGAACCACCGACCCCCACGACTCGGGAAAGCCGGTCGGCTTTTCCAACGAACAAAAAACAATACAAATAAGCGATCCGAGATCCGAGCGCTGCCATGTGGGACCCCATGCGTGAAAAATCATAATCTTCTCTTAATATTCCGGGGTATCGCTGTGGAGATCCCGGATGTCCAGTTGGATTGAGACTACGGGCGTGGGGCTGTGAAGATGTTGTATAGATTGCTAACATCAATATTTCGTAGTTTTAGAAGGTTCAGAGGCATAATAATTGTGTTCCTAGAGCTTGCTCTCGTATTTCAGCAGAGAGAAGAGACAAGTCAGCATTGAGTGCCCAAATCTCACAAGAGCGGGCTCCTTGTGAAGATTTCTCAAGCCACACGCCTCCAGAACACCTGATTCTAATCCTCCGCTGTTATTACCAGTGCTTCTTATGATGAAAGAGAGGTAAAGGGGCAAGCTAAGTATAATGCTGGCAAGGCTTCATGGGGTAAGAAGGTCCAATTCAACGAAGAAAATAATAATGGAGAGAGGAAGGAAGAAGAAGCAAGAAGCTATGGACCAAAAGCAAGCAAAGCAAGCAAACAAGAAGCGAGTGGAAACAAGCAAGCAAGCTGCATATACAAAGATGAGAGAGAGATATCATGTGGTGCTCGCAAGCATGACACTATCTATGGATGGAAACGAGATCCCCCCAACACTTTGATTAAAGTGAGCTGAAACTGAATCAAGATCACAGTGGATAAGAGTAACACCTCCTGAAACATGTCCCAGAAAAATGATATTATCAGCTACAGCCTGGGTGCGGGGGTTGTTAGGCCTGTAATCCGTCGGTAGGAACAAAAAGCGTTTACCGTCCCGAACAACCCATTCCTTGTCAATGATCAAAACAGGTCGAAACTGGGAATGAGATGACCACGCAGCCGTGGAACCCACAAAAAGCTCACAGTTCGTTCTTAGGTACCACCCATCGTTTGAGAACGAAAGAGTTTCTGGAATAAATTCTCCCATCTTAATTGTCTGCTGCTGCACACCCGTTCCTATGTCCCAGAGCCGTACCGTAAGATCCAAAGAACCTGATCCCACGATGAGGCCGCTTGGTGAAAAGACAATGGATTCAATTATACTGGTGTGACCCATGAGAGTTTTGTGGTGTCTGCCTGTTTTGGAGTCCCAGAGTCGCACCGTACAGTCTGCTGAGCCCGACGCCACCTTTTGGCCACATATTGAGAATCGGACGGCCGTAATCCTACCTGTATGGCCCTCGAGTGTCTTGTGGTCTGTGCCTGTTATCACATCCCATAAACGCACTTTATGCGTACTCCACGGGCTCAGGTACTCTGTCTGTTGCACAGTTGAGCCCGATATCGCCATCTTGCTGTCTACTGAGAAGGCAAACGCAGTGACATTGCTTTTATAAACCTGAAGGGGTGGGCGGTAGCCCTCAATTGGCAATTCAGGGGAACTTGAATCGCCTAAGGTGGGGGTAAAGAGATGAACAGCTGGCAGTGCAGGGGTGATATGCGGCTGAAAGGGTACGTGTCAGATCCCCCACCCGAGATGAACAGCGAAAAGTTTGCCTAGCTCAAGAACAATTTGAGCTCATTGGCTGAAGAAAACACAGACGCTATTAGAAAGACCAGGTTGTAGCGTTTGGTCGGCCTGGTTTGACTTGAGGTCAAGGTTAGCGGACTCTATCCGTAGAATTTCAGTAACCTCACGTCTCACGTGTGGGAAAAAAAATATAATATAGAAAGCTTCAGCATATTCAGACTTGTTATAGATTTGCAAGATATTGGGTTTATATGAATATTAATCGCCTGCAAGCATACCATAGAGGCATTCTGACTCACGCCGTGGAAAAGGAATATTAAACAGTAGAGCCTGCCATTTCAAACACCGAACACTGTAAGACATCAATGTCAAAGAGAGCCAAACCGTAAGTAGACAGGATAACATAAACCGTCCATATAAATGGACGCGCATTTCGTGTGTATCATTTTCGATCAAGAGAAATTTAGCTCATCATGATCTGGGATTAACTCATAACCCCCTCAGAGGGCAAGACCTTAGCAGCCAAGACAACCGCAGCGGCACAGAAGAGACTAATGCACCAACTGACCGTGCAAAAGACCCAAGACTGATCGAGTTTCCAGCCGACAAAGAATCGGTCCTCGTTATCAAATAAGTATGCCTGCAACCTGTCAGAAATGTTGCTGAGTCACAATCCACGACGCGACATACCACAATGGACATGCCGGCAGCCTGCACGATAGCAGACAGTCCGACCATTAGACTGAGAACAGACCATCCATTCTCGCGTAATCGTTTCCCACCCGAGAGGATAACCAAGTATGTCACGACGCTCATACCCTGCAGCACGATGGCGAAGGACATGAGGAAGCCGACCGAGCGCCACATCGAGCAGAAATATCGATCTTCGCCATGGCAGTCTTCGCGTTGTGGGAAACTCTCGCAGGTATCCGTTAAAGAGGAGCAGCGACGATGGAGACCGTAAGAGTAATGATGATCGGGCTAGACCGTTAGTCCGGAGCTATAGTGGGGCAAGGGACGACGAACCTTTTCACTGTGGTAGCTGACCCATTTCGGGATCACGATGGATGCTATAGTGAGACCGAGAGCTGAGGTTGTTAGAGAGGGTCGGTTTCGCGGTGGTGAGCTACCTACAGGCGAGGAATATTACCAGCGTGCCGGTGTAGACTATCGTCTTTGTGAAGAAGCCTGTGTAGTTGCGGTCAGTGCCGCGAGGCACGAGGCGGAAGTCCATAGCTGCTGGTCTGCACTTGGCCCAGCCCAGCTCTGGGCATCGGATTGCAGGGGAGTTTAATAGCAAGTGAGGTGGCCTGAAGGAAGGGTGAGGTCTGGTGATGTCAAGATAGTCGGCGGGAAAGCGATAAGGAAGGGTCACGAGGCAGTACGGAGTACTCCGTACAGGGTTAGTCGGGTATGCAAGGAATGCAAGTGTATCGAGAGAATAGTCTGGAGAGCATCAGTTGGTGACATTTAATCGCTCTGTACTTCCCCGCAGGTCAAATCAAGGCAGCTGTCAATGCGGTCTTGCATCTCGGCCAATCAGCTGCGTTTGCTTGAAAGCTTCACCTCCCTAGCAATTAACCTTGGAAGCTATTGCTAACAAATGTCTACTTTCTAAATATTGTGTCAACATATATATTATATAGCCAGCCCAACAGTTCATACGAAGGAGACTTCAAATCATATCGGGGCAAAAGTCTTGAAAAGACAGCCCCTCGGAACAGACATCATCATTAGAACTAAGCCCAGAATACAGTCATAATATACACGACGGCATGTGCCAAAAAAGAACAGGTCGTGGCGCAAAAGACCCGAATGAATCAATGGGGATCTAAAAAAAGGGCGCAAAACATAGAGATCACCACCGAAGCACAAGAGAAGAAAAAGCAAATAAGAATAAACGCCAACCGAATACATGCCGTAAAAAAAAAAAAAAATGCGCCGGAAACACTGTCATTGCATTTGCACTTCATCCCCAATCACTTTTTCAGCATAGCACGGAAGTCATCATTGCTCTTTTTGGGCTTCTCGCCGTCGGCCGTGGTGTCCATCTGATCAGCCGGTTTCTGTCCGTGGGCGGGGGTATGTCGCTTCGCTCCGAGGCCACCCTTCCGACTAGGTTGCTGAGGCCTCTTGATGGCGGCAGTGGGTTGAAGAGCAAGCTTCTTCTTGGGGTTTTCAGTCTGCTTCACCGATGTGACGCGACTCGACTTCCACTCCGCCCGCTGCTGCTTCATCTCTTCGACAGTGCCAAGGTGGAGAGGGCGGTCAGGAGCAATTTCCTTCCCTTCAAGTGCCATCATGGCTTTGCCGGCGTCATGGACATCGACGAACTCCACAAGGGCACCTTGGTGGTCAGGGCGCAAGTTGATTCTGACCAAGCGTCCGAACGGCTCGACAACCGCACGGACACGGGCTTCGTTGACGGTATCGGGAATGTTCATCAGGGCAAGTGTACGATCGGCAACTTCGCCAACCGGTACCTCTAATTCGGTGGTGCCATTAGCTTCTGCCGATTGTCCGCGTGGAGCAACTCGGTTGATGGTAGTGGCGGTGACTCGCTTGTGCCCACCGGGAGTGGCAATCTCGACGCGGACACGGCGCGATTTGATCATTTCGTCGTTCATTGCAAGAGCGTTATTGGCATCCTCCTTAGTCGTGAAAGTGATGAACCCATATCCTTTGCTTGTATTGTCGATCTTGCGGGGAAGATTGACCTTTTCGATTTCTCCAAAGCGGGAGAAAGCCTCTCGGAGGTTGGTTTCATCGACACTCCAGTCAATGTTAACCAGGTAAATTTCTCGTCCTTCGTATCTTGGTCCACTGCGCTCGGTCTTCTGCGCGGGGTTGGAGATTTTAACGTGCAGCCTTTGGTCTTTCTCATAACGCATTCCGTTCAGTTCAGTTGCATGGAGAGCTGCACCCGGGGTTGAGAAGGAGACATAGCAGAAGCGTCTGTCTTTGTCGTACTTGAGAGAAGGGAAGCGGACATCAACTACTTCGCCATACTACTCAGAGTTAGTGATGATCTCAAACATAACTAAAGGGGGTACATACCTTTCCAAAGAGTTCCCGGAAGTATTTCTCGTCCGCAGTAGGTGGCAGGTTAGTGATCCACAGAGTCATTTCTGCACCAATAGCCACGTCAATGACGTTGCCTTCAAACTGTTTTTGGTCACGGGTCTGAGCAGCCAGGGCCTCGTCCTTAGTCTCGAACTCGATAATAGCCTCCTCGGTTTGCTTTTCGTCCCTTTGCAACATCGTGACACGGTTGATGGTGCCACTGTGGCGGAAGAATTGTCGGACAGCGTGCTCAGTGGTACCCTTGGGCAATTTCTTGACCATGACAGTCGCATTCTCCCTGTCACGGGAAGGACCCGCGGCCGGGGCCGCTGCAGCGGGTGATGCTTCTTCATTGCGAGCCTTTTTTGGTTCTGGCATCGCATCCTTCTCGTCTTCGCGCTTTCTTTTCTCTGGCGACGGAGCAGCCTCCATGGTAGCCTCCCACTGTTGCTGCTGCTGTTGCTGCTGGGCTTCTGCGGCCTCTCGTGCTTCTGCTTCTCTCCGGGCATTAACAGCTCTCATTGCTTTGCGGGTCTCGATGAGCGCGAGCTGTAGTTCATCAGAGTCCTCGTAATCCTCGCAGTGGGTGATGTAAGTCTGAACAATTTTCTCGGGCCAGTCGAGGTCCGTTCTCTTGATCGCCTGTTTGAGTACGGCAGTAGCATAGCTCGGGTTTGGCGTGCGGCGCGCGGCATCGACGGTAGCCTCGCCCTGGACGAATTTGCTCCAGCAGATCAACTCCCATCCATAGTGGGCAAGCCAGAATTCATAGCTACCACCACGACGGGACACAAGACCCTTGAAAGTTTCTCTTGCGCTATCCCAGCTGCCGCTCTCACTCAGGAAACGGATGTAGATCCGCTCAAGGCGGAACAGAGGGTCACCTTGGTAGGCCGGTCCATATTTCTTTTCACCCAATTCCTGCACGCTCTCGATCGCTGACCGAATGCCAACTTCGGCGACATCGATGTCCTCGTCGGTCGAGTCGGACAGGAATGCACGTCGGCGAAGGTAGCTGCACCAAGTCACGTGAACCTTGAGAACCTCCTCTAGTCCACCAGCATCAAGCAGGCCCGTGCTAGTCGCCTTGTGTTTGATATTGGAAATTTTGTTGAAGGATTGGCTTTCTCTTTCCGAGCTCAGCAAGTATTGGGACCAGAGGTTGCCAGACCATGGGCAATGGCGGGTGGCGCGGTCAAGGGTAGAGATGGTTGTGGTGGAAGCACGACGATGCAAAGATTCACCAATGAGGAACATGATATAGTCTTCCCATAGTGATACATCAGTGGGGAATTGAAGAACAGCCCGCTGGTAGATAGCGTTGACTAAATCGAAGCTGAAGTCTCCTCGTTTGCGGCGGTTGCGAGTAAGTTCCCATTGAATGTACTCAGAGTAAACAGTCCACTCCAAAGTACGGTCGCCAGACCCTTCCGCCTTTGCAAGGCGGTGCTCAAATTCTTCGCGCGCAGCGTACAGAGCTTTTGCTTCTGCGGCGCGGGCGACTGTCTCGGCCATGACATCTTCATAATTGCTGTTGCAGTATGTGGAGATGAAACCGGAGAACTTCTGGAAAGTCTCGCCCCAGGTGGCATGGGGAGTTTGCAGACGAACCTCGTAGAGGCCTCGAAGATGGTTGATCTTTTCCTGGGAAGGGCCACGCGCAATGTCTTGAGCATAGAGATCGAGAAGACGATCCCATACCAAGTGGCTGTTGTTTATTCTCCACTTGGTCGCATCAGCAGCGCGCTGCCACACTTCCAAGACCGACTCCCATGTGAATACTTCGCGGCCGACCATCCTGTCCTCTTCGGTCCACTGAATGCCAGTTTCGCCGTGAGCAGAGTTGTAGAGGTAAAGCACCCATTCGCCGTATATATGCCAGAGCTTGGTGCTGCCGTATTCCTCCTCGACAGATCGCTGACAGAGTTCCAGGACAGCAATGCGCCCGTCGACGTCTTGGGCAAGCATACTCTCATCCTGAATCCACTCAGCCCAGAGATCCTCTCCCATGGCAAAGAGCTTATCCATCTCCTCGCGTGCCGTCTTCAAGTCGTTCAGCAAGTCATAGCGTCGTGGGTCGCCGTGCACATCTGGTTTGTTGGGCGGGTAGACATGGTTTCTAAACCCAGCATGTAGCAACCCGATAAATTGAACGTGCGCGTCATGTGTGTGAGGATTCAAAGAGATGCGACGGAAAAGTTCGGTCGCCATTTGCTGCGCTTCCGGTTCAAGCGAAGTTGCGGCGTAGGTTCTTTGCGCGGGATCGCGACGAGAGGTAGGGGTGTTGTGGTTGACAGAATTTACGTGAGGATGAATGGTAGAAGGGGAGAGTTGGTGTTCGTAGGATTCGGTGCCTCGAAGCATTTGAGCTTGAGTCGGGCGTTGTGGCTGATGGTGCTGCATGGAAGCTAAATCCGCCAAAGTATCCATCCCGGGCGTAGCAGGTTGTCTTGACGGCCCTTCAGTCGGGGAGGTCCCATTCCCTCCAGGTCCCGCAGAAGGTTCACCGGCGGGTGCATAAATCTGTTGGGCAAGAGGTGAAGAAGTCTTCTCTTTGCGTCTGGAACCGCCTGACCGAGTTCGTTGAAGAGCTTTGTGGGGGGATGGCCCTGAGGTGGCCGGTGCGTTTGACGTGGGAGTGGGCACGGGCGTCGAATTACGGGATTTCGGATTCGAGTCCGGCGAAAGAAGAGAATTGATGTCCATGTTGAGCTGGAGAAAGAGCGATCGAGTGTCGTGAACCACGGATAGTGCTCTTCAAGCAGAGATCCAGATCATACGTGTTTGTCTACCTCACCACGTCCATTCCTGCATCGGCCGCAGGTTGTCCAGATATCCCCCCTTGGTATTTTGCTGCGATATGGCCTTAAACACCGGGTCGGGCAAGCTGTTAGAACTTGCGGGGGCTGGTATGAAAGGAACGGGAGCGAGTCGGCGGAAGCTGTTCAGAAAGGTTGTTTCGAGTCGAAAAGGATGGATACCGCAGGCTGAGGGCCTGGGAAGGGGAAAGAGGGATGTAGGAAGGTGACGAAAAAGAGAGAGAAGAGGGAAAGGACTGAAAGAGGGAAAGATGAGGGCTAGTGGATACTGTGGAGATGATTTCGTGAAGAGAGAACAGGCGCAAGAATGGACATGCACAGAATAGTTGACTCCGAGAACACGTAGCAAGAAAGACAGAAAAACTAGATCCCAGCTGCACATCTATTCTCATCTCCTGTCGCATCGTGAGGCTATTCTGATCGATCAACTAAAGGTGCCTCAGGCTCCGGTTATCTGCACAGACCACAAGTGCAGGGAATCTTTCCACCTTTTTTCCGCGTGCTCTTTTGACAACAACATCAACAGCCACCATGGTTTATCGCTCAGGGCAATTGGTCCGGTCAGGTATGTTTTGAACAAATCTCACTCTTTTTACTCTATCTGACCCTTCAGTAGCCGCCCGGACCGGCGTCGTCTTCGTCCCTCGCCGAACCTTGACCTCAACCCCCATTCGTTGCGCCGCGAACAATGCCGAAAAGAAGACCGGTCTCTTGTCTTCGTTTAAGAATATGATTCTGGGTGACTCAAGCAAGAAGTCGAAAGTCACTCAGCGGCCAGCGCCACCCCCAAAGGAGGAGGGTGGCCTCGCTGGAAGCTCCATCTTCGGATCGGATTTTACTGCGCCATCAGCCGGTCCCACGCCAACACGACCTAAGCAAGGGAAATCAACGGAAGCGGAAGCGGGCGCCGAGGTGTCTCCCAGAGTGGAAAACCGTGATGCTACCCGTCTTCGTGCCGCACTGCACCCAGACCCCAATGGACAGTTGCGGTGGGAGAGGAAGATGGCTATCCGCGACATTCGGAAACGAGGCCGCCTGCCGGTTAAGGTCCAGATCAAGCGCAGCGAGCGCGAGTCTCTTTCTAAGTCCCAGTGGATCAAGACCTCCCTAAAGAAGCTCGGTCCCCTGGCCCGTCAGATCGCCGGCAAGAACATTGATGAGGCCATTTTGCAGATGCGCTTCAGCAACAAGAAGGCCGCCAAGGATGTGTTGGAGCACTTGGAACACGCAAAGAACGTCGCCGTCGTCCGCTCCGGCATGGGCCTGAGCGACCCCGCCGCCGAGACCCCTAAGCCTATTACCGTCACCCTCAAGACCGGCGAGCGCAAGAAGATCGCCGACCCCTCCGCCATCTACATTCAAGAGGCTTGGGTCAACCGTGGTCCTTACGGATACGAGATGGACCACCGTGCTCGTGGTCAGATCAACCGCATGCGTCCCCCTACCACAAGTTTGTCCGTCCTGTTGAAGGAAGAGAAGACCCGCATCCGCGAGTGGGAGCAGCGCGAGGCCAAGGCTGAGCGTGAGCGCAAATCACAGCTCTGGACTCAACTTCCGGATCGCAAGATTCCCACTCAGAACCAGTACTACAGCTGGTGATTCGTTTCTTGGCGTTTGTATTATTTATATTAGATGGCTCGCACCTGGACAGTTGTCTTTCATCGCCTGTTTTTGAGGCGAGAATTGCATTTATGGAAAAGTCGCCATTGAGCGGCCCATGTACAATACTGATTAAATTTTGGATCTCAAGTCTTCCCACCTCGAAGTGACAGTGACAAAGTCGCTTGTATCTTTATTGATAAAACCATCGTATTCATACGAGTCCGAATGACTCGGGCATGATCCAGTACCTCGTTCTCAACCATGATGTTTCCTCGGCCATGTTTTCGCTAATATCAGTAAGGCGTGTCCACCTTGCATCGATCATGGTTCTCATCGACAGCTCGGCCCCAAGCAAGAACCAGACCTTGAGACTAAGCAGTCGTCTGACAGGAATTTATTGCTGCGGCAATGAAACTCTAAGGAGTGTTGACCTTCTCAGCCTTAACAAGTACAGGGATCACAGCACCGGTCGCCAAAGCGAGTTTCCGGTGACCCAGCACTTCCAAGATACTTGTGATAGCACCGGAATGAGCCGTCAACGAGACATAGGTGTTATCATCGGTGGAGAAGATATCACCAAGTAGGCAACTAAGACGCTTGTTGCGGTCTTCATTCGATTCTCGGATCATAGGATCCCACAGCAGGTCCTCTTCTTCAAATCCATCCTCGAACCGATAATGTGGATATTCTGTGGCGATGGCAGTCGCACTGGACCGACGGTCACAGGTGTGCTGACCCATCGTCTCACGAAGCAACTGTTCACAATTAGTATAATGTGATCGTGCGGGTCCTCGATGATGATCCAACTCACTTCCTTGATAGTAGGCCTGAACGGAGTGATGTCGGCAATGGGAAGGCCATCAAAAGTCACCTGGGCGGTCGCCAGGCAGCGATTCATAGGACTCACGTAGAAGGATTGAGGTGGAGGAATGCCTGCCTGCAACTGGTCTTTCCAGGCGCGGTGTGCTACTTTTGCCTGCTCAATGCCTTTCTGGGTCAGACGAGCGTCGACCCACTGCCCATACTCGTCCCCATCTTGGAGGGACCAGTATTCCTAGAAATAATTAGAGGTTGCTTTCGAAATAAGACTCTTTGTAAGACACTTCCAACTTACGTCCCATAGCTTTGTACCGTAGCGGCTTTCAGCGACATTATGAACTCCCTCTCCGTGGCGCCCCAGGAACAAGACTTTGAATTTTGTTGTGCTAGCAACAGAGTTCAAGTGGTCAACATGGTCTTGGAAGCGCTTCCACGGACTTTTATCTTGGCTGGACTCTGAATCTTCATTATACTGGCGGTCAATGAGACCGAAGTTCGAACGCACCTGTACCGGTGATTAGACCAAATTGCGTTTGGCTCAGGGGCCAGAAGTCTGGCTGAGTCACTTACATAGTCGAACGTCGCAGGGTCAGTAGAAGGATCGTCCTGCAGGAAATACCCTGACACCGTGGTCAGGTGAAGCTCAGATTTCACGGACATGGTGGTCTCAACGACGGTCCTCGTGGCGGGCGTGGAGGGGTTGTGCTTTGACGGGCATAGGGCTGAAGTGGGACGAGCACACCCGTCACGAATTCCAGGCCCCGGGGATTGAATACAACCTTGGAAGTACTCAGTACGCATAAATATAATTAAGAATCTACAGACATCTCCAGGCCTCGTATGCCTAATTTATCAGACCAGTTGTGCACAACAGTACAATAATTCATGGGAATGTTGCTTGACAATTGAAAGTACCCTCTCAGTCTCTACACTGCCCAGGTGTTCGGTCTGTAGACGTACGATTTGGCTCAAGAATCGACAATCAAATCAAGCGCCTGCTCTGCAGTGAGTCTATCGGAGGGTAGAAAACGCATCAATCCTTGAATAACGCAACGCAGAGGCTCGAACGCCGAATCCACCCCAGCGAACTTTTGTTCAAGCGTCGACGTTCCGTGATCTTCAAACGTCAATAAAGCCTCGGTAGATGTCTAGGGATACTCACCTTCGTATTTTTTCAAGTCATGGCTGGATTTATCAAGCATTGATGCCCACTGAGACTCCCATTCAGTTGGCAAGCTTCCCAAAAACCCAATCATCTGGAAGATCAAAACCTCATCTTCGCCCAGGTACCAAAACGGCCACGATGCGAAGATAAATGAGTAAATCTTGGATTCATATAGCGGTCAGTATGTATAAAATCGTTACAAAGAGAAATCACAGCTTACCATGGACCCTGCCCGCCATAAGTCGACACGGTAATCAAAATAATCAGTGAAAATCGTCTCTGGTACCCTCAGCGACCCGGGTTGAGCTAGCTTCGCAGGCTCTTTTCCGTGTAAAAAGCTCTCCCCGAAGTCAAGAAGCCGAATGTCTTCTTCATCCTCATCCACCCAATCAACCCACTCCGTAGCCTGGACAAGTTCGGTCGGCAACCCACTTCCTAGAGGCGTGCCATCAATCCGAGCCAGTGGTTCAACCTCGGGGGATCCCAGGACCTCGAAAAGCTCCTCTTCGGTTGCTTGGGCTAGTTTAGCACACGTAAATGCAATATTCCGTCCACTGATATCTATGATAGTGTCAATCACCTAGGAACCTATCATTGGAGAGCAAAATGGATATACCACCGTGGCACATGCCGACGCTGTGAAGAAACTTAACAGCCTTCAAAAGCTGTATAGAGAATTGAAACACAGATTCTGGTTCGAGCCTCTCTTGGTCAGTTTTGTAGTCCGCAAGGACGATTTGTACTGAAGGTCCCAGCAGTTCGAATACAAGACATTGGTGAACTCCATTGGGCCCGCTATGGGTAAATTCATCCAATAGCTCGACGAGAAAATTCGAACCAAGCCCGCCTTGACTTTGTAAGAGTTTCAAATTCTGCAACTCTCGAGAAACTGGTGCATCTGCAGTCAGGATTTTGAGAGAGGCCCAACGATCGAGTCTGGTGCGGGATTAGCTAGCTAGGGATAGAAAGAATTCATGCAGACAGCACTCACTGGTTGTCTTTCACGAGCCAAACTGTGGAATGCCCACCCCATCCTAGCTTGTGGTAAACTTTGTAGCGCTCGTTCTTGAAAGTGTCGCCAAGGGTCACGGGGTGGTAGCCTCCAGGTCGATATTTTGGTATTGACTCTTGGGTATAGAGTAGGTTGCTTGGTAACAACAAGGATAGATCCAACCCTCCTGGCTGGTCATGTTGAGACTGGCTGCTGGCAGACATTATGAACTTTGTATGTTGTAGGCATCAAAGTACGGAGTACAACAGACGGAGTTCCAAGTTGGTTTAGCCGCATGAATGTGTCTTGGCACTGTGTGTGGCATTTTGGGCTTTCGGGGCGGTATCTGGGCGTCCTACGCCTGGGAAGCGCTTGGTGAAACCCAGCGGCTTCCAAGGTTTCGACTTGGTTTCACCTCTTGTGGACGATGGTATTTCGGCTGGCATACGGAGTACATCGTTAAGTTTTAGGCAAACACCCTACATTAAATCGGTAGAACTTGAATGAACACATCTGAATTTTGATTTTGGTATCTAAGATTGTCGTAATAACGACGGGTGGTGTGGAAATTCTCTCTAAGCTCGCATGTCAGCAGAGATGGGGCCTAGCAATGAGGCCCGGTCTTAAGAAAAGAGGTCAAAAAAATCAAGCAAACCTTGGAAAACTCGACGATTCCAACCTAGATTCGTAGACCATTAGAGCTGAACAACTTGTGAACAGCTCGCGTATATCTGCCAGCGAAGGAAAGTCCTTTCCATATCGCTCCTTTGACGCTTCCGTGCTGGAGCGTCAATTGGGCGCAAAGCGCAACGGAAGTATAAAGCAAACTGCCAACACGAGCGACCGACTGTGGTAAACCACTGGGCAATGAGTCCAGCAAACGGTTTGCCAACGCACCCGGAATAGAGTGAGAAGTCTTGGTCGCTTGTATTTTCGGCATTGACTGTAGGCCAGCAACGACGTTCGATGCCGATCGTCGTTGCAGCCCCAGCGCCATGGCAGTCCCACCTGGGTGAATCCCATGGGTGGCAGGAATGAATCCTGGCAGAATTGTGTCTTGCACAATTCTTCGTATGGGGGTTCCCCCATTCGATGCGGTGCAAGGCACGGCGGAGGGAACACCAGAGGGGGTTGAAGTGTCGGACTGTGCGGGCACAGTTGAGGAGGAGATGGACCAGCGCAGACTTGAGCCGGCTGGTGGTAGAGTGGTGGCAGATTGGTTGGTAGATTGGCATGTAGCACGGCCTCGGTCGATGGCTGCTGTGTTGGAGCTTGTGCCAGAGATTAATATCTCGTGACCCGCAGACGAACTGGGAGTCTTCTTGCCAGCGACAACATCGCGACCAGAAGATGACCTGACAGTCCCGCCAGGTTGAACAGTTTCTTGACCTTGAGATGCCTCGGAAACGTTCCTTCCTGGTGGAGCAGCCCGGCTGTGGGCTTGGATTGCGTTCTTCGCAACCAAAGTGCCCGATTTGATAGCAGTGTCTTGCGATGACACGTTGCTGAGGCCTGGGGCGCCTGGATACACAGAATCTCGTCCTGGTATCGTACTCCTTTGAATGTTCGTTCTGTGAAGATCTTGTGGGACAACTGGCAGTCCGATTGATGTGTCGTGGCCAGAAGATGAGTTTGTGGACATCCTCGGTGGTTTGACGGATGAAAGCAATGGTGTTTGAGGTGCAGTGGTCTGACCTGGTGAAACAGGGTAGCGTGTGTCTGGACGAACCGAAGTTTGGAGCTTCGGTTGCTTCAGTCGCTTTTGCAGAGTGGCCATTGTCGGCGACATGCTGGCAGTTGCGCTACCACCAGACCTATTCAGGCAGTTGCACTAGTCACGGTTAGCGTGCTTAAACAATGGAGGCGGGTAAAACTTACCTGCTTGTGTTGCTGTTTGTGTTTCGCGCAAGCGCCGAACTTGCGAGCATTGATGTAGTTCTCCTTCTGTGCCTTCGAACGAGGCTTCTGCTTTTTCGGCACGTTGGCGGCAGCATTCATGTTCAAATCGAGCACCATTTCCATGCCACCTGGAGGAGGTGCCTCTGTAGCGGTTTTTTCCGGGCTGGAGAGGGGAGAAGCGCTTTGGCGCATGTCGGAACAGCTTGAGGAGGAGAAGCTGGTGTTGGAGTCTGAGGACATGCCTTGATCATGCTTGTTGGCATCGCCGAGGCTTTGGAGATGCAGATAAATCGAAGCATCGCGACGCTTCCGCTTCATGGAAACAGCACGGTCGTCGAGAGCGACCAGCGCCTCAACCTCGCTACGGAATGCATTGCCGTCGTAGGGGTTGTATCCCGCAAAGGAAGCATCATCGAATAATGGAGGTGTGGGATCTTGCGTGAAGGCCCCCTCCATGGTCATGAGCTCTTGTTGGTCTTCAGCGCCGAAGGATGGTGTCATGAAATCGACTGGCGAAGTGAATTCACTCTCGTAGGGCAAAGCCAAATCTTGGGGTGAGATAGTGGCAGTTGACTGGGTGTCGTAACCTGAGAGGAGAGACTGATTGTCGTAGCCTGAGAGGAGAGACTGGTTTTCGTAGCCTGAGAGGAACAACTGGTTGTCGCAGCTTGAGGGGAAAGACTGATTGTCGCAGTTTGAGAGGACATTGTGGAATATATAATCAAAGTCCACCGACTCGGGGTCTTCCATGTGGAATCCCATGGGGTAGGGTTGGTCGACGTAAGCCATAACTAAACGATGCTAAGAAGAGCAACGGGGTATCACTGGGTATCACTATGTTGGTAACCAAAAGACCAAACGTTAAAGAAAGACGTGAGAGGCCAAAGCCAGTCCCAAGGCAGTAGGACAATAATTGTCTAGTGATATGGCTCCGAGAGAAGGTGAAGAAGCCAGACCTGAGGCAACGGTTCCTATGTATGCGCTGAGACTCTCCAGGCGCCATTCCTCTTTGGGGTCCCCGACTCAGCACTAACCGCTTTGGGTCCCCGACACCCCGCCCCGATCGCTCTAAGCCGCAGTATGACTCAACTGTCATACTCCTGGGGTACTTCCCCCTACCTACTGTTTACTATGGGCCTTGGAGGTACCCCCAAAGTCCCTTTTTGGTGCACCCAAGAAAACTTATTCTTCATGCAGATTTCCATGGTTTTATGATGTTGCTCTGATGGTGATGTGGTGATGTGGTGATATGCCCCTGTTTCGTCGCCTCACCGTCAGAGATATACCTATAGGCAGGGGGTGAGGCTGTGTTGGCATAGCCCAGGGCGCTAACTACCCAACCCGGGAACGTGATATCCTGTAGGACGTACGGAGTAGGACGTCACTGAAACCAAACGATTTCACGAGGCGTATACAATTGGACCCCATTCTCCGTTCAGAGCCCTGGAGTGTAAGAAAGATCTGCCCTGGTAAAGAGCCCAACTCACTTTGAAGCAAGGGTCTTCAAGACCCACCGTGACACACAGCTTCGGAGCCTCGGCAAGGAAAATCCTTTTCCACCAAATCTAGAGCTTTTTTTGTACAATTAGCTCTGGCTAGTGAGATACACAGACCACCTGGGAAACTATGGATTAACCATGCATATAAGGAGGCTTGGAGGGTTCATTGCCGACAATGGTGAGGGCGCTACTCGGTGCTCCCACTCGGCTCGGTTATTTAGCGACTTGATATATCTCCAGGTGTGGCCTTGAGAAGTAAGTAGAAGGTCCCGAAGGCCAAAATACAAATCTCAGTAACACAGGCAAGCTGATCACTTTTAAATATCAAGTACACATGTGTGTGGTGGGCGACATTAATATGTACACTAAGGTGCACGTCCACTCCACGATCGTGAGGTTCATTGCCCATGAGACAGTTTAGCTTAGTAAGGAACAGAGTCCCAGAATCCCAACTCCAGAACTCCAGAACCCCCAGCACTCCAGTAGCTTTCCCCCCACAAACCTCAGTCGGATTCTTCTCCCATCCTGTGATTTTCAATTCCATCGGACCTCCAGCCCTCGACACCCCTGATCCAAAGTGACATTACCCCTCCCCCACCTCGCAAAACGGTCAACTTGTCCTTCCCTCGGTTCTGTTGTGGGGGAGACCATAAAGATTGATTGGAACCCTGTATGCTTTGAGGGCAAAAAATAACAGCGGGAACCAAGGCACCGTCGGCAGCTTCGGACCGTGAAACCGCTTGGAAAATCAATCACGTCACGCCCACACTATGGCCGCCGCTTTTGACGAGGAAGACCTCGCTATCCCCCTCTCTACCGACCGCGATCAACGTGAGAGAAGATCGCCCCAGAACCCCGCTGCCATGGCTATGCCACCCTCAAAGCCCTCCGGTAAACCGGAAGATCTGCTGCAGTCACCCTCGACCACACGAGACATGCAGCGCCTCGACCAGTACCAGACAATTCGGGTGTTGGGCGAGGGGTCATTCGGAAAGGTGAAGCTCGCCATTCATCAGCCAAGTGGACGCCAGGTGGCCTTGAAGATTATCTCGCGGCGCAAGCTGCTCTCCCGAGATATGGTCGGTCGCGTGGAGCGAGAGATCCAATATCTACAATTGCTGCGACACCCCCACATCATCAAACTGTATGACCACTGGACATTGATTCAATGCATTTTAAGTAATCTGACCGATTGTTCTCAGGTATACCGTGATTGCGACCAAGAGCGATATTGTGATGGTGTTGGAGTATGCGGAACGAGAGCTGTTCGACTACCTCGTGAGGAAGGGGCGATGCGGCGACGATGAAGCCCGGAAGTTTTTCCAGCAGATTATTTGCGCAGTCGAATACTGTCATCGACACAAAATTGTCCACCGTGACCTGAAGCCCGAGAACCTGCTCATCGACAACCAAAAGAATGTCAAGATCGCGGATTTCGGATTGAGTAATATTATGACCGACGGCAACTTCCTCAAGACCAGTTGCGGTAGCCCCAACTATGCGGCGCCAGAAGTTATCTCTGGAAAGCTTTACGCTGGCCCTGAGGTGGACGTGTGGAGTTGTGGCGTGATCTTGTATGTGCTGTTGGTGGGACGACTGCCATTTGACGACGACTACATCCCCGCCCTCTTCAAGAAGATCGCTGCCGGTACTTTCCACATCCCTGGCTATATCTCATCCGGGGCAGCTCGCTTGATCAGGGCAATGCTTCAAGTCCACCCCGTTCACCGAATCACCATTCCCGAGATCAGATTGGACCCGTGGTTTACCAAGAGCCTCCCCACGTATTTACAACCACCACCAGAAGAGTTTATTGCGCCCGGAGTGGATCCAAAGAAGGTTGACAATGGAAAGCTGGATCCAGCGAAGCCGGCACCGGTTCAACATAAAATCCATACGATTGCCGTGTCAAAGCTTGAACGCAGCATGGGATACGGCAAGGAAGACATTGAAGAAGCACTGAGACACCCGGAACCCAGTGCAATCAAGGATGCGTTCTCTATCGTTGTCGACAATGAGATGATGCAGACCAATTCACCAACAGAAGACCACATGCTGGCCCAGAACGTTCAACCGAGAGGGGCTGCACCCTCATCCGCAGACAGACCCCCCGCCCCACGGCACCCACCACAGTCTGCAGCTGCCAGGCAACGCGCCACCAGTGTTTCGCACCGCAGAGCCTCGGAAGAGCCCCAGACAGAGTCCGGGGAAGAGCCTCGCATCAGTCACGTGCGAATTCTCCCTACAAGTTTACCATACGTTCACGAGCAGCTCCTCGAGCAACGTGAGCGTGAACGGAGAGCACGCAATGAGATGCTCGAACAGCGGCGCCAGGAGGGTGCTCACTCCGATCACCCCGACCAAGCTGCGTACCGAGACATGTCCCCCGAGGAGCAGGCTGCTACTGCCCGAGCGTTGAAGCCACATGCACGCAGTGTTATTGATCTGGATAAGCTGCGCTTCGAGCCTCCAACCGGACAGCCTATTGAGAAACAGCCCAAGAGAAGCCGCAAGTGGCAATTCGGTATTCGCTCTCGAAACCAACCCTACGAGGCCATGCTATACTTGTACCGGGCGATTGCCGCCCAGGGGGTCTTTGGGATATCCAACCCGCCGAATCAGGTAAGTCACCTAACCAGGGTCCCAGTCTAGTCTAAATACTCACCTCATGCAGGCACCAACATTGGCCCCGACGCAGTCCCCTCACCCGATAAACCCAAGCCCCTCCAGAACAAATATCCCGACCTCCCATCCGATTACTATATCCCTAAAGACCCATGGTTCATCCGTGCCCGCCTACTGAAGGAGGGCATCAAGCCCCCCGGTGCCAGTAACACCAGCGTCTACAATAGTCGCAGCGACCTCGAAGAACTCCGTCGCCGCTTCAACATCTCCGGCATCTCAGCACCCACCGAAGACCGCCAACACCAGTCCTCTGCACCAGACAGCGGTCTCGCATCCGGCGCATCCTCTGCCACAGGCCCAACCGGTCTCCCCAACATCACCTACGGTGTCTGGGTCTTCCTCGACATCCAGCTGTACCAACTCGAAGAAAACAACTACATGGTCGACTTCAAGTGCGACGGATACCAGAACGTGATCCGTGCGAATGGCGATACCGAGTGGCATCCCATTAGCAAGCGTTTCAAGAACAAGGAGAAGGAGGTTACCAGTCCTTACCCCTTCCTTGACGTGGCGTCTGACCTTGTTGCCCAGCTGGCTGTGGCTAGTTGAGAAGGGGGATGCGCTTTTATTATTTCTAATTCTGTTAATACTGCTTGCCGGGTTGCATAGGAGATCTTGGTTTTCTGTTGCATTTTGTGTTTCAGCAAGCGTTTGGTTACATTGTATGGAGTATGTCTAATTAAGGTTGTCGTCTATGAAAATATCTGTCAGCTGTTTGGATGTGTTTGTATATATCAATTGCAGTTCCATTTTTGACCACCAGCCAGATGTCCAGTCCCCTTCCAGGGTTCAAAGCTTCCAAGATTTAGAGTCTTTTCTCAGCTCCCTCCGGGGCTGATTCCCAAGGTTATCTACAGGCCGAGTCCAAGCCCTAGAAGCCCTGAGGGTGGCTTTCTCCCAACTCCCGTAATAAATAGTCAGTTCCAAGCTTTGGTATACATCTAGCTCTCACGTGCAGCCCTTTTTCAGACATCAAGAATCATTCATTCCTCATTAAAAAAGCCCAGTCTCCCGGGATCTGTCTTCGAGTCCGTACAGTTCCTGCAAAAATGCAGACATCGTGGCTCGATGTCCCATGTGTCTCGTTAACTCGTCATTATCATCATGGTTGTCATAATTCTGATGTTGTTGTTTTTTTTTCTTTTCTTTTTCCCCGTCCCCTGTTTTTGGATTTTCAGTTTTCCATTCACGAAAGCAAAACAGCAAAAAAATCAATCAATCCTCCCCCTTTTTTGGCATTTCAGATTTTCCATTGACAAAACAAAAACAAAAACAAATGGTTGACAACAAAGTTGTCGTTGCGGTCTACTTCTCACCACACGTGGGCTGGCGGCGGATCAGGCCCACCTTATGGTCCAGCCGATCAGATTCCTTCACGGGTCGACGGCGAGAACTGCGATCCAAAGCCTGTTCGTAGACGCGTCGGCTACGAGTCTGCTGACTCGTCGAGCTTCCACGGTTGGTGCCAACCCGTCCAATCTCACAGTGACCGACATTGCCGGTCAAAGAAGGGTTTCGAGGACGCAGAGGGAGAATGGTGTGACCGCGTCCCTGAATAGAGCCCCCAGGATATTCTCCAAGCTGAGCAGCCTCAGCTTTGCTAGCTCCAGCGCGACCTGAAGCCTTTTTGGCGTTGGCCCCCTTTTCCACGGGGGGGAGCAGTTGCAGACCGCTGGCGAAGAGCGGCTTCGCGGACCCAAGGCCGGAAGTTGGGCAGAATCTCGATGTCCGGGAAGCGGACCATGCTTGGTGCCGGACGAGGCTTGTATGGGTGGGACTTGGCCTGGTGGCGCTTTGAGTGGGTGCGCACCACAAGTGTAGATTGACCCTCGTCGTTGGTGGTCGCCTTCTTGAACTGGTCGATCTGCTCAGCCTGTTGCTCCTTCTCCCGTTTGCGAAGAGCACTCATGTACTGCCGGATGCGCTCAATGATGGTGCGGATCTCGGCGAAGGACAGGTGATCACCGGCACACTGTCGAAGCCAGTCTGGGGTCGGCGCAATGATCGCCGTGGGGTGCTTTCTTCCTGGTCGAGTCGACCGTGGAGCCTGCTTGTCTTTGGCAGTGGCTTCTTTCTTGGCCAACTTACCATCTGCGACCTCGGCAACGCGAATCTTCTCGCGACGGCGGAGAGTGAGCTCGAAATCGGCAACTCCGTTCCATTCTTCCATTCGATGGAGTGACTCCATTAAAAGATCACACTGGGTGAATGGCCACTGATCCGCTCGGTAGCGAGCGCGTTGGTAATGCTTCCGACAGTAGTGAACCCAGACCTTGGCTGGAAAGATCTTGGTGACTGCCTTGTTGCGTCCAAAAACATGCGAGACGACCTTGCGGAAATGCAATCCATCGGGGGATGCTTCCATCCGGCACGGGTCTGCGAATTCGCATTGAAGCCCGTTTTCCTCCTTCTGGGCTTGACCTGCGCGCTCTTGCGCACGCTCGGTGTGACGCGAGGCAAGCGGGGACTTTTGGGCATTTTGAGGGTGCTTATGTTCACCTAGATCCAAGGGAGACTCTGTGATCTGGGGCAGATCAATCCGGTGCTCCTCGTTCCTGATTAGGGGGCGCCCGCGTTCAAGAGATTCGGGTGAGATGAGTGGTTGCACACTTCGATTTGGCGATGGAGTGATAGATCCGCGGAAGTTAGAATAAATAGGGACTAGTCCAGCATATGGATCCAAAAGACCTGGAACTGGGGACATGTAAGGAGGGCTTCGGCTCCGAGGTCTTTCTTCCTCTGTTCGGACACGAAACGGGTTGGCGTCATTTGCTTGGCGAATGAGGCTTGACCCGCGGGATAGAAGATCGCCTGAGTACGTATGATCGCCGGGGAACGTGTCAGGGGAGTACTGAGTGGGGTATGGAGCCGAGTAGTCACTCTCATATGTGGTGGGTACATGTATCTGACGATATGAGGCGCGAGGGTAGATTGGCCGAGGTTGAACTGAGATCGGAGGGCTTGCCAGAATCTGGGACAGTGGAGTACGAGTTGTCTCATGGTAGACATCCTCGTTAGCATCACTAAAACGCCAAGCTTGGTTAGCCCAAACATATGTTCAAGATGGGATTGAGATATCGAAAGACGCATGCAAAGTGCAGGACCATCCAAAATAGGAAATGGATGAAGGATGGCAAATCAAACAGAACCGGGAAAGTCGGCAACAAGAACAGCAGAGACCATGTAAACTGGAGGCAGGTTGTGCACTTGATAGACTTACCTTGACGCGATTCGATCAGTCCGGACTTTGTCCCGTCTAAAGAAACATGTAAGCGATATCGATCGTTAAACCTGATGACCATGTCATATAGTAGATATGAGGGAGGGGGTAAATGAGAAGAGTGCCCATGCAATTTGGATATTGAATGTTGACAACTTCGATACCAAATGCATCTAGCTTGTACTGTTGGGAGGTGATGACTGTGAATACATACCGATAGTCATTTTGGCCAAGGCCTCGCATCTTGCCACCATGGGTCTCCATGATGGACTGATGGTCAGATCCAGGAGATGCAAGAAAAAAGATGAAGCCCTTGGGCCTCAAGGACGTGTTTGGGGATGGTAGCTGAAGGAGATGATGAATGATAGACGATGGAAGGTTTGGGCGAAGAAGCTCGATGACGAGAGAAAAGGGATGCACGATGGTGAAGATAGGATAGAGGAAGAGAAAGAATATCAATATTGGATGGCTTTTATATGTTTGAAGGAGATTACCTTGAATTGTTTGTTAGGCAGAGTTGGAATGATTCTAGAGAATCGTCATCCCACCTCGATCCAAGCAAATATTTTGCTAGATCTTTCCAAAGTGCCACCGATCAGGGGCACCAGACCCAAAGATAGCTGACTCCCGCGTGAGCTTGAATAAATGGCAACGACTGATTGATCTATAAGATGCCGCAGACTGCTAACCAGGCACGCAATGACCCCGAGAGCCGAGCTGTGACGAACATGATTCAAAGCGGATCGGAACAAGGCTCGAGGCTATTGCTAATTATACATAGAGCACAGCAGACTCCCGAGTATTCGAGGGTCACCCACCCACCCACAAACACAGACACACACTGGAAGAGGGGATCAGCACATCTAGATGTCTAGATCCCCAAGCCTCACACCCAAGATGCCCATGACTCGCTGCTTGCACATCGTGGCGCCGGACGTGCGCCAACCCCCAATAGAAAAGAAAGGCCTTGAGCGCGAGTTTACAGGCCCTTGTCGGATGAAGAAGAACATGAACATAGACCGTTGCTGCCAAAATGACAATTTCCTGCAACTCATGCAGAAGAGACGCAGGACTTCTAGAAGATGACATCTGACAACTGGGTCAGCGGATAAGCCCACAAGCTCCAACTTACCGTTATACCCACAGATGTACTGGCGCTGGGACAACTTCAAGTATTGCAACTTGGATTTTGATGGAAGTATAGCCCAGCCGGATGACAAGTGAACTGCCGCAGGTCAAAGCAGCCATGAGCTCGACAGTCATATATCGACCAGTATCACAGCATAAAATCATGACTGCAGTCAGATTTTGGCATTGACATGAGCCGTTGCAGCTCCTCGGTCACAGATCGTTCGCAAACCAACCCCTAGTTGGAGGGCAGTGTGATACAGTGAGGCCTCAATTTGGCACGGAAAGCCTAACGCATAGATTCCACGCCGGAAGCATCTTATATTTGATGCGGTAAAGTCATTATTGAGACCGTGAGGGCGATAAGGAGGTTCTGTTGGACCACAAGGCTTCACAATAGTCCTGGAGGGAGCGGCGGGTCGTTAGGCAATTCTGGCTCCTCGGTATCCAAGATGGTTCCTCTGGCGATGGTGAAGACCTTCTTGGGGGAAAAACAACTTGGCAAGAGACTGTATTCGACCCATGAGCAATTTAAGGGGGCCGGGGCACTGCTCCCGGAATTTCTTCCACGGTTGAATCTGTGCCTAGGGGCAACTGCAGCAAATCTCAGCCTGGGTGTCTACAGATTTGGTAGGACACACGGGCTAGAGTCCGTCAATCATACCACACGATGCAGATGGTGCTACACATACAAATACTAAAGCACTGGAGAGTCGCAATCGAAACATCAAATCATTCCAAGGTATCATAAATGCTATGTGTACATGATTCGAAGATGTATAAAATCCAAGAAAGCCAAAACGCCAAATTTGCCGGATATCTGAACGCAATCTGAAATAAAGAAAACCGAAGAAATATCGGGAAAGAAATATCCAACAAGACCCGGAAGATTGTACATAATTCATTTTTCAAATGTGAGTCGTTCAGCTAGCGTAGCCCATCGATGCAGATGCACGAGGAACATATTTTCGCAATGCGCCACGGCCAGGGCTACACCCAGGAGACCCGATATCGATGGTGCTCAGCTCGCGACTGAGGGCATCCATACGGCCCATGTTGGGGTTTCCAGACATGACGGGGTAGCTGGGGCTTCCACCGGAGATTGGAACTTTGCTTGGAATTGGTGGGCCAGAGCCATATTCATATAGCGGAGAACGGGAGCTGGGGGTTGGCGACACAGAGCCTCGTGAAGAGCGTGGACGATCGACTGAAGTGGGTGTTGTGTAGGCTCGGCTTTGAGTATAGCTGTCTGGGCGTCCACGGGAATAGTCTGCGCGGGGCGGGGTTCGGACCACAGCCCCTGGGCTTGCATGATGGGTGGGTGTGTAATTTATCTGGCGATCCGCAGGATAAGTTGTCGTGTGAGGACTGAATCCCACCCGGGGAGGATTGGTGGGGCGGGCAGCGGGTGCATCGTTGCCTCGAGATGTTGGCCGAGACTGGTGCTTGAAGCGGATGATGACTTCTGGTTTGCGGTTCTTCCTCTCTGGCTCGGGGGCCCAGGTGTCGGTGGGTAGGTGGTCAGAGGGATCGATCTCACGGCCATCGTCTCCGATGATCGGCTGATCTAGATCGCGTTGGGGTACAGTTTTCCCGCGCACGACAGCATCTCTGGCTTGGGAAGGCGTGTCGTACATAGGCGAAGGATCCCGACTGGAAGGACGAGATGTGTGATGGTTCAAAGAAGAGTAGGAGTCAGGGGAGAAGGGAATTGAAGAGCCACCACGGCCATCCGAAGATGTGGGTCGTGGGCTGACTGACTTGCGAGTCACAGCACGCGTGTCAGGACTCACACCTCTGCTGGACACAGGCCTCTGGTCAATCGCAGGACGTGGAGATGTCCGCAGGGGGTAGACGGGAGCATCGTAGTGAGCAGATGCCGGGACAGGAACCGGTGCAGGAGGTTCGGAGAACATCATCTCATCCTCCCACTGGTTACTGGGTCTGCGAGCAGACCTCTCAAATGCAGCTCTTTCAGAGGAGTCTTCGGTCTCATATCCAGCGACCAGGCTAGCAGGCACTGCTGGTGAACCCCTCGACGAGGAGGCTTCCTGGTACCGACCTCGTGACGGTGTTGACATGTTTGATGGAATATGAGCAGCGGGAGATCGGGGTGCGGATCGAGGCGTGTAGGGGGCGTATGGTCTTGGAGAGGAGTGCGGTGTAGGCAACTGAGAATTTGCTCTCCGTGATCGATGTGCTGGTGGTGGGGGTGGTGGTCCATCATCGTCTTCATCTTCTACTCGTGGTTGCATACCGGCATACTCTGGATGCCAATCATGAGGACGAGCAGTAAGTTGAAGCGGGCGAACACTATGCTGACGATACCTCGGATCATCCATTGGGTCCTGTACAGCGTCGACCATGTAGTCTGAGGGAGGCAGTTCATGTGGTTGTGGGGCACCATACGAGATGGGATCTTGATTGTATCTGGGCTGCTCGGGTTGAGCGTATGGGTCTTGATGTCCGGAATGATACATCGCCTCTCGGGGATCCGGTTCATACGCTTGTTCACGAGCCAGGCGGTAGTCTCGGGAGGGTGGCTGATCATAGTCGGATTGACTCCGAGGTTGTAGTGGGCGCGGGTCATATGTGGGCTGAACTACTTCGTGGGCGGCATATTGCACTTCATGGGTATTCTGCCTGCGGATAGGAGCGGCCACAACGGAGTTATCCCGCTCGGGTGCGTAACTATCAGCTCCGTCAAATCCACCCCGAGAAGGTGGGGGGACGGGAGAAGGTGCACGATAGGCGGACGCATCATATACAGGTTCCGAATATCTTGCTGGGTGAACAATTGGTTCGGGGGCACTTGCAACGGAGTTCAGGTGCTCAGGAATGGCTGGGCGCGATGGGGCCGGGTGATGAAGAGGGGGAGGAGCCGAATGAGTTTGTTCAATTGCAGCTGGTCTCGCTGGTGGTGTAGCCCCGGCAGGGCCGCTGGGTAGTGGTCGTCGTTTGACATCTTTTAAGTTTCGGGGACCGGACAACCCTGTGGCACTTGGGGTAGTGGGGATCTTTCCTTGAACCCTGTCGGCGGCTTCTTGCCTGCGCTCAATTATAGCCTCATCTTGCTGTCGTGTGTCGTAATAAGTCATTTCGATGCGAATCTCTCCTGCGTATCTTCCACGGCATTGCAATGGGTGCCAGTGATCATTCTGGCTTCCACCGGCAATAATCAAGTTCTGGAGATCAACCCAGGTCTCGCCGATTAAGTCGTTTTTCTTATCCTCGTTGAAAACAGATACCTTCAACTTGTAGTAGTCGGGTGACTCGTGCACAGTGAAGCGAAGTTCAGAGTCCCTGGTCACACATTAGTTTTCACCCACTGGCGCATGTCATGGGAACCAGGCTTACCATCTCGGGGTCTGTCCTCCTCTCAAGTCGGTCTGTGTTTTGTTGGCTTCTTTGCCCAATCGTGCTGCCGCGTATGGGTTCTGCTTTCCCATCGTCTTGCGGTTGGGCAGGTTCTTGGCTCGGTCGATAATGGCGACCAGGGTTCCAATGACCGGGCCATCGACGGAGATATCAGCGAAGATGCCTGCCGCATGGTTGACCTTAGTGATTTTGGTCGACATGGTGTATTCTTAGCGCATATAGGTACAGGCAAGAAGAACCATTGGTAGTGTCTCAAGTTTAAGGAGAAGAAGAGGGGAAGAAAAAGAGGGAAAAAAGGTGATAAGAAGCTCCTGCCTGGAATGTCCGATGCGGTATTGGGGGTGGCTGGGGTGTATCAGATCTGGGACAATAATTGGCTGTGATTGGCTACAACCCCTGGCGGCGGTGTCCAGACTCGGGCGATTTACCGTACCAAAACACGTCTTACATCATGGATACCAAAGTAAACAGTGAGAGCCTCGCGACTTCAACCTTCAGAACGTGTTCCTTTTTTCATCTATGCGTATTACAGAGCTCCGTTGTATGGAGTACTCCATACGAGTATATTGCATGACACTACTGTCTAATTACTCGCCCAACCCCTGTCAGGCATTCGAACTAATGTGGAGCTTGATCGGATCCCCAGCCACCGGAGATTCTGAGGTTTTGCACATTCCGCACCTGGAACAAGGCGAAAGCTGCCGACAAGTGCAATGATTGGCGACTGGTCTAGACGAGATCGTCATCTCTCTTTATTCTTCTTCGTCAATCCGGTTTCACCTGCACTGAGGCTTCAATAAGCTGTCAAGCCGTCGCGGCTCCCCCCACTTTTAGGGTTATGAGCTGCACCGCGATGGATCGGCCCCCCGCTGGATTGCCATAGCGACCACTCCTGTGCCAGAGAACAACTGCACCTATATGCACCTTCATCTATGAAGGATCTCATACATTGGCAATATTATTGAGACTGTCTCGTTGTACTGTCTTCACCGTATATCCCCTACCGGAATCATCAGATTCATGAATGCTGCCTGTCTCACTGCATCTGTGGGTTCTGGGGCAATCTCACTGCGGCGGAGTATTTGTGACCCAAGGCTATTCTCATCGCTCTAATGTGGAAGCCTAAGAATACTCGTACGCTGTGGGTCAATTGACGGGGTGGTCCTTGCGATCAAGGCAATGGCCCAAGTATGGATCAAGTGCTCTGCACTCCGAGTTCCGTGCGGAGTAGAGTGCTTCGTGCTGGTTCTCCGATGCATTGCCGCTCCGAAGAACCAGCACACCCGCACATCCTTTGTCTTGACCATCTTTTCTCTGAAGTCTTTTCAGGGGTATCTTGCGGTGTCTTTGCTTATATTATGTTGAAACCTAATTCTGTATATTTCGAATCTGGCGAGCAAATTAGACCTTGATTCGCTGATCTCGGGCATTCTGTTCCGATGCTTTCTTTGTATGCTCCATATTAAACCTGGAATGGAAGCTGTCACCTGTCAACCATACCCAGGTGTATGAAGCGACATGCAAGAATGTTCATCAAAGATCTGCATGGTCCCGGGGAAGAGGGGGGTTGATTGAAGTTCAACTAGGCCCGGATTCGGGAGAAATTGTCTCCTTTCCCTAACGTTGGAACTGTAAACAATCTTTGATCTGGGGACTGATGAAAGCGAACATCTCAAAGCTAGCAAGAATGCATGCATGTATCATTCAGTCCGTGTAAAACCCATTCCCCAGCCATATACCGAGGTTGCTTTTGAGTCATATAAGGGCAATTTGAGGGCAGTTATTCCGCTGGTGAGGGCCACAATGGCTCAATCGGATCAAGCAGTCCACAGTTCACCCGGGGATGGGGGATTCTGGATTATTGCTTTGGGGGCCTGAGGCATTAAATTGTCTGCCTCAGGCCAGAACAGCTACCGCCACCATTCCCGATTGGGCGAGACGAACTTTTTTGATCGGCAGAAAAAAGATGGTCTTGAACTTCACGATAGCACTCCAGTCGGGCTAATATCACCACGCTGTTGCTCATCCCAATCGCCTACATAAGTGATATCCTCGACTCCGACCGAACATCGCCAATTCACTACAACCATGGCGGCGCCCGTCCTGCCTCTGCAGCAGGTTAAGCTTGCCTCGTTGCCTTCGACGCAATTAACGCCGGAGCAACAATACTGGCGAACCTTTAAAAACCCTCTCTTGATCCCCTCACCGGCCAATGGTCCCGTCAATCTCATCACTCAGCCCGCCGTCCCCTCCTCCGCCGCGGCCTTCCCATCCCTCACATCACCGCCCGATATCTTCACCGTTACAACAGGCGCACGAGTTCAGATCTACTCTATTCGCACACGAAAGCTCCTGCGAACAATTACCCGATTTGAGGATACTGTGCGCAGCACGGATGTTCGTCCCGACGGTCGCGTCTTGGTCGCAGGTGACGATACAGGTGCCGTGCAGGTTTTCGACGTCAAGTCGCGCGCCATTCTGAAGACATGGAAGGAACACAAGCAGCCCGTCTGGGTGAGCAAATTCTCACCCAGCGACCCTACGTCGCTCCTCACAGCCAGTGATGACCGCACCGTACGGACATGGGACCTAGCGTCGCAGAACAGTTCGCGCTCTTTCGTCGGTCACACCGATTACGTCCGTACTGGTGCTTACATGCCTGGTTCCATGGCTTCTTCCGGTCTGGTTGTCTCTGGCTCTTATGATCGCACCGTTCGTCTCTGGGATCCCCGCGTGGCGAACCGCGCTGCTATGACTTTCAAGATGGGTGCGCCGATCGAGAGCGTCCTGCCCATGCCTGCTGGAACCACGGTTCTGGCCTCTGCCGATAACAAGATCGCTGTGCTTGATATTGTTGCCGGAAAGCCTTTGCATATGATTCAGAGTCACCAGAAGACCGTCACCGCTCTCGCGCTGGCCTCAAATGGTGAGCGCCTGCTCTCTGGTGCGCTTGATGGACACATGAAGGTCTTCGAGACCACGGGTTGGAACCCTGTCTCTGGATCCAAGTACCCGTCACCTATTCTTTCTCTGCGTGCGATTACCTCCGGAACTGAACATGAAGATAAGCACATTGCCGTCGGTATGCAGTCTGGTTTGCTCTCCATCAAGACCCGTCTCTCCGGTCAACAGAAGATCAAGGAGAAGGAACGCCGGAAGGAAATGGCCGCCCTGCTCGAGGGCAAGTTGGAGGAGCATGACCGCGAAGTCGCCAAGAAGAACAAGACCCGCGGTTCGGGTTGGGATAAGCGTCTGCGCGGACGCGACTTCATTGGCGAAGGCGTCGAGATCGTTATTGAAGGCCAAGACGGCAAGAAGCGCAAGAGAGAGGCATCATGGGAGAACGACCTCCGCAAAGCTCGCTATGCCGTTGCTTTGGACCAAGTGCTCGCCTCCGGCGATAAGACCTCCACCCTCACATGTCTTGCAGCCCTCCGCCACCGCTCTGCCCTTCGCGCCTCCCTCAAGGACCGCGACGAAGTCACTCTCCAGCCCGTTCTCCAATGGGTGCACAGCCACATCCGTGAGCCGCGCCTGGTCGATCTCACCGTCGAGATCGCCATGAATCTCCTCGATATCTACTCCGGTAACCTTGGTCAATCTGCACAAATCGACAAGATGATCGAGCGTCTGCATGGCCGGGTCCGCAACGAAGTGGAGATGGCTCAGCAGGCATGGCAAACTAAGGGTATGCTTGACATGTTGAAAGCCTGATGTTGATCACAACTGGAGTTCGGGGTATCTGGGATTCGCACTCGGTGTACATGGCGGGCCATCAAATTTTCTTGTACAGGATTTGCATAGAATTAAAAGTACTATTACCAATTTACTGGCCGTAACATCATTTCATATCAGTTTATGTACATCATGCCTCCAATTTGGAGAATCCTTCGGCAGGAGGCTGTAGCCAGTTCCGCTCATCATATTCCCACCCATCAGCACCCTCGATCACATGGAAGGTATAAGCATACCGGCTGTTTGGACTGGTGTTCTTCTCACTCTTGTGCAACACGTTGCCGTGGATGAGCACCAGCGACCCTGCCTTGATATCGAGGATCTCCAAGTCTTCATCCGAAGGCTCGGAGCTCTTTTCCTCCTCCATTCCTTTAGGCAAAGAAGGGCCCTGGTTCTCAATAAACTCTGTACCCCCACCTTCCTTCCTCACGAACCGTCTGGCAATGTGTCCACCCTTCCTCCCCGTCTGCGAGCCCTTGTACATACCAAGGGTACCGTTCTTTGGTCCGGCATCTTGCAGCGCATACCACCATCCCACAGCCGAAGGAGGGTTCGTGTACAAGAACTCCGAATCGCGGTGCGAAGGCACAGCACCACCGATAGAAGGTTGCTTGCAGATAACCATGCTCTGCAAAACCCTAGGATCGACGAATCCTAGAGACCGCGCTACAGCAGCATTGCGCTCATTCAACGAGACAGCCTTAAAGGGAGGTGACAGGGTGTGCAGCGAGTGACCGATCTTATTCACAGCGCGATTCTTGGGCTTCATAAGCGCAGCGCGGCCCGTTAGAGGATCAGGCTCAGAGCTGAACGCATCAGGCTCGAAGAAAAAGCGCACTTTGTCACCGGATGTCAGGAAGTAGTCATCTCCCACATGGTCTGCTGTGTCTTCCTCCGTTGTAAACTGAGTGAGAGGGTGTGATTCTAGAGGGAATTCGTCGAGAAGTTTGTTTGTTTCGGTGAGGAGTGAAGAGAGCTCGGGTTGACTCAGGTAGTCGGGCAGAACGAGGTACCCGTTCTCCTTGAAGGAGGCGATTTGGGCTTCGGTAAGTCCGGACATGGTTGAAGAGCTGATTGACAGTCCGTTGGAGCTGGGAAGTTGGGTGTTTGCGAAAAGCGGGGAGAGCTGATAAGCGATTTTGATACGCCCACCATTGGCTTATCGGCGCGCACTTGGCGCCGAGGAACTATGGACGATGCCTCGAACAACGAGTCTCATTGCTCTTCCATATTTTGTACCTGTGGTTGTCTCTAGACTCGACTGTGCCCCTCTCTAGACCCCTCGGCGGCACCGATGGGTCGTCGCCTCTGCCATAGAAGGCCGTTGCCGCTGAAGGCAATGCGGCAAGAGGCAAGTAGGGCTTGCCACAAGGATGGGGAAGATGTATATAAACATGCTGGATGAGAGTGGTATGAAAATCTAGAGACAATTCAGCATCAAGCAACGAATATTTCAAGGAAAACAATCCTCAAAACATAACTTTTCAAGGAGAAACACACCAAAAGAAAGCCACCCCAAGTGGACCAGATATACCTCTTCATCTCGCATATCCCACCGAGCGCCACCGTTCATCACGATGTCCGACTCCTTCACAAGTTCCTCGTACTACTACAGTTCCACAGCCAACGGCAGCGACGGCAGGAGCACAACTGGACACCGATACTCAACAACCTCACATACCCAAGGGGACGGCACGACCATCGTACGAACCGCCCAGCAAGAGCTCGGCGAACCAGCAGTCGTTGAAGAGCGACGCTACGACCACACAGGCCAAGAACAACTCGCCCTTCCCGAGCCCAGCACATCAGCAGGGGGAATTCGGCAAATCACCGATCTAGAGAGCGATCTTGACGCCGATGATTCCGCTCCCGCGTCGTCTCTCTTGGCTGGCGCTGGGGGTCCGGCGGCTCAACTCCTGGATGGGGATGGGGAAGACGATTCGTTTGATCATGTTTCTGCGCCGCTGGGGTCTAGGGTTTATGACCCTATGACGCGATCATATGTTGAACAGAATGACTATGATGTCGGTGGAATTACCAGACATAGTCATGAGGCGAGGAATGTTGGTGGGCGTCAGTTGAGAAAGCATGTGGATTTTGATTCTGATGGCTTGTCTTCTACGGCAAGGGAGCAGCGGGTCTATGAGGACCCTAGTACTGGAAGTCGTCTGCGGAGGCAGTCGGAGTTTGATGTCTCCGATGTGCTTTAGTGGAAAGGTAAGTATTTCTTAAGTTATATTTATTGTAAATATAGATGGTAAGTACTACTTGAGCTTTGTTGTGTGCATAGAAAATGTATATAAAAAGGAAATAAACATCCAAATGGGTGCATGATATCAACAATGCATGGTACGAGACTTCCGTCTAGTCATCCAGGCGTAGACGTCCCTCCGACCGGCGGCTGCGTCCCTTTTCCCACCACTCCGGAATCTCATAGGACCAGTGGCAAAGCATACCAGCAATGAAGCCAATTGCGTCATTCTTGAATCCGACCAGGAGCCCCACAGTCACCATCATGACAGTCCATCGGCGATTGCGTTCTTCATCTGTGAGCACAGGACCAAGATGCTGCTGTGCATTGGCCAAAAGACCAGCGCCGGCCTGGTTGAGATCCCGCGCGCCCGTGGTGTTGAGACTCTCGCCAACAGTCAACAGTTCCACACCAGCAGCGATAACCATAACTCCAAGGAAGGCAGCAGGGAAGCGGCGCAGAAGATCGACCAGCGTCTCTCCAAACAGCAGTCCAATGATCAATTTCAACACCCCGAGGAAGATCACACTTGACCCCGAGCGAGCGCCGAAGCGGTACTGTGCCGCCAGACCTCCTGAGCCATGGCAGACGGGCATCGCGCCAAACCAGCAACCGAGCAAGTTCATACCTGCGACACTCAAGCCGACCTGGGTGATAGACAAGCTGTGTACATTAGGAAGCAAATCGTTCGCCAAATGCACAACTGCAACGATTGAGTTCAGCGTCGTCAGAGGAATCTGACCAATACCAGCATCAATAGCACCGATCTTCCATTCACTGGGCAGCGGAATCACCACATATGGATGCCAAACCGCAAAACCAGGCATATGCCCCGCCAAGGCCGTCCGAATCACAGCAAAGACCAGCCCCAGTACCAAGACGACCAGCGCATACGGTACACGACGATAGACATTGCTAATCAAAAGCGCCGCAAAAGCGACGATTCCCCAGATGCGATTATCGGCCCAAGAGGGGCTAGTCCAGCCGAGCGGGTGAAGCACGCTACTACAAGCAGCGATAATCAAAGACAGCCCCGCTCCAACTTGAATTCCCTTGACAACCGGAATGGGAATGGTATTAGATAACCAGCGCAGGATACCCGTCAAGCTGAAGACAAGGATACAGGCACCGACGAAGATCCCCGCAGCGGCGATCGTGCCGTTGGAAAATGTACGCGCGATAGCGACTGCGGCGATCGCCTTCATGGGCTGGACCGGTAGTGGTATTCCAAAGAACACGCCAGTTAGGATGTTGAAGATACCGGAGAAAATAAGGGTGCTGGTAAGGGAAACGGTGCCGTTGATAGCTAGCGCGATGGCGATAGGGAGAAAGGTGCCCAGATCGCCGAGCGAGCCTGAGATCTCGGCGACATAGTGGCGTCTGAAGGTGCGTAGATTATAAGCGTTGATTTCCCGCAGTGATTGGATCGCCATGTTGACGACTGCACACGTAGAGAAGTGAAGATGATGTTCGGGGAGCGGAGCTCGTTTTGTGTCAACCGGAGCCCGCCGATCAGCCCCGCAGCCACTGATGTCGTGAGTTAATAACAGCAAGTGCAAGCAGGTTTCAACACGGTGAAATTTCGGCTCACGATGTTTTTTATTCGATCGTGAAGCTTGTCCTGCTGGATAGGACGGGTGGAGATGCTAGTGACATTTTCTTGCATCATCTCGTGTTCGGTCCGAGGGTTTCATTGGGCGAAGGGGTAGAGCTGTCAGATTAGTCGACTTGGCATTTTGGATCAGATGACTCGATATTTGTTTGAAGCTTGGAAGCTAGAGGGCATGGGTGAACAGGTTTGTATGATGGAGATGGAACTGGAACCGATGCTTGGCGGTTCCAATGATTTCGCATGAAAATAGAGTGATGTTGTCAGCTCTATGAAGTCAGTCTCTCTCTCTAACCACGAGGTTAGCATTTTCCCGGTACTTTGTCTATAGTCTGTAGAGAATACTTGCAGCTTCCGTGGATGTAGATAAACTTTGAGTTGTAAACAAACATGCAGCAAAGTCTAAGGTTGCTTAGAAGTTGGGAAGTTGTCTATCTGGTCTGTGACATCATCAATGCGGCCATCTTTTGTATGTCGTTTTTTTTTAGCTATGCCGATCACTTTTGTTTTTCGAATATCTACAGCCACAAGTTTGTCGATGATTGTCACATAGCAAGAATACTGGCAAGTCATAAAACAGGCCAGTAAACAGTCTCATCAAAAAGATATTTTTAGCTCTTAGAGATGCACCCAGGTGGCTGACAGGGATCTCAATGCATGAGATCTGTTCGTTACGCCGCAACCAGGGGCCTCGGTGCCCCTCCTCTCACACGAACGCCCAGGTGGTAGCGTCCAAGGTCGATTAACTGCACACCTGGACATTTCTTTGTTTTCCCTGGGGCCTAAGGAGCATATTGTTAACATCTACTCCGTGTCCAGGACTTACGTTGACGGCTTCGAGCAAAACGGCTTTTCCTGGCCGCCATACACCTACTTGTGATCCAGCTGACTGCTCGCATATCGGAAATTTCGTGGGAATTTCAATGTCGGCCGGCTATCTGACATCCCTGGTATGTTCTCACAGCAAGGAAGCACGGAGTAGGCCTTGAGGCGAAGTAGATTTCATAGTTTCCAAGGTCACTAGAAGATTCTCACAACCTCGTCTTCTACCATGTAGTGCCTTTGGGGCTTCCAAGAATGTTGTAGCACTCATTATCAACTGCACTGCCTCCGGGCTAATGCAACATGGTACCTCTCCCATTCGGGGCACGCTGTACATACACCAGTTGTACAGACCTCTTGGTTCAAAATGTATGCCAAGAGAGACACAGCCCGTAAATGTTGCAAATACCACAGTAGCAGCAGTCTATTGCTCGGGCCGCTCCGCGATCGCTTTGCGCCTTAGCACATAAGAAGCTTGGGCTGCCTGATTCTGTTTCTGGTTCGACCTCATGAATCCGAAGCTTGTTCAAGATGACACCGGATGAACTCCACAGAGAGCAGGTAGATGACCCGCAGAATAATTATCTCCTACCTCCTTCAGCTTCGCATCAGAATGATTTTCATCCAAGTGAGGAGCGGGTGGGAGACTATGAGCGGGTGCGACAGAGCCCTTCCCTTGAGCCGCATCCCGAGTCCGCACCGGAGTCTACCACTGACCTCGACACGACTGATGAAGAATCCCTGCAAAAAGATCGAAATCCCCTGTCCCTTTGGAGATTGTTTTCGAAAGTATTCATTTGGGAGATCTTGGCGATCACGCTATCTACCGGGCTTTTGCTCTCGATAGTTGTGATCGGGGCTAAATTCAACAAGCAGCCCCAACCGAGCTGGCGATATATGTCTTTGAATTCTATGATATCCTGGTTGAGCACTCTTTCCAAGGCGTGCGTCTTGTTTGCTATTAGTGAGGGGCTGGGTCAGTTGAAATGGGTCTGGTTTGCGCAAAGGAAGCGAGCAATGTCCGACATTCGTGCCTTCGATGCAGCCAGCCGAGGGATATATGGCAGTGCAGAGTTGATTTGGAGCATGAGAGCCAGGTATTCTAGTACAACCACTATTTTCTATGCTGACGAGATGCTTATTATCGAACGCACCAGACATTTTGCGGTCGCGGGCAGCCTGGCGGTCATATTAGCGATCGCATTTGATCCTTTCAACCAAAACCTAATTCACAATTATCCCAAACTCGTCGATGATAGCACGCAGACAGCAACTGTGTCAATTAGCTCTGACTATGATGCATTAGGGCCAGCGACAGGTGCCTGTATGTGATGTTGCGCAAGTCCTTTACAAAAGAAGAGAATCTCTAATATGGCCATGGCAGTGAACCTCATTGATTCCAACATCAAGGCCAATGTTTACAACTCGATCTTCAACACTGACTCATCCAAGCCGTGGTCTATACCTCGATTTGGTTGTAGCTCTGGAAACTGCACATGGGACCCGCTGGTCACCCTAGCAATGAGCTCGAGCTGCACAAGCATATCAGATAAACTGCAGACCACGTGCATGGAGGTTGAGGGTGAGTTGAAATGCTCAAGTTACCTTGCCGGAGAAGACGCTGCAATGGATGGGAGTGTTGCGATCAACTTCACCATGGGCTCAATTATCGGGACACCAGTAGCATTGGGATCAACCGAGAGCTTTGTGTACCCCAGTAGACCGATTGCGCCAATGCAGATGGTCGCACTCGATTTTGGTAAAGCAAATCGATGGGGTGCATTCGAGTGCGCGTTTTTACCGGTTGTTCGCAGCTTTCGTCCGAGTGTGACTGAGGGTGTATATCGAGAGGAGACATTGGGTGTCTGGAAAGAGGGCGACTATGACGGAAAAGACATATTGAGTGGATCATACATCTTGAAGCCTCCTTGGGGACCCGAAATGGGCATGGAACGCAACACAACTTTCGGAATCAGACAAACGACCCTAATCACAATGATGAGTTTCCTTCGCATGTTCTTCTCTGGTCGGATGGAGATCAACAATTTTGGGCAGTCATACAAACCGAACGCAAAATCTACGTTTGCCAGTGAAGATTTGATGCAGGCGGTCGCTTCTCCGATATCAAACATTACCGGCTGCACAGTCGAGGGGCCGGGGAAACTTCAATGTGCAGTAGAGAATGCCGCGGAAGCAATGTCCAAGTCGTTCCGAGACCATGCGTTATCCGCACAGCAGGGCACGACTGTTTTCGGCAAGGCAATGACCAGCAAAACATACATTGTCATACATTGGCAGTGGATCGCGCTCCCGGTTGTGGTCTGGTTGCTTGGAGTTTTCACTCTGGTGGGTGTCATATGGAAGACCCGGAAAACCATTGCTCCGACATGGAAGAATGATGTGATGCCATTGTTGACCGTATATGAACATGGCCAAAATCAAATCAGTGGGATGACAGAAGAGTTATACAAAGAGAAAGTGGAATTGTTTGATGACGAAGGCAGAATCAAGCTTGGAAATCAGCACAAGAGTATGGAGTCGAGCATTATACATTGAATTCCATGGTTCTGCAAATATATTCTGTACTTCTACTGATATAAAGATATAAAAATTGGAATCTCCGGGGCTCCAGTCCAGTAAAATGCACTACCACGCCCAGGGTGAAACTTGTCGCTGAAAACCTTGGAAACGTCCAACCTTGGAAGTTCACATAAACTCATTGAGAGTTTGATCAAGGGGTGCCCGTCTCCCGAAGTCATGAATTTCAATTCCGCGTAAGTATTTCGTCATTTCAACCCCATGTATGCATGGATCTTGCTTCGGGTCCCGCGTTTCCGTTCTCCGGTACAATTTACAAAAACCCTGGGAAATAAGACAAAGAGCGAACCCCCTGCAACCATGGAAATAATGGCCAATAGTTCGCGCGATGATTGTCTACTGTAGTGGACTGGAGACCTAAAATCCACAAAAGCCGGAAGCGCTATTTGTGGAGGGTCGGCACTAGATAGGCTATCGATGTGCACTTGACTCCGTAGAAGTCGGTCGGATACCCAGTCATAAGCCGCTTACTCCTCAGCGATAGGTAATGAGGGGTTTATCGTTGAGCGTTGAAGGCCCATCTCGTTCAGCCCAACACATGCTGAGGCTTAGAACAAGTCACCACGATGAGCGAATCAAAGCACAACCATGACTCGCCATTCTTCCAAGATCAGGCGTCCAGCAGATTTTGGTTTACGGAGCACGGATCTGAAAGATATGGAAGGCCTCGCCCTGGCGCCCTATCACGGTGCGCCCTACCCGTTTTTGAAGTAAAATGCACGCTCAATATGCACAGAAAACGGAGTACTCCGTATGAAGTACAGAGTGCCAGCATAATATTCTTGGCTGTTCAATGATTGGAAAAAAGTTGTCTCAATGAGTGAGCACTGTTTGTTGATATTCCTCATCTACTCCGTACACCCTGTGCTCATATGAAATGTGAATCTTGTTTTTCCTTACTCCGTACATGGTAGTCGCTTGATGCATGCGAGACAAAGAATGTGAGGCTAGAGAAGCCAATTGGGCAAGTCTAGGTTCTGCCCTGCTGTTTACCAAGATCGCTCCCAGGATGAGCAAATAGCTTGACAATACCATAACTCATTTTTCGAGCGAAAAGTCGGTCCAATTGGCCTTTTGATGTGGTCAGGAGTAAGATCGGAAAAGGGGCTCGGTGTCAACATCTTTTGACTACAGAAATGGCCAGGTGGTACCTTGGTGAATAGGGGTCATTTAAATCGGTCTAGTCATTATCTGGGGGATGGTGATTTATGCGCAGAATTGATCCCACGTGTAATTACCTCAAAGTGGGGAGAACTTAATGTGCAATGAGGTGATTTGTCTCGCCGCGCCAGGGATATCCTTGCTAATATTGGAATGCGAGAGAAAGAGAAGATCGCATCACGGTCACATTAAAGAAAATGATTCGGAAAACGGAGGTATATTATTTTCCCATGGAAACCGCTTTTTCACCTTGGCAGTCAAGTGAGGAGATTGGGTATAGTATTTATAGGATGCAAAACAGAGATATGAGTGCATTATGTGTGTAAGGAGCGCACATGCCGTACAGGGTCATTACGGAGTATTGTCGTCAGCCTGCAGCCTCCCGAGGTCCCGCTAGTGATCTGATACAAGGCCACTATTGGCAAGCCCCGATTGTTTGAGATCCACGGACAGGGGTGATGATCTGAGTCAGACAGCTGGACATTGGACGTGTAAATATCTGATACGAACGCTTGGATCCAATGGTGACGTACAACCACGAACCTACGGAATATTAAGTGCATGCATACAGAATACTACGGAGTAGACAGCTCAGCGATTGAATGACACGAGTGGTCGGGTCCACGTTTCATAGGCAATATGCAATTACTGATGGAGAAATAAAAATGTATAATTAACTTAATTTGTACATAAAGTGATTGCGCTAGTGTATGAATCAAAGGCGATATGCGACCGCTAGTCTGGATTAAGGGTGTCAGACTTTTTCGCACGAAGATCCGAGACGTCAAAAGTGCATACTCCGTGGGTTCGGACCAATTCGTCCGGTAGATACGGAGAAGTTTCACGGGGACGGAGATAAGGTGGGGAGGCTCACATACCGGGTCTAGTTAACTCCGTCTAGAATGAAGGCTTTGTTTCTAGCGCCTGCCCAGGCGCAATCCCGAGCCGGGACATGTACTAGGGTCTATTCGACCGAGGGTTCGTCCGAGAAACGCCTTGCTGACTCTAGTTCGTATGTTTCCAATACTTCGTACTCCTTGACAAACAGGCCAGGCAGCTATCTATGATGTTTTCAATGAACAATTTAAGTTATGTTCATAACCTGCCCGGATTAGATCCATAGCAAAACGGAGGCCGGGATCTCCAGCATCCGTCCCGAGACCCACCTGGGAATGGGTAAAAACACCCGCTGAGTCATCGGAAGTTAAGTCAACCGAGTCGAGTTTTGCGGCGGGTCCAGTGCCAAGCACGGCGAGCGCCCAAAGGCGACCAGGCTCTCTATACTTGGAAGTCAGAGCTGCCACCTCCACCGAATCATCGGCTCCCGGGCGACTGGGTATACTCCACTCAGATTAGTCGTCGACTGTTGCTCCGATGCCGAGAGATCCACTTTACCAACAAAGTCCAACATGGCGACCCGGAAACGGTCATCGGGGGAATTTTCGTACCCGGGGGCCAGACCCTTTAAGTATCTGGCATTTCCTCCCTGGCCTATTCTGTAAGCTCTGTTTATTATCATTTTTTCCCATACCACCTTAACGTGTCTCCACACACCGGCACAATGGTATCGGAAGCTGGCTCTCTTGAGCCCAGGGAGAAGGAGGTGGGATCTCGAAGCGGAGACTCCTCAACCCTAGATGACCCCATCAGTCTCATCAACGAAGCTGATGTAGAGACACTCACCAAGATCGCCACCCAGCGATCCCGCCGCCAATCCACCACACCCGGTGCCCAAGATTCATTGACAAATCTCGCTCAGCAGGATCCATCACTGGATCCTTTGTCTGGAAAGTTTGACCTACGCAAGTGGCTCAAGCTAGCTATCAACGATCGAGGTCGGGATGGAGCACCCGGTCATACATCGGACGTGATCTTCAAGAACCTCAATGTATACGGATCGGGTGCTGCATTGCAGTTCCAGGAGACCGTTGCCTCCACACTATCAGCTCCTCTCAGACTTCCCCAGCTTCTTCGTCAATCACATGCTCCCCAACGGCGCATTCTGAAGGACTTCCATGGTATCATGAAGAGCGGCGAGCTTCTACTTGTCCTTGGTCGTCCCGGCGCTGGTTGCAGTACCTTTTTGAAGTCATTGACCGGAGAGCTCCATGGATTGGACATGGATAAGGAAAGCACAATTCATTATAATGGTGAGTATTATGATGTGGGTTACACCATTCGAACATTGGCTAATATCATCCAGGAATTCCCCAAGATCGCATGATGAAGGAATTCAAGGGTGAGGTTGTGTACAACCAAGAGGTATTTCATCAACCTACCAGCTCCTCGATGACAACATGCTAACCAGTGAAACAGGTGGACAGACATTTCCCCCACTTGACGGTTGGCCAGACTTTGGAGTTTGCCGCCGCCACACGCACGCCCACCAACCGGTTCCAAGATATGTCGCGGTCCGAGCACGCCAAGTATATGGCGCAGATCATTATGGCAGTCTTTGGATTAAGTCATACTTACAACACCCGTGTTGGTGATGACTTTGTCCGAGGTGTCTCCGGTGGAGAGCGAAAGCGTGTCAGTATCGCCGAGATGGCTGTTGCCCATGCTCCAATTGCCGCCTGGGATAACTCCACTAGAGGATTGGATTCGGCCACCGCACTCAAGTTCGTCGAGGCGCTGCGCCTCTCCTCGGATATCACTGGATCGTGCCACGCAGTCGCTGCGTACCAGGCAAGTCAGAGTATCTACGATATCTTCGACAAAGTGATCGTCCTTTACGAGGGTCGACAAATCTACTTCGGCACTGCCGCTGGTGCCAAAGCCTTCTTCGAGGACCAAGGCTGGGACTGCCCCGCCCGACAGACTACTGGTGATTTCCTCACCTCCATCACCAACCCACAGGAGCGCCGCGCTAAGCCCGGCATGGAGAGCCGAGTTCCTCGCACCCCCGAGGATTTCGAGAATGCGTGGATCAACTCCCCTCAGTTCAAATATGTCCAGGACGAAATTGCGGCATACGAGACGCAGAACCCCGTCAGCCCCGATGCACAGGCTCTTGCACAACTTCGAGAGCACAAGCGCGGCGCTCAAGCCAAGCACACCCGCCCCAAGTCCCCTTACCTTATCAGTGTTCCTATGCAGATCAAGCTGAACACCGTGCGTGCATATCAACGACTATGGAACGATGCAGCTGCGACAGTGGCTGTGATCAGTACTAATATCATCATGGCCCTCATTATTGGATCATGCTTCTACGGAACGAAAGACGACACCGCGGGCTTCCAGTCCAAAGGTGCCACTCTTTTCTTCGCTGTCCTTCTCAACGCCCTCACTGCAATGTCCGAAATCAACGCCCTGTACTCTCAACGCCCAATCGTCGAAAAACATGCATCTTTCGCCTTCTATCATCCCGCCACGGAAGCAATCGCTGGTGTTCTCAGTGATATCCCGGTCAAATTCGCCTTGGCAGTCGCCTTCAACATCATTCTGTACTTCATGGCTGGTCTGAAGCGAGAGCCTGACACCTTCTTCCTCTACTTCCTGATCACTTTTGTCATCACATTCGTCATGAGTGCTGTCTTCCGTACCCTAGCTGCTGTGACCAAGACTATCGCACAGGCTATGGGTTTGTCAGGAGTTATGATTCTGGCTCTCGTCGTCTACACCGGTTTCGTGCTTCCTGTGCCCTCCATGCATCCTTGGTTCGAATGGATCCACTATCTCAACCCCATTTACTACGCCTTTGAGATCTTGATCGCCAACGAATTCCACGGTCGCGACTTCCCTTGCTCGTCTTTCGTCCCCGCCTACGCCGATCTCTCAGGTGATGCATTCAGTTGCAGCACTGCCGGCTCGGTGGCCGGTTCCTTGACCGTCAGCGGCGACCGATACATTCAACTGAACTACTCTTACAGCTACAGCCATGTCTGGCGCAACTTCGGTATCCTCATTGCATTCCTCGTTGGTTTCATGTTGATCTACTTTATCGCTTGCGAGCTCAACTCAGCCACCACCAGCACTGCTGAAGCCTTGGTCTTCCGCCGTGGTCACGAGCCCCCCCAGCATGCGCCAAAGCCACATGGCTGGATCTGATGTTGAGAACGCTGGTCCTTCCAAGGCCGAGGTTTCCGACTCTGACGACAAGGGAGGCATGGGTGCCATTCAGGCCCAGACCGACACCTTCACCTGGCGCGATGTTTCTTACGATATCGAGATTAAGGGCGAGCCTCGCCGCCTCCTAGATAATGTCTCTGGATGGGTTAAGCCTGGAACTTTGACTGCCCTGATGGGTGTCAGTGGTGCTGGTAAGACCACCTTGCTTGATGTCTTGGCTCACCGTACATCTATGGGTGTCATTACTGGTGACATGTTTGTCAACGGTCGTGGTCTCGATGCTAGTTTCCAGCGAAAGACCGGATATGTTCAGCAGCAGGATCTTCACTTGGATACTGCTACTGTTCGCGAGTCTCTGCGGTTCAGCGCTATGTTGCGTCAGCCTGCTTCGGTTCCTACCCAGGAGAAGTACGATTATGTCGAGGATGTCATCAAGATGTTGAAAATGGAGGAATTCGCTGAGGCTATTGTCGGTGTCCCCGGTGAGGGTCTGAACGTCGAACAGCGCAAGCTTCTGACTATCGGTGTTGAACTTGCCGCGAAGCCCAAGCTTCTTTTGTTCTTGGATGAGCCTACCAGGTACGTACTAACTCCTCACATCCCTTTTCGATGCGTATTCTAATGTCTTCCTCAGTGGTCTTGACTCTCAGTCCTCGTGGGCTATCTGTTCGTTCCTTCGCAAGCTTGCCGAGCACGGTCAAGCGGTTCTCTGCACTATCCATCAGCCCAGCGCCATGCTTTTCCAGCAGTTCGATCAATTGCTCTTCCTTGCTCGTGGTGGTAAGACTGTCTACTTCGGCCCGGTCGGAGAGAACTCTAGCACAATGCTTGAGTACTTCGAGGCCAACGGTGCCCGCAAGTGTGACGATGCCGAGAACCCCGCCGAGTACATGCTCAACGTTGTCAACGCCGGTCAAAACGACAAGGGTCAAGATTGGTTCGATGTTTGGAAGCAGAGCCAGGAATGCGTACAGGTCCAGACCGAGCTGAACCGCATCCACGCCGAAAAGGCGAACGAAGCACCTGCTGTTGAGGAAGACACCGCTCAGGGCCATTCTGAGTTCGCCATGCCTCTTTGGTACCAAATCTCTCTGGTCACCACCCGTGTCTTCACCCAATACTGGCGCATGCCTTCTTACGTTCTGGCTAAGTGGGGTCTTGGAATCGCCTCCGGTCTGTTCATCGGTTTCTCGTTCTACAACGCCCAAACGTCCCTGCAGGGAATGCAGACGATCCTCTACTCGCTCTTCATGATCTGTACTATCTTCTCTTCGCTGTCTCAACAAATCATGCCCGTCTTCGTCACCCAACGTTCGCTTTACGAGGGACGTGAACGCCCCAGCAAGTCCTACTCGTGGAAGGCCTTCCTCATCGCCAACATCATTGTCGAGATCCCCTACATGATCGTGATGGGTGTTCTGACATATGCCTGTTACTTCTACGCCGTCGTCGGAATCCCCGATTCCGCCGCTCAGGGCACCACTCTCGTCTTCTGTATCGTCTTCTTCATCTACGCTAGCACCTTCACCCACATGGTCATCGCCGGTCTCCCCGACGAACAGACCGCCAGTGCTGTCGTCGTGCTCCTCTTCGCCATGTCTCTCACTTTCTGTGGTGTCATGCAGACACCTGATGCCTTCCCCCACTTCTGGATCTTCATGTATCGCGTCTCGCCCTTCACCTACTGGATTGGCGGTATGGCCGCAGCCCAACTTCACGGCCGCCAAGTCGAGTGCTCCCACTCTGAGCTGTCGATCTTCAACCCGCCCTCCGGTCAGACTTGCATGCAATACCTCCAAAAGTACGCTGATGCGGCTGGTGGTAGAATCATGAATGGCAATGCGACCAGCGATTGCGAGTACTGTCCTCTGGCAGTTGCCGATCAGTCCTTGGCCTCTTTCGGCATCAACTATGATGACAGATGGCGCAACTTCGGCATCATGTGGGCTTTCATCGCTTTCAACATCTTCATGGCTGTTGTCATGTACTACCTTGTCCGTGTGAAGCGCTGGAACACTGGTGAGAAGAAGAGCTCCAAGAAGCCCGCTTCTGAGAAGAAGGGTGGAAAATAAGCTATCTACTCACCTGTCCCTCCTCCGGTCATCTCTCTCCCTATTTTTTTCCTTCCTCAGATGGCCCTGTGAATATTTATCGTTTGTAATTAGAGGCGTTTTGGGTTAATATTTTGCTTTGCATCGTGCTTTGTGACACTGATTGCTAGATACATTGGACATAGATGGATATATTCAAATGACTATTATATACAATTTATCAAATCATTTTACTCATTCCAGCCAGGTAGCAACAGCAACCTTCAACGTATCCTTCAACCAAGCCTCCTCATATCTCACCTCCGCATCAAATCCATGCTCCCCATCCTGCAAAGCCAGAACAATCCTCTCACTACCAGGATCCCCCTTCAATACCTCCCGAGCCCGCGCAACAAACTTCTCACTCTCCACCGCCGGAACAACACTATCCTGTCTGCCATGAATAATAGCAATTCCACCAGCAGGAATTTCCTTAGTCTTCTCAAGTCTCAAATGAGGATACCTTATCTCAACATCCCCCTTAGCCCCAGCTTCATACAATTCAGTAAACCGTCCCCACTGAACACCCGCAAGCATAAACTGCCCCCTCGCCTCGCTCACAAGAGAACTCTCCACATCCACAAACGAAGCAAGACCATTGTCCCAAACACTCTCGGGCGTGTCTTCACCAAACGGCAACACATCCCGAGGCTTCGAGTATGCTTCCACGGAAAGATCCACGCACGGGTACGCAGCTGTACATGCGCGAATCTCGCGCGCATGCGCAAGCGCAAGCGAAACACTCAATAATCCACCTGCAGATTCACCGGCTGTCAAGATGCGATCGAGATCAGCTTCTGTGGGGGTGGAGTGTGCAGCGAGCAGGTCCTTGAACGCGGAGGAATGCACCCATGTCCAAAAGTCCTCGATGTCTTCGTAGATCTGTGTGCTTGTGGCGCTTGGCAGGAGGCGGTAGTTCGGGCTGATGATTATGGCGTTGTTTTCAATTGCTAGGTCGGATACCCAGTATGACCACCAATCCATGTAGAGCGAGTCACCGGTTACCTTGGTTTGTTAGTTGATGGTTGATTGCGGGTGACATGGTGTTGGTGTGGGTGTGGGTGTGGGTGTGGGACATACCAGGCCGCCGCCATGGAACCGGATGATGACGGGTCTTTTTCCGGCGTGAGCCTTTTGGGGGATGAGGATGTCTGTTCGGATTTCGTGGTCGTTGACTTTCTTGTAGGTGGCTTGGACGAGGTCCAGGCCTGCGAGTTTGGGGGAGGTTGTGGTGGCCATTGTTTCGCGGAAGGGGAATTGGGGTGAATGCGGAAGAGGAAATGGTGGGGGATGTCGGATCTCTTATTTGCAATGTGGTTTGGTGGGGAGAGATCTGCGGTTTATATGGAGCCATTGGAGACCGCGGGAGCTGTTGCACGGGATGTGCTCTCGGCATTTCGGGTTTGGGTTGACGCCGATACCCCGAATACTCTTACTCGCTATCTGTACTGGTAAGCACTATTCTGTATTCGCTATGGTGCGAAGTAGAAGCACTTCGTAGTATTCAATATCTAACGGTCAGGCTTGGCGCCATGTGCGATGGTCCACGGACCATGTGCTTCCAAGATTCGATCTCCGCTCGGATCTACGGAAATAAAGTCCGACGCTAGCCTGATATGAACTATAGCGGCATGGCAGTGGCCTGGATACAATGAACAATGTGAGATTGGCACCGCTTGCCTCTCATGCTTTCCATTTTCGCTTTAATTACAGGTCCCAATCTACCTCTTTCGATCCACTTCGACACGGGAGGCTTTGGCCTCTTCCAAAACATTACCAACGATCTTGTACCCATTCACCATGGGCCAATATGATAACGATCGACCCTGACAATCTTCGGAAGCTAGATTGACTTTTTCCTGTTGAACCAGAAATCTAGCGACAGCCTCGTGGCCTCTGGCCGCAGCCATGTATAATGGCGTCCGGCCTTCTGCGTCCTTGGAGTCCACATCCACTGCTTCAGTTGCAATTATCATTTTAACCACAGAGATATGCCCGTATGCCGCAGGCCAGAACAAAATTGTCCACCCAGCAATATCCCTCGATCCTGTTTCCGCCGATGCTTCAATCAAAAGCTTCACAACTTTATCATGCCCGTTAGCGGCAGCCCAAAATAAAGCCGTCCGGCCCTGGTTGTCCCTCGATTCGATATCTACTTTCTCCGTCTCAAGTAGTGCCTTTACCACCGTTTCATGTCCATGATATGCTGCTCGTGATAGCAATGAGCGCCCGCTGTCGTCTCTAATGCCAAGATCGCCTCCTTCTCGTATGGAAAGCCGGGCAGTTGCCTCGTTCCCACTCTCGGTGGCCCATAAAATGGAGGAGCTTGCACTGTGTCGAGAATTGTATCGATAAAGCCAAGGGGTCAATATAAGATGGAGGCGAGTAGATGATCGAGACAGTGAGCTGACATCATTCTCATTCTTGAGGAATGTTGGGATTGACAACAGAAGCTCAGCTGGCAACATGAGCAAGTGCATATTGATTGGTTCACCTTTCACCGGTGTGAAGCTAGGAGAGGAGATGGGGTTGCAAGAGGAAGAGAAAAAAAAAGTTGTATTCACATTCCAGTGGGATTTCTCCTGTCTACACGTGTAGTCTGCACATTGTATCATATTATATAACATTCCTCACCCGTGCATACACAATGCATGGTTTCGAGTGATATCTCACATTCAGCCATCAATGAACATTTCTCCAAGCCACAAACCAGCAACCAAACCCCAGCCTCTCAGGGGTATCCACTGCCCATGCAGTATTTAATCACCATAGGAATCAAATATGCCCAGGTGCACTAATTTGATGCCCTGGCGTTTGGCCAATTCTACGCAACCCTATGGGGTACTCCGTATGGAGGGTTTGTGTTTGCCTTCAGCCAGCCATAGCTTTGATGAGCTTCTACTTTTGTACCGTAGCCAGCCACTGGAGTATCCCAGTGCCTAGGCAAGCAAACACGAAAAACTGGAAGTGGTAACCAAAACAACGTCCTATGTACATTGATATGAGGTTTACTCTTGCTTTCTGTACTCTATATGAGGAAATGTGTTTACTATACTTACAGCCACGCCAAGATGCGCCATAATCAAAGGTGGTTCTCGGCGAACTCCTGTTCAATAATTAATTGGGAACAAACCCTATTTAAAGACCTGGGCTCGTATTTTAAGACGCCTCAGCGCCACATGCCCCTTCAATGCCGCCACATCTCGTGGTCTTGCTGCCCAACCTTTTCCCACTGGAGGATACAATATCAGATCGAGGATACTCCGTATCTCAAGTGATAATATGTATAGAGTACGGAGTGCCAACCGCTATGTGAGATAGTATACCTTTCATACCTCGTAAATGGTAAAAACCAAAGTTATGGCTTATATCTGAAAGAGCCTGAACTAGACTATCTCTAGCTGATGCCCAGGTGTACTAGAATATATCCCTGCTCACCCATGGATGTCTTGGCGCCCGTTCCTCAGGTTTACCAATCAAGCACCTGGGCAGCTTCACCTCCAGGAATAATTTTATCAATATTAGGAACCGCGGGGAAAATTACAAGTTACCCGGGTGGAAGTCCACAGGTCCACGGGTTGATGATGTTATTACTAAGGCGCTAAGATAGCCCTGGAGGCCGGACAAGAGAGTTTAGCATCAGATCTTCCCCGCCTTTTCTAATTTCTACTTCCAACCGTCTGCCATCGTCTATTTCAAGGCATGACCCCAAAGCCAAAACCCTGGTATGTCTTATACGTTTTCGAAGAAGAAATGGGGTGAAAGAATTTTCTAACCATGTTTGGTTCCCAGTGATAATTGCAGGAGTACGTGATTGCATTTTTCCTCTAGCATCAACTGAATAAAACTAATTATTACATTCAACAGAAAATCATCTCAAATGTCTGTTATAAGGCAATCGACACTACTGTGTTAAGCCGCGTTCTAACTGTCAGCAGGCGACGATACTACGCCAAAATGCTTGAGATGCCAAAAATCTGGCCGCGAATGCATCCGTCGCAAACCTAAGCTTCAATTCCACAACACTTCCCTTAATGGGACACTCTCTACAAATTTAGGTCTTTTTATGCTGTATGTCTCGGGTGGTCTTGATCTGATTTCCGATAGGCTCTGCAATCCTTCACTACATCGATGAGACACCGAAGTTTGCTGGTGCTTCTGTAGCAAATACCGATGCACCCGAATCCCACTCTGTGTCCGATTTGTTCCCAAATCGAATTGCTGAGGGACCTTGTTATGGAATCACAGGCCAGGGTCCTATCGTATGTCACGTCGATGTGAATCTCAGGCACTTACTAACTCGTTGTAGCATTTACCACCGTCCTCAACTGAGCGGCCCATATCATCCCTGGAAATCAATATTGGTGAGGCATTTCTCTTAAGATATTTCGTCGAAGAGCTAGCAAAATGGGTAAGATTTGGCTTCATCCTGAGGGTGTACTCGTTGACCAAGCTAGTAGTTTGATCTATGCGATCCGGAGCGTCATTTTGGTCTGGTTGTTCCACAACGCGCCCGGGGCTGCGCACCTCTTCTCAATGCACTCTTATGCACATCGGCGAGACATTTTACTACACTTCCAGGCTTTCGACAGAAAGAATTTCAGTCGAAGTTCAGCCTAATACAAGGCCTTGTGATCAATGAAGAGGCAGTACTGGATTATCACAGCCGATGTATCAGTCAGTTACGGCTTTTGGCCGATGGGCCAGGTGCAATCATGGATGAGAACCTACTTGCCGCGGTGGTCGTCCTCCGTTTCTACGAAGAGCTTGATAGTACGTTTAATCGCTTCTTTGCTTGCTACGACTTTCTCACATTTTGACAGACCCATTCACGTCCGATTTTCCAACTGACACAGCCATTCGGGGTCTACAATTCTTTCTAGAAGCACAGGCAAGCCTGGCGCTTTGCTCGACTGGCTTTCGGTCCGCTGTATTCTGGGTTGGCTTCCGTCAAGAGTTTCACTTAGCCTATTCCCAACAACGGTCTTTTCGCCTGCCGCTCAGAGTTTGCGATGACTATCTCCATGGTGGGGATGCGCCCGATCATGTGTTGGTAAACAGGCTGATCATCATTTGTGCGCATATTGTCCAATATTGCTATGGCGATCAAAATCCAGTTGACTCTCCATCTTATGAGGAATTGATTGATCTGTACCGTCACTGGCTGAACTGTCGACCAGCATCCTTTTCGCCAGTGTTTTCTGCTGCGCCGGACAGAGAGAAGAATGAAGTCTTTCCTCAAAAATGGTATCTCAATGACTACCATATCCTTGCAGAGCATAGTATCGGGCTGATAGACATTTTATTGGCGGCATACGATCCGACTATCGCGCGGATTGGGCCTGGTCAAAAAGGCGCGGAAGAATTACTCGACTCCAAGTTAAAGTCGATTGTTTTGGAAATATGTGGCATAGCATTGTCAAATCGCCAGTCTCCGACGGCGCTACTGGCAGCATGCATTGCCATCACCATTTGTGGTGATCGATTCACGGACCGATTTGAGCAAGAGGTATTGATGGGTGTTGTGGACAACACTATCCGTGATACCAACTACTGGCCTCCAACAAGCATAAAGGCTCGGATGTGTGGTGTATGGGGATGGGACTCATAAGTCCTATTTCATCAAAACTTCATTCTTAAATTTCCAAGGTTGAACGTTGGAAGCCATAACATATCTTGCAAAAAGTAGTTCCCGAGGTCTCCGAACAGGGCGTTTGCTCTCTAACAAACAAACCACATCGGGATTCGAGCACTGGACACAAATAAGACCCAAACACAGAGATACATAAGATATAGCACCAACGTGAATAAGAAAAACAAAGAAAATCGGACGAGTTGCGGGGTTAAAGACAGGTCATGTGATTCCATACTCTCCCAGCCAATCGGAATGCCCACTGATAGCAGATTTTCTGAGTCATCCCGATATTGGGAGAGGGGCACATGGGCAGAAATTCACTTCTCGACCTTAAGATAACGTGAGATCTCGCTTTGGACCCCTACAACTGGATCATTGAAACTAACAACACTAGCATAAAACCGTACAACATGGCGACCGAACAGCCCCCCCGCGCTCAACGACCTGAGCATCGACGAGAAGGCCGAGACAAAGGCCGTTGGCCAAATCGTCACACCATTCGATGTCTCTGGCGGAGTCGATGAGTCCGGCAAGCTCTTGCCTGTCGACTATGAGAAGCTCACACGCGAGTTTGGCGCCACACCTATCAATGCTGCACTTTTGGAGCGCTTCGAGAAGGTGACTGGCCACCGGCCTCATCGTTTCATGCGCCGAAGCATTGTCTTCAGTCACCGTGACTTGTCGAAGATTTTGGACAAGCATGAGAAGGGTGAACCCTTCTTCCTTTACACGGGCCGTGGACCGAGTAGTGACAGCATGCACGTCGGACACACTGTGCCTTTTGAATTCACCAAGTAGGTTTTGCTTTTCACTTCCAGAATCTTATACTAACAACCTTTTTAGGTGGCTCCAGGACGTTTTCGATGTGCCCCTCGTGATTATGATGACCGATGACGAGAAGTTCATGCACTCTCAGAAGATTGAGATCGAGGACTCAAAGAGATACACCCGGGCGAACGCTAAGGATATCATTGCCGTTGGATTCGACATGAAGAAGACCTTTATCTTCAGTGATTTCGAGTTCATCGGCGGTGCTTTCTACGAGAACATGTGCCGTATGGCCAAGCGAATCACCATCAACCAAGTCAAGGGTACTTTCGGCTTCAACGATAGCAACAACATTGGCGAGTTCCACTTCTGTGCTACTCAGTCAGCGTCTGCTTTCTCCACCAGTTTCCCTCACATCTTCGGCACCGATACAAAGAAGGTCGCCTCAATTCCCTGTCTGATTCCCTGCGCCATTGACCAGGATCCTTACTTCCGCCAATGCCGTGAACACGCCGAGAAGATGAAGTACAAGAAGCCTTCTCTCATTCACTCAATCTTCCTTCCCGCTCTCCAGGGCCCCGGATCCAAAATGTCTGCTAGTGTTGACAGCTCTGCCATTTTCATGAGCGATACCCCCAACAAGATCAAGAATAAGATCAACAAGCACGCTTTCTCCGGTGGTCAGGATACCGCCGAACTGCAGCGTGAGCTTGGCGGAAACACCAAGAACGATATTCCCTTCCAGTACCTGACATTCTTCCTCGAGGATGACGAGGAGTTGGAGCGCATTCGCACTGAATACGAGGGCGGAAAGATGATGACTGGCGAGATCAAGCAGAAGTGTATCGCTGAGCTGCAGACATACGTCCAAGGATTCCAAGAGCGCAGAGCCCAGGTCACTGATGAGATCATGGCCGAGTACATGCGCCCCCGCCCCTTGGAGTGGAAGGGAAACCCCAACCCCATCGTGGTTGAGAAGGCTAAGAAATAAACGTCCGGGCCATTGAATGGAGCAAAACAAAAAGATTCATGTCATTTCATAGCCTTTCAGCAATTCACCAATACCACCAATATACGTGTATGTTTCCACATTCATCAAATTCATTATATAGTCACCCGCAAGGACACTGAAACTCGAGCTACGACAAAACGACTTGGCCTCGCAAGAAACCCCTTACGCCGTTACTTAGCCAACACGACTCGCCATCCACAAGATCTTGCCGGGTCATCTTTTGCTCGATGCAAAAGCCTTGAGACAACGCATACCTTCGCGTTGTGCCTGCATTGCCACCGCTGCTCAGGGGAGGTGTGACCCACATATGACCACGGAGGAAGTAAGGTGTAGTGATGCTGCCTTCCATGATCTCATCATTCGGATTGACCACTAGCACCTCCGAGGTCTCTGTCGGGGAATTAATACCTGCTCGAAGACGAGCGGACGTGTATTCATCTCGTGCAGTGGTCTTGTGTGTAGTGAATTTGGACGGATTGGTGGATTCCGGATCGACGTAGACAGTCCAAACAGGCGTGGTCGGGGTTGTATGAAGCGACGGAATGAATAAGGTCATTAGGTCGATTGCTGCTGTTGGATTCGCTTCGATCCTCGCTCTCCCATTATGATCCACTACAATGCGCAGCCTCCACGCTTTGCTTCGATCCGGTATCGACGCGTCAAAGAATTGTTCAAAGCTTTTGAGGTCTTGTTCCAACCATGGCAATGCGTCTTTCCATTCAAAATCGCGCGCGGCTGCTATAAGCCGGTCGTGATGGTAACGCAGGAGGTAGTAAGGGGTCTTGTGAGGATCGGGATAGCATGTTGAATAGCGAGAGGCTGCTTCTGGGAGAGCTGGATCGAAGCGAAGGGAGGATATAATCTCAAAGTCAGGCATTGTGAAAATAGCTGTGATATCCGGTCAGTATTCGAATAATTATGCAGCTTCGGGGACAATTGCGACAGAAAAGAAGCGATGACGGTTCAATCCGGAAAATGTTTGGTGGAGAACTCGAGCGTTGCCGGCGCAGCGCACATGATTGGACCAGGCGGCCAGCGGAACTCTCGACTTTTCCTCAGCTTCATCATTCCCGACTCCCTATCTCTAACTTCTTTTGTCGAGGTGTGCCATTGTCTTCCATCTCGAGTTTATTCACTAAATACTAATCGGGTCTACAATTCAGAATTAGCGTCGATTCTTGTGGTTTCTTCACATCATGTCGAACCAGCTGCCGTTACCTACGCCCACCCAGGCCGCCCAGAATGTGGTACTCGACACATCAAAGTTGACTGAACAGTCATCAGCATCTGTCTGGGATCGCATCACCAACTGGGTCTCTGAGAACAAGGCTGTTGTATACACCATTGCCGGTGTCGCCGTCGTCGTGACCGGAGCCGGTGTCGTTTACTACCTTAATGACAACAACAACAAGGCTCCTTCCGTGCCCAAGAAGAGCAAGAAGCAGCGCCGAACAGAGAAGAAGAAGGCCGAAGAAGAGAAGAAGACTGCTTCCGTGCAGGAGGGTAGGTGACATTCATCCAAACACGGCGGTCGCATGACTGACATGGGCCCAGAGTCCCCAAAGAAGACCGAGGAGCCCGCCGAGGAGCTTCCCGAGGTCAATGAGGAGACTGTCGGAGAGCTCTCTGAGGAGGTACGCATCAATTAATTCCCTCACTACGGCCTTTCTCACTAACCGATCAGACCCGCAACGCCTACGCCGCCAAGCTGAAGGCCGCTGGTAACAAGGCCTACGGAGCTAAGGACTACCCCAACGCGATTGAGCTGTACGGCAAGGCCATTCTTTGCAAGCCCGACCCCGTTTTCTACTCCAACCGCGCCGCTTGTTACAATGTTCAGTCCAACTGGGAGAAGGTCGTCGAGGACACCAGCGCCGCCCTCGCCATGGACAGTGAATACGTCAAGGCCCTCAACCGGAGAGCCATCGCATACGAGCACTTGGAGAAGTACAGCGAAGCTCTGCTCGACTTCACCGCCAGCTGCATCATCGATGCTTTCTCCAACGACGTCAGCCGCAACTCCCTCGAGCGTCTGCTGAAGAAGGTCGCCGAGAAGAAGAGCCTGGCAATCTTGGAGGCACGCACCAAGAAGCTTCCCAGCGCCACTTTCGTTTCCAACTACCTCCAGAGCTTCCGTCCCCAGGTCCTGCCTGAAGGTCTGGAAGAGTCTGTTGAGCTGGACGACGAGTCCAGCAAGGGCCAGCTGCGCAAGGGTCTCATTGCCATGAGCAAGAAGACTGGCGACTCCTACGAGGAGGCAGCTGCTGCTTTCGAGAAGGCTCTGGAGCTTGGTGACCTCGGCGAGTTCGAGGGCCTGGCCCTCAACATGCGCGCTACCTTCACTTACCTTGGCGGCAATGCTGCCGGCGCCCTCACTGACCTGAACAAGAGTGTTGAACTCTCTCCATCTCTTGTGCAGAGCTACATCAAGCGCGCTAGCTTGCACCTTGAGCTTGGAAACAAGGACGCTGCCGCTGATGACTTCGAGCTCGCCATCGCACAAAACAAGGATGACCCCGATATTTACTACCACCGCGCCCAGCTCCACTTCATCCTGACTGAGCTCGCTGAGGCTGCCAAGGACTACCAGAAGTCCATTGATCTCGACAGCTCTTTCATCTTCTCCCACATTCAACTCGGTGTCACACAGTACAAGATGGGCTCCGTTGCCTCGGCTATGGCCACTTTCCGCCGGACGGTTAAGAACTTCGAGGATGTCCCTGACGTATACAACTACTACGGTGAGCTTTTGCTCGACCAACAAAACTACTCTGAGGCCATCGAGAAGTTCGAAAAGGCCGTGGAGATGGAGAAGCAGAGCAAGGTTATGGGCATCAACGTCCTGCCCTTGATCAACAAGGCTCTTGCCCTGTTCCAATGGAAGCAAGACTTCCAGGAGGCCGAGAGCCTCTGCCAGAAGGCCCTGATCATCGACCCCGAGTGCGACATTGCCGTCGGCACCATGGCCCAGCTGCTGCTCCAGCAGGGTAAGGTGGCCCAGGCTCTGAAGTACTTCGAGCGCGCCGCTGAGCTGGCTCGCACCGAGGCCGAGATCATCAACGCTATCTCCTACGCCGAGGCCACTCGCACTCAGCTGGAGGTCCAGGAGAAGTACCCCCAGCTGGCTGCCCGCCTGAACACCATGGGTGCCATGGGCGGCGGTGCCCCTCCCATGTAAAAGCGTGAATTGGCGGGCTCATCGTTTCCTTTTGTCTTTACCCTCACTTGGGTAGTTTCTCTGCCTTTTCTCTTCTCGGCTGTATCAGCCCCTCTGCGTGTATTTACTATCGGTTGACATATTCCCCGGCCGTATTTTGTTTATTTCTTGGTTTAACTCGGAGGGTTCCGGCTACAAGTTCATTGGGGGTGGGGGTCTTGACGATGTAGTAATTTGTGTACAATAGAGAATGAGACTATTTCCAAAATTCTACTCAACGCCTTATGTGCGGATGACCATGACGTTTTAATCTTCCCATGCCCCACATCAGCTGACCCACCCTTATCGGCATCTTCGGACTCTCTCTTGACTCTTCCTTGCCAAAGAACAGACATCTCAGCTTCAAAGAGCTTCAAATCCTTGGGTAAGTTGAATCCACTGTTGAACTGAGGTCTTCCGTTTTACCCCCGGGGGGCCAGGATGGTGTATGCACCTTCACAAGCCCGATTTTGCTTCGCTTATCATATTCGTTATCACTTCTCATACATACCTCATTGTTCCTGAGCTTCCGGCGCTGTTACTGCGGGGATTAGTCTTGACGCGAGAGGTGCTGATTTCCGATCTGTAGTAGAACTGATCACAAAGCTTGCAATTTGGACACCCTTCGGTGCCTTGTTGCTCAGCGGTGAACCTAACTCCGACCCGATTCATCAACTACCCCTCTTCCTTCTTTGCTCTTTCGACTTCTTCTACTCTTCACCTATCCTTTTCTTTCCTTCTCTTGATTTGGCTCAGTCCGCTCTCTGCAGTCTGACTTTTCAAGAGTGCTCAAACCTGCGACGTTTTTCGCTGACACAAGCTGATGTGTTCATGTGCTTGCAGCCTGGAAGCACCCGGGTAAGCTCTCTTTGTTACCTCCCTTCCGCCCCTCATCCCCTCCATCCCTCCCTGATATCTTGTGTATCAAAATGCGTGCTTACTATTTCCCTGTCTTGTTTTCAGATCTAGCAGCCTTGGATTCCAAACTTTCAGCTTACAAACAGCGCAATACCTCAACCTCCACCATGTTGGACCAACACGGTAAGTATCAAACCGCTCGGAGCCCCTTGATACGCTTCCATTCAAAGCTGACACTCTCTGAACATAGTCATCGTGACGTTGGTCCCGCTCATCGACTCTGCAAACCCTACGCGGAGTCTTATCCTCAACCCCGCTGAGAACCAGGTGACGGTGGCTATTGGCCGATGCTCCAAGCGTGAGATAAGGAAGCGAACTCCAGAAAAAGATAATGCTTGGTATGATTCTCGGGTTATGTCTCGTGATCACTCCTTCATCACTATCAACTCTGGTCGACGTGTGAGTTTCACATCTATATTGCCTGTGGGTCCATGCTAATGTACCGCTAGATCGCCCATATCCGAGACAACGGCTCGACCCACGGAACCTTCTTGAATGACGACAAACTGATTACTGGTCTCGACACTCCTCTCTGCGATGGTGATATCTTGCGTTTCGGTGTCAATGTGGACCGTGGCCATGGTAAGTTTGGCACTGCAATACCAGGTTTTGCTCAGTTTAGCTCCCCGGGGTTTTCTCAGGCTAACTTGCTGGCAGATAACTTCCAGGCCGTCGAGGTCAAGTGCAAGATTTATTGGCCCAAGCGGGAGATCGTCGTAATTCCTGATGACGTTCCGGCTGAGACTTCCACCGATGTCGCTGCTGCACCCTCTAAGAATACATTTGCCGCCCCCGATGATGACGAGGAGGACGAGGACAGCTATGCCGAGGAGTCCTGCCATGAATCCGATGAAGTATCCGAGGCGGAAGACGATGATTACATAGTCGACGAACACGTCGACAACCCCAGCGATGACTCCCGGGGATCTGCTTCTCGTTCCTGGGAGTCTATTGTGCTTCAGCCCGCCGACGTCTCTTCTGTCTCGAGCGTGGACCAGCACGAAGTCAATGAGAAAGAGCAAGATGTCGAAGCAAAGCATGAGCAACGACCTCCCTCCGTTGTCATTGATCTCACTCCTGCAGACCAGTCTTGCAATGACACAACCGATGCCACCGAGCCAAGTGTCCCAGAGCCCGTGGAGCCCGAGACACACATCGAAGCTCCAAGCGATGTCAATACATTCTCCAATACGCACTCAAACTCTTCTGACCACAATGACAAGTTCCCAGAAACCTGCTATCAGAAGGTTCCCGAAGATGCTTTCAGCGATTGGACCATGATGAAGCCGATGTTCATGCGCCTTGCTGATATGGCCTGGGGTGAGTCGGATCACATCCCGGACGTCGACTTCGAGAAGAAGATCATCCATGCAGCTCGCCGCTGCTCTTTGTCCCGAGACTCCTATTGGGTAGATGACCATGCCAGCTTCAAACCCCGAGTGGGCACCGAGGTGATCTGGACCCCGGATAGTGATGAATCAGACAGCTCCTTCCACCGTGTTCCTGGCCAAAGCCTCAAATACTGGTCTGTCGACAAGCGCCGGTACTGGGTCATCCAAGAGGACAAAGAAGACCAGGAGATGAGCAACTGGTGGTGGATTGTTGAGAAGCCATGGGACATGCTCAGCACCGAGATTCAGACGCAGCTAACAACTGAATCTCACATTGACGATCGCTACAAATGCTGGATTGTGAGGGCTTGGGAGCCACAGATGATCGGTGAAACATGGTGGGAGTCCCCCCCTTACTGGGATTCTTGCTTTGGTCAAGATCTATGCTCCGAGGACGAGTCCATCGACTCGGCCGAACATGAATGCGAGAGCGACCTGGATGAAGATTCCGTGTCGAATGAAGTGACTCAAACTCACGTCTTTTCGGAGCATCCTCTCTCCGGTCTCCTTGACGATCAATACAACACTCACGAGTACTTTGATTCGGAAGAAGACTCAGATGCATCAGAGGACTCGGAGTCCGTGGAAGGCTCACTGGACGTACATTCACATGGCTGGAAATTCGATGATCACTCCTCCATAGATGAAGATGTCTCATACTCCGGCTCTTCTTCAGACTCTTCAGGCTCAGACTCGTCCTCCGGAAACTCGAGTGATGATGAAATCAATTCCACAACCCCGCAGAATTACATTGTCCCAGAACATGCTGAGCCCACCTTCATTTACGAAGCAAATATGGCTGAGGCTGGGCCTTCTTCGTTCCGTGATCACGCTCCGAATGAAGCAACAAAGCTCAGCGGATTCCCTCTGGCGGATCAAACCCCGGTGATTGATGCTACCTCTCTCACATATGCTTCTGATATTTGCGCCAGCCATGGCATGACGCACCCGAGTGCCCAATTCCCAGAGCCAACTATGTCTTGGAGGTATTGCAGGTTTTCACGGGACAACCGCAATAACCTGTTTGATCCAGCGGTGCTCCCTACTCCCCGTCCTTATCAAGAAGGACCATTCTCAGTTGACACTGATTTCTGCAAGGTGGCAGACAAGGCTCTGCCCTCTTCTTCAATTCTTGCTGGAAGTACCAAGCGAACCGCCTCCGACATGGAATCCTCTTCTGCTCTTCCGGAAGACTCCTTCTCTCAGGATGCCCAGTTGGTGCCCGTTGACCCATACAGCCAGCCAGGACTCGAAACAGCATCCCCTGAGGTTAGGGAGGCAATTGCTTCTGCTCTTGCCGAGAACACATCTGCAGTCGCTGAGAATGATCGTCCTGCAAAGCGTACCAAGTCCACTCATACACCCTCCAAGAGCTTGGCGAGTCACGTCACCACTGCGTTTGTTGGTGCTCTGCTAGGTGGCCTGGCAACAGTCGCTACTCTTGCAGCCTTACCCAACGAATATTTCGCGTAATGGTGTGCTGTAACCAATTTCTTGGTTCTGCCTTTTGCCCCGATGGTTCCTAATTTACCCAATTCCCTTTTCGATTCCGGCGTTGCTTTACGATTCTACGGCTTTTACGATTACCCTGGCGTTCGGACAATATGTGGGGGAGTGACCGTTTGCTTTCACTTGCTTGCCCATTTGCAATCTTTACGACAGAGAACACTCACCGCGTCAGACTTTGACATGGATGAGCGCCACCTCTCTATCTTTCCCCTCCGTGTGATAGCTTTGCAGGCTGTAATGAGCAAGAATGCTAATGCTTTTATTTTTTTCCCTTTTGCCATCGTAATGAACCATGTGTACTGAATAACTCGTGGCCTACTGACATGGCCTCCCAGTGTAACCCTGCCAGGTACCAACTTTGGGTAGTTCCATTTTAAAATGCACCGTGATATCATTCCGTCCGGTGTTGAGCATTCTTAGCTTGGGTGTTGCATGTGAGTTCATTTGATGTGAGCTCATTCCACGCCTCTATGCACTTTATGCTTTGTCTTGCCGATTGTCGGAGAAGAAATCTGCTCACTTGATGCTCGTCAGCTCCGTAAACCTCTTTTCTTTGCTGGATATGTGTGTGCGTTCGTGAGTTCGTGTGTATGTACCCAGATGTGTGTATGTGTATGCGAACCCGAACACGACTTGTCACCCGCTAAATCGAAGACTTGGACCTCACCATCAATCAGAAACATTCAACCCACCAACAAAGAGCCGAAAAACCCACATCTCTTGCATCTACAATGAGAATTGGGCTGCAGGTATCCCACAAGTTCATATCAGCTGACTTGCATGTGCAACGCGAGGCAGTAACACCAATGACAAGAAACACGATCAACGTGGTTCCGGGTCGACCCTCGGAAGTCTCAAATTGCCCTCTCGAGACATGGAACATTCTCTGCCTTGCCGCCAATGCAGAGCCCTGACCGCAGCCCGACACCGAATCCCGGCTTAGCGCGTGATTGAAAAGGCTGGCTGCATTGAGCACAACGACAATATTTCGCGACCCAATCCTAGAGCCGACATGAGAGCCAGGGGAGCCTCGAGCGCTTCACATAACGGGTATGTTTATCCGAGTCCTGGAGTGATAGTCTTAGGTGGCTGATTCCGTCAGCATCCAGCACAAACAATGCGAAAGGATCGCGGATCGGCGTGTGACTCGGCCGATCATACAGGAAGGCTAAACGGCTACTAGGAACCCCTGTCCCATTGAAATGTTAAATGACAATCTGGCTGGGCCTGTTCTTGCCGCGACCAGCCGGCTAGCTGCGTGAGGCTATGTCACATCCACGGCGCCTCGGGCTCTCGGATATTAACGACTATTGGTTGGATGAGCAGATTTTGGTTTCTGGCCTGTTCTTATTGGCGACTCACACCTCGCACATAGCTTTCTTTTCACCTCACATCATGCATTTCCATGTCTCTTTTCTTTTTCAGCCCGCACCACAAGCGCTTCGCAGGTCCGTGTATCCGCTTTTTTCTTATCGGAGATTGTGCTGACAATGCAGCTATAGGATGTGGCTGTGGAGATCAATGCAGCAATGAGTTGATGATCCCGTCGATGGCATATATGTGCGTCAAAGAAAAAGAAAAAAAACAAGCAGAATCTCTTAAGCGATATACTTGATTTGATCTGGGATTTGCGCAAAGCGCAGCTGACCATCTGACGGTCAAGTCTGATGCATGGGACTGTTTCCTCCATTTGGTCGGGATGGAAAGAGTATCTGACCTCAGAAGAGAATACGACGACATCTGAAGAGCTCCACTAGTCAGAAACATATCGAATATTCAGCATGTGTTCATTGCATCTCGGAAATACAGATGGTCGCATGGTCGCCAATGCAGCTATCCGTGGTTGGTGCTCACGTTTTCACCGTCTATGCTCACGCTCGGAAAATTGATGTGACGGTCTACAGCGAATCCCGGCGAATGGAGATTGTCACAGTTCGTGATACGGGGTTGTGGTAAGTTGTGGTAATCAGCCATGTCTCTGTGAAGGGCGATTGTCTACGAAACAAAACGCTTGAAAAGATTTGACTGGACAGCCCCAAGTCTCCAGGCACAAATGTTATTCCCACGACACAAAAACAGTCAATCTGGCACTTTCGTCAACTGAACGACGGTGTGCACTGCTGGAAATACACTAGAATCCTCCCCACCAGCTCCTGTTTCAGCAACCCTGCATTTCCGTCATACATTGAACAGGCACGCATCTACAGCGGGGTTCAACCTCAGCTAAGCCCAGAACGGGTTCTGCGCCGTTCTTTCGATCTTTTCTTCTATTTTCCTCTATTTTCCCTTTTCTGGCTGTAGTCCCGAACTTGACCGAAGGATTCGAGCAACATTCGCCCCCATTCATGCATGTAAATTGAAATGAGCCAAGTCATACATCGGTCCTATCACCATCTCGCCTTGGTGACTACTGACCTGCTGATCCGGGCATTGGACTCGATGCTGATCCGTCATCATTTCTATACTCTGTCGCGGTGCATATTCTGCGTATGTAACAGTTGGAAATCTCGGGAGATTGGTGAACTGGTGCCACGAATACCCTTTTTATTTTCCTTTTCCCCTTGGATATAAGATATCCTTTTGCGCCGCGTTCTTCGGATTCATTATACTCTGGCCTGGACCGGATTCTACTTACATCTGAACAAGCCCGACTACACCATTGTCTTCTTCTTTGTTCCCGTCTTCCGGGTTTCATAACAAGACTTCTCTTGTCTACTGTGCTCTTCCGAGACAAAAAAAAAGAAAGAAAACTTAAAGATCCATACCACAAAGCCATCGGACATTTATCGAGCTGGTCATATCCACAGTCCCCGCATTCTCCTCCACAATGGCTTCCTCCAACTCCCTATACAACCTCGACCCAGAGCACATCTCCTGCATCGGGGGTCGAACAGTAGTTACATGCAAGAGCTGCGCAGGCAATGCCCCCAGGTAAGATACGCGGCCCCTCTCTTCCCCTCCGATCTCATGCTGACAGATGCAGAGGCTCGATCTGCCCCAGCTGCAACGGTCGCGGCTTTAACATCTTTGTTTGCGCACACTGCAACCCCGCAGCTGCAGCCGCCGCCGCAAGAGCCATGGCAAACCCCACATCTGCGTCTGCGACCTCGTCACCCGGCTCTTTGAGCCGCAGCTCTTCCACTTCTTATCCTTCACATCCTGATCCACGAGGGAGGTCTTATGGACAATATGGGGATCGAGATGGCGCTAGCTGTGGAAGGATTGATACCGATGCTAATCGCTCGCGGAATCCTTGAGCTTTGGGCCTTGCTTGGCATCCTGCTGATGGGCCCTTGGCTTGGACATGGCTGGCTCGCACGGTCTGGGTTATGAGATTGGATGAAATTGGATGAGGAGTTTCGGGTAATATGGAGTTTTGGGTGCATGTTTTTGTTGAATGGCTACCACCTGGTTCTGGGTTATATTCTTGGGTCCTTTGTCCTTTCTTCTATGGCGATGCTAGATGCTATCACATTCTGTACATACTTTTTCTTCGTTGGACTTTGTTGTTGAAAGACGAGTCACTATTATCATACAGTTGGAACTAAGTTTTCTCTTTCTCTCAAATGCCAGCCCTGGAGTCTTCATATCAACGCGGATGTAGTTTTTGTCGGCCAGTGGTTTCTGAAGACCTATTGCGAGTATTACAAACGCGTCTAGTCAAGGCTAACGAGAGTAGAATAGAATCACAGTAATTTTATTGCAGTCCTGAGGCTTTTTTCTATCTGATGGCGTGATCAAACACGGACTACGTGGCTGATACATGGAATTCTGCCCAGGTGTCATCAAGATGTTCTACCAGAAAGCATAGTGGACATGTTATGAATCTAGTTTAGTTTAACCTTGAAATTCAAGCGCATCCATGCCCAAGAAATATTGATTGCAGGTAATATTAATTTCTGGATTAGTTCAAGCGCAAATCTGGCATTGGAATCCAGCTCCCGAGGTCACCTCACAGTCCATCACCTGGACACCAAAGCTTATACCACCTGGTATCAATGCCAGGATCATCCTTCTCATAGAATCTCAGATCCGTACTCAAGCGGATCCGATTCTCAGGGTCTTCATTTCGACCACTGGCATGAATGCTATATGGGTCATGAAATACCACGTCTCCAGCCTCATAGTTCGTCACTAGCCATTTGTGATCCCCGTGTGAGGAATGCATGGCTTGGAACTCTTGCGGTGAGTTGGAAATCATGCCACCGTCTAGCATGTTAACATTGAATGCAGAGATCCGCTGCTCTGGTGTGAATTCTTCCGCGCGCCTGGTGTAGTCTTCTTCGATGGTACGGCCTAGCGGGAGTGAATTCTCAAGATAGCAGAGACCTCCACCTTGAACGGAGATATCGCCTGTTGTCATGAGCCGAAGCCTACGTTGGAAACTCGGGGCAGCACTTACCGATAGGTACCCAGGCAGTAAGGAAGAAGCCCTCTCCTCCTCTCAGAAATAATTTATCATAGTGAATCCCTGTTCCCTTGCCAAGGGGCACTTTGTGCCGGAGCATTGTTCGGTCCAGAATCCGATGCTCTTTCCATCCCATCAAGGCTCTGATGAACTTCGTCAATGCCGGATGCTCCACAAACGCTCGGTACTCGGCCTCCTTGTGGGCGTCGATGAGAATCTGGTGCTCCACAGGGTTGGTGGGCAGCCCCTGGCCCCCGATACCTTTGTGTGAATCAGGAGATGACGATGAGTTGAAGATACCGTCTCTGGGAGAGGAGCCAGGTTCTAACAGGGAAGTTTCAGAGTACTGTTTGAAGTAGCTGAAAAGGTGAGTGGAGCTCTCATCCATAGGAGGAGTGACTTACTTCTCTCTCGCATCGAGGACATCCTCTCTCGGAATAACATCCTTAACGAACAAGTATCCGTCTTCTTTGAGTCGTTGTCGCAACTGCTCTACTGGCAGATGTTTCGGTGTTGGTCGAAGAAACCCAATCTTTTCAGAGGAGATGCGACCACCAGTCTGCCCAAGACCTTCAGGGAGGCAATCTTTGACGGTGCCACTGAAAAGCGGTGGTGCCACTGGATTTTGCACTGCAGTCATACTGAATGTTTTTCACAAGAGAAGAGTTTTGAGGAAGGACAAAGATGGCCGACCATTTTTATCATTGATTTGTGCGCGCGTTACGACAGCGAACTGCTGACCTCTGCCTTACACATGTGGAACAGGTCCATATAAAAGAGAAGAATCTATATGTCATATGCACCCCGCATCGAAACGAACACCAATCGAATTCTAATCAAGAAAGGCCTGAGCCGACGAGTAGATGTTGAGGGACCCTGATTGGCCATAAATAGAGATATGATGGTCCACTATCCGCTCTTCGACCCACTGAGGCTAACCGGATTAGATCGCAAAATCGCCGATTTTGGCCTAATTAGTCGAAATTCGGCGACGCTAACCTTAAAGGGATCTATCAGGCCTGCACACGAACGTTCTTCAAGATCATTTCTAACAAGTAGATAGACGGTCAGACCAAGACGTAAGTCAACCGCTACAGCTATAAGAGTCTGATATATTCATCATTCTAGTTTCTCTCTATGTCAGAAATCAACGACACACGAGAAGGGAACCATTCAGAATCTCGCCGTAATGAACAAGACACAGGCACCGCGGACAAAAATATCACTTTACTTTCAGATATGCAGAGCTTGGAAGTCTGTGCTTGTGCTTGTTTTTCCTTTTTTTAGTATATTGTATTGGGGTTCCTAGATCATGAGCTAGTACCTGCTGGAAAGTTTTGAATGACACTTATCAATGTGGTAGATATCACGGAGCCTATGCTGATTGTAATAACCACTAAACCCCAGCTGCTCATACGGAGTACCTAGGTAGTAACCACTGTCTTTGTAGGTTGAACATCGTGTCTGTGGTGCATCACGTGAGATGTGTGGTCATGTATGTGAAGTTTTGTATAGTATTTAGCAAACCCCCCAGTGGTCTAGTTGGAACACCTTGGGCCATACCTGCCCTTGTCCTTCCTGATTCGCTGATCAGGGGTTCGGATCTCGCGGATTGCCAATCGCCGGGGAGAATTTCGCACTCTCGCTGGCTGGGTTCGTCATACTTCGGTATCTTTTTTTCGCCCTTATTCCTCTGAGTTTTCTAATTTTCTATTTTTTTTTTTTTTTTTGAGACCTCATTAGAATCTTTGCTCCATAGTAGGCTGGTTATGAGTGTTGGTTGAAATTGAGTGTGCTGAAGCTCCTTGAATGTATTCAAGAAGGGTCACTGTGCGTGAGGTTGCCCGCGCCCTGCTGTGGGGGAGAAGTACTTGTTTTCCCTTCGATTGCTCTGTCCTCTTTAATTAAGCCTTCCAGATTTGAAATTTATTCTCCAAGTCCTTTAAAACGCTCAACTCCTTGAAAAATCGGCTTTTGATCTACCATTTTGGGCGTGGAGGCAGATCACGACAGTTTGGTCTCTGTATATGAAGTTATTTATGGGAGGGGGAAGAGAAGGAAGAAAAGGGACAGACAGGTCAGCCCCGGAGATGGAAAGAGCAATTGCCTGGTTTCTAATGTTCCAATAAGCATATGATGATTCCAGGGTTTTATGGCATTACACTACTATCAATCTATGGACCGAGCCATATCAGGCATTTGCACTAATGTAAAGCCTAATCAGATTTCTCTCGCTCTTTACCTCCGCCATTATCCAACTTCTTGATCCCATTATAATTGATTGTGCTGTGAGTCTTATCTCTTCTGGTACTATTCGAGATACGTCGAGGCCGACTACTGAAGATTATTTTCAATCAGTCTGGCTTCGGTCTTCACCCTCCGCCGCCATATTAATACTCTATGCACGTTCGACTGGCCGCGCGAACAGAATAAGCTACCGAGTCTTACGATATTTCAATCATAATGACCTCGAATCTAGGAACAAAAATAGACTCAAGTTGGAGGATGGTAGCGACGGCGGATATTTCCTCCTGTTTTGCGGGGAAATTTTGTGGGGTAGTTCCGAGGCCACATGGGGAATCATTCCCCGTTGCTGACCCAAGCCAACCTTGGAAGCTAAGATAATCATTGGGACATCTGACCCGTTTGTTTCGGCTTCCGAAAAGATTGAAGATATTCATAGGTTTCATGAGCAGGTATAAAGTAATCACGATATTCATTCATAAATGTCACAGTGGTGTCATTGTACTCGCTATATACTACAATTGACCAAAATCTTACACAGTCTAGTGCCCAGCAGCAATCGGCTTTTCCTGGGTCTTCATCCGCTCTTCGATGATATCTTTGCGCTCCTTGCGAAGCTGTCTGGCATAGCTGACACCGAATCCGTGCTCGAAGACCTCCTTCACTTCTTCCAGCACAAGACCAGAGACCTCAGGGTAAAAGAAGTAAAGCCAGATATATCCAAAACCGCAGATAGCAGCGAAGAAGCCGAATGCACCGGATGGAGTCCAGGCCTTCATCATGGAAAGGAAGGTGCTAGAGATGATGACGTTGGCGCCCCAGTTGGAGCAGGTGAGCCACATGGTTCCCATGGCACGCACCTCAAGAGGGAAGAAGTCGGTGCTCATCCATGCGGTGTTGCCAACGGAGACACCGTAGAATACAACAAACCAGATAATGAAAACTAAGACGGCAATTGCTGCAGGAGGGATTCCTGATGTGGCTACTTCCATCGTTTCCATGTCGATGGGGATCCAGCGGAAAGCAACTGCGACAGCGATCATTCCCACAGACATTCCCCACACGGTAGAGAGGAGAAGTTTTCTGCGACCCATGCCATCGACCATCATCATGTTGACGAATGTCATGATGAAGTTGGTTCCTGCGACCACGAGACCGACCGCGGTGGGGTTGTCGAAGCCGACCAGGGAGAAAAGAGTTGCCGAGTAGTACATCAGGGCATTGAAACCAGACAGCTGAGAGATAACCATCAGTCCGCAAGCACTGATTAGCGCACGAAGATTGCTCGGAACGGTGTGAAGCTGCTTAATCTTGGAGAATCGAGACCCGCTCTCATCGATTTCACGGGCCTGGTCGCATGCGGTAACGATGGAAAGAAGGACTGCGTCGATTTGCTCCTCGGTGGCCTCGGAGTAGATTTTGCGAAGGACCACTCTGGCCTCGTCGTTGCGACCATTGTAGGCCAAGTGACGCGGAGACTCGGGGCAGAAGGGCATGAGTGCGCCGAGAACTAGGGCCGGCACCGCACCCAGACCGACCATGTATCGCCATCCATGGGGGACGCTGGAAAAGGCCGCTCCAATAGCATAGGAGATAACCTGGCCTCCAGTGATGGACATGTTGTTTAATCCGATGAGCTTTCCACGGGCTTTGGCTGGAGCGATCTCGGCGACGTATAGCGGCAAGACCATGGCACCGCAGCCAACACCGAATCCAATGACCAGACGGCCGACAGCCATCTGAGCAATGGTATAGGCGGCCGCTTGGATGACTGCACCGGCGACGAAGAGAACACAACCGAGATAAATGGCCATTTTGCGACCGAACTAAAACTTAGCACTCATAGGTTTATGGAAGGGGTCGTCTTACTCTGTCTGCCGTGTTACCGGCAAAGATGGCTCCGATGAAAGCACCACCCGAACATAATGAGGTAATCATTTCTTTCTCACTGCTTGTAGCAGGTCTGCCGTCGAGGGAGTTGCCCAGAACCACCAGCACGCCGGAAATGATGCCCGTGTCGTACCCGAAAAGGAGACCCGCCATTGAAGCTGTCGTTGCTGCGAGCCAGACGAACCAGCTGACAGGTAAGTTGTCAATACTGGTAGCAATCGTGTCGATACTGGCATCAATCTTCTCGATGTGGGCGCTTTCCAAATCATCTTTAGTATCGGAGGATTGTTCTATCTTGGTCTCGTTGACCTCTTTGTCCGAGGATTTGAGTGGCCACATGATGAAGAAAAGGTAAGTGACAATGCAAGAGATGCAATATCCAATGAGCAAATTGCAATTGAATCTGCTGTTGAACATGGGCATCAGTGTAACATTATATAGTGAATGCATACGTCAAGTCTCCACCCCCAGATCCCCGCACTGCCAAGTCGAAGAGATCTGGGGAAATTCACGCAGATCGCATTCCTTTTTCGCCAGTTTCCACTGCTATCGCCGCCACTTACCCAATCAGTCGAATGTCGAAACTTAGGGTTTCTGCCCGGCAATGGTCGTTTCTTGTTTCGGCTACAAGGGAAAATGGTTTCCATCTCCCAAGCCCTTGTCGATGAGACAATTCCGAATCGCCCACCAATGATAGCGGCATGCCTCTCGCCCTAATTTACCTTGGCTCCGCGACATTTTAAGGGGGCGGCTTTGACCCGGCCCGACGACTAACTCTTGGGCTGCAGGCCGCTATACGCATGATACAGCCGATCTCAAATACATATGGGGGATTTTCTACTGGCTCACCCGGGGGACGATCTGAGGTAAATATCAATGACAAGAAGCTTGGCTTGAGCCATTCTCGGAAATAGGTTTCATGATGCTCTTCTCTTCACTTGAGCATGCAACATGTGCACTAATTGACGCATTCTGTCTTTTTTCGGGATCGGTCCAGGGGATTCGATAGGTCACGAGAACGTGCAGCTCGACATGCAGGCTCGTGCAGCGACTCAACAAAGCGGGATCGGAGTCTTTCAACAGAATCCCGTAGCCCCCAATCAGCGGTCCCGAAATGACGATAGAGGATCCCGTACGGAGCAGTCTTATCGTGAAGACACGCCCGAAATTCTCCCATATTGCGGTTCAAAGAATGTCTTTCACAACAAGGGCACCGTGAAAGCAGGGGAAGGTCTGATTCTCTCACCGAGTGCCCAGAAGGGTCACCCGATGGGACTGTTGCATCATGGCACCTCGGGTTCCCCGTGAAGATCAAATTCGGGGCAAATCGTGGGCCGAATGGCTTGGCCCCGCTAACAACGCCCAAATTCACGGACTCTGGCCGACTTGTACGGATCATCCCTGCGCTGTGCTGACCATTAGAAACCGGTTTACTGCAATTGTTTCGCTTTGATGCTTTGATAGATGGAGAAATGGACAGGATGCATGATTCAGCCCCTTGGCGCCTCAATCTGTGGGGTGGCAACGGCCAGGGTGGCTTAGTCGCCTAGGAGTTCATCCTCGTACTCCATGTCACTGTGTGGGGAGACTCGAATTTCAGATTACTCCGTACGGAGTATAGACCGCGGATATTCACATTTGCTTGTAGTATTCGTACACGGCACGGCTCACACCACCTCACGAGGGTGCACGGGCTCATCACCAATTTCCTCCATCTTATCCTCCAACAATCGTGTCATGCGCTTGACCACATCACCGTACTTCTCCTCGTGGTAACAATTGAACAACTCGAGTGGGTCTTCTTCACAATCAAACAATTCCCACTCCTTCTCCTCACCACCGGGCCGAGTCCCCTCAATGCCAAAGTCCTCATTATACCAATAAATCAACTTGTACCTCCGATCCCGCACTCCATAGTGCGCATACGCCTCATGAATAACGTCTCGATGCATCCAATAGCGATGATAAGCCACTTGCTGCCAATCGCCGGGCGTATTGAGTCTCAGCAGATCCCGGAAACTTACCCCCTGCATATACGATGGCATGCGGAGACCGGCAAAGTCCAAGAATGTAGGCGCAAAGTCCACATTACAGATAATGTCCTCGCAGACGCTCCCCGCCGGGATTTCCCGAGGGTATCGGATGAGGAACGGCATTTGGAAGCTCTCCTCGTACATGAACCGCTTATCGAACCAGCCGTGTTCGCCCAGGAAGAAGCCCTGGTCAGAAGTGTAAACGACAATCGTGTTTTCAGCTAATCCCTCCTTGTCCAGGAAGTCCAATGTCCGGCCCACATTGTCGTCGATGCTCTGGATGGTGCGGAGATAGCGCTGCATGTAGCGCTGGAACTTGAACTCCGCTAGCTCCTGTGTTGTTTTGAAAGTGAAGACAGTGCCATCTTCTTTGTCGATCAATCGCATCTTTGTCACGTCCTCAGGGGCTGGGATCTTGCGGTCCTGGAGCCACCATCTGTCTAACATTTTCTCGCCGACCTCGCTGCCACCGTCGGGTTGCACCAGTCCCAGATCAAAGTATGTGAGATCCTCTGCGACGCGGAACTTGGCCACCTTTGCTGCCTTTGCGCGGTTCTTGTAGTTGTCCGTGAAGGTGTCCGGGAGGCGGACAGGGTCTCGGTATAGATCTTTGTGCTTGGGATGACATTCCCAGCTGCGATGGGGTGCTTTGTGGTGGCACATCATAAAGAAAGGCTTTTGGGGGTCCCGCTCCTTGATCCAGTTCAGACTCTTGTCTGTGATGATGTCGGTAGCATATCCGCGCACCCTGGTCTTGCCCTCTGGTCCGATGAATTCGGGATCATGGTATTCACCCTGACCGGGGACAACCTCCCAATAATCAAATCCGGTGGGCTCATGCTCCTTTCCTTCGCCCAGATGCCATTTTCCCACCATCGCTGTCTGGTAGCCGCCAGTCCGCAGAGCCTTGGCGACGTTCGGGTTGTGCTTGTTGATTTTTGAGTCGAGGGTCATGACGCCGTTGACATGGTTGTGTGTTCCGGTGAGAATGGCGGCTCGCGAGGGAGTGCAGATACTGTTGGTGACGTAGCAGTGGTTGAACTTCATGCCTTCTGTTGCGAGTCGATCGAGGTTTGGGGTGTTGTTGATTCCAGCCCCGTAGCATGAGATGGACTTCGAGGCATGGTCATCGGCCATGATGAAGAGAATGTTTGGTCGCGATGCTGAGGCCATCTTGGTGGTGTTTTAGTACAATCGAATTCTCTGTGAGTATTCTCAAGGTTGACACGAGCTCCAGGTGCGGTCGGCCGAGGGGTACCGCTTTCTTAAGTACATGTTGATCAGTGCTCCTCGTTGTCCCTCCCAGGTAAGAGGCCCCGCAGAGAGCACGACAGAAGACGAAATTCCAAAGTTGGCCAATGGGGAAAGAATGGCGTGTCAGTATACAAGCCGCAGATCCACTTGGTGCGTGTGGAGCGGCAGTCGGCGGCAGTCGGGTTTCGTCGCGGCACATTGGATGGAACATTGCTTTTCAAATTATTCGTGTTCAGACAGTTACAATTGCCTATACTGATGCAATTGAATATAACCTTGGGATCAATCATGTCTTCGACGTTCCCCCTATCAACCCGATTCCTCATAACCCTCATCCACGAAATTAGCTTGTCGGACCAAACTATGGATCGCCAAATGGTTATGCCTGTGAACGCCTTGATCCAACGGAGGTGAAGGATAAAAATTCGAGTATATCGATACAGGATCGGTGTCTGCTGTATGCACAAGCCTTTTTAGATCCACAAGAAGCTCCTTTGTACTCGGCGACGAGAAATACATCTCGGCAACAGCAACAGCAGTGTGAGCACACCGCACAGCATCAGCCATATCCAACCCCAAACTCACATCTGGCGAGCAATATAGGAACAGGGTAAGCCGCGTTGTCTGGTATGCACAGATGGCAACGTAGTGCGGCAGAACTAACTGTGAAATGTCCAACAAGCCAGCAAGCAGTTGATTGATCTGTGAGACGTGCTCGTGGCATTGGCGAACTGCATGCTCTCTCACATCAATCTCTATGGTATCTAGAATTATCCTTGGTGCCGCTTCGGGATATCCAGGGAGGAACAGCCGATACAGGTCGCAATGCGCTTGGTGCCACGAAATGGAGATTTGCAGGTGCCGTGGAAACCAGCGTGAGTTTTCTATCTCATGTGGCCGGCATATGAGGAACCCACACGACAGTTCAACTTCTGCTTGGAGGCGCCATAGATCCTTCTGGATCTCCTGGACTAGACCATTCAATTGTGCCAGAGGTTGCTCAGATAGCGCCAGCTGTCGAGTCAAGCGCATGATATCTTTCTGCACTTTGGAAAGTCGAATGCAAGCGCCCAGTAGACTAAGCTGGGTTTCTTGATTTGAGCTTCCGTTGAAGATGTCCTCTGAACAAGGTAGTTGCTGATAGATTATTGTGTGTGGTATGGTCTCGTATTCTGGCAGGCCCACGGAGAAATACCCGTCGATGAATGTCAACGCCCACAGAACTCGTCGCCGGGTCTCTTGGGCAATAACAGACAGTTCTGGTCGCTCATAATTAAGGCGTAATGCAGTGGCAGCTCGTGCTGCCAATCCGGCGAGCATATAAGCCCGTGAAAATTGACCTGTCTGTATGCGATAGTGTATAACAAGCGACAAGGACTGGAGCTTCACGATAGAAGGTCTTTCTATGTGCTCCCATATTATTGATTCCGCTTTTGCAATCATCTCGCTCTCTTGCTGATCTGATAGGAGCACCTTCGCCACTGCCGTAATGGACAATGCAAGTGACGGCTCTAGAGCATTGCTCTGGTGCTGTTGGCGAATCGACTGCTCATGCAAGAAGGCGTATGAAGGGAGCGGATAAAGATGCTCGAAATAGTCATCTATCCCATGCAAACAGTCCTCTTGGGAAATGGTTGACCTGTCCATCATTAGATTATCAAACGACGAGCTGGTACAAACGACTCACATAGTCTCATTTTCAATGACTGCAGCTTCAGGCTTATCGTCAGAGGTTCGAGACTCTTTCGGATACCGACATGGACGTCGGCGACGAACACAAGTGGCGCATTCAGGTATCTCCCCGAGCAGCGTGATTTCTGCCGGCGGCACTCTATGCAAGCCTGGGTTCCACGTCGCCGCTCAGGTGGGCTTACAATCTCGGCTGAAGCATTGGATCTGGGTACAACATCCGAAAAGGAGCATCGAAATTCCAGGCGAGCACAGTTCTCGCAAGTTCCCGCTCTGCGATCACAACGGACCTGACTCGGTTAGCCCGGTCGGCATGCGTGTTTCTGCGTCTTACCTTGCGGCATCGGCACTGGTAGCATGGGGATCGCTGTGGGCGCCCCATTCCAAGGTTCGATCTGACGAGCAATCTCAAGATCTAGGCTGTTGCAGATGGTTGCCCAGGTGTGAGGTTTAAGGGGTTTCTTCGGGTAAACTGCGGCTCCACTGGTGCGATTCGGCCCTGAATCGCATCATCGCTACGGAGTAGATTACGAGTCAATCTCCAGCTTTTACTGTGTTCTATTGAGTCGATGGGACTTTTACTCTTAAAACTCCAGATATTTCGATTCTCATAGCCAAATATATGATGAAGTAAGGGAGATGTTCTTTTACAAAGGCAATTTCTGCTGCTTGGGCTTGATCGGTTTCCGGGTCATTCTGCATTTCTATCTTGTTTCTTCTCTTCCAGGTTCCTTCTTTGGGAATCAATTTGTTAGAGAGGCCAATTATGTAGATCAAGAAAAATCTACTGCTGTAACATCTCCGCAACACCGACTGTTTCCGACATCCCATGCGACTTAAATCATTTCTCCTTTCAGTGCTCTAGCAATGATTTCAATCCCAGGCTTGAAATTGTCCCATGAGTCATAGGTGTAGTTCAAGGTCATTTGCATCTGGCACTTGCCTCCAATGCCGAATCCATCGGGTATAATGCCCAGGTGCTCGTCTGGTTCGACAAGTGCAGGCCAAAAGAGCGAGTTTGGTTTATCGACGAAAGTGTACAATCGACGAATGCGATCCTTGACTTTCTCAATCTCGGCGAGCTTGTTCTTGCAGTTTTTCATCTCTGGGTTTTCCATAAATGATGACCCTCGAACGGATTCCATGGCCTCAATGACCGAACCGCAGTTGTCGCTTTCATCTTCAAGCTGGCTCATGAGGACAAACATCAGCTTGATGTTGAGGAGAGTCATCGACACCGCATGTGGAAGAACAGAGCCATGAATGTCAAAGTACCAGTCGGACGACTCGAGTGGGTTGGCATTCTCGATGGATTTTTCACCCCAACGTTCCCCTCTCCAGGTAGAAAATGTCCACCATTTCACAAAGTTGTAGCATTCTTGGTCTTTGCCCAAGCAGATCATGAGTGAGAGGATTTGTTCACGAATTTCCATGTTGTCTCTTTTGCATAATCTCAGACATTCCATGCAGTGGTCGAGCTGAGTCTTGATTGATTCGAAGGATTTGTTGGCCAACAGGGCGTTCACATATTCTAAACGGGCTCGCATGTAGGGGCGTGTCTCAGGACAACCCCAAAAAGTTCCAATGTCGTGTTCAAAAGGCTTATCTTCGTGAGCTCTTAAAGCTCGTTCTCGGGCTTGCATCTTTCTCAGGGCCTTTTGGATGCGGTTGCAAGTGACTCTGTGTTTGATGTAATCGGCCTTCTTATGTCCAGTAGAGCAATACTGGGTCACTTTGCAACCTCTGCATCGGAAGAGACCTTTCATGTTGCCGCAATCAGCACAGCCAGAGTGATGGGGCATTTTTGCTTGGCAGTTCTCATAGGCTCGATCAAAGAGCCACACGTCGTTGGGGCTTTTGGAGCAGTACCAGATTGCGAGGAGTCAGACCAAGATAACAACCTAATTGAGGGAATAGGCGTCTCGAGACAGAGGTAGATGGAGATTGTATGAGAGAGAAAGAGAGAGCGTGCGAAGAGTCTACTTATGTCATTCACATCCACTAACCAACTAACTAAGTGGGATCCTCCACCCAGAAGCAAACAGAATACAAACGCATGTGGTGAACACATACGGAGTACGCCGGTAAGGAGTCTGGAGTTACTCCGTACTGGACTTGGTATGCTGACGGAAAGGACATTTGCCAGCTTCTACATGCAGCAGTCATCAGACTACAAGATCTTGAGAAAGGGCCTTCTGTTTCCTTCTTTCTTTTCCTTCCAAGGTTTTCTTTATGTCTCTAGATCCCTCTGCATATTACAGACTTTTTCATTAATTCTCCATCATCAATAGAGCTTTAGTCTTTGTAACATCATGCATGGATTCTACTCCGTACTTACATCCTTTTCGGGATCATGCTTTAGCAAACCGGGTACCTGCATGAGCTCGTTTGTGCCTTGGATCGCCGCATATTCTTGCTCTAATCCCCTGGGCTGATAACTGATACTGAAAAATGTTTGGTTACTCGATACCAATGGAAATTGAGCTCAAGGGCTAATTTGGTGAATGAGCTGTGGGTTAGGTGGGAACGAAAGTAAGATCTATCTTAACAAGATAGATATACTTCTTTACTGGAGTATGAAACCCTTGGGAGCGGCCCTGGAGAAAGCCAGACTACTATCCATGGATGTATCACATCTGTAATCACCCGTGCATGCTCCAGCTCTAGGGCCCAGACCGAGTCAGTCATTTTTATCATATACGGAGTAGGAATATTATCATTGATCCAAGATCACTCATGTCGTACTGATGAGGTGATGAGGCTTCATGGTGACATGTGAGACACACCAGGTCTCAGATACGGAGTACTTTTGGGACTGTTGGTATGCATATCAGACTCAGGGTAGTATGCCAATTGTACGCCCAAATTCATCGCTGACAGAGATTGAGCCATCTGTCCCCCGCTCAACGATGCCTTACCCGTTTCCCCAGCCCAAAGATCTGTTCCAAGGTTAGAATCCCACCCAATCCGGTTAGCCGAGCAAGCCTCATGGCTAAATATGACATGATACCATGTTCTGCTATATTGAAGGTCACATAAACAGCATACTGCCAGGTCGACCAAACACGATCGTTCATCCATGTGTAGGAGCCCTGTACTGGCCAATTGAGAATGTGAACGGTGAGGAGCTCCAGCAGATTGGCTTCATGGCCAGTCAGATATTCTCTTGGTTGGGCAAAGTGGAACTCTCAGACGGCCCGGGAAGTACGGAGTACAAACAGCGGACATTAGTATTGCGGGCCGATGATAGGCCGATAAAGACCTCGGCACGTGATCCTTGAGCGTGGGGAAATCGGAAGAACGGATTATCCGGTTTCCACTTTCTAGCTTCGGTCGCCTTCGTAAAAAGTACTGGATCAGACGACTCCCTGCCCTTTTCGATCCTTCCTTCATGAAGTCAGTTCCCATCCTCATGAATCAAATGCCATCATGAAGTTCTTCGAAAACAAGTTCACCTATGATTACTCATTTCCCGCCGTGTCCCTCGCATATTTCCTTCGCTACCCCAACCCTTATTCGCGCCATGTCCTCACAACCGATGTCATTGATCGATACGTCGACCCAAAGACGGAACGTCTGCACACCCTTCGTCTTCATCTGAAGAAATCCAAGGTGCCTTCCGGTATCCTGAAGCTGCTTCCGAAGGGCATGGGAGGCTCCGATAGCTCCGGCCAGAGTTACATCCTCGAGAAGACCATTGTCGACGCCAAAGAAGGCTGGATGGAGACTGAGTCTCGGAACATGGAATGGACTGGTATTCTGAGTGTAGTTGAGAAACAACACTACCAGCGTCTAGCATCCGAGAATCGCCTGGCTGTCGATAGTCTAGCCATTGATCAAGGCGCCGAGCAGACCACCGTCAAGACAACTGTCACTTTCCGATCACGACTTGGTCAAGGCAAGCTTCTCGGTCGCAAGAAGCAAGAAACCGGTGATAATGAAGAGGAAGAGCCACGCAAAGGATTCTTCTCCTCGTTGTCCACGGCTGGAATCCAGCGGACCATTGAGCTGATTGGTGTCAGTCGCACCAAGGAAGCGGTTCTGAAAAGCAAGCAGGGCATGAACATCGTCCTTGAACGCCTTCGCAGTGGTGGCGTCGTTGGCGTTCTCGAGGGAATGCGTGAGGACCGCGATGCTGCTTTCGGGCCCGAGGGCCCTTGGAAGCGCGTATGGCTTCAGGGTAAGGATCGTTCCATTGACAACGACAAGTCATGAACGATCCTGCCACCATGAGCACCAATCACTAAGTGGTCTGCTCCTATTGCATTTTGATTCCAAGCGTTCGGCGTTCGGCGTGGAAATTATGCCACTCTCCCACAATTTTCAATGTTTTTTCCTGTTTATATTCTGAACCTTATTCAAGGTTTCCTTTTGCATGAGTCTTTTTGATCTCAATGTGAGTCTGTACGTTACTGTGATGTGGTTAACGGTTCTCAAGTGTTGTACAATATGCATCAAATCAAATCTTTGTTCAATATCCTGAACAATTGAAGCTTCCGTCTCAAAGATGTCTTGTCTTCTCCTCTGCTGTCCGCGTGGCTCAGCCGCTCCGCAGGTCATGCTCTGGGGAAGCGTTGTGAGTCGGCATCTCGTTGGTGCCTCGACAATGCGGCCTCACGCGCATCCAGCAGCTTGAAAGTTCTATGTGAGCTCATGCCCGCTCTGCCTTGCGACGCTTCAAACACAGCCAATCTTTCTGCTTGGAACCCCTCCACGCTTCTTTTTTCCTCCTCACGCTTCAACCTTCCATCACAGCCACTCCTCTCGCTGTTCCACACTACTCGTTGCCTCATACTCGGACCAAAGCCTCGAGATGTCCGCAAACAATGGATCCCAGAGGGTTTGCACCTTAACCCACCCTGTCACGCTTCAAGTATCCTCGCACTTGCTGCCTCAGCCGGATCATGAGGACTTGGAGTACAGCGACAAATTCGTGACCATTGCCCGCCAGATCAATGCTGGGTTGATTTTCGGTGATCCGGATATCTCAGTCACGAAGCAAGGGCGACGCCGCGGTGCTATCTCAGCTTTCCGCTTGATGTCTGATTGGGAGAAAGATGCTTTGATACAGTACGCCGACTCCGGCGCTCCCCGATGCCTCGCTGGTCCACCGTTCCGTACCACCCTGACGATGCGGAATCCTACTCGGCTTCCGTTCTTGCCATGACCAAGATCTGGGGACAGTTTCCATTCACAAACGGACATGCTGCCTGGCTCCGGTTCCAGGGCCCTCAAGATGTTTGCGATTTGGTTGTGGCCATTCAGAAGATACAAAACAACCAGCGCCTCTTTCAGGAGCGCAGATTCCTTTTGGCTGAACAGCTCGCGTTGGAACGCTTTCTTAACAGTGCCAATGAGTTTTATCGCGCTATCGAGCCCGATCTCACCGCTTACTTGAATGGCTCGTCGAGTTCTGAAATCGAAGAGCGGCGAGCCCTGATCTTGGCACGTTTTGATGAAGGGTTTCAGTCTGTCCGAGACCGCATTGAGGAGCTGAAGGAGCTGATTCACGACTAAGCTGATTGTGCGAAGGCAAGAGCTGCTGGAAGTACGGAGTACATAGCAGATCTGGAGAGCCTCGCGCTCTTTCTACCTTCTTTCGCTGTCAATATTTCGCTGGCAATATTTCGCTGACAATAAATTGCTCTACCGTCTATTCCTGCTCCTCTGGTATGAAATTAGAAGTATTTCCATTCCATCCCGTCGGTCGGTGTTTGTGAGGCTCTTTTTTGGTCCGACGTGCGCATGTTGCAGTGGATCATATTACTCCGTACTCCGTACTTCAAAGCATCAACTAGAACACTAGTACGGAGTAGATTATGTACTTAATCCACAATCCATGCCTGAAATTGAGACTCGGAGGACCCAATTTTCCGCTACTACTCTGTCCATTCGGTGTGTAGATATTGGTCAGAGGTCAATTCCGAATTATTCGTAGTACTTGTACTCCGTACCATGTACAACTACCGGGTAGGATTTCCGTCATCAATGCCAAGAAGCAGAATGGACCCTGGAAGATAAGTAAACCAGTCTGGCTCCGTCGCGCTCCGTAGATGGAATTGACACTAGTGTAGCCGAACAACACCCAAGACCCTTGGCAACTGTCTCATGACGGTCGGTACATGCCGACTTTCTTACGTCAGAGTTGACATACAGATGGCCGTACTCCGTACAGATGGTCATACAGATCGTGGGCAAGGGGCCTATCGGAGACGCAGTCCAACACGCATAGTGTAATGTACATAGCATGCTGATCGGTGATACCGATCAGATTATTGCTTTCGCACAGATCTCTGTGACATACCAGCTTCAGCTCCTATTTACTTTTGTATTTGCTATTTGCTATTTGCCATTGTGCGTACAGAGTATTGTCCTACTGTACGGAGTACACACTCCAGTACCCGAGGAGAAAGTCTAGAATATCTATTTGACACTAAATGGCCCTAGGAAAAAGTCTTCCACACATGAGGTCATCTTTATGATCTGAGGATCGCCCTGATCTCAGACATCTAAACGGGTTCTGAAAAAAGAAAGGATCAGAGTAGTATAAAATACACGATAACCAGAGTATTGTATATTTTGTGTATACCCTCAATGGGTACCTGACACCTTTTTCTTCCAGGGGTCCGAACTAGAGATATCAGTGGCTGCGCCAGACCCTCCAAGTCCGAGTAATGCAGTACGGGGAGATGTGAGTGGCTGGACCCTGCTTGATCCTGCAACCCTGACTGCGATCGCCGCCAATAATTGCCCGGACAGGCATGGGCAATGCGGAGGCACTCTCTTTAGTGCGTTCGCAGCCAAGGAAATGAGCGAAAAAAAGAGGAGAAAGATTCCAATAAATAGAATACCTGGAGGGAACCTGGATTTGGCCCTGATCCACCACCCTGCATCAGGTACCCAGCAGGTACCCTTCACATAATACGCGCTCGGTTTCACCAGGAATGCTCGGAGAGACAATCATTCTCCAATTCTCTTTCGCTCTCTTTTAGTCTCTTTTTACTTTCTATACGCTCTCTACTGTTATTTTCATCTTTCGACTCATTCCTATTTGGATACGCCATTTTTCACCTTTTCACCTTTTGGACTTCCCTCTCCACTACTCCGTACCAAGGACCCTTTTTTTCCCTTTCTATCTATTTCACCGAGACTAGCCACCTCCCCTAAAAGACCCTAGTATGTATTGCGGGGACCCATTTCCCTCATCATACTAATTGCCTTTGAAGGTTTTATAAAACCCTTCCCAGACCATGAGCTTGGAATCTCAACCTTGATCAACACTCGAGGGCCTCCGCGGTCGCTCGGACATCATGTCTTTCATATCATTCGGTCTTCTCGTCATCCTTCTTCAACTCGTCTCGGCTCAATACTGCTCCTTCTGGAATACCGGCTGCATCGACTCCCTCGCTCAAACCGCCGTCCGATTCGACCTCAACCCTCTTTTCGAGAACCCCGTCACCCTCTACTACAGTTTCGATGGAAGTCTCTCGGGCAAAGGCGAGGGGCCTATGACCAAGACGGCATTCTGGCTTGGTTATCCCAGCAAAAACGTCAATAAAAACGCCGTCGATTCGAATCGCACGTCCGAAATCGGTCTCAGAATCGGTAATATGACCGGCACCCCCTCCGGCGCGAACAATGGATGTGATGGCATTTGGGGCTCGGATTGTTCTCGTGATTTCAAGAGTGCATTGCAGCATAGCATGTACGTTCTTGCGAAATCGGGCGAATACTACTCCAAACCCCTGGAGGTCGCTCTCAGCCAGATGCTGAAGAACCCCCCGCAACTTCCTTCGTGTCCGCCTCCAATTCTTGACGTGGCCTCTATTCCCGTGCAAGGTATGTCTGACCTGACTGTATCGCTTACTCTCTACGTTGCTGAGACTTTTTAGATTTCGCGAGAGAACACGTTCCCGGTCAGAATGTTACGCTTATGCCGCCCGGCTCGGGCGCTTGGCCATGGCAGGTCTGGTACCTGGATGGCATGAGCGCTCACAAGCAGGCCTCCCAGGTAGCCGTTGGCATCATCAGTCGGGCGCCTTCTTATAACAGTGCCCCGCCGGACAGCCCGAATGACATTATGGTCGATCTTGTCTGTCTTCAGGCTCCTTCGGGTGGATCTTCCAAAGGCACTCATGATTAGTTCGGGATGCATGGACGATCGACATGATCGTCCCCAGATTTTTCCTTTTACTCTCTTGGTTGTCGAATGAGACCCCCAACCCTCACGGTCGCTTCCACTACGCTCCCCAAACAGGCCTTGCAGATCATCACGGCATGATCCGACCGCCTCAAATCATGAGCCTAACCCCAGGATACCACCTCTTCATGGCAGTGCATCCCTAATGAGTCGAAGCGACCGACCAATCCTCGCTGTCGCCGACTCAATCCCGAGGCGGGCTATACGAACCAAACACATCAGGTCACAGTCACAACTCACTGCCGTTCATCTCAACAGGTCATTGCATTCTCTGGCCAATACAAGAACAACAACTACAAAGTTGGCAAACTCATATCAACCGGCACCAACTTGCCCTTCCCCCGGAAATCCTCCAAAATATCCGCCTGCGCACTCAAAAGCATCCTATCCGTCTGGATACCAATTCTCGCCAAACCCCTCCACCTCTCCATATCGGATTGCACACGCTTGTCCCCATGCGCATCCTGCGCATTCTCCCAATGACCCTTCGAAAACGCAAGCAGCGTCGATATCTTCTTGCGAGGAATGTCGTAAACCAGGGAAACAATCGTCCCCGTCTCCTCGAGCCAGTTACACTGCCACAGCTCACCGGGTCGGATGCATTGGTAGTGAGCTTCTTGGAAGTTCACGCGGCCGGCCATGGGCCCGCCATGGATGGCATAGTTGATTCGGTCTTCGTTCTCGAACCACATCTCATATCGCCATTTCTCGGGGTTGCCGGCTGCGTCGGTGCCTCCGTAGTCGTACAAGAGGTGGCGATCTGCTAGGTCGGTGGTGAAGGTTGTTTCTTCGAGGGAGGGGTGGACGGGCATGGTGTTGGGACTTCAATTGGGGTTGTTATATAGAGTTCAATGAACTTCCAAGGTTGATGCAATTATTTTTGACACCTTTTGCTCTTCTTTGCTTATCGAAGGTCGTTTTATCTGGGGTGAACCACGGTTGCGTATTCTACTTTCTTATGTAGTTTCGCACATGTGTGACATCACGACTCGATCGTCAAGTTGAATGTAACGCCAGCTATAATATGTGTACTTGCCGAGTGAGCGCGTGATTATTTTCTTTGGTTGTTTCCTGTCCCTTGCTCAAGTTGACTCCAGGGCTGTCCTGGTGGGTGTTGATGTTCTTTTTAAGCCTCGGGGTTGAGTGAAGCCAAACGGAGAAAACTTCCAAGGTTTATAGTTCATGTGCGGATCCGACTCGGGATGGCTGCATTTTGCGCCAATTTGGCTCAATTGTTCCAAGGTTGGATTGTTTATTACTTTCTGGGGTCGGTCTTCACGGCGAATCACCATATATTGTTGGTACCTAATAAGCGGTGGTGTCTGTGCCCAGGTGGAACCGAGGTCATTGAAACTTCCAAGCCCTGGAGGTTGTTGTACGGAGTACTCCGTACAATAATTGCAGTTCCAAGGTTACTCCTTATCCTTGGGATCGGCGGTGATCCCCTACTCAAATGACTTCATTGAGTATCTTTTTAGGATATGTGCATACTTCGAAGGTTATTGTTCTTCTGTTAGAATTCATTGGACAAATACCTAGAGGTAGACAAGGTTTTTCTATGGAGTGTGTAGCAACATGCCCAAGTGATCCAGTATTCGAGGATAAACCCTGCCTGGGATTATATACAATCGAGCCTGGGAAACTTATCAGATCCGGAAGTTTGTTTTGTTTTGTTTCTGTGTCAGCGTCGACAACTATGCATCGGTAAGAACTGCCCTGGTGTGTGTATAATGTGGAATCCTGGTCTGGACTATACAGCATACCCTACCCCTTCGCCAACACAGCACTTGCTCTCGAACCCACCTTCCCTGGCCATGAAACAATAGTGTCATAAAATGCTTCAGAGTCTTGTACATATGCACTATATGTAACTAGCGCAGAGAGAGTTGGTAGTGTCATGTTTTGTTTTCCACTCAGATACGCCGTCTCCACCACGTGGGCTGTACCTGATCGAGCAAAGTAAACACTCAGAACGTCAACACTACGTACCGGGCGAGTACACTTGTATATTCAATTTCATAGCTCGTTTCTCTTTTCGTTTTGTTTTCTTCCACGTTCACCCCTCCTGCTCCACCCGCTCCCAATGGCTCGCTCGCTTCCATCCAAGATGCTGCTGCTCTTGGTTGCAAGCCTGGTCTTGAACCTTGCTTGGGCATCGTCTCTTCCCGGTAACTCGTCTTATGTCGCCGCGGCAGGATTTCCGACCTCGGCGTTCTCGTAAGATCGGCACTGGTCCGCGGTGGAGCTTGAACTGACTCTCCGCAGATCATACTATGTTTCTCCAGCTCACCCAACCATCCAACCCCAGCCCATCATATATGATCCTGTCCTGGACCTCACTTTCCCATATGGGCTAACTGATCCTGATAACATTCCAAACAACCATGATGAAGTCTATTTTCCTGTTCCACCGACTCACATGCCCACCAGAAAGAGATATAAACTGGTTCAACGGGTCGTGAATAACGTGACTAGCATCATCGGAACCAACTCCACAGATCACTGCACCAAATGCAAGAGGGCTCTAGCAGCAGCCAAACCAGCAGCACTGCATGCACCAGCTCTTGTTCCGAATGCCATGGTCGATCTCTGCAAGGCATTCGCATTTCACAGCAACGAGACCTGCGAGCAAGACTTTGCTACTAATGCCTTTGGTCCTATCTGGACTCAGGTCCTGGCGTATGCCGATGTCGAAGGTCTTGACGGTGAATATATTTGTCATTCCCTGGACAAAAAATACTGCGCCGCCCCGAAGACCAGCCCTCTTGACACGAGCAAGCTGTTCCCGAAGCCCAAGCCTGCCAATGCAAACGAATTAATCCCCAAGGCAAGCGGCGAACGGGTCAAGGTACTGCATCTCTCAGACTTCCACCTGGACGCCCGGTACGCTGTCAGTTCTGAGGCGAATTGCTCGTCAAACTTGTGCTGCCGAAGTGATAACGACAATGAGCTCTCCGAGGACGAGCCTCTGCTATCTGCCCCCGCATATGGCTCGTTCTTGTGCGATACGCCGTATGACTTGGGCCTGTCTGCTTTGCAGGCCGTAGGCCCGTTGACTGGGACTGGCAAGGGCAAGCATGATGAACACCTTGCGTGGACGCTGTACACGGGTGATCTAGTCTCTCATGACCCAGCTCCGCAGATCTCAAAGGCTTTGACTCAATACACGGAGACGAGTATCTATGGCATGTTCAAGCACTATCTGTCCGGGCCTGTCTTTGCAGCGCTTGGAAACCACGATACTAGCCCAGCCAATATTGACTCTCCTCACAACATGCCTGGTCGTCTGGGAGAACAGCAGAGCTGGAACTATGACCATCTAGCTGCGTTGTGGCAGCACGAGGGCTGGATCAGTCGTGAAACAGCAGATGAGGCGAGAACCCATTACGGAGGGTATTCGATTAAGACGCACTATGGACTCCGCATCATCGCGTTCAACACAGGTATGTATCCACCAACTGCATAGTGGGCGCCACTAACATCTTCCCTCAAAAGATTTCTGGCTCAAAAGCAACTTCCTCACCTTCATCAACGCCACCGACCCAGACAATTCAGGCGTGTTCAGCTGGATGATCTCGGAACTGCAAAAGGCCGAAGACGCCAACGAACGAGTCTGGATCATCGGCCACGTCCTCAGCGGCTGGGATGGCACAAACCCAATCGCCAACCCAACGAATCTATTCTACCAGATCGTCGAACGCTACTCGCCCCACGTAATCGCAAACATATTCTTCGGCCACACGCACGAAGATCAATTCATGGTCTACTACGCGAACAACGGAACCGTGCAGAATGCCCAGACTGCCCTGGCCACAGGCTGGATCATGCCCAGTGTTACACCACTAACCAACCTAAACAGTGGATTCAGACTCTACGAAGTCGACACGGGGGATTTCAACATCTACAACGCTTACACTTTCTACAGCGATGTAGCCGACTACCCGGCTCTGGAGGAGACGGGACCGACTTACCAAATCGAATACTCGACTCGGGATACATATGGTGCTGCAGCTGGCTGGGAAGAAGATGAGCCGTTGAATGCAACCTTCTGGCACCGTGTCACCGAGGCTATGGAGAAGGACTTGGGACTAGTCACTTTGTTCAATGAGTACCAGGGGAAGAAGAGTGTCAAGAGCCCTGCTTGTGTTACTGAGGCTTGTCAAAAGGCAAAGATCTGCTACATGCGCAGCGGCAGTGTTGCGCTGGGTAGCCAGTGTCCCCAGGGGTGAGTTTGGTCCATCCTGGTCCTGGACGGACGGTTTGAAATGGATATATATATTAACGTTTTCTCAGGTACGGATCCGTGCAAAGCCCATTCAAGACCAAGTAGTTTGAGATAGCCCTATATGGGCGAAACTGTCTATTCTTGTTTCTATGCTAGCAGACAGAGTCTTACTCGAGGCCAATAACAGATTCAATTTCAACCTCAAATTGCTTATTCAATGTAGGTATATTGACTTTATGCTGTTGAAACATAAGATTTCGGGCCGAACACATCAACAGGTTCCATAACTCAGTTGGTTAGAGTGTCATGCTAATAACGTGAAAGTCGAGGGTTCGACCCCCTCTGGAACCACGACTTTTTTGCTCCAAGCATTTTTGATCTATATCTACTAAAGTGGGGAGAGCGCGCTGGCGGTGACATCGCAGACAAGACGACGGGGGTGCTCAGTGTTCGACGGAAATCATGGGGAACTAGTCAGGTGACCTGTGTGGCCGAAATAGGAAATGAATGCTGTTTTTTCCAGAGATGTGCAGAAAGCTTGATTTCTAACTATGCTATGCGATCGAGATAATACTGACATTCTTGGAAGCTGTGGTGCACATGAGAATGTGGCACGGTTTCCCCGTTACACTACCTACCCATCCTCATATACCACTATTGATTATTTGCCCTTCTGTTGAGCAGAGTACTGAGCAATTATCGTATTGTCACGATCCTGAGTATGCTCCTTGCCCATATCAGATGATCTCTCTCGTTATGCTGCTTTCATGCACTTGCTTCTCCTTCTTTCTTGAAAGCATTGCTTGCCTCACACTGAGCAATCTGGGTTCGCCCACAATGGTCAAGTAACCTTGGAAGTCTCGAGGTCTACAGTAATAGATGTAAGCCTACTGGCAATTTGTTGGTGGTATCATGTCCTTGCTATGAAGACCACAAACTAGGGAGGAGAGAGATAACTAAGGGCCAAGGACAGAAGGGCCTCGGCCACACTTCTGTCTTCCTAAAACCGTTGTCATATGCCTAGGTAGATAAACGTAAGTGGACCTCTTCAATGGGCTGGGATGGCCCCGAACTCCAGGCCCAAACAAAGCCCAACCATCAATGGGCTAGTTATGGGCTGGGTTGGGCTTTCATACTAGGGCCCTTAGTCCATTGATCAAGCCCCGTGGGCCCCCATCCAAGCCCATTTCTATGCATAATCATGGTCTTGGCATGTATGGGCTCAAAACCCAGCAAGCGGCTGGCGAATTGACAAATGCAGACCGGGTCCTTTGCTATAAAGCCACTAAATAGGAGAAGGGAGAGAAAGCGCGCGAAGGAGGAAGCACATGGAGCTTGCCTTGTTTCCTACTTGCTAACCTCGTCCACATGGTCAGCAGCCATCCATGTCTGCCATCTCATCTTATCAACTCCCGCAATTTGACAAAAAAGCATGAATTTCCCAATGAGTTCTGGAGCGAAAAAATAAGTGTGGTTCCAGAGGGGGTCGAACCCTCGACTTTCACGTTATTAGCATGACACTCTAACCAACTGAGTTATGGAACCCATCTATACTGCACCCTGAAATAGAGTGCAACTGGAGGATGGAAAGAACAAAAATAAGTCGAGGAAGAGAGGAAGAAGAGGACTAGGTATGAAGCAAGGTACCATCTAATCTCCCATCCCCGTGCTAAATCAGCTGACTGTAAGAACTAGGTCAATGGCCGCTTTGGGAATTCGAGGCTGTCTTGTCAAGTGCCCAAGTGGCCGGGACTGAACTTTTGTGCAGTCATGGTGATGTTACAAGTATAAGCATGGCTGCTGAGTTTGAGCATCCATGTTATAGAATTTGTACGGAGTATGGGAAGAAGGAAAGCAGTCTTCATTTGATTGCTCTTGTTTCCTCTCTCCCCCTCTTTCCTCTTCTTCCTTCCCTCTCTAGTTTAGTGTCGCCATGGCAAAGACGTGATCTTCGTCAACTCGCCAAACACTTACGCCAATATTCATTCCTTCCTATCTTCAAGCAACAATAATAACCCTGGTTTCTAAATCAGGCGCTACGGTGTCCATTGGTTACAGAAAATGAAGTAGAGCATACAGGAAGAGCTGATTAGCCTATCTTCATGCAGGGAAAGTGGGAAAGTGTCAGAGCGCAGGCAGAGCGCAGGGCTCGGAGCCTGTCAGAGACTAGAGGCTGGAGCATGTGGCTTGAATAGAAAACCCATTACTAGGCTCATAAAGCAATGAATCGAAACATCGTTCCAGCAAGGTTCCATAACTCGGCTAGTTAGGGTGTGGTGCTAATAACGCCAAAGTCGAGGGCTCCTTCTGGGGCGGTCGTCCAAGGGCTTGTGGCAGAGGACGACCACCACCTCGTTACCATGAGCCCCACCTTCCGTGGTATATTCCTGCCTTCTAAGATTCGTATATACATTCAACGCCTCGTTCGGTCCTTGTTCCATGACAAGGCAGGGCATTTTTGTCATTTCTCTATACCCTCAAGCTATTCTCAGCTGGATTGGACACCACACCTAGGCAGTGGGACGGCTTTTTCTTTCTCAAAATCTCTGGAGCGGATCTACGATGTTGGCGCATGGCTTGATGGTACCTGGCTTTGGCAGGTTTGATCTCAATCATGGAAAACATTGGCCATTCTGGGCGGCTGTTCACAGGTAGCAGATCAATGGACTATCCAGACCGAGGGCCAAAGTTAAAGCATTGCAGCCTTGATGCAGTATGGGAACCCTTAACCCTGACAAGTTCTAGATAGCCAGCAATGTTAGTAGCCTCCAGTCTTGACAACCAAATACCTAGGTGCATCCTTGTTTTAACTCCTATGTAGCCAGTGCTTCCAATCATAACCACCTTCTCCTTCCAAATCTCAAGCAAAGATAGATACAGCAAGCCCGCCAGGCGGAACCCAAGACCTCCAAGGCTCCAGTTGGAGTTATCCGTCCTTCGGCTCTTTCTACTCTACATATCAGACAGTGACAGTCATGACCTGGGCCTCGGTGGAAACATGGCCTTACAATCCCTGATCAGGAACATTGGAAGTCGTCTACGGTTTGTGTATTCAAGCTGCAATTCCTCTCAACTTGATTCAACATATCTCCGTGTCGCCATATCTGGATTGGCCCGGTCACTACTCTGCAAAGCACCTTTTTATCTTCTTTCAATGGTGACTTTGAATTGTTACCGAAAACCGACCAACCACTGCGGAGATGCGATGAGAAGGAATAGTGACAGCAGACGCTGCATTGTTATGTTTTAGAGGCAGGGGTCGGGCGGCGAACAGACCCCATGCACTTTTTGTGTTCACACATGGCTGTCAGATAGCTTTTTAAAGTAGTTCGATGGTATAATACGGAGTAGTGTTCTAGCAAAAAAAAAAAAAGAAGCGTGGTTCCAGAGGGGGTCGAACCCTCGACTTTCACGTTATTAGCATGACACTCTAACCAACTGAGTTATGGAACCAATCAATGCGAAATTTCGAAATTTTTGCCATTATGAGCAATTACTACAGACATCCGATGAAAAGCGAATTGTTAGACAAATCACGTGATCCTGCTCGTCACATACTCCATACTGCATACTTCTTCGTTGGATTGGACCTTCTTTCTTCATTGAGCTTTGCCGGCCTTACAGGTATGAGAATTGCAAAAAATGGCTCAACTTGTTTCTTCTTCGATGGTGCTTTTACTCTGTATAGGTAGGGACTTGGCGGTGAATGGTTCATATACGATGATACCAAAAAAGCAAAAATATCGTGGTTCCAGAGGGGGTCGAACCCTCGACTTTCACGTTATTAGCATGACACTCTAACCAACTGAGTTATGGAACCAGTGATTGAGAAATTTTATTATCTTTGCCATTATGAGCCAAATCAATCTTCCATCACTCAAAATCATGCATTGGCAACTCAGTGATGAACATATCGACAATCCATTTCCCCTCCCCACGCTCCTATTTCTCGCTCATTGTGCGATGTAACGAGCCCCAACCCTGAAACCCCCCACACTCCCTGGGAAAACTTGATTTCCTTTTTTTAAGCCTTTTGTTTTCAAAGAGATACATTCCCTCTATGATTCAACAGGGGCGATCAAGTATTTTAAGCAAATATTCGGCTTAGCATTAATCGGTCCAAATACCCTATACTTAGTCTGCACCTTTTTGCAATCTCTGGACCTTTCTGTATTACCCTGTACCACTTGATCTTTGAGTGACTGTTCCTGGACAAAATTGGTGGAACTGTCAAGTGTGAGGGGAAACGCCAAATAAAAATGATTGGCACTATGGAATGTACATTCTTTGAATTCGAACATTGGGGCAAATTCTTTGAACTTGAAATGGTATTTTATAAATGTCAGGTCCCCAACAGGCACGATAGAATATTCCAAGTCCCAAAAAGAAAGGACCGGGAAAAAAGTCGAACAGAATACGACGCCAGAAGTAGACTCATTCTGTCATTGACGAAGTGAACCCCTCTTCATGATTTCATCTTCAACAGCTATAGTCCGCCTGCTCCCGAATGCATGACGTAGCATCACCATTTAGCTTTTTAACATCGCCGTCATCACACTCCGGAGCTTCCGATTTATAACTTCGATCCTTCCCATTCTCAAGCTCCAACACACACATTTTGCGCATTCCCCCAAAAACCGTCTAAATGGGTTTGAAAGTCGTGCAGTTGGGCCTCCGTGCCTGGGAGGTACGTATGAACGATGTCTTTGGTTTGCGCACCCCACTAATAGATCCCAGTTCATCTGGACTCTCCTCATCATGGCCCTGATCGGTAACATGATCGCCGAATCTTTCTCCGGCAACCCCTCGACAGTGAACTATTCAATGTTCTGCTCTGTCTTCTCGATGCTCACGCTCTTCTACACGATCCCGGCATCTTTCAACATCGACTGGGCCGGCCACCCGATCATCATGATCGTGCTCGACGCACTCAACACCATCTTCTTCTTCTGCGCGGCTATTGCCCTCGCCGCCAAGCTCGAGTGCCACTCGTGCAACAACCAGGTATGCTTTAATTGACTTTATATACCTTGCGTATCGCTAACCTCCACAGTCTTACCTCAAGAACAACGAAATCACCAACGGCGCCAACAACATGACAAAGCGCTGTCGTGAGGCCCAGGCCTCCGTTGCCTTCTTGTGGTTCGCCTGGGCAGGATACATGGCCTCGGTCATTGTCTCGGTGTTCATGTCCCGCGCCGCGACGGTGAACCTGCGCAGCCGCACTGGTAGCCGCCGCGGCCCTGCGCCCAGCATGGCTCAGGTCTAAGCTGTGTGATACCGAGCCTTGCTTGGTCTTTTTTGGGTCTAGCGCCGCGGGGTGCGGCGCTGGTGGATGCTTACAAGGCTTGGGTCATGGTTAATGGCGCTCGGATTGCCGGTGTACGATTGACGCAAGGGGCTTCATTGGTGTTGGTGTTCGGCATGACGTTACTATATAATGATGAAAACGCTCTCTCTCGGATGAGATGGTTGGATACTTCATGTGCTACTACTACTTATTCATAATAATACTCGTTTCAATTGGTCATTTTGGTGTCTTTGTAACCATAAATGGTGGTTGGGGGAGTAAACCTTCCTAGCGGCGTTGTTTCTATGGAGTTGCACGTGTACATGGCTTGGACATTTGGAAGCGACGACGAGAACAAGGATAGCACCAGTGAAAAAGATAAGGATTACAATTTTTCAGATCTTGGACGTAGCAATTATTGAGCAATCTATATTATGGCAATCAATCAAAAATACAAAGAAGACCTCCAAAAATAATGATGTGCATGCATTACCTGTTATAGTGCATGGGTACAAGCGTTCGTCATGGAGGCGAGGGTTGACTCATGTCCCGCACCACCACCTGGAAACCTGGAAATTTAAACAGCAAGATCGCAGGGACTCAACTCTTCGATCTATTCCATCTCCACGTTATTGATCTTGAGCTAGGGCTTAGCGGGGCACAACTCCCCTCTGCTCCACCCAAAGAATTTCTCCAAAGCTTCCGCCCTGACACCTTTCCCCCCATCCCTTTCACAACACCTCTCCATCAACATGCCAGTCCAGTGAGGGAGATCCCTGACCCAATCTTGTGTCATTGCGACCGACCACTAACGTCTACCAGCTACCTTATTCTACTCTCCCGGCAGGGCAAAGTGGTAGGCTCGTCGCCCACCCAGCTAACCACCCCAACTGACTCCTTTTTAGCGCCTCGCCAAGTGGTTTACCACCCTCTCCCCCAAGGAGAAAGCAAAGATCATCAAAGATGTCACCCAGCTAGTGCTGTCCCGCCGGACGCGGATGTGCAATTTCCTGGAATACAAAGGTGGCCTTTGATCAGACCCCCCAACTGCGACTGCGACAACTGACCATGAATCTCCTACAGACTCCAAAGTCGTCTACCGTCGCTACGCATCCCTTTTCTTCATCGCTGGCTGTGCCTCAACCGATAACGAATTGATCACACTCGAGGTGGTGCACCGATACGTGGAGCAGATGGACAAATACTACGGCAACGTGTGCGAGTTGGATATCATCTTCAACTTCCAGAAGGCCTACTTTATTCTGGATGAGTTGTTGATAGCGGGAGAAATGCAGGAGACAAGCAAAAAGAATGTCCTTCGTTGCATCAGTCAGCAGGACAGTTTGGAAGACATGGAGGTGAGTCTTTGTTTCTGCGTTACTTTCCCTCTTTCTCTCTCCTCTCTCCCCGAGGTCGTAAGCCAAGACCAGGCTAATGATATCAGGTTGAGGAAGATGTGGTCACCAAGATCATGTAACCAGCGAGCGGGCTTGCTTTTACATATAGTTACTATACTAATCAATACAACCCTTTTTTTACCTTCAGGACTCCGACGATATCTCACGCAACTTGGAACATGTCGGGCTGTGAAGGAACCGGTTAACCATGGTTGCGCTGCCCGTGAGGTCAGTGCGGGTTCTGACTGGACGCCCTCCCACACGTGACAATCTTCCCATCCATCCCCTCTTCCTCTCTCTATCGTTTCTACTTTGTTTCCCATCTGCTGTTAATAGCAATTCTGCTGGTCTCTTCTTTGCTCAGAGATCTGTATAGTTTGTGTGCTGTGTCTCTTTGTCCTTTATCTTGGACATTCCCCCTGCTTGCGGTTATCGCCGATCGACACCGCATCTCCACCTTCGGCGCAATCGCCCGTATCACATCATCACTCGCCTCCTCTCTCTCTCTCTGTCTCCCTAACCATCTTGACTCTGTTGTTCTGAGTCGCAAAACCGTGACACGTCATCTCCATCGCTTATCGGCTTATCTCGGGGTTCTCCACTACCCCGGTCGGATCTCACGATGAAGGTGAGTAGCGGTCGGCCGCAAGCCCAACGTGTCAGACATCCATGCTGACCAGTCAACTCTAGTTTCTTCCCCTTCCCGAATTTGAGGACGTGACAAGCTCGCTCAATTTCGATACAAATGATTGTCACATAATCGGCGGATGCGACGTGTATACCACCAAGGCCGCCCGCTCAGACCGAAAGCTTTACAACCATATCGAACAATCATTGGAGGCACAGTACGAATCAGTTCTACGCTTTTCGGCATCACTTTCACCTCCGAATGCCCACGATGCCGCTGAGACTCTAAACCTATCGCGATCCAGTCCGTTCGGCCCCCTGAGCGACCACTCAAGCCGCCGGACGTTCGCCTATCTGATCGCTACTCTCAATGCCAGCAACCCAGACTACGACTTCTCGCAGGTCTTGCGCCCGACCGATTTCAGACGCGAGAGGAACCTGAAGCGGACGATGAACACGATAGATTCGACCCTCCTCAATCTGCGACCGCGCGAGAACATCAACTTATCACCCGCGTCCCCCGCCACGCTGTCAGGATCCTACAACGCAGGCTCATCTTCATCATGGGGACCGCGCGTATGGAAGACAATTGACGAACACATGTCACTCAAGGAGTGTTCAATTTACTCGTATTCCCCGGAAGAGGACCCATCCGATGCCGACGATGGGGCCATCTGGAGTCTCCACTTCTTCTTTTTTAATCCACTCCGCAAGCGCGTCTGCTATATCTACCTGCGCGCGATTCCCATTCTCAGCCATACGCCCGACGACATGGTTGACATGGCCGCGACTCCGTCTGGCAAGCGCACGTACGATGATGGCTACCTCACTCCGGACCTCAGTTCCAGCAAGCGTGCCAAGTTCTGGTTTGGAGAGCGCGCCCGCTCCACTCTTATCGCTAGCGATAGCGATGATGAGATGGATCGTCCGCCCAAGGCGAGACCTATGACGGATGAGTATGATACTTATATCATCAGTGATGACGAGGATCCTCTGCCGCCCCGTCGTGGAGTGCGTGCTATGAGTGAGGAGATCGCCGACTCTATGGAGGTTTAAAGCAATGTGCTGCGCTTTTCGATTCTTGTTTGTCTTCTTTTTTCAGCCCCGTTGATCGGGCTTGGGTTATTTTTTTTTTTTTTGTTTCTAGCCGGGGTGTTGGGTTGGTATTCGTGGGCGCAATCAACTTGCATGGTCTTTTTATGCGTGTCGGAGGGGCGTAGCTAGATTTTGATTGATGTGATGCCCCTTGCCTTTGACTGCTTCGTGTTTCTAACTCTCTAATATCAATCCGCTCTGGATATTGAGCTATCTTGAAATTGACTACTTGTTTTCAAACTTCCATTGGAGGCTCTTTGGCTCTTTACTGCCAGGTGCCTATGTTGCCAGCTTCCTTCTCAACAACAGATAGAAGTGGACATCGCTTGCTTTAAAGAAAAACTAAGACCTCGGGAACTATTGGAAGCATTTTGGGCATCACTAGTCTTCCGGTCCTGGGCCTATAAGACGTAACCATATGGGCTGCGAGAGTTTTTGGACCAAAGTTTCACCTAGACGGAGAGTACAATGTCATGGCATAAGCTAAGCAATTAACATCATGACAATGACATTATTTCATATCTGTCGACAAGGGAGAGTAAGACAAGTGCAAAAAAAAAGAAACGTGGTTCCAGAGGGGGTCGAACCCTCGACTTTCACGTTATTAGCATGACACTCTAACCAACTGAGTTATGGAACCATGTGATATGCTGGGTCAGTATTGATGTCTAAAGATCAAAAAGTGATGTTCAGTATCTTCACCATTCAAATTATTACTTCGAACGTCCAATAAGAAGGAATAATGCTAGTAGATACTAACTGTAATTTAAGAGTTAGCAGTGAAAAGTTTCTATGTAGTTTTTTTGACTAGCAAAACCTTGGAATAACAAGAAAAAGGAGTATTTGTAGTCCTAAAACGAAAACAAAGTACAAAGTACTCCATACTATGTACGGAGTAGCTGAAGAGAAAAAGGAAGGGGGAGAGCTGTCAGGATCTGCCAAGGCGCCTTAGGCATCTAATGCTGCCTGAAACTAAATCACATGACCCGGTAAACCTGCAGATTTGATAGGTTTTATTATTAGATACAGCTATGAGATCATTTGATTAAACAGTCAAATAAGACAACATAGATAGTACCTAAGCAAAAAACAAAAACATCATGGTTCCAGAGGGGGTCGAACCCTCGACTTTCACGTTATTAGCATGACACTCTAACCAACTGAGTTATGGAACCAGATTATATAATACGTCTATGTTATTTGTGACTATCAATCTGACTACTAAATCCAGGGACACTGCAAGTCTGGCTTTCGAGCTTGAGTCTAGCATTCAATCGAAGAACAACTTTGGGCATACCATACATTCATCAAATTGTAGCTCCTAAACCCCATATAGTACGTGTTGTGCCATTTCTCCCTCACTTCTTCGCCTACTGTATTGACTTGTACAGCTGCAAAGCAATGGCCGCCGCCTCCAACCTTGGAACTGAGAGCTTGCTGTTATATCAATGAGGTTACGTACACTAGTAGAACGAGAAATCCCACTTCTGAGAACTTCGAAAAATAATGTAACAAGAGTAGAAAGAAATCATAGAGACTTTGGTGCTGCAGATGTTCTCTTCCTTCACTTCTGTCTCTCTCTTGCTTTGAAACACAACACTGAAGATCCATCAGAGCCTTTCTCTTTTTCCCCTTAGTCTTCATACTCTCTCTCTCTCTCTCTCTCTCTCTCTCTCTCTCTCTCTCCCTTCTTATATCCAGCTCTCAATCTTTCACGAAACTGATGTGAGCGGATTTGTTTCTTCTTCTTCATCGGGCCAAATGCTTAACACACCCGTGGACTTGGGCTCGTCAGTGATGTCAAAACTGGAGTTTCAAAATGCACCAGCTTGGGTGCGTTGTCAGATGTTGACGCCATGATCTTGTCATCGCATTCTGGTTTGATACCTAGGTATATAGTAGGCGAATTGCCCCTAGCTTAGAGAACTAAGCACCTCTTTCCTTCATTTCGAACCGGGCTTGCTGGGTCTCCCCATTTTATACTCCTTGCTCTCTCGCCTACTTCTGCTGCGAGCTCAATTGACCCATGTGTCTAGAATGCATTAATACGCCTCTTTCACTGGCTAATGGATCCGTCAATCATGCGGATATCGGAGGCAGCAAGCCAAAATCAATATAGAGCATTTCGCCAAGATACCCAACACCTTCAGGGTTGGGTATTGTCCCCCTACAGCAGATGAGTAATGGTTTGCCAAAACCAGCCAACAAATGTTGTAGCAAAGAAGAGAGTATCCATGGATATCCATTCATTGGCATTTTCCAAGGTTCATTGTTGCGCTTACACTAAAATCCTGCAACTCTCAGGTTCACTATCTTTGGTTTCGCATGCTTCTCGCTCATGGCCCTGGAGCTTCATGGTTACCTATCTCTTTCCACCCTGCATCTCCATACGCTCGTAGCCACCCCTTCGCACCCCTCTGGCATGAATACATCAGCAATTTATGTAGCATAAGCTTTAAAATATAAAAATGCCCGCTGTAGCCAAATCTTGAAAGAGTATATTTGTTTCGATGTTGTTGAGCTGACTTCAGGTTGCACCTAAGTATATATGAAGTTTGAACGTATCAACAAAGGCATATGGTTCGAATAATCTTAACATCCGAACATCAACCTTGAACATCGTGGACATCGGCGAATAGACCACAAACAAACCTGGAATCCCAAGGACTTAGTTAAACGATAACTTTCTGAAGACATTATACCTAGGTATCAGTACGGAGTACGCAGCTGTATTTCGAGAAGCCCCCACAATCTGGTAGAGACATATGGTCCGTGCATCGGGGATAGCTGTTATGTTCTCTCCCTTCCGCCTCATCCTACCATTCCACATCCGCGATATCAAAACATGGCTGACGACGAGGAGCGCATAAAAGCTGAGAAGCTGGCAGCGGCCAAGAAAAGAGTAATGACCCCCAGTGATTGCGCCTCATCTAGTCAATGTTGTCCCTAACCAATTGGTTTACAGGTGGCCCAGCTCCAGAAGAAGAAGAAGGCGAAGAAGACCCCCGCTACCGGAACCGAAGCACCCAAGGAAGATTCAACAGAGGCAACGACAGAGACTGGTCCTGCCGAGGATGCCCCCGCAGAAGCACCGCAGGAAGAAGCCCCCGCGGAGGCAGACAAGCAAGATGAGCCCGCCAATGTCGACGCCGAATCACCAGACGAGCTCGAGGAGCCATCATCACAGAAGAATGAAAATGCGCCAGTAGAGTCTCCAGTAGAACCGATGCCGCCAGCGCCCACTTCTCCCGGCCCAGACGCCGAGCCACTGCCGATGCTCGACACACCCCGCGCCAACCATGCGCGCCAACCGTCACTGTCAATCCAGTCTAAGATGCGATCGTCTTCATTCCGCAAGACATCTGTTTCCCAAGGCAGTGTTTCCCCTTCTCCCTCTTCGGCGCTCAAGTCCCCCTCACAATCATTACCGCCCCTGACTGGAGATGGAGAGTCTGTACACGAAGTGTTCCGCAAGCAGTCCACAAAGATTGAGGAGCTAGAGAAAGAGAACAAGCGCCTGGAGAAGGATCTATCGGATGCGACAACGCGCTGGCGCAAGACTGAGGAGCAGGTGGAAGACCTGCGCGAGGCGAGTGTTGATGGTGCGGAGTTGAAGGAGCAGTTGAAGAAGGCAGAAGAACAGGTTGCCAGTATTGAGGCCTTGGTATGTATATACGGTGTATATCAAACGTCGCCTGTATACTGACTGAGTACAGAAAGAGGAGATTGCTTCACTCCAGCGACAAAATTCACAGCTGCAAACACGATCACATCGCAATGCTAGCAATACAGAGTCACCGCCGGTCGACCTGGTTCGCCAGCTTGAATCTAAATCAGCTACTATTGAATCGATGGAGTTGGAGATTTCCAATCTGCGTGCGCAGATCACCTCCCACACGTCCTCCAATGATGCACACGAGTCACAGGTTTCAGCGCTAGAGGAGAAGGTCTCAAGTACGCAGACCGAGCTAGAAAGCTCCCAGCGTGAACTGGCGGAGGCAAAGCAGGCATTGTCCAGTGCATCGGAAAAGGCTGCCAAAGAAGGTGTTGACAAGACATCAACAGATGCGCTCATCAAATCTCTTCAGCAGGAGGTTGAGGAACACAAGACCGAAAAGGTCGAATCAGAGAAGAAGATCGAGACACTGGACAAGAAACTTCAAGCCATCGGTAACCTGCACAAGGAAACTGAAGCCCGGCACCAGACGCGCCTTGGCGAGAGCGAGAAAGCCGAAAAGGAACTAGCGGTCATGCGCAAGAAGATCGCCAGCATCGAGAACGAGAACCTCCGCCTGCGCGAAGAAAGTGACCGTATCCGCACGCGCCAAGCAGGTGGCGGCGCAGACGATGACGCTCTAGATGAACTCGAAGACGAAGAGCGGCAGCGCCTCGAGCGCCGCATTCGAGAGCTGGAAGGCGAAGTATTTGATCTGCGCCGCGGCGTGTGGCAAGAGAAGCGCCAGGAGATGGAGCACTACCCAGACGACGGACCTGCCCCTGCCGCCGACGCTAATGCATTCGACGACGTTGATCTCGTCGGTGGACGGCCTGACCATGCCCGGCGCCGCAGTATGGGCCAGCAGCAGCATTCGTCTTTCTCTACCGTACTGTCGAGTGGGTTCGCCGCGTTCACGGGCGCTGGTGGAAACCGTGCTCGTGCTTCATCGTCGAATCCTCCTCACCCTGGTAGCTTAGAGCTTGTGTCTGAGGAGAACCTGGATGATGAGTTTGATGAGAACGCGTTTGCGATTGCGCAGGCTGAAGAAGAGGGGAGGAAGCGAGTTGCTTGGATGCGCGATATCAAGAGCAAGCTCCGCGACTGGAATGGCTGGAGGCTGGATTTGGTTGATAGCCGTTTCGGCGCCGAGGGCGCAGGTGTAGGCATGGGTGAGATCTTTGAAGTCTAACCTTCCTACGCGATGCGACATGTCTTTTTAGATACCAGGTCTCTACAGTGACCAATGAAACTTATGCATGCATGAACTCCTAAATTGTAGACTGTAGAGCAGACTAGATGCAAAATCCAAAACCCCAAATTTCAAAATGCTACTCGGCAGATTTGCCCGTCAAATAACCCTCAGACGACCGGTTCTTCCTCCGTCCCCAAACATCCCCAACCCAAGAAGTAATCTGGTACAACCAACCGCCAGTAACGAGCACACCGGAAACAGTATTGATCACACGGATGACCAAGGACAAGAACCCGGCTCTTTCCTCGCTAACCAGCAGTAGGATCGGCTCGATGTTATACTTGAAGAAAATACCCGGCGTAACCATAGGCGACTCGGGAATTGCACCAGACTGACTAGTCGCAGCATACTGGTTCGTGAAGACGGTATTGCGACCTCGCTTCTCAGGGGCGCGCGCATACGCCTCCAACGCACCCTTGCCCCGACTGTATATCGTCGGCACAACAGAGAGGAAGTACTGGAACTTATAGTAGTGCGAATCACTTTCCGCAATAGTCTTATCCAGCGGATTCATCAAATTCGGATAATGGGGACCGAAAGAGAGCTCGGTGATCATGTGCGAGAAGTTGAATGCTGAAAACAAGCGTTAGCAATTTGGGTAAACTCGAATCGAATCGAATCGCGAAGAGAAAAGATGACATACATCCATGGTCGAGATGCGGCGCATTCTCACTGTATCCATGGCCACGCGCCGTGATATGGAAATCACCCTGTACCTTATTTCCCTCCAGACTGCCGTAGATGCGACAAGCGTCGGCTTTATCACCTCGGCGCATGCGCGGACCCTTGGGGAACTTGCGCCGAGGGTTGTGGCGCACTTCGCCGAGAACATGGCCGACGTGAGAATCGGCCTCTTGCTCATCGAGACGATCCGCGTCTTCGTGGGATAGAGTCTGGTACTCGTGGCTGTTGTGAGATTCGTAATTGCGCTGCTGCATCCACAGCTGCCAGTTTGTGTCATCGCGTTTGAGGAGTTCGCCTGCGAGGATGCGATCGCCGGCGGCGTCTTGGATGTTGACGCGGAGGTTTTCGCAGGGCATGTCGACGACGATATCGAGGTTTAGTTGGAGATCGTGGGAGACGCCCTTCTCAACGCTGAAGTGGTAGTTTTCGGTTCCGCGCCACCATGTTTTTAATTCGGAGTAGCTGAAGAAGGTACATATGCAGAGGATTAGGACGGTCCATTGGCCGCCGGAGCGGGTTGGAGTTGTGTAGGAGGCTTTTGTTTTTGCTGGGGGTGTTTGGTTAGGGAGTTTCGAGGGTTGTTTGGGGAGTGTTTGGGGACGTACGGAAGGCATCGAAGGTCTTGAGACCTGCTAGACCCTTGTCGCCGAAGGCATCTTGGTCCAGGCTTTGTTTTTCGAAGCCATTCATTGTTGAAGACCCATTCAAGCAGCAATTGGTGAACAAGTGGTGGTTGGAGAGAAGTGGAGTAAATAAAGATAAGCCGATGAGGCCAAGTCGCCCGATTGCGCATGCCGAGTGCGACGACTTCGAAATTGTTCGATATGAAACAACAGTTCTTTGATGTCTAGGACTATAACAAAGGTCTATTTACAGTAAATTACAATTGCCAAAATTCATCGATAGTCATTAATTCAATATAAAACCAAACACGTCAAATCGCTCTACACATGAACACTCATCGTGAACTCTTAAAAATGCAGATAACAATGTACAAGGGATAACCCTGGGTCATCAAGTATAAAACGAAGGGAAATGCATCAGCAATGAGGTATAAGCGATCGGACTTTCAGTCGTAGGCGCAATGCAAAACAAAATAAAGGGGGGGGTATAACATGAATGCATCTGAACAAAATGCTGACATGACAACCGACCCAATGCAAGAGAATTAGAAGGGAAAAGACAATCAGGGTTAATATTACAGGGCGTTCAGAACACATGTGAAGAGATCATTTCTTCTGTCGACGAGTCAGCATCCGGTTCTGTAGCCCTGGGGTCGGCCTAACTCACCAGGCTTGTCGCAGCCGCCGCAGTAGCGAGGTCCGGCTTCCCGCTGATACTCCGTGCTGAGACACGAGGCAGTGCTGAGCCTGAGCTGGTGACGTTGCTCGAGCCTCGCTTGCCGGGGCTGGACGGAGGGGGACCGTTGACAGTAGAGTGGCGCTTCCCACCCTTGACGGGGGAAGTGCCTGAGATGTCGCGGCGGGAGAACCCGCTTTTCAGCGTGGCACCTGGAGGATCGGGCAGCGGACGAGAGGAAGACGACGCGCCTCTTTTGGAAGGTGAATTTGCCCCATATATCCTAGATCGGGGGCCTTGATACCGGTAAGGAACTCGTGTTTCAACGCATCGTGGGGCGAGATTCGACGAGCAGGGTCCCACCGAAGGCAGCGAGTAATGAAATCGAGGAAGGCCTCATCATCGCACTTCAGGGCCTGGCGTAGTTCCTTCGAGCTAGGCCGACGTCGACGGCCCTTAGACGAAACCGTCAAGCGAGGCTTGCCCAGAGAATCAAAGAAAAGCTTCTTGCGAGAGCTCTTCTCGATGAGATGCTTTTCCGGAGGACCAAACACTTCCATAATGCAGGCAAGTTGTTCCTGCTCATTCTCGCCAGGGAAGATGGGATAGCCAGTGAAAAGCTCAGCCAAAATGCAACCCAAACTCCACATATCAATCGGCATGCCATAGGACATTCCGAGGATCACTTCCGGCGAGCGGTAGAAGCGACTTTGAATGTAGGTATAAACCTTCTCATTTTCAAAGCAACTTGAACCAAAGTCAATGACACGAATCTCAGAGTTCATCGGGTGAACTAAAAGGATGTTCTCGGGCTTCAGGTCACAGTGGATGACTTTCTTTGCATGCAGCAACACCAGACTGCTCAGCATCTGCTTCGTGAAGACACGAATCAGCTTCAATGAGAATCCTCGGAACTCGTGCGCTTTGATGAACTCGTAAAGGTTCATTCCGAGAAGCTCAGTCGAGATACACAGATGGCCTCGGAAGTAGAAGCTTTGGGTAAAGTTGACCACACTGTGTTTGCCGTGAGGGTCCCATTCCTTGAGCTTTTGGAGAAGGTTGACCTCGATCAGAGCTTGCTGGTGGAAGCGCTTCTTATTGCGAATTATTTTGATTGCAACCAAGGCGCCCGTCTTATGATCGACACATCTCACAACCTGTCCGAAACTTCCCTTGCCGAGGACATCAACGACCTCGTACCGATAGGCCAGATGATCACCCATCACAATATTGTAGTCGCCGCGGTCATCGTCATATCCAAAGTTTGCAGCACCAGAATGCAGGTCCCCAACGTGTTTCTTGGCAGTTTGCGTACCACAGAAGAAGATGTCACGATAGTCGATGATCTCGCCACGTTCAAAGATGTTGAGAGTAGCCATTTTCAAAGCTTGGGCGGGGCTGACGCGATCCTTCGGCCCAGCCTTGCGGCGCAAATCGTCCAGCACTCTGGCAGCCTTCTCAAAGTCCTTCCTCTTAGATCCCAGTCGTTTCATCTCTTCGTCTGCAATAATTACATCGACATCAACCGCGCCATCGGTAGACCGCGGAGCAGCCGAAGCCGCAGTGCTAGATCTAGCATTGCTGATCATTTTGTGAACAGGAGAGATGTAAGAGCTGTGCGAGCGCTTAGAGCGATCACTATCGCCAGACTCATGGGAAACAGTTGGCTCCAAGGCAAGGCTCCTGTCACTACTGACACTTGGCTTGCGAGCCGCCGGATTTGTACCACTTGAAACGGATGATTGCCGGCGGGGATTGAGATACGATGGCTTGGGGTTAGGACTCGTTGAGTTGATGGACGTCAGATTATTCCATGTTGCAGAAGCCGGGAGTTTGGGAGGCGGCATATGATTGAGCTTTGTAGGGTCAGTATCATGGTCAGCCTTCTGCGCCTTAGAGTTGCTGCGAAGACGCGCTACTTTGAGTCGGTCTCGTAGTGATGAGCTCGATGCGGTGACACTTTCGGGCTCTGAAGGGGTAGAGATTTGGCTAAGTCGTTCTGGAGCAGGTGTGAACACGGCAGTCTGCGTCTGCGGCCGAGGTCCGGTGAGCTTGTGCGCCTGGTTCCGGTTCGAGTAGTCTGCGCTGACTTGGTGACGGAGATGATTCATCTCGGTGCCGCTCTTGGGCAATGTGTATGAAGCATAAGGAGATATGTTGCGGGGGGAGGATGAGTTTGGAGTGTCGAAAGACTCGAAAGCGCTTGTGCTGCTTGCAGCCCGTACAGCGGCAGTCGAAGAACTGACAGCAAAGTGCGAGGTGCTGCTCCGAGCCTGAGTCAGAGGTAGCTTTTCATCCTCGTCATGGTACCAGAAATTCGCTTTGGATGCTGTCATCGGAGTACCCGGCGTTTTTGATATAACCTGGTTAGATGGGGTATGGGCATTGCGCTCCTCGTCTCTATCCTTGAGCGCATCAATCTTAGCCGCCATAGGTGTCCCCAACGGCAACAAATTGAGTGGGGGCAGCTTTAAGGGCTGCAAGCCTTTGCGCCCCCCTAAGACGGTCGATGTCCGCGTTCGCGCATCGGGAGTGTTGACTGATTCTGCGGGCTCGGAATTCTCAACGGGAGTCACACTTTGCGTTTGTTGACTGGACCCCGAATCTTTAATGTTCAAAAGACCGATATCAAGTGGAATGCTCGATTTTCTGGGCGCAGGGAAGACAGGCGCATCCAATTCACCTTTGGGTGACTCATAGGCTTTGGGAATTGCTGGAACCGGTGGTACCTCTTCTCCGTTAGAGTTGGTTTGTTCAGTCCTTGGTTTGGGTGTCGGTAACCGTGACGAAGACAAGTTCTGAGACAGTCGGTTTTGGAGAGAACTTCCAGAGTTGCGCGCTGAGTTATAACTAGTACTCGAAGAAACAGACAAGCCAGAGCTGTATGACTTCCGATTTGGGTCGGGTGTGGTGCGACTGGAAGAGGGGGTGACGCTCTTCCTGGGGATTTGAGAGGGAGATTGAGTTGAAGAAAGGGGGCGGATGGGAAGAGGCTCCATCTGAGTTGGAGGTGTGTGTGGCATCGGAGGCGCAGGAGGAGCAATAGACATTCGCTTCATTCGTCGTGCATCAGTCGGGCTGATGGTACGAGCACCCAACCCAGTCGCGTGCGGAGGCATGACAGATGCCCGTTTTGAGGACGAGGAAGGGGTCGCAGCGGGACCCGAGGGGTTCTTCACCGGAGTCCGCACAGCATTGGTCGATGACGAGCGCGAGTGGTCAAGAGCACCAGTCGCAGTCAAGAAAGAACCAGGAGGGTCTCGTGGACTCGGCTGGAACGACTTGGCCTTGAGGTTACGGACGGCAGACGGAACTTTGGTATCGGAGTCCTGGGTCCTAGGGCGGAGGAAAGCGGTGTTTGCTTGCGTAGTATCCGTGCTGAATTTACGAGCACTCAGACTAGCACGTCTGGCCGAAGCGTTTGTAGGCGCAAAGGCACCAGAGCTGATCGACTTGCGCGAGCCCCTCGAAGCGGTGTTTCCAGCCGCCGGTTGAGCTAAGCTCTGGCGACGGGCGCGGATGTTGGCAGAAGATGCAGTGAGCCCTGCATTGGCAGGTTGACCATTCGGACGCTGCACCTCACTTTTGCGGCGAGCGGAAGGAGGACCCCGCGTATGCTCAGAAGTATTCTGCTCATATGTGTGATTTTCCCAAGGATTGGTCGGACCAGCATCGCGGTTCTCCCCCGCGCCACCGTTCCCAGGCATAGGGAAGTTATTCAAACTAGGCTCGCCCATGATGCTGTTGTGAAAGTCGTCAAAGTTGATCGGCGCAAGGAAATCACTGTTCTCCGCTGAATTGGGGTCGGCCTTAGCCAGGTTTCCCACGCTCGTAGATCGAAGGTTGAAGTTTTTGCTCGAATCGATTGTAGAATCAATGGATGAGTTCCCAGAATGGAGATACGGGCCAGGTTTACTGGGGAATCAGTTAGCTCATGCCATGAGACAGGTAAGATTTACTCCCGAACTTACTTCCATCGCGATGTTTCTTGTGGTCGTGGGCCCTGGGGGACTCTTTGATCTCGAATTGACAATCTTCTCCTATTCATCCCACCCGCGCGCGGCCCGGCGACCCCATTGGAGGTATCATAGTTAGAATTATTGGGAGGGAAATTGGTCGAAGCGGACTTTTGTAGACGCCTGCGGGCTGGAGTCTCTGCTGCACAGAAAATGTCAATATACAGAGATATGGCTGCACCTTCCCGACCTTTCAACTTACCTCCCGAGCCGGAGTCGTTGGAGAGATTGGACGCTCGTGAATTATCAGTCCGCACCTGAGCTCTCCCCGGTGTTTGCGGTGGAATTGTCGGCATTATTCAGGAGTCTCAAGGTCTCCAGAGAGCATAAAAGTCGTAAGCTCGTCGGAGAAAAAGGAGAGGACTGGACCGTGCCAGGTTAACCGATCGCAATTACATTCAGGAGAAGTGCGAGGCCTCAACAAAAGACACTTGAGCACCGTCGCGCGACTCGTGTGAAAGCACTACCGTGCCATTGCGAGGGGTGAAAGAGGGTCGTCTCTTTGAGATAATTTTGGAGCTGCGAGGGTTGCCCAGGTTTCAAGGCGGTAAATCGAAAAAAGAGGCAATTGGAGGGGTTCTTATAATGGACCCAAACAAAGATGAAAATTGGAGACAGTACAGAGCACAGAGTACGGAGTACGGAGTAGAAACCAAGACAAACAAAAGAGAAGAAAAAGAAAAAAAGATGAGGCTAAAGGACAAGACAAGCACATCAAATTGGGACTATCGAATCTTTCGAGGCGCCCCTGATGCAAACACAAGGTAATCTATCCCCATACCGTATCAAAACACCGATACGATATTATGTCAGCTCCTTCCTGATCGGCATCGCATGTGCTTCGCTGTCTCGTGGACGATAGCCGACCACTTCTCTTCTTCTTCCTTTCTTCATGTCTGAAGGTTCATCATGGATGGATTCACAGAAGCCCTAGGCGAAGAGCCCAAAATTCCTAAGAAGAATAGACCCGGTTCGCCGGACAGTCTACATTCAAGATCATCTTCTGGATCCAAGCACTCCCTGCAGGACCGCCTTTTTACCAAGTATGCTTTGTATTGCCCCTCATAGAGCACACCCACTGATGCAGACAGGTTGCTTCAACAGGTTATCCCCGGAGATAATGGCGATGAAAGTGAATCATCGGAGAAGGCTATTGCCTCTCCCACAAAACCGGCTTTTAGTCTGCCGGTGATGGCTAATAACTTCCGTCGCTTTAATGCAAGGTATGGCCGAGACACTCATCTCCATCTGCTGAAACTAATTTGACTATAGAATCGGAGTGGTATTCTTATTCCAGGACCGTGTTGAGCGGCTCCTTACCTGGGATACTCCATCTCATACTATATCGCTTCTTTTTGTCTACTCTTTCATTTGCTTAGAGCCTCATCTCCTCTTGGTCCTCCCATTGGTGGTGCTCTTGCTGTTCATTATGGTCCCGGCTTTTGTGACTCGTCACCCTCCACCGCCAAACACTTCTACTTCTAGTACCACTCCTTACTATTCTTATGATGGGCCCGCGCTGGCGCCGGCCACGACGATCAAGCCTGCTCCAGAGACCTCAAAGGACTTTCTCCGAAACATGCGAGATCTGCAAAACTGCATGGCTGATTTCTCGGATGTTCACGATGCAGCTATCAACGTCATTGCTCCGTTGACGAATTTCTCCAACGAAAAGCTCTCATCTACCCTGTTCCTGGGTTGCACGATAGCTATTGTGGTTCTTTTCGTAAGCGCGCATCTCCTACCACTGCAGCTAGTGCTGCTTCTTGGTGGAAACGCGGCTATCCTGTCAATCCACCCAACTGTGGGTCAATTCTTTGCAGATCTGATGCAGGACATGGCCGGGGAATCTATGGATATGGAATTTGACGAAGAGAAAAAAGATGGCTTTGCTTCATCAGTACCTTCAGACCCATCGGAAGCAATGTCGGCTATGGAAAGGCTAGCGGATATCTCATTGGATACATATCCTGAAGAGCGAGAGGTTGAAATCTTCGAAGTACAGCACCGCGCCGCAGGGACTTCCGAGTCTGGCTGGGAAAGTTTCCTCTTTAGTCACGCACCCTACGACCCATTATCACCTTCTCGAATTGCAGGGGATCGACCGCGTGGTTGCCGATTCTTTGAGGACGTGCGAGCCCCACCGGGCTGGGCCTGGAAGAGCAAGAAGTGGGAGCTGGATCTAGATTGCCGGGAATGGGTAGTGGAGCGCATGATCACCAGCGTTGGATTTGAGGTTCCAGGTGTGACAGCTGAAGGCAATGCTATCGTCGGCGAGGTTGGTGGCTGGGTTTGGGACCTACCGCCAAATGGCTCACAGGAGTCTGATGATGAGATGTCATTGGCATATGGCGATTTACCACCCGATACGCCAACTCCGAAGGAAAAGAAGGGCAAGGCGAAAGTGGACGATACGCCCAAGCTCCGAGATTGGGAGGAGGGAACAGCTTCCCACGGGGTAGGCGAATGGCGACGCCGACGATGGGTACGAGTCGTGCAACGAGTTAGCCTTCCACCAGCTGGGTCTGTCTCATACTCGACGCTCAGTAGCCGGACGAAATAGAATCAAGCATGAAATAATGAATTTCGGGCAGCTGTTTACTGCTGTTATATTTACTACTTGGGGTTATGCAGTGCATAGTAGATAAGTACTTTTGAAAACCTCGGGGAAACAAGAACGCCAGACTCGCCCAACCAAATGCTCAATGAACACACTACTGACTCTTCTGCCACTTGGTGATCCTCCTCCGCAAATCACCGATGCTCTGCTGCATCGGGTTCAACTTGCGGTCACGAGCCATGGCCGTGAAATCATCACCATGCTTCTCAATAAGACGCTGAGCCCACTCGCCCTCACGGGAGCTCTGGAACCGAGGCTTCTTCGCGCGAACCGTCTTTCCTTCCTGATCAGCCTGGCGCTCGAGCTGCTGCACAATCACTGAGTCTGCAAGCATGTTGTTCTCGCCATTGCCGGTTTCGACCTCGTTGAGAGGGTCGTTGAGGGGGTTCTTGCGGGAGAGGTGACGACCAGCAACCTCGATGTGGTCATCGTCCTCGTCGTGGATAACGCGCAGAATGGCACCGGTCTCTGGGTCACGCTCGACGCGGGCAGAGCCCAAGTCAACCTTGGCGGCGTCGGCTTTGGCACTACCGCGGATGTGGAGGGAGTTCTTGTTCTCGGGGAATTGTTCATCTTTTGCGGGGAGGCGCTCACGACCTCCGGAAGGTGCGTTCAGCTTGTGCATCAAACCCAGGCGTTGGTAGTTTTGAGTCAAGGTCAATTTGCGATCCCTTTGATTATTAGCTGTGAAATCTCATGCAAAGGTGCAAAGCGCATACCAGTTGTCGGCGATGATCTGATTGCCCAGCACGTTGATCTTCTTGTGGCCGGTCTTAAGACGATTGTCCTTGGCGCGAGCCGTGGAACGACCGGAGCGGGCCTTCTTCTTCTGCAAGACTTTACCCATTGTGTATGTATCGTGTGAATGTGGTCAAAAAGATGCTTGCCGTCCCCGATAATAAAAGCGTTATCGAAACTTTTTTTCTGAGTTTGCAAGTCTTGGCATGTTTGTCCAGGGTCCCGCGATAAACAAGTGGTCTGACCGCGATAAAGCGGGTGTACATCTGGGGGCTATATCCCCTGTCACTTTGACATATCCTTGGGACAATTCGTTCGCAATGGCTTCTCGATTCTTTCCCTCACGCAGAACTGGCCTAGCCCTCGCTGCAGGATGTATTTTGTTTTCTGCACTAGCAGCAGCTCATAGTGTTCCCGGAGATCTCTCCGTTGCCCAGATCGAAGAACAGCTACAGGTATAATGATTTCGTACAACGAGCTTTGTGTACACAATAATTGACATGTCGCAGAGCTGTCCACTGGTCGAGTCCCTCAATGAGCACAAACGCGCCACCAAGCCGGAGACTACTAGCTTGACAGCTAAGATCTTCGCCGTTCTCTTCCCAAGCAGTCCCGCCATCAACGCGCTTTTGGCAACATTGTATATTTCCGGTCCTCCAAGTAAGCTTTGATCCCAATATATCTTGTCTGATATTTCACTAACCACACATAGACTTCCTTCTGGCACTATGCCCACCCAACATCGACCCCTCCTCACTCTCAGTGATGGTCGCCTTCGCCGTCGGTGGCTTGCTCGGTGACACCCTCTTCCACCTCCTCCCCGAGATCTTCGTCGGCGAAGACTCACCCGATAGCGTGAGCTTTGTGATGGTCGAGCCGAACAAGAACCTGCTCCTCGGCCTTGGCATCATGGTCGGCTTCTTCACCTTCGTCGCAATGGACAAGATCCTGCGCATCGCAACAGGCGGCGAAGGCGGCCACGACCACTCTCACCATGCGCACGCCGAGTCCATTGCTGCAGTCACATCTGGAGCGGAGACGAAGAAGTCCGGCGAGCTCAAGCAACGCAAGTCTTCCAAGGAACCGTCGACTGCTGTCGCTGTGGAAGAGAAGGAAATCAACCCCAGTGTCAAGCTCGGCGGATACCTCAATCTGATTGCAGACTTTACTCACAACATCACCGATGGTCTTGCGCTATCTTCGTCATTCTATGCTTCGCCCACCATCGGTGCAACCACCACAGTGGCTGTATTCTTCCATGAAATCCCCCACGAGGTTGGTGACTTTGCTCTGCTGATTCAGTCGGGCTTCTCGAAGCGTAAGGCTATGGGTGCCCAGTTTGTCACTGCCATCGGTGCGTTCTTGGGAACTATCATTGGTATTGCTGTCCAGGAGCTTGGCGGCAACGGTACGATGTTGGATGACACTGAGCCTGCCGGACTCATGGGAACTAGCCTGACCTGGGGAGACATGCTCCTGCCATTCACAGCAGGCACCTTCCTATATGTTGGCACTGTTGCTGTGATTCCCGAATTGCTCGAGACCGGCAAGAACAAGGGCGAAGAGATTCGCAAGACCATCACACAGTTCTTGGCTGTCGCCCTTGGTGCTGGAATCATGCTTGCGTGAGTATTCTCGTTTTCAAAGGTCATTTGAATCCGCTAACGTTTGACAGGATTTCTTGGCACTAAATTTACCAGAACCTGCAAGTCGGTATCACCATCATCTGGTGATTCCACTGGCTCGTATATGAAACCAAAGCACCGGCCACAAATTCTGTTTGACTTCAGAGCTGTTATAACAGGCTGTACGGTTGCACACAAGGCAATTGGATGATTGTCATAAAAAAGGAACGAAAAAGTAGCAATTCATTCGAAATGGCAGTGGGCTATACCAGCCCAAAATAAATGCACAAGAACCACCAAGTAACGCCCATAGGTTGAACTCCCCTAGAATGAATACCCAGTCATGTTCTTGGTAATACAAAAAAAGAATGCAATGGCAAACTGAAATCCCAAGCAAGTATGTAACAGCATCGAACGCTGCATATGTCAATGAAAGTTCCCTGGTGAAAATTCGAAGCCGGAAATGCGAGGAAAGCAAGCATTGATGATGCTACTCATTATAATGATATACCTGTAACCCGTTAGTTGGCAAGATCCTCGGTCCCTGAATAGAAGATACATACGAAGTAATCTGGAATACCAATAACCTCGTATCCCAATCTCTTCGCCATCTTGGCAAAGCCCTCTGTCTCAACGAGATGGAAGAATGGGAACGCAGGGAACATGGCTCCGTCACGGTGCACGTCGGCTTTGACCATCAAAGCTGTTCCACCCACACCGTCCAAAGCCACCATCTTCCTAGGATCAAGCTTCTTCATATCAGGCAAATAAGCCATGAGTGTGCGATAAGTCGGCATCTCAGCATACCCTTCCAGCAAGATCTCATCAGGACCCATAGTAGCAGCAATATTCTGCGCAGTCTGACTATCAATCCAAGAATTGAAATCATAAGGTCTGACATCCCACTTCTTCTTCCCCTTATCATAGTACCGCTGGAAACAATTCGGCACAACAACAGGCTGGTCGTAGCTAGTCAAATCTTGAATCAGCGACGCAGGCGTCTCAACAACATCACCATCCAACCAAAGAACCCAAGAAGTCGCCGGGCCAAGAGTCGTGAAAACAAGACTATTTCTCGCCCGACTCATTGATTCCCGTCTCTCTTTCTGAGCGGACATCTCATGTCGAACTTTTTCATCCTGCGACGTCAAAGGAGGCTCGAAGTCTTGGCGCAGGATACTAATACTAGCGAAGCGGTTATCGATCGGACCGGACTGCGTCTTGGCAATTGCCTTTTCGAGCCTCGCAACCGCGGCATTTCCATCCGCCGTCTTGGGAGCTATGAAGCCGAGAGAGATGAGTTCGTGTGGATAGCTCAGTTTCTCTAGATTGTCCCAGTATCCTTGGTAGAAGCGCGCTAGCGGGGTGAGGATGAGGACGCGCTCGCTGTTTGCGACGGAGTTGGCGGTGCTGGTTAGGGAGTTGAGGTCATAGTGGACGACTGGAGGAGCAGCTTTGTGGCCATCTGGACGAACGGCTTGAGATTTGAAGAATGGTTTGGTTGGTGGGGAGAGAGGGTGTTCGGCTGCGTTTTGCTGACGTTGTTGTGAGGTAGCGGGTTCGGGAGTGGCGGGGGTTGAAGGGGAGAGCATGAAGCAGATGAAGCCAAATGCTAGGAGGGCGGCTAGCAGGAGGCTGATTGGGCTCGTGCGGCGCATTGAGCGTGCAACGGCCATGGCCGTTGGATTGTGTCGTTGTTGGATATCGCAGTGTCGATGGACGGTGATGAGTTGCGGGAGTGCCTTAGGCAGCCAGGGACATCTAGGAACCTGTTCCTTGCCTTTTTATTTCCTCCCCTGACATTAGTGAGAGGGGGATGAGGGAAATTGGGGGTGCACAACTGATTTTTAATGTTTGACATTGACATTGACCGGAAAGAGCTCATGTCACTTCACTAGAAGTGGAGCCTTCAACGGCCGCGATTCAAGATGTGTCAATTGTCCAATTACAGATCTCGTTCATTCGGAGCTCACATCCCCCGGGCTATCGGGGAAATCGCACGAGGGGCCGAACGGTGTCCATCGCCGAATGCGGCAGCATTCCTCAGTACACACGGGTTCCCGAGATCGCACAATGTGATGGGGTATGGTCGTGAGATTCTATTCTATGGTTCAGAGTAGTCATTTATATACATTAGGCTAGGGCAGGGTGCGCATAACGCCTTCAAAGGCGACAAGAGCCATGGCATTCGCCGGGAATGCCCTCAAGAAGCAAGGCACAAAGCCGCGCCAGTATCCCTTGAGCCCACGTTCACGCCAGACAGCGACCGCGGCGTCTTTCCAGCCGCGGAATTGTCGCTGACCGTCATTCAGAGATCCACCCATTGGATCTGTCATCAAACGCTGCTTCACAACGTCTGAAGGGTAAGAAGTAAGCCAGAAGCACTGCGCGGAGATACCGCCAGCCCAGAAATTAATGGCCGGAGCAGACATGTTCGTCTTCTTCTTGAAGACACGAGTTAACACATCGTAGGAGCTCCACCAAAAGAAGAAGAATGATCGGAAGAATACAGTTGCCCAAAGACCGCGGTAGACACCGCTAATACCGTGCGAGCGAAGCTGCGATAGTAAGTACTCGGTCCTCCAGTCAGGAAATCGCACATACCATCTTGACCAAGCAATCGATAGGTCCACTGTACAGGCGCTTCGTCTTATCGGCTGCATACTGCACCTGCAAACGAGCCTTGATATGTTCAACAGGAGCAGCAATAAAGCTGACCGTCGTTCCAGCCATGATACCCGCAATACCATGACCGAAGCTCGGCAAAATTGTAAGGTCCTGTCGTCCACAGAACGGCAGATAAGGACGAATGTTCGGTTTTGAGAAAACGTTCTCAAGAAGCAGACGGCGGTATAGCGTTAATGACCCCAACATACTGCATCTGTTAGAATCCACCGAGCAAGCAGAGCACAGCAACGAAGAGCACTCACACAGAATCCATCACCATCCATCCGACCAGCGGCGGCGTCGCACCCTTATAAAATCCCCTCAATCCCTCATTCCGTAACGTCTGCAACGTACAATCCAAAGGACCCCGGAATTGTGTATCTTTACTAGTCTGCAAGCGAACCTTGATTGTATCGAATCTGCACCGTCAGTACCATGCACCATGTCCTCGAAAAGCCGATCACACATACGGATGTCCAACTGCAACTATTAGCCAAGAGCGCCTCACACGCGCACAACGCAGGGGACATGGACATACCACTCAGCTTCGCAATACCCGAAAACACACCCGCCACAAAACCCTTATAGTTCGACTTCGAGGAACCAGATTGCGCAAGCGCGCTCTCCGCGATTTGCGGTGGCTTCGAGTCCACGGGCAAAGGCGCCTGCGCCATCGTATTGCGTGGTGTTTTTCTTTTCCTCTAATCCCTGATCCTTGCCTGCGTCACGCGCAAGATGGGGTCGTGCGCGATGTGGCGACTGGAGATGGGGATGACGGATACGGGCGGCGGTCGCGTTTGAGGGCGGTGTAAAGTTTCGGAGGGGGTTATTGGAGGGGTTTGGAGGTGATTGAAGAGGGGGAATGAGTAGCATGTGAGGTGAGAAGACGGTTTTGATGATCGCCTTGGGCCCGCAGAATCCGTTCGGGGAGAGTGGGTGTTCCTCCGGGAGTGGTGCCTCAGGCGTGGTTGTGGCTTTCACTAGGGCTTTTTCGGGACTGGGGTAATGGATCCGGGGTTCGTATAGTTCTGCATGTCATTTTTGTGGATTGATCCTTGTAGGGATCGGCATGGGACGATCGATTATTTGGTTGGAGATATACTGGGAGTTCCTGGGTGGTTCGTAACCTTAAAAGTGGCTTGCGTGGAAGGTTTTATTGACTTTTTTTGTTGAAGGAACTACGATAGTTGTTACAACGGATGGTATAGAAGATACTGATATAACACTTGGTTTTCATTGAGATGCCAAGTTCCAGGAACATCTGGATTGAGTGGGGTATATAATTTAAATACATGATATCGTATGCAAGGTCAAACACAGTTGGCAGTTCTGATGATTTGATGAATCGAAATGCAGGAAACACAAGCAAAAAGGCCCATAGATCAGCAGTCAGCAGTCGGGCAAGCTCATTTTATGCCAGAACACCAAAGAAATGGAGAGAGAAGAAAATGAACCGATCAAAGAGAAAGAAAGAACAGAACAGAACAGAGCCTAGAGAAGGATCCGATTGATCCCACTCTAGGTGAAGAAAGAAACCGTCTCATGCGAATGGAGGTATCCATCACCGTTTAGAAGGCTTGCGCAACTGCCGAGCCTTTTCCTCATAAGCAATGAGTCTGTCCATCAGCTCTGGGGAGGTGGTTGGCTTCGAGACATCACGGGTCCGGTCAGATGCATTGCTGACTGAACCATAGGCCAGATAGTCGCCAGCCTCGAGAGCCAGCGGAGTCACCGGACCCCCGGGCTGATAAGCGGATCTAGGCGGGGTGCGGAGGGACCGGTGTGCGAGCCCTCGGTCAGATCGCGGTACTGCCACATCATGTCGCGGGAGCCGGAAGTACGGTAGGAGGATTGTCGGGTCTGGCGAGGCGAGGGTGGCTGAGGTCCGGTGGGATGAGAGGTACTGCTGGGCTGATAAACAGCCGGGTGGAACCTTGGCAGGCTTCCGAGGTGGAAACTTTGAGTGGGCTTGGCCTTGGACTTGGACTGTGGTTGAGAGCGGCGCGAAGGCTGAGGAGAGTTTGAGCGTCGGGGAGACATGATGGGAGAAGCAACCGGAGAACAGTAGGGTGAGGTATCTGAACGCATGCTTGAATATGTTGGTTGATGCCGGGCGGGTGTGGACTGATATTTGGCGGATTGGGAGGCCCGTTCCCAATCGTCGAAGTAAGTATGATTGAAGCGACCAGTCAGCGGTGTGACGGGCAAGTCCTCGTATGTTGGACGTCTTGGGATGGGAATGGGTCTCGTGGGAGATGATAAGGTAAGCGAATCAAAGGCGTCGATCGGAATGGGATCCGAACGAGGCGAGGGAGGAGTATAAGTAGACGATGTGGCTGTCAAATCTCGCAGGGAGGACAGTGAAACGGGTGTGGGGTAACCGTGCTTGGTGATCAGACTTTCCAGATGGTCTCTTGGTTGGAATGTTGAGCGACGACGTGATGACGGTGATAGGCCTGTAATTCGATCAGCGTGGGAATGAGAATGTCACACGTGTTTAAAGAATGTAAATATCGCGATAGCCGACGAATTATGTCACAGTGCGGATTTTATACCAGACGAACAAATCAGAGCAGGGGTAGGCCAATGATGACGGAGTGGAAAAGACACCCGCACAAAGAAAATCACGAAAACCCCCCAGAGAAGGCAAGACACCACTTACTGGAAAATGAACTGCTGCGGGAAGAAGGGTACAGTGAGGAGGAGGACGAGGGTGAAGAGGAAGAAAAGGAAAAAGAAAAGGAGTCGGATTGCTTTCTCATCTGTTGGTTTTTTTCTCTTAGTGTTAAGCACTTGCGGGGGACTCCACTATTGCGTAGGATGATCATGTAGCAGTATGAATAACACGATAGCGCATAAAAGGGGATAACAGTCTCGAATAATTAAAAAGACATAGACTCAAGATCCTCAATATGTAAAAACAGCAAGCAAAACCAAACGCATAGGATAAAAAAAAAAAAAAAAAATCAAAAGAAAAATCATAAGAAAAATCAAAAGAAAAGGTGAAGTTCATACCGTTGGCCAAATGACGGATGTGCCGGTGTTGTGGGTCAGGGCTTGCGCATTGGAAATTTGTTCTTCAAACTTGTACTTTCAAGATCTTCGGTCGATTTCTTCCTTCTCTTTTTTTGCTCAGTCGAAGGGAAATACTCCCTTTTAAAAGCTCCGAGCCAGGCACCTGTGAAACCCATTTCACCCAGGTACACACCTCCACGCGCAACCACCGGGTGACCAAGCTTCCAAGGCAGAGTTCAATCTTTCCATATCACATATCAAAAGGGGGGAAATCTGGGATCTCGATCGTCATGCGTGCAGTCATGTTTGATTTGCACCTTGACTCACTTTGATTTCCGAGCAGAACGGCTTATACCGTCAACCAACCACTGGCTGGCGTGAGGGGGATCCGCATCACCCGATACCTATCACCACGCGTGGAGGGAGAGAACCCACGCTTCCTATTGGTCCTGACGCCGTCCCTCTTTCTACTCTCTACACCTGGGCGTGATGGTCTGGGGTGCGTACATGTCTTGGTCCAAGCTCCAGTCCGGCCCGCTGGTGGCAAGGCTGCAGAGTTGAGATATACTTAGAACGACATTCTTCTGACTCTAAGGTTTGGGGTACCTCGTGCAAAGTAACATCCGTGGTCTAGTCACAGGCAGCGAACTATGAGGGGTGAGTGAAAAAAAGCAAAAAAAAAAAAAGAATATTAATCAAAAAAGGGCACTATATTCTGCACTCTTTATTGGGTTAGCTGCAGAATGGGCTGGGTGTGGTTTCATCATCGAGTACTTTGTAGAGTCGATCCCCTGCAGAACTCATCCACCGAGACCACGCGGATTAGCAAAAAAAAAAAAGGGGGGTTGCAAGTGGCAATTGTGACTACGCCGATCGAGAGAGGTTTTTACTTCCTCCGTGCTGCAATGAAAATAGTCAATCCGTGGTAGGTTTCGGGCCCTTTTGCCCCTGCATACAATCCTGCACCTCGGACCTTTCTGTTGTGCGACACAAACGGAAGGGTGATACTCCGTAGTTCACTTTGGAATACGTGGAACGGCTGCCAGCTTCATCCCGGAAATTATTTCGGTGAAACGCTTCGGAGATGCCCCATCCCCTACGGAGTACGGAGTACTTGTACACAACACAGCAAGCGGGTCGATCCAGATACACCCGACTACGTGTCGTAACCCCTCCAACAGCCCAAACGACAATGATTCCCTAATTATTCCCGCAACCGCCCATACACACCGCACTCTCGCAATATCAGATCCGCACCTGCAGCCTCAAACAGAAGCTCGTCCTCGCACCCTCGCATCGGACACTTCTCGTCCCGAAACACATGTGCATTCCTACCACGGAAATCGACCGAGCGCACAGCCATGCACTCCATCCACAGAAAGATAAGCCCAGGTGGACGGCAGCAGTTGGACAAAGCGTCTTAGCGGCGGGACACTGCATACAGGAAGCCCGAAAGTACTTTTGAGCTAACCAGTGGGATTATAAGAGGGGAAAAAATGTAATTATACGATGTACGATCAATGACATCAAGCGAATTTCGAGTCCCGTCGCTTTCTCAATTCAACACCATTGCGAATGATCCACCATACCATCGGAATCCCGCACCAAACCCACACCGCGCCCGTGAAGGTATGGAACCAGCCTATGCCGATCTTGTGGAGGAGCGGGAGGGCGCACGCCGTGACGCCCGCGCCCAGCAGACACCGCACTAGATTTACTGTTGCGCCTGCTGCGGCGGGGAAACCGGGGTGGAGATCCATGAGTAATGTGGTGCCCACTTGGCAGAGGGCGGAGGCCCAGAAGCCGAAAATCAGATCTAGACAGTATACGAATGCCACTGGATATTTGTATTCGAGGAGCCAGCCGTAGGTTATCTGATGGTCAGAACTCTGGATGAACGGGCTGGGTATAACACTCACGATTGTCGCTCCTGTGATGGCAAGGATAGGATATGCGAATTGCAGACGGGCTCTCTCGATCGGGAAATCGGGAAACTGTTTCATATCTGTGTCTGGGTCGAGATTCATCTTCCGTGCTTCGCGGCGATATACCCAGTCGAGATATGTGCCTGTCGTGAAGGTTGAAATGATCGTGCCGGCGCTCCAGGCTAGGAAAAGGATTCCGATTTGCTCGCTATTATAGCCGTAGGCATTCTTCATGAGGCTCGGCATGGTTGTCATGATAGCGTAGATACCGGAGTAGCTTTGCCCTATGAGAAGGAGAATCATCAATGATTCCGGGTCTGTGAGAATCACTCGCAAAATAGGCAGCGGGTTCTCGAGTCTGAATCTTGGTTTAACGGATAGGTCTGGTGATTTCCAGTGCCGATTTGAACAGACCATCTGCTTGATACTCCTGTTCCACCATGGCGGAGGCGTTGACCCGTCATCAACGACCTTGCGCGACGTTTCGGGAAAGAAAAGTACCATGGGAATAAGCAGCACGACGGTTAAGATTCCCAGAAACCAAAATATGGAATGCCATCCTAGATGACTGGTCAATAAACCCCCGGCGACGGGAGCCCTATAAAGACACCAATCTGTTAGTGGTAGCGTGACGACAGATGACCCGCTACTTACACTGTAGGCCCTATTATCTGCAAAGCAAGCATTACACCTAAAAACGAGCCCCTCTGCTTCGAAGCTGCTATATCAACAGCTACGGCACTTGCTAGAGCGATCGTCGGCGAGGACCCTGCACTCTGAAGACATCGCAGACCAAGCAAGCTACCATAGTCTGATTGGAGTGCGAGACCAATGGTGGCGGCAATGTATAGGATAAAGCAGAGCAAAAAGGCCGGTCTTCGACCCACGGCGTCGGAGCAAGTAGCAATGAAGACAGGCGAGATGCCTTGGAAAATCTGGCTCGTATAAGCGATAGCTCAACCCGTGGACCACTACGCATAATTATGCATACCATAAAGGTAGTGATTGTAAAGTTGACCTTCGAATCACTAACATGCAAATCCTCCGCGATGGGGTTCAGGGCAGTCAGGTAAATACTAGAGGACATTGGCGAGATCAAACTGGCGATGGAAGCCATGATAGTGATCAAATATTTTGACAACGATGTAAAGACCGAGAACGGGACCTGAGTGGTCCGTTGAAGTTCTGCAAAATCTTCATCTTGATACTCTTTTGCTGTTTCTGCAGAGTATAGACTTGTGTTGTTGCTCGCGCTATTGTCGCTGGCGGTGGTGGCACTCATGGCGAGCCGACGTGGAACGAAGCTGGAGATCTACCACCGTCTGGATTTAAGTTAGTAATTAAGAAGTCTTATTTTTTCCAATCAAGGGGGCTCTATAAATTGTCCGATATCTTGGTTTGGAACATGTAAGGCATGTTTGGTCTGATCTGCAGTCAGGTATGTTGGCATTCCACTTATCCTCCGCTGAATACAACGTACTTTGGAAGGGGCTTGGCTTTTCTCGACTTATGCAAAACTTGCTTCCATTCTAAGCGGTCTTTCTGGGTCGGGATTTGGCAACATTTCATGTTTCTGGACACAGAGGCGTCAGTAGAGCCAAAAAGTAAAAGGCCCGCGGCATGAGGGTATGGACCTGGGAGTGTAGACAATGACCCGGCATGACAGAGGAATTCATGTATTTTTGAATGAGATAGGAAGCGGTGTTGCATGAGTTAGTGTGACTAGGTGCTTTTTTATCTCCAGGGCTTGATATGGCTCTTCCAAGGTTCTGAAGAACAGTGTTTGTTACTATGGACAATCCGCTCATAAGGCCGTGGTAAATTTTACGACAGAACGAACGTTCCGAGGTTGGAAATATAGCAAATGAAGGCCCGGAATATTAATCAAGTAAGCTATAGCAATATGCAGTATTTATTAAGCCATATGTTTTTATCTTGCCAAGTTCGGGTCTTGGATATGTATTGGAGGAATTGGGCCTCAAGTCAAGTTTGGCAATGGCAGTTGACTAATTAATTTCCAAGGTTGTTAACCGTGAAAATTGACGTCTTACTTCATTAAAATAACACACAGAGTTCTGGAGAACGAGGCAAAATATTTTCTTTCCTTTACATCCCATTGCCACTTTCCAATTGCGTGCTGATATCTACACCCGCCTCCGAGACCATTCCCGCCATCTCTACCCCTCACCAATTCGACATCCACCACCTTGAGATCACAATGGGCATGAAAGCACGCTGTCAATGCGGCAAGATTCAATTCACAACACCCACAGACAAGCCACTCAAACTCTGGATCTGCCACTGTACGGAATGCCAGCACCAAAGCTCCTCCGCCTTCGGCATCACTGCAACATTTCCATACTTCGAGCTACCCACTGAAATCGCCGCTCTAGCAAGCAGCTATACACGAACTACCATCAAGGGCCGGGACATGGAGTGTCTTTTCTGCAAAAATTGTGGCGCGCGACTTTTCCATCGATTCAGAGATGTCGTTCCCGAACCAGGCGAGCAGCCGCATTTCTCTGCAATTACCAATGTGAAAGGCGGCTGTTTGGAAGATCTCAACAAAGAGATGCTACGGACTGCAGTGCATATTTGGTGCGAAGAGGCGATTATTGATATCCCAGATGGCGTGGAGAAATGGGATCAGGGACCGCCTCAACCGAATCCGCTGGTTACTTGAGCATTCAGGAACATTTGAGTTGATACTGGAAAACTTAGGTATCTTTTGAAACAACAAGGCGTACAAAAATAGCATGAGATCATCTTCTTATCCAACAACGGAGGTCCAACCGTTATCAATAGCAATTGTAGCACCATTGATCTGGCTAGCACCCCTGCCATAGGTCAAGTTCACGCAGAACGCAGCAACTTCATTGACATCAACGTGAGGTGCTTGAATTGCCTCCAGGACAGTCTTCAGCTTCTGCATTCCCTGGACATTGATGCCGGACCCGAAGGCATCAACAATGTTGGTCTCCATACCACCCATCATCAGAGCGTTGCACTTGATTCCCATGTTACCATAGTAAGCAGCAGTGTTCTTGGTCAACCCAACAAGACCGTGCTTACTAGCTGTGTAAGCAGCACCTAAAAAAGTCAGCTAACATAACAAAAACACCGAATAGGAATAAAACCTACCACTAGCCCATCCAGCCTTGCCGGCAACAGAAACAATATTGATAATGCGTCCATCAGGCTGCGGCTGCGCCAGCATATTGCGCACAGCGAGTTTGCTCAGCAGCGCCGGCGCGGTGAGGTTGATTGCCATAACGCGATCCCAGAGTTCCATGTCGAGATCACCAATCGGATCGAAGTGATCCATAATACCAGCATTGTTGACGAGGACATCGATCTTACCGAACTCGCCGATAAGAGTTTCAAAAAGGCGCTCGACCTCGCTTGTGTTGGTGATGTCGGTCTTGATGGCTTTCAGGGGTCCCTTAGGGGACAGCTCAGCCGAGGTAGCCTGCAGGCGCTCTTCGTTGACATCGCAGATAACGACATTGGCGCCGGCCTCAAGGAATTGAGTTGCGATTGCCTTGCCCAGGCCTCCGCCGCCGCCAGTGATGAGGCAGGTCTTTCCAGAGAGGATTTGATCGGACATTTTTCTTTATATTGGGCAAGTAAGAGTAGGGGATGACGCTTGTAGATGGACGAAGAAAGAAAAGGAGTGGAAGGGTCTAAATATAGGTACTTGAGTTCTCCTCGGCAATTCAAGCTAGATATTGGATGGCCTGAAGATAATGTGAATGTCCTTGATTTTGATTAAATTCTTTTCAACGGAAGACCGTCTATCCGCTTTCCGCTGGCGTAGGACCACGTTGATATCCACTTTTGACGTGGAGGGTCGGTTCGGGTGCCGCAATTTCTGGGGTACGACCAGCCTCGAAGAAATCGGACGATTCAAGGAAGCTGACTATGCCGAGAGAGAATTGTTATGTCCACGGGGATGGCCACGATATTTGCTGATTTGGGTGTGAGTTGCACGCATCGTATAGTCACATAACTTGTTACTTGAAGCAAATGAAAGGAAAAAACACTAGGTCACACGAAGGAGAGTAGTAGAAGTCGAAAAAATTGAGAAACGAAGCGAGATACCTGCAATTTAAGTATCTGCATGGATGTTGACCTATACATTTGTAGCCAATGTACATCCGGCTTCCGGGCAGCACCCTGCATAACCCGCAGCGAATAAGAGCTGCCCGGAAGCAGGCCCATCCGAGAGCCCTAAGCCCTATTTCCTCTTTGGGCCACATCGGGTTGTACTAGATGCTGTGAATCTTCTGGATCTCTCGAATCTCTCACAGAGCTGCAATCATATTTACTCCGTAGATATATAGCAATTGAATCATTTTGACAACGAAGGAGCGAATTGGTCATAAGAGGATGTTGGCGCCTGTGGGTGCCTGGTTTGTCAGGCTCACCACAGCGCAGATGGGCGTAGATCTAGAGAGCTTCCCTCTCTCCCTCCTTCTTCTCTCCTCGTTCCTCACAATACTTGATTTATCGCACTGTACTATTTCTAGAGAGCCCTACCAAAGCATCACATTGTACCAAACATATGCAGACTATTTCCTACTTCAATTTACCAGTGCCAGTATACCGACCGAAAATGATTCTAGAAATAAGGGCCCAGAGGTGCTCCGTATAGAAAACAAAGTCAATGGGATAGGTCCCGCGAAAGACCATTTGTAAGCAGAACCCTAAAAGAGAAGCAGAGAGAGAGTAAAATGTCTGGCAAAAGTCAACCGTGGTTAAGGGTGATCCTTTCAACAAAGGTCAAAGCCGCTAGAAGGGCGTTATCTTCTACTTGACAGCTTCTGATGGGTTCTGCGGCATGCTTACCAGCCACAGTGGAGACAAGTAATATGTCCCCCACATTTTGGAGGGTCAAGATCGTTTCAATATACTCAATTAGTACTGACACATCTGGAGGGCTGGGTCCAGATAGTTGAAGAGGGCAGAAAATTGGAGACGCTTGATAATTCCTAAAAGAGACAGCGGAATACGAACTGAGAACGATCAGCCTTGGTATCGCTATCTTTGGTATATGCGAAATGCCATTAATGAATGCCATTGATAGACTCGAAAAATAGAGCCAAGAGACAAGGCTTCGACCCAAGCACAACAAAAGGCTTAGATCAGCCCTCTCGGCAGCAGAGCTCACAAGGGCCCAAGCACCGGCCCTTAGCCGGCCTTACGCATAAGGTTCACCCGGACCGAGAGTGTAAATTGAGAGAGAAATATAGCTATTCAATTGGTGAAAACCAAGATAAGCGAAGAACATGGTCAGTTATTTCTCTTCCAATTGCCTAATTGCCTTATCGCACCTTTGATATACCCAGACGCTTCTCCCCGCAAAGGAAGCTGAACTAAGTGTGGTTCTCCGACCCGGTTGGCAGCCGAGCCCCACAGCCATCGCGCAGACCTTCTCTATCGGGCAACCGCCAGAGAACATCTATCTTATCACGATGTCAGTTTGGTTACTCTGGGGTTATGACAAAAAGTATGGGGTGTGATCGGGCGTTCTTCTAGGGTGTTCGTTTATAAGGCATCTCGCCCCCTTGCTGAGCGTCAATCCTGGTTACCATATTTGCCGTCTTCAACCCATAGCGATGTCAGCCGAAGACGACAATCAGAAGGTGTTTCAGGGCACACCGAGCGAAGATGTGCGCCTGGAGAACTTGGGATATGAGCAAGGTATGCTGAGCAAAGAATAATTCGAGCGTGGGTGCTAATTAATGTAGAGCTCAAACGCTCTTTTGGCCTGGTCAGCATGATTGGCTTCAGCTTTAGTGTCGTGACATCGTGAGTATAAATTTGAACAGGGACGAGCCATGCTAACGACGTTCATAGATGGACTGCATTGAGTGGTGTTTTCATCGTCGGTGTATCTTCCGGTGGTCCCCCGGTAATGGTTTTCAGTTTTATCGGCGTGAGTCTGTTGACTTTGGCTGTCGCAATTCCCATGGCAGAGATGTGCTCGATGTACCCGGTAGCAGGCGGACAATATTCTTGGGTCGCAGCACTTGCTCCGCCAAAAATTGCTAGAGGTCTCTCTTATGTGACGGGATGGTTCATGTTGATCGGTAATTTGATCCTCCAAAGCGTGCACGAAAATCCACTAATCCGTGTCAGGACTCCTTGCAATGGGCGCTACCAACAATTCGATCGCCTCCAACTTTGTGCTAGGCATGGCCAACCTGTGTTTTCCCGAATTCGAGATCCAAAGATGGCAAACAGTACTCGTTGCCTACCTCGTCGCTTTCCTCTCCACTGCCGTCAATCTCTGGGGGTCACATTTCCTGCATAAGATCTCCAAAGGAATTCTAATCTGGAATGTCGCATCCTTCGTCATTGTCACCGCCACGATCCTTGCGATGAATGACCACAAGCAGCCCGCCTCTTTCGTTTTCCAAGACTTCCAAAACGGCACTGGATTCGGCACTGGGATGGCTGCAATCATCGGTGTCCTCCAGGCTTGCTTTGGCATGTGCTGCTATGACGCCCCCTCACACATGACCGAGGAAATGAAGTCCGCTTCAAAAGAGGCTCCCAAAGCTATAGTTCTGGCCGTGGTTCTGGGTGCTATCACTGGATTTGCTTTCCTTGTCACTCTCTGCTTCTGCATCGGCGACATTGAGACTACTGCGAACACCAGCACAGGTGTACCCGTAATTCAGATCATCTACGACTCGACCAGAAGCAAAGCAGCCACTTGCGTCTTGACCACTCTCATCTCGGTCATTGTCATCGTTGCCGGAAACAACATTCTTGCCGAAGGATCTCGCTCGGTCTACGCATTTGCCAGAGATAATGGACTCCCCTTCTCCAAGTTCTTCAGCAAAGTCGAAAGCAAGACTCACGTTCCCGTCAACGCCGTGCTGCTGACCCTCGCCGTGCAACTTGCCCTCGGTGCCATTGAATTCGGTACTACGACGGGTTTCCAGACTGTCATTGCCATCTCGACCGAAGGATTCTGTAAGTTTAAGTCACAGTATCTCGCGAGAATCACGACTAACCGAATTTATAGACTTGTCATACGCGATGGCCCTCCTCAGTCGCTTGCTTGGCTACTACACCGGCCACGCCACCAAGCTCGACGGACCCTGGTCGTTCTCAGTACCGGTGTCGATCGCACTTAACGTCATCGGTCTCCTATTCCTCCTCTTCGCCGCAATCACTTTCAACTTCCCTAGTGAAAATCCGGTCAGCCACGAGTCGATGAACTATACAAGCGCTGCCATTGGAGTCGTTGCTCTTATTAGTATTATTACTTGGATTACAACGGGGCGCAAGCAGTTCTCGGGACCGGGTGCGGTGAGCTTCTTGAGTGGCCAGAATACTGCAGCTCCACATGCGGGAACGGTGGAGCGTGTGGATGAGAAGACTTGATATATGTAGTATAAATACCATAGATTGTTTCACACAGCCTGTATTTATAATAGATGAACTACTCTTGGATGTTTGCCCATACTGTGAAGACCAGGCACTTGTGCATAAATTTTCGGATGAATGCCCCGGAGTCGAACCCTGAAAGTGAGATTGGACGAGTGCGGCCAAATAGGTGCGGCCGAGCTATATCTGTAGGGTCGAGATACTACGTACATTGTAGGTAAATTGATACCCTTGGAATACCAAATTTCTATGTTTGGTATAAATACTACCTAGGTATTAGGTAAAGTTCAAGATCGGGAATCGTCATAATGGGAATCTATTGATCAAACCAACTTGTGTACTCGAGTTTAGGATCCAAAAATTAACACCGGGAATTCATGCTTGGCCGATGACTGACAGCAGCCTTCCACGATTGGCACCATCGGTCATAAAACAGTAGCTCAAAAAACAGCACAGAAATTTGGGTTCCTTGTAGCACCTTTGGATGCCAAAGAGCGCTCACCCACCCATGCTTCTGGTCAAAATTATGCGCTCTGAGTAATAATTCCATGTCACGGGATTTGGTAGTTCCGCTATAGTGGCATCAATGTTAGAAAAGTGACAGGGTCCACGGGTATCGGGCCAGGGACCATACGGTGTGTGTAATCCCAGGGTCTCGACAAATCTTCAACTGACAGTGGTCCGGCAGGTGGGTCATCAGTACGAATACGAGCGTGCAAAGGTAGTGTTGTGGCTGAAATGCGTCTCTGGTGTGAGCAAAGTCCAGTATTCAGACAACGATATAACTTGAGGCTGCATATCTTACCTGTTCGGATCTTGTGATTCCTTTTCACTATGTATTTCCAGAGAAGGCAGAGTAGTTGTAAAACGGTCGCGAAGAGAGCGAGTATTGCGATGATAGCTTCAGCGGACAAAGACATTGGTTCAGGGTATTTATTGTAAGATGATGATATATAATTCAATGCGTGTAATGCAATGTATTAAAAAATACTATCAACCAAACTGGCTCATCCATGCCTTTCAAATATGATGTAGGCCTCATAAGCTCACAGGTTTTGAACACGGGCGCACATAGCCCACCGTGCTTCAGTCTCACCTGCATATTTGCAGGGCTTGGAAGCAAATCGTGATTGGTTCGTCAAAACCTCGACAAATCATACCCCGACAACACGCTGCAAGAACTCGTAAGACAACAGAAAAAGCCAATGAGATGCGCCGAAAAAAAAAAGAACGGAAATGAAAAGGAAAAAAAAAAAAAAACCTTGATCCGGTAGAAGGCTGAGGACATTTAAGAATTTCTTTGGAAGGGTGATGTCTTTCCAGCATGTACGGAGTAGACTCATCAACCTTGAAAGTATCGTTGCCCACCAGGATTGCCGATGAGCGGATGCGTCTCCATCCTCTAGGGCTCACGTTCATACAAATTTCCCTAAAAAAACGCTGTTTGCTTGCTGGCTTCGTTTGTTTACATCTCGTTACAAGGTTGGGACCGGAGAGTCCTTTTTTTCCCTCGCGTGCGCGAATGAAAAATCGAATGATACAGGCCTAAAGTTTTTACTTGAGGCGAGGAGACCGAGGTGAACTTGTCTGGAATCCAGCTCAAACTCATCTTATGTGTTGAACGGCATTCAACTGTATACTCACAGAGAGTGAGAGACTGTGGTTGGAGCTTTCATTATAGCCAGGCCGCTTAAATGGGGGTTGACTATGTGGTATCTTTAGGAGCGTGGAGGGGTATGCTTTGATTCACCAATTCAAGTGACCCCCACTCCAAGAGGTTGGGACTGATTTTTAGGAAGAAGAAATATGAGTACACTGTCTTGGGGCGTATGGACGATGCAAAATACAACGATAAGGTTACGATCGGGAAGCTGGGCGCAAGAGGCCCCCGAGGCCTTGTAGATGCTAAGAGGCTATAAGAGAGACATCATTTTCAATAGGAGACGGAAAGCGTCGTGTGCTGACTCCCGAGGTCCATGGCGGGGAGGAAATAAGAAATGCTCGATATTTGCTAAGCCGGCACTGGCAGAATCCGAAGGTGTATAGTGTGCAAGGGCAGAATCGCTAAGAAAATCTCGTTTGCTTTTTGGCATGGATGGACTACTGACCTGATGAGCTCCAACACCTGCGAAGTATACAAAGAGGGGCTAGCTCGACTACGCTACGGGTCTACCAATATCGCATGATCAGGGAGAATGCCTACTTACCAGATGTTGATGACTCTAGCCGCCTCAGCCCAAACCGTGGCGAACCAGGCCAACAGGCAAAATGTATAACGAAGCTCGAACCTCTTCGAGCCCACACGCGTTGGAGATTGACTATATTCAAATAGGCCATAAGGTCAGGTCAAGAGATACCCTGGACCCTGGACCCTAAACCAGTGCCGGGAATTTAAGAAATTAAGGTGTGGGGACGGGAAGATCCGAGAGGGAAAAAGGCTGAAACAACCCTCGGATGAAGAGCCCGTTCGGTCCAGATCTACTCTACACCAGACAGGGGCATCAAGCCATCCACTTTAATCCACTAACTTGACAGAAAGATGACACCGCCACTGTCTCTATCTAATTTCCCCGTTGAAATTTCCCCGAAGATATAGAGATGTTGCTCCATGTATTAAAGAGCGACGATCCCTGGTTCTACCGATCAGACAGACATAGACATACCCTCCCAACATGCGTGGGACTTTCGTTCTTTTATTGCTCTCTGCGGCGCTGGGCGCTAGCGCGGCTGTCTCCAAGTCCAACCTCAAAAGTCACGTCGATGTGCTGGCACTCGACTATTCTTTTAACCCCGTCGAGCCTTCTTACTGGACTGGATATCCCCATCATCGCCGCACTCCTTTCGCCGTGTCGCCCGATGGAAAGTCTGCATACGTTGCGTATCTTGACTCTAGTGCGACGGATGTCCACGTTCAGCAGGTCGACCCCACTACTTTCGCTGCCACTGGTACTACCGTGACCGTGTCCGGTGGAAAGGAAGGTGTGTATGATAACCAAGACGGCAAAAGACCCGACTAACACAAGATACAGCCGGTGGTCTTGTTGCTCACAACGATGGATTTGCTCTTCTCACAAACGAGGCGATGCCCTCTGGCACCACCAACGCACCCCCCAGTGACACTCCCGTCCCTGTGCTGTACCGCTACACTTCCGGCAAGCAGACCTGGAAGACTTGGCTCGGTGGACCCGGTGTCCACGCCTCCGAGGGACTCTCCGCCTCCCCCGATATGAACGGTGATCTCGTCTACTCCGAAGCCGCCGAGCTGTACGGCGCTTACTTCGTTGTGACCGACTACTCTGGCGATGCATCCGGCCACTTCGGTGATAGCGTCGAGTACGTTACTACCGACGGAACCCTCAAGGAGATTTCCGGTGCCACCAGCGCATGGGGATGTAGCCACAACACCGGTATCGCATTTGAAGCTGCTGATGCCGCCCCCTTTGCTGGTATCTGTGCTGAAGACCAGGGTGCTATTTGGTTGAACACCAAGACCCAGGGCATGACCACTGACGGCGTCAAGATCTCCAACGAGAACACTACCAACGGTGCTTCCGGCGAGCCCATGGGTGGTATGTCCGGTAGCTACAGCGCACTGGCTCGCTTCGCCGAGACCACCAAGTACATCTTCGCTTGGGTTTCTCGTGGTGCCATGGACGTCACCGAGAACGCCTGGATGGGTACCGGATACACTAACGTGCAGAACCGTACCAACGGCCGCAACGTCGCCATCGCTCTCTTCTCTGACAAGTACACCAAGGTCGGAGCCGAGGCCACCTCCGTTGTCGGCACCGAGGATGGCGATAGCCAGATCAACTGGGTGACCTCCGGATCCAACGATTGCTCCAACGCACACGCCGCTGCTTTTGGTAGCAGCAATGCGCTGATCACCTGGGAAGAGATCTCCAACCCCACCTGCGACTTCATCGCTATGGGCTGCCGCGGTCAGTTTGCTGGAACCTTCTTCCAAGAGGTTGACTCCACTGGCTCCAAGGTTGGTGAATCTTTCAGCAGTGACGACGTCTATGTCGCTGGTGACATGGTCACGATGTCCGACGGTCGCATCTGCTGGCCTTACGTTAGCATGACCTGGGATCTGTCCCAGGCCAACGACGGCTCTTCATCCGCGACCGGAAAGAAGCTGAGCTTCGCCTGTCTTGGCCTGGATGGCACAACTGAGTCATCTTCAAACTCTACTGCCAGTGCGACCGCCAGCGCGGCTGCCAAGGTTTCTGTTAGCGCGACTGCCTCCGCGGTTACCAAGGCCGCTTCTGCCGAGGTCACCGCTGCCGCCGCCGAGACCGCGGCTGCATCTGCCGAGACTGCGGCTGTTGTAAGCCAGACCAGCGAAGCTGCCGTCGAGTCTACCAGCGGCAGTGTCGCTGCTATTGGCAATAACGACAATGTCGCCTCAAGCAGTGCCGTCGTCGAGTCAGTTGAGGCTGCCACTGCTGTTCCCGCTGCCACCGTCAGCGCCGTAACCAGCGGTGCCGTGGATGCCATTGCCAGTGCTTCAGAGACCGAGGTCCCCGTTGCCACCCCCGTTGATGCCCCTAGCACCCCTAGTGCGGTTGCTGCCGAAAGTGGATCCCCCAGTGATTCTTGGGGTGCCGTTCCCAGCGGCGCTGAAAGTTTCCCTAGCGCGTTCCCAAGCGACGCCTTCGGTGCTTTCCCCAGTGGTGCGTTTAGTGCTGCCCCTAGTGCAACTCCCACTGGAATTTCCCGTGGCCATGGACGTGGTAAGGGTCATCATGGTCACCACGGTCACGGCTGGGCTCACGAAAGCTACCATGAGCAGGCCCAGGCCGCCCAGGCCGAGCCCACCGTTGGCTCTTGCAAGTCCAACTAGATTGGACTGTGTATTATACTAGAATATCATAGGGCTTAATTAGCTGCCAATAAACAAGTATATGGTGTTCTACAAGAAATAGGCCCCAGAGGTCAAGCTAAGTCCAGCGTCACATTGGAAGAGTCCTGTAACACCCTGCACCACATAGTAAAGCGGGAATAAATTTGGACTCGTCGAGAAAAGCCAATTTCCCACGATAAAGAGCTATGACCGCAAACTACCCATCTCAAAAATCGAACTGCCAAAGGACAACCAAGCCCCTCGGAGCCTTGGACAGTATTCCAAAACTCAATGGCAAAGATCATCCAGCTCTCTCTCCGCCTCATCCAACTGTCTCCGCCGATTCCTAATCTCAACCTGCTGAGCCGAGTATGCCTCCTGCTTCATCTTCCTCCACTCATAATCCCTCTTCGACTTCTCGTATTTCGAAAGATTCTCATCCATCTCCTGATGAGCTACCAAGACATCCCCACTCTCGGGTTTGTACATTTCATCAAGCTTCTCTTCCTCGACCTTCAACAGTTGACGGGATCCCACGATGAAAGACCGTAGAGACTCGCTCGATCGACCTGCTTGCATTTGCGAGGGAGTGCTGTTTACCTCCAAGTTCTCGGGCATGACGTTCGATGCTTCGCTCTGCACTTCAAGGTCAGCCTCCACTTCGCGTTGGAGCTGGAGGTCGACTTTAGGTTCGTCTTCGTCTGGCTGTTTTGCTGGGACTGGGGAGAAGGTGTCCTCGAATTCCGGGTTGATTAACTTGTCGTTGCGGAACTGGGTCAGATATGAGCCCCTCTTCTTTTCATGATCACATGGTTCCCGGGTGTTTTGGTTGGGCTTACTATCATGATTGTGGAGGGTGAGGTCAGGAGGTCAGAGGTATCATGGGGCTGTTCTGTGAGAGGTTCAGAAATGCCAGAGATGTTTCCGGCATGGTATGATGGCTCAGCCGTAAATGCGGTAGGGACATCAGGTATGGCGGTCCTAGCCGCAAAACCTGAGCTTGGTCTATTTCGATATGTTATGATCGTATGGGTGCTTTCTGTTTTCCTAGATAGAAGTGGCTTACCGTATGAAGGTTGGCTCTGTTGGACATTTGCTTTGGCCTGAGGGACCAGGAGTAGCATTTGGAATGCTAGTATTTTCAGGAATAGCAGGATGCTCGGGAATGGTGGGTAGGCTTTGGTGACTACTTCTGGTGGAGACCATCGTTCCGTTCAATAGTAGCATTTCAGTTCTGCAAGTTGGAACTGGAGATGGAAAGATGGAGAATAATAGAGTGATGATGAGCATATAAATCATTCTAACTGTGGAGAGCTCTTTTATAGGCATGCTCTGTGCTCAGCAATCGTAACATTGGTTGTTTGATATTTGCTTCAAGATTTCCTATTTGGGAAGGTGACATGTGCTACAGTTAGCAGAGTGCATGTTCCGTCGGTCAAAACCCGTCAGAAGTGGTGAGTAGTTAGTCCTGAGGGGTGGTATAGCGGGCAATAGCCCGGACAGGTTGTCCTGTTAACCTCCCCTCAGCCTGGCGGCCAGGGTGCGAATCCTGTTTACGGAAGTACCTCTACAAACTTCCAGGAAGGGACTATACGATCTTCCACGTTCAATCCCTGGCGGCCCCTTTTTTTTCTCTTTCTTTTTTTCCTTCTTACATTCACTTAGCATGTCCCCGTCCACAACCCTCTGTTTCTGATCTTTTGTTGACTGATTGCTCAAGATGCTACCGTGGTTTGACACCATCACCAGAACCGTCAACAAAGTCAATAGGCCACACTCCCAAGCAGCTTGTTATGCCTCAGGCACCAGGGGGTAATTAAGGCACCGGGGTTTTACCATATCTGTCTTGATGTGATCCGAACAATGATCCGAGCAATCATGCATATAAAGGCTGGTGTGCCCCAACGTCATCCAGACACTTGGAAACAGAATTGATCACTGGCTGTCCTGAGTATTTCACCTTGGGAGTATGTATATCCTTACACTTTCAATACTCTTAGTCCCTTCCAGTTGAAGATATACAGTTTAGGGCACCAATGCGTGTTACCATGGTCGTGTTTAACCTTCCCCATACTTCATCTTGCATATTGTGTTACCCACAAGCTGAATGCCTATCTGATCTGCAAATCTTGTCCAATCAAAAGGGATGCATCTCGTCAGATATCCATGATGGTTCATCAACTATGCACAGAGTCGTCACAATGTCATCGAAGAAAGTGTCAGCCCACCACACCACTGGACTTGAATGGTCCGACAAAATGAATGGCCAAAGCCGAGCACCGAGCACAAATGAAAGATAAAGATGACGCCAACTCTGGAATATTCCAATCAAAAGTGACTGATCAACTAGTGGCAAGGGCCTCGTTTACCCAACTGGCGGTCTGAGTCTGCGATGGGACCCCACATCGTCGAATCCCTATGCACGAGCCACGCAAGATCGGCACGGATCTCAATATCGGTGTGCTGTTTGTCCAGAGTGATGATATGGTTTACAAGACGTCCAATCAGACTGAAATCACTGTATTGATGAGATCATGCTTCGGTCGCTGGTAAGACGTGTGCAACATCTAGCGATTGCGCCTCCACATTCCAGACTATGGGGACAGCCGAGCGAATCCAGTCTGCTACTCCGCCAGATCTGCCCGTGTTCGTGCTAAAATAGCCATGCAGTACTCCGTACATAGAACATGCGGTATGAGATTCACCAATTAAGTTTTGCCCCGGCTCTGGGGCTAGGCAGTGGGGGAGACCTCCTTTAGTGCTCTGGGTATTTTTATCGTCTGAGTTATATTGAGCAGTCTTCCCCAGCCTGGATCAGACCACACTGCTCTGAAAAAAAAAAAGCGGAGCGTAGGATTTTGCCCTTCTACAATTTACACCATGCTGGCCTGTTTCTTTCTGGGAAGTGCCGTGGCCTACAACTTGGTCATGGTGATCTACCGACTCCATTTCCACCCATTGAATAAAATACCAGGACCCCGTTTAGCAGCCGCGACAGGGCTCTATGAGCTCTATTTTTCGGCCTGGGGAACCGACGGCTTCAAACAAGAGATCGACGAAATGCACCGAGCATACGGTAAGCATACTCCGCGTCTGAGGTCTGGAGCATTGCACTGACACGCACAGGACCCGTCGTTCGGATAACTCCCGACGAAGTGCACGTCGAAGAGTCAACCGGAACACGCACTGTAGACCGGTGGATCAAGGGAACGCGGAAGCTATCATCTCACGGCCACGCCTCGCACAAGTTCCAGATCAAGCGGCGATCCATATCTCGAGTCCGATCGATGCTACGAGTGGAGATAAATCAGATCATCAGTGGATTGGTCGAAAAGCACCAAGTGCACCGGGTGGTTAGCCAGAAAATGCGCCCGTTAATGCAAGACAGAGTTTGGACCGTCGGAGACAGTGATCCAGAAGACGCAGAACATGAGATTAACCTTTCTCGGATGTCGCGAGCCTCTCAGGTCAGGGCCTGAAATTAAGAACCCGAAGTTGGAGTCGACCAGTGACCAAATGCGGACTGAGTTTCGGGGTTCAGACGTCAATTCAGAGTTCACCCCCCGCGTTGACGAGAAAGACCCGGATGTGAAGAAGTTAGCCTTTGGTTCGGCCAATGTGCTATCATGACAGACAGGAACAATAAATCCGGAACTTTAGTCTTGGATCAACAGGACTTTTGAGGATCGCGAAAGTCGGCCTTGAAGGCGGTACCGAAATTGTCACCCCCGCCCCGATTGGCATTTTCTCTTATCTTCTCGCGACATCCAACCTCCAAGTCTGCAAGTCGAACCTCGCCATCATGGTAAGTGGAATACAGAGGTCCCTGTTTTTAATGCTCTGTTGCTAATTGTTCCAGCCTCACGCCGACTCCTCCTACTTCGCGCCCGGCTCGTCCAAAGCCGATGTATACGAGATGCTGCTGATGCAAACACAAGGCCTCTTGGACGGCCAGAGGAATTGGGTCAGGTGCGTCGCGACAATCCCTTCAAACAATGAATCCCACTAACATCAATCCAGCAATCTCTCAAACGTCGCATCTCTCCTGTGGCACGCCTACGCCTCCCTCCCCGCCCCCTCCTCCTCCGTCAACTGGGCTGGCTTCTACATTCGCGACGACAAATTCCCCACCCTTGCCTCGCCCATCTCTTCACCCCCACTGCCCGGCGCGCCCGGCACTGGCGGTGTCACCATTTCCACTACATACACGTCATCGGAAGACCAGCTCCTTCTGCTCGGACCCTTCCACGGCAAGCCCGCGTGCCAAGAGATCCGTTTCGGAAAGGGCGTTTGCGGTGCTGCCGCCGCCAAGCGGGAGACTGTTGTTGTCCCCGACGTGGAGGAGTTCCCTGGACACATCGCATGCGACGCAGAGAGCCGCAGTGAGATTGTTGTGCCTATCCTTGTGAACGGAGAGGTGTGTGCTATCCATGATGCTTGGGTTGAAAGCCTTACTAACGAATAATAGGTTGTCGCTATCATTGACATTGACTGCACCGAGCCCTCCGGCTTCGATGACGAAGACAAGAAATACCTCGAGCAGCTGGCTGCCTTCTTGGCTGATAACTGCGATTGGTAAAAATGTTGAATATAATCCAAGTCCTTGAAGACTTGATTTGGATGGAGGAATTTATACACACGTCTGCTATTGGTGGTTGCTGTCATTTTACCTAAAAGTTCTAGGGATTTCTTTCACAAGGGCCTGCTACTGCTACAGGCTCTTGTGCATGTTTTTTATATCATTTTGGACACGGAGTAAATCAAAGAGGATTATTGAGTACATGTGGAAGATGCAAGTCAAAGACAGATGGACATGGGCCTAAAGCGCACAAGCACGGTCAGATTCCTGCTCCAGGAGCCGACCCAACTAAGCAAGCGAGGTCGACCATGAGTCCAAGGTTAGCCTGGGGGAAACCTAGCTGGGCTCCATGCTCCATGAACACCTCGGGAGAGCCCTATCAATTCTCAGTACATTAATGCCAAGAAATGCAGTGCTCGTAGAAAAAGGTGCAGTACTCGGCATTTTCCATTTTACGAAACTTCGTTGACGATTCAATTCTTTCATTGGCAGGGAATTTCTGAAAAAGTCATGGATGGAATGACACTCAACGTCTAGGGACGAGGCATCACCCTAAGACGTGACTCGTCGCATGCCTTCAAGAGGAAGTTGAACAGCGAGGTCCACTGGTGCAGCGTTCATGGCCGAACTCCCTTAGCGAGCACGTCGGCGGTGAACAGCGGCCCCTGAGCACGAAAAACGAGATACATTTAGCTCTCCATCTACAAGCTCACAAACCTCTCAAATTTAAACTTAATGTCCGAACCACTTCAAGATTGCCCTGCATGTGGTTGTCTCGGTCACGAGGAGATTCCGTTCTTAAATACGACCCATGTCAAACACTTGCAGTCCGGAGAACGATGGGGAGAGTGGGCGATAGGGTCTGACCTTGTCTTGAAAGAATGCTCCAACGAAGGGAAGCTCTTGAAAAGCCAGGAGAACGAGGTGGCCGCCGTGAATCTTCTTACATCGTCCCCTTAACAATTTCCCAGTCCCAAAGGTCCTGCGCCACTGGGTTGACGACAACGGGCGATGCTTTTTGCTTCAAGAGAAGATCAAGGGCCAAAAGCTCGAGGACGCCTGGCCTTCCTTATCGGAAGCTCAGAAAGAAAACATTGCAGATGGAGTTGTTGGAGTCAGAAAGCAGCTTCAAATGCTCACTTCAACATCTATTCAAGGAGTTGGCCGTCGTCAAAGTACTCTCAATCTAATCTTTCCGGGCCTCGATCAGTACGCGCCATTTTCCTCTGACGATGAACTCTGGAATGCTATCAGCCTCACTCTTCAAAGACCAACAACAAAAGTATTCCCTCAAAAAGCTCTAGACAACTTGAGGAAATGTCTACCTAGTTGTGAGCCCTACGTTCTTACCCTTTGTGATCTCAACACACAAAAGATTGTAGTGAAAGATGGAAAACTAGCTGAAATTACCGATTGGGATTGGGCTGCATATCATCCTATCTGGTGTGAATATTTTTCGGCTTCTTTTTGGTCGTCAGAAGACATGTGGTCAGAGGAGGACAAGGAGTGGGGACTTTTGCTACAGAAGCGTATGAGGTTGCATGGCGAAGGCTTTGAGGATGTCGAGGGTTTCTATGATGATCTGCGCTCTTTGAGACTTTGGCCGAATTTGGATGCAAGGGGCCAAGAAGTTATGGAACGGTTATGTTCGGATTGAAAGCAAACATGTAGACGGAGAAAACAGTACGTGCAGATGATACCAGCACTGGACTTCTTACAGAATGAATAACCAGGCATCGAAAAACATATGTAGAAGAGAGCATAACTTATGCTGGTGTGTTGGGAGGCCATGCGAGTAGTTTGGCGAAGGCATGGATGCATCGAAAACATCGAATTTGAGACTCATTGTCAGAACGATGGAGCTTGGGCCAAAGATGAGGATCGGCAGATAGTTGCTCTTTTCTGTGCTGTCATATTAAGAGATACCTTGAAAACTGGGGTAGCATCGGTTACATCGGTTTCAGGATAAGCTTCCGAGGTCCACATCTCGGATACTGAAACGCTTCAGCGTTTCCTCTAAGTAGCCTTGAAGGATGGAACCGAGGTTCGAATCGATATATAGACCTATGTGTTAGTTTCAAAAGAATGTTTGAGCCGGAAAAAACTGCTTCTTCACTGAGAAAAGCGAGAAGTTCAATCGACCTGTGGCAAAAACACTCGAAAGCTCAGTATAACGGGCAACCTTGGAAGTCCCCAATATAGCCCCATAACCTTGGAAGGTATCTGTTTTGGGAAAAACCACGTGCAGATCATCCAAAGTCATGATGTCGAGATATTTTTGTAAGTGGGTCTCATAGTTATGAGTTCGACACCCCCTTGATAGGTCACCCGTGGACCCCAAAGCCCCAAAATTGTATAAAGGGACCAGAATTTATCTGCACAAGAACATCATTCCAAGTCTTGTCAGTCATAGCAGCCAAAATGAAGATCCCTCAATCCCTCCTCTTCGCTCTCCCTCTGCTCCAACCCGCCTCCGCCTTAGTGGGAATATCCTGGAGTGTATCAGACGCACCTTCATCCGGACTCAAGGAGCTCACCTTCCCAATGAACGTCGCCGACGCACCCCACGAAACAGGATTCTACTTCGCACAACAATTCAACTTCGTCGGTCAATCAGACGTTGGCTACACAGGTCTGCAGCCACGCGAGGACTCAAACTCCAAGCCCGTTCTGCACGCCGCCTTCTCCAGCTTCATCGCGGGCACCAAATCCAGCGACGAAAACTGCAGCGATGGCGCAGATGGCGGATCAGGTGTAAGCTGTGCCGTCGACATTGAGGGCGCGTATGCACACACTTATCTGCTGCACATCAACAACACTTTTGGAACGACATGGGTCGGAACATTGGTTGATTCTGTTAGCGGGAGTGAGACTCGCATCGGCTCATATGAGCTTCCGGCTGGCTCGGAAGGCATCAAGGGCTCTCAGATGGGCTTTGTGGAATATTATCCTTGGAATGCGCAGGCAAGTCATCAATGCAGTGAATTGCCGAAGACTGCTGTTACCTTTGGCAAGCCGGTTGCTGAAGGGTATGTTGGTGGATTGGAGAAGGCTTATGAGTATGGTGATTGTGTTGGACAAGCTGGGTTTGAGACTCATTATACCACTGATGGAGTTGAGACTTCTGTTGGGTTTTGAGCGAAGGACGAGACACGCCCTTTTTTCCATTGGTCTTGACTTTTCCGAATCGTTGTTTGTGTCACTAAAACTTCCAAATTATATCGTTTGACATGGCATTGCGAGCGCCATTGTTAGCATCATCAGTCCCTCGGAATCAACATTACCCCATCGCGAACAGCCTTGAGAAGGTTTATAGATCGGCGGGGTTAGCAAAATCATAATCGCATTCTTTCCTGAAGGAAAGTTGGTGCCACAAGACGGAGTTATTTTGAGCCCAAAGCCACAAAGCAAGTCCCGAGGCAAAGCCGTTGAATTGCCAGCCACTGGTGAGGTTCCAAGATTAGGCCCAAAGCACCGGCTGTGTGAGATGATGGACCTGTCGAAATTCCGTTCCTAGCGCTGAGCAGAGACCGTGCTGGTTAAACAGGGGGCCAAGAACGCAGATCGGGAACCCTGAGCCAATTGGCCCACCCGCATCTCGACGCTAATTTGAGGGTGCGGTGCGCTATTCTGCAGACAGCGAAATGGCCCCCAAATTGTAGAGTCAAGCGCTTACTGAGGCTTAGTACGGAGTATGCAATCGGACTAGCCCCTGATGATAAATTCAGAAACACGCCTTGCCGCCCGCTATTTGCTAGCTCCAGCGCGTGGTGAGATTTGATTAATCGGGACCTTTCAGCCCGCGTCAACTTGGACCCTGCAATCCCTTCAAATCTCACATCTTGCTGTTTCACTCTCGCTTGTTGATCATGGCCGGATGGTGGTTTGTGTTGCTCTGGATATTGACACCCTTGGTCAATGCTGGTGTCATTGATCTTGCTAAGCGATCGGTCCTGTCAGATTTATCTGGTGGATTCTGTCGCAGTTATCGATTTGGTGGTATGTGGAGATATTCGCGATGAGGTTTCCAGTACTGATGGATGGCAGCCGATATTGCCAACAATGTGTTGTATATGGTTGGTCTGGACGGAGGATTGGTCCCAGACGATGGCGATGCTTCGAGTGAGTCGCTTTGCAATTCCGGGCACCTAGAGTTTGATTTCCTGACGGTTGTTCCGATTAGACAACTATCTCGTGACGCTCGATCTCACATCATCCTTTTCAACGTCGGAAGGCAAGAATTATAAAATGACAAAGATCGACACCGATGTCCCGAAGATAAAAGACATGGCGCTTTGGTCAAAAGCCGACAACACCACCTTATATCAATACGGAGGAAGATTCTTGGAAAACATCACAAACGAGAACACCATTTGGACTTATTCAATCGACGATAAGACCTGGGCGAAACAGGATGGCACCATTCAGCCCACACGATTGGAGTATGGTGGTATGTTAGATGCCAGAATATGAGCGGGGAGAGATACTAAGCTGGGAAACAGTTTATACAAACGCGCCAGCTATCCAAGCCGGCTATTGGATCGGTGGCTACCAAGGCAGTGGCACAACTGCTTCCATTACCGATTCAACAAAAGACTATGCCACCGGACTGATCCAGCTGAATACCACCACCGGGATGTATACATCTCTGGACGGGCCCTACGAAGCAGTCGAGGAAGGCTCTCTTTCGTATGTGCCAGTTGGAGACATGGGAATTTTGGTATACATTGGTGGTGATGTCCCTTCTATCAAGGATGGAATCAACGCTACAATGTCATCGGTGAGCTTTGAAGACTCTTCAATCAAATTGCTGTACTGATAAATGCCTGAGAACTCGTGGGATCACGTCCAAGTCTACGACATCGCCGGAGCTAAATGGTATAACCAGTCCACGACAGGAACTGCCGCATCGCGCACACAATTTTGTGCTTCTGTCCAGCACGATGAATCCTCATCTTCTTATCAAATATACGTTCTCGGAGGCGCTGATCTGAACTCCAAAGATACCATTTTGGACGTGTATGTGGCATTATTCCTCTCGTTTTCATTTCGCTGACAACCCCTAGAAACTACTTATCGATTCCGTCATTCAAATGGTACTCCGCTGCACCTCTTGAGGAAGCCCGCATGACTCTAACATGTGTCACATACGGGCGTCAAATTTTTGGAATTGGTGGACGACAAGCCTGGGCAGATGATGGCGAGGCAGGCTGTTACGATGCGCCTGCGTTCATATATGACGCACAATCTGAGGCATCACGATCATCTTTTGATGTCAGTACATCGTATTCCACTAATAATAAGGAATCTATACTAACAAGCTTACAGCCGGGTCTATCTTCATTCTCTCTCTCTTCATCAACATCCAAAGACATAGAAGCATCGCCGACTCCGTCAGCCTGGGCTTCCTCTGACTTACGCACCCTATTTTCAAGTAATGCAACAGTCAAGCCTACAACCAACAACACAAATACCGGTGGCAACACCTCCTCACCTGCAGAGTCAACAGACAGCAAATCGGGATCGACAAACACAGGCGCTATCGCTGGTGGAGTCGTTGGAGGATGTGCAGGCTTAGCCTTGATTGTGGGTCTTGTGTGGTTCTTCCTTGTGAGACGCCGAAAGCAGGCTCCCAAAGATGTCCATGAAGCTGGAGTTGAGACGCAGCGATATCAACCAGTGCATGAGCTTCCGGTGGGGGCAAGAGATGGGCGTTCCGAGTTGGGATCAGACTCCCATATGCGTTCAGAATTGCCTGCAGAGCATAAGGCGACAATATCCGAGCTTGATACCGAGAGGAACCGGTAGAGAGTTGGACAGACTACATAAGGCTTCAATTAATGCAATTATGATACTGGAATAGTAAATAATACCAAGAGGCCTCATGTCTCTGACAAATTCCAATACATCCTGTGTTCATGTAATTTTTCGAAGTTCTATCGTACAGGAATGTAAGAATGCCCAAGCGGACTTTCAAAACTGTCAGATTTGAGCTGTTGAGCCTTGGAATCTTGAATATCACTAAAGAACGGATAGTTTCTTTCTTCAATTTGTTACCTAGCAGCGATGCAGTCTTAGGCCTTATACCTAGTCTAGTTGGAAAATCCAATAGAGACATGCCAACGCGAAGTCAAGGCAGCTAGGGAATGAAACTTCAATGAGATCTATGTTTGTTACAATGACAGTAGTACATGAATATTCGAACAAATCTTTCATTATACACCCAAGCCGCATATTTCCTTGAAAGGTTAGCAAGATACGATTCAGAGTAGTTATAAGAAGAATTACCTCTCGTCGCCGGCTGTAATCGGCATAAAATTCGAGCCAATGGTCTCGATCGCGGCAATCATCAAGCTCCCCAGTTATCGGGTTTGAATGGCAGGAAGGTTGCTTCTCCTGCAAAATGTGATCTGAAGGCTCATTGGCAGGCTATTGAAGTTTATTAGCCCCAGAAAATGAAAAATGAACATCAACAGCACAAGACAAGGCGAACGTACCTTTGGAACAGGCCAGTCGGAGAAGTGCAAGTATTTTGCCTTTTGAAGCACATCGTCAGGGTTCCAATTATTGTTTCCTTCACCCAGATAGTTCGCATGGTCTGAGCTGCGGAACTCGCCAGACAAGAGAATATAAGGATCGTGTGGGATGACGAGGGCACGATCTTGGTAAAGGTTGTTCATAATTTCCATATCGTAGATGGTCTCATCTGATCGTTGTGTGGCATTCATGACTCGACCAAACTCTGTTGTAGAGGGTGTGACGAGCATCAATGCAGAAGTCATGAAGCTGTCGTTCGCGGATCTCCAGTATGCCAGGGGCATGGCAACAGGGCAAGGTTGCATGAGGAAAAGCTCGTCCATGTGCTATAAATATGTTAGAGGGCTCGGTGTAGTAAATGGTCTGAGTCACTCGCCTGTAGAACTGTTGCATCCGAGTCTAAGCTTAGTACGCGATCGTACTGCGTTTGATTGAAAGCTAGTAGCTTGGTAAAGCTGCTGGCCCAGGTTACTGTGAAAGATATCGAGATCAGCTACCGCAGTCGAGACAACACCAAGAGCGAACGGGATTCATACCATCACCACTAGCCCGGCTTTGAATCTCAGCAGGAACCAGTTTGACATTATATTGATCACGGGCTTTCCGGAGCAGATGGCTTGCTACTTTGTTGTCGCTCTCTTCCAGAGAATATTCCACTGGATATATCATGACCCGATCCGCCTTGGCTTGCAAGCGATCGAGGGATTCAAAAATCATGAGCGAGTTGCAGATATGTGAGGTACTGGTGGCGTATTGCACATAAGCAAAGCGAGACCAGTCTACATGGCCGAGAGAGCCCAGTGCCGAGTCTAGCTCCCAGCATGGCAGAGTGACTAGAGTCTTGACAATGAATGTCCCAACAAAAAGCAAAAATATAGTTTGCAATGGCTTGGGGAAGGTTCGTTGCTGTGGGAGGCCCATGGTGGAGATTAGGGTTGAAATGAGGTGCCTGGTAGAGATGAGAAGATATCTGGATGGTCTCATGCGGAGGTTCTGAGAGAATCCAGGCGAGTCGAGAGGCTATAAAGACATGCAGGGTCTAGAAGTAAAGGACAGGAATGGAGAAAGTAGAAGCCATAGCCGCCGAGGCCAATGATCACTATGCCCTTCTTGAGTGCTCCTAGACTAGTAGACTAGTGATCACTATCACACTGAGCCTGCGTTGGATCTAGCGCTCCAAACGGGACCCCCCACCCATCTGTTCCTTAGAGCTGTTTGAAAGCTGTGCTTTAAAACATTTCAGCGGCGCAGTCAAATGTATCTCATTTCCTATTTGTCATGTTCAAACCAACCCCAGCAATTGAGAATATTTCGCAAACGACACCAACGCCAAGACCATAGTCTGCCTCGATAGATGAGACTAGATTAATTACCCCTGGTCAGCCGCCGAGCTAATGCAGCAAGGTAGTCACGCCCTCTTCTCAGCGCTCTCAAGAATAGTCCGAGTAAGTGGAAGCCATTTGAATAACTTAGTAGTGAGGATGTGGCTGTTGTTTCGATTTTGCCCGAGAGGCTAACTGCATGGTTTGCGATTTTCTCTAGACTTACCTGCAAGGGTTCAATACTCGCAGCTTGCGGCTCTGTGGAGCACGTCCCACCCGACGGATCTGTGACAATTCACAAACTACCTCGTACATGGACATCTGACTGAGGTATGCGGAGTACGGAGTATGGCATACATATGTCGGTTTTATGGTTTGGCACGTTGAGCATGACTGACAGGTGGGTCCCAAGGGTCGCCCCGGGCCGTTTGGGGGGCGAACTCAAGACCGAATCACTGCCCCATCCGCTGGTGGCTGAGCGCGTGAATAACTGGGCTCTCAAGTACCTTAAGCGCTCGGTTGAACTGGTGAAGAAAGGATATGCTCAAAGGGCCCACAAAGATTACGAGTATCTCATTTCTCACAAGGTTCCAAGGTTTACAAAACTCTATCCAATTTGCCCTGTCGATCGCCTCTTTCAAAATTCCAAGGTCTTCGAAATATCAACTGTTCAGTATTCCCGAGGTCTTTATGTTTACCAAAGAGGGTTTCACTTTTGTTTCATCATTGTTCCCACCTGAATACAAGAAGCGAAGGGATGATGGCAAGTATCACAGGCGACAAGCAGACATCTCTACCCAGTCAAACAGCCAGGGACTTGGTGATCCAATCCGGATGTGGAATACCCTGTTTGGCGCTATGTTCCCTGACTCCCCCGCTCATATCTCAGACGAGGCCTGAAAAGACCACACGATCGACTGAGCTTCCAAGGGGGCAAATGCCCTTTGAAACATATGGCTATCGACTGGACACCTCTGGAGACACCAGTGACTCGTGAACGATTCTCATTTCGAAAATCTATCATATGATGAAGACAATGTTCACCCGAAAATCCCCGAAAATCACGGGAACCCAAAGTCACAATGAACCCGTGGACGCTATAAGGACATGGCTAGGATGAAAACTACGTGGAAAGACTGAAGTACGATATCCAGCTGTTCTCCTCAGAACAACCGCACCAAAAACGATATCAGTACCGACCATCGAGGTCCTTGTATTCAAGCCGTCGAGGCATATGTCAAATCTATTGACAGAGAAAAAACCCTATAACCCCACAGACAGAGAAGATGTCTGCCCGGTATGTATGAAAAAAAAAAAAAAAAAGCCGAAATAAATATAAATGCCAACGCCGGAACAAGTCACGCTGACAGATCACAGAAAAAACGCCTAAAAACAAGGTATAGAACACAACGAAAATACAATCGCTAACAAGATCACATGTTAAGCAGACTCATTTGTCTGCGCATGGGGTTTGGAGAAAGCGCGTCCCCATCCTCACTGGGACCAATACCACTATCTGTACCAGCGAGGCCGGCATCGGTATCGATATCCCATTGCTCGTCTTCGTTCTCGCCGTATTCGGCATCTGCGTCTCTTCCGTCCCAGGACTTTTGGATGGCGCCTCGTGTGTTCCAGCGCAGAGCGCGCTGCACACTTGTGAACCATTCGTTGTTGTTGGAAACGACTGTTGGGAAGGGGTACTGGCTTGCTTCGACGGTGACGTAGTCACCTTGGCGAAGCTCGACGCGGCCCTTGCCGTCGAAGGAGCAGTAGGCTGTTGAGCGAGAGGAGTTGGGGACTGCGATGCGGAGGAGGTGGGAGTCTGAAAGGACCATAGGACGGAAGGAGAGAGTGTGTGGGCAGATGGGTGTGAGGAGGATACCCGGGATGGAAGGGTGCATGAGCGAGCCACCGGCGGATAGGGAATAGGCAGTGGAGCCAGTAGGCGTGGAGAAGATGCAGCCGTCGGCTTGAACGACTGTGAGGAGTTCGTCGTCGGCGTACAACTCTAGGTTGGAGACGTAGGGCGATGGCCCGCGGTCGATGACGAGCTCATTCAGTACTTCGAACTGCTCCCCTTCTTCGACGGCGCCTTGCTCGGCACTTTTGCTTCGGTCGCGGCGGAAGACAGTGCACGTGAATCGCATGCGTAGGTTCACTCGCATGCCTACATCGCCCATGACAGCGTTGAGTTGTGATTTGTGATCGGAGAACTCGAAGTTCGTGAGGAAGCCGAGGCTTCCGAGGGAGAAGCAGAGGACCGGGGGAACGACGCGCTGGAAGAGCCATGAGGTAAAGAGGACAGTTCCGTCGCCGCCGAGCGTCAGGACCAAGTCGAATTTATCCGGTGAAGTCCAGCACAGGTCCGGTGTCCAGAAGTGAAGCATTTCAGCGAACATCGGATCTTTCTGCAGCAGACCCGGAGCATCGAATCGCTTCGAGTTCCGCAGTTTCGCATCGACGTAGACATTAACACCAAGCTCGTTCCCGTACCTGGGCGTGGAAAGCAGCCACTCGGCGACTTCCCGAGTCAGGTGCACCAAGCTATTATCCCGGGCCTTGGTCACAATCATGACGTTTCGCACCGCCCGTTTGATAGGCCGGCGCTGTAGCTGCTTTGACACCTCACGCACACCAGTTGCAGTCTGAACGAGACGCGAATGCGACAGCCACTCATCGTCGGCGATTTCCTCCAGCACCTTTTTTATGTTCACGGCGTCGTCGAAGCGTTGATGGAAATAACACGGGGACTGAAGGACGAGTCGAGCTGTCGCAGGCGATCGATCGAGGTATCCGCTCAATTGGAGGTTGGAGAGCGCCGTGGACAGATTTTGGGATGCGTTGCTTCCGCGCCGCCGGTCTTCGGAGGGCGGGGAAGCCTGGGCGGATTTGTTCGCGAGCATATTTGTCAGGGAACTGGATGATAATGAATTGCTGGGATTACTGAGAATCAACGGCCTCGAGGCCAGGGCCTTCAAGATGGTTTGTCGCGGGATACAGTCGGTCGACAGTGCTTTGGTTGATCTCGGTCGGTTAATCGACTTCTGGTGAAAGGAGCGAAGGGTCGAGGCAGGTAAGGACCAGCCTGCGTTTTCGTCTAAAGTACTCGTAGACCCAGGGCTCCGTGACAGCAGCGCAGAGCTACTGGAAGGGGAATCTCGTCGGTTTTCTGCAGTGTCTAGGTTGAGGGCATAATCGCGGAGGAGGGCCGCGGTTGCTGGGGGTGGGGCTTTGGTAGCCGGGGAGGGGTGAGATGAAGATGGAGATGTCGAGGGCTTGTCAGACCGTAGTTGTTCACGGCTGGACGCCATCGGCTTGAGCGGCACGTAAAATAGAACGGAGAGTAATCAAGAAATCGGATGTAACGGGGATTGCGGATCCGAGTCTCGAGATCGCAGGGGTCGTGGGTCGCTGATGAAGAGTTCCTAATGGCTCTGATTCTAGTGTCTTCCACCTGAGCAGATGTGCTTGGACCGGCTAAACACGAGTAGATTGAGATGATAAGCAGAGGAAAAAAAAGACTAACGGAGAAATTTCCCATTCAAAAGTGCGGAGTACAACTACGGGCTGCGACGATCCGCCCCGAAGGGATGAGTTCCACGGTTTCTGTGTATATTTCGTATAGTTGTTCGGTTGTCACTACGCTCTACACTGTCCACATCTGTGAGCCATGGATTTTGCAAGATATGCGGGATTAGAGTGTTTGGTGCGGCCAATGGCTTGGTTCGCCCAATGCAGCCGCCGACATGGGTCACATACCGCTCGGGTACTATGACGTTTACAAAAATATCGCAACAAGCGGCTCTGAGATTAAGATCCTCTATTCTGATGGAATGTCGGTAAGCGTCCTATCCCTTTCGCCTTTCGCCTTTCACATCCAGGCCAAGGCGTCATCGAGGAGCTGAAATTTTCACCGCCAAAATGACCGGTGACACGGTGCGCTGCCAGGACCCAGGCACGCAAAGCTGGGGTAGCCCAGGGTAAGTTCCATCTGCAGCAAGGCTGTCGGCTGTGCCAGATGAGCGAGGTGGGTTGTACATGCAGTAGGAGTCAGGTGATGGGTGCTGGTGCCTTGACCGGGTGTGCTACGCGGATTGTTTCGTAGCGTCGTATATCCCCTTGGACAACAGCGCGGTCGCCTTTGCGAATTTATGGGCCGAAGGGGAGAGTGCGGGTAGGACTAGGAAGAGACGAAGCTCAGGTCGCACTGATCGACCCTTTGCATCAGATCCCGTCGCACAAGCTCTTGTAAGGTACAATCTATCCAGCTCAGATCGAGTCAAGCTTGTGTGCGTAGTCGCTGTAGATCTGGTCCTCCGCAGTCTCGCGAATGAACGCGTTGACACTTGCTGTGTTATTTCCTTCTCCCATGGCGACATCGCCATCCGTATTAGCTGCGCCCTGGCAGATCGACTGTGCGCGTGCCCGGACGAGCTCCCAAGTGTCCAAATCGAATCGGCCTCGGCTCTCGTTCAGCAGCAGATGGTTCTTGGACGAGATGGCCAGGACGTGGAGGGACACGGCAGCCTTGGCGGCAGCTGGGGAGGGACTTTCGATAATGTCACCGGACTCGGTTACACCGAGGAGGACCGCGGAGAAGGTCATGGACAGAGGAATGGAAGCGGAAAGCATGGCAAGCAGGCCGGCATGCAGGAGAGCCGGGAGGAGGGTGAGGTACTACATTCGTTAGTCTCACAGTTGGGTCTCGAGTAGTGCGACACAGGAGTACTCACCGAGTCACCACGTTGCACATTCTCTCCTCCAACGATGTTCAGGGTCAGGACCACACCGCGGCGAGCGAATCCCTTCTCGCGTCCGAGCACAATCTTTCCTAGCACAGATCTCAAATGGTATTCAACGGCCCTTTCGCCGACACCACCAGTGGTTGTACCGGGCTTGACAAAGACATCCACGGTAGCCTCTTCGGGCTTCAGTGCCTCGCGGCGAGCTGGAAGTTCAACGGGTCCATTGACTGCGCTGAGGATGTTGTAGCCCGTGGCGGGGCATTTGTAGACCGCAGAACCATCGGCCCGGGAGAAATGAGAGAGGGAGACTGTTGGGTTGACCATGTTGAATGCGTATCCGACAGAGTGGTTGAATTGGAAGCTGTTGATGTTTGAGTAGCAGAAAGCGTGGCCGGTGATTTTTTATCGATGTGCGGGCCGGACTGTGATTGGCTGCTTAGCTTTGTACTGGGTACCATCGTTTCCTATAGGCCACTACGTACTTTTTAAGTATTGACTACATCCTTGAATTTCTTACATGCCTTCTAATATTTATAAGAAAAATAAAAGACCGGAGCTTTTGAAGTTGAGAATACTGTGCACTCTAACACTTCAGAGCACACTCGCACTTGGATAAACTCCGGTGCAAAGATAACCCGATCTTGATTCATGACAACCCTCCCGGTTCTGTGAATGATTCCTATAGGCTGCCGCCAGAGTGGATGTGTCAGATCCAAAATGCCGAGCCCTTGGAACTTGTTCCATCCAGTCAGATATGGTTGATGGTTGGCAAGGCGGCTGTGCTTACAGAACATAGGGACGAAGGCAGGAGAGAATGTCCTTTCTGCAAATTCAATGCTCGCGGCGACATCTTCTTTAACCAAAGGGCTAATCCGAACAAAGGCCCCTTTCATAGCCCGAAGCTGGCGTTACTCGAATCCAGATATGCCGTCAGCCTCCAGATCTCATCATTCAAAAATAGCACGCCACGAATGCCCAGAATTGGGGGGACTGTGGCTTGAACCCCGGACTGGGACATCCAATCCCGAACAAGGATCCCATCGCCCTAAATCATGACAAGGCTATGGGATATGGACAAACAGTTACTCCGCGTCGCATCCATCCAGCGACAAAGCAGCCAAGCATTCTTTCTTTGCCTGCTCCAATAATCATGAAGCTTCATGATGGCTAGAGTCGCCCCCTCACGCTTGGCTACTCCCCTCTTCTGGAAGTGACCATGTGCCAATGTTTTAGTGAAGCCCAGCACATTTAAATCCTGCTTCTGTTTGCTTCCTCTTCCCTGCTACATCTTCACTTCAGGCGCAGAAGGTCCTTTTCTTTTCTCCCAAAGCTACGATCATCTATTCAGTGGAACATCACGCGTAGTCCAACCTATTCAAGGCTCTCCATTCCCCGTCACCACTATCTCCTATTGAATGGGCGTAGAGACAATCCTTGATGTCGAGGAATCGACAGAGCCTCCTATATGTGGTTATAAGGATCCTACACCCAATGTGAAGTCCTGTGCTACTGAGCAAAAGTCTATCTTGCATACAAGAGAACACCCTACAAGTACAGCCTTGAATCAACCAAACAGAGAGCCGCCGGATCGTATCGCACATCTTACCGAGCCAACACAACTTGCATTATCTCTCCAGACAGATCTTCGGTGCGTGATCGAGAAGCCAAAAGGAACCCTCCTCTCTTAACAAAATATCAGAAATGGCCTGTCAGACACAGAAGCGGCGGTCCGCCTCCAGCGCGATGGTCCGAATACCGTGCGTGAAATGGAGAGTGTCTCCGTCTGGGGGATACTGCTAAGGCAGGTGTCCAACAGTCTGACACTGGTATGTCCACCCTATATCCAGCATAGACATGCTTTCTGACCCACTTACAGGTCCTCCTCATCACTATGGCCCTATCTTTTGGAATCGATGATTACATCGAGGGTGGTGTAATAACTGCAGTGATTGTCCTGAACATTGTGGTTGGGTAAGCATCAGCGCATACGATGCTCACGGCAATTGAACTGACCCTACTAGTTTTATCCAAGACTACCGCGCCGAAAAGACAATCATGTCACTACATCGTCTCTCCGCGCCAATTTGCCGAGTCATTCGAGACGGTCGAATTGCATCCGTCAAGGCTGAATCGCTGGTTGTCGGCGATGTAGTTCAGCTAGCAGTTGGAGATATCGTTCCCGCCGACCTTCGCTTGTTCGATGGTATGAACGCCTCAATGGATGAGGCACTTCTGACGGGTGAATCCCTGCCGATACTGAAGACTCCACATCTCACGTTGACCTCACCTGATATTCCGATCGGTGACCGAACCAACATGGCATATTCAGGGTGCAGCACGACCCAGGGTCGAGCCATGGGTCTTGTCATCGCAAGTGGCATGAACACGGAAGTTGGAAAGATTGCGCAGCTGCTTCAAGCTCAGCCTAGCTCCGGAGACTCTAGCCGCTTCGTCAAAGTGATCAAGAAAGTGCAGCTGTTCTTCATGAACATCCTGGGCTTAGTCGGGACACCTTTGCAGGTCAAGTTGAGTAAATTTGCCCTCTTGCTATTTGCACTGGCTATCTTGTTGGCAATCATTGTCTTCTCCGCTAGCAAATGGGACGTCCAGGGCGAAGTCCTCATTTATGGCATTTGTGTTGCTGTCGCAGTCATTCCAGAGTCCTTGATTGCTGTCCTTACAATCACAATCGCGGTTGGAACCAAGGCAATGGCAAGAGGAAACGTCATTGTTCGAAAACTTCAATGTCTCGAGGCTGTTGGTGGTGTCACGAATATCTGTTCCGACAAGACTGGAACATTGACTCAGGGAAGAATGATTGCTCGGTCTGCGTGGATACCAGGTGCTGGTACCTTGACTGTGAGCCAGACGACGGATCCATTCGACCCTACCAGTGGATTAGTCCAACTAGATGAGATTGATTGGAGCTCAAACACGCCTATTGAGGAAAGCCCTGCATTACACACATTCCTCCACGCTATCTCTCTTTGCAACCTCTCAACCATAAACCACGACAACCAGGTATGGAGTGCAGTTGGAGAGCCTACAGAAGTTGCCCTTCATGTATTGGCCATGAGATTCGACTTTGGAAAGGCCTCAGTGCTACAGAGGCGGCAGCTTCAGCTAAATACGGAGTACCCATTTGACTCTGCTATCAAAAAGATGACAGTTGTCTACCACAATGCACAAGACAATGTCAAGGAATGCTACACCAAAGGTGCCCCAGAGACCATCATTCCCGCACTCGAGATTAGCGAGCCGGAAAAGCAGAACATCAGACACACCGCTGATCGAATGGCCGGCGAGGGACTTCGAGTTCTGTGTATTGCATACAAAGTTTCGCCTGCTGGCGACGACTCCCAAGTATCTCCACGAAGCGCCGCTGAATCAAAACTTCAGTTCGGCGGTCTCGTGGGTCTATATGATCCCCCTCGTGTTGAAACAGCTGCAGCTGTGCGCCGCTGCCAAATGGCCGGGATAACAGTGCACATGCTTACGGGCGACCACATCAAGACTGCAACTGCCATCGCGTCAGAAGTCGGTATTCTCGACCGAGTTGCTGCGGTAGTCAAGTCGGGACGACTCGTCATGGCTGCGGATGAATTCGATAAGTTGACTGATGAAGAGATCGACGCCATCGAGGAGCTCCCTCTCGTCATTGCCCGATGCAGTCCCGCTACGAAAGTCCGCATGGTAGATGCTATGCACCGTCGTCAGGCGTTTTGTGTCATGACCGGTGATGGCGTGAATGACTCACCTGCGTTGAAAAGAGCGGATGTCGGCATTGCCATGGGTAAAAACGGTAGCGATGTTGCCAAAGAGGCTGCCGATATGGTCTTGACAGATGACAATTTCTCATCCATTGTCAAAGCTGTCGAGGAAGGGAGAAGATTGTTCGACAACATTCAAAAGGTGAGATACCAATTTATCCTTATGTCGTGGCCGAGACTAATATCTGATCTAGTTCCTGATGCATCTGCTTATATCGAACATTGCCCAAGTCATTCTTCTGCTGATAGCTCTTGCATTCAAAGATGCAGGGGGCGATTCTGTGTTTCCCTTGTCACCATTGGAGATCTTATGGGCCAATCTAGTCACATCTTCGTTCCTCGCGGTTGGCCTCGGCCTTGAAGAAGCCCAGCCAGACATCATGTACAGACCTCCCCACGATCTGCGCATCGGTGTTTTTACCCGTGAACTCATCATGGACAAAATGATCTACGGGACATTCATGGGCTCCTTGTGTCTCGTCTCTTTTGTCTGTGTAATCTACGCTGCCGGGACAGGAACTTCGTCTCTAGGCGATGGTTGCAATCAAGGATACAACCCGAGCTGTGATGAGGTTTTCCGTGCCCGAGCCACGACCTACGCAACCCTCACTTTTCTCCTCCTTGTTACGGCGTGGGAAGTCAAACACTTCTCGCGCTCGCTGTTCAACATGGATCCGATCCGGTATCCCAAGGCTTCCTCCGTGTTTCCCACAGTGTGGAATAACCGATTCCTCTTTTGGGCTGTCATGGCTGGGTTCGTCATTGCTTTCCCGGTGATTTACCTTCCCGTGATCAACAAAACGGTCTTCAAGCATCAGGCGATTGGCTGGGAATGGGGCGTCGTCTTTTGCTGCACACTTGTTTACCTGGTGCTTGTTGAGAGTTGGAAGGCCGTCAAACGTGCATTCGGGATTGGAAGTGGAAAAAATGCTACTCTTACCCTTGAGGATGCCGAAACGAGGGCTGGCTTGGGTGCCTTCACCCCACTCTCGATGAGTGCAAATGCCAGTGTGGAATTGAAGTGATCGTGAGTTTTGTTTCGCAGCAATTTCAACAGATGCCTTTTTCTAGGTTGAGCATTCAACATGCTTGATCATTTGGATTAAGTCCAACATCAATGTTTGGCTTTATCTTCTTTTCTTGCCCATCTGTCATGTTGGCGGGTTTCTACTTTTTTGGGTTGCTGTGATAGTGCAGTTCATTCATTTTGTGCTATCACCATATAATTTATGGCATGTCGCGTAATTTCAAGGTTCGGTCAAGTAGTGAATTATGTGCTACAGAATGATCCTCGAAGGTTTATAGTCCGACGAGAGGGAAACTATAACGCGCGAAAGCAATTACTACTCCTGCATCCTAGAGAGCCCCTAGAGATAGGGGCAAGGGGGAGCTCCAGTAAGTTGAATGCATTACTAGAGCCTTACCCCGGGGGGCGACTATATTCAGGCGGGCGGTCAGGTGGGCTTAGTAATTTGCCGCCAGGCCCGGGCCTGCCCACCAAGCTCGACACCCGTCGCGCGTTTCTCAGGAGGTCGAAAAGATCACCCAGGGCCATCTTGAGACTCACTTGCTTCCCGGATGACAAACTTACACCTGAAGCCGATACATTGTCCCATTGACTCATGCAATGCCAGTTGATCGGCCAAGGCCAGTGACTTTGCGGAGATCATGCAAAGCTTGCATCAAAGGCAAGCGGCGCTGCGATCAAGCATGGCCCAGGTGCAGCAGGTGTCTGGGCAAAGATATTGAGTGCGAGTACACCAATGCACCACTGACAGCCAATTTGAATCGACCTGCTTATTCCGGGAGCCTTACAAACCAGAAGTCTTCCAAGACCAATGTGACACCGACGCCAAAGATTTTCGCACCCTTACGACTGGAAATCGCAAAGGAATATGACCCCAATGTCATTCAATTTCTTGTCGCTGGACTACGGGATCTGCCGGCAAAATTTGCAGAAAACAGCAAAACCCTTTTTATTCATCCTCACTTGTACAGAAATGGCTTACCACCTCCTGTACGCGAGGTTCATGATATTTGCAGACTAAACATGCAAACCGGGCAAACAAGCCGGATCAGCTTCACTATGCTATCAATGCTGCGACAACAATCGACACAGCTTTCGCGTCGACTGAGCCACGCAGCAACGTTCGAAGAATTACTGGGATGTAGCCAGGCGCTAGTCTTGATCCAGTGCATTCTAATTCTCAATGAGGGTGCCGGGCAGACTGCATATTCCGAACCAGTCAGTGTAATGCTGGCTGGGGTTGCTGGAAAACTGTGGCAGCAAGCACCTATTCAACTTCCGCAGGCTCTGAGCCCTCGACATGCTTGGCTACTAGCTGAAAGTGTTCGGCGAACAATTATCGTGTGCTTCATGCTTCGGAGTGCTTATTCCTTGAAGACGCGGAACTATTCAGTGCGAACGCCGTTCGTTGATTCACTCCCTTTTGACTTACGGACCAATTTATGGGATGATGATTCTGAGCATACATGGCAAGATTCGCTATCTAATTTTGATAATTCCATGGTCTCGTTGCACGAGTGGTCTGATGGCTTAGCTGCAGGCCGCGTACATGATGTGTCTGGTTTCAGTGCGCTGATCCTCGCGGCCTGCAAAGGTCAATCTGTCTCGACTATTCCATCTCCGCCTGTGGACTGTTATATCGCAACCTGAGAGTAGGGGCGTGAAGCATGGAATAGCTATTCCAGTTACAATCGCGACTTGGGCGTCATCGCACCTATTGACCACCAGAGATGCAAATTTCAGTGTTAAATATGTGAGTATATAAACAACTAGTTGAACATTCATTCACGATCTTATAAAACTGACATGACCATTAGGATACTACCGCAAAAACTGCTTCAGCAGTCCAGAAAGCAGCTCCGTCATATCACGGTACAACTCTTGCCTTTTGACCTCAAACGCATTAAAGATATCCTGCGCAGACCCAACCGGAATCTGATCCTCACCTTGTGAGATCCGATTCCACACCTCATCCACAAACTCTTGGAGCGGCATACCGATAAGATGCCCATCCTTCAGGTCAGGCTGGTGCTTTGCATCATGCAACTCGGTCTGCACAGCTGGGGGATAGATCTCAAGAATCTTCATATTCCCAGGTCCAGCTTGCACCTGAGTGCGCAACGCGAGGATGAAGTGATGCAGAGCCGCCTTGGAAGCGCCATAATTCGGGCAGCGCATCATGGGTACCAGGGCCATCTGGGAGGTCGTGAACGCGATGGCCGTCTGGCGTTCCAGGCCCTGCAAGTGCGGAAGGAATGCCTTGGTAATGCGCACAGCTGAGGTATAGTTTGTAATCAACTCTTGGTCGAAAATGTCGAGATCAACGGTGTCCGGCTTTGAGAAATCGAACGGGCGCTGAATACCGGAGTTCACGAAGATGCAGTCGAGATCTGGGTTCTCTGCGATGACCTCGGAGGCAAATTGAGGGATCTGATTTGTTCATCGTTAGTTTGGCATCTCTACTGGTTGAGCCGACGACCATACCTGCTCTAGCTGCATGACGTCGAAAGTCTTAGTGGAAACTTTGTCACTGCCATGTCGTTGGAGGAGTTCTTGCAGATTCTCGTTTCTCCGACCGACGGCAATCAACTTGGATCCGTTTTGTACGACTTTGTCGGCCAGGGTCTTGCCAATCCCGGAGGTGGCGCCAATGATGAGGACTTTTTTGTAGGGGAAGGACATTTTGGTGTATCGAATGAGGAAATGGAATGTACAGAGAAGCCCAGTAAAGTAGTGCTCAACTTGCGCAGCCACAGGGACCAATTTATAGAAAAACCTCCATGCTCATCTGTCAAAAATCTTGACATCAAGGTGGCCATTCGTATAGAAGCTCTGCGGGGACTAAACCGAAAACAGATGAATCTCAATCTGATTGGTCGAGGGGAAAAGCTTCAGCAAGGTGCCGAGGTTACCGCGCCACTGGTGGAGGTTAAACCCAAAGCGGTAACGGCCGTTGTGAACCTCGGAAGAAATAAACGTTTATTCATCATCGATATTTTCCGACTTCGATCTGTTTCTGCCGTGTTTCACTTACCCGGCTCAATTATCGTCGCAGTTGATTTCAAATCAGCCTAGACCGAAAAACCGTCTCAATGTGGAAGCCAGGACGCGGCCATCTTACGGACAGGGTAACCTTTAGGATGGATTGACAATCGAGCGTGGCCATGATAGCGAACGTTAGAGCGCCCGACAAGGAATTCTGGCTCGATTTGAACGGTTTTCGTACGTAAGGTCTCCTTTTACACATGCTGTACGATGAATGGTCACAGACCAGGATACGGACTAACTGGTTACATGTAAGAATGGTGAGATAGAAATCCAAATGGAAAATGTAATGTATTTCATGAGATTTCGTTGCATTAAAAAAGGCTTTTTCTTGTTCATGGGGTCTCAGAGACGTTGTAGACCAACTTCTCACCGCTGACCTTGTCCTCCTTGAGAAGTTTCAGGCCCTCGATGACACCCTTGAGACCGTTCTGGCCGACTCTAGGGGGGTGAACCTTGATCTTCTTATCGGCAAGCAGGACCTCAGCGATGGAGATCCACTTCTCAGCGAAAGCCTTGTGTTCAGGGTTGGCAGGGAAGGGGATATCGCCGAACTTGAATGCCTCGCCGAGGGTGGTGTATCCAAGTGTGAAACGGTCGTTCACATTAGCACGGGCAATCTTAACGTTCAGGAGAGCGCTGTACTCGCCGCCCTCGGTCGAGAGAGCGTTGTCAGCAAAGGCAGCGCTAGACTCGAGTGAAATGCAGTCGAAGACGTATTTCAGCTTGTTGTCGGTATCCTTGCGAATCTGAGCAGCGGCCTGGGGGTCCTTGTAGTCGTAGACCTCGTCTGCGCCAAGGCTGCGGACCAAATCGAAGTTGCGAGGAGAGCAGGTGGTCAGGACCTTGTAGCCGGAGAGCTTGGCGAACTGGATAGCCAGGGTTCCAGTGGCGGTGGAACCGCCGTAGATCAGGATTGGGGTCGCGTCCTTGATAGGCTCAGTGGGAAGTGCGAGTTTCAGGCTCTGGTACAGGCCCTGGCCGACAGTGCTGATGCCGACTCCGAGGGTGGCGGCTTCTTGGAAGCTCATGTGTTCAGGGATCTTCCATTGGACATCACCCTTGACAACAATGTACTCGGCAAAGGTACCGTCTTCAGGCTGGACTGCATTGGAGCCGTGTGCGAATCCGCAGACGCGGTCACCCTTGGCGAACTTCTTCTTGACGTCCTTGCCAACGGCCTCAACGGTGCCTGCATAGTCGCATCCGACCAGAACACCGGGTGGTGAGAGGTAGGCAATGTGCTTCCAGTCGGTGGGGTTCAAGCCGACGCTGGCGTTCTTGACGAGGAGGTAGTCATCGCGGAGCTTGGGGATGGGGCGATCGGTGACGAGACCCTCGGTCTTGGGCTCAGTGATGATAACAGCTTTTTGAGTAGTCATTTCGAGGCGTGTGTAGTATGTGTGTTTTAGAATATCCACCTTGGAAAAGGGTCCAAGGAGCATTAAATAGTTCGTAGCATGACCGCATTACAAATAGACGATGACGAAAGACTATCGTGCCGAGGCCGGTTCGACTCCACCCGGATCGTCTCAAATATTGCACCGACTCCGTCCCAACTCTCCGTCTCGGCTCCACTGAGGACAGCGGTGGATTTGGAAATTTTCTCTTCTGCGCGGAAGTCGACATCGCGGTATGGATACTCAAGGTGTGGATCTAGACCGGCTTGCGATTTGATCAGACCTCGGCTTTCTATGTATCCCTCGACTGGCTTTCGTCGAACAATGATCAAGCTCAACACTCTTCAACACTGCAATGGTGGAGTGACCTTGTAGTTCCACGAGTCACGCTAGTTGGACTAGCCATTCCCTGCCCAATGGAAGTCTGAATCATGCGGTGAACTTCTCGCAAACGCCAATCGCCCGCAATTGACTTGAAGATCCACGCCGACTTGTTTTTTCTGCTTCTGTCGCCGCTTTGCTGCCCTTTAATGGCGGGGTTTCATGGCGGAGTTCCATGGCGGACTTCAATCGTGCGTGCGACTTGCTCGTGTTGACGTTCCCCCGCTAGAAGCAAGGGATGTTGGCCAAGACCGACCGTGGCGTTGCCTTGACGGGAATAACGGGAATCCCAGGTGGATTCGAAGTATTCTCACCATATCGAAGGTCACTTCAAGTTCAGGTCGCGACAAAGTACTCGAAGCAAGCGTGGTGTCAATCAGCGCGTCGCGGGGCTAGTGCTTATTGCTGATCTTATCAGACCCCTCATCCAACGACCGCCTTGAACTCCACCTTTGTCAACACCGCCAGTATGAAGGTCCTTTGTTTGCACGGCAAGGGAACTAGCGGAGCAATTTTCCGCTCCCAAATTTGTGAGCTCCCCACACTTCTCACAGATTAGCAATCTCACATCCCGCAGCCTCCTTCCGCAGCAAGCTCCCCGAGGGCACCGAATTCGACTTTCTCGATGGACCATTTAACAGCAACGCCGCCGCCGGTGTAGATCTTTTCTACAGTCCTCCTTACTACTCCTGGTGGGAAAACGACAGCATAGACGATATCCGGGGTGCGACCGAACGGTTAAACGAATACATCGCGCAAAATGGCCCCTACGATCTCGCCATGATGTTCTCGCAGGGCTGCGTCCTTGGCTCAAGCGCTCTCCTCATCCACCAAGAGGAAACACCACATCTACCACCGCCATTCAAAGCCGCGATATTTATCTGTGGAGGGCCCTCAACAATCGTCATGGAGGAGTTGGGATTCCACGTTTCTGCCGAGGCGAGGGAGCGCGACATTGCTTCACGAAAAGCGCTTTTTGCGCAGGCTGGATCGTCGGCTGTTTTGGCTAAGGGCTCTGATCGGTGGACGGGTCTCAAGTCGCTAAATGATGGGTTGTCGGAGGATCAGCTGCGAGAGGAGATCACAAGTCCCTACCACATCACTATTCCCACGGTACATGTCTACGGGACAAAGGACCCACGCTATGCGTCTGGCGTGCACCTTTCCGGTCTATGTGATGCTGCCAACCGCCGCACATTCAACCATGAGGGCGGACATGAGATTCCGAGAACGGCCGCTGTAAGTAACTCTCTCGCGGGGCTCTTCAAATGGGCTACCGAACAGGCTGGTGCCCGATGAACATCTCAAACATACTACATTTCGCTTCTATTAGCTAGTGCTTCAGCAGTGTCATCATTTGCTGCGATGGAATTTGGAGCGGAATAGAAAAATACGCACAATAGACTGTCTACTTTCTATTTTTTTCGCCATTGAATATCTAAGTGCCGTTGCACTAGTGCTGTAAACCCAATCTGTGGCGCCATTGATTCGAGATGCCAAGTCATCTCCACACGTCGACTGTGAGCCGCTCATGAAACTTGCAGCCGGTGATAACAACGACAAATTCTTGTGTAAACAGAAGTTTGGTCTTGTCTGCTCAGTTTGAAATGTACAGAATGCCACAATCTAATTCAAGGCCTGGAGCCTAGTAGCAAGAGTATTGTGACTGACAATTTCATCGTCCCCAAACCGCAAGGCTGGCTCACCTCGAATTCCTCGCCAATGATTCGTAGATTTGAGTAGACAGTCGCAATCTCGTATTACTCGCGACCACTTCTGCGCAAACGCGGGAGAGACTTCCCAGCCGTTTGGATCCCACGGCTCTCCCCAGACAGTTATACCTCCTCTCCCGTCAATGACACGTTGAAACCCTCGCACATCACGACACAGCTCCGCTGCATCGTATGAGTTAACGTCAAGATGTAAAAGCCGATTACGTAGCTCTGGCACTGGTATGAGGTCAATCCATGGATGATGAGGAATCGTTAACTGGAAAATTGTTGGTCGTAGACTGAAAGGTAGGGAGTCTATAACTTCTGTCTCGACGCCCGAATGTGCGAAACGGGATCGAGCCTGGCGGGACATGAGTCGCGTCGTGATACCCAGGATGTTTGCATTTGCCACCAGCGCACGCGTTGTGTTGAACTGAACCAGGCTCAGTAGAGTTTCCGCACGCGGGGAGCCTTTGAGATGCTCTTTTTGAATCCATGCAGAATAATCCAGGATGAAGTTCTCTGTTTGCTCAGAGTCAGGCTTGCAAGCTGTAAATGTCTCCATATCAATTGTCTTAGGTCGACGAGTTGGACGCATGAGCTGAGAATTAGAATGAGATAAGGCAGGATTCATCTCATCGACCCGCGGCCTGTTCGCAGATGGGTTTGCTAGAGACCTTAGAGCTTGGAATCCAATCTCACGTTGCTGTTGTCTGGTTTTCTTTCGATGCCCTTTGACGAATCAGTCACCTTTACCAAGTAATGAAAAAAAAAAAAATGTGCGATCACTTACGACTGAGTCGCTTGTTCATTCGATCGTGAAGTCTTTTTCTCTCTTTCTGGTCGGGTTTGCCACTCCCATCTTCATTTATGGAGTTGCTAGGTGATTGATTGTAGTCACCGACATGGTGGGCTGAGTTTTGACTTTGCAGAATGTTTGAATTGGAGATTCTCAAGCCAAGATGTTGTTCTTCTAGCCCTGAAGGGCTGTCCATGATGAAAATACTGCTGTCGATGTTGAGAGAAAGGTGAACATCGTAGACTACCTAGGTACCGGACCCGGGGACTCCACCCCTGGGGCGCTGCCGATATTACAAAGCCGAAACGAGCTCCAGGGCTCCGCGGGTCCGCTTGCCACAGCTCCACCCGTTGACAGGTTCCTCCAAAAGGGACTCGAATGACACAGAAAGCTGCCTATTCCTACTCCAATCATCTTGAAATGTATTATTACACAATCAAAATCCTATCAAGACACATGGTGCAACCTTGGAAGTTCTTAGTTATATGGACCAGGTGTTGAGGAGACTAATAATCTCGTATAGTAATCGCAATCTTCTGAGCGGAGACACCAGCCTTTTGCCTATCGAGGCCATATTTGATGTTCTCTAATCCATGTGCAAGAATGAGGGGCTCAGGGTTGGCCCTTAACTGCCCGCTCTCCAACGCCCTGGGCACAAATTCACCCCAAATAGCTTCGCCGATTGTTTCATTTGGAGGGAAAGCAATGCCATATGAAGAGACTAGAGATTACTTAGAATAGGTTCTTTGCCCCATCTGGGGATGTTCCCAAGGCCACTTACCGTAGGAAGGAGCAAAATACAGAGTTGGGCTTTCGAAGGGGTGGACAGTGACCGATTTTATGGGACGCGCGAGGTGATTGACTATTATCAACAAAGACGTGAGGCTGCTCGTCTCGCCTATAGCGTCATAAATACCAACCAATTCCGAGTGCTGCAGTCTAGAAACTAGGTCTTGCATCACTTGGGGTGACTTATAGTCGAAGACCTCGACTGCCCCGAGGGACTTGACAAAGTCATGATTCGACTGAGAAGCGGTTGCGATAACCTTCATACCGGAAGCTGTTGCTAACTGAATAGCCGTTGCACCTACCGATGAAGAGCCTCCCCATATCAGCAAAATCTTGTTCGTGGGGTTCGGCTCGCTCGATGGTAAAGGTAGACCGAGATACTCAGGTAAATAAAGACCAGCTGCAGCAGTAGAAATAGCAAGTGGCATGACTGCGCCATCTTCAAAGCTTAGATGCGAAGGAAGGGCAGCTGCAAGTCGTTCCAATGCCACAGAATAGGTCTGAAAGGCTGCATTGGCAGGATCTCCAGACTTAGCGCTGTGGAGATGTCTTGTAAAAGTGAGCCAAGGATATCCACCATTTGGTTTGAGCGATACTGACGCGATCACACGTTGTCCTTTGTGAAACCGGGTAACCCCTTCACCAACTTCTTCAACGGTTCTTGCCGCATCTCTGCCCAGTATAAATGGATACGTTCGGAGATAGCGACCAGAATCCCTTCAGATAAATGAGCCCATGACACTCCTTGTGGAATTTTGAGTACTTACTGTATCTTCCAGTCCACGGGATTCTGCCCAAGAATACGATACGTTAGTCATAGTCAACAGATCCGAGGTCGGATTATACCGCGATTATCTTGACATACCACAGCAACAGAGTGGGCCTTGATAAGGATCTCCCCCGGACCAGGTCTGTAGACTGGGGCATTTCCTATAAAAAATGGCTTCGACATGGGAGCCATGATCCAAGCAGCTCTGTTCTGAGCCATGGTTGTTTGAAGTAGTGTATTGGAGAGAAGAAAGATCAAGATTGTGGAAAGACGGGAAACCAAAACCTTGGAATCCGTTGCGAAGTGCCTGGGGAACTTTTCAAATAGACTTGGAAAATGGAGGTGATGGACGGGAGGGACCTCCGTATTTATAGGAAATGGTGGTATGTAATTTTTCCAAGGCTGAGGGGCTTGTAACACGTGGATATCCACATATTCATGGATTGGCTGGCATCTCGATCTACAACCTTGGAAGCGAAGAGATATCCTTGCCAGCTCAGTGCCGAATATCCGAAGATTCAAGATCTAACGATTGAGAGAATTCGTGATATGGTCCTAAAGAGCCCCCTCTCATAAATGGTATGAGATTATCTGGGAGAATATGTCTTACAAACACCGAGCTCCCTAGAATTAAATGTAGTGAACACGGCAATAATTTGGCATCTGGAACTCTATAGAAGTATGGATCCAGCATTGGTGCTCACACAGCTGCCACTCGCGTTGGTATCTTTCATCAGGTATAGATATGCTTCTGCAACTTCTTCCGGCATTCCAACTTTGCCTAGAGTCGTGCAATTCTTCAGTTCCTCTGATACACCCGCCGGTCCCCAAAGAGGGGTGGTAACTATACCAGGACTGACGAGGTTGACTCGCAATGGCTTCAGGTCGACTGCCAGGTTACGAGTCAACCCATGAAGGCCTGTGAGGTACCCAGCAACCAATGACCAGTTGGGGAACGGTTTCTGAGAGCCTGCCCCTGTGGTCAAGGTGATGGATGATTTATAGCCTGGGTTCATGAACTGAGGGGCAAGTTTAGCGAGCAGGAGAGGCACGGCAAAACGAATATGTCCAGCCCGGTGAATTGCGTCAAGGTCGATATTATCCAAAGGCTGGATGGCAAGACTGTCCCCAGCGGTGAAGACAATGTGGTCAAGTGGGCCGATGGTAGCGAGAAGGTTCTTGAGAATTTCCTCTACATCATGTCCGGCGAGGTCACAAGTATGCCCGAAAACATTCCCATTGGGAACATCGTTCTTCAGAGACTTGATGCTTTCTGAGACGCGGGAAGAGTTAGACGATGCAATGTGAACATTGGCATTGTGGGCAAGAGCCTTTTTCGCAACTGCATAGCCAATCCCAGAGGAGCCACCGACGATGAGGATGGTTGTGCCGTTGATAGTAGACATTTTGGAGATCGAATGGTTGCTCTGCAATTCGGCCAGATCAGCCTGTGGCTTTACGCCATCTTTATGTCCGGCGGCTGGGAATGATGTGTTGCTAGCAGATGACAGATGGCAACAGCTCTAAAGCGCGATTTCTAATCGATCGGACTTAAGCACGGCGGAAAAATATCTCCAGTGCACTTGTCATACAGTGGGTACACGTCTCCTCTTTCCCATAGATGAAGGTCAGCGTCTGGGTCCGCCAGCTATCGGAGTTTTCGAATGTAAAGACCGAAGCCAACGTTGATGATGAGTATTTTACGGAAGTTTCGAAAGTAATGAAATGGAAATTGAAAATTACTCCTCCATTGTATTTTTGCCGTACCCGCGGAGTGGACCTTGGGTGGGCCTTCCACATCCGTATAAAAAGCGACCATCCGGCCCTTCCTTCGACCGGTACGCTACCACTACCTCGTTTCTTTTGATCTATCTCACTTGAGTCTCCACACAACAAACAACCAAGCTCCCACAACCTTGGAAGATGGCCGAAAACGAGGCAGCCTGGATCACCGCGCCTGCGGCATATCCTTTTACTGTGCAAAGTGCCCCGAGACCTAAGCCAGGTGGAGGGGAAGTTGTGATCAGAAACTCTGCTGTTGCTATTGTGCGTCATCCCTACCTTCTATCTTGCTTTTGGCTAACAATGTGGACAAGAACCCCGTTGATTGGAAGATCCAGTACTGCTCCCTCCGTTTCACGAGTCAGACCTTGTTTTAACACCTCAAATAGAAGCCTCGGCCGGTATTTGAATAAGTATCCTTTCGTACTTGGCGAGGATGCCGCAGGAGTCATCGAAGAAGTTGGTTCTGGTGTGACTCGGTTCAAGAAAGGAGATCGAGTGATCGCGTAAGTGCTTTTTTGTCATCATGGTAGCCACGTGAAACTGACTTGATAATTCTTCATCGAAGCCATTGTAATGGTCTCATGACGCAGGATCCGATAAAAGGAGGATTCCAGTTGTATCCCGTCGTCATTGAGGCGCTTGTTGCCAAGCTCCCTGATTCAGTTACCTTCCAGCAAGGCGTCGTGTTGCCGTTGGCCATCTCCACCGCCTGTGCGGGACTATATCGAGAGGATTATCTCAACTTACCTCTACCTGCCATCAAAGGTCAAAAACACACTGGCCAGACTATCTTGGTCTGGGGTGGTGCTTCGTCAGTGGGCGCGACAGCCATTCAATTGGCGGTGGCCTCGGGGTTGACTGTTGTGACAACTGCCTCAGTTGGTAACCACGAATTAGTCAAGTCCCTAGGTGCTCACTTTGTCTTTGACTACAAGTCCTCTTCTGTGGTTGAGGATATCGCCGACGCACTGCGAAACACCAAGTTTGTCGGTGTCTACGATGCGATTGGGGAAGACTCTAGCTTCGAGCCCATCTCGAAGATTCTGGATGAGTTGGATACAACGGTCAATGTTGCCAGCGTGCTGCCATGCGAAAACACAACGGACCGTTTCGCGCCGAAGTATGGTATGTTTTCCGCATATTTCTATTCCGCTGTTCAAGTTGCTGACATGGTCGAATCGTCAGTCCTGGCCTATTCTATCATTCAAGATCCCCATAAGGCAATTGGAGATTGGATCTGGGGTAAGTACGTCTCAAAAGCGCTGGAGAATGGAAGTTTGAAGCCCGAGCCAGCGCCCTTCGTTGTTGGGAACGGCATCAAAGACATACAACATGGTCTTGATGTTCAAAAGAAGGGTGTGTCCGCCAAAAAGGTCATCATCACTCTTTAAATGTGTAAATTTAGTTAGGCTTGCAATGTATCTCCGATCATTTACTATTTACTATGGTAATCTAGTCAAGTAGGGGAGCAACTCCTGAACCGACCACGTCTCAACTAGTCATTCAGCATAACCGAAATTAGCTAGTCTTCCACCTGTGTATCTACTATCTTAATGCAGGAAGATGAAAGAAAACCAAAGATGATTGCCGGGATCAGATTCTTCACACCTCATTCTTGTGCATAGTAGCTCAACATTGTTTTCATTACAATTTTCTTTTTCTTGCTTGTTTTTTTCTATCTTCTCCCAACATGAAAAGGTATTATAACCCTTGGACGTGTTCAATTTGAAAATTACACGGGATATTACGCGGTTGTGTTTACGGGCCGCTGAAAGGCAAAAGCGAACTTTGGAAATTACTGACAAGATCCACCGAGCTTAATTTCATTGCGCCAATGAAACGACATTGAATGACGTCACATCCTTTGAAGCTCCATATGGCCAGGGCACCTGCAGTGACCGGCGTCGTGAATTCCCGAAATTTTCCAGCCAAGAAATTATCGTACGAGCTAACTATGTGAAGATTACCTCGGATGAATCTCGACACGTTTCTGTTGAATATTTGGGAATTTGGTTAAGACCATTACATATTGTATGATGTCAAAGTCTGTTGCAGTTTTTCTAACTGGTCATAACCCAATCATTCTATCTGCAATATGGAGATCCTCCATCTTGTGGCGTTGGAGGAAGGAATCGAGATCTTCGGCCTCAACCTTTGGGTATCTTTTGTTGTCAAGTGAATCGCCCAGATATGCCAGCCCATTTGTGCACCAGTATGCGAAGCATCTGTTTTGGTTTGTTCTTAGTCTCTAAACAAAACAAAGCGCCATATATTGTTCAAAACATACCTTGGTCCCCAGACTCCTACATTGTTAGGATCTTGAGCGAATGCCTCTTTCACAGTCTCGTACAGCTCGTCGATAGACCCCAATCGAGTAATTTGCATATTCGAAGCATACACGCGATCGAATATCGTTTTCATCTCCTTCGGGCTTTTCAAATCGCCACGGACTATCAAGGAACGGTGGTTAGCGAACACTATTTATGGATCCTGTCTTCAGATGACCATGGAAATGAGGGGCGTGGGCTTGATCCTTACATCGTAGCACTCCGAGTGCCGTCTTGTCAAGAGCCACCTCTGCAGTATATGCAGCAGCAGTAGAGAAAGTGGTGAGTTCCCACATCTCTTCTCCGTTACCCCAGATTGAGAGAGAACGTGACTCCGGACTCCAGATACCGAAGAAATCACTCCAAAAAGTTTCCATTAGGCCACCAGTTACAATGTGCACGCCGGCCACTTTCTTTGACTTCAGGTATTCTCTGATGATTATTGCTGACTCCTTGGGGAAAAGAGCTCCCGGTGGTATCTTGGTGTAGTCGACTGCGAAGTCACCTGCAATGTACCTCGGAACAGACTCTTCCTCGCAAGCATCAATCAAGAGCTTCTGCCCTTGTGTCATAAGCTCAGGACCACCGAAGTAGCAGCATATCACAACATCTGATCCTCGAACAAATCTCTTGATGCTGCTGTAGTCATCGAACTCGCCTGTGACGATTTCGATCTTGCTGGAGTTGAGAACTTCATCGAGTAACCTTTGAGAATTTCGACAGTAGCCTCGGATGCAAACTTCAGGGTATGCTTGAAGTTCCTTGACAATACACCGGCCAAATTTGCCAGTTATACCAGCAATTCCGATCGTCAGCGCCATCTGAGCTGGAATATCACAAGATATTCAAAGAAAAACAAAGTTCTCGGGAATCTCTCACTCAGGGGTCACTTGATAGAGGTTGTTGAAGTCTTTTAAGTACTGCTATCTGTGCTGCCTTTAACGAGACTTCCCTGTTCATCATTTTCCGAACAGCCTTCCAAGGTTGCCATAGGTGCTGATAAATCGGGCTCCAATTTCGGAGATACGCGGCACCCTAGAACTGTTCCGATGGGATTACGGGATGCCATGGAATTTCATACATTGTATCTGGATTGCCTGGAAACATACAAGTCGGAGATAAAAAAACCGTAGTCCGTAATGCAGCCCAAAAAACCTCATTTGCCCCGCAGGCCACTGACATGCTCCACCGAGCTTAAATCTTTCTACCAATCACGAACCAGAATTTCAAACAGCCCGCTTGCTTGGCGTGCTGAATGGAAACATGTATTGCAAAAAAACCTTGGTCAAAGCGACGTGGGTTCAGTAAAAGTTCGGAAAATGGGCTAGAATCTTCGAACTTTGCGTAAACCCGGCCGATTGAGGGTTTTACAATTAGCGATCATCATGGAATTAGCTCGATAAGCATGGAAGCATGCAAAAAAACACTGAAAAATACTTTGCTCTACTGTATTTGCAACAAAATGACTATCAAGGGTGCCCAGGGGGAACAGAGTCGTTTGTAAGCATAAAAAGCACTTTTCGCGAGAGCTAAGGATCCTTGATATAAAAGCCAGGCTATCCAGCGTGCGACAAACTCAAAATTTTACAAATATCATTCACAATGGAATCAATTGGAACCATTTACAGTTACATGCCCAATCCGCGGGTGATGAAGGTATAAAGCAATGGTTCTCTTTATAGTGCTACATTACATGAACTGACAACACAACCAGATCCAAGCTGCCGCTGCGTTGAACGATCGAACTGTGGATATTGAGCCTGATTTCTCCATGGGCACAACCAACAAATCCGTACAATTCCTCGCCGATTTTCACTTGAGCCAAGTACCAGCATTCAAAGGGCACAACGGGCTCGCCCTCTCCGAGTCGGATGCAATTGCTCAGTACGTGGCCGAAGAAGGTCATGCGCGCGATTTGCTAGTTGGTTCCACAGCCCAGGAGCGCGCAACTATCCGCCAATGGATTGGCTTTGCAGACCATAACCTGTTTGTCCCATTGCAGAATCTTGTTCTTTGGCGCTACGGGATGGCGCCTTACGACGAGAAGCTGGAGGCCACTGCTTTTACTGCACTGGAGAAAGCTCTTTCTGTTCTGGAGGGGCGTATGAAGGGCCGTCAGTATGTCGCCACTGATCATCTTGACCTGGCAGATCTCTCTATTGCCGCTGCCATGTACTGGGGTTTCAGCCAGATCGTCGACAAAAAGATGAGAGAGCAGTACCCTTTGATCGTCGAGTGGTATCTGAGGGTGATTAAGCAGGAGAAAGTGAGGGCAGCATTTGGGGAAGCGCAGTTCATCGAAGTCAGAAGAGAAGGTCCACTATAGATATCAAATAGCAAACAAGATTTCGTCATATTGAATACAAGAAGTCTGGGAAGAACGAGCCCTGTAAGATCTGATCAAAGTATTCGATTTTCATTCATAATTTCAATGGACTATATATTCGAGTCGCGTGTGGATATTGTCTGTTGTCGCAAGGGTGTGGCGCTGGGGATTTCCTCAAGGTAATTATGATATACCGCGGGTTTGTGTTGATAGGCTTTGGAGGGTCGCTTGGGTCAAAATTGCCGCTTTGGAAAATCCGACGGAGGGAAGGCGCAATGGTCAAAAAGGAACAAAGGTGGTCTAATCTGATTCTCCCCAGCAGCTCTAGACTTGGTGCCCAGATGGTCAGTTCTCACCTTCATCATCCTGGAACTCCACCCAGGTCTTCATTTTCGAACGCACATGTTCGCCATACACGACGAAGTCCTCATGTGCGTCAATCGACCGGACCAAACAATTCTCGCCAGGCTCAAAAAAGAAAGGCACACTAATGCGACCAAGCTGACTCGATGCATCGTTGCCACTCACACACACCGCGGAAGAGTCTATGCCAGGGGCTCGAACACGATGCATGGTAGCCACAAACCGTCCACCAGACACTTTCGCCATCAAATCACCAATGTTGACAACGAGAGATTCAGGGACATATGGTGCAGGGACCCACTCCCCAGAGGAGTTGCGCACTTCCAATCCGCCAGTCGAATCTTGATGCAAAAGTGTCAGAATGCCGCTGTCGGTATGGGGTGTGCAGCTTAGCTTCACATCTGAGCCTGCTGTTGCGGAGCCTGAAGCTGCAGATACCACGGGAGGATAATGAAGCAAGCGAAGAGTGCTGAGTGAGTCGTCCAGGTACGGGGCAAAGAAGTCTCCCGGCTTGCCGAGGGACAAAGCCAGCAGGGAAAGCAGCTTAGCGGCCAAAGATTGTAGCTCGAAGTATAATTTCTCCAAATCCTGTCGCGCGGGGAAATTGGTCTCTTCAGGCCATACATTAGGCTCGGAAAGGCTGATTTTGGAACGCGATGTGAGAGAAGAAGCCGTATGGATCGGCTTCGCAGGACCCATTTCGAATCCCTCTTTCAAATTGTCGTTGGCCAATTCTGGTTGCGTGGGAAAATACCTTCCAAGCAATGATCGTCAGTAAATAGAATATCTCTTAGCCTCAGAACAAAGTAATGACCCCCGGTATGTGTTTAAATTGGCCTTGGAAAAGGACTGCTTGGCCAATTGCATTTTTTGATCGGTCGGCAAGGCGAAGAATTGGCGGGACAGATCGAATACTTCTTCATGTGTGAAGCTCAAAGGCACATTTGTGAGATATGCAAAGCCGGTCGTGGCGAAAACATCGTACAATTGTTGGCTCAATGCTGCCTGCTCTTCGGATGATGGACCAGTAGACGAGCCGAGAAGCCCGACGTCTACCACGGGCAAGGCGGAGAATGTCGTAGTCATCTCTGAAAAGATCGAACAGATCAAGATCAAGATCAACGATCATTGCAGGGGCCATTGCGACCTTTATACTGGAAGCTCAGACCGCTTCCATTCTCCACTCATAAATGGTCGCGTGCCGGCTTTCATGTGCCGTATACTCATCTTTGTAAAAAGGGATCAAATCTGTGAATATTGGGTCTAGGTCAGTCATTCAATGATCGCAAAACATTCTTATGCCTTGTTGATCCACGGCTGATACGCGGCTCTCTACGACATGTGAATCATGCGCGTCTCAGCCTGGTCAAGTCAACTGGCGAAAAGAAAGCTCTGCGGGCTTGACATGCCGTCTCCGCCGAAGGGCGGGCATATCCGCTGCTTGGTCCACTGTCGGCGTAGGCAGCCAATCTCCAAGCGCGACGTACGGGTTGGACTGTGAGATCTGCATTGCTTTCCTCGAAAGGGGTGAAAATGTAGAGAAACGCGTCGAGTGGTGAAAGCCACAGCTTGACTCCCCCAGACACCAGCCACTTCCCCGCGCCACACCCCACCACCAACCATCATCACTCCAATTACTCCGTATCACGTTGCTGGATTCCATGGATTTCAGAAGCCAGCGAGGCCGGCCTTTCGGTTAAAGCGAGCTTCAAAATATTATGACCTCCGCCCTTGATCTTGACTCCTGCCACTCCGTTGGGTAGAAGGGAATTTCCGAATTATCTGTCGGTCATTATACCTGAACCCATGATCAAGGCCTAGAACAAGCGTGTCAGGAGTTTTTTTAACAGTCAGAAAGCAGCAGAAACATTCATACTGGCAAAAGCATGTCAACAAAACACCAAAAAAGTCATACAAAAGCCTCGCTGAGCTCAACACAGCGCTTTGAGGACTCATAAGATCAATCATTCCTCTTGATTTAATCCGCACTGTCCAATCTCGACGCAAAGAATATACTGGAGGTGGCTAGGTTGGTCAGTCGAGTCTATTGCCCAGTGAATACAATTCACTGTGAAAAGTTGAATTTTGATCACGACGTAAAAGCAGCGCAAATCAGGAATGTGGAAGCGTGTGACTGTAAGAAGCTCCGTTGACCTTGAGGCCCGTAGCTAAGATGTCATATATAATCTAGATGTCCCGGTGTCCCGAGATCGGGTGGCTTTAGGGTAACCGACTACCTTCAATTTGATCTTCACATCAAGGTTCATGAACGGCGTTTCAGGCCATTATTTGAATATTCTTGTACTCTATACCAAGGTAGAGGATTACGATAGGATTTTATTTAGTAGCACCAAATTTACCACCTGGAAGGATGGAAATGCTATACCTTCCCGATTGGGAGGAATGTGTGGGCCTAGTGGACAAGTTGGCTAGCTGTGATACTCCTGGATCATAACTCTTGGCCAAGGGCTCAACAAGATTTCCATGCTTCACTAGCCTCTGGGCGTATGGCCCCTTGGTCACGCTTGGCTCACTACCGTGGAGAAATTTGACTAGCCTTGATTTAACTTCAATATCTTGATGACACCGAATGATCTTTGATCCGACATGATCAACTTTGCATAACTCAAAAGATGCCAATGTTATTCTCATTGAAACCTGTCTTACTTTTGCCTTTGAAGAACGAATTTATATTCGCCGCGAGGGATGAGCGAGGGGTTTCCTGTAGTGAGCATATGCCCACATGTGCACTATTACGTGTTGGTTGATAACTGGAATAGAGAATGTGAGCACAGGTAAGAATTGCAGGAATGATCTACGGCTTGGTGAATCTAAAGTGAGGAGTGCAGATATTTTCAAGTTGGGGTATTAAAGAGTAGCGTAATGAAAATTAAGAATGGGACCCGGCCCGGCCGATACGTTCTGGGGGGCTTTTCCCCCCAATAGATGCCCAGGAAAGGCGGGGATGAGCCCCACTTTATCGCTCGGCGTCCTTGCAGATCGCGTACTCTTGACACATCCAGTTCAAATTTGTCATAGAACGACTTTTTCGGCGTCCAAACAGTCACAATGACCTCGGAAATATTTTTTGTGCTCGGGTCACTCCGGCGCTGAGAGCCTTGGAAGGGATTCCATATAATGGGCTCCATCCAAGTGGTTGCTGGGATTTTTCTTCAGTTGTTATCTCAAATCCATGTCGCCCGAAACCATGTCGAGTGTGAAAGAGAATGAGACACTAGTCTCAAGACCAGTGGAAGCTACCATGAAGCCTGGCTCTCATCTTGCCAATCCCGTATGATCATTCAATGGCTCTTGTGATATTCGTGCCCATACTGACCTGCTTCTTTGTTCCACAGGCACCCCTAGCGATGGGCGGGTTTGCTACCACGTTTTTATCCCTCTCACTGGCCATGATGAACTTCCGCGGCGTTTTCACACAAACTATGTTCATCGGTGATCTATGCTTCGTGGCAGGAATTGGTCTACTTATCTCAGCTCAATGGGAGATGGTCCGAGGCAACACATTTTCGTACACAGTGCTTTCTGCATATGGTGGGTGACATCTGTCGAAAATCAAATTCAAGGATAGTCTGGCTAATATGCAAATTTACAGCACTATTCTACGGTGGTTACGGGGTGATCATGATTCCCTCATTGGGCATTGTTGATGCATACGGCGGATATACACCCGAATATCACAACGCTCTTGGATTTTTCGTACTCTGTAAGTTCTGCAGTATTATATCCTGCACCACTCCTCTCACTAATTCTTTCTAGTATGGGCGGTCTTCAACTTTTTCTTCCTGTTGGCCAGCTGCGCCATGTGAGTGTTGCGTGATTTGCAATTCTATGGACATGAACTAATTTTGCTGCGCAGAAACATTGTTTACACCCTCCTTTTCCTGACACTCGAGCTGTGTCTAATTTTTGATGCTGCTTCGAGTTTTGTTTTGGCCGATGGTATGGTGGAGAGAAGTGCGAATCTCATGACTGTTGCAGGCGCTTTCGGCTTCATTTCCAGTTTGGCTGGATACTACGCGGTCCTGCATTATTTGTGCCAAGACGCCCTGCCATTCACCGTGCCAATGGGTGATACCTCCCGAGCTTTCAAACGCTGGTGCAAGAAGACTCCCTCGCCGAGTATCAAGAGCGAAGAAGACATGGCATAAGTCGCTTCTGTAATTCTCAAAACTGGGTTGCCATTGCACATCTCATGTGACCTGAAAAGTTCTCGTTTTCGCCTCATATAACCTTATAATAAAACACACGAGTACAAGGCTTGCTAGTTATTGGCACCTCGATTATTTAGAGTTCAAACAATATCTCCTGTGAGTTAGAATAGACTAGCATTCCCCAGTCGCACTCCCACCCACACAAGGGGTTCCTGTGCATTTAAACCCTATTGGATTTTCCACATTTCCACAGAGGTAACTAGCTGCCAAAGTCCCATTTTCGAGATGCAAACTTGTGTCTGAGATGTTGATATCTGTGCATGGGGCCACTCCACTGCACTGCAGGCTTGCCACCTTTGCTGATTTGCTGGTGCCAGAAAGACCTTCGATCGCTACATTCCTAATTTGGAATTGGGAATTAGTACAGTTTCCTTGACCCGGTGCGCCCGAAAATCTTGTGCACTGCGATATCGCAAACGCCGCCCCGCGAAGTCCTGTTGCCGTCAGGTTTCTGAGCGTCAGGTCAGATGCGACTGAGAGACATTCATTAGCAAGATGTTTGAAACAACCGCCAAATCTTGAAGTGAGGGCGACTTGGCAGGGATATACGGTGTCACACGACCCGGGAGGTCATCACTTACATCCAAGTCCGCCGCCGCCTCCGTTTGGTGGGTAGCCGTTCTGGTCGTCCGTCCAGGTTTTGACATAAAACTAGAAATAAATTTTGTGAGTATATCAAATTAAAAGCGATATAGATATCCAGTCATAGTCACTCACAGCGTGTAGTGTGTTCTCATATTGAACGTTTTGAATTGCCAATCTTTCGATGGTTTCGAATTGGTCATTGTACTGCCCAATACTACCAATCGCAATGCCAAGCCCATTATAAAATTTGCTGTTAGCAATGGCAATATCAGTGCTATTAGCCTTGAGGGAAATACTGTCATCGCCGTTGTAGACAGTCCAATTGTTGAACGTGATATGGGATGAATAGATAGTATCCGCACCATCGGTGTTGGCTTCTTGGATTAGTACAAATGACTTGAAGAATAGATAGTGTTTGCTCACAGCTTTGAGCCCAATTTCCAGTATTGTTGACCATAATATTGTCGAGAAGCACATGATGGGAGTTGATTATTGACATTGTCCTTCAAGCCTGCGATCAGCGAGTTGATCAAAGTCCTCTTACACCTGACGTACCACATCTGGCTTCTCAAAAATGTAAGGCCATTGATCACCGAGTTTTTGAGCCCGTTAAATGTCACGGCGTGCGGCCGACCCGGGTAATTGGATGTGTTGGGCTGCTTTCTGATCCATTGATACCAATAGTCCCCATTGCCATCCAAGTTGCCTTTCCCGTAACCGTTAATCCGGACATTGTTACCTCCAATAATCAGTGCTGTTGATTGATTTTGATAGCCAACTTCCATGGAGTTGTTTAACCAATATAGAATGTCTGTGCTCCACTAGAAGAGCAAATTTTGGTCAACAATACTGCACGTGCGCGGCTTCTGGTTCCCCAAACGCATTCATTCGCATAACATACCAGGAGCTTTCCATGAATCTCGATATCAACATTCTCAAGCCATGAAATATTCATAATAGAGTTCACATAATATGTGGTGGGCTCAAAGATAACCCTCCCATTTCGACCACATTTGTGAAATGCCTCCAAGATGGCTGGAGCGTCATCCGTCGCATTGCTCCCGCTGCTCTTGATCAAACACTGTTTCTGGTCGCTTTTTGCTGCTACCAAACCAGAAAGCTCCACTAGTAGAGCTAGGCAGAGGGAGACAGGGAAGTACATTGTGGAGTCTCATGCGAAACAAGATATCGCATAAAGCTTGGCTGTCAGTAGAGGTACATTTATAGATTGTCATATCTCTTGAATTAAGTCGGTACATCTTGACCCGACTGTAACTGAGGGGTTAGTTTTCCGATGAAAATTACTTGGCATCAGTCAAGTAATAATTCCGATGCTTGAACGTTGGCCTTAATGTTACACCAATCAAAACTCATTGCCTATTTGGGCGTGGGTGCCGCTGCTTTAAGAGCAAAACCCTGATCTGATATTTGATGGCGCCACTAGATTGTCAGACAAAAACATCGTTATCAGTCTGAAGGCGAAATAGTTGATGCCAGGCCGTCGTGCGTGGCACGAAGGGAATGAGAGGGTTTCCCATTCGCCCCCCTCTGATTCATCTCAAAGGGCGAGAGAGGCCACACCCGAAAGAAAGACGAGCGTGAAGACTGAACAGCCCCAGAATTAGGAGAAAATACATATCGCAATCCACGAGGAATCGCGATTGGGAAGGGCTAGATAACCGAGATTCAAAGTGATCATTGTGGGGCCGAAGAGAGGAGTGCAGGGAGAGAGAGAGAGGGAGAGGGAGAGAGGAAAAGTCTTGATATCTATTAAACTACGCCCACGAGAGCGTTGGTGGCTGACAGCTCAAGTAGCCTTTGGGCTCCGAAGCAAATGTACCACCAGATACCGACACAAGCCTAGGTGCGCACCCAAGCCCGATCGAGCTGACCCTGCGTCACCGGAAGCTGATGCATTGACTCGTCTCCGCCGGAGAAATCTCGTCTTACCCTCTTACTATTCCAGATGTCGAATTTAAAGAGCTCGATGACACATCATCCATGAACTACGAAGAGCCTTTTCCAAGGCCAAGGGAACATGCCAAGAGGTGCAGCCGAAGGCCTTCTTTATACCCCGCAATATCGGTATAGCTTATGCCGACTTTAGACTAGATACTATAAATGGACTCGCTCCATACCTAAATCAGGGATTGAATTTGAACCAACAAAAAGCTACTTTTCAATCTCGGGGGTGGCCATAGTATCATCATGCGGGCTCTGAAGTTTTTTTGGGCTGCCATTTTGGCTACTCCGGCGGCAAGCAAGTACATTGTTCCCGGGGGTAGATGGCAGGACACCAATGGATCTGTCATCAATGCCCACGGAGCTGGAATTACTTTTGATAAGAAGTCCGGCTTGTTTTGGTGGTTTGGTGAATTTAAAACGGAAGAGCACCCTGAAGGTGGTGGTGTTTCCGTGTATAGCTCGGAGGATTTGAGTGTTTGGACTCCCGGGGGACTAGCGCTGGGTATGTTGATTTCTCTTCTTTCCAAACTCTGGTTTGCCCCAGTTGCAAAATTTCTTCGTCTGACAAAACATCAAGCTCCCATCGAGGGGCACCCCTACATCTCGACTAGCAACGTTATCCAACGACCGAAGGTTGCCTATAGCGCGGAAACTGAGGACTACCATGTACGAGGAAATTAAAGTTTACCCATTTTGGTTGCTTGCCGGTCGAAAACTAACCCTGAGCTGACAGATGTGGTGGCATGCCGACAACTCCAAATACGGGCTTTTGCTTCAAGGCCACGCTGTGTCCTCTAGCATCGGTGGTCCCTACAAATTCGTCGATGCAACTGCGCCGCTCGGGAACTGGTCTCAGGATTTCGGTTTATTTACAGATTACAAAGATGGCCGCTCCTACGCTCTATATTCAAATGGCGACAGTGTCGATGGGCGCGATGTCTACATTTCAAGCATGAACGACAACCTGACCTCTCTCGAGGACGTCGTGTATCGATTCCCAAAGTATGATCTTGAAGCACCTACCATCATGCAAACCGAGAAAAGCTATTGGGCCTTGATGAGTCACAAGACGGGTTACAGGCCAAACAGTAAGCGTGAAAGAATATTTCCGAAGAGCACAAACGCTGATATCATCGTTAGATGTGGTAGCATTCCGTGCTGATTCGTTGAAAGGCCCTTGGTCCCAACCGTTTATTGTTTCACCTCTCAACACAAGAACCTTCAACTCACAGTCGGGATATACCCTGAGAATCGAAGGAACCAAAAAGACAACTTACCTCTACATTGGAGACCAGTGGGACTCAAACTCTGTTTGGGATAGTCGATACATATGGCTACCAATCCAAATCGACGAGAAAGCCAAGACTTTGGAGCTTGAATGGCATGATGTCTATGATCTCAACGTGTTCGTACTGTCGCGGCACTGGTGTTGGCCTTGATGCACTGACTTGATGATAGGAAAACGGGGGAGTGGAAGCCTGTCAAGGGAAAGACTTATAATGCAAAGAGTGCAAAGGTCTCTGGGGATGCATACAAGCAGGAGGCCGTAAGTACCTTTGCATTTCCCGCACTAGATGAGCCATACTAAAAACATTCGAAAGAATTTCGGGACAGACGGCATCATCCTGACTGGTATCTACGCCAACAGCAGCACTGCTACTTTTGAAAATATCGAAGGCTCCGGAAAGCCACAATGGGTGTCTTTCTACTACCAAAGTAAGTCGCAGCTTATGTGCATCGTTGGCCTTTTTTGACAACAACAAAATTAGATACCGATGACATGGGATTCGGAGATCAACGTAAGTCTAGATCTTGTTCCGAAATGTAATAACATACGCTAATGTTATTCTAGCTGGAGGGTCCCCCGACCGCATCGGTGGCTCGTGGCAGCTCCGCCGCATCAGCAGTGTGATTGTGAACGGGGAACCGTCAAGCATTCAAACGTTGTACCAAAGGGATACACACAAGGGGATCATCCTCTCCACACCCCTGAAGCTTACACTACAGAAGGGAAAGAAAAATACGATCACAATCGGTGGCTTGTATAATGGAGTTGATTACAAGGGAGCGGATTTGGATCGGATAGTCGTGTATCCTGCTGAGGAGTAGGTATGTCTTTGAATATGATAGACACCCTTGCTACACTTGATGGGTCGCATTGAGGTCTAGTGCGGGCCCATGATCTAGTGTAATGCCTAAAAGACGTTCTTTCTCCGAGCTGCCAGTTCATCGACGCACGGTGTAGGCGATTAGGTACCTCGATGATCCAATCACATTTAATCATTGCATATTCCTTGTCGCAATTTGGTCTTCTGGTATCAGATCTTACTCGGCGGGGCTTTTTCATACCCCCGGTTACTTCGATTTGATGAATGGTGTACGAATAGAGCCACCGGCAAGAACCCTAAGCTGTGCTTTGTGGAAATAGTGATGGGCTTATACCCCTCAACAGAAATCCCGCATGAGCATATCCTATCCCACAACTTTAAATTGAACGATATGACTATTTATCGTGAAAGGCTAGAATACAACAGTCTTACTGGAATGTAATTTCGAAGTAGCACCCAATTGCAAATCAGTATATCAAGTGGCTTTGTCCAACTATCAGGTGATATTGATGATGCGACTATGCGGACTTGCAACCCAACACAAATATCAATGATTCCGCAACAAACCAATTCAAGGCATTTTCGACAAGGGCAAGGGTTAGTGACAGCTTTGTTGGCAGTGCCGACTGGGAAGGAGGTCGCTAGACAAAGGGCTTTCAAAATCACGTTACTACTTGGCGATGGCTGCAGCGCCCTTTGTTGGTGCTGGGAGGGAAATCCTTGAAGAGTTATTTTTGTATATTATTTGCAAGAACACCGGTTTTAGAACCCGATGACTTTCTGGTTCTCTTGGTCTCTTGGACTCTACAAGATGCCACAACCAGCATGTCTGTGTTTCATGGGAACCCCCTACTGCATCAATGAGTTTGCCTCCACAATGTAGTATCGATAATTCTATACTCGAAATCAATGCATAGAAGCCTTTTATAAAACTGACGCGTCATGCCAGAAGAAAGACAGGACTTCAAGTCACTTCGAGCAACATGATCTTCTCCAATAGTGGTATGTCCCGTGTTCTCTGCGGGCTTGTATTCATTCATTCGGCCCTCGCTTTGGTCGCAAGTCGTCCTGAGGTATGTGACATGATAAAGAGGCTTCTTACAGGGCTGCTGCTAACTCAAGATAGAATGGAGCTTTGCAAAGCCGCTCCAATGCCATTTGCTGGTCTATTATAGTCACTGATAGCGACACATGTGAAACACTGAGTGCCAAATGTGGAGTCACTTCCAACGAGTTCACGACTTTCAACCCTGCTGTCTCGTGCTCTGCTCTACCTTTCGGACTGCCAGTCTGTTGCTCGACGGGCACCCAAACCCTTCCACCCAAAGGAGCCGATTCCATGTGCTACGATTATACAGCCCGGGATCAGCTTACCTGTGACCAAATTGCTAAAGCATATAATTTCAGCGTGGCTGATATCGAATCATTCAACAAGGATGCTTGGGGGTGGAAGGGTTGTGGCGCTATCCAAGAGGGTAGCAGAATGTGTCTTAGCTCTGGCTTGCCTCCCATGCCAGTTGCTCGAGAAGGGTATGTCTGTGGCCCTCAAAAGCCCGGTACTCTACCACCACTAGAGTGGAGTCAGCTATCTTCCTTGAACCCATGTCCATCGGGCCAATGTGTAAGTCATTCCTTGATTCCCACACAGCGAACTTCTACTGATCAGATATCTAGTACTCTGAAAACGGTCAGTGTGGCACGGGTGCGGACTTCTGTGGTTCATCCACACCAGCTACTCAACAGGTCGCGATCAGCAGCTCAAAAGCGACGTCGACTCAGAGTGAAACCACCACCTCCAAGTCATCTACAGCTGAGACTGCCCCAACCAACACCTCACACACTACCAGCAAGGTGACTGTGACATCCACATCATCAGCTTCCGCGACGAGTCATAAATCTGACAAGAGGGAGGTCAATCTTCTCGATATCCCATTGACATATTACCACCCGGAAGAAGAGATGACTGCCACCACTACTTCTAGCAAATCCTCGACCAAGACCGCGAGTTCTACTTCCGGAACAGGGTCTATCGAGACCGTTGAGGATGGCTGGTCACTTGTTATGTACCCCGAGAAGGACTGTGTGGGTTCCAACTACATGCTTCTGAGAGGCTACAACAAGAAGCTTTCAGATAGTGCGTGTTTGGTCATGCCTGGCTGGGACATCAACAGCATTAGTAACGACGTTGATGTCTCCTGTCGTTGGTGGTCAGAAGGTGGGTTAACTTCCGCACCTTGTAATGCGACCAAGCTGCAGCAACCCAATTCTTGGATCATGTCAAACGGCCTATGCACCGTCGTCAGGAACGACGGTTGCGACAATTACCACGACATTGGTCAGACTTACGGTGCGCGCGGTGGTGGCCATTGTCAAAATCGTTTACCCACGGACCCGGCACCATTTGGATCTATGAACTGTTATGTCGGATAGGAATACGGAGTATTCCGTAATGAGAAATGATATTCAGAGGGTTTAGCTAGCCAATATAGCAACAAATAGTATTGGAGTTCACGCGAACTGAGAGTGTTTCGGGATTAGTCTTTAGCTTGCTGACTGCAGCCTGGGGGTGGCGCAGACACGAAGAGAAATTCATCTTCGTATTATTTTAAGAAGTCTCAACGCGCCGTGCTCTGCTGTATTCCGTTTCTCTCTCGCATTCACAATGGGCCGCCCTAAGAACGATGCGTCATCGTCACACTCCCTCCATTCCATTGACGACGCGCCTCCTCCTTACACCGACGATCCCGACCTCTTCGAGCCTTCCTTCGAGCCTCCCACGGGCGTCCAACCCCTCCGATTGATCGACTCAGCATACGTTCTCCCCGGATCCAAAGACATTAGACCAGATGATAAAGTCGCTCTCACACTCGCACCGGAGTTATCAACAGATAGCGACCTGCTCTTCGATGCGATCAGCACTCAAATAAAACTCCCACCGCGCCCCCTCTTCTACGTCAAAGGCACGCACTCGGAGTCTAGCACAAATAAGAAGGACAAGAATAGCAGCAATGTCACAGATTTCGACTTCCGACTCGATCTGGCAGAGACCCTGTTGACCGGATGGGAAGATGGACGCGCGGAATTCAACTGGATGAGAGTGGAGGTTATCAATGACGAGGACCAGAAGTCTGCGTTCCGAGGTGGCATCCTTCGGTCGCGCACATTTAAAGCCCCCAAGACCGGCCCAGTCCATCTGTCAGAAGACAGCGATGCATTGCTGGGTCAAGAGCGCGCAGGCGATCAGCAAGACCGATCGATCGCGGCCAAGAGCCTCAAGCTATGGTGCAAGCGGTTCTGCGAAGACCCAGCACCTGTGAAATCGTATGTCATTCTTCCTGCCAGACGGACCTTTGACTAACGCGTAGCGAATAGATTCACCCTTCACCGCGAACTAGCAGGCTTTGACGCGAACGCCTTGCGCAACGTTTTCTCCTCCCACATCTGCGAGCTCAACTACCGCGGCACAGTCAACTACAACCTCACAATCGCACACCGCTCCGTGACAATCTACTCGCCACACTGGATCAACCGATTACGCGCGAACCGCTTCGTGTGGTGGGCAGTCGTCATTCTGCAGCTGTGGATCATCACATGGCCCATAATTTTCTTCATGGAGAAGCGTTACGAGATCGCCAACACGCGCTGGTTCTCGTCGCTGATCCCCGAGTCTGATTCTGCTGTGGACCGGTGCTACGCACGCGGCCGCAATGAGTCCGCACTGGCTGAATACTGGGCCCCGGCTGTTAAACAGGCTGCGTGGACTCGCAGGCAGGGCGGCGGCGATGTCCTCACGCGAATGGACGCGGATCGTCTGCAGGGTTACACTACTCAGCAGGTGGTCGGTGCCCAGGCTCAAGATTCCGAGCATGAGCGTGAACGCCGTGAGCGTGTCAACAGTGGCCAGGCTGGGTTTGTTGATAATCTTGTTGGGCTGGCCAGAGGCATTGGAGAGGTCAGACAGGATTGGAGAATGTCTATGGGATGGGGCGCTAATACTTGATCTTCAATCTGTTGCTTACTGCTCTCCTATGCTAAATCGGAATCCATATCATGATACTAGATAATATTGACTCTCCTCATTCAAAATACGCAAACCCCAGCTCAAGAACGTATCCTTATGCTTCAACCGAAATTCATGGCCTTACTTTGCCATCACGGCAGACTACTTCTCACCTTCGGGTGATGGGCTTTGTTCGAGCAGCCCCCTCTCGCCTCGACTTCCAAGGTTTACGTTCATTGTCGAAGGCTTTATCCGCCAAATTGGGCAATTTGAAAACAATCTCGATGTTACAAGCTCCCTTGTTCCCTTGTTCCATTGTCGCTATGTTCCAAGCTTGGAAGCCGCATCCTTGGTTGATATTCACAATGCCTTGTTCTTTGTGCTATTCCTGCTCAAAGTCTCTTTGGTCCTGTTGAATACCTTTGTATCATCTTAGGTTCCATTTTCAAATCCCTTGTCAAGACTGACAATGGCTTTTGCTATAATTTGGTGCTATTCCCAGCATAAGAAGGCCTATATTGACAGGAAGTGTTAACGCCCACCTTGATTTCAGCCGAACTACACATTTACTTGTCTTAGTCCAAAAGTTTTCACCATGGCGCCTCGAACTCGCTCGCAAGAGAAAAGAAAGCGTGAATCCGAGAGCCCGGAGGGAGACTCTCATCCCACTAAACGTGTAAGTCTATATCCCCCATCTGAAGTTTTGGATTTGTCTCTAATATCACGTCAACAGCTCACAGCGTCGATAGCAACCCGAAGGAATAGAAGAGTGCAGACATTAGGCAAGCCTCTTCCGCGCTCGAGGTTTGGATCTCTATCAATCACTGTGCCGAAAAACCCGTTACCAGAACGTCCACAGAGTCCGACCACTCCTGACACTGTCACTACAGACTGGACCAACAATTCATCCGATAGTTTGATACCCGAGGACGAGTATGAAGCACGCATCGAAAGGTTCCAAGAGTCAGGCGCTAAGTATCAGACATGGATCGAGAATTCCACACAAGACGGTTGTCCTGTCAAGAAAGCAACGCTAACCATTGAAGATTTACTCAGTCTCCCTGCGCCGCCTGATTTTCTAGTTCTCGGCGACGACAAAAGCTACCAATGGGTACAAATTAAAGATGCTCACCTACAGGCACACGAGCCAGTACAAGATGATGCAGGCTCGCTAGGTCTTCCAACCGGTAAAGATTGGAACTATCAAGTTCTCCGTCAACTCGGCTGGGCTCCTAAGCTGGAACAATTCAAGTGGAGTGAGTATGTCCACTGGGTAGTTGAAGGCGCAATTATTGCAGCGGCAATCATGAGACATCACGGGCCCAACTGGTCTGAAGTTGCTCTTGCGCACTACAACGACGTTTGCCCCGATATCAATACGTTGAAGTATGTGTATGTTTCTGACATTGTTAACAAGGAGACTGCGCCGTATGTCAAGAAGAAGCTTTACGACAACAAGAAATTCAAGCCCAAAGATGAGCCAGTTGCACGATACTGGAAGCATGGCACTGAAGAGTATCAGAGGATCTTGGGCACGGCCATTGGTAAAGGAGTGGCTTGTCTTGTGTTGGGCGCTTGGCCTAGGGGAACACATCGGATCACGCAGATCAAAAGCTTCTTTTGGTCTCAAAGTCTACAGCTTCGATTCGATATTGGAGAGATCGACTCGGAAGGCTCCGAGTGATTGTCAGCAGGAGGAGGCGATTAACCTTAAGCGATAGAAGCAATGCGTTGTAGATGTAGCTTCTTGGTCAGACAGATTTGACCCGCCTTCTGAGGTAAGTCCACCTCCAGGGCTATCTTGAATGCCCTCCTTTTGAATCTTGGAAGACGCGCTGGTACACGGTTCCAACCCTTGATGTTAAGTTAAATTCCCCGTTCTTTGAGGTTTTTTAGTTATAAACAGCGATAAACATGCATTGAGTTTCTGTTCAATCAATCTTCTGCGATGTGCAATCTTCAAATGTGCGGAGAAAGGGAAATCAAGATACGTAGGCATATATCACCATACATTGACTTAGAGTTTGTTGTCCTGTCCAGATGATTAGAAATTCAATGCGCCATACTAGGCTTATATCACCACTTCAACGGAGAGATAGTAACGTTGACGTTGATTGACCAACTTGACAGGGTGATCACACCATTCAGCCACAAGCCCCGACACCAACTCTAGGCTATAGCACCATCGCCCAGACGATCTCGAACAATGAAAGTAAAACTACCATCGCGATGATGTGAGATTCGTGGAGAATGATATATGAGGGGTAACACCAAAGTATATGGGGTACATCGGAATATTTAAACAAAGCTCCATGCGCCTGGGCTTGATCCAGCAACCCTGCGTTCCACCATCCCGAGGTCTTTGACAAAGCTCATTACAAGAACAAAATACAATGGCCCCCGCAGTTGCCGTCCACGAACCTCATGATCTTAGTATCAATCCTAAGAATCCAGCTTCCCCTAGCATCATCCGAACGCCCCTAAAGTCAACCGGTAGTTTGTCTGACTACTCGAATTTTACTGCGACACCAACAATAGGAACAGAATTCCCAAGTGCTCAGCTCACTGAGATTCTTAAGGATGAGAAAAAGATTCGAGATCTAGCAATCCTTGGTATGCACCAAGTCCAACTGATCGCCAGCTAGACAGCGACTAATGATACCCAGTATCTGAGCGAGGTGTCGTATTCTTCCGCAATCAGGACATCACATCGGACGAGCAAAAGGTCCTCGGCCAAAAGCTAGGAGAAGCGACTGGTAAACCAAGTACATCTAAGGTTAGTTTCTAGATTCCGGCTTCTTCATGTATCCCGCTGTTGACATGGCCAGTTGCACCGCCACGCCGTCGCGAACAGCGGACGCGGAATAGCAGTTGATGAGAACGGCCACCTGGATGATGAGATCTCTGTGATTTCCTCCGAGGTAAGATACACACAAGCCCTGAAACGCTTTTGGTTGAAGATCCTAATATATCAGGTTAATCGAAAACTCTATGGCGATCGATACAAGCCCAACAACGGGCGTCTTGCGAGTAACGGCTGGCATGCGGAGTATGTCATCCCATAATCACCCCGGCGATACTTGGACTAACGTTCCTAGTATCACATTCGAGCGCGTCCCATCGGACTATGCAATCTTGAAGATAACTGATCTCCCCGAAGCTGGTGGTGATACGCTTTGGGCTTCGGGATATGAGTTGTACGATAGGCTCTCTCCGACAATCCAGAAAGTCGTTGATGGACTTGAAGCTGTGCATTACCAGGTGACTATCCCTTTTTTTACGGGGCTTGTGGAGCTATCTGCTGACTTTACAAGCCTGCTTTCAACAAGATTGCTCAAGATCACTCCATTGAGTTGATACAGGGTGACAGAGGTGCGCCCGAGAATACAGGGTTTGAGTTCAAGGCTACCCAGTAAGTTCTCAAGTATGGTTGTTAAGATCGGGATGCTAACAGACCAGCCCACTTGTTCGAACGAATCCTGTGACGGGATGGAAGAGCCTTTTCGGGGCTGGACAGCAGGTTGAGAACGGGTGGATTGAGGGTGTGACGAGTGTTGAGAGTGAGCTTTTGAAAGGACTTTGTGAGTGACCTCAGTGTTGAAGCTTGAGGAAATCGCTGACTATGGCATAGTCAATCGTCTCTTGTTTGAGAACCATGATTTGCAAGTCAGATTTAGATGGGGTCGGAACGACGTTGCGATTTGGGACAAGTATGAACACGCTGAGACCGCGACTTTCTAGAATGAAGCTAACATCAATTAGTCGATCTGTTTACCATACAGCTACCAAGTGAGTGTGCCTTGAAGTGCTAGTTGACCATATAATACTAACGTGGGGCAGCGACTACGACGGCAAACGACAAGGTAACCGAGTTGTCTCACTGGGAGAGGTCCCCTACTTCGACCCAGCGTCTAAGTCTCGGAGGCAAGCATTGGAAGATGTATAAGATTTCGCGCAGGCAGAGGGTATAAGAGACAAAGCCCAACTTTTACATTACAAGAGAAATACATAGATTTGATTGCCTATTCTCGGCCCATCCACCTTCCAGTCCTTTGTAAAGACGGTGTTCGACGAACTGCCTTCCACGCCTCCGCATAGACTTCCCGGAACCGCTCATTCACAGCAAACCTTTCAGGATGGTCGGTTGGAATTGCTTCCCACTCGGCTTTGCGCTTCAACAAGGGCTCAGTAATGTTGAGCGGTAACTATGGTGCTCCCAGATTAATATTGTTTACGGTCTTATTAAAGTTGGATGACCTACGTGGCCAGGGAGATTCTTACAATGATACATTCTGCCCTGCCCGCTGAGCAATATCGGCATTTGATAGTCCCCCGACCTTCTTTGAAAATACAAGGCCGAACATCTTCTCCTGCCTGAATGGAGCGCTTCCAGGAACGAAAACAACGTAGACAGAGCTTACTCTCATGCTGCTGTGGTGTACACGCCTCAGGAGCGGTATTATTTGGCTGCATTGGAGCACTAGGGTCTGCCGTAGCAGCGCAATGCTGTTGAAGGGCCGAGTCCATGTCTTGGATGTCCATGGCAGTAGTTGAGTCCTCCATAGAAGGTTCTCTGTGAAATGAGGGAGATATGTGCGGGTTGATTGTGTCCATTTGTGCGCTCACCTGATGTTCGAACGTCGGTCCTGGCGCTCCCATGCCGCTGCTAATTGGTGTGCAGCGTCTCCGAAGTTGCGTAGGGCCTGCGCGAGACTTATAGAATCTTCAGTGTCACTCATTTTCCAAGGTTGTTGTTATATCCACGGGTAGAGGATAGACTGGGATGTGAAATTGTTTGTTTTTTTATCACGATGTGTTCGGCTGTTTGCCTGGTTTGTCAGGCTCCCCCAGATAGATAGTTCCGGAGAGCTTCCCTCTCCTCCTTCTTTTCTCCTCGTCTCCCACAATACGATAAATCTGACCCCACTGCTATCTCCCTGTTTCCGATACGATGTCCACGGGCATATCCCAACAGCCTTTGGAAAGTTGCCCAGCTGATGTAAGCCCCCTGATTGGCCAAAATCTTCAAAAATCCGGGTAGCCCCATTTCCCCCTTCCCCATCAAACGCGAATTCCCACTTTGACCAGCTCTCCTACCCTATCATGATGGAAATTCAGGTCGTTTTGAATATATATATGATCCAAGGGGACAGCCCTATAAAGTCTGTAAATTATACTCCGTACCTAGGTACCGCCGCGCGAAGCGTGGTGCTAGAAACCTTGTACTCCGTACTCCGTACAGTCGGACAGACTCAGTCTGTGAACTAGCCCCTAAAGTTGACAATTGAGATGTGTTTGCAGTATACGATTTATTATGAGCAGTTCATATGTTCCATTGAACACGGGGCGTAGATATCAAGGTCTGCTGTACACCGTCAAAGCACCCAGCTAACCCAAAATGTGTGGAAGTGATGGTCATCACTTCCCAAAAAGAAAACATTCAAAATAAAGGTACATGTCCACCAAAAGAATATAAAAAAGTTCAAGCATTATTGGTAAATGCTTTACAGGAGAACGAAGCTAGCACCGAAGACAGCGGACATGATGGAGACAAGTCCGACAGTGACGGGAGCGAAGCTGAACTGCATGGGCTTGAGGCCAGCGGCGGCACCCTCGGAGCTAGTGCCGGAGGCGGCGCTGCCGCTGCTGGTACCGGTGGCAGCGGCGACATCGCCGGAGCCCTGGGTAGCAGTGGAGGTAGACTTGGTGCCGGAGTTCTGGGAACCCTTACCGCTGAAACCTTCACCCTTACCGGCACCGTTGGTCAGGTACTTCTTGGCGGGGACGGGGATGGCGGGGAGAGAGTCGGTGGAAACGTCCCAGTTGGGCTTGGACTGGACGGGGCAGCCGGAAGCACCACCGGTGGAGTTGTATTTACCGTTGCCGGAGGGGTTGTCGGTCTTCTTGAAGGCAGCCTTGAGAGCATCGTAGTCCTTGTTGGTGGTGACGTCGTCGCCGTCAATCTTGACGAGACCGTACTTGTTGCCACCCTCAGAGTACTCGTACGCGAGACCACCGGAGTAGACACCAGTCATCTTCTCGGAGTAGAGAGCGCTGACCTCCTCCCACTTACGGGTGTTGGTGTTGCAACCGTACTCGGAGAGGAAGAGAGGGAGACCGTATCCAGTGAAGTTCTTGACCTTCTGGTCCCAGCCGGAGGTGGTGAAGGAGGAGGGGTCACACCAGGAGTAGTCGTTGAAAGCGAAGAAGTCGGAGCGCTCGTCGTCAGTTCCACAGTTCATGTACTCAGCCATCTCGAGACGGTTGGTGTCGACATCAGCGGCGGAGTAACCGACGGGGACCTCACGGAGCTTGTTACCGCGCAGGAAGGTACGCATGTCACGGGTGACGGCCTTGACGTAGGGGGCGGCCTTGGAAGAGGGACCGTCGTTGATAACCTCGTTTCCGGAGAAGAAGGCGAGGGTGTTGTCGTACTTGGCGAACTTCTCCATAGTGGCGAAGATGTACTGCAGGTAGACATCGTTGTAGGAGATCTCGGGCTCGGCACGGTTGAGGGAGTACTTGGGGGTGTTGACATCGAGCACGAGGTAGATACCGGCCTCAGCGAGAGCGTTCATGCACTCGTCGTGGTCGGCGGAGTTGTCGACGGAGTAAACACGGATGGTGTTCAGGCCGAGCTCCTTGAAGTTCTTGATGTCGCGCTTGCAACCGTCGGCATCGGCGATGGGATCGGCGAGCTTAGAGGAACCACCGGGCTGGTAGTCCACACCACGGATGTAGAAGCGGTCATCGCCCTTGAAGAAGGCGTTACCCTTGACAGTGATGGGAGTGATATCACTGTCGCGGGCCTTGAGGTTGGCAGCGGCACCAAGAACGGTGGAGGCGCCGAGAGTGACGGCCGTAGCCATGGAGGCGACGGTACCCTTCATATTTGTGGAGAGATGTGGGAAAGTCGGAAAAAAAACGAAAGGCGTGTTGAGATTGAACGATAGTAGAGGTCGCTGGAATTATTAAAAGAGTGAATGAGTGTAAGAAACGAAAGTGAGGTCAGAAAGAATGAAGAAGGAGAAAAATAAAAGAATGGAAGGGATGAAGGGTTATACGACGCAGCCAAGCTGTGGTCCAATTGGGGACGGCAAGGTCCATCACAGCGATTGGGGAGGCAGGCGGGCTGTGCTACGCCAAGTACATTGGCTCTTTCTGTTTGTCCCGACTCGTCGATCAGACAGCAAGGGTCAGCATAAGCGATGTGAGTGGATGTGGTCGGTTGTGAGTGGGTATTGTCAGGGTTTTAGTGGAGATTCAATATGGGGATGACCCTGAATCGGCTTGGAGGCCCCTATTTTTTTGTTTTTTGTGCAAATTGTGAGTGTCCGAGTGTGTTCCTGTATGCCATTTCCATGTTTTCCACTTCTTTACTCCATACAATAACCATTGGAACCAATTGGACAGGCATTGTTGACATGAGAAGCTCTATACTTGTGCCCGGCACTCCGTAGTACTATTATTTTCTCCCTCTACGTAAAGTATTAACAATTGTCATGATCTCGAACATATTGTGCTGCCTCATTAATCTGTGGAGTCTGTACTTGGCAATGACGCGCCATCAGTGGCGATCTAGCTCGTTAGGGTCCTTTTGAGGGTCCTTTGAGGGTCTTCGTGAGGGTCCAACAGCGTCCCTTAAGGGGGTTGGGGCTAGTCTCGCAGGGGAAAAAGCCACCCAAATTCTAGAATCTCGGCAAAGTGTGCTGATTGGCTTAAATATTGTTTGGGCCCACTTTCCGGCGTCCAGGCGTGGTTTTGAACGGTCAACCACACAAAAGCACCCAAAGGTTGCTGGTGCTATACTTAGCCCTGAGACAGTTGCATCCATGCATTAAATTGCCGCTTCTTACATCTGACTGACATTGGCTCATTGCATATTAATTGCATGTTTCAAAACTGCCTCGCGTTTGTCGTGTTGTTCCGTGCTCGTGCTTTGGATATGTACATCGTACGGATAGGAACCGTGGAACTAACTTCAAGATCAACATGGCGAGAGATCCCTGATACATCGCCTCATATTTTCAGACTGTCTCACTTCCCCTTTCGTTTGCACCTGCGACTAGCGACCGCAAATCTATCCATAACCCGGCTGATATGCCCCGCAAGGCCCCCAGACTCTCAACCACTGGCCACACCACACAGATCAAAACACTGACCCAGATCCAGATGAAAGCCACCACAACCCAGCCAGTGAAGAATGACCGACTATAAATATACTGAGTTCCGAATAATGTAAATGGCACCAATACCACTGCGCCAAAGAAGAATATCCCATTCGCAACCCAGGCGATTCGCTCTCCTTTCTTGGCAAGGACCGGGTCCATCGGCTCGACATCATTGGACTCGAGATAATCGACCAATTCATTCCTTGGCACCGGGGCTTCCTCAGCCAGGGGCATACCCGGCTTCTCAGTCCCAGCCTTATCAATTTTCTCCTGGAAATTCACCGGTGATTCTATAACAGCGACCCCAGCGATGGCTGTCGAGTCGGGGCGGCTTTTCTTCGGGAACGCGTAACTCAGCACAACAGCCATGATGAACCCAACACCAAACGACGCCAGATTACCAGCTAGCGCGTTGGTTGTATCGCCCGTACTAGCGACATCGATGGTTCCCGATCGCTTGTATGCCGTGACGAACCACACCGTCACGCCGCACGCGAAGCCGATCCAAGGAGCGCCGATCGCGGCAACTGTCGACATGGGCTCCCAGAGTAAGATCATGCCGACCGGCAGCGCTGCACCGCCAACAATGACACCCAACACAGTCAACACCCATGTCAGACTTATCCCTGCTGCGTTGAGAATGCAGCAGAAAACAGCTAGTACGATCGCGTAGAGTGCGATACCCCAGTGGCTCACCTTGACCAGGGTCTGGGAGTCGGTGTTCGGGCGATAGTAAGTTTTATATACATCAAAGGTGAGTAGCGACGAAACGGCGATCAGCTCCGCGGATGTAGAGCTCGTGACAGCCATGAACAGAAGGATTAAGATCAGCACTGCGCCGCCTTTTCCGAGTAGAGCGATCGCGGTCGCTGGCGCAGAGAGACCTGCTCCGACTTGCTCGCTTGTTAGGGGGTTTGGATATGTTGGGAAGCGCGGGTCTCCGGTCAGCGCTGCGCAACCCAGTCCCATGATTGTCGCGAAGCCAAAAGGAATTCCTGGGCTTGTCAGTCGCGCATCTATACTTCGGGTAAGGTTGTCACTTACCGTACCAAGCAATGCCTCCTAGAATATAAGCTTTGACGGAAGTCTCGGGCTTGGAGGCAATAGCTCGCTGCCAATACGCTTGGTCCAGCCAAACCGTTGTGAACCCAGCAACAAACAAATCACATGCGAAGATGAGACCACCCACAGATCGAAATGCGAGATACGATCCCTCACTATTGCGATCAATGGGCATCTTCTCCGAGGCGGCGATCAGCAAGTCATACAGCTTCCCAGGACTCCCGATCAAATCGCTGGTCGCGGTAACCAAGAATCCAAACACCAAAATCGCAACGAAAAGAATAACAGTATGAGTATAATCCGCAATGAAGGTCGATCTCAAGCCGCCCGCAATGACATAAACCGCCACGACAGCCGGGATCAGAAAGCTAGCAGCATAGACATTCATTCCCGTCAACGCACCCACGACTTGCGCGCCGCCAAGCACCAGACAAGCACCAACGAGCATGTTGGTAGCGAGTCCATAGTACAGATATGTGATGTGGGCCCATTTTCCATGTCTACTCAGCACGATTTCCGGCATGGTATGCGCGCCCGGCGCATTTGTTTTGATCTTGATAGCGATGAGCCCGAATAGTAGGATTTGCAATGTGCCTGTTGCGGCATACCACATTGGACCGCAGACGCCATACTCGTAGGCGAAGGTGGAGCTTGTGAGGAGGGTGGCGGACCAGGTCCAGGATGAGACGATGCCGGCACTGATAAGGCCAGGTTTGACGGAGCGGGAGGCTGTGTTGAATTCTTCGGCGCGGTGTGTTGAGAACGTCGTGTATCGGTTCTGGAGCCATGTTAGGCTAAGCATGAACAGGGCGAAGAGTGTGCCTATGCCGATGACAATGCCATAGCCGGCTGAGGGTGGTAGGACTTGGAGGGAGCTCATTGCGGGGTTGTTTGGGGTGCTTGACATGGGCATTATCGAGGTCTGGATATCGTGCCATGCTTATATGTTGTTGCATTTTGCCTTATCGAGCGGGATTATTAGGACTGTCTTGTCTATGTCAGTACTCTGTGGATGTGATATTGATATCAGGTTACCCCAATTGATAGACTGTTTGGTTGGGGTAAGTTGGAGTTGTGATAAGAAGAATAAGCATTGACTGGATAAAGTGTGGAAGATAAGCAAAACACCCAAGGGTTGGGCGAACGGCAGTCCTATCACTTCAAGGGTACAGGTCCCACTCAAGCCGCAATACCCCTCCCGCAACTTCGTAGATGGCCAGGTGGTTGGGGTCTGATGGCCGGGGGTGACAGACAGGCGAGGCCCCCATCTTATCGGATCTATAGCGCATTTTAACGTGGGAACAGAAGGAAGCTTATGTTTAAGTTTCATTTGAGCCCAGTCACAAAACCTTATAAACATACATGGCGGAAATCCCGAAAGCGATACAACCCTCAATGTGCGTTTTCCAGATCAACTTTTGGCTTGTGGCTCGAATAACAGTGCTTTTTACGGCCGTTCGAGATACTGCCGTTCTGCATTCAATCAATCGTCAGAGACCCAGAGCTCTCAGACGCGATATAAGTTCAGCGGCAACCACGTCTTCGGACGGGATCAATGGTAACGGGGGAGCTCGGCGGCCTGTGTTGATGTTGCAAGGTCAGTAGATATCTTGTTGACGAGACTGATGCCTTGATGTTTCAAAAGACTTCTCAACCAACTAACAGGCACTTACTATTTTCAATATCTGACACAGTCCGAGAGCTCACAATGGAAGCAGGAGGTATGTAATGAACCACAAGATACTCCCCAGCGATAGTACGCCGCGTTTGATGGGGGATTGCTAGCGAAAACATGTCGACGATTTCTTGAGCGCGGAAAACATAGAACCCCAGAAGCTCTGTCATGTCAATCTCGAGGAGGGCACAATCCGTGCTTACGAACCGCGAGCTCCTTTCGAGCATCCAGTCTTCGGCATCGTTTTTGTCGCCAAAGAGCGATATGAAAATGCTATCTTCGTGTAACCAATTCAGATGTCGCTCTATCGCGTCCAGAAAGTGATCAAGATCATCCGCCTCGTTGTAGATCGTTTGGGCGTCTTGCGCCTCGAGGCCCCCATCAGAATCATTAGTCGTCACAGATTCTGCATACTGAACTCTGTAAAGTGTGGCCGGAATTTCATCTGCAGCGAGATCAAAAAGATCCATTGCTCGCCCTAGTTGCATCTATTAGCGATCGATTTTCAAGCCTAAGGAGGCTTGGGGGCCTAGTCATTGTCTAGCCAAGGCAGCACACATGGTTATGGAGGTGATATTGACCGAGCGAATAGGTAGGTGATCGAAGAGGAGATCGGGAGACGAACTATGCCCTTATGATATTCTGTCTTGACTGAACAATCATGTTACCCAGAGCTGGACCTGAGGCATCAGACTAAGCTTGAAGGCCGAATTGTTGGGATTAGATTTATGATCGAAAAGTACCATGTTGGGCCTTTAGGCAGCGACTCGGCTGTTCTATGTAAAACATTGCGCTTTGATTCCCTGGGCGATGGGTCTCAGATAAGAGGGGGTCCGCGGGATGTGAGTATGCATGGGAGCTGTCATATCGGCTAAGACACGTGTATATTCGACTATATGCCGGCAATTCGACACTAGCAGCACTAGTTACTCCGTACGCCATGTGAAATATCTCATGGTTGATATTGGCCATCCTTGCATAATTGAGGTCTCAACGCATTGCAGGTACTCCGTACTCAGCTGAATCTAATCAGAGCGCTTCTTCTCCAACCGGTTCGTGCCGTGCACCCAGTCCAATAACCCCACCGACCCGTAGTTCAAATTGAACTTTTCATGATGCAAATCATGCATTTTGGCCTTGTTGTGGAAGAAATCATATCCACTATGCACAGTCACAGTGTTGAAGAGTTCGAAAGACAGAAATATCCAGAATGTCAAAACATGACTGTGGAGCAACTGCGGTGGCAAAGAAATTGGCAAGGCATTGGCGAAGATCTGCTCGATCGGATGGGCGAATTGAGCGGCCAGTCCGATAGGTGCCGTAAAGCGGTGATGCTTCTTATGAATGCGCACGTAGAGGTATGGTATATGCAGCAAGCGATGACTGTAATAGAAAAGAGCTTCGCGCATCAAAAGGCTGAGAATCACGTCACGTATGATTTCGATGGTACCTGGGAAGGATTTTTCGATGCGGTATGAGGAGCCCGAGCCTGCGCGACTAGTCACGGAGAGAAGAGTCAGGTGTAACACAGATGAAAGGATTTGATTCTGCGCGACAACAGTAAAGCAGCGGACGATGTCTTGGCGGGTTGGCTGTTTGGGAGCCGGCTGGATCTTGTGTCGCTGTGAAAACGAAGGTGCGATCACGTCCAGTAAAAGATAGAAAATTGCGGGGACCCAGAAGCAGAAGATTTGGATCAGGAGAGTTCCCACAAATTCAATTTTCTGCGGCGAGTGATTGGCGACAATGCTTGTCCAGAATGTGGTGGCTTGAAGGCCCAGCGAATTGTATACAGCCTCCATCGTGAGTTGTGGTCAGGTAGAATCATCGCATTGCAACAATGGTTTCAATTATCGGATCCGCAGATGCTCCCCATATGTGCCTCGGTTTCCCCGGAAATCTTAAATCCCCGCGGCGGGTGCCGCCAATGATCGCGACTCGGTTAGATCTTTGATCCATGTGAAAGTCCTTCACGGAAGATTTGAAAACGCGCTGAAAGCTCTCTCGATCATGGCCAGTTTCATGGCCGAAGCCAGATTCCAAAAATCGTGACCTTTTTTTTTTTTTTGGGCTATTCTCGATGTTTGCTTGGCATATTATACTTTGGATCTTTGGAAGTCCGCTGAAAGAAACAGTGTTGGCGCAGGTGTTTACCTGGTTTGTCAGGCTTCCCGCAGGTAGATAGACGTAGATCAGCTGCTAACTGAAAAGTGTCTCTTGGATATGAATGCAGTGAGCCACTCAAGAAGATGGCCAATAGGAGAGGCACCGTGGCAGATTCAGCGTCGAGGGTCGGAAGGTGAAGGATCGGGCAATGCCTGTGCGAATGCTGTTTGTAAAGATGCTCAAAGTGCCGCATGTTGGCTGGTGAGAAAAGGTTTTGCTCGATTGCATTGTCAAACTTGGACCGAGACACATCACCGGTGGCAAAAGGTTCCAATACTTTGACAACCTCAAGGGCGCGCCAGGAGAAGCTTCGCCTACTTGATGACTTGTGGAGGTGTTAGGGGTTGTTTGGGGATGTTGATAGGATGTTGATAGTCGCTCGGCCGAGCATCAGGTAAATCCCAACACACTTCTTCAAAATCAAGCCCTGGAAAATCTTGGGATTTGAAAGCGGCTCAATCTGGTAGACAAGGAACAGCGACTGGTTCGACACCCTTCGTACGGCCAGCTTCAAGAGCCGGGAAAAAATCGTGCAGTGTGTTATTGTCGTTGTAATAGTTCAGCAGGCAGGGAATTTTCGTTTTTGTTAAAGTGTCTGAGTTTTCTGGAGCAGCCTATATATCGAAATCCCAATTCTTGCCAGAAACATTCCAACTTGTTCAGTGAAGACATTTTTGAAGAGAACTCGTGTACTCCATTCTTACTAGACTTACCTGGAGCTTCACTTGGACCTACAATAGCAACAACCCCAGGTGTTTGCCTCCGAACCTTTTCTAGCACAATTTCCACAAATAAACCGACTTGTTTGAAAATTTCATACAGTTTCTCAACTTGCAAGGATTCAATCCAAAACATGCCGGGGCTCTCTGTCCCCAAGAATGGCTATCAAACCTATTGGTAGATATTAAAACTTTTTGGCCCGAAAGAGGACCTCACATGTGTAAAAATCTCTCAATAAACCCATTCGCAATTGATTGCCCAACTTAGATGTACCCCAAAACAAGCTCTGGCGGAAGACGCGTGTGTTTGGCCAAACATAGATCTTCTTGTGAAATTTCTTTTAGCAAGACTTGTCAGATTCGAAAGGAGAAAGTTAACATCATTCGTCGACGTCGCGAGGGTGGGAGTCCTGGTACTTTGCGATTTCCCGGTCGGTAATGCCCGGAACAGGGTCGTATCTGGTCAGAGGAGCCAGTGGAATGTCATGCTCTTTGAATTGCGCCAACTTTTGTTGTGTGAGCTTGTGGGTTTTGTTCACGCTGTAGATCTTGATGCGGTGTGCTGATGACGTGACATGCAGACCCCAGTTCCAGGCTGCTCGCACATTAAGTGGTTGGGTATTCAAAGAGTTGTCCCAACATCTGCACACAATCTCGATCCAACCTTCCACATCGCAAGGAAGATCGATTTCCCATGTTCTCCAGGCCCATTTCCCCTTCTTCGAGAGATTCTCTTCTGGAACGGCGTACCAACTGAAGCCTCCATCGGCTGATAACTCCACACGTTCAGGCCACCGGCCACCGCCAGAATAAGCCCAGCCCTTGCAACAGATCTTACCACCATGCATAATCACTTGATTCTGCCATGGAGACATGATCGCAGAGCTTACAGGCATCTCCTGGATCTGAATTCCATCCATGGGGCGTGAATTATACTTACCCATCTGTTGGTTGAAGTACAGATACTCTCTGCTTTGAACAGGCGCCAAGGATGGACTCTTGATGGCCTTAATTCGGTACAGCCATTTCACACTGCGAGCTCCAATATATCCCATCACGATCACTCGTAATGGGAATCCGTGAATCTTAGGAAGTGGCTCACCATTCATCTCCCAAGCAAGAATGACTTCATTGCTCTTGACCTTGGACCAGGGGACACTGACAACGTAGTTACCGACGTTAAGGTCTTTCACATAGGTTTCAACACCATAGAATTCAAGGTGCTTGGCGTTGCTGACCAGCCCGCCACAATCTTTGATCAGCTTTTTGAGACTTATGCCTTTGTATCTCGCAGTGCCTATGGCACCTTCGGCCCATGGTGCCTGGGGAACTTCGTCGCCTTGACCAGCGTACATAGAGATCTGCTCAATTCGACGAGTTCCTGAACATTGCATAGTAATTGTCTTCTCCATCCGAGGAAAGACTGACTCGTTCATCAAATCTTTCATAGTATATGTTTTGGGGGACTTGACAAGACCATCGAGTCGTAACTCGAATTTTTCTCATCAATAAGCGGGATACCACCGTGGTTACGCACAAAGTGAAGTGAGTTTGGAGTAATAGCCTTGTCTGTAACCAATCGTTTGGGCGGCTCTCCATTGTACGGGAATTGCAGCAGGTGCAGCATTTCAGGGTGTTTCTCTTTCAAAACCGTCTTCCATGAATCATCGGGGACTTTAGTTAACTCTCCCCCTAGTGCGGTATGCCATGACTTGAAATCATCACCGGGCAACACAGGGTTGGTAGGAGGTATAGGTCCCCATTGAAAGTCTGGACAAGGGGCAAAAGTTTGCGATGTCAAAACTTCATGTGCTTTGGCTTTCTTTTCGGGGTACGCCTCCCACTCAACGTATCTGAATAATCCCATGATTGATTAGTCGAGAAAAATCTAGCCATACATTGCCCTCTCATGGGAGACTGTACCCTATCCAGCCCGGTTTTTCACGGGCAAAGAGTTTACTTCGGTCGCCAATAGCGCGGATGGCCTTTTCATTTTTTGTGACCGGTTCTTCCACAGGCGGGGCAATGAAAGAGACTGGTTTTCCGCTTTGATCAATGATGGGAAGTTTGTAAGCAGCAAGACCTTGCTCAACCTTCCACTCATCAGGGCGGTTATTGATCGGTTTTGTATACTTGGTTCGGGTCTCCATCGTGGAACGATGTGGGGTGGATATATAGAATCAGAAAATCGGGAATGATTGAAACAAATGATTTCTGACAAGTGATCTGTACCAAGTTTTATACCTGCCTGACTATGGGACGGACCTACAGACCGACATTTCAGCCCTTGTTTATGACGTGCACCTGGGTAGAGTCTAAACCATTTCTCGTATTTGCCATACATGGATCTCATTCAATCCTTATCTTGGGCGTCAAGATTAGAGTTTGTGTAAAGCGTCATATGGCCGATGATTCGTTTGTTTCATACCCCAGAAGCGAGAAGATAACTCAAACTAGGTTGCAATACTGTTTCTATTGGTCTGGGAATGTTACAGAACCATGTTGCTATTTTACACAGGAAATACGAAACAGATCCATTTTTGAATGAAATTACTGGTGGAAAGATAATTAATTACTCTCTTCTATAAATGCCAACTCGATCTGGGCCCGCAGTATAGAGGATATCATAGAATACTAGAGGACCCCAATCGAGTGATTGACATCATGACTTCTAATGCGTACCCGGTAACGTTCCGACAGACACACTGCGCCGCCAATCATGTTAATGACCAGTATCACAGTATCCCTTCTTGCGGCTTGTTCTAGGTGGTATTAGTTCATTTCGTGATAGGGAATTGTCTGTAATGCGGTTCACAGCCACCTGGCATCTCTTCCATTGATTACAAAATAATAGCTCAGGGGGACTGGAGATAACCTCCCCAAATAGGAAGAAGTCAATTGATAGTAGGAGTTTAATTCTTAATCAATAAAGGAGATGTTGAATCATCGCAACACTATCAAGCGTTCGGTTGTCTCGGACGAGACAAATATTTATGATTCACGGTAGGCAGTCATGTAAATAACGACCTCGAGATCTCTCTCTACCAATGACTCCGATCTATATAGAATATAACAGGCTGTCCTGATTCCGTCAATTTTCTCAATCGTTTAGGTAATTACCTCTGTATTTGGCGTACACAACACGTGGTGGGGCATCTAGTCGAACATTCGCCCGAATAGTCATAGGGCATGGGTCTGCTTATGTGGGTAAGACCCCTCCGTTCACCTCTTCAATTCAACAGTCAGCCGATATATAATTTATCATGGAGAATCCCGAAATTGACCATAATCTCTTCATCAAAGTAGAAAAGTTTGTAGATATTGTTGGGCGAAATCAGGACATGAGTAAGTGGGTTAAGATGTCGGATTAGTGTAGAGCGAATTGACACATTCCCTAAGCAAGTGCTAGTGGACTGTGGTGAATGTTGTTCACGCCGTCACAACCCCTCAAACCAGAACGAAGTACGGAGTACAGAAAGTAGTCAATTGGTGAGCAAAGGGTGGGGGTACCCATGCATGCATACCCCTTACTGAATCATCTCATCGGGCACGACCGCTCAATGCCTAACTCATTTTTTGCAGTCATGGCTCAGAAAAACTCCTAGTCCCTTCTGCCCAGTCCCAACTTGATACGGAGTACTTTGCAACACCTATCGTGGTTCGACGCTAAACATTGCATGCATTAGCCACTGGATGACAGTAAAGCCGAGGTCAGACTAAGAGCAGTCTAGACAACCAATTCCCTTTCTCACATTACGAAAGTCTGGATTGACCACGTCTCTGGTTGTTTTTGGCCCTGCAAGGATCTCGGATTCCTTAAGTCTACGAGTCCCCGCTTTCATGAAAAGCGGGTTTCCTTGATCTTCAGATGAACTATTGTTGTATACAATTGTTACAGTGGAATGGCCAGCCAGGCATGACGATAGAAAACGGCAATCGGGCGGAACTATGTAAGCTTTATCGCCCCCCCCCCCCACCATCCCCTTCTCCGACTTAGTGCGAATTACATGAAAAGATAACTCAATGCTGGCTCGTATTTTAAATTTTCATGGTACCCAATCGATCGACTTTGATTTGTCTATGAACACTCTCTGAGAGCCCTTGCTCTCTCCAGAGAGGGTTTCTGCTTTGGAATATTCAAGGGATTTACAATCCGCACCGCCTTAGCGCGTATTTTTGACAGTTTGCACCCACGCTAATACGAAAGGGGTTAGCGTACTTTGGCCAATAATTATGGAGACCTAGTGTAATCTATATTATCGTATCACCTCTGTTTGAATTACACCTTGCACATGGCCTTTAGCCCTCAAGGGGTGTGAGTATGAGTGTTTGCATAATTCCTGCATGGTCGCGATGACTTTTTGTTTGGTTGGTCGGCTTTGATATAATCCATGGATGAAGATGAGCTGAAATTTGAGCTTACTTCCTACTGGAGTGAGAAGAGCATAATGACTATCTGACGTTGCAGATAGGTCAATGAGAGAGATCCAGGGTGTCGATGGTATAACGCTTTAATGGGGCAGAGGTACCTAGGTACTGTAGTGGGGGAACCGCGCCACCTCCCAGGCATCCCTGGGCTATTTCTAGCCCCGTTTTCATAGCATAGCAATCCAAGCATCCTACACCTCTCGCAAGAACAGCATCTCCTTCCTATTCCGGTAGTCCTGGGGGCCTGCGTAGTTCCCTGATCCCGCCGAGCACTGAGCACCCCCGTCGTCTTGTCTGCGATGTCAGACCGCCAGCGCGCTCTTCCCACTTCAGTACCTCTGCGGGAGCGGCCCCTGTTACCTGGCCATAATGGATACTGTAAAACCATATCCACGGATAGAAAAGAAGTATATATTCCTGATTCTGCAAAAAATTTGTCTTCATATATATTTCCCACCAACATCTAATCATATATCATTTCAAGCTTTATATAACAGAACATGTAGTCTACAAAATTCTTCCACTACGCCGTTGGACTACCAACATACCCATGCCTGTTGGCTGCAGCTTCGTGGTAGGGATCCAAGATCACCTGACACTGTTAAGCAGCCCAACTCGGAGTGAGTGTGAGTGAGCCAACCTTGGAAGTATGAAGGGCGATGCCCCCAAGGCTGCGCTGCAGTGTCCCGAGTTATACACAGTCCCGGCCATGTAGACTCTGAGAGTGACTTTCAAAAGACTTGTCTTTTGCATTGACTCTTCTTCTTTACTTTCTCTTCTTCTCATACCACAAAATATCATCATCAGCACTACATACCTTTTCTACACTTTTTCTTCTTCTCATACCACGACGCCACCGTCAAAATTACATCTCTCTTCAACATAAATCAACCCATGCCTGTGACCTTCGAGTCACAAAATACCTTTCCCCCTCAGATTAGCCACGGCTCAACCTTCTCCCAACCTTGTACTTCATCGACTCACCTCCCACGATGAATCTCGGGGGAGGGAGTCCATCCCGGGGCTTTGCACCCAATCAAGAAAAACCCCACACTCTCAACAATCACACTCAACTGCCTTCGATATGCAGGGACTTCAGAGCAACAGTTGTCGTTATGGTAACAGATGCAAGTACTTGCACGACGTGCCAGAGGCCATCGATCCCCAGTCAAATCCGATCGCTCATCCAAATGCCGAGAACCCAGAAGCACGGAATCAATAATTCGGATGGAAGAGCCTTTTTCGCAATGAGCTCTCGAGACTTGGATATCCTCAAAGGGAAGATGACGATCTCGCCAAATTTTGGACCGGGGCTCTGGAAATCTTGGAAAGCGACAGTACAGAGAATCATCAGTTCCTCGCCAAAGATCTTGTGGACGATCATCTACCAGGGTTTGCGATCATTCTTTCAACCATGGATACGGAGAACCCACACGATCGGACTTGGTCATCAGACGAGTGCTTTCTCGGAGTAATCACTCATCTTTCCCTTTTGAACTGTCTTTCCGTTAATGCGTTTGTTGGTACTTTGTACACACACTTCGGTGGCACCAATGGAGATCGAACGATCACATAACGTAATCGGTAAGCGAGTCGCCATTGTAAGCGAGTCGCCATCCGCCCCAAAACGCGTCCATGAATTAGAACTTAATTAATTCAACCACCCACCATGCCACCAATTCGCTCTCAAACCTCAAAAAATTCAGCTGAACAAGAGGGTAGGATCTTATTAGCTATCCAGGCTATCAAAAAACAAGAAATAGCCACAATCGCCCTCGCTGCTCGTACGTTTAACGTGCCGCGATCTACTTTACGCGACCGTCTCTCCGGTCGCACTGAACGAACTACTACACGCGCAAATTCAACTAAATTGACTGAAATTGAAGAGGAATCTCTTCGAAAATGGATCTTTTCACTTGATAATCGTGAAGCAGCGCCTTGGTCTACTACTGTACGAGAAACTACGAATATTCTACTTGCAACGCGTGAAACTACACCAGTTCAAACAGTCGGCGAAAAATGGATCTACAATTTCATAAAAAGGCATCCTAAATTGTCAAATCGCTTCTCAAGACGTTACAATTATGAGCGGGCAAAATACAAAGATCTAAAGATCATTAGTGAATAGTTTACACTTGTTCAAAAAACTATTCTTTAATATAGTATTGACAACGATAATATTTACAACTTCGATGAGACTGGTTTTGCAATGGGATTAACAGCAACCGTAAAAGTCATTACAAGAAATAAATACTATGGTCGACGATCACTTTTACAACCGGGAAATCGCGAATGGGTGACTACTATTAAATGCATAAATGCTTCAGAATAGGCGCTTCCTCCATATGTGATTTTTAAAGGGAAAATTTTTATCGAATCTTGGTTCGATGATCTTCCGGATACTTGGAAATTTGAAATTAGCCCGAACGGCTGGACATCTAATGAGATTGGTCTTCGATAGCTTGAAAAACTGTTTATTCCATTGACTTCTTTATGTGTGAAAAGACGATATCGACTTTTAATCCTCGATAGTCATAGAAGTCATTTGACCCCAAAATTCGACGAACTCTGTGAAAAAAACGACATTATTCCAATCTATATGCCTACATATTCATCTCATCTTTTACAACTACTCGATATTGGTTATTTTGCGGTGTTAAAACGTTCATACGGTCAGATGGTTGAAATGAAAATACGGAACGGGATCAATCATATTAACAAACTTGATTTCCTCGAGGCATATCCTTTTGCCCAAAATAAAGCATTCAAATCAGAGACTATTAAAAACAGTTTCGCAGCTGCTGGTTTAGTATCTTTTTCCCCAGATCGGGTGCTATTAAAACTCAATATTCGTCTTCAAACTCCAACTCCCCCAATAAGCCGGGGTAGTAAATCAAATCGGAATTTCAGTCCAAAAACCCCTTTCACCGAGAAACAACTTCGTTGACAAGCTTCATCAATCAAAGCTTTACTTCATACAGGCTCTCGAAATCCACCGAGTCCATCAGAACGCGCATTAAACCAACTTGTTAAAGGTTGTCAACTCGCGTTACAAGATGCTGCAATTTTAGCCAAAGAAAACAGTGAATTACGCGCTGCCAATGAGAAGCAAAAACAAAAGCGGACTCGATCGAACAGACAAATAGCTCACGAAGGGGATCTCTCAGTTCAGGAGGTTCGTGAATTACGTGCAGAGCCAATTGAGACCCAAGTAGCCCGCATTACTCGAGCTCGTGAGCAGATCTCGGGACCTTTACAGCCCCGAACAAGGGCATTACCGAAATGCAGTGCATGTGGAAATCAGGGTCATAGAAGAAATGCATGTCCCAATAGTGCTACAGTTTAGCTAATTGAATTTAATGGAGTTTTGGTTGAGAAAACTGCATTTAAAATAAATGGTATATGGACAGATGGCGACTCGCTTACAATGGCGACTCGCTTACCGATTACGTTATCTCACCAACATCTGCCTGAAACTAAAGGCATCTGAGGAGGGCGGGGCCGGGCTTGCCCCAATGATCGTTTTGGAAATGGTGGAACTAATATTGACTGCTCTTGACCAGCTTTTGTTGAGGATCCGTCATTCTTGTTTCCACGACGAGCTCCCCCAGCTGATCGATCTCACCCACGCCATAACATCCAAGTTGCCGATAAAAGCTCGCAAGCTGACCTTGATAGAATCGAGCGCAGACTGGAGAATGTGCGAAGTCTGGTTAACAACGCGAAGCGCGGTCTTCTCATGTCAAACCCCGAAGAACCAACTCCCCAGAATGGTGGTCAGGTCATCTCGTCTTTCCCATTGGATATGCAGACCCCCGGTGGGAGACACGATAATGACCAAGCTGAAATCTCCCAAATTCAGATCTTCCCTACCATTGGGGAGGTTCTGAGTGGTGATGCGGAATATCTACCTTCTACCAACTTCCTCCAACCGCACATTTTGTCCGATCCATTGCAGCGATACATTGATACAACATTCCGGCTCTTGAGACATGACATCTTCGGATCAGCCAAAGCTGTGCTCAGGGGTCTGTTGCAACAGGATGATTTGACGCGAGTGCCCTCTCTCTCACACGAAGAAGCCGGGACGAATTTGTATCGGGCGGCTCGTGTTCAACACATGTTCATCAACCAAAAGGATGAGCTCCAAGCAACTGTATCATTTGCTCCACCATCACAACTACGGAACAAGACCTCAAACGGGCAATGCAAATGGTGGCAAGACTCTAGCCGGCTAGAAGAGGGAAGCTTAGTGTGCTTTTTGACATCCCAAAGAGCAAACAGAAGGTTTGTCTTCCTTGAGATCACTTCGAAGAATTGTTTCGAAGATCCAGATCATGAGAGAAACAGTAGTCTGGTCTCAGATGGGTTCATGTCCAGTATCACAGTCAAGCTTGCAGCATGTCAGCAATCAGAAGTGCTGTCCCTGAGTCATATCTACAGCAAAATAATTCCTGGGATCCTCGTCGAATTTCACAACATGATCCCGGCGACTTTCATGCCGATTCTTGAAAACCTTCAGCGAGTCGAACGCGAAGGGGACTTGTCGTTCCAAAAATGGATCTTGCCAGGTCGACTAAACGATGGAGCTGATCACAGCATGCCCCCACCGGCATATGCATGCACACCTGGCTTTTTCTTCCCTCTAACTTCCATCACAAAATATGGAAATGGGTTCAACTATTTGAATCCAAGAGCCCCGGAGACTATTGACATCATGAATCTGGAAGATCAGACCGGCCTCGACCGTGGTCAGTGTCGGGCACTTGTTGCAGCTCTCAGTCGAGAATACGCCCTCATCCAAGGCCCCCCAGGCACTGGGAAATCATATCTCGGTGTCAAAATTCCTCAGGCTCTCCTTGAGGTCAAAGCAAGCGCAGACCTAGGCCTGATAATCGTGATGTAAGTTAGTTTCTCACTAGCTTGAATCATAGCTGCCATTTAATCTAGCTGCTATACGAACCATGCTCCGGATCAATTTTTGAAACATGTTCTTGATGTTGGGGTCAATAAAATCATACGCATTGGGGGCCGCAGTCAGGCTACTGAGCTTGAAGGCAAAAACCTTCGTGTTGTTAGACAAGGCATCGTGAAGACGGGAGGGGAAGGCCATACTCTTGGTACGGTCTATCGAGCAATTGAAACATATATGAACAGTGCGGTACGCTCCATGAAGCCTCTACACCTGTCACCCAGTGATCTATCTTGGGACACGATCGGACCGTTTTTGAAACGCGAATGGCCCAACATACATCGACAGCTTGCACAGCCAGACAACGAGGAATTTACGACTGCTACTGATGATATACTGCTTCAGTGGCTTGGTGTTAAGTCAATGAGGTTCCACAAACATGGAGACGAGGGTGATGTTGAGAAACAAGAGCGCGAAACTGAGTCACCAGGCAGAAATGCGGGCCTTCCCGGGGCCCAGGCTGTATTTCCATGGTCAGGTTGCCTTAAGGTTGAGTGCCACGCGCCTTCCCGTCGTGATTCCATGGAACCAGACCCTCAGGAACATGCATGAATATTTCTTAACTCAATCGAAGTTAACTATGAGTTACACGTTAAAGTTTATTGACATGGGCAGGTGCCCCAACCAAAGGCGAATGGCTCGCCATCAGCTCAGCCATCCTTTGTTTTGCTTGCTCGGCCTGATTCTCAACATCCAAGTCCCAAAGCCAGTGGAAACGCTCATTGAGGGTGTCCGCCAACTTCGCAGGATCATCACCCACCCCCTCAAATCCCAAGCATAATAGATCGGCATTTTCTTTACTGCTTGTGACCACCCTTTGGCTGCGCGGGCGTCGAACATGATCATAAGCCCGGAAAGCCAAGATCATATCGTCGACAGTCTTCACTCGCTCATCACTCAATAGCTCAGCAAGAACATGAGCATCTTCGATCGCCTGTCCGGCACCAGCACCCTGGTGTGGAGTCGAGGCATGAGCAGCATCGCCCATTATTGCCACTCGAGAGCGCGCATATGTTGGAATATGGGGATGTTCGAAGATAGCCCACTGTGATGTATCGGACATGCGCTATAACTGTCAGTTGCTCACACTTGAGATTCAAAACACTGCTAACAGCGCATCCCTCAAGGTCCAAAATACACATACCTGAACAAGAGCCTCGACAAACCGTCCCATGCCTTTCGCATCCCGCAGCATATCCTCCCTCTCAGCAGGCCGCACCCAAGAATCATGATCCCACTGCTCACTCAGAACATAGATCCCAACATTAACCTTCCTCGCCCGCATAATCGGATACGAAATTCCATAAGCCCCTTTACCAACATATATCGACGAAACCCTAGCCCTCCTATCCCCAACAGCCTCCACCATATCCTCCATATCCAACACAGCCCGATACGCATACATACCACTATATCTCGGCTGCAAGTCACCTGGCGAAACAAATTCCTTGACCCGGGACCGAATACCATCACACCCAATTACCACATCAGCAACAACAACCTCCCCATCTTCAAACTCACACCTCACACCCTCCCCCTCCCCATCCACAATCCCAACAAGCCTTTTCCCGAAATGCACTGCATGCCCCGGAACAAGCCCAACAAGCGCATTCAAGAATTCCGCCCTCTTCAACGCCGTCTGTCCACTCGGCAGCGCTTTTAAATCCATCAACACATCCCCTTCAGCCGCACCGCATCCCCAAACTATCTCGAACCATGTCTGGCGAAATTGTTCGTAGCCGGGACTGTCGGCGTGTGTTGTTACAAGGCTATCGTAGATGGCGCGCAGGGCGGGGTCGAGAAGTGGGAGGGCGCGATAGGCTGCTGGGCCGAGGGAGAGGCCTAGGCCGATTTCTGTAAATGCGTGCGCGGCTTCGTAGATTTCGAAGGGGATGCCGCGGTTTAGGAGGCCGATTGCTAGGGTTAGGCCGCCTATACCGCCGCCTATTATGGTGATTTTGAATGGCATTGTGGTTTGGGTTGGGGCTTGGGATTTTGGATTTTGGTGATGGGGGTTACTTCGGGGTTCCCCGCATTGTTGAGATAAGCTCTTCGGTTATATTGGATGGTTGATATCTTTGATTTATTGGGAGGGTGATTATGGTGCCACAGTGTGTTTCCAATGGATGATCGGGGATTGGCTTAAGGGGTTGGTGGGTGTAGATAACCGTAGGTGTTACTTGAACAACCTCCATCCGGAAAACGGAGAGAGCGATTGTCTTTTACGACAAGTATGTGAATGGAGAAAGCTTTTGACATTAGAAGTTATGTAATATCTCCCCCATTAAAAAAAAAAAGCGAGCCAGGGCAAGGCGAAATCATATTCGCGATCCTGCGCTAAAGGTCTATACAAACAAATTGGGAATCAAGAAGGAATGTGGAAATTTGGATCAAATCATAGGCGCAGTGACGACCCTCTGTCTCTCCCACTTAGGGGCGACAGGATCATCACGGGAATAGACCGAGCGATCCCACTCGGAGTCTGCATCGGGCTTTTCCTCTGATCTCAGCGGAGGCGAGGAGTCGTCGTCTAATGCGCGCCTGAAGCGTAGAAACTCGGGCGAGTCGGTCGTGTGCACTGGCTGCATGGTTCCTGACTGAATGGATTCCATAGCTGCGCGCTGCAAGAGACGAACGTCGTCTCTCAGATTACCGAGTTGGCTCTCGAGATTTCGGCGGGCTGTTTGCTCGCGACGGAGGAGGGTGACTAGGGCGCTATATTGCTCTATTGAGACGCCGTGGTAGTCCGAGAGGGAAGAGGCGGGAGGGGTGGGGCGGAGGGAGCGTTCGGGGCGGATTGTGGAGGTGCTTGAGGGGCGGATTGAAGGGAGGGGACTTGTTTGATCGGAGGGTGAGATGTAGCCCGGTTTGCGGGGGAGAGAGTCCGAGGCTGGATGTTTGGGACGCGTGGGGGCGGAGTCGTTGGTTTGCATTCTGGCGATTGCGAATTCCAGATCTATCATTTTCACTTCGAGGGTAGTGAGACGTTGTTCTAGTGTGACGCTGTCGTCGTGCTGCATGGTGTGTACTAGGGTTGCTAGATTTGAGGGGAGGGCGGGCTCTTGGTGCTCGGATCCGGTGACTGATGGGGCAGCAGAGGCGCGCGTTACACTGGTTACAGTTGTGCCCGTTGACGGTCTTCCGGATTGGCCGCTGTTGGAGCTCTCTTCGAAGCGCGGGGAGCGGGAGTCTGATGCCGAGGCAGGCCCAGCGCTTGACTTCCGAGCCGGCCAAGCAGTGATCACCTCTGGTTGGCGATCGGTCATCGCCTGCAGTGCATCGGTGCTCCGTGACAACCTATGCGATAATAGGCTGTGTCGCCGCTCTTGAACATGGCTCATCTCTTCTCGCGGTTCGGATATCGCAGTGGAAGCCACGGCATACCGCGACTCATCATCGGAGAAGATCACGCTAGGGAGCGTGGCACGCCTCCGGCGCGGCAGACCGGGTGAGTGCATAGACGCCGGAGATAGTGGAGAAAGCGGAGACAAATGCGTTTCCGCCAGCTGGAGGTTCTCCGCCGACAGCGGACTACTTCGATTAGAAGTAAGATTCAATGGCGGGGGCACCGCCAGGAATGGCCTTCCCCTGACAGGCCCTGAGTTCTTCGGCGTACTAAACGCCGATTCGTACGGGGTCTCCTCCAATTCATCGGCCTGGCTCTGCCTTTTTCGATTGAAGATTTTGCGCATGACTGTCTTCAGGGTGCTCCCCGTTCGGCGGTGGGCGACGGCGGGCTGCGCGTGAAAATCCATGGAGGGGAGCGCGGTGTCATAGTTGTCTCCTATGTAGGAAGCAGGATTTGACGACGAGCGGTCTGCCCGGGCGGCAGAGCGCTGGCGTATGCTTCCTGCGGACTCGCTGCCGGCGCTGGCTATTGAGCGAGGGGTGTTTTTTGACATGTTGGTAGCAAATCACGATCGACAGAGTAGATAAGGATTCGGGAAATGGTCGGCGCTGATCATTAAAATGGATATCCGTGGGAACATGGGTATATATCGAGGAAATGAAAGAACGAAATGAGAAACGAATGTCGAGAAACGAAAGTCGAATATACGAAATGCACAGGGCCGCTCAGCGGGACGGTATTTGGATAAAGGCCAGGGGAGGTTCTACCAAACGCGAATTAGCTGAAGAACCAAGTGATACAAACGAGACATACCTAGCATATGGACATAATGAACGGATGTCAGTCTCAAAGAAACAGTGACAAAAACGAGGGGGTTAAAAAAAAAAAAAGAAGAAGAAAAGCAAAGAGAGAGGAGAAAGATAGAAGCAGAGAGGAAGTTTAGGGGAGTTAAGAGCTATCCCCACAAACGAACAGGTTCCTGGAAGCAAAAGAGATGAGAGAGTGGGTTGAAGTGGAGGCAGGGGAAGTGAGAAGACGCTAAAATAAGTAGCCTTGGAGTCTCTTTGACCGATGTGTTTTGCGAGAGGACCCAGAGGCTAAATTTCAAGCTTCTGAGCAATCAGCGCAGGATTCCGAGACTTTGCATGCTTAGTCTGAAACGCCACATGGCAGTTGGGCTGAGGCGTTGAGGTGAGATGTGAGATGAAGCCATTGGGCCTTTAGTCCAGGCTATTGGGGGCTATTTGGCTATTGAGGCCGAATTGAGTCGGAAGCATCAGAACTCCACGGCTCTAGCACTCAAACGCCAAGCTAGGCCCGTGTTCTAAAAAAACTGTCAGCATGAAGATCAACAAGTCTGGAACTGGTTTGGGCAATGCATCTCCGCGATCACCGTTTCGAAACTTTCTCTCTACCCCCTGGCGTCCCGGCATGTACGGAGTAGTGTATGGAGTACTCCGTATGCGCCACTTTGGTTTCGAAATGAGACGATTCCAGAATATTCAAATATCCAATCAATAATAATGCAAATCACAGATTTAATCTATTTTCTATAGCAGATCGCCAGCATCCGGGTATCGCAAGTCCGCATTCTCTTCCAGAAACTCCATCCAATGCTGAAGGAAACTATTTCCACTGCAACAAAATCAGCGAGCGGACTTTTCTCCTAAACAAAACACACTTACCGACTAATCGTCTCCGAGTCTCCGCAAATACACAAATGTCTCTTCGGGCGCGTCATCGCCACTACACGCGCATTAGCACTTAATTTCCCTGCAGAGAAAGATAAAGAAAAAAAGAAAATCCTACCGTTCAATCGTCGTTTCTCAGCAAGGAACCCGACTTCGTGCTGCGCGTTACTACGCACCAAACTCACCACCACCGCCTCTTTCTCACGCCCCTGGAATCCATCCACACTCCCCAATTCAATGCCTGGGTATTTCTCCCGGAGCATCCGAGATAGGAGTGCCAATTGGCCATTGTAGGGCGTGATCACGGCGATACTGTCGGGTCGTACGCCCGCATCGATGAGCTGGTCCACGTGTCGTGCAACGACCATCGCTTCCATCTCGTTGCTCTTGCTGTCCCCAAGTAAGGTGTCTGCGTCTTCCGCCTGCTCGGGGAAATCCCCACCTTGCGTGTCCCAGAACACTAGCGGTTCTTGCGTATCGTCTGTGCCGCGTACTTCGTAGGGTAGGTCTGCGAGGAGTCGGGCTTTGACTGCTTCCCCGGCGATCAGTTTGCCTTCATAGAGCTCGTCGGAGGGGAATCGCATGATTGTTTCATGCATGCGGTATTGTGTCGTTAACATGCTCTTGATGCCCGGGCCGTGGAGTGCGAGGAGACGATCGAAGAGGGTGCGTTCCAGGGAGACACCTTTGAGGATCTCTTCTGTTGGCGCTGCGTCTTTGGACTTCTTGGGCTTTTGGCCGGTGGATTTGACGGTCGGCGGTAGTTGTAAATGGTCACCTGCAAGGACAACCTTGTCGGCGTGGAGAAGTGAGATCCAACATTGTGCTTCCAGTGCCTGACTTGCCTCGTCGATGATCACGACGTCGAATTTCTGGTTCTTGAGCTGATGTCCACCCGCTCCATGGAGCGTTGCGAGTACAACGCTGCTCTCCGTGACAAGATTGTTGACGCATTTTGACTCGCGTTCTCTGAACTCTTTCCTGAGAAGCTTCAATTCATCGTAGATGCCCCGTCGCTCCCGCCCAGACCGCGTCTTCCGGATACTCGCCTGCTTCTCATCCATCTCTTTGCGGATATCCTTTACAATGCCACCGGCATCGGAAGTCTGCGTAAGAACTTCAAGTGAATGATCCAAAACAGACGGCAGAAGACGAGCCGGGTGCCCAATTCGAACGACAGGTGTTTTCGTCTTCGCCAAACGCTCGACGATATTATCCACAGAAACATTGGAAGGTCCGCAAACAAGAATGCGCTTCTTCCGCTGAACCAGCTGTAAGATCAACTCAATCAAAGTATGCGTCTTGCCCGTCCCCGGTGGCCCATGAATAAGCGCAATATCCTGCGCCGCAAGCGCGAACCGAATAGCATCTTTCTGCGAGTCGTTCAGCGATGGATCTATAAATTCCACATCCTCGGGAGAACGAGGTAACGGCGTTGTATGACCGAACGCAACGCGCATGAACTGCGAATATTCATTCTCTCCCAGTTTCTCCATTTTCTCCATCGTCTGCTTCATTCTATCCCAAATCAGTATATTTCTGCTTCCATTCTCAACACCCAGAACTCACCGTCGATACGTAACATCGTTAGCAAGCTTAATAGCCCACAGCTTCTTCCCCCAAAGCTCCTCAACAGCCTCATCATCTTCCTTCTTCGCTCCAGACCCCTGCTTCCCAAACGCAATCCAAATTCCCCGGTCCCCTGTCCTCGTAACTACACCTTCAGCACCCTTCTCCTTATCTTCGCCCTTATCTTTAACATCCTTTTTCTTCCCCGCCGTATCGTTAACCCTCACTACATCCCCGACCCGAATACCATGAGACCCCAAACGAGGCGACCCGTCCGCGGTCCGCGTCTCGTCTGAGGCAATCGCAGGATCGGGCGCAAACTCGCCGACGACGCGGCCGCCGAGGCCCGTTCGCACTTGTGAGAGTATTAGGCCTGTCAAGGCATGGCCGGTGGATTGTAAGGTGCGGCGGGTTGCGGGGGAGACGGAGGCGGCTGTGCTGGCTAGTTTTGAGGTGGAGACTTCGGCCTCGTGTTCGAGGAGGAGGAGGTCGAGTTGCGCTTTTGCGAAGAGGGGGATTGAGGTCGCCATCCTGTGGGGGATTGGGGAGGTTGAGCTTGGGCGTGAGCGTAGGCGTGGGCTTGGAGGGGTCGGGGTTAAAGATGCTGAGCTCGCTTATATCCGATGAGATCATCGGTCCACTTTTGTTTACTTTGTACAAAATATTTGAGAGTGAGAGGGTTGAATATGATATAGCGGTAGTCACTAATTGAACATGAAATATTTCAATACATTTTACGCCTGCTTGGGGCGCAATTGGGGCGGTTGGTACTTGTGGTTTCAACAGCCATCCCCCAAAATTGGCGTATATATGATATCCGAAGCAGCGCAACCCCTCAAACAGCCTCGATCTTGATCTTCGGCTCATCCACTGGGCTGCCCTTGATTCTAGCAATTGTAGGCGCCATCCCCTTGACTTCACTTTTACAAAGCCCCGACCCAGCGAGGTAACAGTCTCCACAACGTCTCTTCACAGGTAGACAAACCGTCTGACCGAGCCCAACAAGCAACTTATTAATCTCATGCCACTTCTCATGCGGCAACCAAGATTGCAGCGCCATTCTCGTCTCCTCCGGGTTCTTCGTCTTATTCCAACCCCACAAGTTCGTGATCCGATGAACGTGAACATCAACACCTATACCAAGATGTTTATCCCACGCCGCGCTCAGACAAAGATATGCCATTTTGGGTCCTACACCCGGAAGCGCCATTAGCCCTTCCGGCGTAGAGGGTATATCACCTTCATACTGATCACGGAGGATCAAGGCGGTGGCTTTGATGTATTTCGTTTTGTTGTTGTGGAAGCCGACAGTGCGAATCAATTCATTGAGACGCGTTGGCTCGACGGCCAATATATTTCGAATGTTAAGTGTACTGTCCTTCTTGGCGTCTTCTTCGACTTTGATGGGGACCTCAGGCTCTTCGAGCTTAGTATCGGGATCAGATTCGCTTCCGAGTTCGGTATGCAGTCGTTGCATCGCGACTGCCGTCACAGTGTCCTTCGTCTGTGATGAGAGCATCAATGCAATGAGCGTTTGGAATCGCCGGTCCTTCGGTGCTGATTCCCGCCAGTACAGCTCTGCGCATCCCATCGTATCTACCGGCGCGGTCGGGTTGTCTTCTCGCATCTTCTTGACTGTGTCATACATGGTTTCCCAATTGGATGGAGGCTCTACTTTCACGGCGCCGTCGGCATCGCGAGTCTTGCGGGCTGGTAGACGACGAGGCTTAGGCGTCGGCTTCGGTTTGGGCTTCTCATCAGGGTCCTCCTTGATAATCTTGTGGCTTTGGACGGCGGGGGCAGCGCGCTTCTGGCGCTTAGCAGGGGGCTCGATGAGGTCTTCGATATCTGCAGTATTGGCTTCGGAAAGGGAGGATTCATCGTCGCTCCGCACGGCTGAAAGACTTGGTGTCACGGAGTCCGGGTCGACGGTCGGAGTTGCGTTAGCAGGGGCATTGTAGGCAAATTTCTTCAGGACGCTGGCATTGCGCGACCGTGTTGATCTTGGCGACAGAGCCTGGATCAGCTTTGCTGTTTCTTGGGATGTACGTGAGGTGCGCATGGTTGGGGAAAAGTTGGGAAATTTCACATGGGGGGTGGGCCTTGGGGCAGAACTTCCCCAGCCTCGGCGATCGCAGTCCGACTCTCCGCGCGCCTTTCTCACTCTACGCTGTACACTCTACACATCATAATTTATATCCCAGTGATCTATCATGGCTGCACCATCAGGGAACACGACTCAGCGATTAATTCGCGAGTTGAAGGAATATCATAAGACGCCCAACGAGTCGCTTCTGCATCTTGGCCCCGTCGATGAGGAGGACCTATTACACTGGGAGGCCGTGCTGAAAGGCGTAGATGGAACGCCGTACGAGGGTGAGCCGGTTTTGAGATCTCGCTCTCACTCAAATTCCACTTTGTCCTGAAGAACTGACATCAACAGGCGGCCTCTGGCACCTTCGCATCGCAATCCCTCCGAACTACCCCCTCGCACCGCCGACCATCCACTTCACGACGAAGATCTCGCACCCGAACATCTCCTTTACTACTGGCGAGATCTGCCTTACTCTCCTGACCACCGAGCACTGGAGTCCTGTTTACACGCTCTCCACAACGCTGACTGCGATCCAGCAGCTGCTGACAGACCCGCAGCCTGACTCGCCGCTGAATGTTGATGTTGCGGCTTTGTTGCGCGACGGAGATCTTGCAGCCTGGGAGAGTGTGGTGCGGTATTGGACTGGAGAGGAGAGGTGGAAGGGGAGTCAATGATGGTGAGACACTGGACGTCTCTGATTCGCGAGATTCTGTTTCTGTTGGATTTACATGCCATACCCCTTTGCACATTCCGATCTACATCTATATATCTGTATCTAAATCTATGACTTTGATGGAAAGTAATTGAGCACATTGCATTATGTTCCAATGATGGACATGGACTAGAACTAATCAAATGCGATATTAGCGTGTGCAAGCGCTGTAAATGCTTAAACCGCTAACAGGACGAAGGCAGAAATTGCCGTCCATAAAACGCCAGGAAGAATAAGGAGAGACATGAGTCGGTCGTAACGGGTCGTGCGAAATGATGGTACAATGACAATAGTCATGAGAAGCAGAACCGAAACGATATGCCTGAAAACGCCGTAATTAATGATGCTGAAAGGTGGAAATTTTTAAACTCAAAGAGCCATGGCAACCATCATGGCACCTCCGAACATGGCGACAACCTCGCGAGCGACGCCAGCAGTGGGAGCAGCGGCATTGCCGGTTTGCAGACCAGGACGAGCGGCGTTGGTCTCGGACGCACCTGTGGCAGCGGCCGGGGTGATAACGGTGATGGAGGTGAGAGTAGTGAAGCTACCATCGGGCCGAGTGCTGGTGCTCTCGAAAGTGGAAGTGGTCAACTTGGTCTGCGAAGAGTGCTCGCTAGACTCAGAAGTTGACTCGCGGCTGGAAGTAGAGCTGGTAGCAGTTGACAGAGTGGAAGGCACGGAAGTGGTGTGGTGAGTGGTGGTCTGGCTGGTTGTGGGCGCAGTGGTGCTAGTCTTCTCAGTCGTGGTGTGCTCACTAGTGGTGCTGGGTGCAGTAGTGGTGTGCTGAGTAGTCTTCTCAGTGGAAGTCTCCGAAGAAGGCTTGGCAGTGGTCTGCGGAACAGACGTCGTCTCAGTAGAGGTAGGCTGCAGAGAAGTAGTCTGCTCAGAAGAAGTAGGCTTGGCAGTGGTTGGCACGGAGGTAGCGGACGTCTCAGTGGAAGTCGGCTCCAGGGAAGTGGTGGCCTCCGAGGTAGGCTCAGCAGTCGAAGTGGCAGCAGGAACAGAGGTAGCCTCGGGAATAGAGGTAGCCTCGGGGGTGGAAGTGGCATTGCCATCCCGCTTGGCGAGTTTGATCAGACTGGCAATGGTTGGTTCTTCATCTTTCAGGGCCTCGGCGGCGTGAAGGTCAGTCGGGAAGATTCCATGGCGGAATTTGGCGGAGAGGGCATGGAGAGCATCGTGGAACGAAGCTGCCTTCAAGTCGTCAAGAGCATCCTGGAGAGACTCACTCTGGGAGACATCGGGCTTCACATCTGCAAAGACCGCACCAATGACCATCAAGGTCACAAAGAGCAATTGGAGAAAGTTGGTACGGAACATGGTGAAGATCGACGATCACTGATAAGAGTTTCAGAGTTTAATGAGACCAGATACCGATTGGGATTGGAATTAGGATGAAATGCGGTTTGGAGGAGAGTAGGTGAGAATAGAGAGAAGAGAGAGGAGGGAAAGTGAGGTTTTATTCAAAAGCTGTCCAGGTTAGGAAGCTGCACGAAATAAGGCAAGAACCACCGAAAATGGTGGCGAGGCTATCACGAACGGTCTAGTCGGCCTCAATCCTTGATTTTTGGCGCTAGTGAGTGAGTGACCCGATAGCTGATTTTTCACGGCTTTTTTTGCATGTCTCGGATCGGTGACATGGTTCACCGTTTCAGCCCTTTAAACCTGTTCTTGTGTACCCTTTATTCTTTGAGCCCTGTGAACTCTGTGAACCCTGACTGTGAATTCAACTCAATTTGCATTTTGTAAACTTGTTCAGTATCCCCCGAGTAATACGACAGCGAGGCGGTCCCCACCCTTATTGGTCCGGTCTCAGCACTAACAATAGCACAAAACAATAATAGAGTCGTGTTGTCATGCACTATTTCTTTTTCTCCCCATTCGTCCAGCTCAACATTAAAAAAGGGGGGGCATTAGGTGCCTGGGGCTATGTACCATGGCTCTATGTTCAGATGTGTGGGCAATGTACCTTTATATGGAGTACACTTGACAAAATGCACAGGATGTGTAAGACATCCCGGAGGAAACTGTTCCCCCGATCAAGTGTACGAGTAACAGTACCCATTTTGCGTTGGGTTCATGGATCGGCCGACCGATCGAGGCCGACCGAGAACTCCGAACTCCATGTCTGTATCGAGCGTCACGATCTTCGCGGTCGGCGGGTTAAGAATTTTATCCGTTCCATTGAGCGCGTTTCGGTTCTTCACGTCCTTGCTTTGCCAAATGCCCCATAGCCGATCAATCATCGCATGGTGCAGCATGAAGGCCGGATCTTGGGGAGACGTGAAGAGATCCTGTAGGGTCGAACCCAGACTGAAGTGACCACCGCCGTGGACGCCGAGCACTCCATTTGGCTTCGCAGGCCAGTGGTCCATGACGGTGAGGAAGTCATTGATGTCGGTCGATGCGAGGAGCCGATCGACAATGGTGACATTGTTGTAGTGGGTGCCGACGAAATTGTTCAAACTGCGATTGAAGCACCTCGGGTTGTAATCAAAGGCTGGAGCGGGTATCTTTGTCGTATCTGGCAGGTTGCGGGGGAAGGGGCCCATGTGGATTTGCATGTCTTTGAACGGTCCGCAGCGAACGCAACCACCGCCGCTACCTCGGGGAATGTAAACGCCCGGGCCTTGGAGGCCTTGCTCACTGGGGTCGTACTCGCCGTCGCCGGAGAGTGAGCTCGCACTGCAGTCGAACAGCGGGCTTCCTGCGAGGTCGCGCTCCCATTTCGGCCAGTCCCAGTATCTGGATTGGTCAGTATAGTCGCAGGTTGGAAAGCAAATTTGGTTTGCTCACGGGACAGATCCTGAGTAACCGCATTCCTCTTGTAGGGCGGTCTCCCAGAGTGCTAGGAAGTGACGGTGCCACGGGAGGAAGAGACCACTATAATGGACGTTCAAGGTGTAGTTGACGTGGGTGCTGTCGTCGATTTAGTCTCGGTCTGTCCAAGTGGGAGCACCGGAACTTACGCCACAAAATCGTCGAATCGATTGCGCACTCCCGGGTATTCTTCTCGTGGGATATGCTGGGGCTTCTTCTGCAAACAAAGGACCGCGTCGGTATACTCGATCCGTTGAGCGGGCGTCAATTCTCCCCTGTTCCCGTTAGGCAATGCATTTCATTCTGTGGTTCAGGAACACGAACCATTCTTTGCGCTCAGTCGGATTTGAGCACTGGTCATTTCCAAGAGACAATCCCAGATCCAGATCCAGATCCAGATCCAGATCCAAGTCCAAGTCCAAGTCGATCAAGGAAGAGCTGGCCACCGACAACAACCCTAATCCAACAAGTACAGACTTGTAGAAACCCACCATATTATCGAATCACACAATCCGCAATCTCAAAAAATTAATCGCCAACACGAGATCTCCATTCCGGCGACAGCCAGGGTTTTTAAACCGCTTGAGCCCCCGACGCGATAACACCCCTTGGGTGATCTGTGGCTGAATGGACCCAAGTCTTCGAATTTAGCATCCAATCAAATCAGAAAAGAATCTGGCTTCCGTCGACCCATCAGCGGGTGAGCTATCACTCGGCAGGGTTCGATGTGGCGTGAACTATAATCGGCCGCCGGGCTAGATCGACAGGGGCCCAAGGCATTTTAAAATGAAAACTGGAGATGCGAACATTGCAAACCAATTGTTCTGTCTTTCCTCTCGTGCATGCTAACGTCGCGATCCGCTATTTTATTCTGGCCTGCAGGAGACTGACTGACATGCCTCATTGGCGTGTTTCGTACAGGGGGGGGTTGCCTTGATTTGTTGCATTTTGGTGGAAAAGATCCGGAATTGACGATATGGCACTATGCTATGGAGTATCCCGTAGAGTAAACTATATACTCCGTAATATTGATGATCTTTAACACGCAACTTGTGCAAAAGAACGCGTGAGCATAATCTATTGAGCCCAAATATTGAGATTCTGAGTGCATCGACACGCCTAGATCATGCGGCTGGCGATTCAGCGCAGGCCAATCGAGCCGAGTCAGGGAGTGCCAGGTGCCCTGACTGAGCTGTGCCCTAGTTACGGAGTACTACCCGATTTACAGAATTGCTTGGGCACTCCGTACTTTGTTCAATCAAATTGGCGACGAAATCAGCCCCCACATACCTACTTCGGACAAGAGCAGTCGATTTGAAGCCTGACAGCTGAGACATGAATGGATCATCTGCAGACCACATGGGGCCACGCATAGCATTTTTGGTTGTCACACCGCAGAATTCTCCGTTCACAACGCATTTCCAGGTAGTCGGAGCCTCGTGAGTCGCGACATACGACGTACTATCATCAATTCCATAGTAAAAATCTTCCATTGACGTGGAGTGCCGTTATAAACAAGATACAAAGGATACCATGGGCGACTAAGTGCATAAATCTCCACAGGGATCGTTTCCTTCAGTAAAGATCGTAGTGGGGTTGGTCGTCACCGTGTTAGCGTTGATGCACTCTTTCTCATATGAGCTTTACAGAAACTTGAACACAACATACGGAGTATCGACTTGACGATCACGGCCGAAGGCCGAAGGCCAAATCACTGGATTCTCTCGTTGGCTCGATACCTAATATCCCGTTCCTTCCAAATGGCTGGAGCCCTCAACCTTTCTAGACCTTCCGTGTACCGACCCTGGCCCACTGTAGGTCTCACTGCCACCCATTCTGAAGCTTTTGACGGTAGTCCGCGATCATCTCCGGGGTAACACCACTTCCGCCACAAACAATGATCACCACTCGAGTATCCGGTGTCAAGTCTGGCAAGACTTCTTTCAGCCTTTCCAGCCCAACTTGTACACTGATACCACAAGCAAGCTCAACCTCCAACCGCAACTCGTCACACAATCGCACGACTCCTCTTGCTGCATCCGCATCAGTTCCCACAACGCTGGTCACTTCGACCCCAGACGGAGGAGAGTATGCGTTTTTGAAGGTCTGCGGTGCAACACATAGCGCTCCGAGGGTGTTTGCCTGCGATGTAATGGCAGGTAGAGATTGCAAAGAGCCCTGACGCAGTGAATGTGCCAACGAATGCGCGCCATCCGTTTCAGTGGCGATGATTCGAACCTTCTTCACCTCCTCCGGAAGCGAGGTCGGGTGCTTGGCTGGTAAATGTCTTTCCAGACCGTCGACGATCCCATTCAAAAGTCCACCACCACCAACGCTGCAGACAATTGCCTCTGCTGGGAAGCTGTTTTGTCTTGGGGGCAACTGCTTTACCATCTCATCAACCAGACTTCCCGCCCCTTGCCAAATCCGATGGTCATCGAAAGGTGGGACATAAATGTTTCTGGCTGAGGAACCGGGTTCGTTGCTTTGGTTTTCGATGAACGTCTCTCGCAGATACCTATCGGCTTCGAACCAACTGGCGCCGTGGATGATGACATCCGAAGCACCTGCTGTGCGAAGCTTTTGAACCATCATAGGCTGGGCGCTCAGGGGCACGACCACAGTACAGGCACAGCCAAGATCCCTAGCCGCCACAACTGCGGCAAGTCCAGCGTTACCCCCGGAAGAGCTGAAGAAATGCAGGGTCTTCCCATTGTTTGTTGGATCAGAAAGAGATGAGAGTATCAAATTCCCAATGCCCCTGAATGTGTCAGTCTTCATTCGACCCCGCAGTACGGAGTACGAAAATCTGTACTCACCGTGATTTAAACGAGCCGGACGGTTGAAGCGTCTCAATCTTAAGGAATACTCTGCTATAAGTAATTCTCAGCGCCCGTAATTTGGTGAGGTGAAAGCCGATGCCCAATCTTACCACCCCGCAGCCTTGGAAAATACCGCCGACTCAATCAATGGCGTCTCAATCCACGGTTTTTTCAATTCTGGCTCAGGATTGAAATGGCCCATGGTGAAACGACACAAAGTCTGTTCTATAGAGCTTTTGATAAGTCTGGTGGGTGTTTAAACCTGCTCATAATAAGAACACCGATTTATATCGGTGAGAAGCGGGTCGCCACCGGGCCAGTCTTACCGACGCCCTTGCTTTGACATTCGGCCCCCGAGCCGTGGAGGACTGACCCCAAATATTTAGTGCCTCTCTATACAGCTTGTGGAGTGGAGATAACAATTTTCTTCTCTTTTTCTTTTTCTGTTCCGATCAAGACAACAATGACCATTTATACTTCCAAAGTTCTCCGGCACGATTATTTAAATTGAAACATAATAATTTTGAGCTAAAGGCACCTTGGTGGAATCGATGCCAAGCCATGCAGCGGTGAGTGTCAACATTGGAACCAAGAATCCAGAGAATTGCATGCTGCGCCTGTAGCTCAACTAGTCATTCTATCTAGGTCACCCAGGCAACTCTCTAACTAGCACGTGAGATACATGTTGAATCGACCTTCATGAGTGATTGAGGCCCTGTTGTTGAAGTTCTCCGAGGTTCTTTCTGCTGATTGATCGTACAAATATAGCGATGAGATATCTACATTCGCTAGCATATAAACCTTGAGGATCACAATCAATATGGACCTGGTTTTATCACCATTGGTCGACCTAGGAGTTTCAAGACATCCAGAGCTTTGTAGAGAAAAACACCACGAACCGTTTTACTTAAATTCAGACATTTAAAATAACAATCCTCCAGCCCGTACACGTCGAACATGGAGGAGGTAAATGACTGACCTCGGGAGTTCTTGCATGCCCACGCGTTCGCCTAATTCAGAAGATGTCTACACTGGAGGCACACTTGAGTTTTTGACGAAGATTTGAATTCGCGCACCCCGGTATTTGCGAGTACTCATACGCTCTCCTTCGTGACTGGCTTCTACTTGGTCTATTTTGACTTCGACAGACTTGACAATTGTTTCTCTCACAACCAGTCATGACATGACTCATGACAGATAAGCGAGATTTCCGAACCCGTTGCGGGACGCACCACTGGCCCACGGCACCGGAGTCTGGAAATCTTAACTTAGCTGACTCCAGCCCAATTCGACGACTTGCCTCAAACCTACATTCGAGAAGAACGTGAAATTGTCTAATGCGTCAAGATCAGTGACGTTTACTTTTGCTACTATGGCTACTATGTACAACTCTCCGCTGAAAGTACCCCAACCCTTGGGTTTGGTCACCCTAAGCCGCTATGGGCCCAAGCCGTGAAGATCGTATCGTGTTGCGGGAACACAGATCGCACAATCCACGAACCTACGCCCAAATCGGGCACAGTAACATTTTCAGCCCCGTCACAAGATCGATGCCAAATCCCACAGATAAACATCACTTAAGAACATTCAAGTCAGCACTGGAACTCGACAAAGAGAGCTTAAGCTGAGCGAGAGCAATTGATTTGAACTTTGGAGCTGTGATTTGGTGGCGCATCCTATCATGCTGCAGTTAAGTGGATCTCATCGCGACTAGCGGGGGAAACAAAAAAAGGAAAAACAGATCCCCTGACGTAGATGTGTGTGCATTTTACATAGCTGTGCAATGGTGCTTCCATACCGTCACGCATGGAGGGTGGCAACACGGGCAAATGGCTGGTGCTTACGGGGTACAGTTAGATTGATTTAGGAGGAAGGCGAAGCAGTCAAAGACGGCCCCGTGCTTGGACTCCCAGCTGCAACGCTGTGGGCTCTGGCATTCTGCCAATAATGGTAAGGATTTTCACTATGTGCCGTCATACACTATCTAGCTTTCGATCTACTCCATACTTGCACGAGTATACGATCGAATCTACCAATGGCTTGATCGCTGGGAACCAATCAACACTGGATTCGCTACGAACTGCTGCCCCTCCCAGCTGAAGATCCACAGCTGTTTGATCTCTGCATGACACATCGAAGGCGCTGCGAGTAAGAGGTTTTGGGCGATGGAAGGCCGGGCCTTGAGGACAGCGCTGACGTGAGGAGATGCGGGTGTTAGACTATCAACTGAGGTGATATCATCAGTGTATGAAAGCATTTCCAGTATCAGCTTCGCTGGAAGCCAAGAGAATAAATCCATAGTGGAAGAAACACGACGGACCAGAAAAGCCGTTGGCGTCCACGGGTATCAATGTTGTGGGGCTGATCTAGTTGCGCGCCGTAAGTTAAAGTTGCGCACACTCCGCAATGCATGAAGAAGGATCATTGGACACGAGCAATTAGCCTGAGCGGCTTATTTCAGCCCCCATCAGCCCCCGGTCAGACCCCCGTTAGGTTCCATTCCCCATAAATAGGCCTCATCTCACTAAGAAACATAGTTCCTCTTCTTCATTTGTTTGCTTTCTTCTAATTTTCACCTCACTTCACTTCACTTCACTTTCATTTTTGCTCCCAGTTGAGCTTGAACTCTCATCATGTCGAGGAAGGTCGATCTTTTGCCGGCGCCGGCAAAGCCTCGGCCAATGAAGGTTGTTGTCGCCAGCCCAAGTCGGTATGTTGCCGAGTAAATGAAGAAGGGGGCGATTCAATCACTGACGATGAGCTTTTAGATCGGGAACTCTTGGACTATACCAGGCAATGCAAATACTCGGCTTCAAGACATACCATCTCTATGAATGCATCGTCGCCCACGGCCTTCCTCACATGGAGGTCTTCGAAGAAGCGGTGATCGCTCAATGCAATGATCTCTCCGGAATCAAGAAGTTCACCAAGACTGACTATGAAAGATGGTTAGGAGAGTACGACGTAAGTCTGACATTCTTGGCAATCGTACCCTCTTGTCGCTCAATGTTGTATGCTTTAGTGCCTTGTCGAGGTAACGAGCCACGTTGGCACCGATATAATCGAGGCTTATGCCGAGGATCCCGACGTCAAATTTATCCTCACTGAGCGAGATTCGGAAAAATGGGCAGTCTCTGTGAACAACACGGCAGGGGGCCTGCTCGACATGCCGTATACATTTCCATTCGTGATTCTCAAGTACTTCGATGCCACATTGTATCGGTTCCTGGCTATGAATGAGACTGTTTATCGGGCGATCTCCAAATGTACCAGGCCCGGTGAAGCAGACAATATCCCGACTCTTCAAAAGCACTATACGGATTAGTATGTGTCAGCTGTGTCTGTGGCACTTTTGAATGATGCTGACATCCAATCAAGCATCGAAAAAGCAAAGCAGATCATCCCTGCCGACCGGCTATGCCTCATTCAACTCGAGGATGGCCTTGGTTGGGAGAACATCTGTCCGTTCCTGGGGCTACCCATTCCCAACCAGGCTTATCCCGGACGCAACGAGCCTGAAAAGTTCAAAAAGTTGGTTGAAGGATTCCTTCAACCGAAGGTCACGGCCGCTTTCATGAGGCTTGGCGCCGTTGTTATACCCACAGTCGGTGTTCTTTGTTGGGCTGCTATGACGTACGGTCCCTCGGCAATCACATTGCTCCAAAGTCGGTAATGGCTCGGATAAATGAGGTGATGTGAGCTGATCGGCACCGGGAGCATTGCAAACCCTAGACTGGAATGACCAGAGTTCTCCAAGGGACTTCCTGCATGTCAGGCTAAGCTTTTTGGGCATCTTGAAACCGGTGTAGGTAGCTCGGTGCATATATTTAGGCTAGAAGATAAACGAGCGTGGCTTTAATCCCTTGTTCATGTGTCTACGGGCCAGTCTATAGATAGACCCCGGTCAGCACAACTTCAAAAACGAAGAATCATGTTTACAAAGAAAGAAGGAAGAGGTAGGAAGAGTCATGGCTCTTATATTGTTTAGCTATGCAATGATGAAACAAAGAATGATCCCCCGGGGCCTGGATGGCCACATGATCGAAGAGTTTGGCCCCAGAGCTGTCGCTAAAGACCCTATCTGCGATTCGAGAGGAAATTCTTCCCTGCTCGATGAGGTTCGATGAGGCATTCGATTGGCCACATCAGCCCTGCCCCAGACGGTACAATTTCGATCGAGTCTTCGACGGTAAAAGCCGAGTTGTCAATTGCCTCTACTAGCTCGTCGAGCACAGCCAGCCATGCCAGGCTTTTGAGTGGTCCAATGCATCTCGCCGCACCTAGGGTCTTGTGTTAGCATGCCTAGGTTATCAACTTTTGAGGGTGCACTCTTTGACTCACCACATGATCCGTTTTCGTCCAAATACTCCATGATATCGGAGGGGATGTCGGCATCAGGGTAACCATTGGAAGAGGTCCAGACTGGGCGGAACCCATGCTTTTTCAAATTCGCCATATTACGTGCCCATCCGCAAGCAATCACTGTGTCACCATCTTCAAGGTCGGAGTCCCTGCTTTTTGTGCCAATAGATAGCCGATCGAGCTCTGTTTGTGTCATAGTTTCGATCGAATTCAAGGATCCGCTGTGTGTCTTCGGGTTCAGTAGTCGTGAGAGTGGTTTTGTATCGAGAGCACGAGAGAACAGGAATGCACCGTAGTTCTGTGTGTTGTAGAAGAACGAGAAGAGAAAGAGCGAAGCTCTGGACCCATGGCCATCTAGGATCAGGGCCTAACAAATAAGGCAGCCATGAAGGTACCAACCTTGGAACCACTTTGGCATAAGAAGCTGACTCTTCGAGCGAATCATCGGGGGTAAATGTCCCACCGTTGTTTCATTGGATGACTCTTTTAGATAGTTCGGGCGGGACGGGACCAGGGGACTCGGCCCGCTTGCACTTCAAGGGTGACGACATTACCGCTCCGGGATTGATACTGAGAGCACAAGAACATGAATGTATCGTAATTTCATGTATTTCGGAAGACCTGAGAAGAGGAGAGGAGGAGAGGAGGAGAGAAAAGAAGAGAGAAGAAGAAGCTCTAAATTTATCTATCCACCCCTATCTACCTGTGGGGAGCCTGACCAATTTGGCAGCCACGGACTCCAGAATCAATGAAAGATTCTCTTCCGGGGCTGTATTCATGCGACATATTTTTAACAGAAAAAGTACTTGGTGCAAAACAAAGGAACAAATCAAGATTCCCAAGGCCACCCGTGCGGGGACATGTCCACTGGTGCCGACATCGCTGCGTTGTCAGTCTATAGATCGACCCCGCTCAGCCCAACTTCTCTCAATCATTATTCACTGGATTCAATATCCCCTGATCAAACCACAAGCATGGCGAAATTACTCATTCCTGAGGACTCTCTGCTAGAACTTAGCGATAGGGTCGTTTTCATCACTGGTATGAGCATCTGACAGCTACGGGTTACGACGAAATCAGCTAATAATGATTTAGGCGGCGCTTCGGGCATTGGAAGAGCAACCGCAGAACTATGTGTCGAAAAGGGCGCAAATGTAGTTATTGGCGACATCAACCCACTGCCAGCCGACCTGCCAGAATCAGACAAGCTGAAATATATCCAAGTCGATGTCTGCTCTTGGGAGAGTCAACGCGACGCCTTCATCCAGATCGAAGAATGGTACGGGCACATTGATCACGTCTTCGCCAACGCAGGTCGTGGCCCGACACTCGACTTTCTAGACGATACATTCGATGAGAATGGCCTCTTGGCGCCTCCGAACCTGCGCACTATCAATGTCAATCTACTCGGCGTGATATCGACACTGCGCCTGGCATCTCACTATATTCAAAAGCACAGTGAGCACCGCACACCCGGTGAACTGGGCAGTATCGTGGTTACGGGCTCTGTGTCTTCGTTCCAAACCTTCTCGGCCTGTGACTATACAACTGCAAAACATGGTGTTTTGGGTATGCTTCGTGGTTTCGGGTCTAGACTGGAGGGCAAAGTTCGGTTGAATGCCGTCGTTCCGTCGTGGACAGATACTGGTATCATTGCCAAGGAGTTTGTGGAATCCCTGGGGATTAGCACTCAGGAACCAGTCGTTGTGGCTAGGAGCGTGGTACACCTCTTTGGAAACCAGAAGTGCCACGTTGAGGCCATTTACAGCATGAATGGGAATTACTGGGAAATTAACAAAGCGGAACAGGGCTTACTCCGGGCCGTGGAAAATATGCTCCCAGACGCTGGCAACGAGGAGGCAGTGATGCAGAAGATTGCGGCGATGGCTGCAGCTGGATGAATTATGCTTTTCATAAGACATTTATACAATTATTTTACTATCCTTTTTGTTGTCTTTTTTACTGTCTTTTCACAACATTTTACCCAGTATAATGGGTCATAAAAACCGTGCACAATAAGTCAAGTTCCTTCCAAGGTTGTTGCCGGGCATATCCACCCTGTAGCACTTGGAACCCATCCGCACCTGAAGATATACGTACGTGCTTCCCCGCACTCTCCACCTCTTGGCTGGAATGCATGATTCATGTTTCCACCTCGGTACCAATGCGTCTGCAGTGTTAATAACCCCTCTTTCGGTCATCTCTGCCTCCATGAAGTAGTAAATTCCAACAGCAATCATGGCAGGCTTTGAACTCCAATACCCAATAGATCGTGAATTGACCGGAGGTGACCTTTTGGCACAATGTCTGAAGTATGCAGGCGTCGAAGTTGCTTTCGGTCTTCACGGTGGCCATCTGGACGCGTTCCTCATGGGGTGTGAAGCCAGCGGCATTCGTCTCATCGATACTAGACATGAAACAGTCGCCGTACAAGCCGCTGAGGGATACTCTCGAATCAGCATGAAACTTGGGGTTTGCTTTGTTACTGCTAATAGCGGGTAAGTAGATTGTGGCTCATTATACTCCACAATTCTGAGCTGAACTTGTAGATTCTCCAACGGACTAGCCGGACTAGCCACGGCTTATGGTGATCGAAGCCCTGTTCTCTGTATAACGTCTTCGCCGCCTTTGCGAGACACAGAAAACAACTCGCTGCAGGGCTCTATTGATCAAGTCGTGGCTGCAAAACCAGTTACGAAGTTCGCTCATAGAGTCGTTGCACCCGAGGAATGCCCGAGGATCGTGTCCCACGCAATTAGGATGGCCTTGTCGGGGGCTCCAGGTTTGGATTCCCACACTGCAGACACGTCATGGTGCTCATTTTGTGTTTCAAGGTCCTGTGCTGCTAGACTTCCCCATCGATGTCTTGTTCTCGCCCATCCAACCCAAGTTAATTGCCTGGGGATCGATCACGTCCCCTTTCTTGTATCGTCCAGGACCCAGCGACGGCGCTGTCAAAGCAGCCGTTGAGCTATTGGCTTCGGCCAAACGACCCGTGATCATCACAGGTACTGGCGCAAAACATCCCCATGTATTATTCCTTACCCTGGATTAAGCTATAATGGTACTAATCCACTGTCCAGACACGCGGAATCATCAATAAATTGGCTGAGACCTGCCATATCCCCATTTTTAACACTTCCAAATATGGGGTCTTCACTCCGAAGTCACCCATGCTATCTCAAAGCACAGCAGGAGACTTGGCAAAGCTTCCTCTAATGAACCTACCCACCCCAGACTTGATTATACTTCTCGGTGCACGAACTGGAATGTTCCTCGGCGGTAGAAGTGGAGCCATCATACCAAACGAAGGATGTAAGCTACTCCAAGTAGACTGCGACGGAAGCGAGATCGGCCGTTCACTACCCATTGACCTGGGTATAATCTCCGACGTGGATGCATTTGTCACTGCCATGAACTTCAAAGTCACGACAGTGTTCCAAAGAAGGGTTGACAGAGCTTGGGTCAACTCCGTTCTCGGCATCGCAAAGCTGGAATCGCCATTTGAGAAAGAGTCTCAACAGAGCTCTGCGGGTGCTCTGCATCCGTACCATGCAATGAAAGAGGTCATGTCCGCCGTCGAACCTGGAAGCATCATTGTCCTGGATGGAGGGGAAGCTTCCGCATGGGGCGCGGACCTTGCTGCCCTCTCTGACCCCAGCGTTGTTCTCACTTCAACCGGATACCTCGGGTTCTTGGGCAATGGATTCGGGTATGCGTTGGGCTGCGCAATTGCAGACCCAGAGCGAAAGGTCGTCAACATACAAGGAGATGGTTCAGCCGGATTCCATCTGATGGAATTGGACACGTACAAAAGGTTCAACCTCGATATAATGACGGTTATCGTCAACAATTCTAGCTGGGGCATGAGTTCCAACGGACAGGATATCGTCTATGGATCCAAACATCCAGCTCGAATGATCAGTGCCCTCAATCCAGAAACTCAATATGAGCTTGTGGCTCGGGGCTTGCAAAATTCAGCGGCGAAGCTTTCGAGAATTTCTGATATCCGGGGTACGATTACAGAGCTTCAAGCTGGGCCGGGGCCCAGCTGTGTCAATCTGGTCGTTGACCGTAAGCCTGTTCATCCTATTACCACGGCAATGGTTGGATTGACGGATGATCCGAGTTTGGTCGTGGTTCCATATTATGATAACATTCCACGGGCATATCATAAGCTGTAGTTATTTGCGAGCATGGGTCCTGTATGAAACGAGGTGGGATTCCTTTTGCTATTTCTTGGACCTTTTTTCAACGCATCGTAGCCTTGGAAGCTCAGCCTATCAAATTTAAACGATAGTACATTCAGCTATTGGCATGGATTGAGTCATGTGCCAAGTAGTATCATGACATCCCGCTATAGAACATCAACTACGCCAAAAGCCAGTCAAGAAAATCCCATGAAACCATCAATTCTTCATAAAAGGGGGTATTAAATATACACAATAACAGACTTCCCGAGCTAGAGCATAAGAGGCACTGATATATCTCGAGAACAAGGACACCATACCGCCTTAAACACCCAAGGCAGACTTAAGAAGGTTCAAGCCAATCTCCTTCAACGCAGCACCGACATCCAGCTTCACCGTCAGCTTATTGGCCGAAAGAGCCTTAGTGAAGTAAGGCAGCTCCTTGCCATTATAGGTGCTCGAGTTTCCTGTGATATCGAAAGGAACGATTCCATCTGTGTAAGGATTGTCGCTTGATGTCAGTAGACCGATTATAGCGGCTTGATCCACCTTTGCAAGCATGGGAACGTTGTTGTCGCCTGGTTTCAAGACTAGGTCGTTCAGGTAGGTCGTTCCCATTGCCTCGCCGTCGACGGCTAAATTGAGAGATAGATTTCCCTGTTCCTGTTAGTGTCTTGGATTTGCTTCGGAGGAGTTGAACATACCATGGTGATTGTCATGACAGAGGGATTGGGAATCTTCACCGATCCGTTCATGTTGTACCCATCGACAGCGGGGAGCATGATGTGGAACTCCGTCACGGCGAAGCCCTCGAGTTTATTGAGACCTATTTCCGTTAGCCGCTGGAACTGAATCTGTGGTTAAAGATACAAACCTTTCATAGCCACAGTCTTGTTGTATGTGACAGTGGTCTTAGGCAAAGCACCCTCCTTCAGCCCAGGGCGTCCATAGATATTCAGAGAGACCTCCTTGTTCATCATGACCGCTGTAGCGAAGTCACCAAAGGCATCCGAATCCGACAAGTCAACGTCCTGCTCGACGTGAATCTCCGCGCCATCGTTAGACTTGACACCGGGAACAGTGACAGTCGCGAAAGGCGCAGCGGCACCACCCAAAGAAACCGCAGCATCGAAAGCATAGATCTGGGGATGATAAGAGCTTTTCGAGCCTAGGATCTGAGTCTGATTGAGCTTAAACGATTCCGGTGTCGGGTCACTGATGACCATCTGTTTGATATCGAGTGTGGAGTCATTGACAGCATCTTGAGCGATCTTGGGGTATCCGACGTAAACGCTGAAATCTTGTCAGTGGCGTAATCAATCACATGAGGCATTTATCCCTACTTACACTGGCAGAGCAATAACCAGCACAGAGATCACAAAGACGATCAAGTGCACCCACCACCATTTCTTGAAATGGGCAGCGACTCGCGCGCCGAAAGTCTGCTTCGGGGCTGGGGACACGCCGGTTTCCTCGACGACTGATCCCTTGGTGGCAGACATGTTGTGTCGCTGGAATTGTGAATTTTGTTCAATGCTGGGCAGAGCAATACATACCGAGCCAGGGAAAGGGCGAAATCCGAAAGCCGAAGGGGGAGATCTCGAGATGAAACTGGTACCACGCACCGGTGGGACTTTTTATAATAAAACAGACTGCATCTTCGGTGTATCAAATCTTCTAAAGCAAGCTAAAGTTTCGTCATCACATGCGAGATAAGAAAAGCAATTTAAGAAAAAGCAAAAAAGGGGTCATGCAGTGGCTGTTAGGTGCTCAATAGGGAATAGTATGCGCAGACGAGATATACTTCGCTAGCGAGGTCTGGGGAAACTCCGGATTTGCATGGAGATCCGATCTGAGGTCTAGATTTGTTTGGTTCACCTGGGGAATTCATTAGGTACAATCATATGAAAGAAGGGGAGAAAGTAAGAGAATAAGCCCAAAAAAAGCCAGCCGAGGTGGGTTGAGACGAGAACCTTGGAATCTGAGGTCTAATTGCAAAGTCGAAAGCCGTGCAACTCCGTTATTTTCCAGGACCGAAGAGTGCGGTTACATCCATGAATTGTACACCCTTTGCATGAACGCGGAGCTGATTGGACTGGGGTGAAACTAGTAGCCTATGGCGTTGCGCCAAGAGCCCTTAATGCAAGGGTGAGGCCCGTATCCAGAAAAGACTGGGCTATTCATGGGGTACGAGCAACTATACCCGTGGTGGCGTTAATCAAAAGAAGCGACACCAGTGCTCGTTTAGGTAAATTGGCAAGCCTTCTTTGGGAGAATCTAGTCACGTTGGGTTAATCCTCCGATGTGGAAATGAGGGGGCCAAAACCCGGGGTATGTCAATGCTGTCTATGTTGGCTAATGCTGTCTATATCAGATGTACGTTCTCCCAAGTGCAGATAGACGTCTGGAATCTGTCATGATATTCATCGCAATGTGCGTCCGGAAAGCTCGATCCAAGAGAAATATGGAAAATATGGCCATGAAATGAAATGAGGGGTGCCAGAAGAGAAGAAACAAAGAATAGGTGGCAAATGATGGGGGAAATAAAGGGTATCCACGAAGAAATGAAGTATTAAGCCTGCGAGGCACGGGAGTGACTCGAAAACAGCTGCCCAGGCGGCTCGGGTAGAATGCAAGGAGAATAAACAGACATGGGAAAAGGTAGTGAAGGAGTGTGAGAATGCAAAAAGATTCAGAACAACAAAGAAATAAATCAGACGTTGGCTCGAAACGCTCCAGACATAGTGCAAGATGCAAGATGAGTGGTTGTAAAACACCAAGGTGAGCATAGCAAGAAAAGAAATAAAGTCAAAAAAAGAAGAAAGAAGAAGGAGAAAAAAATAAGAAGAAAAGAAGAAAAAGATCAGAAGGGTCAACGAAGCGAGACCAGCTGTGCCAGGCAATCTATGCCTCCGGAACCATGGACTTCTTGCGCTGGAAGATACTGCGAGTGCGAGATTTGCTCCGAGGCTTCTTCTCCTTCTCGCCACTGGCATTCCGGCCAGTATTTCTCCCCCGCGAGCGCGACTCCTTGTCCTTGGCCTCAGCCTCAGCCATGTATTTATCTTTATAGATCCTGCAAAACCGTTAGTGAAACCCCAGGACTGAAGTAGAACAAAATCCAAAAAAAGAACATACCAAGAATTGCCAACCATACTCATACCCTTGGACTCGGCCTGGCGGTAGAATCTCGCAGCCTTCTTCATATCCTTCTTACAGCCAACACCCTCAGCATAGCAGAATCCAGCCTCAGCCATGGCATCGACATCGCCCCACTGACCGGCGATTTCGAAACAGCGCAGCGCAAGCGATTTATCCTGCTCGATACCCCAGCCATTGAGATAACTCACTCCCAACTCGTAGATGCTGAGGGCAAATTGCGCCCTGTAAGCCTTCTGCAACTCCTTTGCTTTGGAAGCACCAGGGGCATCGGGATTAGCGAGCATTTCCAATCCAACGGAGTCCACAGCCTTGCGTAACCATCGCACGCCCTCTTTTTCATTTGACCGCATGCCCCAGCCATGTCGACAAGCCAGCGCATAGAGCAACATGCCCGTTGGGTGGTCTTGTTTCGCGGCAACGCGCAGGTGGTAAGTAGACTGACTCAGGGAACCGCGCTCGTGGCATTCGATTCCCTTTGCGACGTGGTCGTCGGCCGTAAGCCCCGATGCTGTCACTGGGGCTACGGCGGTTTGCGGCCGCGCAGTGCTGACGGAATCTGCAGATGAGACGGTTGAGTCTTTTTCGTTGCTTTGTCGGGCGCTTTCGGCCGAGCGTCGGGGGAGCAGCTCCACTGATGAGGGAATAGGGGGAGGCTGCAGTGATTTGGTGGATCTGACAGATCTGGTGGATTTGGGAGTTTCGGGCTGGACTGGGGGTAGAGGAGGTGTTTGAGGATTTGAGGCTGGGACTTCGTGCATTGAGTGAGGCTTTGGCGAAGATTCCATGCGGCGCGGCGTGGGAGATGGTGTGCGTGCCGTGCGAGATGCTTCCTCTGATTTACGCGGAGGAGTCTTTTCGAATAGCGGTTCCGCCCACTCGAAATTGGGCGTTTGCAAGCCTGCAAAGACCATTGAATCTCGAGATGGGAAGCGGCCGCGGGGAAGGGCATAGCTGGCGTAGGTATATGACGACACGGCTGAAGATGGCTCGTCTCCGTTGGGCGCGGTGGCAGCAGCTTGCTCGGTCCCAAGTGGCAGTAGCAGAGGGGTCGGCTTGCTGCGCCGGTGCATCTGGTTCGGCGTAGGTGTATTAGACTCGGTTGGTGTCGAGGTTCCAGGGGCAGACAAGCTGGTGCTCGAGCGACTCAGCGGGCGGGAGAAATTGAAAGAAGGACGAGGGAGGTGGTGCGCGCCCGTTGCTGACGTTTCCGAGCTCAGAGAGGGCGATCGGGGGTATGAGCGTGGGGGGAAATTCGATTTGGGAGAGTAAGGTAACGACGCCGCGCTCCCGGAGGACAGCTTCCTCGGTTTCGAGAACGTTGAGCCGCCAGTCGAACTGCTGTAGTCATCATCGGAGCTCTCGGGGTGCGTAGTTCTAGCGGCGCTGGATGCGCCAGGCGAAACCGGGGGCGCCAAGGTGCGCGGGATGTTCAGTCGCGAATTCTGTGAATCGGTGGATGAGCCGCGAGGTTCGACCAGGGTCACGCCAGGCGGAGGTTGCGCTCCGCTTGGTAGCGATACCGCATCCTCTGGAGATTCGGCGCGAGGCATGCCATATGCCTCTCCAGGTGTTCCAACCATGGTCGTCCGGGGTGTGGTGTCGTTGTCGTCATCATCGTAGAAGCTAGCCTCGGTCGTAGCATTGGATACCGAGCTAAATCGAGGGTGTTCGGAAATCGGGCGGTATTTGGGCTCCTCGAACTCGGGGAGGGCTTTCTGCGTGGGCTGGCGAGTGAGTTCGGTGCGGGTTACGGCATCGGTGGAGGACTTGGATCGGGAGAAGCCTGGGCGGCCTTGTGAGAGGGAGCGGGCGACGCTGGAAGGAGGCAGTCGGCTCATGCGACGGTCTGCCCTTCTAGACTCGTCGAGTTGGCGGGCGAGAAAGCGACCCTGGGCGGCGAAAGCGTCGAGGGGTGATAGTGCGGGAGGCACCTCACCGTCGAAATGCGCGACCCGCGGTGAGGGCATGCCGCTCCGCAAGGTGTCATGAGACGTGGAGCGACAGTCACTCAGCTTTCCTCTCATATGCATGATGTAGATGTATCCCAGGTGTGTTTCAGGGCTCGGTATCGTGTCGGATATGCAGTGTCAATAGTCATCCAGCGGTCGGACGAGTCGAATATTGCGGCATCGGAGTGAAAGAGGTGGAGGACAAAGGGCGGGGGAGAAGCACAGCAAAGGAATGACAGCCCTACAGGGGAGAGAGAGAAGATGCAAGGGCAGGACGTTAAAGGGCCTAGAAACCTAGAGACGGGAGAAAGGAGAAAGACGGAAGGCCCTGACGATCACAATGCGAAAGACATGACAACGTAGCCCCGTGCACTAAAAAAGAAATTGATCCACTGTCGACGTTTAGAAGATCGTCTCAGGGGAAAACAACCTTCAGGGGGTCGCCAAGAAGCACCTTGACGCCATATCTGCATAGTGAAGGCACTTGGACGTTATAATTGGCCTATAATCACAAATGACTCGAATATCAGTCAACTATTGCCTTGGACTTGGCCCTGTTCACGTATCGGAGTGTTTTGTTGACCCGCTATCTTCTAGAATTCAATTCTGACACTCTCCACTCAGTTTCATATTGGAAGTTGATTCCTTGCATTGCTGTGTCTGTATTTAGAAATGGTACTTGAAACTGCCTCTTCGTCATAGGGATCCATTATGGAGGGGAATCGTACGCAGTTGGAGTACAAATATGAGACATGTCCTCCGTACTCGTACTCAGCACAGTAGAGCCATTTTCTCAGTTAGGACCAGTTATAAAAGAGATGACGCTTCCCCCAGGTTTTGACTACAGCCTTGGGACAGACTTCTTCCAATGCAATTATGGGCAAGGATTAATGTTTACTTCCTCCACGCAACGTCCCCTGCAAGGTCATCAAAACAAGCACGGAGTATGGAGCAAGTACTATAAGCTACCACATTATCACGAACACCCCCTCGGATTTTTCTTCCGTTGCAACATTAGAATTCACACAGTGGGCCCAAACAAGAAGACAACGTTCTAGCCCCCAATTGATACTTTCTCTTGACTCTCAGACCAAGTTCAATCGACACTAACAGCACTAACAACACTAACAGTTCTTAGTTGAAAATCGAAATCGCCAACTCAAGACTCACCGCTTTCGGGAAGTGTACCATGGAAAGGTCGCTCGTTCCATGTGCAGTGTTGGTTTGGTCCACCAATCACCAGCTACCAAGTGGATCATCTGATCAATTCTAATTTGGGAATTTGCACTCGTGTGAACTACTTCCAAGAGTCTGAATTACTTGTACAAGAGTGTTCCAGACCAGTTCTTGGACAAACTCAGACAGCTTCACGAGACTCACGAGCCCATGATCTAGATTCCCCCCATTTGCGTACTACCAGATGAAACTCGTCACATGTCTCAGTCAAAAACGCTAATTACTCACCATCTCGGCCCATCTTACTTGCTATCTCGGTCGTACTACTCATTCTTTCACGCTTCAGCTTTTGGTTCTCTCTCCGACAATCTCTGATTCGTGGGAGTCATCCATTTCCCGGCACCGCTTCCGGTGCGTAAAGCCGGCGCTGGTGGGGGCAAATGGAACTAAATCCGGAACTAAATGCAAAAGTGTATGCACTACGACCTCAGGTGTCGTAACCGAGCCCTATCATAAGGCAGAGCTTGCAAGCTGGGTACTATGGCAGGAAGAGCCGGAGACTAACAATGTAGCTCCAGTGGAGAATGGATGTACACATAGAGCTGCTGTGCCTTCCATTTTTTCCCACCTTCGCTTTCCTCACTGCCTCATCGTCAGCGCCAGCGTCGCGTCTGGCAAAGCACACACGACCATGCGTCGAATCCCGCTAACCACCCTCTTCGGAGTCGATAAATCGACCGATGAGAAAAAGCACTTCGAGACGTCCTGGCTCCTCCCACCCGCCATTCTCGCTGGGCTGCGCGGTTTAATCGCCCTATACATCTTCACCACCATTTTCTTCTTCTGGGGCTGGTACGGCACCCACGGTGAAACAGCTACCATCGGCCAGTCCTTCAGCTTCTTCACATGGCTCACATACTGGGGAATTGGCTTCTACATGCTCTTCGCCGCAATCCACACTGCTTACTATGCCCGAACCGGTCACTCGCTGCTATACCGATGGCCTCGTGCGCTGCGCATCCTACACAGTCTACTCTATTCGAGCATCACGACCTATCCCTTCCTAGTCACCATCGTGTTCTGGGCTCTGATCTTCAAATCGCCTTGGTATACAAAGACTTTCACCGGTTGGCAAAATGTGAGTAAACAAAAAAACATTCGTTCCGATCCATCCGAAATCACCGACATATCAACCCCACCCATGACGAAACTAATTGCTTTGTCAATGCAGATCTCTCAGCACGCCTTGAATTCATTCTATGCACTATTGGAAATTACTCTGCCTACCACTTCACCGCACCCGTGGATCGCGATTCCATTCCTTATTCTCGGTTTGCTGTTTTACCTGTGTGTCGCGTACATCACCTTCTACACTGAAGGCTTCTACCCGTACTCATTCCTGAATGTCGGCGACCACGGGCAGAATAGTGGGCTGGTGACGGGCTATTGTTTCGGCATTCTTGCTGCTATACTCGTCATTTTCCTTGTTTCGTGGGCTTTGATCTGGTTGCGTTGCTGGCTGACGCGGGGCAGGATCAAGAGAGCCAGACGGGATCCGTTGCGCGCTGCTGGTGTGTCTGTCGGTGCTGGAGCTGGGGACCAACAGGGTGAAATGAAAGAGTCGGTCTGAGGGTAAGATGTGAATGCGCTTTCCCTCCGCATAATTTTTATGTCCCTCATAACGATCAGATGTGATCTCACTAATGCTCAATGCTAATTTTACCTACGGGTTGATACGTCGATACGTGATAATATGAATAGCTTATTCACTCATCCTCTTCTGCGTAAGGCGCTGTACCTACCTTATCGCGGGTCAATTGTCTTTAGTTGTACTTTTTCGAAAATCCTTATGATCAAGATGAGAGTTTCCAATCGTACGATGTAGACTGCGGAATACGAAGTGCAAACCTTGGGGGCTGCCGAGGTCACAGATGTTTCGAAATGGTGTGGCTGGGATGACTGGTCTACTTACTCCGTACTGGTGTGCATGCTTCGAAGTACGTACACCTGGGCATAACCTTGGCATGTAGCCCTGAAGGTATATTCACATCAACAATGGTCTTTGAGAGCACACCAGTCAGTATAGACCGATTGAATATCATTAGGAGCGAAGAGTATTTTCAAAAGATAATATATACAGAAAGTCAACCAAAGCTCTCGCTTTGAATAGATTAAAGGAGTGAAATGAGGTACCCAAATATAGCATACCCCTAAACTCTCTCCCAGCTAGTTTCACTGCCACTTCCACTGGGGGTATCAGACGCACTTCCGTTCCCGCGGTACCCCATCATCAGCGCCACGAGTCCACTCGGCACCCAAGCGCCAATGAAGCTGTACGAGCGAGCTCCCCTTCCCACATACATGACGGATTTCTTGGTTGTTTTCCGACCAAACATATCCCGCGTGGTAGGCTCCAGCGCATCCAAAATAGCATAGTGGAGCTTACGCGCGGGGGATCCACGTACCGTACCAGGGCCGGCAGAGGCGACGGGACGCTGCTCAACACTGTTGAGGTATTGCGAGGCATACAAGGCTCGCTGCTGGGTGCTCCAGGCGAGGACCTCTGTGCCTGCGATTTGGCTCTGACCGGCTCGGAAGATGGGTCCCAGGTCGATGTTTCCGAGACGCAGTTCGACGACGTTCACGTTGCTGTTTTCCAGCAGGCGAAGCTCTTGGCGGAGAGAGTCTGCGAAGCCGGAGATTGCGCGTGTTATGGCTACTTCGGGTCCAGCGAAGGGTGCGGACAGGGAGGATGAGATGGAGGGGTATGCGAAGAGGAGGGTGCTGCTGTTGCTGCGGAGGGTGAGGAGAGGGAGGAAGGCTTGCGCGATAAGGATGGGCGAGAGGAGGCGGGTGTTGACTGTGTCGGCCCATGATGATGGCGGGATGGTTGCGACGGGGCCTGCGCTGTAGTTGGGTGATGGGACCACGATCACGCCGCTCAGCTGGCAGGTATGCGCGGGTACTCCTGGCAGAGGAGACTGTGGCTGGGTGATGAGGGATCGGATTTCTTGCAATGAGGGGTGAACATCGGAGGGCGAAGAGGCAGTCTAATGGGGCGAGTCAGTTTGAGTTCCGTTTCGTGGTCAGAGAGAGATCACTAACAGTTGTGAGGTCCATCCACAGGGCCTTGATGTCGGCGCGATTCTCGGATTTGACAATCTGCTCTTCATCCGCGGAAGAAACAGTCACATAGACGATATAGCCCCGACGTTCCAGATCCGTGGCAATAGCTCTCGTCATCGGCTCATGGGGTGATCCAGCGACAACTGTATGTAGGATTAGTATCTGATGCTCACGCCATCCAACAAAGTACAAGGTATAGTACATACCCACGATCTCCTTCCGTCCACCGTTGCTCGCCCGTTTGGCTTTTCTGCGCTTGCCATGGAGCTTCTTGCTTCCGTAGTACAAAACGACACCAGTTCCGATGAACGCGAAGATGGCCGCCGTCCATGCGCGATTCCTTGCCATCCAATTTTGCACCCGGTCCGAAAGGCCTTGCGACCGGCCCCTCGGGCTCACGCGGGCTGGCCTCACAGTAGGTGGAAGCCATGTCTGCTGCGCTAGTGTATCCTTAATCGCTTTCGCGGCGTGGTCGACATTTCGGTCGATGGAGTCTGCGACTTCGAGTGAATACCGCCTTACGTCATGGGGTATGGAGGAAAGCTAAAGTTGGACATCAGCGCTGTGGGATTTCATCTAGTATGTGTACTCACATAGTCGAAAAAGAACTGGTCATCACTCGTCATCTTGTTTATTTGGAGATAGGAAGAAGCGCAAAGTTCAAATGCTGATAAGAAATGACTGATAAAGCCATCACGGTCACATGAGCACTTTGCAAGAAGCGACTCGGAGAATCTGACACGGACGACCGGGTTCCAATGTGTTTTTCTATCATCAATTTATCTCAACTTATACCATGCACCGATTGAAATGAATTAACAACAACCATCGACTTTCGATACATCAGATCATGTCAACTGGTTGAAGTTCTAACTAAATATTTGCATCTCCCCAGCACACCTCGAGACGCAACCACAACTTCCCGAGGTCCACTCTTTAGATCAATAAGGCAAACTGGAGACCAACAACGGATTTAATAGTCCTCCAGGCGAATCCAAGAGTCCGCCATATTGTGGCCAATGCAATACTCAATCAGGTGGCAATCTTTCACCAACAACAATCATCGTCCTTCCAAATCAACCCTTGCGCCTTGTCAAGCGCAAGATATGCTGCGAGTTATCGCATTAGGTACTAACTTTGGATTACGGAACAGCTCGAGGAAACAAGAGCGTTGTCTAGTTCCTTTAACACATTGCATCTCCAGAGGCGAGTCGCATGGCAAATAGACAATGTCATTTAAAGTCATTATGACGAAGAAACAGCACCCAAGTATATAAATCGGGCAATATTCCTGAAAATTGCCAACTTGAACTGATCAACTCGAACCCGAACCGTTACTACGTATTTACAATCGAAGATGGAGCCCTTGCAAAAATCAGGCCATGACGCGCATTCCAAAAATGCAGGTGCCTCTCGCCAGAGTCACATCCTAGACTCCCGAATCGAAATTCAAGACATGCAGGACCCAATTGAACCCGGTTCTACAGACGTTGATGAGCGGATGAGTAAGTCATGAATTATACCACGGGGATTCGTTTCTGGGAAATTGACAAAAGAAATCAGCACGGGACTTCAAGGATGCCATCGATCGTACCAATATCCTGGACGGTGATCGGCTTCGCCACGCAAAGCCGCAGTCCTCAACCGCCTACAACGAGCCTTCTGAGAATGAGATTGATATTTCTTGGAGGCCTGATCCATCTGGTCATCCTCATAGGACTTTCTAGGTAGTTGGAATGGAGTGACATTGAATTTGAAAATTTGTCTCTGGATTGATTGTAAGCACGTTGGATTTATTCATGGTCTTCCAAGGTTGGAAGGCGTCCGGTATATCCATGGGTCAGCAAAAGCCTGGCTCCGGGGTAGGGAGGCGAAATCTAATTGGATGGGTCCGGGGGTGAATGTATAAGGCGCTGGTTACTGGTCGCCACTTGGCGGGTGAATGTTTAGTAGCCACAGCGACACCGGTGGAATAATCTTATTCCTACTGGCTGCAGCTAAGGAAAGAGTCCGGGGTCAGGGTCTTCATGCATGCGGGTGATAATTAAGGTAAAACCCGCGATCGGGTGATCTACGTGTGCAGTGCCGCGATCCAAAAATTGTACGCACGTGCCAATTGCAATGGAAAGTAAATTGCAGGAAGATATCATTCATACGTGAGGTGATCTCGTAAGAGTTCAAAAAGAAAATGCTAACTGTACATGAGTCATTGAAAACGCCGTCCCAGATGAGTTTTGCTTTTTACAGCTTGCCAGCAGCCGCCTTGGCGTGACGCTCGAAAGAGGACACGGGAGGGGCGGAGTTGGGGTTGGGGTGGTGCTTCTTGAGAGCCATCTTGACGTTGTACTCCAAGTCGAGGGTGGCCTTGGGGTCATCGGTCTTGGGCTTGAAGTCGACAACGAGATCATCCTTAACAGCGAAGACGGAGTCAATGGCAAGGTGGGGGTCGTCGCTGGGGTAGATCTGGTTGATGACGGTGGCGTATTCGGGGTGGGTGATCATAAGGTGGATGTGGGCGGGACGCATGGGGGAGCGGTCCATAAGTCCGAGCAGAACACCGGCGGGGCCGTCGGTGGGCAGGGAGTAAGGGGGTGGGGTGGTAGCAGTACCAGTTGAACTCTCCGTTCTCGTTGGAGGTGAACTTGCCGCGCAGGTTGTTGTCGGTTTGAGTGGGGTCCTGGAAATCGTACTGGCCGTTGGCAGAGGCTTGCCAGATATCGAGGACGGCACCGGCGATAGGCTTGCCGGTCTCCATGTCGCGGATGGCACCGTGCATGAAAGTGACACGGCCATTGGGCTTGGGGTCCTGAATAATGCTGTCGCCGAGAGCGCGGAAGGGAGCGTTGGGAGACCAGAAGGGGCCGAGGATAACGTTGGAGGTGGGGGAGACACCATCCTCAGTGATGATCTTGTTGGCGATCTCATCGACGAGACTGAGAAATTGAGTTAGTTCAAGTTTTCAATTAAGGTTGATTTTGATTTTTGAAGTTAAAAAAGAAATCGTGGAGATGGCGGTCGGACTTACGACTCAAGGCCGATCACATCGCAAATGCGGTGACCCTCGTTACGGATGGGGGTGCTGATCTGTCCGATAGAGTTGATGAACTCAACACCGAGCATCCACTCGGCAGAAGTAAGCTCAACCTCACGAGCGAAGTCGTGGATGTGCTTGATCAGAGAGCCCAAGACCACGCGAGCACGCTCGGGGGTCTTGGGGCCCATGCCGTTGATCACGGAGGGAGTAAAGGTGGGGTCGAATTGGCGGGGAGACATTGTGTTTGAGAGATATGGAATAGTTGAAAATCAGAAATGTCTGGGAGACCCTCGAGGTCTATATAGACGGAGGCCGGCGGCATTTTGCTCGGCTGGTCGTGGTTGTGGGGGAGCCGCAACGGTGCCAAACCCAAAAAATACCGTCGCCACCTGCCGAATGGGTTGATCCCGTGAATCATAGATTGTTTCAATCTGGCATCGGTCAGCATCAACAGCCGAGTGGCGGCTGGTTCCCTATTATAGGACCGCGGGGTCACCGGGGTAGTTCTTATCCGCGGGTAAGCCCCGGGACCAGCCCCCAGTCTCTTTACCCGTGCTACCTTGGGCGGTGGGGGACTGACTCAGCGGGTTTTTTACTGCCTATGATTGGCCCGTTCAGCCATAAGGCTTGGCTTTCTCCAGGTCACCCGTGGACATCCGCTATGATTGTACGTGCCCAGGTCTATAACATTGGCCTATACTATGAAATTGTTTCAAGGGTTCCTAAACTCTCTGCCTTCGAATGCGGTGCTTGAAAAAAATTACTTTCATTCCATGTATAGTGTGTTTTAATTTGATTGGTGTTTACCACCACACTCATTCAACTTGACAAGGCCAATTCAATAGCCCTTAAATGGAAGTAGATCAACCGCCTCGAAATATTGACCTTGAAACGCTCCATAGTCAACCTTCTGACCGATTTTCCGGAACAACCGCTTCAGTGCTTTCTTATCTTTCTCATCGCATTTTGGGTGCTGGTCTTGCGAAACGAATCGGTCGACTACCATATATCTGTCGCGCAATAATACTGGCCTGATTTGATGCTCTTCTTCAAAGGGCATTCCTTCGTACCAGTCGCCACGACCAATAGCAAAATGCCGCAGGTGAGGAAGGCCTGATTCAAGAGAAGCAAAATAGTCATGCCACCGGCGTCGATAATGGCAACGCAGTCCTCGGCCTTCGTCAGGGCTCTGCAGTACAATTGTCCCTGGAAGGGTAGAATCATGTTGCGGATCTGTGTCGCTTGCAGCGAACTCAAACAGTATCGAACAATCATCAAGGTAAAGTTCTTGAAGTGTCGACGAGTGCGAGATAATCCAATCCAGCTGAGCATCCTCGGAAAAGCAGTATCTGCCAAAGGAGAGAGTGCGTAGACTGGGGAAGTGGGTTGCCTTTAGTGGCATCCTGGGATAGTTCCCCCAACTCATGTCGGCGTATAGAGCAAGGCTCCGAAGCGACGACATTGCAGGCTTAGGCCAGACAGATGGCAGCAGACGATTGTAGAAATCAACAATTCTTTCTTTCTGTCAGAGGAGATATTGGTTTCCAGGTCAGCGTTGACTTTTGTGATGAGCATGATATAGACCCTACCTCAACTTCTTCATCTGACACTCCTGCATCAGATGCATGCGCCACATTGAGTCTCAAGGAGCTCAGTCCTCCCAGAATGGCATCACCATGTTCACCCAATTGCGTCGTGTTTTGGTTGTTCTGGATCGCAAACTCTTTCAAAAGCCGTGGTAGAGCCACCGCTTCCGGAAGAAGCCATTTCAGGATCGTGCTTCTATATTCCTCGCTCTGCATAATATCCATGAATATGAGGGGTTCCGTACAACAATTTTTATCGTAGCGAAGAGCAATAGCTTCGAGGTTTGGAAGCGTTTTCAACATGGCAAACAGCTTGCACCATCCCTCAGGCAGCTCATGGGTTCCACCAATCCCTGCCAAACTGGGATCCTATAGACTAATTAATGAACTACCTTGATTAGGAAGTCATGGGCTTCTGGTTTTTTTTTTTTTTTTTTGAACAGAATGATACGAGACTCACAAGGTCGAACATAACAGTCATGAGATAGATTTTTTGCACATGTTCTCTTAGCTGTGGATGTGTCATAATCGATTCGACGGCATCGCAGCTGTCAGGTTCATTGAACAGAGCAACAGACTGAAATAGTGATTTTCGTCGCAGGAGTGCATATATCGCGACTGGTCAGTCGCAGGGATTTCAGAGATTCATAATCCAAAAGCGATGTAATCATTAAAAGGATCTCCGGGGGAAGTGTTGAAGCCATTGAAGCCATGTTGTGTCATCAAGGGGTACGATTGAAAGAAGAAGTGCCCAGGTGGAATGACGACCCCACAAGTTTTAATTTCTTATCTTAGAAATTCTTGGCACATGTGGAAAGCTCAAAGTAATTATATAAACACTGCATTTTTTCTCTACGCGCACTTCATTTCTTCAAATGTTGGGATTCCAAGGTTATTAATTAGTCACCAATTGATGTCGCCCAGGCGGAAAATTCCAGATGAATTGCCCCGATTATTACCAAAAAATATCTATAGACACTCCCCAAATCTAGAGTATCATATTGAAGAAGCTGACTTTGATTTGAACACAGTCCGAGAAATGACATTGGGGTATGATTATTATGCATTAAAGTGACCTGGGGCGATATACTATTGGCGCAGGTAAGATAGGAGATAAAAGCGTGTTTTCAAGGCTTGCTGGGCTACGCAAAACCAAACTCAGAGGCCAGTGAAGCAATGGACCCCATTTAGGATCAAGAACCTCTGCGACAGCTTCAATCATCGGTCGAGGCCAGCCCTTGGTCCACCAAGTAGAGCTCATTATGTAAAGAATGGCACAATAGTATGCAAATACCAACAAAGCTTCTGGTACCTTTGCTTCAAGAAGCTCGAAATACCCAGGGGGTACTCTGATTGGCCAAATAAACGCAAGTGCATGGTCGTGGGAATGGTGCAACTCCGTTATGACATTGTGGAGCGTTTCGATTGCCGAGAGACATACTTGAATGTTTCTCTCGTCCGAAGAGTGTTGTCGAATGCCCTCGCAAAGTAGATTAACTTGAGAGATAACCAGTTCTTTGTGTGGTGGCTCATTGGGATTTGTATCGTCCCGTGCACGATCACCTGCGCTCATCATTGGAGCGAGGGGTCCGTTGAAGAGGGCGATTCGAAATTCACTGTATCCGACGATAGATGGCAGACCTCGGATGAGAATAATCCACTCTGATAAGTGAAAGCCTAGCCACACATCGATTTGGTTGTTCTTCGATGGACCTGGCGACACGGCAGATTCTGTTGGTCGAGCAAACGTTGTAATGAACAACAAAACTGAACATCCGAAAGTACCATGACAGTTTGCCGTAGTTACCGAGGAGAGACTGTATCGATAGCCCTTCAAGGCGCTCTCATGGTGCTTGTAGGCTGCCTGAAGATAAACTTCCCGTGGAAAGTCGGCAATCAGGGGCTGTGTATAGTTCCCATGTTCTCGTTGGCTGACAACATGAAAAGCAGAAAGTGCTAAGATGGAATGTAGCAAATATTCATGCTGCATAGCAAGCTCCACGAGGCTGGTGGAGACACACAATCGCGCATCAGGGGTACCCGATAATGTTTGCGCTGTTTTGGTCGTGTAGTGGTGTAATAGTTTGAGGTCCAGCAAATTGCCAGGCGAAAAACTTTGCTCAATGACAGGCTGTGGTGGAGCAAAGGAGCAGTCATGGCGACTTTTCACGCACTGCGCGCATGGAACTTTGCCATTTTCGTCGCATTTTATCTTGCGTTTCTTGCACTGGATACAGCCGTTACGGCTCTTCAAATGCTTGCGTCGACTCGGTGCAGGAGTCATTGTAAATCATTTGCAGTCATATCTCAAGGTGGTCTTGTCAGGGTCCACTTTGGTCAGTTGCTAGTGTGGTTGAAGAAAGGCAACTCCTCAGAGAGCGCGCTAGACACGGTGTGTGCGATCGACGCTGGGATGCGGTCTCAAAATTGGATGGATGAGTCAGCCATGCTGCCAAATTGGGGCTAGTCTGCAGATCTTGTAGATCTCGGAATCGAATTCCGAATTAGGCCTCGAGTCTGGGGGATCCTTCTGTCAGGTCACTGCCTTCTGCCTGTTGCCAAAGCTCTAGTGCTTAATGAGATAGTCATGGCCGTAAGGTCTTTGGCTCTTCCTCTGGAATCACCCCATGCCGACAGAATTTGAGCTCCTTCCTGGCAGCACAAGAGATCCGAGATCACCCCGTATCAAATGAGACAACTTGATGATTTGCAATGTATGCGAGAAGCTCTGTTTGCCCATGGCGTGGGAGGTCTTTCACACAGCCAATGAGAACACAACACCCCTGGACAGGTGTTACATCGCATGTGTCACCAGACCAATCATGCCAGCTATGAGATCCAGGAGATCCCCAGTCACATTGAAGGCAGTTGGAAGCCTCAAGTTGAGACTCACTGTACCTGGAATCAATTCACAGACAGTCTTGTTTTGTAGAGCCACCTCATTTGGTGATACTGATGTCATACGAGTATGGGATACCACGACTAGAGCATCCCTCTACTCGCTGCATGGACCTACTGTCTCGGAGGAAGCAAGGTGGAAGCCTACCTCAGTTTGATGAAACTAAAACTTTCAAGGCTATCCATGGATGCAGAAGGCCGCGTTTATGTGCATTCTCAGGAGCACAGGTCGGACAAAAAATGAGTGAAAGCATGTTTGGATCTGTAACATGTACCGTATACAATCCGGAACGACCTCGGGAACTAGACAATGGCGTTTCCCTGATACAAACCTTGGTGTCATGAGGTAGACTAGAAAGAAAGACATATAATATCGACATCGGAAGAAAGTTGGTAATAAGTATGTTTCAAATTGTTGTCGGGTACAAAAAGAGGGTATAGATCGAGAATCTCATACAAAAAGAAAACATGAACATGAAAGCCCCAAATAGCATAAAAGAAAACCCAAACTCCATCGCTTGAAGGCAAAAGGGCTGCCTACACAAATACAGACTTAAAGCCCCCAGTTTTGTTTAGCGGAAAGTTCCCATCCCAATATGACAATCGAACCCCTTGAACAGTTAATAAAAAAGAGCGTGGGACATCAATTAGAAAACCCCGAAAACGACGGGATGTAAACTTCCACCAGGTATTCAATGGAACCCAGTGGCCCCGTCATGCTGCAGCAGCCTCGTAAATCATTTTAGATCATTTTCACCGTTCACAACATTGTCATTACATAGATGCAATGCTGGCGCTTCCTGCAGCGGCAGAGCCCCAGCGCAGTTTTCGCAGTCCACCTCTGACGGCCTCCTGCCCACAGCTCGTTGAAGGTCGAGGGCCAGGAACACCATCGCCCATCATGCCAACTTCAGTGCGCCCAACTTCACGGCCGAGCATATATCCAGCCGAGAAGCTGATCGCAGAGAACAATACTACAACGCCAGCACTGATGACCCATGTCATGATGGTGGGGCTGACAGGCGTGGTAGAGTCTGTGATGCTTGGGCGCCGACTTTTCTTCGCGGATGCGCTGCGGTCTTTAGGTGAGCTTGACCGCCGCTTGGCTTTAGCTGCAGCGGGTCCGGACGCCACTGTGGGTACTCTGAGATGTCTCGGCGAATTGGTAGATGGGTTTGATGCTGGGTATTGAGGTGACGATGTCTCTTCGTTGTCGCTTTCTTCTCCCATGGCGACTGACTCACCTACCAATCGGAAAGCGGCAGGGCGAGCACCCCCTGTTTGGGGAGCTGGTGATGTCTGGTTGTCATTCTTTGGTAGGCCTCGTGCGGCAGCGGCACATGAAAGAAGGGTTGAGAGGCTGGCGCGAAGAGCGGCATCGTGGTCAGCATGGTGGGAGGGTGATATCATGTTATATGGGCTGTGCTGGTATTGGGATCTCTGTGGAGATGGTTGATTAGGGTAAGATTCTCTTCGCGGGGCAGTGCGTCGACTGGAAGCATATGGGACGTCAGAGTGGGCTCGTCGTGGGTGAGCAGCACGAGCTGATGATGGGTTTGAAGTGGGTGGTGGTTGTGTGAATATGTTAGGCTGAGGCACAAAGGGTGCTGGGCTTATGCCCATTCCCAGTGCAGTGGAAGTATCATCCTCATCATCACTAGATGTAGCATCTGAGCCTGAGGATGGAAGTGGAGAACGAAGTGCGATGGCAGCTGGAATTGTTGGATGGTTCATGTCTTCATTTGAGCTGCTGAGTACGCGATCGGATTCGCTTTCACTTTCTTCATATTCTTCTTGGCTGCTGCTGGCGTGACTAGCGTCTCGTGATGAATAATCGACCTGGGCTGTAGTGATCGCAGCAAGGTGTTGTAGCCGGCGTCGACGATTCCGACGCTGGTATGCACCTGAGTCTCCTTGCTCGACTCGCAGACCAGTTGTTATAATATCGTCGGTTGTGGCAGCAGAGGAGAAGGACGACGACGAGGGCTGCGAGGATACGTCGATCCAAGAATCTATATAGTATCGTAGTGAGTACATGTCAACGTGAGAGGAAGTTATATATGTGCATATTACGGCTCGATTGGCAGGGGAGGTACCAGTCGGGTTTTAAAGGGGAAGTACATACCCTCTGATCTCATGGGTGCCGCACCGGATGGCTGGGGCTGACCACTATTATCTCGAAGCGGCTGGCCATCGCGCGTCATCCGACTTGCGGCTCTAGGCTCGCGCGCCTGACCCAGAAAGTCGTAGTGATTTGGTTGCATGGCCAAAGATGATGTCGAAGGGAAGAAAACAAGAGAATAGAATAGGAAAATAGAAGTAGGAGGGGGGAATCAGGCCACCAACTGCACGAAGGGGGAGCGGTCAACGTGGGGGAGAGATTATCTTATCAAAGTGGAGAGTGATCTTCGCTGCCCAAAAACACTCTGCAAGTGTGTATTCTGGTTCTGCCCAGGAACGACGGAGATCAGATGCGAAAGTTTGACAGTCGAAATCGACGCTAGAAATAGAAATACTGACGAAAGGAAAGGATGAAAGTGGGAGTCTTCAAGTCCTGGAGCCCTGAAGATATCGAATGATGAGGTGATCAGCAGACCAGGTGATTTGCAGACTCGTGACGGAGGTGAAAGTGCCCTGCAAGGGCCTCACGCAACGTCAGGAATGTTCCGTTTATATGTTAGAAGATACTCTTCTAAAGCTGAATCTCCCAAGGCTATATTCAAGGATTCTGAATCAGGTTCAAAGAAGCCAGAGTCAAATCTCGGGAACCTCACCATAACAAAGGGAAATTGCGGGGAAAGCGGTGGGTCCCGGCAATATACACACTACACAATGGATGAAAGTCAAAGGAAACAAAGATAAAAAAAAGTAGGAAATGTATCAAATTGTAGATACCTGAGCTAAGATCATATTACACATAATTAAACACGAACTTTTTTGTCAAAGCAAACCTGAGACCCAGTGACACCGATGTTTTGCAGAAATCAAACGTATGCTGGAAAGATTGTCAAGCTTAGAAAGTGACCTTGGAGCCCTTGAACTCGGGGATGGCGCCCTTGCCCTTGTTGAGGGCACCACCACGGGGAGCACCGAAGCCACCACGGCCACCACCGCGACCACCACCACCACGGCCACCGAAGCCGCCGCCGCCGCCGCGACCACCGAAGCCACCACGGCCACCGCCACGGCCACCACCGCGGCCGCCGAAGCCACCACGGTCACCGCCAGCGGGACGGGGAGTGGAGAAGTCAAGACGGATGGCACGGCCCTCGATCTCCTCGCCGTTGAGGGCGGAGTGAGCAGCCTTGGCCTCCTCGATGGAGGAGAACTGGACGTAACCGAAGCCCTTGGGGCGACCGGTCTCCTGCTCAGTGGGGAGACGGATACCGAGGATGGAACCCTGGGCACCGAAGACCTCGTGGAGAGCATCCTCAGTGGCGCTGAAGGGAAGGTTACCAACGAAGAGAGTGTCGCTCTCGGGGCTGGTGGAGTCACCGAAGGAGCGAGCACGGTTCTGAGTGCGGTCAGCACCGGCCTGGGGAGCGGCGCGGGCAGTAGCGTAGTCGAGGTTGATGGTACGGCCGTCGAGGTCGGTACCCTTCTTGGCGTCCATGGCCTTGACGGCATCGGCAGCGTTGACGAACTCAACGTATCCGAATCCGCGGGAGCGGCCAGACTCACGGTCGGTGACAATGCGGCAGCCGGAGAGCTCACCGAACTCGGCGAACTCACGCTGGAGCCACTCCTCATCGACGTTCCAGGACAGGTTACCGATGAAGAGGTTGGCGGAGGCACCCTCGGGGACCTCAGCGGTCTTGGACTTCTTGGCGACGGCCTCGGGCTCGTCATCAGCCTTGCGCTTCTTGGAAGGCTCGCTGTCCTCAGAGTCGGAGTCAGAGTCAGAGCTGTCGGAGTCAGAGTCGGAAGACTGTAGAACGCATGTTAGTTAATCGTGCAAATTGATAAATAGAACAGGACAAATGCGTACCTCGGCCTTCTTGGCCTCAGCCTCAGACTCGGAAGAGTCAGAGTCAGAGTCGGAGGAGTCGGAGGACTCAGCCTTAGCGGCAGCCTTCTTCTCAGTCTTCTTGGGAGCGGGCTTCTCCTCCTCGGACTCGGAGTCAGAGGAGTCGGAAGAGTCAGAAGAGTCGGAGGACTCGGCCTTGGCGGCGACCTTCTTCTCAGTCTTCTTGGGGGCGGGCTTCTCCTCCTCGGACTCGGAGTCAGAGGAGTCGGAAGAGTCGGAAGAGTCGGAGGACTCGGCCTTCTTGGCAGCGACCTTCTTCTCGGCCTTCTTGGGGGCAGGCTTCTCGTCCTCGCTCTCGGACTCGGACTCGCTGCTGGAGGAAGCATCCTTCATGTCCTCATCAGACTCAGACTCAGACTCGGAAGAGCTGCTGGGGGTAGGCTCCTTCTTGCTCTTCTTGGAGGACTTCTCCTTGGCGGCGACCTTGGCGGCGATGGTCTTGCTCTTGGCGGCGGGGGGAGGAGGAGGCCTTGGTGACACCGGCATCCTTGACCTTGTTGAGGGCCTTGGAGCCCTTGGAGGCCTTATCAGCAACCTTGGTGGAAGTCTTGGACATTTTGAACTAACAAGAACAAAGAAAGTTAGCTATTGATGTCCGAATCTGGCTAGGCTCGGGAGAGGGAGGCTTGGGTGCTCGGTTGTAGCTTGGGTAGGGTTGCACATACTGTGTTGACAAGTGATAATCTTGTAGTATGTGCGGCAAAGCCCACGATCCCTCAAAGCACCCGAATGGATGAAATGGAACAGCCCTCGGAAAAGAACTGCCAGAAGTGATCTAATCACAACTGGACGTTAACCCACAAGCAACCCACGGAAGGAAGAGTTTTTCAAGCCCACAAGCGACCGACAGCCAAATACTGTCTAGAATATGTAACCCACGAGGAAGATGTCCCACAGAGCCCACAGAATAGATGTATGACAAGCCCACAGCCCTCAAAGAGATAAAGCCCTCGATGTATCTGTTGATGAACTTACAGATATGAACCCACGCGACTGCGTTAGTTAGTGTATTAAGATATCTCTTGAAGACAAGAGATGTTTTTTGAGATAAAGAAAAGTAATCCGAGATAGATTACTTTTTGGGGAAAAGGAAAAAGTAGAGAGGATGGGAGGAAGAAGAAAAAAAAAGCTCAGAGCTGGGGACCGTCGAGTCTCTTATCAGAAAAATTTCTGGGAGGAAAAAAAAATCAAGGGCAGAACCACTCCGCCTGCTATATGTGGCTAGACCAGGTACTTAGCGTGAGGCGGGTGTGGGTACCTGTCCAGTACCTTCTGGCGACTCACAGTCCGCCCTGATCACTTAATATTTGAATGTCACTCTGCGGTACCTTCCCTTCCATCGCATTTTCGGTACGGAGTACAGGCTTATCGACAGCTCTTGGTCAATTCCACCTTCAACACTACTACCCACTTCTTGAAACGAATCTGGCGCTCCAGTCCATGGGTTGTTAAATTGCCACCTGGCCCGTACCAATATGGCCAACTCGGCACCTTCCCACCGTCCCCGTCCCCGCAAGGGAAGACCTGCGATCTCCCCCGGCTCCAACAACAACCTGATCCTAGATATCGGTGATGGGAAGCAATCCCCCGCATTCCCGCTGGTATCATTTCTGTGGGGTGCTAGGGCTGGTGTGTCACAATGGCTCATCCTGCCGCTCATCCTGATGGCAGTTGGCCTCTTCCGATGGGCAGTGAGCTTATGGGGCTACTCTGGTATGCGCTCTATATTTCAACGCAGGGATTTAGCATTGCTGATCAATTCCAGGCTTCAAGGTTCCTCCCATGCATGGCGACTTCGAAGCGCAGCGCCATTGGATGGAGATCACCACGCATTTGCCAATGGCTCAGTGGTACACCTATGACTTGCAGTACTGGGGTCTTGACTATCCACCATTGACTGCATACCATAGCTGGCTGCTTGGAAAGATGTATGTCTTTAGTCTATGTCCGATGCCTGCCTTGGAAATCTTTCTAACTTGCAACTCTATCTAGTGGCTCTGCCTTTGATCCGGACTGGTTTGCTCTGGACGCCTCCCGAGGTTTCGAAGATCCTAACTTGAAAGTATACATGCGCGCCACCGTGGTCGTTTCCGAATACTTTGTGTTCATTCCTGCCGTTGTCACTTTCCTTCGCCGCTACACCCGGATGCAGGGCGTCCATGCTTGGTCTGCGTCGATTGCTCTCGCGGCCATTCTTCTACAGCCGGGGAACATCCTGATCGATCACGGTCATTTCCAATATAACACCGTCATGCTGGGACTTGTGGTGGCGAGCTTAGACGCTATACTGGCCGGGCGTATGCTCTGGGCCTGCATCTTCTTCGTTGGCGCATTGGGTTTCAAACAGATGGCCTTATACTATGCACCAGTAATGTTCGCTTATCTTCTAGGCGTGTGCACTTTCCCTCGGATCAACATCCCCCGCCTAATAAATATCGCTCTCATTACATTGGCCAGCTTCACACTGCTTTTGGCTCCGCTCATGGTTGGAGCCACAAGTGCCAATGCTCGCGAAATATTCGCATCTTCGCCCGCGCCACCCTTGTTGCAGACCCTTCCTGTTCAGCTGGATAAGAGTTCCATCTTGTATGCGTTGCTGTTCCAACTCACCCAAATTATCCATCGGGTATTCCCCTTTGCACGAGGTCTCTTCGAGGACAAAGTTGCCAATGCTTGGTGTGCAATTCACACTTTCTATAAGCTCACTCGGTTCGATGCCACTCTTCTACAGCGTGCATCTCTCGGTGCTACCTTGGCATCCATCATTGTTCCATGTGCTATCATTTTCCGCCACCCTCGAGCATCCCTTCTCCTTCCCGCTCTGTCAGCCGTCTCTTGGGGTTTCTTCTTGTTCTCGTTCCAGGTACACGAGAAGAGTGTGCTGTTACCTCTCTTGCCCATGACCTTGCTTCTTGCTGGTGATGGTGGTCTTAGCAAGGAGATGCGTGCTTGGGTCGGATGGGCGAACATCCTCGGTTCATGGACAATGTATCCTCTCCTAAAACGCGACGAACTGCGGATTCCCTATTTCATCATCACTTTGATTTGGGCCTACCTCCTAGGCCTTCCTCCCACTTCCTTCGAGACCTATCGAAGCCGTGCTCCTCGGGAGACCCCGACTACCCACTTCGAACCCTCTACCCTCACTACCCTCCTCCACTATAGTTTCTATTTGGTCATGTTCGCCTGGCACATCCTTGAGGCATTCGTGGCCCCGCCTCCTGACAAGCCCGACTTGTGGGTGGTACTGAACGCCCTTGTCGGAGCTGGTGGTTTCGGCATTGCCTATCTGTGGTGTATGTGGAAGCTGTTCACCCAGTGTCGCCAGATTGACCGACAAGCGGCCGGGGACGAGAGCCAGAAAAAGAAGCAGTGATAGCTTGCTAAGGTCGACGGTTGTGTGCTATTCAATGATACCCCGTGTTGTGTGCTCGAAGAATACGAGTCAGGGCTACTAGCTTATATGCTTATGTTAGTTACGTGATTCATTTATCTTTTAGACCATGAGGTGAGATTTCATATTGTGAAGATTAATCGCTATCATCTAGAGTGCATCTTCAAATGCTCTGTTTCCAAAATTTCACAAGCGAGCCAATGCCCCCAGGGCAGATGATATGAGAGATAACAAGAAACGCCTGCCCAATAATGCTATGATACAATTCTGTGTGATGGTGATGGTACAGACTGGCTAAATCGAACAAGAATCATAGTTTAGACCTTGAAGCCGAATCCAGCCATGCACGCCTTGTACTTCTCGATGGTGGGTTTGCACTCCTCCTCGGGGTTATCGGACTTGGAGAACAGCATGCAGTCGTCGCGAGTAGTCTTTTCGGGCTTGCAGACGCAGCAGGGCTAATGCGAATATGAAATCAGTCCTTTGCGCGGATCGATCGGGCTGCATCGAGGCTTACCTTGGGCTTCTCGGATTGAGCGGGTTGAGTGGGCGCTTGCTCAGGGGCAGCAGTGCTCTTATCTATAAGCGACAATGGTAAGAAAGTGCATTTGATGATTTTCAGTGCAAATTGTAGGGCTGGCGCATTGCGCAAACGATCTGTCGGACTCAGAATGAGAAAGGGAGGCATTAGTACTCACCATTTGAAGAACCGAAGAGCCACGACATCTTGATAAAGTTGGAGATATATTCAACGGATGTGAAGGGTAAATGGACAAGCAGTATAGGTGAATGCAAGTACTCAGGAACGGAGCGCCAGTGATCCCCGAGGCCTCGGGCATTATTAATGCGCCAATGGCGTAACTGTTCTCTGTGGGTCACCGTAGTTATTTTTTTTGTTAGCAACAAATGTTGCCTCTCCGGATTAGTCTTCTTTTTTTGCTACACTGATTATTTCTGTCTTTTTTTCTTTCTTTTGTCTCAGACATATCGGTGGTACTTGCGATTGGGATCTAGCTTGCTATTGATCTGACACTTTTTTCTTTCATTCCTTATACCAACCTCACTCTTCGCGATCAATTACCCCGCCATGGCCCCTCCTAAAGTCTTCTCCCTCGAGGGCAAAGTCCTCAAGCTCGACACTGCTGAGGATATCAATGCCCACATTCAACCGTTGGTGGAGAACACCGATTACACCGAAATCCGCCTCGGTGGAAACACTCTGGGAATTGGAGCTTCCCAACGTCTGGCTGTGGTCCTGAAGAACCAAGAGTGTCTCGAAGCTGCCTACCTCGATGATATTTTCACCGGTCGTCTTCTGTCTGAGATCCCCACTGCTCTGACTGCTCTCTTGAACGCTATTCTCGAGCTTGACACCGTCCACACTGTCAACCTCAATGACAACGCTTTTGGTCTCAACACTTCTGCACCTCTCGTCGAGTTCCTGTCCCGCCATGTGCCCCTCCGCCACCTCATTCTGAACAACAACGGACTCGGTCCTGCTGCCGGAACCCATGTCGCCGATGCGCTCTTCCAGTTGGCTCAGCGCAAGGAGGAGGCTCGCCGCGATCAGAAGAAGGTCAATCTGCTAGAGAGCGTTGTCTGCGGACGCAACCGCCTGGAGAATGGCAGTATGGAGGCGTGGGCCCGCGCTTACAAGGCCCACTCTGCTGGCCTCAAGTCCGTCAAGATGACCCAAAACGGAATCCGTCAAGAGGGTATCTCCCACCTGCTGACCCAGGGTCTCTACCACGCTACTGGCCTTGAGGTCTTGGATCTGCAGGACAACACCTTCACCGTCATGGGATCCACCGCTCTGGCCAACAGCTTGCCAGTCTGGCCTTCCCTCCGCGAGCTCGGCGTTGGAGATTGTCTCCTCTCTGCCCGCGGTGGTGTCAAGGTCGCCCAAGCTTTGGCGGCAAACAAGAACCAAAACATTCAAACTCTGCGTCTGCAGTACAACGAGATGAAGGCGGAGGCTGTCAAAAGCTTCACCCACGCCGCCAAGACCGCTCTCCCCAATCTCCGCCGCGTCGAGCTTAACGGTAACATTTTCTCCGAGGACGACCCTAACATTGTGGACCTACGCGAGCTTTTGGAGGCCCGTCAGGAGGAGCACGGTACCGATGAAGACCCCGAAGACACCTGGGGTGTTGACGAATTGGACGAGCTCGAGGATGAAGATTCCGAGGAAGAGGAAGAGGAGGATGAGGACGAGGAAGAGGAAGAGGCTAAGGCCGAGAAGGACCTCAAGGATGCCGACCGGGCTGAGGAAGAGAAGGTCGCCCAGAAGAACGATAAGGATGTCGACGCATTGGCCGATGTGCTGGGCAAGACCGGCATCTAGATCTGTTCTGACTGTTGAAAACTTGTCACCCATCAGTTGCTGTCCTCAGCTGCAGGCGTCACCACAGAGTCATTCTGGCCTTGAACACAAGCTGTCTACCTCCGCAAATCGTGTGTCTATGGACGCTCCGGGAGTCTACTATTCGGCTCTTCAAGGTCTATGCCTAGAGTCTGCCACCCTGTATAGGCTCTGTGTATGAAGACCTGACCGACGACCCTTACGCATTTCTTTTGAAGAACCCCCATTTGTTATACCCCTCACATACGATGATGAATCGCTGCTGCACATAATCTTTTCTGCTTCAATCCATATTCCGTTTGCATAGCCACGAGCCCCCCATGTATTCTTCAGAAAACTCATCACCACTTAGATGGAATACATGCCTGAGCAAGCAAATTTACTGAGTCAATCGCAAGAGTCCAATAGTATAAACCGGCAGTGATCTTTGCAAGAAATGCTGAATATCGAAGGTAGTGAATGAAAAAATTCCGAAAAGGGAAAAAAAGGCTTGGCACAAACCTCGGCCATCGCAACTCGTGAAATTGTGTTCTAGCTCTTCGCGCTCAGCATCCCTCTCCCTCCCACTTCTCTCTCAGTCGGCGCTTTCAGTCAATCGCCCTTTCACTCTTTATTGTTGCCTCGGCCTCCGAATCGTAACAGCATCTCTCACGCGACCGTGAGCTACCTATCATACGGTGAGTGCCTCTGCCAAACACCCCTCATCATTTGCGATATTTCGCAACGCGACTGCCGGCGCAATGAGAGTCATAGCATGCGCGGATTGGCTCTGAGCCTTCAGTGGCACTTCGATCGAGTCACTTGGGGTGACAGACAGAGAAGGTGGACACGTGCAAATCAGGAACATGCCACCCTTGCCCGCAGCAGTCTTTACGGCGGGGTACCTTGTGGACCATGCTTTGTGTGACAATCATTGACCGCATGTCTTCTCTATGATCTATCGTCGCAAGCTGCGAGGTGTCTCTGCTATGGTTCTTTGGAATGCGCCGGCATCCGGCAGTTTATGCAGGCCCTGGGCTCCTAGCATTTGATGGGATTCGCTGACGATTGATATCAACAGACTCTTCTAAGCTGCTTACGCTACTACCGCGTATATCTCATCCTTCGCCATAGTCCTCCATCCTCCCACCCCGCACACCATGGCAATGGACGCCAAAGAGATTGAGGCCAAGGCCAAAGCCTTGAGCAAGGCTGCGACATCCAACGAGCCCTCGTCCGTTATTCTGGGTCTTTTGAAGGATATTCAGACAGGTGTTCGGGCCACAGAGGATCTGCTGCGCCAAACGCGCATCGGTATCATCGTGAACAAGTTCAAGCAGAGCAAGGCACCTGAGGTTGCGCGTCTCTCTAGCGAAATTGTGTCCAAATGGCGAACGGAAGTCAACAAGCAAAAACAAGGCGGAGGTACAGCAGCCGGACGAGGATCGAGCTCTCCACGACCAGCGCAAACCAGCACAGCGTCAACCCCCGCAAGTGCAGTGCCCTCAGACAAGGCCTCGAAGTTGTCTGTGCCTCCCGACAAGCGCACCTGGAAAGCGGACGGGGCGGAGGTGAACCACACCGGAAACCGAGTGCGCGATAGCTGCACAGGGCTCATGTACGATGGACTGTGTCTTGGGTCCACCGAGTCACCCAAAACCATCGTTGCTCGCGCCGTTTCTATTGAAGTTGCAGCCTACAAGCACCTTGGACCAGAATCAAAGGAAGAGTACCGCACGAAGATGCGCAGTCTTTTCCAAAACCTGAAGAACAAGTCCAACCCCAAGCTGCGCGTGCGTGTCCTTGAGGGCGAGATCACCCCGGAGGAGTTCGTGCGCATGTCGCACGATGAGCTTCGCTCGGTCGAGCAGCGTGAAGCAGATGCCAAGATTCAGAAGGAGAACATGGACAAGGCAATGGTTGCCAAGGCTGAGCGCAGTATCAGTAAGACATTGCAGTGCGGCAAGTGTGGCAAGCGTGAGGTTACCTACACAGAAGCCCAGACCCGTGCTGCTGATGAACCGATGACTCTCTTCTGTACTTGCACCAACTGCGGCAAGTCCTGGCGACAGTGAAACGGGTATATGGGAAGCTTCAATGGGGGGTGTGTATTATTTTCTGGGCTTTGGTGTTTCTTCCTATTTCTTCCTCCCTTTTTCCAATTTCCTTGATCATACGTGCCATCGGGATCCCCGAGAGCCGGCACCGGAGTTCTTTTTTCTATTTATCCCTTCTTCTTTTAGGGGGTCACGAAGTGCGTGCTTGCTCACATCGGCTTCTCGTCGGAAGCAAAGCTCGGAGATGATAAACCAGATGAGTCTATAAAAATTTGCTATCCAAATTGGATTTAAGCACCAATTGCACCAATGTTTCCTCTTTGGGGTGTTTATCAGAAGTAACCTAGCCCTGAAGCACAACGTAATCGTGATGTCAGCGCGATCGATTGTAGATTAGATCTTCCAGATCCAACCTCACCGCTTGCATCTGGACGTCTCGCTCAACCAGGCCAAGCCACAATGGAACGTCAACTCCTCCAAGAGCCAGTCCAAGATCTCCTTGATGCATTCAAGAACCCTGATCCTGAAGATCCTGATCAACTTCTCTCAACTTTCACCACAAATCCCAAACCTCTAGCCCATGAACATGGTCTCCCGCAATTGGCCCCCTTCCTAGGCCGCTCGTTTCAAGGTCAAGAAGGTATATCAACTTATTTCAACCTGCTTTCTTCGTATCTTGATATTGAGAACATGACTTTTGAGCCCGAGGAAACTTGGATCATCGACGAAAGCTGTATGGCCGTGTCATTACGTGGCACAGCGACCTTCATATGGAAGCAGACGCAGCAAGCTTGGGATGAAACATTTTCCTATCGCATTAAGGTTGCTGAAGATGTGAGCGATGATGCTGAGAAGCATGGATCTTTGAAGGTCAGCGAGTATCAGGTCTGGGCGGACACTGGGGCTGCGTACCTCGCCAGCTTGGGCGAGTTGCAGAAACATGGTTCCCAGGATGATATCCAGATTGACAGCGATCTATGAAAAGTCCAATACGACACCCTCGTATTAATTCGTCAGTAATGGATTGGGTATTCTACAGAAGTGGTGGGTAAATCCCACGTCTATCTGGCATACCACCAAATCGTTGATAGAGGCACCTGAGTGCGCTGAGCCGAGAATGTGCATCGTGTTTGCATTGCCGAAAGATCAGATCATCGATGTATTCAAACTGCATTGAAGGCCTTCCATTATGTGCAACGAATCACGATTCTCACTCCCCACCCTTGATAGTATCCCAATCAATCCACTTCGTATTTCCAAAAACACCCTCCTGATTCTGAAACACCTTCTGCGGCGAGCTATACGGCTCATACCCCTTCCGATCAAGAACGGTAGTAACATTACCAGCAACACGACCCGAAACATTGAACCCAGGCCCATAAGCCTGATATTCCGCCATGAGAGTAACACCCTCCTCGAACCTCGCGACACCAGAAACAACCCAATCAATATACCCACTAGGATCGATAGTAGCGTCTTCATAAGAATTCGCAAAGATAGATCGGTGCTGGCTATTCCACGGCCGTCCAAGCGCACACTTCCCCACGATATCAGGCGCAATGGAAGCGTTGGCTGCGCGCAGGTTCGAGTCCACGATGTACACGCCATACTTGTTCGTGAAGGTTGTGTTGGATCCCTTCCAGGCAGTGATACCTCCGCCGCAACCGCGTAACTGTAGCTCGCTGGACTGGATCCAGGCTGTGCCGAACCCGTATAGGAAGTCTGTTTGGCCGGCGATGATGCTTTTGTAGAAGTATGCGTTACCTAGCTTGCCTACGTAGACCTGAGATACTGTTAGTGGGGTGGGGTCCTTGTTGAATAGATGGATGCGAAACCGCAATGTTTGGGCTCACTTACAGTATCCTGATACGAATAGAAGCCGCAGTAGTAGAAGCCGCCGTTCGCACGCGAGAAGCTCAGTGCATGAGCTGGTCCATCCGAATACTCAGTCCAAGTATTGTCGAAGTCGATGTTATAAGCGCGGAAGTCGGTGTTGCCGAATGGTGTATCGGATGGCACGGCGTAGCCTGTGGCCCCGGAGCCAGTGAGACTGGACTCGAGGGTAGGTGCCACGACCAGGACACTGGAGAAGACATTATCGACGCTCTGGCCTGTGTTGTCTTTGTTGGCGGCAGCCCATATAATGCGCACTTGGTTGCGAGTGGTATCCTTGGAGGCGGATGTCTGGCCGAGAAGTGTCACTGGTCCTGAACGGGTGACGTTGAGCTGCTCTGTATAGTTTCCTGATAGAATCAGGATCGTGTGGGAGCTTGTATCATCTGGTAGGGAGTCGATGGCTCCTTGGATGGTGGGATAGTGAGCGCGTTTGTCAGAGGCACTGACGATGATTGTTCCAGGTGGACAGTGGGTTCCTGTGGCCTGGCATTGCTGTCTTGAGACATGTTGCACTGCAGCGCTGCGGACACCCGCTGCGTGGAGCAGTAGGCTCAAAATGGAAAGGAGGTATAGTTTAAGCATAGCGCTTCTTTGTCAGGCACGACGAACTTTCAATCATTGTGGGAAACAATTGGACTTTTATAGATGCAGTTCATGAGGGGGTGCAATCTGCAAGCAACATGTGCATTGCTCTGTAAGACGGAAAATTAGAAGAATCATCTCGCGGGGGAGGAAGCTAAGCCAGAGATAGGTTGAATCTCCGAGTTTCCATTGACTGGGGTAGGCCAATCTGAGATTCGAGAGTCCACGAGGAGAAGCTTGTCTCCCCGCATAGCAGAGTAAATCATCCGGGGAAATCTGTTGGAGACACGCACGGAGAAATGACTTCCACCTCTCAGCGACGAAGGAGGTGGTGCAGAGACAGGGGTGCATGCTTCACGTTACAAGGATGATACAAGGTAGGCCTTAACCGCGTGCCCGGGTCATACCAAGCCCAACTTGGAAGATGGAATGTGAAAAAGGCATTGGAATGCTGGAGACTAGAAGAATGGATAGATTACAAGGAAGCAGAATGATTAGAATCCCTTAGATTGACTAGGTGCCACTATTAACGACATACATACACGTAGAGAAAGAAAACTCGACTCTATCAGCTCGAAAGCAAATCGCAGCCAAAGGGGTAAATGGAAACACACAAAGTCTATAATACGGGGGAAAAGGAAGCAAAAAAGACGGGACAGGTCCTTTTTTATTCCCACGTCATGCATGTCCATGGAGGTGGCACAAAATTGCGTAGTGTGGTAATCGCGGGAAAGATAGAAAGAAATTAGAGCTCGGATCAGTAACGAGTCAGAAAAAAGCTAAGGAGCGAGTTGTTTACTCGTCCTCGACCTCCTCGGCACGGGCACCAATGACGTAGCGAGAGCTGCCATCGGCGGACTTCTCGTGCTCGATGGCGAGCTTGGAGAGGTGGGCGATCATGTTCTCGATCTGGGTGTCGGCCTTGGAGCGGGTCTTGCGGCCAAGGTTGTCCAGAGCGGGGACGATGGTCAGAAGGTAGTACACAACGGCAATGATGACGGTGACACCAATGGAGTAAGCCCAGATGACAACGACGGTAACAATGTCGACATCGTTGTTCTTGGAGAAGCCAGGGCCAGCGGGGTCGCGGGGAGAGGTCTGCTCCCAGTCGGGGGCCAACCATCCGAAGACACAGAACAAGGTGGCGAGCACATCGACAATGAAGATGGCAATAACCAACTGCCACGAGGGCCAGGTCTTTCCACCACGGGTGACGAAGATGAGCCAGTTCTCGGTAAGGGCAATCTCGAGGAAGAGAATCTCCTGGGGAGAACCGAAGTTCTGGATGATACCACCGTTCTCAAGGAAGAGAGTACCACGGATGATCCAGGTAGCGGCAGCAAGTAAGATTCCAAGAACAACGGAGATGACCCAAATCTTAGGCAACTGCCACTCGACGGGGCGAGCTTCGAAGTGAGCGTTATCGTAGGCAACGGCGATGGTGGCAAGATCAGCGAACAGAGCGATGAAGACAATGAGGGAAGAGTCAACAGTCTCGTCAATGATGATCATGGAGGTGACAAGGTAGATCTCGAGGTGCAGACACAGGGCAATACGGTACTGGATGTAAGCCTTCATGCGCTGGAAAATCTGGCGGGCAAGCTTGATAGCATCGACAATGGTGGAGAGACCGGGGGCGAGGAAGACAATATCGGCGGCAGCCTGGGCAGCCTCAGTGGAACCCTCGACAGCGATACCACAGTCAGCCTTCTTGAGAGAGGGAGCATCGTTGACACCGTCACCAGTCATGGCAGTCAAGTGACCACGCTGCTGGAGCATCTCGACGACCTGGTACTTGTGCTCGGGGAACACCTCAGCGAAACCATCAGCCTTCTCAACGAGATCGTGCTGGGCGGAACCAGCGAGACCACCGTGGATCAGACGCTCAGAGTCGTAAACCTTGGTACCGAGAGCAAGCATCTTGCAAGTCTCCTTAGCGATAGCGATAGCGTCACCAGTAAGCATCTTGACGGAGAGACCGAGAACCTGGGCCTCAGCGATGGTGTGGGCAGTATCCTCACGGGGGGGATCGAACATGGGGTACATGCCCAGAAGCTGCCAGGGCTCACCCTCCTTCTGGACGGCGACACCGAGAGAACGGAAACCACGACGAGCGAACTCGGAAGCCTTCTCACGGTAGAGCTTGGCCTCCTCCTCGGAGCACTGGGACATGTTGAGGATAGCCTTGGGGGCACCCTTGGAACAGATGTAGCGGACACCGTCGCAAGTGCAGACAGTCTGGATACGCTTGGAGACGGGGTCGAAAGGAGTGTACTTCTCGGTGATCCAGTTGCGGGCAAGGATCTCACGGGCCTTGGGGTAGCGGCGGAGAGTAAGGACGGTAACCTTGTCAATGGGGTCGAGGTTCTTGATGTTGTGGGAAGAGGCAATAGCAGCGACGGCCATCATCCAGTTGACATCAACACCCTCAGAGACGAAGGGCTCACGGATGGAGAGCTGGTTAGCGGTGAGAGTACCAGTCTTGTCAGAGCAGAGAACGTCAACACCAGCGAGGGACTCAATGGCAGTGAGCTTCTGGACAATAGCCTTCTGCTCAGCGAGGTAGGCGGCACCGACAGCGAGAGTGGTGGTGGTAACAACGGGAAGACCGACGGGAACACCGATAATCAGGAGAATAAGAGTGTAGTGAAGCAGGTTGTTGTCGGTGTCCTCGGGGGTAGCGATCTTCAAGTGACGGAAGAATCCACCAATCCAGGCAGCGAGAATCCAGAACATGACGAGAACGAGCAGGGAGGTACCAATGTTGTCCATGACAGCCTTGAAGTGACCGGAGTCAGAGGCTCCCTGGACGAGGGCAGCAGTACGACCGACGAAAGAGTGACGGGCAGTGGCGGTGACAATACCGTAGGCCTTGCCGCGCTTGCAACCGGTGGTGTAGTAACAGACATCGGCCATGTACTTGTCGACGGCGAGAGACTCACCAGTGATGGCAGACTGGTCACAGGCAATGAGGGAGACACCCTGGTGGACCTCACCCTCATCATCATCGTCGTCATCACCGTGCTTCTCCTTGAGGTCGTCGGAGTTGGCGTTGGCGAGGTACTCCTTGTAGGCATCGAACATCTCGGGCTTGGTGTAGTCACAGATCAGGCGAACATCGGCGGGGATGACGGTACCCTCCTCGACGATGACAATGTCACCAGCAACGAGCTCACGAGCGAGGATCTCCTCCTCCTGGCCGTTACGGACAACGATAGCACGCATAGCAATATCACCCTTGAGAGAAGCAACGACATCGGCAGCCTGCTTCTCCTGGTACCAACCAACGAGAGCGTTAAGCAACAGAATACCACAGATAACACCAAGATCGATCCAGTCACGCAGACCGGCAGCGAGGAGGACAGCAAGTTCCATAACTGTGAGAAGAGTTGTTAGAATCCCAATTGCAGGCGTATCATGATTCCGGTGTCCACATACCATAGAGAATAGGACCACGGAAGTAACCAATGAACTGAATGAAGATGTTGGTCTTCTCAGTGACCAGCTCGTTCCAGCCAGTCTTCTTGCGGCGGGGCTCGATGTCGCTGGAGGAGAGACCAGCGCGGAGGTCGGTCTCGAGCCACTCATCGGGAGTGACAAAGCCGTCCTGGACACCATCGGTCTTGCCGCCGAACTTCCACCAGGGCTTCTTCTTCTCCTCACCGGAGCTGAGGGCACCGGCGCTGGAGGTGGAGCCACGACGGTTGTCGCGAGCAGTCGAAATGTACCGGTTCAAGGCAGAGTACTCGTCAAGGTTACCCTCCTCACCGGCTTCACGGTTGTGACGTTCGCCATTTTCGACGTCGACAGCATAGGAAATTCTCCGCTCCGCCATTGTTGTTGCTTCGGCTCACGTAGCCTTGGACCCCAGCGAAATGAGTAAACAACGAGATGGCAGGAATGACAGAGTCGGAATCGATCCTATGTAAGAGAGAAAAGGAAAAAAGACAGGTGTGAAGGAAGGACGTGTTTTATAATGAGTAACGGGGGGGGTCAGAAAGAGGGAACCGGAGTGGGTGTAGTCGAGTGGGTAACGAAAAGAGTGAGGGAAATAAGAAAAAAGATGGAAAAAAAGAAAAAGTGGGAATTGGTAGAATTGGGAAATAAAAAATCTGAAATCGACTGATTGAAATAGGGAAGGAGAGGTATTTTGGACCAGAATCCCGTGTTTGTCAATTGGGGGAGATACTTCTTGCTGTGGTTGCTGGGGGAGGTATAAACTAGGTACTGCTCTGACCCGCTCAAGGTTTTTCCCGCTTTTTTCTTTCTTTTTTTCCCTTCTTTTGTTTTTTTTACTATTTTTCAAATCCCTATTTATTGCCTGAAGGGGTTTAGTCTGACTGACAATTTCTTGGTCTTTACCAAACTTTGCCCCTTGCCCTACCATGAAAGCTCCAACCGGGTACCCGGCTTCGGCCAGTCAGACGGCTTCAACACGCATAGCATCTAGTGGGGCCCTTCCGCATAGAGTTTAGCTCGCAATCAAAAAACATAATAATCGAAAATAAAAAAAGAATTGAAAACGAAAAACCGGTAAGATACTCCGTACCAATACAGAGTACAACGCGTATAATCTACCTACACTGCGTGGGAGGTTTGAGTGCGACCGGCACTGGTCTGCCGGATTGGCCTCCACAGACCTCACCTCTCGTACAAATTGTATGGATCGGTACGAAACAGTCTCTGGTCCGTAGCCGAGTTCCCCCAGCTCTAATCTAACTATGCGCGATTTTTGGTTTCTGGGGAGTAACGGTCCTTACGCCCCAAGACAATGACAAGAAAAAACTAATGGAATTGGCACTGCAAGTTAAACTATTGCGATTTGCAATGAACAGATGTACAGGTAGCGCCTCCTGTCAGCCGGAGAATTCGCGGCATCGCAAAACACAATAGACTGGACATCCCTTGTCGCAGAATGTGTGCTTCGACCTCGCGTCTCGCGCGACATAGTTCGGATGGTTCGAGATCTTGATCGCCCTTACGCATTCAAATTTTACCCATATTGTAAGGAGTCTTTTCCACGTTACTCTCGGTGATCTCTCTATGTATACTCCTGCCGAGTGCAGCTGCCGTCCACAGTGACAATCATTGGCACGGGTGAAGAGATGGCACTGTACCAACGGTGACGACAATATCGCATGGCCGTCACACCCGAACCATTTAACGTGTAGCAAGGGGTCCGGAAGCGGCTGCTGAGGACAAAATTTTGATATGTTATGTATGCCAATGCTGAAGCATACCGAAAACCCGCGTTACAGGACGCCCTGTAAATTACCATTATGTCATCAGTTGATTTTTTTCTTCGCTCAAATCTTTCTTTCGCCTTCTGTTATCAGCACGCACTTTCCGCTCCCACCACGCCCGCTCGCTGAAGCTGCCTTCTTCGTATCCCACCTACCACGGTCGATCGTTGCCCTCTTGCTTTTCCCCCTGTCCTCGTGGAGAGCGTCCCCAGAAGCGCCATTTAATTCGGCGATCCTCACTGGCCGACGCGACCGGCAAAGTCCCCGCTAATACCTCCTTAGCAGCGTTAATCGAATCACCGCGTTCAGACGCCGGCCTATGATTTCATCGTGTTGATCGCTGCGCTATTCCCGAGCACTGACTATGATATAGGCGGTTCGAGAATTGTATCACATATGGGCAATCTGATTTGTATCCCCCAGAGAACGCAGGAAGTTGGCCGAGAGAGGCTGGGGATGAAACTATACACGATTCTAAATGGCCGAGATGCTAAGAGTGCTTCAGGCCATGCCAATTTCGACCAAGAGTCTTATTCCACTCGGTGATCCTGCTAAGACTATGGAGTAAGACAATCATGTCCGGCCAGCACACACTTTCCATTGATCGTCTGACAGTGTGCATGACCTCAAAGTTGTGTGCATACGGAGTACTATGATGTGAACAAGGAACAATCCCAGTCTCGAGATGCACGCAGACCGTTCTCCCCATGTGTTGGTGATTACCCGAACGAATTGGCAGAAATCATCGAACGCATCACGTTTCCCATTGGGGTGATCCGCGACCGAACCCTCCATCGGATTTCGTCAAGCTTCGCGCTGCATAATAAGGCTCGATGCGATTGGACCGGCTGTTCGTTTTCAACCCAAATAGCCAGTACAAAGACAAGCACGGAGTATCAAGTAATCGGGTGTCATGTCCCTAGACTAATCAAACGTACCATCGATCACAAATCCCGTGGCATGTCGGTGATTATCGCATTCCAAGAATCCCTAAGACGCACCCCGGGCTTCGGTGAATTTTCCTTGGCACAATTCCCCAGAGGATCAATCTGAAGGCTGGGGTTCTCGCATCCCATCGTGCACGAGCCGTTAGAGATGAGCAAACGGCGCGAACAAAGTCCCAAAGTTCAGAACCGTCCCGAGTTTACGCGCTCTAGGCGAATTTGAGTCTTCGGTCTATTGCAAGGTTCTCTTGGTGTCCTTGCCCAGATGCACATCGCCCATTAAGCGCATACAACTTATATTGCGATTGGCATATTAACAACCTAGGAAATGCAATTGCTTCCCGTCTCGTATATAATTTAAGCCAATGTCCTGTAGCTTGCGCCCGGCGCTTTCCGCGGGGGTGGTATTCGTTCACCAATGCGAACCAATTGAAGACAGTTACACGATAGCGAAAATTATGGGGCTTTCCACGTCGCGAGCTACAGAGATATACCTAATAAATATTACGGCGATGAAACTCGATTGGTGGTAGCTTTTTTGGCTACGGGGGGACGGTCGAAGAATAACTTCCTACAGCGTGAAAGAGGCAAAGAGGCCGTATTCCGCTTCTTCCCCGACGCTGTCGTCACTCTGGAGCCCATCTTGTCTCAACTCTCTCCATAATCGTGAGAGCTACTCCGTAGTCAGACAGCTAGAGAAGACAGCCCTGGGGGCCAAACTTTTAATTCGGGAAACCGACCGCGGGTGGAGCACAGCTATCCGCTGGCAGCCCCTATTCGACACGACGCTGCGCTTCGTCCTCCTGCAGTCCCGTGCGAGCACTAGCGAACAAAGAGGAAATCAAAAGGATTGCGATCCGGGGGATTCTCGCCGTTTAGCCTTTCAGAAAGAAAAAGCAAAGGCAAAAACCACGTCAGCCAAGCCGGGCGCGCGACAGTGCACGATCCCAGGGATTCTGCGCCGCCGAGGTCACTGTACCAAATTTTGGGGTGATCTTTGTGCAAGGCAGAGTATGGAGTAGTCTGTATCTGTTCATTGTTCATCTGATCACAAAAAAAAAAAAATCTGTCGGGGCCCACGAGCCTTCAGAATGTGTAGTGCGAATGGACCGAGGTGCATAAGTGGAGAGCTCGACCCCATCGAAAAAATGGCTCGCGATCGAAGCGTCCAGAAAGGGAATCAATTACGGAGTACTTCCAGGGCCATTTCCCCCACGCCACGACCCGTGGATCATTCTGTGGGACAGGGAGAGCGATGTGTGCACAATGCATTGTACGAGTACGGAGTATACAGTTGCTCTTATATATTTCACTACATAATATATTGTGCATATGAGGTGCTTCCTGTGTGGACCTTATGGTAACATGTTATGCCCAGGGCAGTTGTTGACAAAACTTCCAAGGTTATGTTTATTACTATTCGGAGTACGACACGAGACCCGTGGAAAGTCCATAGATTGTCTCGATAAATAACCCGTTATGATGGAGTGCAATATAGCAGAGTCTGGGAAGCTGTTTCATCCATAGCTACGGAGTACCCATTCTCTGTACTCTGTACTCCGTACACCAGTCGAGAACACATCACACCAATATATATGCAGAGATGATCCCCAAGACCCCGTGCGAATAATCCTATCTGGGTATCCTCGGACATGTGTCCAACTTCCCAGATCTAGAAATCTCCTAGGGAATACATGTGGAAATGCGTATGAGACAGGGCACATTGAGACCCTTTGCAGTGGGCGATCACGCCGCTGATGTCGTTGGTACCAGGTGTCATAATTATCTACGGGTATTCCGTACCGGGCAACAAAATGCCTCAGTGTGCCGAGGAAAAAGCGAATGGTTTGAGGCTCGCCACAAAGGACGGTGAGGCCGTATGCCGAGATCAGAAGTGCGGCGCGTTGGGTAATCTGGAGGCTGGCCCCATTCAAATGGAGAAAAAAGCTGGAGGAGCCTGGTGCCGAATGGCCGAGTTTGGACAAATTAGGAAATAACGGAGTGGGGGAGGCAAAGTGCGTGTCCTTAGACAATTTAGAGTGTTCTGGATGTCTTCTAGAAGGCTTCTCTCGCTGTAACCGTCCCATGGGTTCAAATGCAGCTTACATGCGTGACAGTGGTTTTGTCCACACAAAGTTTTGGATTTTTTTTTATTGTCGCAAGCTCTCGGAAAATCGGCAATGGGGGAGAGTAACAAGCCCAAAGGCACAGAAGATAAGAATAAGACCATCACGTCATGATTCTTATCGTGCCGCTTTCGCTATGCCTTTGTTGGACTCAAATACACTAAATACCAATATTACACACACGCTGAAATAACAGTGTAACGCCCGGAAGCATTGTAATTCTCCTTTGGGTTAAGACCGAGCAGCGAGATTACCCTTACATACACCCAATCACGGCGCTTATATTCAGATGACTCAGCTCCGGGCCCACGATGGCTGGACATTCCACGTTCTGATACTCCGTACGCTGCACATTGGACGGCTAATATACTAGCCTACAATGTTCAGAAAAACTCAATTCCACGTTGATATAGTCCTGCACTGGTGATGAATACACACAACTTAATCTCTTTACTTCTAACTAAAACCCCGATCCCTTAATCCACCTTGGAACGTCCAACACCTTGGGTTGGCATTACTCTA